CACCGCCTCAGGATCACCGTCCGCACGATTTAGATCAATTCGCGTCTGATCTAAAATGTAGAATCTGATCCAACCACGCGCGCGTATTTAGAGCCCAAACCATCTCTCTTTTCAGTTCATCAAACATCTACTTGAAGTAAATTAAAATGGCCAGAACAAAGCAAACAGCACGTAAATCAACTGGTGGTAAGGCCCCACGTAAGCAACTCGCTACCAAGGCAGCAAGAAAGACAGCCGCTCCACAAGCAGCTGGTGGTGTTAAGAAGCCACACCGTTACCGTCCAGGTACTGTCGCCCTCAGAGAAATTCGTCGTTACCAAAAGTCCACCGAATTGCTCATTCGTAAATTGCCATTCCAACGCCTTGTTAGAGAAATTGCTCAAGACTTCAAGACTGACTTGCGTTTCCAATCATCTGCAGTCATGGCTCTTCAAGAAGCTAGTGAAGCATACCTTGTCTCATTGTTCGAAGACACCAACTTGGCCGCTATCCACGCAAAGAGAGTTACCATCCAACCAAAGGACGTTCAACTCGCTCGTAGACTTCGCGGTGAACGTGTTTAAACACGTCTAAGCTAGACAAATTTCTATTCACCTATGAAGGACATCTCATGTAACTTATTGTATTGTACAATTATGCATCTAAGAATAATTATGATTTACATCTGATTTATTGAGTCTCTTTGTTGAGATTTGTGAAGCTCCTTTTGTCGGAGATCTTCACATAGAAGCTGCTTTGACGCGAGATTGTTGGTTTTTGTATAATTGATTTCAATGTGATTCTTCAAGCACATTGCAGATTCATTACTGGTGTTAATACTGAAATATGCTTCGTGTTTTACAATTATTTATATTGATGATGCAGAAAACCAACGATTCTAAATCATCCTGGAATTGCCGAGCAAGAAAAAAATAAAATGTCTCTGGATGTTGGCTTCGTAGTCTAATGTTAGGTATTCAAAAATGGGTTAAATTAGATTTTGTCTCGGTATTTTCATCATTACTTTCTTCTGATATTCTCAAAGCAGTAAAATATTTTAAAATCTGGTGACAGAACATATCTATCTTCTTGGTAAATATCAATATACATTTCTTATTTGATTTCGTAGAGGTTCTACACGTAGAATTTTTTTTTATGTTCTGTCGAAATCGAACTGGGGTCATATTGGTTTAGGCTAGAAAGATAACAAACAAAAGCAGGTAAATTGAATAATTAGATACAACTGAGTATGACTTATAAAGTGTGGGTGTAATTCGTTTTGCCAGCCTTGATGTCTTACAAACTACACCATTAATTCAGAAATTAGTTCAAGAAATTGATCCACTCTCAAACTTTTTAACCTTCTTATCAACAATGATTCGACTGTTAATGTAATGAGTAATGATCTCTAAGGTCTGCTCGACTCACCTCTTTTCAAATCCTTTGATGTAAAGATCCTCTAGACATCTCACACGTGATAGCGCAACGTAAGCCATTCCATGCTCGAAAATATCATCAAAATGAATAGATATCTTTGGAAGCGTCTTGCCTTGGCTTTTGTGGATGGTTGTAGCCCAGGCCAGCGTAAGAGGTATCTGGGTAACATTAGAAGTGTCTTGTAATTATGCACACGCCTACCTGAAATCTCGTCGCTATCGTGTCACCAACGTCATCCTCCATTTCCGTCCTTATTGAAGTTATCAAACCCTTTACTCCATTGTCGAACCTCACCATGACGCCAACCTTACCTCCTTCCTGCACACTATCGACTTCTTTGTAAAGCACCTTGCGATTAGATTGGGATGTGAGCGACGGTTTGCTCTCCCATTCATCACCTTTTGTTGTATTCTCATACGCGTCCTTGCGATAGATACCTATCGATTCTACGACACCGACTGCACCGTTCACCAGACCTTTAGTTGTGTGAAGATTTTTCACTAACATCACTTGAGCGCCCTTGGCGATTTCTACTGATTCAGGAATGGTTAAGGCGGAATTTAGAGCTATTTTGACATTTTTGACAGATCCTGGCTTTACTATCTTGTCTTTGGCGTTGAAAGTGTGTACTGTTTGATTGAGGTTGACGAGTTGTCTCTTGTTTGCGGCATCCACACGTGCTCTTTTGGAAAAGACCTGGAGTGGTTTGATAGAACTTTTTGCAGTCGTACCTTTCCGTTGTACATTATAGAGCGCCAAAATACTCTTATCAGTCAGCTCCCCTATACGTACTTCATTGAGGATAGCTTGAAACGTACTATCATCCTTCTGCCTATACGACGAGGCTAGCTGTTTGGTCATGAGTTTGCATTCGCGCCAAGCGTCACTCTCGAATGCGAAGACACGCTTGTTTGTCCCGATCGCAACTGGGGGGAGTTGAAAAAAGTCACCACAAAACACAAGTTGTATTCCTCCAAATGGTGCGTCATTCTTACGTACTCTCTTAGCAAGTTCGTTTAATTTGTCGAGGAATATGCCGTCAAGCATGGAAATTTCGTCGATGATGAGTACTTTAACTTTTTCCCATATGGCCATTTTCTGCTTGTTGAGCTTTATGCTGACTACCAATCCGGATACAGATAGCTGGGAATTCGTAATGCCCGACCAGGAGTGTGTTGTTACGCCGCCGATGTTCGTCGCTGCGACACCGGTCGTTGCTGTAACGGCGACTCTAGCTTCTGAATACTTGTTGCATAACGCTTCTACTGTTTTCTGTAACAAAAAAGACTTCCCGCTACCCTTGTGTATCGTCAGAGATGACATTGTCCAGAATGAAACGCACGGCTGATCCAGTCAAATAGACGTTCTTACCGGATAATATAGTATTTATAGCATTCTGCTGAGATTCTGAGAGCTCAAACTTTTGTTTTTGTGTTATCTGCCGGATTGTTAGATATAGATAGAGGCTATATAGACAACTAACAGCTTGTCCTTGATCTGCACTCTCTCTAGCGTATAGAGTTAGCTCTATCTCTTAAAGATACTCATCTCTCACTCAAATTTCCTTTTTGATGGACGATCTTGAGAAGCAGAACTGAGAGATGAGCCTATAAGAGGGATTCCAGTAGACATTTTTATCTCCTATTTATTCCAGAAACCACACCCTCAGCGTAAGTCGGAAAGCGTCTTCTTTTTAAACGACGATGAGGACAGCAAGGAATATCCACACGACAGCAAAATCATTAGCTGCAGGTTCGCCACGACAGATTCCAGCGGATTTATCAACGCTCGGCGCTCCTCCTGCGCCTGGAAAGGGTCGCTCACGACCAGGACAAGCAGGAAACGCCGTAGAGGCACCAAAGAGGCTGCCTTTAGGTGAGAAGCCACCATCGGCTCAGGGTGGACCAAGAATACAGAGGATGGATCCCTCAGTAACAAACTGGTTGGAGAAAGGCGACGGCTTGAAGTTTAGAAATGGCAGGCAAGGGCCAAACTGGATCGGAAGCACGCCATTTCCTTTAAACCCAACGTTCAGACCACCTGCACCATTGAGCGACGCACTTAAAACGAGAATATATACACTCAATCAGTCAGACCCTCAGAAATACACACCTACAAAGCTCAGTTTGGATCACAAAATTAGCGTTGATAGAATAAAAGCAATTATCAGATTGAAGGAATTAGAGAGCAACTGGGTGGAGAATGGAAAAGTCTTACAATTAGAGCATCTCAAAGGGATGGAGAAGCATTTGGGCGTTGCAGTAGCCAACAGCAAACTCAAAGACGACCTTGCCGCGATGGATTTGGTCAGCAAAACGCAACAAGTCGACCCAGAACCTGCCCAAGTTGACCCAGTACCTGCAGAAGGTGTTCTTCCGGCAGTACCTCGCTCAACTCACAAGACATCGCTCGCTGAGCAAAATATTTTCCTCTCTTTGGATAGCAATCAATCAGAAGAGGCTAAGAAAAAGGCAGATGAGCATGAGGCAGCCGTCGAGGAAACTCATAAAACAAAGTCAGAAAAACCAAAGCAAGAAGCAAAGGCCAGCAAAGGAGTCACTATCAAGGATAATTGGGAGTTTATAGATACGTCACAAACTACACAGCGTAGAAATTTGTCTAGAAACTAAAATATATTTCTTTATTATTATCTATTATCATCTGATTACACAATTGAGCTAATGGATAGCGGTGAACGCGTTGAAAAGGATGCAAATAATGCCCCTAATGAGAAGTGTGTATAAATGTACTTAAAATTCTTATCTAACGCGTCAAATTCAAGGCAAGATGATGATATCGACCATATAAATGATTTGTGGCAGGAAGTGTACAGCTCAAATTTAACTAGTGGGGTATATTACTTATTTATATTATATCCTAACCCTCCTATAGCTACTGAGCAGCTGCCGACGGAAGTGCATAGAAATTGCGGTCTTCTCAGCCAAGTAGCAAATAGTCAGCAAAGTGAGCTGGCAGCTATAGAAATAAACGACCACACTAATTAGTCTATAGACTATATGAATAAACTCAAAGAGAATTCACTCGGGTACATTCAAACCAAGCTAGAAGGACAGGATGCCAGTGAATTCCTTCGCCAAATCAGCAGCAACAGCGCTGACGCACAGAGGTTGGCAGACGAACGTGTATCGATATCGACGAATTTGAGAGATATAGTGCGTACACAGACTATGATCCCTACGGGAAGCTAAAGAGACACAGATAAACCGCAACATCAAACTAATAGAGACATCAATAGAGAACCAACAAACAGAGCTTCAAATGGGTGTTAGACCGGGTACCCAGCCATCACACAATGAACAATTGAAAAAAGAGCGCGACAATCGCATGCGTTCCCGTGCAGCGAGGGAGGAACAGGAAAGAGTGGAGAATGAAAATAACGAAGATGATGAGCGCTACTGTTTCTGCAACCAAGTCAGCTTTGGTGAAATGGTAGCCTGCGATAATGGTAAGAAAGATGTTTGTTGAGAATTCTACTCATATACTTCAGAACAATGCCCATATCAGTGGTTCCACCTCGCATGTATTGGACTAACTGAGGCACCCAGCGATGAGTTCATCTGTTCATTCTGCCAGCAACAGGATAGCGTACAGGATGGAGAACAAGAGAAAAATGAGCAAGAGCAAGACGAACAAGATGAGAATGAGGTGGATGAGAAAGCGTGATAGTGCTATATCTGCTTGTGTATTTTTATATAATGCGAAATCTGTACATTATTATTTGATCGGAATTACAAGTCAAATCCGAATAGCAAAGACATTGAGGAAAGTCCAGGCACATAAGCCGGAGTGTCTTCTGGAATGCCGATTTAAGAGAAGACATCAGTCGCGTGTATAGCTCGCTAGTATTCGTTGTCGCCGGTATGAGATCATATCATGCACCACAACGAAGGGATTGCGAAGATGGCCGATTCTAAAGCGGCATTTACCGTATATAGTACGCTTAGCTTTTTAATCGTCTGTTGGCAGAGATTTACTCGAATTTTCGGAAAGAAGCCATTTAAGATTTCCACCAAGGATATTTTACCTTTTTGAAATCAAACAACCATCATGTAAGTAAGAAGATACCAAAACAATAGACCCTAACAGCTACAGGACATCACTCGCCAACAAGCTCAACATCACAGACATCGACGTCGCTGACAAGCGTGTCCTCATCCGTTGTGTGGGTTTCTATCCGCTTTTGTAAGCATAACCATTTCTGACAGCATCTAGGATTTCAACGTACCACTTGACAAGAAGACTGGTGAGATCACCAACCCAGCCGTATGTATATTTGTTCGTCGATTCACCCCCACTGACAGCTCTACTAGAGAATTGTCGGTGCCCTCCCAACTATCAAATACGCACAAGAGAAGGGTGCTAAGGCTGTCGTCCTCATGTCACACATGGGCAGACCAGACGGTCAACCAAACGCCAAGTACTCCCTCAAGATCGTCGCAGATGAATTGGAGAAGCAACTCAACCAAAAGATCATCTTCACAAATGACTGTGTTGGTCCTGAAGTAGAGAACACCGTCAACAGCGCACCAAAGGGCGCTATCGTCTTGCTCGAGAACCTCCGTTTCCACATTGAGGAAGAAGGTTCAAGAAAGGACGAACAAGGCAACAAGATCAAGGCTGACCAAGCAGCCGTTGACTCATTCCGTCAACAACTCACCAAGCTCGGTGATGTCTACGTCAACGATGCATTCGGTACCGCCCACAGAGCTCACTCATCTGTCTCAGGTATCAAGCTCGACACCAGAGCAGCTGGTTTCCTCGTCAAGAAGGAACTTGAATACTTTGCTAGAGTTTTGGAGGCTCCAGAGAGACCATTCCTTGCTATCCTTGGTGGTGCTAAGGTCTCAGACAAGATCCAATTGATCGACAACATGCTCGAAAAGGTCAACTCACTCATCATCTGTGGTGGTATGGCTTACACCTTCAAGAAGGCTGAGGGTGTATCCATCGGTGACTCCCTCTTCGACAAAGCTGGTTTCGAAAAGGTCGATGAAATCAAGAAGAAGGCAGAAAAGCACAACGTTAAGCTCCTTATCCCAACAGACTTCGTCATCAGCCAAGAATTCTCAAATGACGGTGCCAACAAGGTCGTCACTGACAAGGAAGGTATCCCAGACAAGTGGGAAGGTCTTGACATTGGTCCAGCATCCAGAGAAGCATTCGCAGAGGAAATCAAGAAGAGCAAGACTATCCTCTGGAACGGTCCAGCAGGTGTCTTCGAATTCCCAACCTACGCTAAGGGTTCAAATGCCCTCCTTGATGCAGCTGTCGAAGCTCAAAAGAACGGCACAAATGTTATCATTGGTGGTGGTGATACCGCAACTGTCGTCGCAAAGGCAGGTAAAGAAGATGCACTCGCCCACGTCTCAACCGGTGGTGGTTCATCCCTTGAATTGCTCCAAGGTGATGTCCTCCCAGGTGTTGATTACCTTAGTGAAAGAAAGTAAATAGTTGCTTAGTTTAGAATTTTGTACTCTCTTTGTTATCATTTAAGCATTAGTTTTTTACATTCTCGTGTTATTGGAAGAAGGTAATGACAACAATTTGGATATGTTAGTGAAGATTTTCACTGATGTGGTGTTTTGCTTTTGTGTGCTACATTGCGACAATAGAGTTGATATTATTTGACATAAGGGTGTACATATTAGCTGAATTCGAAAATTTACTAACATTTTTGTGTATATGCGTAGATAACAGTTTTCCGCATAAAACCTGAACAATCTGAGAACGATGAAGGAGTTGGATAGTATCATGGTAATATTTAGCGCTTGTTTTATCTCGTAGTATGAGTTTTGTTTACATATCCTTGTGCAGTTTTTGATGTACATCGGGTGTGACATTACGTCGACCCTTCTGGGACATAACGAATCATTTAAAGATTAGCGAATGAGTTTAAATGGTTTAAATATTCATTGTAAATACTTTCACGGTTATTTCTTTCGTCGCTGGCGTGAATGTGGGGGATTGATATCTGAAGATAGTGAGCCAAGAAATGAAGCGAAGAGGAGAATATACGTTGTGCGATTATACTCAATCGTTAGCGGGTTCAATAAAGGGCAAAATATTTCTCAATTAAAAAGCCACACTGGCACCACCATTCACTTGAGATACGTTTTCAGCGAGACAGAGGATAGAGATTATTGCCAAAACTAATGACCGATCTCTAGAAGACCTTTAGCCTATTTAAAGTAGATTATGTCACAACATTCCAGTCAATCGCGGTGTTCATGTGCCAAACTTTAGAAGCTGTAAACGAGGCGATAACGCGTAGATTGAGCGTGAATTTGCTGCCTTTTGAAAAAATTTATCCCTTGGTATACAGCTATAGTAAAAAATAATATTCTTCTCTTTCATAAGTTGATAACTTTGCTTCTTGAACCCAAACGACGATGCCAGGCGTGACGAAGCGAGCATCAGAGATAAATCTGAGGAGAAAATCGAAGTCATCACTTAACCAGAGAAGAAGATTGAAAGCAGCTGCTTCTTCTGAGCGGATCAATGATGAGAATAACGGCGAGCTCGCGACTGGCAGTAACGCGAAGAAAAGTAAATTGAATGGTGGCAGACGTGCCCTATTGGAGATAGCTTGGTGGACTGGTACGTATGTTCTTTATATCTATGCCTTCACTAACGGAGCTAGTTACGCCCAATTTGAGCGATTATCTCGAGAATAACAACAATAACGCGTCAAATGTAGGTTTAATGTGAAGTCTTTTGGCGTTTTATTGACTTTACATAGAGCTACATACTTTACAGCAGCGGAAGTTCGCCTTCAGACAACAACAACATCGATAATCAGCAACCGGCAAAGGGAGGACTGGCTCCTCCACGTCCGACGCCATCTAGGATGTCGTCTATGAGATGAGCTGATTATTACTTTATATTTTATAGGAAATACCAAGGACTATCATTTTTCTGTCGTATATGTCGTAAACAAACTACTTACACTCTTTTAATAGCAAATAGCACTACCAGATACACATCCACACTCATTCAAACAAACAGTCTATATTTACGGATTATAAAACTCTCCGGTATTCTGAGATAGCAAAACCACCCGAATAGTCTATGATTGATAACCAGATATAGCCAGACGATGTACATTTCATTTACTCTCCATGTATTCTTTATTGGGTTTATTGCGGTTTGAATGTGTGCACTCTAGTGACGTAGTTGGCACTTAGCCAATCTACACGTAAAGAAATAGCATTTTGAAGTAATCTATTCTGTGTATGCTTTAGAAAATGAAAATATTACTAATCACCCTACTAGTGTCTGTCTATCACCCGTAAACACCCCGCGTTCCACGTATCACCTTGACTATCATCACTATAAAATGTCGACAAATGAGCCACCACAGCACATAAAAGATCAAGAAGCTACGTCTCAAGCGAGTGCGCAATCTTCACCTTCGACTCCTTCTCAGCCACTTGGAATGGAGCAATTACACCATCAGCAGTCACAGACAACACAGAACCTTCACCCAGTCAGAAGCCACGGTAATCTTCCAGACATAGAGCGCCTTAAGCTTGAAAGTGGTCCGATTTCACCTACGCCTTATTCTGCTTCTTCTGGCGGTATATTGAAACAACTCGACCAAAGCACGAACGCCTCGAGACTTGCGAGCAGAGCACCATCACGCGCACCTTCCGTAGCCGGTATTGGTAAAACTGCAGCTAAACCTGATTACTCAGAGGCGAAGATTGTCGTCGCGATGGTCGGTTTACCGGCGCGTGGAAAGTCATATCTCAGTAACAAGCTTATGAGATACTTGAAATGGTTGGAATATGATGTAAAGGTTGGTTCGTCTATCTACAATTGAGGGTTTTCACTAAATGATCCACAGGTCTTCAACGTCGGTCAGTATAGACGCAAATTGGCAAGAGAAAAGAAGGCGGCAACGGGCGCGAAAGATGATCACTCAGCTAGCTTCTTCAATCCAAATAACGCAGATGCAATGGGTATGCGTGAGACTATGGCTAATGACTGCCTTGAGCACCTTATCGATTGGTTGAAACAAGGTGGTAATGTTGGTATACATGATGCAACGAACTCTACTATGGAGCGTCGTCAAAAATTAGCCGAGAGAATTAGCAAGGAGAGAGGTATGCAGATCATTTTCATTGAATCTGTCTGTGAGGATCCAAAAGTAATTAGTGCAAATGTAGCGGGTAAAGTCAGCGCAGGTGATCCAGATTACAATGGAATGACACCAGAGCAGGCAGAGGCAGATTTCAGAAGACGTATAAGTCATTATGAAGCTGCTTACGAACCTGTGAACGAGCCGCATATTAGTTATTGTAAGGTAATCAACGTTGGTCAGAAAGTACAGTGTAATCTCATTAACGGCTACCTCCAATCAAGAATAGCTTTCTACCTTATGAATCTGCACGTATCTCCAAGAAGCATCTACCTCACAAGACATGGTGAATCTATGTATAACGTTGAAGGTCGTATCGGTGGTGATAGCGATCTCAGTCCTCGTGGTTCGAGGTATGCGCAGGCGTTACCAAACCTCGTTAGAGATAACGTTGGTGATGTTCCATTAACTGTGAGTGTGGTCTTTGTTTTCTACCCATTTTTAACAACACAAAAGCTTTGGACTTCTACTCTCAAGCGGACTATTCAAACAGCAGCTAACCTCCCATATCCAAAACTAACCTGGAAATCACTTGATGAACTGGATGCTGGTGTCTGTGACGGCATGACTTACGAGGAGATTGAGGAAAACTACCCAGAAGACTATGCTAATCGTGATGAAGACAAGTACAACTACAGATACAGAGGTGGTGAAAGTTATCGCGATGTTGTCATTAGATTAGAACCTATTATCATGGAAATGGAAAGACAAAACAACGTTCTAGTTATTTGTCATCAAGCTATTTTGAGAGCCATTTATGGATACTTCCATAATATCCCTCAAGAGGAGATTCCATATATCAAAATACCACTGCATACTGTTATTAAACTCACTCCGAAGGCTTACGGATGTGATGAGGTCAGGTATCAGCTCCCAATTGAGGCTGTGGACACACACAGACCAAAACCAACTATCAAAAGGTCAGATAGCAAGTCAAGCAAAGCTAGTGCACCAAGTTCAGTTCAGTGATCGTGTAATCAAGATGAATGAAGGCAATTTTTTGAGTGGAGTGTAGTGTTACATGATGTGTCTATATTCTTTCAGAGTCTGAAGTACTCTCGCTTTCTTCTTTTTTGGTGGATTCTTCTGACTTTTCTTCGTTATCATCCTCGTCGATTTCATCGCTGTAGTGTTCTGGATGGCTTCTAAAGCAGTCTGCTTATGTGAGAATAGTGTATAGTGAGATATTGGACATACCCTGCATTCCTTTGAATGCTTCAACACAATCTATACCCTTTGGTTCTGCTTCCGAATAAACAAAGCAGGCTGGTGTATTCGATAAGAATTAACATAGCACCTATAAGTATCACCCACAGAATGCAGTCTTGAACTCTTCACCGCATGGTCCGTATGCCATTCCACCCAAACATGGACAATCCCAGTTTATTTCACTAAGCGGAGTTAGATCGTTATCCAAAATAGCTGTGTATCCTACCCAGTCTCTGGATTGTATGCGCCTCCGCTACTACTACCAGTGGCACTGCTTTCAGCTTGTTCAGTTTGTTCAACTTGCTCAGCTTGCTCAAAAGCTGGTGGCGCTTCAACTGATTGATCGTCTATATATGATCAATAAACACGACGCTAATACACTCCCTACTGACCCTTCTTATCAACACCCTCACTCATTGATTACTAATGGAGGTGATCGTCAAGAGAGAAGATAGAAGAATAGCAGACTCTTCTTCTACAAAATTTATAACAACTTTACAATTCTCCGACGTCGCAGATAAAGACAGTGTCTGCTCCAAACTGCTTACTAGCACGATGTCTGACTACTGGTCTGTCACCATCCTGAGAAGAAGCGTGAGTGAGGACTTGAGAACATGCTTTTGCTTACTGTTATGATCGAAACACCATCACTGCCTATCAGAGTGGGTGATACCGTTACTATCAGTTTGTCTACTACGTTTTTGCTACTCAAGAGCGAACGTATCACTGTAGCACCACCTTCTATCATGTATCTTTTGAAACCAAATTCCTTCGTTATCTTATCGAATATACTCCTATCCCACCTTAGTCCTACAATCGTTAACTCTTATCGGTTTTGATAAGCTGACGCACCTTCATCAGAGCAAGTGAGCACGCCAAATATCCTAACACCAGATTTCTCTAAGTCAAGAAGCTTCTGTGTGCTTTTCGCTCCTTCAAATGTCAACAGAATCGGTGCTCTGCCAATCCCTCTTTTGTAATTCTCTATTATTTTCGCGTTGACTGGGCATTTAAAGTGTGGATCAATAATAACTGGCGTAGGTTGATCTTCTAATGCTGCCAAACTGGGTATTCTTGCTATAGCTCGCTCAGAACACCTTATCAAAAGGTAAAGACATGCTCACCATTTAAACCAGGATTATCGTTAAGGAGGGTACCACTACCGACTATAATAGCATCTGAGAGTAATCGCAGGCTATAAATTCTTAGTTATCGCGTCTAAAGTGGGTTATAACATACCTATGCGTCATAGCCATACTTTCGTCGCAGGATAATCGTATTTGCTTTCCTTCTTTACCTGCTATACATGCATCAAGTGATTGAGCGTAGGTTAGTATGATTTCCATATCCTCATCCTTGTTTTTTAAATTGTTCGTCAGAAATTCCGACATGAACGCTCGTTATCTAGATACAACGATATGAATGTTCTAATATACGATGGACCTGGTACATCACCGACGAGTGTCAGACGTTTACAGCAAGAAATGGTGACAAATTTAGTCGATAAATACTCAATACAGCTCGTTAGTCCTGAAATACTAGCGAACGAACCATGGGAAGAGCACACCCGGGCTATAGTCATACCAGGAGGTCGTGATTTACCTTATTTGCAATGCCTGAATGGAAAAGCTATGCGCAAGATTAAAGAATACGTCAATAACGGTGGTAAATACTTCGGCGTATGTGCAGGAGCATATTTCGCATGCAGATCTATCGAATTCGCAAAAAATGATCCACAATTGGCTATAATAGGTGACCGACCACTCAAATTCGTAGATGGCGTCGCTGTTGGTCCTACATTCGACGGATTCGAGTATAACTCTGAAAACGGTGCTCATTTGGTACAACTAAATTACAACGATGGTAGTAGTGGAGGATGTTATCTAAATGGAGGCTGTTCCTTTAATGTAGACCCTGCAAAAGGTGAAGTGTTGGCGAGGTATGCCCACGATGGTTCTATTGCCGCTTATCACATTGGAGATGTCGTCGTTACCGGTCTGCATCCCGAGTTTAGCATTAGAGCTCTGCCAGCCTCTATGCTGGTTGTAAATGAGGATCCGAAATCTGTTGCTAAGATGGAACAGGCACGCATCAACCATTTTCGTAAGCTTTTAGGCGCTCTCAAGCTTGAGTTGAGTCCTATTGAGGAAAGCAAGCCAAAAGGACTCCTCCCTTTGGTGCTCACATCTAGCAATGCGGCTACTTTGACCACTTTCGTTGAAGATCTCACAGATAAGGCCGATATTAGTGAGGAACCCAAGCCGTTCAACAATGAAAGCGGGAACGATTCCATTGTTTTGCATTCCAGCGGTGGATATACCTTGCGTGCTGAGTGTGATAGGATCGCACACGCTCATCAAGACCCTGACATTGATTTCAATAAAATTACCAAACACATTTACGTGTTTGATCAAGCAAATGGTATACCAACCTCTAAGTTCAACATCGCTGCATATCTATCTGAATTGCGCTCGGAATATGTTGGTCGTTTATTACTTTATGGCGAAGCTGTGACGAGCACACAGACTATGCTAGATAAGTGGGTGATCACTAGCCACAACGCTTTTTATCTTACCCTTCATAGGAATACACAACTTCTTAAGAAATGTCCTGATGGTTTACTTGCTCTGGCGTCTCACCAGCTGGCTGGAAGGGGCAGGGGCAAGAATGCTTGGGTGAGCAGCTCAGGATGTTTGCAATTCAGTCTAGTCTTGCGTCTCGATGCTAGTAAAGCTGCCTATGTAGTTTTTGTACAGTACTTAGTCGGTTTGGCTATCATACAGGCACTCAAATCGCACACTAAGGACTTGGATATCAGTCTTAAGTGGCCTAATGATATTTACGCTCGCAAGGATGGAAAGCTCCTCAAAATAGGTGGTATACTTATCAACTCACAGTTTATTGATGGCCAGTTTGTTCTTGTTGTGGGCGCTGGTGTCAATATCAACAACAGTCATCCAACGACATGCATTAATGACCTTCTTAAGGATAAGATAAGCATTGAAACTGCTATGGCATTGATTGCTGGTCGATTAGAGAAGATGTGGAGTGTGTTCAGCCGTACTGGCTTTGGAGAGTATCTTGATGATTACTATGAAGCATGGCTGCACAGGTGAGTATGCTTATTTTAATATGATTCCAATGTTGAATATGCTTCCAGCGATCAAGAAATAACTATCGAAGATACGAAACAAATGGTCAGAGTGGCTGGTATCACACTCGACCACGGCTATTTGCGTACATACCCTGATATGCGTTGCAAGAGAACACCTCGTGATCAACTTTACCAACCAGTGGATCTGCAACCAGATGGAAACTCCTTCGACATGCTAGCCGGATTGATAAAAGTAAAAAAGTAAAAAAGTAAAAAAAGTAAAAGTAATCAAATGCATATTATAAATAATATCTAGTTTCTTCTCTGCTTCTTGTTGCCTTGTTGAAAGTTTCCACCCTTGCGTTTGTTGTTTGGCTTACCGCCTTCTCTGTGTCTTGTAAGTACAGCTTGAGCCATGTTCTTGGCGTTTTCGAGGTAGTACTTGTTCTCCTCTTCTTGAGTTGGTCTAGTGAATGATACTGAGACGTCGTTAACCTTAACATTTTCGTTGAGCTTGTTGATATCTTCGTCTTCAACCTTTCTCTTGAATCCAGACATACCAGACTTCTTCTCATCATCGACAATAACGAAAGATGGTTCGATATGTTGCTTCATTGATGATTTAATATCACGGAAGACCATATCGCCTAATGAGGACTCAGATGACCATTTCAAGACTGAACCAGATGTGAATTGAAGGAGAGATTCGTCGAATTGACCGTTCTCTTTGTTGATTTCGATCTCCTTACCCATGAGCATCATTGTGAGTGGTCTGTCGGCCTTCTCAGCGTCCCTTGTCTTCTTGTTCTCCTCCTTGAATGCATTGAAGTGTCCTTTACCTTGCTTCTTGTTGTTGCTACCTGGTGTGATACCCTTTTCCTTACATTTCATCTCAACGTAGGCCTCTTTAGACATAGTGAGGAGTTCGGTCTCGCCGTATTTACGTTGTTCTTGAGGTAATTCCAAGAAACGCTTAGCATCATCAACGTTATCAAATTCAACGAAAACTGAGTTCTTAAATTTCTTCTTCTCATCTCTACGAAGTCTAACTGCGTTGATTTTACCGAAAGCAGCAAAGTATTTCTCAAGTTCAACTTGAGTGTTCTCTGACTCGTCTGGGAAACCCTTAGCGTAGATTGATCTGCTTTCACGATCTACTACTGGTTTAACTTGTTCTACGCGCTTAACGTTAACGCCGTCTTCGCTCACGGCGAGTTTATCAGATTGACGAAGAATTTCTGCGACTTTTTCAACACCGCCAGCTTTCTCTACTGGTTCTCTCATTCTCTTAAATGATGAAATAGTGGCTATAGGTACGTATCCCTCTGGGTTCTTCTTTGTGAGAGACCATAAAAACTTATCAAATGGTAAGTTTGTATCAGCGAAGTAGAATTCTACTTGTTTAAGAATTTGTCCTTCTGGTGTTTCCTTTAAATTAGTTAGTATGGCGTTTTATTTTCTACTCTTTTGCTCACTTCTACAGCTGAAGTCATGATGGTGTCAGAGAAGAGAGAAGATAATCTGAATGGTATATATGCTATATATTACAAACATCTATTATTATTATAACTATATGGGTTCTCATGCATTGGTTTCGTCGGTACTGCTTTTTGACTGAATGTTGGTGTAGTTTTGCTGAAGGACGTATATTGTGAAGCGGGTATGTATCCAGCTTTGTCTGGTGTTTTTAGCTGCTGTATTGGTTCATAGAGGTTTAGATCCTCATTCTTTGTCCAGTATAGATCATTTGGTGGGGGTACCGACTGAATATTTTATCAGATGATAGCTAGATTGTATTATAAAACTCACTGATGTATTTGGTAAGTTAGACATGATGTATAGTTAAGGTTAAAAGACGATTAAAGCCTGTTTTATAGCTCTATCAGCTTGTACCTGGACGACATAGCAAATTTGTCTGTATAAGTGCCGTGCTATGTTGTCTGATGAGCTATTAGTTACTTAGCGAGGGGTAAATTACCCGAGAGTTTCACTTTTATCTTAGTAACTCTATGAGAGTTTAGATGTCCCTTTGTTAGCAAATTTTCTAGTATTCTCGGTTATATTTATTATTATAGTTCTGTATATTAAAGCTATTATTTAAATTAATCTATCAATCTACTCTAAAATGCTATGTTAAAATGCGTCATAGCAATTTAAGGTGCGGATAAACTATAATAAAGCTGTGCAGATGGAAATACGCTCAACTAGTCCGAAAGTATATGAAAATATAGTATCATAATATAAAATACCACGATATACCTCTTCTATCCCTACGACGATGGTATTCGGCCTGAAATCGAAAGATCACGCCAATACAGAGCAAGAAGGCGAAGCTAATGAAGCAAAATATCAACAAGACGTCAGCGAATTAGAGAATGAACTCAAGCAATCGGAGAAAGCTGGCGGTAAAGTCCACACTTTCGACCCAAATGACGATCCAAGTAGCAAAAAGAAAGCTGCAGTAAAAAGTGGCGCTGCACCTGATACGGGGAACAAGGAAACTGAGGGTACAGCTTTGGATTTGGATGATGAAGATAACTCCGTCGAAATGAGTGCAACGACGACGCTTGACGACGCAGCAAAAGCTACAAACGATGCAGCTGAGAAAGGCGACGCAAAGGAGGATGAATTACCTGCGAAATCAACCGAGAAAACTCCAGACGATGACATTCCAGGCAAAATTCCTCCCTGGTACAAAGTCGGTCATAAGATGTCACTCACTGCACTCGACACTAACTTGAACGATGATGTTGAATTGAATAGATTGGCAACTAGATTCTTTGGTAAATGGTACATGAACTCAGGTGTCCTTATCCTCTCAATGATTCTCACGATCGTTATCGGAAAGTTCAATTTAGGTTTCGGTTGGGTCTTACTCGTTCTCGCCGGTGCAAGCACGTTCTATAATATACATATGGTCCGTATGAAGCGCAACATCAAGGATGATATCAGCAGGGAACTCTCCATCAACCGTCTCGAAAGTCAACATGAATCTGCTGAATGGGTGAACAGTTTCTTGGATAGATTTTGGCTTATCTATGAGCCAGTGCTAAGTGCAACGATCGTTAGCTCAGTTGATCAGGTTCTCAGTCAAAATACACCAGGTTTCCTCGATTCAATTCGTATGACTCAATTTACACTTGGTAACAAAGCTCCTGATATCGAGTACGTTAAGACCTGGCCAAATGCTGGTAATGGTCTCATTCAAATGGATTGGAGAGTCGCTTTCAAACCATCTGATAAGTCGAACATCACTCCAAATGAGGCCAAAAAGCAAGTCAATCCAAAGATCGTCTTGGCTGTCAGAGTAGGTAAAGGTGTTGTCGGAAAAGCCCTCCCTATCCTTCTTGAAGATATGAATTTTAGTGGTTACATGAGAATAAAGTTCACATTGGATAAGGATTTCCCATTCATCAAACTTGTCGGTGTTAGTTTCCTTGAACGCCCTAAATTCGACTATGTATTGAAACCTATCGGTGGTGATACCTTTGGATTTGATGTTGGTAATGTACGTATGATGTTTGATTCGGGATTTATACTAATACAGCACCAAATAGATTCCAGGATTGAGTGCGTTCATTACAGGCCAAGTACACTCTAATATGGGACCAATGATGTACCATCCAAACGAATTCACTCTCAACATCAAGGAAATTCTCGCTGGAACACCAATGGATGCCGCTGTCGGTGTGATCAAGGTTGAAATTAACTCAGCTCGTCACCTCAAGACATCTAAACTTGGCGGTGGAAAACCAGATCCATATGTTTCATTCAACATTGGCGCTAACGTTGATATTGACAGAACCGCAACAATACAGAATGCATCTGAGCCAAGCTGGAATGAAGTCAAGTACCTTTTGCTGACAAACTTGAATGACATGCTTATTATGAACGTCATGGATTTCAATGATCATAGGAAAGACAGTGATATCGGTATGGCATCATTCGATCTCGCAACACTTAATGAGGAGAGAAATAGCAAGGACTCAAATGCCAAGATTATCTACGATGGAAAGGAACATGGTTTGCTCGACTATGGTATTCACTTCTTCCCCGTCCTTGAACCATCGAAGGATGAGGAAGGAAATGTCATCCCTCCACCAGATCTTCCAAGTGGTGTTGTTAGAGTTTCAATAACACAGGCGCAAGATCTCGATAGCAGTGGGTCAATCTTTAATGGAAACATATCTCCATATGCAGTTCTCAGAGTCGGTAAAAAGCAAATACACAAGACACAGACAATGAAGCAAACCAAAAATCCAAATTGGGGTAATAACAAAGAATACCTCGTCAAGAATAAGAACAAAAGTATGGTATCTGTTGAAGTATTTGATGACAAGGATTTCGCAACCAATACTTCACTTGGTACAGTAACAGTAAGCTTGACTGACTTGCTTACTGCTAAGGAGAGACAAATTGACTGGTTCAACTTATCTAACGTTAAATGTGGTAGAATAAAGATTGAGGCTACATTCAAACCAATCGATTTTAACAATTGATGTAATTACAACAAAAAAGAAGCGAAGGAAAACATTCTATTTAATGAACAATGCACGTATTATACTTTTCTACTCCTAGATTTTTTCTTTACGACTTTGCTAATACTTCCACTCTCAATTGCTGTTGGTTCGAGATTTTGCGTGCTGGCTGATTTGAGTGATGACGTCCCACTTGAAGTTTTAGGGTAGAAGAGTGGTGTACTGTTACCACTACTGGCATTCTCATCAATATCAAGGTTCACAACTGGGACATCGTCTAAGTCATCCGAATCTGTTCCTTTATCTTTCTTGGATTTTATATAATATGGGTTGGCATCTCGTTCAGCTTTGAGTGCAGCTTTACGTCTCTTTCTTTCAGCCCTCTCTTCTGGTGTTTCTTGACGTAGCTTTGTACTGTGACGGCGCTCCTCTTTATTCTCCTGTGGTTGTATTTCTGGTTCGTCATCTGTGTAGGATTCTTCATCGATATTGACAAAAAGTGGCACGTTGAGATCAAATTTCACCATCTCTTCGTCCTCTTTCACTTCTAATGCTTTGTTGAAATAAATGCTACTAACGAGGTATAGTGATTTCGGACATTCGTTGCTATCTTGATCTTTTATAAGATCACCATAAACGACATTGAGGAGATTGAGCAATTGTCTTGCGCGCTCCTTTACTTCTACATCTGCGATCGTAGTGTATGCAATAATTCCATCTCTTGTTTCACTCGTCAAGTTTGTCAATTCGGTCAATTTCGTCTGACGATCCCTAATATCATCTTCCCAGCCATTTGCAACAAGCATTGCATGTATACCATACACTCGAGCAATGGAAATGACTGTCAAACCCATCACGAAATGAGATGTTTCAAGGAATTTAGGATGTATCAATTGCTGTATTGTAGGTTGAGCGGCTTCTAGAAACCTATGAAATTGTCAGATAAATCAAACTGAGAAGACGTTACTTGCATAGCATATTCACCAGTAATATATACAGCAGCAGGAAGTAAATCAGAAACCATACTAACTGGTATATCTGTTTCGACATATTCAACTAGCATATCCTGCATTACATTCGTAGCGTATTGGCGTGTTTGTGGATAATTTACGGCAATATCAACCAAAAGTTGTGAAAATTCCTCACCCAATTCATCGATACCTTCAGAACCTCTCGACGGTGGTACAACTTTTGCAAGTTGCATAATAACATTAATAAGCCAACTAAACGATGGTATGTTGGTATAATGGTCTTTTTTGCAAATCTTTATTATCTCCTGCGCGAGTTGGCGAATGTAGTTTTTTGGTGTGGACTTCGTGCCACCGGTTAAGGCATCCTTCGCACTCGTTTGTGTTGGTAAGAGTTGCTCAAAAAGTTTGTTCATTACCCGTTCCACGTTGCTCTTCGTTACTATCGCACTTAGTATTTCAAGACCGCGAAGGCGAATCAGAGTGTCGACATCATCAAGTGTGCTCAACAGTGCGTCTTCATGTTCATAAAGCAGGTGGGCATGATGGGGTACCATCTGGGCAATTGCTAATAGCGAGACATACTTAACTGCTTGGGATATTAGAAGTTAAGCGATACAGTGGAAATAACACCCACGATTCTGATCCTCCTCATCCAGAAATTGGGTAAGTTTCTCGAGGCACTTCTCAGCTAGGTCACCAGTTGATAACATTCCACCGATGATGCAGGTCAGGACGCATTCATAAAGAACACTAACTGCAGTAGTATTTTCGATCAGTTCATTTATCGGACTGAATAGCTTCCTCTGTAGACGTGGCTCATATGGTAAAAGAGTAGCGAACAACTTGAGTACTTTGATAACAAGCCAATTGTTTGTCGATGATGTCAGTAAGCGGTATAACGAGGGAGCGAAATGGAGACATTGAGTTGGGTAGCTAGTTGCTAATTCTGTTATCGCCGATACGGTTGCCACTATGACTCCCGGATCCTGATCGTTTAATCTCTCTCTAAGGCGTTTTTTGAAATCGGCCAATTCGAAATCATTTGTTAAAGTGATTGATTTGAGAATAGCAGCGACGGATTTTTGACGTACTGATGGTTTTGTATGTGTGGTAAGTCTACTTATATCGCTAGCCAAGTCGACGGATAACTCAGGGGTTGCTATACTCGTAAATGACGTTAATGCTAGTCCGGGCTCAGATTGAAGATCTTTCTTAAGTAAGTTTGGCATGAGCATCATAACTTCAGTTTGGCTATTGAAAGACTGATTGGCTGCTAAATAACCGATTGCTTTCAGGTGTGCTTTCGATGATGATGCAGTTTCTATGATAGGGAAAGCGGACTTTTAGAGATGGTGAGATGAATCTATATGTAAGTGATAGTCTCACCCAGGAGATATCGAATCCAAGCATTTCAATCTGTGGTAGATTGTTAATGAGGTATTACATGAGAGATGAACGAACATAGGTCAATTTCAAGATTGCGGTTGATTTGATATCGATATCAGAATTCCTAATCTCTACCTTTATCTCATCTAAAACGCTTTCTATAAATTTCCTCTCATCGTCCTTGTTAGCTCGTAATCCCTGAGAGATGGGAGATGAGATGGTGTAGATAGAGGGTAAATAAATAAAATACCTTTATAAAACCGGATAGTTGCTAATAAAATGGTAAGTTATTCATAAATTTTTAATTTAATCTACCCACTTGGATGAAGAGCATCAAGGTGTCATTCTCGTCATTCTACCATCATCTATGGAAGTACCAAGCTATACGCTCATAAATTATGAAATTACAGAGATACCGACAACTCAAGAGCTCAGGCAGGGCTTAGAGAAAGGTAGCGATCAGATAAAGCTTGATACGCTTAAGAAGATCATCCTACTCACTCTAAACGGTCAATCACAGCCAGATTTATTAATGCCAATCATACAATCTATCCTTCCTAATAAGAACAAGCATCTGAAGAAGTTGTTGCACTTTTATTGGGAGATCTGTCCAAAGTATGATGAACAGAACAAGCTCAAACAGGAAATGATCTTGGTTTGTAACGCTATAAGAAATGATTTACAACACCCAAATGAGTTCATTAGAGGTTCTACTTTAAGATTCTTACAAAAGATCACGGACTATGAACTCCTAGAGCCATTATTACCAACTGTTAGAACTTGCTTGGAGCATAGACACTCTTACGTTAGAAAGAACGCAGTTTTCGCTATTTGGTCTATTTACAACAAATTCGAATATTTGGTACCAGACGCAGCTGAGCTGTTACAAGCATTTTTAGTCGCGGAATCTGACAACAACTGTAAAAGAAATGCTTTTGTCGCTTTAGCAAACATTTCAACTCCAATCGCCTTGGAATATTTAGAGAATTTCAGAGATAACCTCTTATCGTTTGATGAGCTGTTACAATTGAGTTTGATCGAATTGATTAGAAATGACAAGGATATCAACGCCAACAGGGCTTTATATTTGAATTTTATCTCTCAATTGTTAGAGTCAAGTCATTACTCCGTTAAATATGACGCTGCTATCACCCTGACAGTTCTTACAAACAACTCATTAGCTGTAAAGTGTGAGTGGAATATTCCTTCTAATATGAACACCCGTCTAACATAATCATAGCCGCAGCAGCTGCTTTCATTAACATCATCCTCAACGTCTCTGACAACAACGTTAAACTCATTGTTTTGGCTAGATTATCAGAAATGTTGAGCACCAATCCAAACCTCTTGGATACCCTTGTTTTGGACATTTTGAACGTCTTATCTGCCCCTGATTTACAAGTAAAGAAGAAGGTTATTAAAATCATTTTGGAAATGATCAACTCACGCAACGTTGATCAAATTGTTGATTACTTGAAAAATGAACTCTTGAAGACAACTTCATCCCAAGACTTTGAGAGAAATGTTGAATACCGTCAATTGCTTATTCAATCAATTCACACAATCTCTATCAAATACTCACAAGTTGCTTCATCAGTTGTTGACACCTTGATGAGATTCTTAGGTGACTCAAACAACCCATCAGCTGTAGATGTTATCTCTTTCGTCAGACAAGTCGTCGAGAAGTTCCCTTCATTACGTCAAACAATTATTAAACGATTATTTGAAACTTTCTCTGATGTCAAATCTGGGAAGGTATTTAGAGGTGCTCTCTGGATAATCGGTGAATATTGTGAGCAAACTGATGATATAAAGATGGCTTTCGAGAAGGTCAGATTAGTTATTGGTTCAATACCAATTTTGGCAGCTGAACAAAAAGCTTACGATGAGCAAGATTATCAAAATACAAACGAAGAAAATGGACAAGAGCAGTTAATCACAACCACAAAGGTTCTTGCTGATGGTACATACGCAACTGAGACTAAGGTGTCAAGCGCCGAAGATGCATCGAGGTTAGCTGCAGTTAAAGCAGCCAGCAAGCCACCACTTAGAGGTTTGATTCTCAATGGTGACTTCTACACTGCTAGTGTTCTGGCGTCAACACTCACAAAATTGGTTATGAGATTGTCAACCAACCAGAATTTGGAAGCTAATGAACTCAATTCGATCAAAGCTGAAGCGATGCTTATAATGACTTCTATCATACGAGTTGGACAGTCAAAGTTCGTTTCTACACAAATTGATGAAGATAGTGCAGAGCGTATTCTTAGTTGTGTGCAGGCATTAGCTGACGAGGCTGCATCAAACTCCTTCAAGGACATTTTCCTCAATGATACAAAAGCAGCCTACTCAAAGATGATACACATTGAAGAAGAGAAAGTCAAAGAGAAGAATATCAAGGATTCAAAGGTTGTTAAAGTCCAACCAGATGATTTGATTGCTTTCCGTCAATTTAAGAAGAAGACAGTAGATTTAGACACAAAAGAATTCGAGTTAGATCTCACGAGGGCGACAGGAGCTGATGAGTTAAAGGACGATTTCATGTCCAAGTTGCAACGTATTGTTCAATTGACTGGATTCAGTGATACAATTTATGCTGAAGCCTACGTTAACATCCACCAATTTGATATCATCCTTGACGTCTTGATTGTCAACCAAACTGGTAACACTATGCAGAATCTTAACATCGAATTTGCAACATTAGGTGATTTGAAGCTCGTAGAGCGTCCATCAACATTAACCCTCGGTCCTCATGCATTCCACAACGTAAAAGCAACAGTCAAGGTTAGTTCAACTGAAACTGGTGTCATCTTTGGTAACATTGGCTACGATGGACCTGGTGCTGCTGAATCAACTAATATCGTACTTAACGATATACACGTCGATATTATGGATTATATCAAACCAGCTTACTGCAACGAAGCACAATTTAGATCGATGTGGAGTGAATTCGAATGGGAGAACAAAGTACATGTCAATACCTCTATATCCGACTTGCGTCTTTATTTGAAGCATATTATGAAGTCTACCAACATGTCTTGCCTTACTCCAGAAGCTAGCATGAGCGGAGAATGTGGTTTCCTCTCTGCGAATATGTACGCTAGATCTGTATTCGGTGAGGATGCACTCGCCAATATCTCACTCGAAAAGAATGAAGAAGGTGTCAACGATGGTGTCATACAAGGACATGTGAGAATTAGATCCAAAACACAAGGTATTGCTTTATCCCTTGGTGACAAAGTGAGTGTACTCTCTTCTTATTCGTTTGTTTCATTTGCTGACCGGGATTTCAGATTTCATTAGCTCAGAAATCACCAATTGAGTGAAGAAAGAATAAACTAAAATGATTGAATGATTTACTTATGTTAATTCATTTTTCTTTTTCATTTACATTCATGATGTCACGTTTTGCGAGACAACTGTCAACTAGTGCACGAACAAGTGGGTAGCTATCGGTGTGTGAGAGTGGTTGTTGATTGAAGCTCTAGTGTCCTCTTCATTCAAAGTAACTTCAACACCAAACGGTGGGTATTTTCGGCATGCTTCCACTAAAAGCTCATTCGATCGTAGCACCATCAGCTGTAGGACCATACGTACAAGCTATCACCCACAACGGCGTTGTTTATGCCTCAGGCTGTATCCCATTGGATCCACAATCGATGACTATCGTCGGTGAGGGCAGCATCGAACCACAAGCTGTGAGTAAGACTGGGCTCAAGAGACACAACTAAGAACAACGCAGACACAAGTACTCAAGAACCTCAAGAATGTCTTAGAAGCATCCGGCTCATCGATGCAGGATGTCATGAAGACAACATGTCTTCTCAAGAACATGGAGGATTTCGTTGCTGTATGTTTCTAACACTCGAATCTTCACAACTAACAAAAGCAGTTCAACAAGGTCTACGAGGGTGCATTCGCACCACACAAGCCAGCTAGAAGTTGCTTCGAAGTCGCTCGTCTGCCAAAGGATGTTTTGGTAGAAGTTGAAGCAATCGCAGCTGTAAAGAACTAAAACGTTTGATTCATGATCTAGATTGGAATACATCCTTCAGGTTTGCTGTCGCACTCTCTAATTCCTTCTGCATGTATTTCCCTTTCTTCTCGAGTGCGACTATGTCTTCAGATATGCTTCTCTCCTGTTTAGAAAGATCGTCCATCAATGTCGGCCTCTCGACAGCCATGAACCTGTCTTCTGTTAGTTTAGTAGGATGATTACTGATTACGCACATCTTGCCAACACCATTGTAGAGCCCACCTCTGCCGTCATCTGGTACAGTCTGCAATTCTGCTCTTGTGAGTTCAATCAGACGCTTCTCACGCGTCCGGGACGTCAATTGGAGTTTGACTGATCGCAGAGCTTTCTCTGCGTTGACCGCCTGTTGTTGCATGCTTATAAGAACCTTTGGTGTACTGTCAGTCTATCGTTTGTTTTTCTTTCTCAATCCAATACCTTCTGCAACGCCTCGTCATTTTGGACACTCATGGCGGAAGTTAAAGAGTGAAATGCCAATTTGCGTAAACTGTAGACAGTATTTAGAAAACGTAGCGACTATCTATTCATTCACTGATTCACGTATCGAACTCTGCGTGGGTAGACCAACAATCGTCGTCACATTCTCATATCATATCAGCCAGCCTGTTCTAATCTCTCAGATGTTTATATTGGCAGTAGGAATCTATCCCTGCTCTCAGATTTAGTATTGCTTAAACCCCAGGTTCTCCGTCACCTTCTATATAATCGTAGAGCTGAACCGGCGCAATCTGAACGTTTTAGATCCCTTAACCCGGGATATAGGCATAATAATGTCAATACTACGACTCACTTGGTCAAGTTAGGTGGTATTCTCGTCATCGCAGACGCTTTTGTCAGCTGGGTACACTTTAGTGCGTGTCTTGCTTTATGAATCGCGTTTTGCTTATCTCTTTAGGAGCGGATGGGATGAGCTTTATGAAGTTGCTTATAGCAGCTACTTTGGATGCCTTGAGCTATCATATTGCTGTCATATTCGCCGTGAGGATCCTCACAGTTCGTTCCGTCAGTAATCTTCAGATTAGTTTAGCCATATTTTACTCGAGCTTTGCAAAGTTGTTCCTCCTTCTTTTGCTCATCATCGCCGATCCTGTGCCTCAATCTAGCAGTACAGTTAGCAATGTCCCGGACAACTTCCTTACAGGTATGCACCTCACAGACGATAACAGGAAGGCAGTGTGGAATGTTTACACTTCTCTCGATGATGACAGGATCGATCGTCCTTGGATAGTCAATACTGTTGTTGGTGGCATGTCTGCTGGCTTCGGTTTGAGAGGTGAGCACAGGGCTTTTGGCGAAACGTCCTAACTCTATCACAGTACTGCTTAACACACCACCCATCACTTCCACAATCATAATTCTCTCTGGCTGGATAGCCCGCTCAGTGACTTTGGAATTATTGCATATGTATTTTTAGTAAATTGTATCTTAGTCTACATTATCATCGTTGTCATTCCCGCGGTTAAGTCCAATCATACGGCTCATCCTCTCAACAAGACTTGGATCTGACTGTTCTGTATCGCTTTCTTCTTCACTTTCACTCTCCTCAGATGGTTCATCCTCACCAAACCCGCCAGGCATACCGCCCATACCTGCCTGTTGGAGCTCATTTATTTGGTCTTCGAGTACGACGCGCATGTTAGGGTCCATCCTACCAAGATCATTCACATTAAATTCCCCTCTGAGGAGACTCTCGATAAATGACATAATTCCGCCTGCAGCTGGACCCGCACTGTCGCTAGGGCCACCTCTCGTCCTTACACCAGTAAAGTATGCATCATTATATCCGCTAGCACTCGTCGACGGTCTTACCGGGTCGAATGCATCACCTTCTGAGAACACCTGTGGGATATCCTGCTTGGCGTCCGTCAAATTGTTTATAATTACGTGACGTGCAACGTTCTCTGGGAATTTGTATACTTTGAGACTCTTCCTTATTATGTTTTGCTCTGCCTTCTTCACTTGTTCTTCTCTCGTCATTTCAAGGTTATCGATTGCTCGGTTAATGATCTCTTGCAGAGGTATGTTAGGATCACGGTAGAGTGGATGACTATGAGCATAGTAGACCTTAGCCAATGCGATATTACGGGCGTGGTATGCTCCGGCATGTTTAGCGTAATGTTCTTCATTGGCTTTGATAGTCTGGTTGATCTTCTCGTTACGGGATTGTGAGAGGGTGATTAAACCGTTATCCCGCAGCTGTTCTAAGACTATAGGATGTTCACTGATTGCTTCTTCGAATGCATTTACTGTCTCGTCGAGCTGCTTGCTTGGCTTTTCTTTATAATAGACAGCCAAGGCTTTAGCATAAGCCACACCAGGTAGTATCGCACAGTCGACAACACCACTGTTGGTGGTGTTGTTATACGGCCATTCCTTCGCCAATCTGATTATCCAGTCATGTTGACCAGCCTTGACAGCGAGGAAATCTATCCAGTTGAGCGCACCATATGGATCGGTGAGTGGATCCAACGAGAGCATAAGCTTGGCATATTCGAACGCCGTCCTCCAACATCCTTTCATACACAAATGATTGATCAGTCTTGTCAAGGCGAGCCAGATTGAACGGTTTTCCACCCTGTCGAAATCTAATCTACATTGACCGGAGAGAACGTTAAAGTTTGTTGGAAAGGCTCTTTCAATAGCGAAAAGTGCCCTCTCTGTGAAGTCGGATGCGTTAGAGTTGTCTCCCTGCATTCTGAACACTTCTGAAACTTGATTGAGAGTGTCAACGTGATATGGGTAAACTTGCAAGAGTGCCATAAGTGTGTTAGGATCAAAGCTGCCTGTTGCATCCAAGAATTGACGTTGTACGCTCTTATATTGTGGTTCGTGTACAAATGTCCACCAATTACCATCACCGCTATTTCCAGATCCGCCCAAATTGAATGAGTCATCTAAGTTGTGTCTCACACGCCAATCTTTCATCTCATCCAATGTGAGTGTGCGCATACCTATACCGTCTAGCTTGGCAACCGTCGGTGGTGGCCATGTCGGCTTGTATTTCGCAAGATGTGAACGTGGCATAGCTTTCATGAATGCCGCTTGAGCGCGCTGGTTGCGTCCCTGTCTACCCATACCATAGCTATTCATTGATGTCGCAGATGAGACAACTTTAGCACCAAACATTTTCTTCATTTCTGCTGAAGCATCGAGCTGTTTAGGATCTATGCCTAGGAACGCCTTAAGTGTGCTTATCGTGGAGTTTTGCTTTGTATCTGATGTCTGAGTAGTTTGCTGTTGTTCTGGATATCTTTAATGTTGTCAATAAATGCTGCATGAAATAAAGGACACTAACTTAATGTTCAGTTCCTGCAACGCTTGATCAATTTCGTTAAGTCCTCTCTGCTTCTTTCTCGCTAATTTTGCTTGTCTGTTGCTAGTGTAAGTCTTATCGTCGACTGGCTGCTGAGGTGGCTGTGCAGATGCTGCCTGTTGCACACCTTTACTCTTCTTCTTCTTTTTATTCTTGTTTTTCTATTCTGCGTTAGTCTTTGTTAATTGCTGGTGGCGCACTCATACCTTCTTCGCGGCAGGTGCTGTAGGCGTCAGAGTAGAGGCATCCTCTTCTTCTTCGCCTTCTTCTTCCTCATCCTCACTATTGTTGTCTTCTTCTGCCCCCAAAGCTGCGAATGGATTGCCTACTTTACTTGGCTTCTCTTCTGCAACTTCATCTTCCGGAGTTTCCAGATCTGGTGTAGACGATTTCAACGATTCGAGCTCTCTCTGTTGTCGCAGTCTGCGTGCGTTTGACATGCTCTTGGTCGTAGGTTATAAAGAGAATATTACGTCACATTTACAATTCATAAAAGGAAGCTTTGCATGTATAAAACTGTTATATGATATCTCCACCTAGTCATTAACCTTCACGTTGTCTTGGTGCAGCTCTCAAGATCGTATCAACTCTCAACAACATTTCGGTTGCCTCTGAAGCAGATGATACGACTTGCTTCTTCAATTTATAGGACTCTGTAACACCCAACTCCTTCATGTCTCCAACTTCACCCTTGACCATGTCCAAACCAGCCTTGTTGTCACCGTCATAGTGCTTAGCACGTAATTTTGCGACAAGTTCAGCGGAGTCGTAACCAGCATTGTCAGCGAGAATGGTTGGCATTTGTAAGAGTGCTTTAGCGAAAGCTTCAGTTGCAATCGCTTTCTTTCCTGCTGTCTTACGTGCTTCCGCGTCGACGGCCTTTGCCATGAGAGTTTCGGCACATCCACCACCCAATACTGTTCTTGTTTCTTTGACAGTTTGTGACAGTACGGAGAGAGCATCGTGAAGGGATCTCTCAGCTTCATCGATCATTTGGGATGTTGCACCACGCAATACGATGGTGCAAGCTTCACCAGCTTTAACGCCAGAGAATTTAATTAACTGGTTGTATTAGTTAGTGAGGAAGACTTCAATTTAATAGACACTTACGGTATCTTCACCAATCATAATTTCCTCAATAAGATCACATTCACCAAGCTTGACTTGGTCTGGGTTCTCGAATGTACTTGCGATTTCACCACCGGTTACCAAAGCTAAACGCTCGACACCTTCAAAGTCAGCATGCTCAATTGAGGTAATGCCAGCCTCTGCGAACAAGCTTTCTGGGTAGTTGTAGATCAATTGACGGTTAACAAAAGTGTTGATTCCGTGTGATTTTATACGTTGTACCTTTGCCTTCATCTTTTCACGCTCAGCTCTTTCTAAGTCAGCGAGTTTACCAGTTGAATCGACCTTTACTTGTGCACCGAAAATTTTGATCTTATCAGTGTCCATTGAGGTGTTACCGATGAGAATTTTCGCGTTTTCGACTCTCTTTGGACAGTTTGTGCCTATCTTCTTATCGAGAATGAAACCTTCATCGAGGTAACTGTCTGTGAGCTTACCACCAACCTTCTTGATGACTTGGATGTTCTCCAAGTTTGTGCTGCCCTTCAATCTGAGTACAGCGTCGACAGCTAAGTTTGCGAAATAGTCCTTGTCTTGTGAGAGAACCTTTGATGAAAGTGTTGTTCTGGCGATGTTGAAGAGGTCAGTTCTGAAAGCCTCGAGCCTGGCTGAGTTGTCGACAGCGGCGGATTCCAAAGCTTGCAAAGCTGCTTTTGAGGCTATTCTGTAGCCATCAATGATAACTTGAGGGTGTGTCTTTGCGTTTACTAGTCTCTCAGCTTCTCTAAGCAATTCACCAGCCAAAACAGTAACAGAGGTAGTACCGTCACCGACCTCGTCGTCTTGTACCTTTGAGATGTTTACTAAGATCTTTGCAGCTGGATTGTCCAATGGAACAGACTTCAAGATTGTAGCACCGTCGTTTGTGACGGTAATGTTACCATCTGTGCCCGATTGGAGGATTTTGTTCATTCCCTTTGGACCGAGGGTTGATTTTACCTGTAGAGTATTAGATAAAGTGCTTGTAGTCGACTAGTAGACTGACCAAGTCAGCTAAGGCTGTAGCACCAACGAAGGTGGACAGACGAGCGTTCTCTCCACGCTCTTCTTGTGAGTCCCTTGAGAATATTGGTCTGTTCGCTTATTAGTAAATTCTATTTATTTGGGCTAGAAAACCTACTGTGACATTAACGTCGTCTCTTGAGAGAAGACTGTCGAATGGAATCCACAAAAATTGAAGAGAGAATAAAAGATTTAGAGCATAAATTAGATTTAGACGTTTTAGAGAGCCCATACGTCGATACTCTCATCTCTTCCTTACTCGACGACCGGGCTAGAGATGACGATTTGGTACTACAGGAGAAGCTTTTGATCTCACAGCTGGTGCGTTCCTTCTTGATCTCCTACCACCATCTTCTAACATATCTCCAGCTCTTCACCCACTTCTACAACGTCCCATCTCCCTCGAATTCACAGTTCAAACAGCTCATAGACTACAGAATCAGCAGGACAGATGATGGCTTGTTGACACAGCATCTCACACTCATACTCATCGAACTATTCAACCTCGAGCAGTTCCACTACAGCATAGACTCCGGCTCTTCCATCAGCTATCTTGATAATGTCGATGATCTTATCAGTCTGCACACTACCATCGTTGAACGTGTTTCAGACGCGTCATTGCTCCTCTCCTGGTCCTACATCCTATCTAAAATTACCCAGGCTCTTCAATCTTACGACAGCGATATACCCTCATCACATCAACAACTAGCTTCACTTTTATTACCTACCGACCAACCCCAGCCACTCTACCAGATCATATACAGTCAACTCCTCCAATCGCAGTTCCAATTATTCCAGAAAGTGAGCGATTTCACAAACTCACACGCCGTCTCCCGAGCATCTAGCTACAACTCACTCGCATACAAGTCTATCATCAAGGGTCTTGTCGATGCAACTCTCTCAATTGTACATCCATCCTTCGTCAATGACTTCGAGGGTATAGTTAGCTTGTTTACCTCCCTTCTCTCTTCTTCAACGACTTCAGTTTCAGCTCCCCTCGCTCACCAATTCTGGTCACAATATGACTCCCAGTTCCCTGCTTCCTTGATTTTGGATCTTTCTAGAGGTAGATGGCCACTTGACTTTTTCTCGCTCATCAATCTACTTCTCTCATTGACTGGTGTTTCACCATCAACAGCAGAGTGTGATGATGAGCAGCTCCAACTAGCTTCCGAGGCTTCAGATCGCGTTTTCTTATATTTTGCAAGTCTACCAACGTATACCACACTCTTCGACGGTCCTTCATCACCTGATGAATCTGACCCGCTCGTTCGGTCAACTAATGCTACAACTACACTCCCCGGATTGGACAAGCAGTTGCCGGAGAGCACAGTTGGTAGGCAACTCAGTCCGCTCAATCAGCAACCACCAGCTGTCATATGCTGGAATTTCACCCAAAGTCTGAGCGGTTGGAACATAATTGGAAGGTTACTCTCTGATTGGCTGTCTAGTTCTCGCTCTACGAACCACAAAAAAGCTCAAATGGTCGGTAATTTCTCACTCAAACCACTTTTTGATATCAATGACGAGAAGTACAACGAAGCGGTCTTGTCTTCTTTGAACTTAATCGGCAATGTTCTCAGTGGTAACCCAAATCTTGCACCATTGTTGATTGAAAATATTGGTGGCTCAACTGAAGAAGATGAGGAGCTTGATTTGGTAGCCGTTTTATTCGCAATTATTGACAAGTGTCTCTCAACACTTATCACACAACGTAACACCAGTGGAAATCTTTCTCAAATTGTCGCGTCCTCTATCAATATTCTCACATCACTCTTGCAATCATTCCCTGGACGCGTTTGGACCTTCCTTCGTGGCGGTACTAGCATTTTCTCTCCAGATACACCTATTCTCACCATCGAGAAGTCTGTCGGTACTTACAACATGCTGAGCGCATTGTTGTCACTCGCACATTCGCTCTTCACGGAATCACAACAGACTACCGCCAACGCTGATCCAGCTTTTAACAAGTTGAAGAGTGAAGTCTTATTAAAGATTGTCAGTTGGTCAATCAATGATGTTTGGATCGAACATGCCGATTGGCGTTATGTGCATCTCAGTGATAAGCTCAATATCAGCTTAACGCTGACAAAACTCTACGCGGATATTATCGAGGACACCACAACACTTCCAAGTTTGACGAATTTGATCAAGCAGCAATTATCGACTGATGCTACAGCCGCTACGTTGTGTCCATTAGTGTCGATATTGTCATCAAGTGGGGAGATTATTAATAAACTTTATATTGCTCGCAGAACACATGATGCATTTTTAGCAGAAAGCGTACTAGAAGCTTCATTAAAGTTGTCACAGCTTCTGTTAGTATCCGAAAACGAGGTCGCGGATGTTCAGCGCGAAGCTAGTCTCCTAAGAATTGTATTCTTTGACAGATCGGTCGCCTTAGCAGCCGGAGCATCATCAAGAGACGCCAAAAAGCGACACGAGTTGGTTGATATGTTGGCCTTCTACATCTCTTCAAAGGAATCGACCAAGACAATTTCACTCGAATCCACGCGTTTACTCACTATTTTATGCGCTGATACTATGCCTAGTTCATCATTGGCTGGATTCTTCGCCGATCCGCATAGTGAGTCCATGAATCATCTAAAAATACACATACTGAGGCTAAAATAGGCACTGTATCCGGTCTTATTGACATTGTAGCGGATGCTTATGTTGATGATAAATTGAGAACGGCCGTTTGGGATTTATGCGCAGTCGTTGTTGCTTCTCAACCTGGTTTGGCTACTTTGCTGCTCACGGGACAGAGCGTTGGTGCTGCTGCTCGCGAGCTTATCAAAGAAAGGGACACCCAGTCACAATCTACCATTCAGAAGAAGGAGGAGAAGGAGCTCAAGAGGACTGCTTTGGATGTCGCATCTGACAATGTTGAAATCTGGGTACGTATTTTCGCGAAAGGAGTTTCATTGACTAACAGCTACTCAAGTCCCAACTCTGGGAGTCATCCCCACCTCTTCTGAGCTCAGTATTGAGGTTTTTAGATGTCATCTGGCAAAACCTTGAAGGTCACCTTCCGGCAATCAAGAATCTGCGATCATCAGAGGAATTCTGGACGAGGTTGGGTGACATTGCCGTAAAAGATGCTGGTGATGTACCGCCATCTACGTCAAATGACACAGATTCCCTTATCGAAGATGGAAGTGATAGAGATACCACACCAGCAGATGCCAAGGGACTGAGCAAAGCTGTTACTCAATACGCGTATAGGATAACAGCATCTTCATTTGCCTTGTCGATTTTGTCAAATGATAACGGTAGTCCAAGCTCATCTAAATGCTCTGAACGTTTGACCAGCAAGTTGAGCCAAATTGTTGATCTTGCGTTGCAAAATAGCTGTGATACAGACTTACATGCGAACGTCCATTCCAGCATTAAGCTTGCTTACGATGGGCTCGATTTGAACAAATTCCACCAGGTTCTCAACCGTCAATTTGGAATTGATTACGTCTTCAACACTGATCTGTTGAAGGCAAAACTAGATGGTTATGTGGCCTCGTCTGAATCAGTTGATGATGAACTCATTGAGGCTACTTTGGAGCATGTTAAGTCGCTTAATTTGGATTGGACGATCGTTGATGCTCAAGTTGGTTATACAAGAAGCGTGAATGCCTTTGTTACACATGCAAACACAGTCAATCGGACCGTGAATGTCACAGAATGCGCTATTGACGCAGCTAAAGCTGCTTCATTCGAAAACAGACAGGGTGAAATTATGACGAGTATACATTCAGAACGTCTTTCATTGGTTCTTCACCTGCTCGAGCTGGGTTTGAAGAAGTCGAGTGACAAGCCCTTCGATGCAACCGCTCTCATCGTTAATATAGAAAACCTCATTAATCTCGTTGGTTTATCCGTTGTTGACAGCTACAAAGAGAAGCTCACACCGGGATTCCATATTCAAGCTATCCAAATTGTCTTCCTCACTATGCATTTCCTCAAGAACACTAAGACAAAACCAACACGTGAAATTGAGAGAGCCTGTAAGGAAATTCTCTCAACTGTTGTCACTTGTATGGGTATTTCACTCGATAAGGCTAAGAATAACATTGTCGCCAATGATGAGGAGTTTGATTTGCTCGTTATGGCCTTCATGGCGATAGTTAAAAGCGAGCACTCACCTGTTATTGCATTCTGGCTTTCTTTGCTTGTTGAATCCGATGTCATCGTTTTGTCCTTGGATGTACTCAACAGGATAGCTATGCACAAGCCAGTGCAACAACAAAATGCAAATGAAGATGCCATGCAGGAGGATGAAATTTTGGAAAATCCTCAACCGCTCATAAGCAAACCATTCTTCTTACAGTCTATTGTCGATTTACATCTCATATTAGCAACTTTCCCTCAAGCTGCTGAAAGAATGGCTCTCGATGGACTCGTTGCTGCCTACTCTTCTTCAACACTTGCAGGTATGGCAGAAGAAGGCAATGTATTGTCATACGATCCAGCCTACATAGGTAGTCGTAATCCGTGGCACACAGCTTGGTGTCGAATGCTCTCTGTATTAATCTCTTTGGTTAATGTTCTTGGAGCCAGCTCGCAATTCATCGATATTGAAATAATAGCATTTATTCAACTCTGTGGCTCACAACTCGCGAATGCATTATCATGGTCGACAGATTCATCATTCAATTTACCAATGATCGAAGAACTCAAATTGACGATTGGTATTTTCGTGTCGATAGCGAATTCAGAGCACTACTCACTCAACTCTGCCTATGGTCATAGATCACAACCTAGCAAAGCAGTTTTACATGCATTCAATGTCAGAGCTATGTACTTGCTCCAGCAATTGACTTATGCGCTCACGCATCCTCAAATGCTTCTTCAACTGGTTGATCCAATTACAGCCGCAGAGAGAGAAAGAATGAATGCAGCAGGTGATTCTGGTGGTGAATTCCTGGAATCGCTCGTTGTTAGTCTTATCGGTATCACGAATGATGTACTTTTTGGCGTTACACTTGCCCTCGATTCGCTCACTGTTTTGGGTCGCCAAAGACCAGAGTGGCCGTCAGAATCTTATGCTTTGGTACAGCCAGTGGGTGATTTCGTTTTTAGAAGTGTCCTTTCGCTAACTCCAAACAGAATGCTAACATCAATATCAACGAGATGGCTTCCATTGGAACACTTTTCGATTTGGCAAGCTACTGCATCGATAGCGCTAAAAGCGATGATGAAAAGAAAAAACAATTGTCCAAAAATGCGCTAGAAGCCACGCTCGTTTTGACAGCTACCCAGATGGCGATGTGGATCAATCAATCAGGTACACATGATTTGTCGATGTCGCAAGCAGATAATGAAATGAAGAGGAGGTCTTCGATAGGTGCTACAAACAGCGCAACACTCAAGAGAGACCTTAGTGGAGCATTATCAGAAGATTTCAACGCTATCATTGATCGCAGCAAGGGTGTATTGGGAGCGATGGAAAGAAAGTTAGCAGTGATAGTCGGTGCATTTATAGAGAGAGTTGTTGTAAATTCATAATATTTTTATTATTTATTCTTTATTTCGAATCTCGACTGCGTCAGAGCTTCGTTTTGAACGTCATGGTGAGTGAATACTAGTGTCTAAATAATAAACCAACAAAAATAGGCGATATCTAAGAAGTCAGGTAACAAAACTAAAGCGCCTTCAAAAGCTCCTGGAAAAGCACAGATTGCAAAGGTAGCTTAGTTACTAGAACGTCAGCAGAGGTACTCACAATCTCGTAGGCAGACTGGAAGGACAGCTTTAAGAAGAAACAAGCCGGTGTTTCCGATATGACGCTATTAACGACAATCTCTAACGACTCTATCAACGACAACCTCAAGAAACGCTTCCAAGTGGGCGAGATCTACACTTACATTGGACACGTCTTGATATCTATCAACCCATTTAGGGATCTTGGAATCTACACTGATCAGATATTACGTTCCTACAAAGGAAAGAATAGACTCGAAATGACACCACACGTCTACGCTATCGCTGAATCCATGTATTACAACATGTCCGCTTATAGAGAAAACCAATGCGTTATTATCTCAGGTGAATCCGGTGCTGGTAAGACTGAAGCTGCAAAGCGTATCATGCAATACATCGCAGAAGTATCCGGCGGTCAGGATAGCTCAATTCAAGGTATTAAAGACATGGTACTCGCTACGAACCCATTACTCGAGAGTTTCGGTTGTGCAAAGACACTCAGAAATAACAACTCAAGTAGACACGGAAAATATCTCGAAATTATGTTCAACCACGCTGGTGAACCAGTCGGAGCCCGTATCACAAACTACCTCCTTGAAAAGGGTCGTGTTGTTGGTCAAATTACCGACGAACGTGACTTCCACATCTTTTATCAGCTCACTAAGGGCGCATCGCAAGCTCAAAGACAAGCATTTGGTTTACAAGGTCCAGACGCTTACCTCTACACATCCCGCGCTGGATGCTTAGATGTTGGCGGTATTAACGACGTTCACGACTTCTCAGAGACAATCAATGCAATGAACACCATCGGTCTCTGTGGTGATGAACAGAACGAAATTTTTAGAATGCTTGCATCTATTCTCTGGCTTGGTAACATTGTATTTGTTGAAAATGATGATGGAAATGCCCAACCAGATGACTCTGACACTCTTGACTTCATCGCCTACTTGCTGCAAGTCAGTAGACCATCTTTGGAGAAGGCAGTCACATGTCGTGTCATGGAAACACAAAGGGGTGGCAGACGTGGATCAGTTTATGAAGTACCACTCAATCCAGCACAAGCTACATCTGTTCGTGATGCCTTTTCAAAAGCAATCTACAACAATCTCTTCGAATGGATCGTCGACCGCATCAATCGCTCTTTAGCACCAACACAAGCTAGTGACTACGTAATTGGTATTCTTGATATCTACGGTTTTGAAATTTTCGAAGACAACTCATTCGAACAGCTTTGTATCAACTACGTTAACGAGAAACTTCAACAGATATTCATTGAGTTGACATTGAAGAAGGAACAAGAGGAGTATTCGATGGAACAAATTCAATGGCAACCAATCAAGTTCTTCAATAACAAAATTGTTTGTGACTTGATTGAAGAGAAGCGTCCACCAGGTATCTTTGCAGCTTTGAACGATGCTTGCGCAACAGCACACGCCGATCCTGCTGCTGCTGACAACTCCTTTTCTCAGCGTTTGAATATGGTTTCTTCAAACCCTCATTTCAACTTGCGTGGTAGTAAATTTATTATCAAGCATTACGCTGGTGATGTCACCTACAATATTCAACAAATGACGGATAAGAACAAGGATGCTTTGCTTAAGGATCTCTTAAATCTCATTGATGAGTCCAGCAATCCATTCTTACAAGGCTTATTCCCTGAAAGACCTGATCCAAACTCCAAGAAGAGGCCACCAACAGCAGGTGATAGAATTAAGGTTGGTTTACATTATCTTATAATATATTGACTCATCGAATTAGGTTTCTGCAAACTTACTCGTCGACAAGTTGATGGCATCTCAGCCATCTTACATCCGTACCATCAAACCAAATCAAAACAGGTCTTCATCGGAGTATGATGATGCTGCAATTCTCCACCAAATTAAGTATTTGGGTCTTCAAGAAAACATTCGAGTAAGAAGAGCAGGATTTGCATATAGAAATACGTTCGAAAAGATGATTGAAAGATTCTACCTTTTATCACCATCAACAAGTTACGCGGGTGACTACATTTGGCAAGGAGACGCTAGATCTGGATGTGCACAAATGCTCACTGACACTGGTATTGCCAAAGATGAATGGCAACTTGGTATAACAAAAGCATTCATTAAGAATCCCGAAACACTTTTTGCTTTAGAAACAATGAGAGACAAATATTGGCACAATATGGCTAGTAGGATTCAACGTTCATGGCGTGCGTACCTCCGTAGAAGACAAGAAAGTGCACAGAAAATTCAACGTTTCTGGATGTCAAAGAAAGAAGGTATCGCTTATGAGAAAATTAGAACATACGGTCATCAACTTCTCGCCAACAGGAAAGAGAGAAGACGGTTCTCCCTCGTCAGTCAAAGAAGATTTATGGGTGATTACTTGGATGTCAATGGCGATAGTCCAACTGGACAAATGCTTAGCCGTGTTTGTGGTATTTCTAAGGCTGAGCCTGTGTCATTCTCCTCTCGCGCTGAAATTTTAGTATCGAGATTGGGTAGGACATCTAAGCCAAGTCCACGTTTCGTCGTGCTCACAAATAAGGCACTTTACATTGTCGTCACCACAAAGGAGGGCACTAATGTTGAGCGCAAGATTCTTGTAGGTGCCATCAAGGGTGCTTCGCTCTCTAATCTTCAAGATGACTTCGTCGTATTGAACCTCGGTCCAACTGAAGAGGGCGACCCAATTTTGGTTGTTAAATTTAAGACAGAGTTTGTCACCCAAATTAACAGGATTGCGGGTGGAACAGTCACAGTCAATGCTGGTCCAACAATTGATTATACCAAGAAAAAAGACAAGAGGGCTCAAATTAAGGCTGTTAAGGGTGACATAAGCGCATCGAAGCCTCAGGAGAGGATAAATGGCGCAACTTACAAATCGCACACTATAACAATTGCTGGTGGTGAGCCAGCTTCAAGTGTTTCGAGACCACCTGTTCCTCGTAAGCCGCGCCCAGCAAAGTTGGCAGCAAAGAGAGGTGCACCAAGATCAACGGCTGCACCACGTAGTGTACCGTTACCTGGTGGTGGTGGTAAACCGGCGCTCAATACACCTGTACCTACGCCAGCGGCAAGGACTACACCACCTGTTCCGAGTGTACATGCAAGTAATCCTGTTGTTGCTCCTAGAGCCGTTCCACCAGCTCCGGCTGCACCTCCAGCTCCAGTTCGACCAGCTAGACCACCTTCACCAGAAAAGGAGATGTGGAAGAGTATTCATCAGTTTGATACCCAAGAAAGTGGTGAGCTGCCATTAGAAAAGGATGAGGAAGTAGAAGTCCTCAATCAGGATGCATCAGGTGGGCTCTATCTACTAAAAGATAACATTAACTAACAAAAATTCAGGATGGTGGCTCGTAAAGAACGGCAGCGGTGTCGAGGGATGGTGCCCATCGACATACCTCAACAAGGTTCCACCAAAGCCAAAGCAGCCAGCAGCACCACAACCGCCAGTGCAAAGGTCTATCCCAGCACCACCAGCTCCTGTCCCGGCTCCTTCTAATGGTGCAAAGAAGGTTCCTCCACCGGTAAAGGCCAAGCCAGCAGTTGCTCCAAAACCAAAACCAAAACCAGCCTCAAACGGCACTTCTAACGCTTCAAATGGCGCACCACAGATTGGTTTGCCAACTAACAATGGAAGTGGTTTCGGCAACGACTTAGCAGCAGCCCTCTCTAAACGTCGTCAACCAGGGGCTGATGACGAATGGTAAATAGTTGTAATTATCCGAGATTAAAAGATACTTATATCATGATACATGCTTTGCTTTTGAAGAAAAAAAAATAATACATACGAGTTTCTTAAGGAAGATTATAAGTTAGAGTTGGCAATTGTCAGTGACTGTATTTATACGTGAGTTGAAGAATAACATTAGATAGAAAAGACACACCTTTGTCGCGTTCAACGTTTTGTAGATACCGACTAATCGGTTACTCAATTCGAACATGTCGTTTCTGCATTTTTGTTAACTATCTATGTTAAAGCTTGTATGCATCGCCTACCTCAATGAAATGATGATAAATTGTGCATCCTTCGTCCTATCCTTGATGTAGTTAGCTACAATGGACACATTCCTAAAGTCCAATGCAGCATCAATTTCATCCATGAAGTAGAGTGGTGTAGGCTAAAAACAAGGTTAGTTGAGTCCTAGAGAATAAAATAGGCTCACCTTGTAAGCATGTAATGCGAAAACAAGAGCGAGAGAACTGAGTGTCTTTTCACCACCAGAGAGATTACTTATATTCTTCCAACTCTTTTTTGGAGGCATGACCGAGAAGATGATACCCTCACTGAATGGATCTAGAGAATCAACTAGTTCAAGTTCAGCATTACCACCGAGAGTTATCATCTGATACATTTCTTTGAGTTTTGACGATATGATAGAAAAGCCATGTATGAACTCCTCTAAACGTTTCTTACGAAGTTCATCATATGTTGCTTTGGCTTCATCACGGCGACGAGTTACTTCTTGGACGTCCGCAGCGCGTGATTTGAACTCCTGTTTGCGAGATTTATATTCCGCTAATACGTCCAAATTGACAGTTGATTTCTCTACTTTATCCTCCGCTCTTGATATTTCCTTCTTAAGAATATCCAATTGAATTTCTTGAAGATCCTCCGGAGTGTATTTTTCAAGTGCGGGTGCATCTTGCTCCATTTTTTCTCCATCTTCATTATCCTGCTCCTCTTCTTCGACATCCTGGAGTGAGAGCTTTGATAAACGTTCATTGTAGATACCCAATTTGGATTCAGAATCCGTTAGCATGTTCTGCGTTTCTTCGAGTTGGTTACGAAGATCAGCTTCGAGGGCGTTGAAAGATTGCATGGCTAGTGCCTCGTCATCGAGTTGCGCTTTAATCGTCTGTAACTCATCCTGCTTTGCTTCGAGTGCGTCACGCATTTTATCCACTTCACCCTTTACTCCGTTAGCTTTGGTGAGTTGTTCACTATTCTTTTCATTGATTTGTTCCAATTCTCGCTCCAGTTTCTCAAGTTTCTTCTCATTGTCTTTGTTAGTCTTCTCGTAACGGTTTATATCTTTCTCGGATTTACTAAGCGCTACTTCAGCTTTTGTCATACGCTCATTGCAAAGACCCATCATCATTTTAACGGAATCAACTTTACTCTTCTGAGCACGTAGTTTAACACCACCTACTTCAAGGATCTTTTCCTGTAGCTGTTCAATTTCCCGCTCAATGGAGGATGTTGTGGATGTTAATTTTGTTACTTCTTTTTCTAGTTTTGTTATCTCGTTCTCGAGTGTCTTCGTACGTTTCGCGTCGCTGGCATCTGGTTTACTTGCTTCTTTCGCCTTCTTTGCATGTTTCTCAGCTTCAGATATACGGTTCGCAAACGTCGCTTGATCGAGTTCGGCTTTCTCAGCTTGAATTTCTAAATCTGGTGCAAGTTTCCTTAATTCACGGTAAGTGTTTTCAAGATTTGATATCTTTTCGAGGATTTCTTTCAGATGCTCATCCGCTTTTTCCCTCTCGCCTTCAAGTTTGTTGACGGTTTCGATCGTTACTGAATCAGAAGCATTCAAAGATGAACTCATACCACCCTTCAACACACGTTGACCACCACCTGACATCGCACCAGAGGCTTCAATTACATTGCCTTGGAGTGTGACTACACGCCATCTCTGCTTCCCATAGGCAATGCGATTACCTTGACTGAGATCCTTTGCTACGAGGGTATTACCGAGGGCTTTGTAGAATGCAGGTATATATTCTTTTTTCTTCGGTTTGACGAGGTCAATAAGACGTGGAGCATTCTCTGGTGTAGCAACTTTAGTTGGGTTCTTACCCGCTAGTTGCTCGAGTACGATAAAGGTAGCTCTACCGACGTTGTTTTCCCTCAGGTGCGCAATGCAAGTCTGGGCACCCTGTACGGTATCGACGACGAAGTTGTTGAGTGCGCCACAAGCTGTCGTTATCGCAATGTCGAATTTATCATCGATTGCACCGAGATTACCAAGACGGCCGTGGAAACCTGACACACGACCGGTTTCTCTCAGGCGGGTCAGACTGGCCAAGACAGCATCCTGGGATCTATTTGCTGTCAATGATGACTTTGCTTCGTCGGCTTTCTGACGTGCTTGGCTGAGTGCCCTCCGAGCGGTACCTTCATCATTTCTGAGGCTCTTTATCTGGTCATCGAGTTCGTCCATCTCGCTCGCGACTCTTTGGCGCTCGTCTTGGATATCAGTAGCGGCACTCTGCTTGCGTTCTACCTCATCTTTGATAGCCGCAAGCTGGTCGTCGGCTTCTAAGGCAGCATTCTGGGCAGATTCGGCCTTCGAGGCAAGAAGATCTCGTTCAGATGCTGCAACGTCAATCTTCGTTTGCAGGTCGGATAATTTCGCCTGCCATGGTTGGAGTTCCTTCTGCTTGTGTTCGATTTGGTCTGTGAACACTTGTGTTTTACCTTGACTTTGTTAGTGATGAGTAACATTTCAAAGATAGAAACGCACCTTTGAGAGAATCAATGATAGATTCAAGTTTCTCCTCTTCGGTACCAAGGCCTGCCTCATGCTCTTCAGCCTCCTTGCGGGCCTTCTCCATTTCTTCTGTGAGTTCAGTTATATTATACTGGGCAGTCTTAAATGCGTGAGTATCATCCGTCAGCGTCTTCTTCAACTTCTTGATTTTTGAATTCAAATCTTTGATTTTGACATCCAGTTTTACATTCTCTTTGTTCTTATCTTCATGAGATTTACTCACGCGTTTCATTTCATTTTCCATGCCTTTTGCCTCCTTCTCGATTCGCTTATACTCAGCTTCAAACGCGCTGAGGGCATCCTTGCGTCCTGAAACTTTACCCTCTTCGTCAGTGAGTTGTTGGCCTAACTCTGCAATATGTTGATGACAAACTTCGATGTTTTCACTCAAATCAAGGAGATAACGCTGATAAAGGATGTTTTTCTTACGCGCGACATTGTTACAATCCTTAAGATAAGCCTCGGCTTCGTCCTTATGACCCTCTAGTCTGTCCTTTTCTTTCTCAACTATACGAAGACGGCCGAGGCGCTCACTACGCTCATCTGAAAGTTTATCCATGTCTACGAGACTTTCCTCGATCGGTGCTTTGTATTTAACTGTACCGATGATGTCCTCGAGATACTCTAATAAACCATCTTCGTGGGGTGATGGAGCTTTACTTTTCATTTGTGCAATTGATTCAACTTCACCCTGGAGAATAAGAAATCTATTATGGTCAAGATCAATACCCCTACCGCGTAGAAGGTTCGTTACTTCTGCGTAATTTGACGATTGACCGTTTATGAGGTATTTTGATTGATTGTTACGCATAGCCATGCGTGTTACTACTAGATCACTACCTTCTACAATTTGAAACTCCTCTGAATGTGGTGTGTCTATAATATCACGGAAATGAACTTCTACAGCACAATGATCGAAGTTTGGATGTTCAGCTGAGTTGTGTATCAACTCTGAGAGCTTCGATTGACGCATCTTGGATGCACGATAACCGAAAACGAAGAGTAACGCGTCAATTGTATTACTTTTACCGCTACCATTTGGACCAACGATAGAGGAGAATGACTGGTGGTTGTTTGATTGTGTATTTCGAGAAATCTACGCGTACTCACTTTGTGAAATGGGCCAATAACTTGTGTACCAGCGAAAGATTTGAAGTTTATCAAACACAATTTATTAATAACCAACCTAGATCTCTCCGTCTGCTGTTCATCTTTTGGTATATTCGATTCTGCTAGGACGTCCGTCATTTTCTGATGGTCGTCGAGATCAAGAGAGAGATGAGAGGGTTTAGAGAGGATAAAAGAGTGCTGTGAGATGTGCTATGTATATATCTATGCGTATAAACATCTATCTCTCTTAATACAGATTATCTCTCTGATAGCAACTGTCATCATATCACCCAAGTAAAATGACTGAAGATAGATTACAATTAATTCGTAGGAATGGCATAGCTTGTAGTCTCTTAGCCTGACTATCTCCTTTCAGATCAGAGACTCCTCCACGCAGCCAAACAAGATGACGAGGCACTCCTCGATGAGGTATTCGAGGAGGCTGACAATCTCGCAGAAGAGAACGCTGGAGAGTTCGACATCAACCATAGGGATGGACTCGGTAACACGGCATTGCATTATGTAGTAAAGAATACATCAGTTGGTGTATTAGATGCGATACTCAGCTACGATAACACAGACGTAGATCCGCAAAACCGCATTGAGGGTGATACGCCATTACACCTCCTCATGCGCGCTGACGGGATGGACAGACGTGCAAGAGAGTACTTTTGTATGTTCTTTCTCATACTATATCCACAAGCTAACAACAGACGGAAGTAACAGAGTTGATTGACGCAGGTGTAAATTTTCAGGTAAAGAACAACCACAACCAGAAACCTTTCGACGTTCTTAGCAGAGTCGACGACAGCAATGACTGGATAGAGACAGTCTACAAGGAGTCACAAATACAGAGAGTTCTCGAAGACGAGGATGTTGTCGACGACGACGATATTGCAGACGATAGCGAGGCTAGCAACTCAGATAGTGAGGATAAAGAAGAATAAAAGATATTGTATACCCGTTTTAAAAATTTATAAATATACTACACTTTACTCGTGGCTTCTCTTTCTAGAACGCTATCAAGAAGATGAGGATTTCAGCGAAACAGCTGCAAATATCCCTACAATTTAGCTTGCAATCAAAGCACACTTCTAAGTTCTTATCTAGTAGAACACTCAGCAAAAGAGCGTTCTCTACTACTGCAAAATCGTCATTCAAGGCGACATTACCAACCAGTCAGTTTAAGGATCCATATCAAGTACTCGGCGTATCAAAGGATGCTCCTACCTCAGAAATAAAGAAGGCTTTCTATCAGGTGAGTCAGTGAGAGCCTCCTATAGAGAAGATTACTAACAAACTATCAGCTAGCTAGAAAATACCATCCAGACACTAATAAAGAAGCAAACGCTAAGGAAAAGTTCGTAGAAATCCAATCCGCTTGGGAGACACTCTCCGATGAAACAAAGAGAAAGAACTATGATCAGTTCGGCCCTGCATCACAACAACAAGGCTTCGATCCTAACATGTATGGTTCCCGTGGTGGTCCATTCGGTGGTGCTGGTGGATTTGGCGGATTCGGTGACGCATTCGGCGGTGGCTTCCCATTCGGCGGTGGATTCGGTGGTGGTAGCCCATTTGGTGGCGGTGGTAACGCTTCTGATCTCTTTGAGCAATTATTTGGCTCCGGAGCTGGTCGTGGTACACGTGGTGGCTTTGGTGGAGGCGTTAGTCGCGGAGATGACATAGAATCTACTGTTTCAATTCCATTTTTAGATGCAGCAAAAGGAAAGACAGTACATCTAGACACACGCCCTCTCAAGAATTGTAACAGCTGTAAAGGAAATGGTCTCAAGAGAGGCAAATCAAGGTCAACTTGTAAAGCCTGCAATGGTGTTGGTAGTCGTACTTTCGTTATACAGGGTGGTTTCCAAGTTGCCTCAACTTGCCAAGTCTGTCAAGGTTCCGGATCATCAATTAACAAGGGTGATGAGTGCGATAGTTGCGATGGTGTCGGTAAAGTACGCGGCAAGGGTACGGTAGAAGTTAAAATACCTGCTGGTGTAGAAGATGGTATGAAAGTTAGAGTTACTGGTCAAGGAGACGGCCCAATTTCAGGTGATGGACCGCCGGGTGATTTATACGTTAGAATATCCGTCAAACCAAGCAAAGATTTCAAGAGACAGGGTATGCATTTATTCCACAGTGCTAAAGTACCATTACACGTTGCGTTGTTAGGTGGTAGACATAGAATACCAACCCTGGATGGTGAGGTTGATATACGTGTACCAGCAGGAACGCAGCCTGGTGAAGAAATGGTCTTAAGAGGCAAGGGTGTTCCAAGAATAGGCAGAGGTATGGATAAGGGAGATTTAATGGTCGGATTCCAAGTCCAGATGCCGCGTCACTTGAGTCCACTTCAAAGGGAGATATTGGAGGAGTTCAGTGATGTAACAGAGGGTAAAGCAGTACGGAGGAAGTATCCAGAGAACGTGAAAGAGGCAGTACCTAAAGAAGAAGTCAAAGAAGACGTGAAGGAAGACGCGAAAGAAGTCAAAAAAGAGGATGAGGAGAAGACAAAGAAAGAAAAGACAACAAAAGAGGATACAAAAAGTAAAGAAAAGAAGGAACCTGGTATCTGGAATAAAATAAAAGATAATTTTTGTAAAGGTGACGAAACTTCGTCCTAACAATGAACGTCACTAAAGGGGACTTGTTAAATGAATTGATAAGCAAACATTTAGAGATAAAGTTTTTGAATAATGAGCTCTATGAGTTGTATAAAAGGAAGGATAGATTAGAACAGTCAGAGTCTAACAGCGTACTAGAGGAACGGTATAAAGTAGAGAGTAAAGTGCTGGGTGAGAAGATAAAAGAAGTTGAAGAGCAAGTAATTGGATTGGATTCTATGCTCAAACCGCTAGCAGACGCTATTACATCAACCGATGAGACAGACAAGAGAATACAGGAGCTAAGACAAAACCTAACAACATTCGATTTAATTCAAGAAGGACACTTTACGAAAATAAATAAAAAATTGAATAATTTAGAAAATAAATTTTGATTTCTTTATCTTTAGGAGACGGTGATGAGTTTGCTCAACAGAATAGCAGGGACGTCTACCGATCTAAGGGATAGACTAGGCCCAGCTGTGCAGCAGAACAACAAGAGAGAGAGACCATCCGATGCTACACCCTCCAGCAAGAAATTCAAGCCGTTAGAGTCTGCGGACAAAAGTCTAGAAAAGCCAGCAGAGAAGGTAGTAGAAAAACCACCAGCAGAAAAGGTTCTAGACAAGCCGCCATCAGAGAAACTTGTAGAGAAAGTACCAGAGACAGCTCCAGAGAGCTCTGCAAAGAAATCGGACGAAAACTCAACCGATAAATCATCTGAGCAGCCTCCTCAGGAGACGTTCGTAGAAAAGTACGACAGCTTAGCTACGCAATTAAACAGTCTGATCAATAAAAACTTTGAAGTAAAGAGAATTGAAGATGAGACCGTTAGGACATTCGAAGAGAAACAAACACTCATTTCGTTGTCGAAAGACAACTTCTTCACTATTCCTAGCACAAATTACCAGAGTGACTTATCAAAGTTAGACATGAGACTCACTTATTTAGACACATCACTAAAGAGTACGATGAAAATGGCCAACATAATTGCTTTAAATTTAGTTAGCAATCTCATTGGCTTTGCAAAAACGACTGATAGCCCTATCAGCCAAATGAACGCTGAGAGCCAAATCAGTAGTGAAACTTACAATTCATTCAGGAATCAAACTGAAAATACCATCAAGACAATCATTAACTCCAACAAAAACAATTCATTCAAGATAACAGAAGTTGAGAAACTAGTTGATAGTTTCAAGGGCCAAATTAATGAAGCAAAATCTGAAATATTCGAAACTAATAAAAAATCTTACGACGATTTCGTTGATTATACCAGAGACAAACTCAAGACATTAGACAACAAGATCATCAACATTGGGACAGCCCATAATGGCTTAACTAAAGATTTAAATTCTCAATCAAGTCTTGTGACGACGTTATCTACATCTACAGAAGAAAATAAGATGGATATAACTGAATTACAAGACTTCAAGCAAACGATGGAAGACAATTATTCGACTTTGTTCGGTATGGTCAAAGAACAAAAGGAACAAATCACACGTTTGACCAACGAGAATGAAAAACTCCAACAGAGTAATCGCGGGATGCAGATTGTTGTGAATCAGCATAAAAATCAGATCGCAGCTATAACACGTAACAGTCAAAATGGACAGAATGGCGTTGCTAGAAGTGCGAGTGTGACACCTAGCCAGGGTACCTCTAATGCAGCTAACCTGGCTAGTGTACCCCATAATAAGGGCAACCCAGCTTCCAGAAGTAATACGCCTGCTCCCCAACAGTTGATCCAGAGGGTTTCGCAGTCACCTAGAGAGCAGCAGCCTGCTCAGCATCCTCACCAAAAAGCTAGACATAGCATGCCTCCACACCCAAATACTGCTAGGCCACCTCCTACGGGACCTCGCCAGTCAGCTCCTTTGGCACAGAGGATGCAACCACCTAGCAATAGAAATAATAAACCACTTCCACCACATTTGCAGAAGGGATTCCACTAGATCCAATAAATCTAACAATTGCTTCTCTTCTTTATATGTCAAAATACCTTATATATAATTTTAGATAACAGCAAACGAGAGATAGATTAAATTAGCTTCCAAATAACTTTTTAAATGAAGGACTTTGCGGCTCCGATAGCTTCTTCAACCTTGCTAACTTCGCTACCAACACCTTGAGCACTGTCGTCTTTACCACCAGCCTGTGTTTTGTTAGATGGAACGCTATGTTAATCAGTATATTTACCTTTCCGCCAAGGATTTCTGCAACTTTAGCAGCCCAGATCTTTGCATTATACCCATCCTTGAGTAGTTCCTTAGGAATGTAACATTGATGAGCAACCTTGCTGGCATCTTTATCAACGCTAAATACGTAAACTTGTTTTCCTAATTGTCTAGCAGCGCTCAATGCTTGACCGAGTGCCTTGGTGTTAGAACCAAGGTCGAGAGTACCAACGAAAGATTTAGCTTCTTCATTCTCGTTGAAATAATTTTTGATAGTGTCACCAGCATACTTTGCTTGAGCTGCTTGAGCAGCTTTGTTGGCATCATCAACAGTCTTTCTAATTTTGTTGTATTGTTCTCTAAGTTCGATCTTACGGATCGTGCTGATTTCAGCTTGACCGATTTCGACTGCGTAGGCTTTCAATGCAATATCCTTCTCCTTCATGTCGGTCAACCCATCAATGAATGCAAGCTTGTTGGCAAGTTCTGATGATTTTCTCATAACTTCAACAGCATCATCTGCTGTAACGGCGATAATTCTTCTGATACCCTTAGCTATACTGCTTTCTTCAACGATCTTGAATAATTTAATTTCACCAGTTGTGTTAACGTGTGTACCACCACAGAATTCGATAGAAGATTTGCTCCACTTTTCATTTTCAATGTCATGCTTAATGTCTTGTGGGTTAAACTCTACAGAAACGACTCTAACTGGATCAGGGTAGACTTCACCGAAAACTGCTCTCAATCCTGGAATTTTACGTGCATCATCAAGGTTGAACTCTTGTGAGAAAACTGGTACATTTCTCTTAATGAATTGATCACAAAGGTCTTCAACTTTGTTTAATTCAGCAACTGACAAACCAGCTTTGTGGTTGAAATCAAAACGAAGCTTGGTTGGTGCGACGAGTGATCCTTTTTGATCAATGTGGTCTCCTAATACTTCCTTCAATGCAAAGTTAAGCAAGTGAGTACCAGTGTGGTTATTCTTTATTGGCCATCTGCGCAATTCATCGTAGGTGGCGATAACATCATCATTGAGGTTAAGTTCACCGTACTTTAATGCACCTGAGTGTAAAACATATCCTGAGTATACTTGTACATCTTCAACTGCAAAGTCAGCTTTGCCATCAATGGTGATCATACCAGTATCATATTCTTGTCCACCACTTTCAGCATAGAAGTTGGTCTTGTCGAGCAAGATACCAAATGGTTTACTGGTGTTGATATCTTTAGTTGACTTGTGGAATTGTCTATCTTGGAAAATTGAAATAATCTTTGCGTCTACCGTACCATGGGTGTACTTATAAATATCATCAGTCTTAGCAATGTTATCTTTTTCAAGTGCAGCTAAATCGTGAACGTCAAACTTGACTGATTCGACATCACCCTTCTTCTTTGTACCCTTAGATGCCTCATGCGATTCAATTCTTGCTTTCTCGAATTCTTCCATGTTGATGGTTAAACCGAGTTCTTCAGCCATGAGGACGGTCAAATCTACTGGGAAACCATATGTGTCATACAATCTCCAGACTTCTTTACCACCAAGTTGCTTCTCTGGTGTGTTAAGAGTCTTTTGAGCGTAGCTGTCGAATAATTTTTCACCTCTATCTAATGTTCTGCTAAATGATTCTTCTTCTTCATCAAGAATTTCTTTGATATCATCATACTTCTTGGTAATCTCTGGGAACATATCACCCATTTGTTCAATAACTACAGGTGCTAAAGTTGAAAAGAATGAACCAATTGGGACACCAAACTTCTTTCTAGCGTAACGACAACCTCTTCTCAAGATTCTTCTAAGGACGTAACCTCTTCCGACATTGTTAGGTACACCACCATCTGAGATTGTGATAGTGAGTGTACGGACGTGATCGGCGATGACTCTGTAAGCAGTATCGATACCATCAACATCCTCTGCGCCTAATGTACCAGCATATGGACGTGCTTTTGTCATTTGTTGAATCTTTTCGAATATAGGTGTGAAAACATCAGTGTCATAGTTTGATGGCTTGTTTTGTAAAATAGAAACCAATCTCTCGAAACCAAGACCGGTGTCAATATGTTTAGCAGGGAGTGGACGTAAGCTACCATCAGCTTCTCTATTAAATTGCATGAAGACGTTGTTCCAGATTTCGATGACATTTGGATCGTCTGCATTGACGATGTGTGCTGCGTTACGGCCACCAATTCTGTCGAAATGGATTTCAGAGCAAGGACCGCAAGGACCAGTGGCACCCATTTCTGAAGTGTTGTTAGAAAAGCGCACCAAAAAGCAAAGGACTAACCCCAGAAATTATCCGTAGCGTCACCAGTGAGAATGTGATCGTCAGGCAAACCGAGCGATCTCCAAATGTCCCTTGCCTCGTAATCAGGTTCTAAACCTTGCTTTGGGTCACCTTCAAAGTAGGTAACGTAAAGTTGATCAGCTGGGAGTTTGTAGACATCTACGAGCAATTTCCAAGCCATTTCGATAGCTTCCTTCTTGAAGTAGTCGCCGAAGGACCAGTTACCAAGCATCTCAAAGAAAGTGTGGTGGTATGTGTCCTTTCCGACGTCGTCTAAGTCGTTGTGCTTTCCACCGGCTCTAACGCACTTCTGGGAGTTGACAGCACGCTTGAGTTGACCAAACTGGCTGTTCTTGTCTACGGTTCCTAAGAAGATAGACTTGTATTGATTCATACCAGCATTTGCGAAGAGAAGAGTAGGGTCTTCGTATGGGATCGAGGAAGAAGAAGGCACAAAAGTGTGTGCATGCTGTTGCTTGAAATAATCAATATAGGTTGATCTCACTCTTTTTGCTGTCCACTCTGTCATTTTGAAAATTGCAGGAGATGGACGTATCATATAAAGAGTGTATAGACCATTATAACTACAATAATTAGAATTAAAAATCACTTTGCTTGCAATATTCGATAAATGATGGTACATCTTTCGCTATTTCCATTGGTAATAGGCTGTTAGTGAGGTAATCTGGGAGGTAGCCGCTTGCTGTAGAAGTTGTGGCTGTTATCCACTCGACAGAGCCAAGCTCTCGCTGCCTGACGTATTCTACAGAGGTATAGTATCCTCTGACTACTTTGTTACTACGGTCTGGCGGTGCATTCGGATGATCCATCGCCAGGCTGATAACAAAGAACTCATTCTTGGCTTCTCTTGTAAGTATTAGAGGTGTAAAATCCCTATTGGATACACCGAGGGGCATTTTATAGACTATACGATAGATCTGCGCTTGTGGATTGATGAACTCAACTAAACTGAAATCTGAAATCGCTTTTATATATCTCGATTCATTTGCGGTATGGTCATTTAGTAGATATTTCTTGAATGTGTTGTATGGTATGTCGTTATGTTCTGAGATCCTGGCGTGCCACTTGCCACCCTCTCTCTCTGTCGATCTGCACTCAACCCCGTGTCTGTCTCTCTCTCGACTGACTTTCCATTCACGAACGGTTGAAATCAAATCCCTAGCATTATCAACTTGTTCGGTTATAAAGCCGTTAATATCTTGTCCGATATCTCGCCTATCTAATACAAAGAATTTCATCGTCATAGCGTAAGCACGAGAAACATCATAAATTAAATTAAAGTATACAAGATTATTAAACCATAGTAAGGTAGTTCGATGGCGCAATACCTTCACCTTGTCCGTTTGGTTTGCGCACTCTCCACCATTTGCCTGAATTGTCGACAACGAGAAGAATTTCACCCTTCGTGAAGCCAATCTCATTTGGATCTTCAGCAGATGCGCTGTAGGCATAAAGACATCTTGCCTGTGGCAATTCATTGTCTGGGATATTAGCACCCGTCGTACCTGTCGCGCTTGAGTGATGCAATCCGTCAGAAGGTGTGGCCGTCGTCCTGTTGCCAAGACTGCCATGAGCGCTACCATATTGTGATGTTGGTGCAACCGGTGATGCAGCAGCTTGTACTGGCGCCTGCATCATTGGTGGTTGGGCAGGAACTGGAGCTGTGTTTTGTGTAGTAGGTCTGTTGCTCCAAAATCCAGAGTGCGCATTGCTGTCGTATGACGTGCTATCATTACGGTTAAGCTTGCTGACGTTTGCGAATGGGTTAGAAGTTGAAACATTACGCATGGCAGCTGGTTGTTGGCCTATTGAACCGCTCATAGCGAGACTGCCAAATGTTGGTGCGGTGCACATTCTGAATACTCCTGCGATCATTGTGTCCGGCTCACTTGTGAGGTGCAAAATACTTAAAACCTACTTCGGTTAGACCCTGAACATATAAAAGACGCCGACTTACATTCAAGATTGCGATAATGAGAAAACCAGCTCCTACGGCCTGCGCGGATGAATCTCTATCGTAAATCTTTCTGTTTACTGTAATAACTGCTAAGGCGAAAGATGCCCCGTTGAAAATACTGAGTTGGAGTCTATATGCCGGAAGTGTTCCGATAACATCAGCTGCGATGTAGGCTGAAATAATGGCCAGATTCAAGAATACATTAGCCCAACCTTCACCTGAAACTGTACCCGGAGAATAAGTACCTTCGTCTCCAAATGTGTTGGTTTCATAACACATCGCAACTAAAGAGCAAATTGATGCAGATAATCCAACAAAGGTATATACTATTGAATATATCGATGGCATTCTTCCACTACCTCCAAGTAAATTCATCTTGATTGCCTGCCTCGTGGATACTAAACTAGTTTAAGTCGCGCATCTTTTCAAATATAAACCATTTTTAGTCTATCCTTTCTATAAAAGGAAGGTCAAATTCCAATCCCCGTTTTTAGTTTCTTTTATTTGGATATGCATCACGCGAAAAGTAAAACATTATTATAATACAATTTAGCTATCATCCCTTTCGACTGATTCTACAACTTCTGAGATAAAGTAATTCGTTAAGCCAGGTATGAGTGTCTCGGCGTCATCGAAGGCCCGCTTGAGGCCATTTACTGCTTTGTGAGCGTCGCTTGTGTCTACCTTACTCGTGATACTATCAAGTACAGGGTGTATGACTGCATCGAGCATTGTCCTTTGCTCAATTATCTCCTCATCATATTCGACAGTACTTTGACTAGTCATTTGACTGTCACTACGTTTGAGTTCCTCTTCCGCCACAGGAGTTGGTGGTGGCTGTGGATTGCTTGGTCGACTCCTTGTACTATCACTTCCAAATGTCGCAGCCGCAGGTGATACTTTTTCGGAATGACTAATCTCGGCTTCAAATACCTGGGTTGGCGACTTGACATCTTTTGGAATAGGTGGGAGCTCTCTATACATTGAAGCTACACTCGATCTTGGTGCACCTTTGTTACCTTTAAGAGTGTCGACATAGCCCATTGAGGATTTTGATGGCGATGATTCCTTCATTGAGGATTTCGAAGGAGATGGTTTGTTGCTCACACTCTGCAATGGATCGCGCAAATCACGCTTATCACGGTTCTCACGATCTCTGACGAGGCCTGCTCTGAGAGTCGATCCAGATCTGAACGAACGGTCGTCAACTGTCATCCTCGAGGTAGACTGAACAAGTTCATTCTCATCCTGCTGTAAAGGCACTTTAGCATAGTCCCTAGAATGCAGCTGAGGTGTGCGTTCAGTTCTATGCGACGATATGGAGGGCGTTGCTCGTATCATATCAGCATTTCTCATTGATCCTGCAAGGTTGTGCGTTTGGGCTCCTTGGATAGTACCAAAGTCCCAAAGATCGTCGCTGCTTCCGCCAAGAGTCTCTTGGTTTACAAGCATGTCGCCCTTGCCTGCTGAACGGGAGTATCCACCTGTCATTTTCCATCTTTCTGCACGTTCAATCAGTTCTGTCAGACTGCTGGTCTTCTTTGCGTTCTTGATAAACTTGTGTTTGAGTAATTCACGCGCAGTTGGACGCTGATATCTGTCAGATAGGCTACTTTTGGTTATTCAACTCACCATTTTCGGATCACGTTGCAGACACAGACTGACAAACTCCTTGAATAATTTACTGAAGTTTCCATCAAGTACTGGTGGTGAATTCTTTGGAATCAAGAAGAGAACTTTCATAGGGTGTAAATCGGCGTATGGCGGTGTACCCGTTGCGAGTTCGATTGCAGTAATACCAAGTGACCAGATGTCCGCCTTATGGTCATATCCACTCTGTTTTATAACTTCTGGACTCATCCAATAAGGTGTACCCACGAATGTATTCTTTTTCGTCATTGTAGCGGAAAGCTGTCCACTGACACCGAAATCCGCTAGCTTTACATCTCCCTGAGAGTTCAAGAGGACGTTTGCTGCCTTAATATCACGATGAAGCTTTCCCTCCGAATGTAAATAGTCAAGACCACGAAGTAACTCGCGTAAAAGGATAGCGATAAATTCCTCCTTGATTTGTCCAGGCTTCATGAGCTCAGAACAGCTACCACCTGCGCAAAATTCCATGATGATCCACAAATGCGTTTTCTTGAGGTATGAACCGTGATATCTTCGTTTATCATGAGTAAGATAACGAATGAGAAAGATTCAACCCACTTAGTAACAAATTGAGAGTCCATTTGTGATAATATCGCTATTTCCTCTTGTATATCCTCGATTTCATCCTCTGCTGACTCCAAATCTATAATCTTGATAGCTACTTGAGCGTGTGTACGTTTATCATAACTATGTATCGCGTTAGACAGTTTACCAAAGGCTATAAAGAAACCTGCCCTTTGTAGACTTCACCAAATGAACCTTTACCAACGCGTTCTTGTAATACAAACAGCTTATCTGGATCTGTAGTTTTGTTGTTCTACGATTTCATTAAATTAGATTTAATAAACAATACTTCGTTGTTTAACGCACCATTTTATATTTTTCGTAACTATCCAGAAGTCAAGAAGCGTTCTCGCGTTTATCAAGCACAAAGACGAGGACGAAAATAGTAAATAGGAGGATGATAATATTATATAATATTTATCATCTATAGATGCTAGGGTGTATTCTATAATTAGTTCTTTACATTCCTCGCGTTTGATCTTCATATGGTCACATACCTACGCAGATTGGAATGGCAATGCGGCGCATTCAGCACGGGCATGGCTGCATTGTTCTAAGCTTAGACATTCGTCAACTGAGGAATGGGGACATCCTCAACTATTTAAGCTGCTCTTTTCCTATCATTTATATCAACAACATCAACAACAACTCCTCTCAATGAAATTAAACACTCTCGCCCTTATCGCTCTCGTTGCCGCTGTCTCTGCTGCACCAGCGAATGACCACACTAACAAGGGTGCCAATACCAAGAACACATCTGTCTCAGGCAAAGATGGAAACTACCAAGTTAATACCAAGAATGCAAGTGCTAGCGCAGGTGAAACCAAGCATGATGATAAAGGCAGCAAGCTTTTTAGACGTTTCGGACATGGCCACGAAGAACATGGCCATGGACACAGAGTTCGTCAAGAATGGGGAAACGAACTTAATGACGAGAGAGCACATAAGGAGCACAAACATGGCCACAAGCATGGCAAAGAGCACAAGCGTCAAGAGGATGAGGAGAAGAAACATGCAGTTGTTGGTAAGAAGAAGGAGGAAGAGGACCACCAACACCATGAGAGAGGTTTTGAGCACGGTCATGGCCATCATGAGCATGGTAAGTTGTGATAGATTGTTGTTAAACATTTCTGATGTCATTTTGATAGGCCATGGTCCAAGAGGCTTTGAACATGGTCACGGTCACGAACATGGACACGAACACGGCCCAAGAGGATTCAAGGGTGAACACCACGAACACGGTCACGAGCATGGTCCAAGAGGATTCAAGGGTGAGCACCACGGTCACCACGAACATGGCCACGGTCCTAGAGGTTTAGAACATGGTCACGGCCACGAACATGGCCACGAACACGGTCCAAGAGGTTTCGAAGGTGAACACCATGGTCACCGTGAACACAATGATCATCACGGCCACCACAAACGTCAAGAAGATGAAGAAGAGAAGAAGCACGCTGTAGTTGGTAAGAAGAAGGAGGAAGAGGACCACCAACACCATGAGAGAGGTTTCGAACACGGTCATGGTCACCACGAACATGGTAAGTTGAGTTAGAATATTGTTAAACATTTTCTGATGTCATTTCGATAGGCCACGGTCCAAGGGGCTTCGAAGGTGAACATGGTCACGGTCACCACGAACATGGCCACGAGCATGGTCCAAGAGGATTCAAGGGTGAGCACCACGGTCACCACGAGCATGGCCATGGCCCAAGAGGTTTAGAACATGGTCACGGTCACGAAAATGGCCACGAGCACGGCCCAAGAGGATTCAAGGGTGAGCACCACGAGCACGGTCATGAACATGGTCCAAGAGGCTTTGAACACGGCCATGGTCACCACGAACACGACCACGAGCACGGTCCAAGAGGATTCAAGGGTGAGCACCACGGTCACCACGACCACCATGGCGAGCACCACATCTAAAAAGATCATGTACTGCCCATAATCTGGAAAATCTAAACTAACAATTTCTGCTTTTGTATCTCGCTTTTAATAAGTATATTAAATTATGGACAATTCATACTTTTTTCATATAACAAAAGTTCTGCTATTAAATTAGAACAATAAATCAGATTTGCCAGCCGCGACGATAGCCATAACGAATTCATCGTCGAGATACTTAGCCATGAGGTTTTGACCATCACCCAGACCCTTTCTTCTGCGGATCTTGAGCATGAAGTCACGTGCTAGATGTTGAGCAGGTGCAGGCTCGAGTAAACGGAGTTGTATACCGCTGTCAACTGGATCACCAGGAACAATAGCCCAATGATCAAATATCTGCAAGCAGAATGAGGTTCCGCCCGTTTGAGTTCTGAGGTCAGTTTCGAATCCGTTGGCGTCGATCGCAGGAATGAGTGCTTTTACGACATACAGTGGTGAACCAGCTTTAGGCTCGTCTTTTGTGACGTGTCCTCTCCTCCTTGCTAATATCTGGTAGACTGTCGGCACGCTTTCAGCCGTCGTTATTATCTCCACATAGTAGATAGGTTCCATTAGCCTAGGTGTAGCCATGAGGAAGGATGAGTAACAGACACGGCGAGATGTAGGAATAACTTGTCCACCACCCCTGTATATTGGTTCTTGGGCTATTTGCGCATCCATTATTCTGAATTTGACACCTCGCAATGCTTCTTATGGTTAGCTTATTACTGAAAATTCTTGTAAATACTCACGTTCATCTGCTAGTGGTCCTTCACGTGTTGCCCATTGGAAACCTTGTTTAATTGACTCTTTCACGTTACCCAGCATCTTCTTGTCAACCTATGTGTTGTTAATAGGATCACGAGGGGGAATCAACAACCCACCTCAGATGGAAGGGTATCATCAATCAGTACATTCGGTCCGTTGTCTTCTGGTCCAAATGTCCATATACTCCTACTAGCGAGTGTATCCCAACCGTATTTCTCTTCGAAGTACTTTCCTCTTTCCTTATTTGTCATCCACATGCCCACGCGTCTATTCTCAATATCTTCACTTATTCCTTTCTCCAGTGGTTCAGCGATGATCGTTATTTTGTTCTTTTTGTTTGGTGTGTCTGCGTAACATCTAATTGCTGACGTTTCGACAACTGTTTCGCAGAATTTTACAACAGGATCGCTCACTTTAATCTCAATTTCTGAGAATAACGTGCGGAGATCGTGTAATACTGAATCCAAATAAAGTTCACCTGTACCAAGTATTATATGTTCACCAGATTCTTCAACCTTGGTTGTAAGGAGTGGATAACTCTTATTAACCTTCCGCAAACCATCCAATAATCTAGGTAACTCAGGTGGGTTCAATGGCTCGACTGCTACTTTCAATATACTTTCGGATATGTGGTTAATTGGTTTGAATATGTAGAGGTCTTCTTTAACGTCGTTAGATACTATGGTAGCTGTTTTGACTATTGATTCATCGACTCCGCCTAACAAGACCCAAGATCCGGCAGGGATCTCTGGGCACTCGAATTTATACCGCGCTTCAGATACCCAAACGTTTTGGATCGTCGCCATTGCCATATCCTCTTCGTCATCTGCTGAAAATCCTTCGCCAAGAACTTTCACTTCGTCGCCTATTCTGGCCCTACCGGCCATTACCCTACCGAAAGCATAGAAACCTTCTGCGTCGACAGTGGTGTAGAGCTTTGTGACGTGAATAACGGATGGAGCGGTGCTATCACAAGTGAGCATTGAGGTTGCGAGGGGTGAATCGAGTGGGCCTGTGTAATATCTGTCTACCTTCGTTGCGTTTCCATCTTTGGCGGATGGAATGTGCTCGATCAACATATCGACAAGGCCTGTAGATGGTCCGAAAAACTGCTCTAAGCAGAGCTTAAGAAGTGGTCTAGTGTCCATTTTGTATGCAGATGGTTTCAGCGAGATACCCAAGCCGGCAAGCGTCTGTGCCAAGTCGTTGACATCCTCTCCAATAACCTGGGAAATGTTAGTTAATTATGGGAAGAAGCGACTTCTCTTTACCTGTGTGTAAATTTTGTAAAGTGGTTCCAAAACAAAGTGGACGAATGATCGCACTGGTGAACCTTGTGGAGGCTTCCTGACAAACTTCCTTCTTTCAACGTCAAAGAAAATATTACCCCATAGTCTAGCTGCAAAAGCGTTGATATCGAAGGAACCGAAAGTGTCTGCATACATCTGGGCAAATGATTGAAGAGTGAAGCACCAATGCATATCTGTAGAAGCAAAGGCAACATTACCAAGCTCAGGGGAAAGACGAGAACTCTCATGAGGAGCAATAGTGGATATCACGCTGTTGACTTCTTCAATTGTATGCTTAACTTTAAAGTAGGCTTCTGATGGTGGGAGACGTAATTCAAGGAAAAGACGCTCCATTTTGTTCAAAACTAAAACTGGTCTGAGACCTTCCTTGAGGACATGCTTCAAAGCGAGTTCTGTACCAGCCATCACGCCTTCTACTACGTCCACTACGACAATCGCACCATCTGCCAATCTGGTAGCATTTGCTACTTCATCTACAAAGTTTGTGTGTCCTGGTGTGTCAATAGCATTCACTAGGATAGATTTACCGATTGTTGACTGCAAAACGAAGGACATTGGTGTTGATTTGATGGAGATTTCTCTCGAACGCTCTAATTCATGAAGATCGGTGTATCTCTCCTTTTTGTCCGAATCCCAAGTCAATTTGTGGGTCTGGAAAGTGAGAAGATCCATGAGGGAAGTCTTTCCGTGATGTAAATGACCAACTACGACGACATTTCTGACCATTTCTGGGTAGTGCATCATATCAACCAAGAAATTTCTATCAAAACGAGTCTCTAGGAGATCTTTCTCTTCAATCTGGAACTTTCTCTCCTTGATTGGCTGTACTATTGGTTCGCTGATGTGCTGAGCGTCTTCTTCTTCGACGCGCTGGGAAAGTTAGCTGGTGATGTTATATACCTGATCACATACTGTTTCAACGTCCTATTTGGAGGTTTGTTAGTTAATGAATGGTATATCATAGTCAATCACCCACAGGGCCATAAGTTTCCTCAGCAGATGGATAATAACGCTTATCCTCGTGCAATACAACTTGGTTCTGTGGTGCTTCTAATAGATCGTTAGAGCTATACTATCTGGTGGTGTATTGCTCACCATCAACTTGCATCAAAGTAGAGATACGCTGTTCGTTTGAAACGTCGAGGTTCTCGTTATCATCATCATCTTCGTAACCTTCCAATGGTGCGTAGGACGTCTGAGCGGCCGGTGGTTGCTGCTCTTCTTCTTGAATATCCTCATCTGAGTCTAAATCGTCACCGAGGTAGTTACCAAACTATATATTATTAGAGATATACTAGTAATAACTATATATCTCTCACCTCATCGTAGAGATTATCATCCATCTTCACCGTTGAGTACCAAGTTGGACATCTCAGAGTGTAACTATCAGGAAGTTAAGAAAATAAAAATCTAAAATGGGATTATTAGGTAGTGAAATGTTATTCTTTAATGTTCGTATATTTATTAGCCAAATACCTCTCTAATATATCCGTCTATAGGTCCATAATGGCTATTTAGAGGGCATTTTAAGAGGATATAAAGCAGCTTTACTTACACACTCTAATTATACAAACTTACAACAATGCGATACACTCGAGGGTTAGTTATCCGCTTCCTGAATGAACGAATCATCTAAGAATTATCTAGACTTTAGAATGCAGTTATCTGCTACTGACTACGGCAATTTCCTAGCAAATGAATCACTCCCTTTGGTTCGTTCTTTGTCTATCATTTGATAAGCACTTTCTCACATCTGACGCAGTCTACTTCTAAAATCGCAGAGAAATCAACTAATACTCTAGTCGACGAGTTTAAATATATAAGCACTAACTCAACAGAACCTCTATCCACTTTCTTGGATTACATTACATACGCTTACATGATTGACAACGTTATCTTGTTGATCACAGGTACCTTACATGGAAGAGACACACATGAATTGTTAGAAAGATGTCATCCACTCGGCAAATTCGACGCCATGTCCGCACTTTGTGTCGCTACAAACGTGGAAGAACTCTATCAATCTGTCTTAGTAGAGACACCATTAGCACCTTACTTTAGAAATTGCTTGACAGCATCAGATTTGGATGATCTCAATATAGAAATCATAAGAAACGCAGTATACAAAGCCTACTTAGAGGACTACCACGCGTTTGCACAAACGTTGGAAGAACCAACTGCTTCGATAATGACAAAGCTGCTCGCTTTTGAGGCTGACAGAAGGGCAATCAATATTACTCTCAATAGTTTCGGTACAGAGCTCACGAAAGAGATGCGTTCTAAATTATATCCAGAAATCGGTAGATTATACCCTGCAGGAACGAATGTATTAGCCAGAGCAGACGATTTTGATCAGGTTAGAGCTGCTTGTGAAAGTATCCCAGAGTATCATCAGATGTTTGATGGTATTTCTTCAAATTCAGCAGATAATGATGACAACAATTCACTCGAGGATCGTTTCTTCGCTCATGAGGTGTTGTTAAACAAGGAAACATTCTTACAGCAGTTCAACTATGCGCCTTTCTACAGTTATTTCAAACTCAAGGAACAAGAAGTTAGGAATATTGTTTGGTTAGCTGAATGTACTGCACAATCAGCACCACAAGACAGGAGGGCAGTTCCTTATATATTTTAACGTGTACATTTTCTTATTATATATTTACTTCATCTTGTCCTATAATGGACGCACTCGGTGATATTCTCGGTGACGCAAGAGAGAAGAAACTATTGTAGAATAAAAAGAGAGTGTACGTGCTGTTGGATAAGTGACGCATTTCCACAAGTTCACCCCACGGGCGACCTTCTTACACTACAGTCATCATCGCAATACATGTTTAATAGAAAAGCTGCGTCTATAGCAGCAAGACCAGTTAGAGGATATTCATGGACGACTGCAGCGTCGTTAGCTAAAGCTGCCGCTACTCACAAAGCCAGTTCACCGATTTCTGTAGATCCATTCACTTTAGTGGGGAAGGAATTGAAGGGTTTAACGGGCAGCATTAAACTCAACTTAGGTAGTAACTTGAAGTCTCTTGACACGTTATCAAAGTATTATTTCGAAGCCCAGGGTAAGCATTTGCGGCCGACTATTGTTTTATTGATGGCGCAAGCAACCGCTGGACTGAGCCCACACTATAACGCGTCAAAGGATCTCAAAAATGTATTAGTAAATGATCCTTTAGCACCACAATCGATTTTAAATGACAATAATCCATCATTTCATAATGGAATATCACATATTGGTCAAGATGGTATTCTTGCAACTCAAAGAAGATTGGCTGAGATAGTTGAAATGATTCACGTCGCGAGTCTGCTACATGACGATGTCGTTGATGATGCAGATACCCGCAGAGGTGCCCCAAGTGCGCCTGTCAAATTCGGTAATAAGCTTACAATCTTTGCCGGTGATTTCCTTCTAGGTAGAGCTAGTATCATGCTTGCAAGATTACGTAGTCTTGAAGTAGCAGAATTGATCGGTGCAACAATTGCCAACCTCGTTGAAGGTGAAGTTGCTCAATTGAATGAGACTTACGAATCTAAATCAACTAATACGGAAACAATTATCGATGAAGCATTCGAAAGATACCTTAGTAAAACTTACCTTAAGACTGCTAGTTTGATTAGTTCCTCATCTAGAGCTGCTGTCTGTTTAGGTGGTGTTGGTATCAATGAAAATTGGCCAGAAGGCGAGTACCTCAAAGATGCTGCTTATGAATACGGCAGAAATCTTGGAATGGCTTTTCAAGTAGGTATTTGCAACACTGTTATCCTTCTCGTTTAACAAAAAGCCAGCTCGTCGACGACTTACTAGATTACACTTCATCTGTTGACCTCGGTAAGCCAGGTGAAGGTGCGGATATGCAACTTGGGTTGGCTACAGCGCCTGCCTTATTTGCATGGAGAGAATTTGAAGAAATCGGTCCGCTTATAAAACGGAAATTCAAGCATCCAGGTGATGTACAAGTTGTTAGTATATACTCTAAGCTCCACATAAACAAATTAACAACACCCAGGCTAAAGAAATAGTTGCAAATTCACAAGGTATGCCAAAAACAGCCGAATTGGCGGCAAGCTATATAGATAAAGCCAAAATTGCATTACACAAATTACCTGAAAGTGAAGCAAGGGACGGATTAGAAGCACTTTGTTTGAAAGTACTGGATAGAGTAAAGTAATTTGCATTGTTTCATAAATTTAATACAAGAAAATACTTTGAAATCATTACTTCATGATGATCGTAACCACTGTCATTTAGAGTTGATAGATCGAGGCCCATTGATTCTTTTCTTTTGGTGGGATGAGTAATTCATCGAGTACTTGGACGGCAGCGTTGCGTGCTATGCCGTCGTGCCATGAGACACTCTTGCCTTGAACCTTTACGTCAAAGGAATATGGCCCATATGGAACGGTTTGAGATTTAATAAGCTCGTATTCAATTGGGTCTGCATCCTTGAGTAGAGTCTTCGCTTTGACCTTTTTATGGAAGAGATCATCATTCTCATTCGACTTGGCTTGCTTATTTGATTGAAAATCAATAAAGATTGAGTTTTCTGGTACGATGTGATATTCCAACAAACGTTTAAGATGTTCTGTGCCGAGTGGGGAGAACAAAAAGCCTAAAACCTTTGGTGGGAGCTTCTCAAATGCACTATTGAGTGGTGCATTAATAGTAAGATGACCGTTTCCTCTTTTACCATCAAGAGAGAGATCAAGGAGAGGAGCCAAACCGACTTTCTGGAGTGCTGAGGTGAAAATTGAAAATTCTCTTGCGAAAATGAACAAAGCATTGATAGCAGAAGGCGGCGGAATCAAGACATGGTCAAGAGCATGTATAACTGCATTTGATGATTTAATATCTTGTGTACTGATCTTAGCGAAATGGTTAATAACCGTTGCTGGAGGGACGAATTGTTGCTCGATACGCAAACGCTGACCGGCACCATTTAATGTATTTGGTTCAGTGAGAATAGTCTCAACGGTACTAAAGTCGTGCAACGTCTTGACGTCTAACTTCTGGTCAACCGTGTGATACATGACGACAGCTTCGACAAAGCGAGAGAAATGTTTCTTGCGCTCTTCGTCATCAAAAGTGTGACTTTTACGAGCTTCAGCATAGAGCTTGCCGAGGTAATTTGGAATATCTGTCTCATCGTGAGATGCGCAACCTTTGTCTTTTTCTTTGTGATCAGGAATTGCGTCATTTGTTGGAACAAAAAGAGTGTAATCTTTCTCGTTCTTGATATGATCTACAGCAGATGGGGAGAACTTCTCCAAAATAGTAGTGAACTGTGATGTGTTTTGTTAATCATTACATAGAGTGGCAATAAAGTATCACACACTTTGCTGAACTTTTTTGGGTCATTTTTGAGGACGTCCCATGCATTCTCTGATACTTCAAGAGGTGTAGCTTTATCAATTGACTCGCTACTTTCGCCATAGATGTAGTGGCTAAGCCAGCCTCGAGAAGTATCTACAATTTGACGCTGAAGACCGGCCTCTTCAGAGAAGGAGATTGGTACATGCAGAGCGCTTGCAAAAGTTAGCCCTGATATTACTAACGCAAAATTGAACTTCATTGTTTTGAAGGAAGAAAGAAAGAAAGTCGACGGCGTTCGTCTCCCCGTAAACTATGACGTAAGACAGATACCTCATAGAATAATCATCCATATTAATTAATTTAGGTATACAGCAACAGCAATTCATGTAGCACTAAAATGTACATTCTACTTTTGTTTGGGTCTAGCAACTTGTGATTGACGTTATTTATCAAATGAATCAACAATTTTGGAACACATTCATGCGTTCCTGAATGCGCGATAAATAACTTTTTTCGCACGAAGTTACTAATCCGTTCCTATTAAGTGTACCCGCTATCATGAGAAGAATCAAAGCGGATCACATTACTACATGTTTGCTTATGTTTAATTGAAAGCTAAAAAAAAAACTACTGGTAGGGGTGTACTCATGGAGGAACTGTTTTAAATGTTAGATATAGTAAATAGCTTACAAGCATCTCACAGTTCTACACGTCCTCGTCACAAGTACCAATTAACTTTATCTTGAAGTATATGCTTCTTTTGGAAAGTCCTTACAAGCATAGTCTTTACAGCCCAGCCATTAAATAGTTGTCTAGATATCTCTAGGCGTCGTGGCAGCTTTAAAGTAGTACTATATTAGTACTATGTATATTATATTTAGCAGTCTAACAAAGATTGACATCAGGAAAGTGGTGCACAATTTCTACATATCGGATTGATACCTCAAACGCACAAGAACGTATTCAAGTATCAGCTCAACATTCCATTGACGTTTGCTCCTATCGATCTTGGTGCCAGAGGTGCCTTAGTACCTACAGGGTGGTAGATCATCTAAAGGAATAACGCAGTATTACACTAAAGTGAACCATCTAAAGCTCCTCATATTTTGTGCTCGTAAGAAAGAGAGTCACTAATTTCAGATTGATTCAGGAATGACATCCTCAAGTTGCTTTGAGTGAAAGTCTTTCTAGTTAACGGGTAATAATCTCAAATTATATTTCATGTAACCTAAAGCCATCCGTCCATCCTTGATCGCAACTACTTAATAAAAAAAGTAAAACAAAAAAAAAAAACAAGCATCGGAGACCTTATTTTACATTTGTTTCTTTGTCACGCTCACATGAAGTTTATCACGAGCTACAACTTAGGGCTAATTACTTTAGTCCTTATGATCAACCTATCTATGTTCATTTGTGCTTTTGAATTAAACAGATAGTATAGGCCAGAGAATTATTTTTCAGGTGACGCCAACGAAGCAGCAGCTTTCAAGACAAAACCATTGCAACAGCAAACTGTAGATTCATCCAAAACCACAGAAATGGGTTTTATTTCTAATATAACCTATTCTGACTTCATTAGTCTAAAGTTGGAAGACCTACCATCTTGATAGGAATGGCAGAAGTCTAAATTATTGAATAGCTCCAATGTATTAGGTGATAACCGCTCAGGCGATGATGACAAGGATAAATAAGCCTTGCCAAGCTATAAAGTTGTAGTCAGATAATTATCATGGATACTATAGGAGCCCCCAGAGAGGCTCAAAAATCCATCATCTGGGATGATCCAGCTCTTCCACCCAAGAAGACCAATTATAAGTTGTTGAATTTCCTCTTTGTTTTAGATATAAATAGATATCAGAAGTTGAATATAAGTATACAAAGATCAAAAGTAGTGCACAAATACGTATAAATAAAGAAATGGGGATGAAACCAATGATTATAACCTTCTGGAAGCTAGACTAAAATATATGAAATATATCACGTCATTGAGCAGAGAACAAAACTAGACAAACCAACATATATAATAGATGCGAATGGAACATAACAATCCATTATGTCTGGATTACCTGGATTATATATTATAGCGACATAACGTGTTTCACTTGCGCTCAGTCGCATGATCATATTCCAGCTTGAAGTTTAGATAGTGCTTAAGTGGACTTGCATCGATTAAACTACAAATCTGTATCTCTTGTAAGATCAAGTAAAATCCAGGAGGTCACTCTCAGTCGAGATTTGTGCTGGGATGACCTTACTACACATACACTTCATGTTTATTTTAAAAGCTTTTACGTTGAATAGCCTGTAACCTCTTCAGATCTAACTTAGAAGTTGGAATATGCACTTGCATTAAACTATTAACCGGTTTGCTATCTCGCTGATATTAAGGACCCTTTTTCAATCAGGAACGTCGCCCTACCGATCAAACCAGACGTCTGAAATACCTGGTTTGGCTCTGACATGATGATACATCATTCGGCAATCTAAAACATCTGAAACGTTTTTATCTTCTATCAGATTGACACGTAATATGCCGAAAAATTAGCATGCGTCCGTGCTAGAGTACCCTCAATTAAATTGATTCCCGCCCCGGCCAATTATCACGTCTTCTTGGACCGACAGTCATTTTAAATTATATCATCATACATTTACTCCTGTGGGGGTCTTTTCAGCATGGAAAACGATGGAACCAAAGGTAGGTAAGAGACATTAATTGCCAGAGGTGACTAAGAAGTCCAGCGAGGTTCTTTTCTATATTCGACCATCCACCAGAACGCTTAATGGAAAACTTGCAGGATGTTTCTAAGCCATCGCATTCGCGCAAAGCGAAAGACAACCACGTTTCTAGACCTCGGAAGTAAGTGAATAAGAAGCAACACTAAATCAACTAATTATGTCCATGTTAGCTCGTGGATTATATTTAGAAATGACATCCATAATCAGTTGAAAAGCATACCATCCTGGTCGGGCGACATAAAATATGAGTCACGATATGCCTCAGAGAGATGGAAAGCTGTACCACCGGAAGTGAAGCAGACTTATATTGACCTTGCAAATCAGGAAAAAGAAGCCCACCAGAGAGCCCACCCGAATTATCGCTATAAGACGCGCAGAGGTGCAACGAGTAAAGGCTCTCCACCAGAGGTACAAGAGCATCAAGACATATCTTCCATATCTTCTTCAGGTAGTCCATACGAGAACTCGATGTTGAACCAGGTTCCTAGCTCGGCTCACGACAATCTCACAGCTGCTATAGCCGAGAGATATAGTAAAGAACACAATTCGTATCATGATGAATACAAACAAAACCATAACTTCTACTCTACTACAACCAGTTTCAATTTAACCACTCCTCCATCGGTCGATCCCTACAATCGTAGTAATTACTGCCAAGATAACAGTGACAGACCATTCAGATCCTTCGATGGTATTTCTACCCCTAATTTCGAATACCATGGTGATGGTTTATTGATAGACACCAGATATTACGCAGATCTGCCAGGTTCGTCTTCCAGACCATATTGATTGGCCCAAAGCTCAATCCCAACACGCTAAGCAGTGGTTTTTCGAATACTACACTATTCTCAATCAACTCGCTTATGGATTAGATTTATTTATTTCGACTTCGTTACTAAAATTGCGTACTTTACTTCGTCTATCAATAATACATGGTAATACCATTCAATGTCAATAATATTATATTGTTCAAACACTCTATTTGGTTTCAAATATATTCATTTGACCTTCTTCTGCTACTTTACAACGACGGTTGAAACATTTTTCAAACGTGAGCTGAGCATAATGGTGTTAGTGTGTGTTTTTTTGACTGAAATACACTTACCTGAATCCTGTATCCGGATCGTACAATTCTAGTTGGTCTATTGTATGCACCCCTTCCCGTAGTGCGAGGAAATTGACATTGACACTCTGACAGCTTCCTGGCTGGAGAGGACCAAAACGTACAAAGTTTTCAAGTGGAATGATACCAGCATCACAATTAGGGTTAGGAATGTCGTCCAGCAACCTTTCCTCAAATGACATCGATTGATTTCGACTGTTTATTTGATTGTGATTTGGAAATGCTACTACAAACCTCCTCGCAAGTGTACTTTTATTGAATAAGAATAACTCTACTGGAAAGATATCAAACGTTTTTATCAAGTCTGCGCTCTCCTTTGCTGGTGTGTTTATCTGTGGGCTAAAGATTGATGGTGATCTTTGGGCCAACTTTATAGACTTTGTTGGTTTCAGTACACTTACACTGACCAATACATTCTCTTTCGATGAAACGACAGATCCAAGGTTAGAAGTTGTGCTATCTGTTGATTCACTGTCACTTTCTTCAGATATCTGTTGCTGTTGACGAGAAGTAGCTGCCGCCATTTCTGATGCGTGTTGCAAATTAGTCAGCGTGAAGCGTCTATTACCAGCCACTGGACCAGACATATGTTTTGAACTATTGGTGTTCATCGATGTTGGTCTTGCTGTTACTGTATCAGTTGTGTTGTTATATTTCTTCCAATCTTCTACTAAGGCATTCGAAATATCAATAAAGCTGTTCCATTTCATGTCGAACACCGATCCATTTTCTGTGTGCGCCAGAACATTTATTCTAACGTTAAATCTCCGCGGTCTGTTGAATTCTTTCGATTGTCTTGATTTATCAACGACCGGTTGGACTTCTTTCTGTTTAAACACAATAATGTATATCAAATTATGCTGCTCGCCTGCTTGCAACTGCGCAGGAAGGTCGGATTGTGTGAGCTCATGACGACGTCCTATTAATTCATCGTTGTCATCAGCAATACTAGCCTCTTTCATTCGTATACCAACATCAGTGACCATGAAGTTGTTTCTGATGCAGTTCTCAAGCTCTAGTCCGAGTACGAGGTGAGGCTTGTCGTCTTCTGGGCGATGCAGTAGGGAGGGAATGTTGACAGCTCGCATGCGTACACTAAAAGCTGATGAAATGGGTATAACAATCCTGCAGGATCTCTTCAGAGTCTTCTCTGGGATGTTGTGTGATGGTATATCGTCATTTTGGTATGTTTGAGTTAACCTACTTGATGGCAGTCTGAGTAACGGAGAAACGCCCTCCAGGAGATCTATACTATCCCAATCATCGATGATATCATCGTCGTCTTCGGTATTCTTGCAATTTACTGTACTTTCTACACTTTTCGACTCGTTTTGCTTGTCTCTGAGCGTTATCGTTGATGTTAAAGCAGCAGACGGCTTGCTGAAGTTCATTCTAACCCTGACGGCATCGACATTGACGATCCAGTTGCACACCCAATTGACTTCTCCCTTGGTAAGTGACTTCTCTGATCCCTCAAACAAAGTTGTAGAGACAAATACACCCTGTGATTTACTGAACTGCTCAGACCCCTCTGGGATCGGCGATGGTGTGGCTGGACCAGGTATCGGACCGAATGCAGTCTGTGGTGTCTGTCTTAATGGATTGCTACCCTCATCCTCGCTATCGACGTAATTCAAACTGACGGTAACTAATAAGCTATTGAACAAATCTTCCACAGTTGATTTACTTTCATTTCCGTCTATTTCCAACCGAACTGTGACGCCCAAGCGTTCATCTAAGTTTAGGTTATTAGAATGTTGCTAATTTGGTAAATTACACACCAAAATACGCGTATCGTTTGTCAGAATCTAATGTGGCGTCTAATTTACCCCTTTTTAACAATTCGTCACCTGATTTCATCGACGTCAATATTAACCGATTAGAATAACCGTGATGAGCATAATAGAGCCAAATTTAGAGAGAGATTATACGAAAGTTTCTAGCAAGGTATCAGAAAAGAACGTTATTGTTACAGGCGCAGCTAATGGTTTAGGTAAGGAATTAGTACTTGAGTGAGTGATTTGTTTCTTTGGAACACTCGTCTGACTATAACAAGGTTATTAGACCATGGCGCTACTATTCTTGCTGCTGATATTGATGAAAAGGGTCTAAGTAAACTGACAAAACATCCAAGACTCTTCACGAAACAAGTTGACGTCACAAATTATCACAATCAACTGTCGTTATTCAGATACGCGAGGGAGGTGTTAGGAAGAATAGACATCGTGTATGCCAACGCAGCCGTCGGGAATAGCCCAGATTACACTTCAGATATAAACGACGGTAGGTAATGATTACTGTTCATTGTCGTGATATTTGACACGCGACTAGAAATTGAACCAGATTTGAGAGTGGTCGATATCAACGTCAAGGGTGTTCTTTATACTACCCATCTCGCAGTGAAGGCTTTCAGGGAGGACAAAAGAGATAATATCGCTCAAGATCAATGCATCGTTCTCACAGGTTCTTTCACTTCTTTCTTGTCAACACCAGCATATCCAGCACCTTATGCTGCTTCGAAGCACGCTGTATGGTCAATGATGCGTTCCTTAGCCACACAGGGGGAAGTAGAAGGCTTCCGTGCTAACATCATATGTCCTTGGTTTGCACCAACAGCGATGGTTATTCCTTCAGTTAGGCTCCTTTTGACTGGTGTAGGCATGGCTAAAGTCGAGCCTATCATCCGCGCTTTTGTCATAGCTGGTAGTGATCCATCACTCTCAGGTAACGGTTTTGTTATCGATACTAACGGACTGTTCATCATTCCTGCAACATTGATTGATGCACAATGTGCAATAGCATTCAGACAACGTTTCATTAATGTCCTTAAAATTCAGAATACCTTACGTACTTATCACACACCGATTAGATTTATAGGTAGCCTCTTAGGGGCAATCGGTGTACTCATGGGAGTAAGTTTTGCAACATCATATCTCAACATAAAATTAATTTGAAATTTCCATTCATGATAAATTTACTCGTCACTGTCATACTCATCGCTATCGCTGTCGCTATCTTCTGAAGAAATTGGACCGATGTCTAATAATTGTCTATTTGAATTAGTTTGACGCGGTTTGAAATCCTGGTCGTGGTCTATGTTATCTTTCTCATCGTTGAGATCCCAAATAAGTATATAAGAGGGTATGATATTATATTGCTTCGCTAAACCTGCAATACGACTAGCTAGACTCGTTTCAGATTCGCAAATCAAAAATAAATCTCTATGATGTGCGTAAATATGCGAAACTATTCTAGATAGTTTCCGCAATATAGTTTTTTGGGTATCAGATGAAGTTGACGATGTATTCAAATCGTCCACTATACTATTCAGATTGTGTATACTATACTCAAGCGCTGAACATTTTGATCTTCTATGATTGGAATGTGAAACACAAACGAAAGAAGCATCTTTTGCTGTCATTTCCGGACATCTACAGTTCTCCTGTAAAAGTGTCATCCAAGGTGTGTTGAGTTCCTTCGTAATTCTCCTCAGGTGTTCGTATATCCATTGATTTTCGCTGGCTTGTCCTAAAGAATCCGGTAGAGAAACCAAGCTATTAACATCATGCTTGGATTTTATCAGGTAATTTAGATGTTCTTGTAGGTCAAAACAGCTGTCATGTGTACTTGTGCTGGATTGTGCATTCTCAAATGACTGGAATGTGATTTATCAGCAGAGGAAAGTGTGAATACAAGATACTCACATCCCTACGCATACCTTTCCTCACACGTATTCTCTTTCTAGCTACAAGCTCCTCGTTGTTCTCTCGATGATCGTCTTCTCTATCGCCATTCTTGCTAGAAGGCTCCACTTCGGGTGTGTGAAGCACAGTACCACTGATTTTTTGCTTCTTAACCAAATTAAACTTCTGCTGCTGAGATTTCAGTATCTCCTGGCTCATTTTACGCTCTAAACCGGAAGTAGCACCGTCAGACTTTGTAACGATAGCTTGAGCAGTCGTAGCAGTAGCTATTGGTGCTGGACTGTGTAATTTATTCGACGTGCGTAGGCTATTGTTCGATTTTTTCTTACTCACTTCAGCCATTCTAGCTCAGCGTTTATTATCAAGAGGCGTTCCTACGAACGACGATCTAAAAATATGAAGTGCAATACGTGCAATAGGAATAACTCATCTGGAATGATATGTAATAATTGTATAAGTGCGTTATATTGTCTTTTATACCTTCAAATTGCTTATCAATTCTCTAGATAGGACGCTAACTGACGTACGACGAAAACAGCAATCAGTAAAAAATGCCATATACCTCAATAGACAAAGTGACAGTGTAAAAGGTTTAGTAGATACTGTCAAAAGGACCAAGGGTCACTATGATGCAGCCAGGATGAGTACACGCTTGGATAAACTCGATAAGGAAATAGGCGAGCGGATACACGCAAATAATAACAGTGAGTCGTGCATTTGCCACATCCTTTGTACTAATCCGATTAAGTACAGATAGAGTTACGTGACAAACGCAATGACATAATCAGCCGACGACACAAACTCCGTCTAGCAAGGGACCAAGTTGGTGTTTCACAATCCCAGAATACAAGACGATCATCGTCCTTGACGTTCCTTGAATTGAAAGAAAGTAGGCGCGTTCTAGCATTGGAGTGTCTCAACATATACGGATTGCGGGGCTTACAGGATGGTATGACGGTTATTGCGGGTGTTTTAGTACCACCTTTGCACCAATTACAATGTATGTAATATTCTAGACAAGATTGAGCTCTTCTGATGTCCTCTGACTTAAGGTTTATCACATCTCCATCTACTATTTATAGCCTCGACACTTGCACAAATCCTTCAGCATCTATCCAATTATCTCTCTCTACCGCTTCCATTTACAGCTCACAATGTGTCTTCATACGCACCGACTATTGCTTTATCCGAGACAAACAAGGTTTTTCTCGCCGACATAGCACCGTGTAAGACAACTAAACACGTTTTGCCGTCTCTTCAGGCTTTGAGTATGCTGGTGTACAACATTTCTTTCATCTTGAGTGTTTCAGGTTACACTATAGAGCATACGGACATTGTCTACGTACTCAACTTACTCTCAAGGATTGAAGATTCACCTGAACTAGGAGCACAATCATTTGCAGTAGGAGCTCCATCATTAACTAGCTTCTCTAGTCTGAAATTGCCACTATCAGCTGTCACGAACGTATTATCGAATAATAACATGCTACATCTTTCCAGTAGTAGCACTGACGAAAGTGAAGATCAATGGGAGGTTGTAGATTAAAATTAATTTTTACCTAGCAAACGCACATAAAAAGCACACCGTTGTACTTATACAAATTTATATCAATTGATTGTAACAAAAGGAAAATGAGATGGCTGTTGAATCCTAAAAAGTTGTTGCAGAATTATCTAATTGCTAGCTGCGTATGTTGAAAGTAAATATCCATCATCTATGACTCTATTTATGAAAGACCGATTTTAATGCAAAATACGAGTGAGAATGTTTTGCTTAGTCGATGAAATTCTATCAAAGATAGATCCAATATCAGCTTCGCTAACATCTGTAACGTCTGCCATAAGGTATGCGATACCATCTCTAGAATCTGAGTATTGCTTGCTAACGTTAAAGTGACCAGTATTTTCATCTGACAAGATAGCGTTAATTTCCTTCAATACACCTGGTTCATCTTTGTGTACGTGAAGGATTCTTGCTTGACGGTTTTCACCTTCCTTTGGCTTAGCAGGTATTCTCAAGTCAACTTCTGGGAATTGTACAGCGTTGATAGATGTACCGTAGCTCAAGTACTTGAAGAGAGAGGTACCAACTTCAATACCGATCATACGTTGAGCCTCTTCAGTTGAACCACCAATGTGTGGTGTAAGAATGAGGTTTGGACATTGACGTAATTTCTCAGCAAATGGACCTAATTCAGCTGTGAACAAGTTTGCACCGTTTCCTTTTGGTTCTGCTGGGAAAACATCTACGGCTGCACCGGCGAGATGTTTAGAAGTGAGTGCGTCTGCCAATGCACCCAAATCAACGACGGAACCTCTAGCGTTGTTGAGAAGGTAAGCACCCTTACGCATCTGGCTGAGCTCCTTTGCTCCGATCATGTTCTTAGTTTCTGGCAACTCTGGGACGTGTAAAGTGACGAAGTCAGATGATGAGAGGAGTTGTTCCAAAGTGTCGACTTGTCTGGCTTGACCAAGAGGCATAATTGGGAGAACATCGTAGTACAAAACGCTCATACCCATTGCTTCTGCTAAGACAGACAATTGGCTACCAATGTGGCCGTAACCAACGATACCCAAAATTTTACCTCTGATTTCCCAACAGCCAGAGCTGACCTTGTTCCAAGTACCTTGCTTGAGTTCATTTGATCTATCTACGTACTGTCTGGAGAGTGCGATAACTTCTGAAATGACCAATTCAGCGACTGAGCGTGAGTTTGCATATGGTGAGTTGAAGACGCAAATACCAGAGTTGGCAGCTGCGGAGAGATCAACCTGGTTGGTACCAATACAGAAGCAACCGATTACTAGCAACTTTGAAGCTGCTTTAATGACTTTGCTAGTGAGTTTTGTCTTTGAACGAATACCGATTGCGTGATATTGTCCGATACCGGCGAGAAGTTCCTCCTCGGACCAAGCTTTTGCGAAGTGGTCTACGTGGAATCCAGCTTCACGGAGCTGTGTAGCTGCACCTTGGCTGACGTTCTCTAAGAGAAGAATACGGAGCTGCTCAGTTTTGAATGGCTGGTCGGACTTTGGCTTGAATTGCTCCAAAGCAGCAGCTAAGATGTTTCTATTGACTAATGCTTTTGGTGATGCAGAAGAAGCCTAGGAAGTGTTAGAGATGACTATCAGATCAAGCTGGACAGACGATATCAACTTCACTGGCTCTGACAGCGTCATGTGGACTGCTTGAGCGTGGTGTAGGGATTGGGATAAAGTTTGTCATTTCGTTGTCACCGTTCGAGATCAAGAAGATATCTATTCGGACTTGAGCTGATGACTAAAATTATGACTCGATAAACGACGAAATAAATGAAAAAGTTATTTATCAGTTAAACATTATTCCGAATAGCCTATTACGCTATCACTTCCTAAAACAGAAGCCGCAGGTTATGAAGATGCAGACAATCTAGACTAGCGTGCTATCGGCTAATTATATCTTATTCATATACACGCAGAATGAATTTATTATATTACACTTTCGTTTTTGTTGCCCTCGCATTTTCTATCAGTGCAGCACCTCAGACTAAGGACGTAGGTGTGGATGCACGTTTACATAGATAACAGCTTACACTTGGTTAGGAAATGTTTAGCAGCGAAGTAAAAGCCATCAACGGACACCTCACGCCTGCGCCTAACAATAGAATGCAATAATAACAATGTAAACTATCATAATCATACGCTATTTTATCCTATTTCTGTATTGTGCGCTTATGGTATATCTGCACAGCTTGAATGATTACTATAATCGTCACTACACGGTGATATATAACGGATGTGTCACTCTGTAGATCATCTATCAGTCAAACGACAAATACCCCTATGAACGTGTTTAACTTAATCTTCTCCATCGCTGCTGTCTTAAGCCTCGCTCAAGCTGGACCAGTGGGTAGTATGTCTCCCGACTAGACAGTTACTAACATTCATTCAGATTAAACGCGATGGAGATAATTTAGAGCAAGATATCAAGCCACAAGTACCCCAAAACCCTGCTAATCTCTTTAACTTGTAATCTCTCTTACTCTTCCACTTCCGTATCCAGATTTATTTTATTTCCTTATCTGCTACTATCAACTACTATGATCCAGATAGCTTACTTTGCATCGCTTCTATCTATTACTCTGCACGGATTGTCCAACGTGAGCACCTCAGCAGACATACGCGTCTGTCTAACAAAGAACAGTCCAAGCGGTCATTCCGCGATAAATACCTTGAATTACCTTACAACTTATCATAAATTTGTAGAATACAGTACCAGCAGTATTAATTCAGATTACATCCATTCCTTAAAGTTAAAACTCTATCATGTTGTTTAACGTCATAGCCTCGCGATTACTGTTATCTTTGATGAACAAGTTGCTAGATAGATTTGATGAAAACGTTTTATTAGACAGTAGTCACTTAACGCCTATCACATAACGTGCCTCAGTCAGCCTCATCTTGTATCGCAACAGCAGAGAACACTATCAAGTGGGTCCATTTGTAATTTAGTAGAATAACTAACTTTTTAGAACATCGCAGTAGTTCTATGGTGCCATAAGTCCCAACACTCTGGCTGTAATATAATATTTTCAGCATCATTTATAATCACACAAACTGCTCAAGAGGTGTATCAATGAATAGCATGTCACATGAATTTTATAGTGTTTCGAAGCCTTTAGATTATTTCTGATGCCTTATAAGTCTTTTCATATAAGAATGAAAGTAATGTTATTTGATAATATTAGTGCGCTAGAACATAGCTTATAGCTTACTGTTAATTAGCAACCTGAATCGTAAGCACTTCAGTTAATGGGTCGGCCTTCCTCTTAGCCAAAGCACCTTAAGTATGCTCATATTTTCTTCATCAAAAACTTACTGGCTATACTTGGTTTGCCAGCCTTGCAGGCCCCTTATCATAAGAAAAAAGTTCCTTAAAATGCAAATTTGGGGGCGATTTTTATCTCTTTTCTGGTATTTTGCAATATATCAACGAGTTGCTTGCTTTTCCCTTTCCTACTGAGACAAATCATGTTTCATTATTGTTACATTTGACACATAGAGCTCTTATCAATATTTCTATTCTAATAATATAAGTAGAGCATACCCAGCTCTAGTTGCCATTAAAACGGAGATTATATCCATGCAATTGACAAATTACACGACGTACCGTTGCAACAATCGAAATATCTTCATGTAAAATAACCGTACCACCAGAATGAGAGCTTTCATATGAAACCAGGCTCTATTCCAAAAAGTTAAACACAAGTGCCTTGATATGATTAACGCTCTACTCCCTCATTACCTAGAGCGTAGATAATAGGGCCTCCTTGAGACCTATGTTCTCCGACCTTCGAGATTAAAATAGTACGCTCTTAAGTAATTTCATCAGATTTGTCAGGCTATATCTTCATTAGCTTAATTCGGCTTCTAAGAGGTTCGAAAATTTTGATCAATATTCAGTTTCCTGTTTAGCCTTCTGATGATACACTAAGAGATCCAAAGCATAGAAAACCCCTTTAGATAGCTTATGATCCTGCAAAGTTGCAGATATACCATTATAGACACTGTAAGACAAATGCTATATTAACTACTCCACAATACATCGCTTGGTGCTCATGTAACAAGAACAATGGTTAACAGCAGCAGAATTACGCTTTATTATATACCCAGGTAGGCCCCAGGTATGAACGAATGTATTTCATAGTGTAATATGTCTATACATGTTCGTCTAACATGACACAATTTGTCGGCATAACGCCTTTCTAATGAAATTTACTGAGCGTGATAATCAGTATACAGTCCTTTTGACTTATTTTCAGCTTCTGCGGTGTCTCATGTTTGAGTACCATATGCTATGACAATTAAATGGGAAGAATAATATTCAAACAGTAAGACACAAAGAAAATTAAATAGATATGCTATTTAATACGTTACGTATAGAATACTTTGGGATACTCTCTCAGCGTTAAACTCCTTGATTCCTCTGCAGTTTATACGCATATAAATAAAGTAAGAGCTTTTCTATTTTAAAGATGTCAACGGAAAGTCTACTACAAATCTGTCTAGGGTATGTGTAAATCTGAGGAAGGAACCGACGAGATGGTTGAAGTGCCTGTCGGTGCCAATCAGGTACTGTAGCACCCGAGGAACGGATGAATAGCTGGTAAATACTAACTTCTTAGACGTCTGCTTTTGCTCCTGCTATGTGTATTTTGGATGCCGTAACTGAAACATCTGAAATAGCGAATTACGTTAGCAAAATTTGTTGACGAGGATAGTAAAGAAGCTGGACTGATAGGTTATAACCGTATATTAAGCTTTATTGGTGTATTCTTATACAATCAAACAAAGTTGTTTCAGTCTCTCTGTTGGAACCTTTCTCTATTACCTCCACTGTCGATGCAAGAAGCCAAGTATTATGGACTGGGCTTAGAGAATTATGGGGATGCAAGTTCACGGAGGAGGAAGAATGAGTAGGTTTATCTATTTCAGCTGCCTATTATCTTCTAATCATTTGTGCTCAGATCGATAAGCTATAGAGGCTGGACCAGGGGCTACGAAGTGGACGATTTGATACAGTGAGTGCATATCTCTAAATACATGCACTAGTCTGATTATACACTCCCAGTGATCCAAAGCAAAGCAAAGTCTGGTTAGTACGATAAGCCTACTCCGCTGTCCTCTAACAACTTTGTAGGGACAGAAGCTATAATTTTGGAAACGCTTTCAATAGCCGCGCATTCTTTAACGTCGGTTTGCTGGTTCTCACCGTCGTCGGACTCTTCACGCTCTTGTGAGTACCGTCTTCCTGTCCGATATCCTGCTGAGTATATATAGCGCTGGCTATCCACTCTACGCTTATTATGGTAAAACAAATACAGTCTCACATCACGGTCAATTCGCTCATTACAACAAAACTGGACAAATTCCTTGGTCTATGCCTCGCAGAGGCCTCATAGATCCAGACACACCAATGGAAAACCGGACAAGAATCGGTACAGACGGTCATTTATACGAGTTAGTCTTCTCTGATGAATTCAACGAGGATGGTAGAACATTCTGGCCAGGTGACGATCCATACTTTGAAGCTGCTGATATGCATTACTGGTCTACACGTAACTTAGAGGTGCGAATTCAGCATTGAATATGGTGTTTCACTGACAATAAATTCAGTGGTACTCTCCTAGACAAGTAACGACCAGCGATGGTAGTTTGAGGCTCACATTGAACGAAACAAGCTCTCACAACCTTGATTTCGAAGGTGGTATGTTAACAACTTGTGAGTTTACTTAGGTATGCTTTAATATGTGCTAATTTTGCGTAGGGAATAAGTTCTGTTTTACAGGTGGTTACGTATCAGCTAGTGTCCAACTTCCTGGTACAAATGACGTCTGGGGTATTTGGCCAGCGTTCTGGATCATGGGTAACCTCGGAAGGGCTGGTTATGGTGCAACATTGGATGGTATGTGGCCATACACTTATGATGCATGTGATGTTGGAACATTGCAAAACCAAACAATGGGTAATTACCCAGAATTAGCATATACCTCGGGGATTGAAGGTAAAGCATTATCGTTTTTGCCTGGACAGAGACTCTCTCGTTGTACTTGTGCAAATGAGATCCATCCTGGACCAATGCACGAAGATGGTACATTTGTTGGTAGGTCAGCAGCAGAGATTGATGTATTCGAAGCACTCGTCGATGCAGATATGAATCTAGCATTGTCGTCCATGTCTGGTCAATTCGCACCATTCAACCCTCACTATGATTGGAAGAATGACACTGAAATGTGGCTTAAGTATCCAGAACAGGACAAATACAATGAATTCCAAGGTGGTGAATGGCAACAATCAACCTCTGTTAGATTGGTGAATAATCAAAATGCATATGAGAAGTCTGGTGGTGAATATGAGACTTATGGATTAGAGTACAACCCTGGATATGGTCAAGATGGATACATTGCTTGGCACATGGCTAATGAGAATAGATACACAATCTTTGCAGATGCCATGAGAGCTGTACCAGAGTTGGGAATTAGTGATCGTCATATTTCTGGTGAACCAATGTACATAATTCTCAATAACGGTATATCGAATAATTTTGGTGGTATAAACTGGGACGCATTGGATGGGACATGGCCTAATGTCATGTCCATTGATTGGATTAGAGTTTATCAAAGAAGGGATAGGATAAATCTAGGTTGTGATCCACCGAATATGCCAACTGCAGCATACATAGATTATTACAAGGATGCATATACCAACCCCAACATTACAACATGGGAGCAAATGGGAGAAAAACCAGTCAAAAATGCAATTCTCAATCAAGATGATCCAGAATGTGAAGCTGCTATGCAATTAGTTCCGGATGAACTAATAGGACATGACAACATCAAACCTGTCTTACCAGCTACGCTTAAACCACCAATACCTGCACCTGAAAATCCAGGTCCATTAATCATGCCACCAATACCCCCAGAACCGGACTTTAGTGAATTGGAAGAGGATCAAAGACCAACTGTCTATCCATACTTTGTTAATCCTCCACCAATTCGTAGACCTATTCATAATTTAGGACCTGCAGCTCCACCTTCACTGCCAAATGCACCACCATTTGACAGAATGCCTGAAGAGCAGAGTCGTCCTGAGCCTACAGCTATTAATGAACAACTTGAGCCAATTGAGACGGGACGTCCACATGAACGCCCTACCGGACCACATAGTATTGAAGATATAGGAGATATATAGGTCGTAAAGTAATCTCTAGACATTCAATTTTATTTTCTTTTTAGTTTAGTACATAAGCAAAATGCATTAGTATAAAATATTACAACAATAAATTCGCACTTGATTCGACATTACATGACCAAGGTGTGTGTTCTGGGTTTGTACTGGTGTTGAAACCCAATTCAGATGCAATTATGAATTCATTTTCGATGTGGACGTAGTCTTGAGTTGTGATAGCGTCTTCGAGGGGTAATGAAAGTAATGGATACTTTGACGATATAACGCTAATGCTAGGTGATGTTGTTTTAGCAGGTGTTGGATCAATTTCAGCTACAGTAGAGGTGCTTTCACGCTTCATGAACTGCACTTTGTGACTGAGTGTCAAATCTTCAGTCGTGTCGAGTGCAATTGCGCCTCTGGATGGATCACCACTGGTTATTCTATGTATACTCTTGATGCTTCCCTCGTTGGTGTATGCTGCCAAGTAATACTCATCCTCTTTGTCAACCCTGTTCTTATTAAGCAATTCGAGAAGTTGTCTACATGCGTTGGCATTATTTAATGTCAGAATTATGTTACCTGACGCGTTCGTCACTTCCATTACGTCTGAGAAAGATGAATAGCCGTCAAAATTGATAGTAGGTGCATCTTTCTTGATGCACTCGGTGCTTCCAAAGCCTATTAAGCCACCACCGACGACAGAACCGCCTGGGAAGACTAGAGTCTGTGGTAAACCTGTTTCAAAAGGTGTATGTGGTAGATTTATACCTAGTTTCTTCGCCTTAGGAAATCTCTCATGCAAAGAGTGCACGAAATCCTCACTGTGTGGTTCTGTAAAGTATACCAGCGACTTTATTGAATCAGAGCTGGTTTTTCTATCAGAATAAGAGAAGAAGTCTCTAGAATATCACTTACCTTAATACATTGCTATCGAGTTGAGAAGGGAGTGCCACACTTCTAGAGCGTCTGCCTGACCATATGCCTGTTCCCTTATTTTCATTTGCATTCCATCTGGTAAAATCAGGCAGTTCACCGAGATTATCGTCATCGATAACATGCTTTCTGATCCAACGACCAACAGTGGGCGCGTTACGACCGCTAATAGCTGCATGGAATGGTATAACATTACTTGGTAACTCCACATATGATAAGGAATATACATTATCAATTGAACGCGCTCTAAATGCGTCTGTAAGGCATCCTATACCATTTGATGAGAGAATTTGTGTGAAATTAGGCGTATTTTTTGATAATGCTAGGAGTTTATTGGTGTTTTCTAATGTTGCTATTCTTTTTTGCAGTTGATCTGCAGATTTCGTGAAGAATGTACCAATTCGCATTTACTGTTGTCTTCTTAGATGGGTATGTCGATATGATGCATACTTACAATAGCGTAGATATCTGCTGGTTTGAATCTGTGTCTATATACACTCGCCAGTGACTCAGAATATCCAGGTGCTTGTGGAAGACAGAGTGCAACGAATACACTTAAAGTGATTAGAAATTTCATTGAAAAAGCTGTTTATAATAGTACAAGAGGTCTTTTAAATGTTCATTAATCCAAAAATATGAAGATTTCGTGCTAAACTAGCCTGAGGAATGTTCATTTCGTCATAAGTGAAATAAGTGAAGTGGAAGTTAGACGGATTTCACAGTCAATAACGCTACTCTGCCGTCTTGTGGTATACCATGATTTACTCCCTCGCTTCCTGGCTCTAACAAGTTGTCAATCCATTCGACGGATGTTCTAAATCTATATCCACCGCCATAACCACCTAAAAGGGCTTTACTGGCTAGTTCGTCGCGTCCGCCTGTTGTTTTATTAGCTGTATCAACACCACAATTCATAAACTTACGGTTGTAGCCGTCTTCAAGTATCTTATGATGTTCTTTTATTTTCTTCTCCATACTGACTGCTAGAAACCATGCACCTGTTGTCGATTGTCTAAACGCTCGGAAGTGATTACCTCCTTTGTAGGATTCCCAGCAAGTCCCAAAAAAAGGGAAGTACGTTTGTCTCAGCTCTATTTTCTCCTTTATCCAGCCCTGACCATCACCCAAGTTGGCATATTGTGGTCCGCCAATGTGTAAATTCAAGCATTCAGTTGCGAATCCGACCGATTTCGCGAAATCGAGCAATCCACGGTTCGACAAAACGTGAGGATCTGATTTTGCTGATATTATGACATTCAGTGGTTCGCCGAGATCTTCTGTAGCCCGCTGTATGGTACTTAGCTAACTTTCTGTGTGATATCGGAGCTTACATTCAACATTGAACCACCATCAAGTCTAGGATCAATGAAAGCTTGGCTATCGGCGTCTTCAATCAACGTGTAGCTGTTAATACTATACAAAGTCTCATAGTCTATCACGATTGATAAACTACTCGCTATCAAGGCCAAAAATATCAAGAGTTTCATGGTAGTGGAATCGAAAGGGATGCATTACAAGGTAAATTAAGGGGTATAGGGGTTGTTTAATAGGAAATATCGACTATGTTGTTCATATATTTAGCTATGTTGTATGTGTATTGTAGTAGTAGATGAATTAACAAGATAGGGGTAAACTATAATATTATAACTAAATACATGGCTATTAAAAAAGTCTATTCACTTCTTTATGGCACATATCGCCCTTGAGAGAAGACCATCAGGATGTTGAGAACTTTAGTTAGAGGTACTGGGAGAGGCAGCACTAGACCATTAGTTATTGGTGATGAAACGATAGATTTACGAGCATTCAGGAATACACCAGCTAAAGGATTCGTCCCAGGTTAGTTGCTAGCTTTTTATTAGATTTGACACTAAGAGAAACCAGATAGAAGCTCATTGCAAGGAGAATCTGGTTTATCAAATAAATTACGCAATAGGTCACCTCGTCGCACCCAGCAGCAGCCAGTAGCTGGTCAATTTGATGATGCAGACCACAAAGAACTTTTGAACACACTAGGAGAGCGTAAAATCACGGCAGAGAATAAGAAGCAATCTCACAAAAGTCAACAAAGGCGGTCCAAGAAACCCACCAACTCCAAAAAGGAAGAGGAAGGCAAGGATAAGCAAAGGCGAGCATACGCTCAATACACGCCACCTACAGATCTCCAGACTAGACAGCCAAAGGAAACAAAGGAGCCACGCAAACCAAAGTTGAAGGAAATTGAAATCGACAGGGTTGACTTATCTTCCCTCATTTTTGAGACTGGAGAAGCTGATATTATGCCTACAAATAAGAACTTTAATGAACCAGCAACACTCAGTGAAGAAGAACGTCGTAAGCAGCACATGGAACTCGTCGGTGGTGATTACGAGAGGTACGCAAAGTACAATACACCATTGCAGCATGCGATCAGCGCGCAAAGGATGTACACACTCAGCCAAAGGGATGAGCTCGTGAATAACATTAAAAAATTTACAAAAACTGCTTAATTTCGTTCTTCTGCAACGACAAATGCCGTTATGTAGTCGCCGTCATGGGATATTGATAAATGTAGATTGATAGATGAACTTATATTCTTATATGTGACTTTTGGTTTCCTATTTACTTTCTGCACTTCTAATTCCTGCCAAGTTGACTGGTAAGCTGGGTATAGTGCCTTATAAGCAGCTTCCTTAGCAGACCATCTAATGGACCATTAATAATATCTACATAATGTTTATGCACCTACCTGACACCCAAGTAGCTTAACTGTGAGTCGTTGCTACTAGGGAATGTTGATAGCTCAGACGGCGTGAGAATACGTCTACTGAGCCGTGCTATACCATCCCTCCTTCTATTTGCCAGTACCCGTAGTCGAGATAAACTAAGCAAATCTACTCCAACACCCTTTATCATACAGCAACAAGATTATAACGTTATGACGTTTTGATAGTGAAATAGAAAGAAATGCGTTTCATTTGACGATTAGATTTTATTTTCTACACTTTATCCTCAGTTTAGACGTTCGACCGGCATCCGACTTTCTTCTTTACATTGATGTCACGATTCTCTCACGCAAATTTCAACGCAAAGAACTACGCAGAAGCTAGGCCAACATATGTCCCAAAGATATATGACCTTATCAGCAACTTCCATAAGGGCGCTAGAGACGCGGTTGTCGATGTTGGTTCAGGGCCTGGCAACGGCACACAGGGGCTCCTAGATTTAGATTTTGGAAAGGTTTACGCCGTAGAACCAAGCACTGTTATGATAGAAGAAGGAAAGAATAGACCACGCGGTACAGAGATAGATTGGTTCACTGGATCAGGTGAAAATCTTTCTCAGATACTCCCAAACAAGGTCGATATGATAACATCCTTTGAGGCAGCTCACTGGATGGACCATGAGAAGGTAGAAGTGTGATTTATGTCTTCGTTCTCCAATTTGACAACTAAATTTAGACTTGGAAGGAATGCTATGAGGTTTTGACCCCAGGGGGTACTGTTGCACATGTCGTAAGTGAATTTATTGCATAAAAGATGCCATCTTATTCTGTATACAGATGTATGGTCATACTGAGCTTCTCGGAAATGAAAAAGCTAGTGAAATTGTTCTCGATTTCGCGCGTAATAAACTTAAGGCGTATTACATGCCACAGCATGACATTGCATTCGGATTAATGGATGCAATTGATCCTCCAAGCTGGGCAACGCGTGTGGAGAGACATAAGTTCCTCACTAAGTCTAAAGATGGAGAGAATCAGTGTATAATGACTAGGGAAACCACATTGAGGGGTTTGCAAGGTATGTGAAGATATTAGAGCACGCTTACTCTGCTTACAAGCAATTGAAAGCCCAGATTTATAGTTGGTCACCTACAGACCAATACGTAGAGGAGCATCCAGGTGAGGATCCTGTTGGAGACATCATGAAGGTCATTATGGAACTCTACAATGCTAAGGACTTGGACCACCCAATCACAATGGCTTGGTCATTGGCGGTATTCTTAGTATCGAAGTGAATTATTATGCATGGTATAATTTAAGGGTTTTGCGAGCTGTATTTGAGAAATTGAGGCCTTTTGACGGAGTTTACAATAGTCGTTGCATTACAGAGTGTGACTTTATCTATATTCAGTACCCGATATTGGAGGTCAGCAGGAATTTCATTCCTGCATTCCGTGCTGTCGCACAGCCTAAGGCCTTCGATAAGCTCGTAGTTACCTGACTGATCAGTGTCAGTTCTGAACTTGGTTCTATCACGGTTGGTAGTCCAGCAATGCTTTAGTGGGTTGTTGCAGCTGTTGCATCTAGTGGAAGTCTTGTAGCCATTGATTTCTACAACTTCATACTTGAGATCTAATAGGGCGCGTGGTACATCTACATCCTACGCCGCCAAATTAACGATGTTTCACTTCGCAAAAGACATACGCTTACTTTTGCCCAAGGTGGTCTTTCTCGTTGCATTGGAGCGCTCGCGTCGTTGCCAACCCATGCGAACACTAGCCTCTTTCTTTGTGCTTTCGATTCTGGGAGGTACTTATTATAGCATGTCTTGATCGCGTCAGATAGTGATCTACGCGACTTGAAGTAATATTTCTTATCTAAACGTCTGGATTCCCTTCTGAAAGTTTGTAATATGTTGTGGTTGTTGTATGGAAGTTCTGACAAAGCTGTACGGGTTTGCTTTCTGAGTCTTTCGGTATCGGTATTGTATTGTCTATCGCCAGACCTATGTGCATGTTCCTTGAACGAGTAATGGTAGAATTGATGGCTCAGGCGAGGATCGCCATTCTCTGGCATGGCGTAGAGCACATCGACATGCCCTGTTTTTATCGTCACATAATATGAGCTCTTACGTTCTTCTAAGCTCAGATCATAAAATTGCGGCAAAGTTGTCATGGCCGTCCATCGAAGTGTATTCAAATCATTTTAGTATGTTTTTCTAACAATGTGTATTGCTGGGCGTCTGGGTGCTTGGCCGGACCAATCAGATTGTAGGATCAAAGTAGCCCGATATGACGCATTTAAATTCAGGACAAAGAGTTTACTTTCTAAAGAAAAGTCTAGACTCAGGGAGGTATTAGTTTTCAAGGGTTTTGAAAAATAAACAAAGTATCATATTGGAATGAAGACAACGAAAGGCGTGAATTGTTCAATAGCGCATAGACGTTCAAATAACGAACACATTCCATCTGCATTTCTTTCGGATTCTTCCGAATCCGGCCCGTGCGACGTGTCAACGCTATTTAAGGCGCAACCGCTCGTTCCTCTTCCCCATAGCGTAGAGGTACGTCTAGCGAAGCGAAATTAGCGAAACAAAGAAATAACAAACAACTGATAGCTAGTTTATGTTCTCAAGAGGACTCGTATCAACACACAACTCACACGCAGGTGAACACACAGAAGTAGGATCTATCATACGACTCTAAAATGGAATTCAACGACAAAGATATTAAGAATCTTCCAATCGACCCAACAGCGGCTCGACACAATGCTAACTTCAAAGTAGACGCTCCACATGTGCTCTACGATGATGCTGGCATACACACCACATACACCCAAACCACCTCAACCGTTAAACAAACAAACGATGGCGTAAAAGTCACTCCTCAAACAAATACTTGGAAATTCGACACATCCAACAAACCAAAGAAAACAGGGTATGTTTTGTTTTCCTTTGTCTCATTCGTTTTTGACAATTTTATGCAGTCTCATGATGATCGGTATCGGTGGTAACAACGGTACAACACTTGTTGCTACTATACTCGCCAATCGTCATAACATTTCATGGCACACAAAGACAGGTGTACAGTCTCCAAATTATATTGGGTCACTCACTATGGCTTCAACTGTACGTGTTGGTGTCGATGAGAATGGTAAAGACGTCAATCTTCCTTGGGGCGAAATTCTCCCACTCGTCCATCCAAATGATCTCGTTTTGGGCGGTTGGGATATCTCAAGTGCACCACTAGACGAAGCCATGCGTAGAGCTAGTGTTCTTGACTGGGATTTACAAAGACAAGTAGCACCATACATGAAAGACTTCAAGCCGCTCCCTTCTATCTACTATCCGGAATACATCGCTACGAACCAGTCAGCTCGTGCAGACAATGTTCTCAATAAGGATCAATATCCAAACAAGAAAGCCCACTTGGAGAAGGTCAGAGAAGATATTCGTCACTTCAAGGCTGAGAATGACCTGGACACTGTCGTTGTTTGCTGGACTGCCAACACTGAGCGTTTCTCAAGCATCGTAGAAGGCAAGAATGACACTGCTGATAACCTCCTCAAGAGCGTAGAAGAGAATTACGAGGAGATCAGTCCATCTACCATTTTCGCCCTTGCTTCTATACTTGAAGATGCTCCTTTCGTCAACGGTGCACCACAAAACACTCTAATCCCAGCCGTCATTGAGTTTGCCGAACGTCAAGGTGCCTTCCTTGGTGGTGACGATCTCAAAACTGGTCAAACTAAGGTCAAGTCCGTTTTGGCTGAGTACCTCGTCAATGCTGGTTTGAAGCCGCTCTCTATTGCTTCATATAACCACCTCGGTAACAACGACGGACATAACCTCTCAGAAGACCCACAATTCAAGTCAAAGGAGATCTCAAAGAGGAGTGTTGTTGACGATATGGTCGACGCTAACGGTTTACTTTACCAAAAAGGCGAACATCCTGATCATATTGTCGTTATCAAGTATTTGCCAGCTGTTGGTGATGATAAACGCGCTATCGACGAATACAATTCGGAAATCATGATGGGTGGTCGTAATGTCGTTTCTATTTTCAATGTCTGCGAGGATAGCTTATTGGCTACACCTCTCTTGTTAGATTTGACTATCTGGACTGAACTTTTCACTCGTGTTAAGGTCACCCCACCAGGTAAAACCGACGGTCAACGTATGCACTCTGTTCTCAGTTTACTGTCATACATGCTCAAAGCACCATTGACAAAACCTGGACATGAAGTTGTCAACGCTCTCGGTAGACAAAGGGGTAGTCTCGAAGCTTTCGTTTTAGCTTTGGTTGGACTCAACTCATTCAATCTCAACTTGGATGCTATCGTTTAGGAGTTCAGAACTGTAACTACTTCCCTTTAGTTTTAAATAAATCTGTTTTGAATTTGTTTCACATTTGCTTGTTTGTCGTAATATTAGTCGTGGTTAAAGATATCAAATAGTGAAACGAGAAGTACAACAAAATGCGCGCTTTCTGAAAATTGGAAAGTATTAGAATTACACGATGTAAATGTAGCTAGTAAGTTGCTTATGCTTGCGCTGCGATAGAATAAGCGAGTAAGGTAGAACGAAAAAACAAAACGACCAAAAAGAAAAAGCCATGTTTAGGAAAGAGCGGTGCTATCGATTAGCAACCATGCTCACGATCACAGAATCCCCATGTGATTGGTATACGCCCAAGTCCGAGCTCACCACCACAAAGAGCTGTTTTGGTGTTAACATGTGTCAGAGATAGTGAATTAGCTGGCTTACATTCGAATAGGGTCGGACTCATGTCTAAGCTACCCCATAAGCACTCTGGACACTGATATTCGCGTTAATTTCGTTTTATTGAGCTTTATAAAACGCTTACCTTGTCAACAACTCTCGCAGTTTGTGTCTTTCCATTTGTGATATTCGTTACCCATACTTCATGGCCACATTCACCACCATCACCCATTTGTGGAGCATTGAGAGCAACTACCATCATACCATCGTTGAGCCATTCACCACAGCTGCCTGGACGTCCAGTCTCAGTTGTATACCAAGTACCATCACCTAAGAAATCACCACGTTTTTGAACTGTTGACGGATCTTGCGGAATCTCTAGTTGGGAAATGCGGTTTTGACTTGGCTTGTTTATTGCAGCAGGTGCAGCATACGTTGCGAGCAAAGCAAGTGCAACTGTAACGTGTTTCAACATTAGGTGATTAGGTGAGATGTTAAGGAGCCTTTAATTTAAGGAAGTAAATTAATATTTAATTTAGTACAATTTTAGCTTCGCGTCTTCGTGATCTTTACTTTGATCTTTAAAGATTAGGAAATTTTTCATCAATTTTGAAGAAAAGATACCAAATATGGAAAGAGTAATGGCCGAGACCAAATATAGCAGCCGAAAGTAGAAAAGTTTTTATAAGATCACGGATCGTAATCGATGTGCTGATAAATTAAAATATTTTATGATCTCATTTCTTTGTCTAAATTCTGTGTACCAGGAGGTTGGAAGAGAATGGATTGTAGCTAAATTCTATAGAGTGTACATACCAATTTCATACCAATTGAGTATTGACTTGAGAATGCGAAATGTCATACGCATATCTTAGAATGACATATTCTCGATTGTAATTCATACTCTTGTACTCACTCAGCCATGGGAGATACGCAATTAAAGTTGAAGATTAATTTATTAGGGCAGCAGCCCATAATAAGGAAATGCCTATTCAATTCAATCCCTGAGTTTGATTACCTGAAGAGAGTAGTGAGTGTGTGAAGATGTTTTAGATCATACCCTAACGAAACTAAACAGATACGCAACTTATTCGAAATTGATGCCAACACGGAGTTAGATATCTTTGACGTCAAGCTTAGTGTACTTGATAAGATTGGTTATCCTACCTTCAAAACGATAGACGAATCAATCTGGAATCTAATCAAGAGCGATCTAATCAATCAGAAATCTGAGATGAAGTGCAATGTTATCGTCCAGCGTACACAGGTTGCGTCATTGCCGCCACCACCAGCACAACCTGTTCCAGCGCAGCCAGAAGAACAACCAAATCAACCATTACAGAGGAAAGGCTCTAATAAGCTTAAGAAGAACCCAAAGAATAGAGAGAGTAATAGATTCTCCTTCTTGAACGTTTTAACTGCAGCGAAAGAGCCACCAAGATCAAATTCTTATGATAACTTGAAATATTACGACACCAATAGCAATCAAAAAGATCCAATTAAGCAACCTGATGGTTTATTACCACCATCTGAGCAGTTCCTCAGGCCACCATCGCCTCAGCAGCATCCACAACATCCTCAACACCGTTCACTTCCACAGTTGCACAGTCAACCATCAAATGGTTATCTAGGACCTGATGTCACTCAACAGCCGTTGACTCCTGCTCCAACTATCCCATCAAAAGCACCTTCTACTCCTTGGTACACTAACTTAGAGACACGCTTGGAGACAAAGAATGAGTTGAAGACGCTTATGGAGGGCTTTTTGAACAAATTGAGCGTCACTATGAACTCTTTCGAACAAGATGCACATTTAGAGAGTCTAGCTAATCTCACAAAATCACAAACTTCCTTGGCAATGCATGAAGCTGTATGTGATGGTTGCAACAATCGCATACAAGGTGTCAGAATGAAGTGCACTACTTGCAGAGACTACGATCTTTGTGTTGGATGCTTTTCAGTCGGTACTCATGATCACGAAACCTTCCATCGTATCTGTGATCCATCCAAACCGTTACCTTCTGTACCAAAGTCAATAGACACCAATACCCCATTGCTTTCAACAAACACAAGCGTACGCTCTTCACATTCTAAACCAAATGCTCATCACTCAGCTAATTGCGATATGTGCAAGTCTGGTATCATCGGTACTCGTCACAAGTGTACAATTTGCCCAGATTATGTGAGTTGTCCACTCACAATACTTAATTACTTATTGAAAATCTCCTTAGGATGTCTGTGATAACTGTTTTGGTCGGACCCATGAGGAACATCCACTCCACGAGTTTGCTGATCTCACAGATCCAAAGCTTATCAGAGTACCAGAAGAATTGCAAGTCGTACACCCTGGTGTTATTTGTGATGGATGTCAAAACAATGTCGTAGGTTATAGGTTCAAGTGTAGCCACCCAGAGTGTTTTGATTTGGATCTCTGCGGTAACTGCGAATCAAGTCCTGTTGCTAAACATGACAAATCACACATCATGCTTAAGATCAGACAGCCAATATTAGAAGCTCAAGCATTAAATCAGGCATTTGCTGGTGGATTTAACCAAGACTCCGTACCATACCTCGAACAAGCACAACAAATGAAAGTAAACAGACAAAAATCTGCAACTAACCTAACAACTATTAGTGAACGCTCTGTAGAGACGGCCAAATATGATGTACATGGTACACCAGAGTTTGATGTTCCCCCATTACATGAAGTAATTAACCAAAACGATGTAGCAAGTTATATTAAAGCTAATCAAAACAACCCAAAGTCAAAAATGGTTGAGGATTTCAACGGTGGTGAAGAGAGAGAGAAAGATACAGTACTGAAAATGGCAGGCGGCACTCAATTTAGTCATATTTTTGAATTCAACAGTAGTTCAAAAATTTCAGCTTCAAATCTCTCCAGACTGTCTCCACAGGCAACGTTTGGAAATAGTTTAACTATATCACAACCTAACAGCCATTTAATTAGAGTCGATGGCTTCAGAGCACCTGAAGAGTCTGGAATACATTCGGAGACCTGGTCATATATCGACAACACAATTGAGAAGACATTCAAGTTGGTTTTGTTTGTTGAAGATCTCACAAATGCGTCTGGAGACACACTACCAAGTTCTGCTTTAATGATACCAGCCAAAGCACAATCATCTCAAGGCGCTAGCGATTTCAGGGAATTTGAAACAGACTTCGGTACAGAATCTGCAGCTGCTGATGACTACGATTTTGAATTAGCAAAGAGGAATGCTTGATAATTTATATTCGTTTGGATCTTTGTCTCATACGCAACACTCACTAATTGTTTAGAATATTGAAGAGATACTATCACAAATACACTCATTTTAATTTTATTTCTTTTTGTTTACTTGTTTAATTCATGCAACTACATTTTAAATCGATACCACGAAGTAGTAATAGTAGTAATAGTAGCAATATAGCAGTAATATACTAGTAGACACATGGAACAACATATAAGATTATTAGCGTTGGGATTCTCCTACGCCAACAAAGCTAAAGAACTGGCTACTGAAATATACGCTGAACCTCATAAACTAGCACATTATCAGCGATCTTGCTATCTCTCAATCTTATCATACAGGGCAAGCTTAGAAATTCAAGGATTATCTCCTCAGCAGGAATTGAACTCTAGATTAGGATTGGGGAGGGCGCTTTATGATTTTACTAGTGATATCTCAGATGCAGAACACGTCGTCAGTCGGGGTTTATCAAAGGCAAGTGAAGATGATAGCCTTGACGATTATTTGTTTAGGTTTTATGAATTGCATATCAACATATCTGCTTCTAAGAATGTCAAATTCGCTCAATCTTTACTTAAACGAGCTACGAAAGATGCTGAGAGGAAGAAACGCAAGGAGTGGATATATCATTTTAACTTCTTAGCAGCCAAATATTCAACTAATCCTCTCAATTTCCTTAGGACCATTGTCGATTTAGCGAAGAAGAATCATGATACTTCTTTACATCATCTTGGTTTAGCTGAGGTTGCACGCATATTAGCTAATAATAGCGATTGGAAAGGTTGTGGAATAGTATTAAAAGATTTAGAGATGGAAATTAACCTGTTACCTGATTCTAACAAGCCAGCGAACGAGGAAGCCCCAGACAAAATGGATGAGGACATAAAGCAATCTTCTAGCACAAACGAAAGGGGCCTTAGGGAATATATTCTAGTTGTATTCCTAGTGGTCAAGGTCATCTTTTCAAGTCATAATGCTGACGCTGATACTGCCAAGAAACGACTTGAAGAAGTGCAGCATCTGATTGACGAAACCCAAGATGAAAGATACTTTGAGGTGAGATTATTACGGTACTTCCAATATCAGCTTACCATTCCCCATATTAGATGAGCGTGAATGGATGTTCGGATAAGGTAGTCTATCAAGCACCTACTAAATCACAATTGCTCGACTTCTCGTTTGTTTTGAGCTGCATGACCTGCAAAGATCCAGTTGGAACTAAGCCACTATCATTGCTTTACTCTTTGAAAGCCATTGATTTATTCAACGAAGACAGGAGAGAGGTATATCGTTATAGCACTATCCAAAACATAGAGAAGAGAAACGTCCAAAGAGTACATATGAAGCTTTATATTCTGTGCTCTTTAACTCAAGTGTATATCATGCGAAGAGAAATGGAGAATGCTTACAAGACCTTGACTGAAATGGTCAAGTTGTCAAGAGAACATTCACTCACAATGAAATGGGCTGCTTGGATGCTGATGTTGGAAGGCTATTATTTACAAGCAAGCAATGAACTTGAGGCAGCGAAGGTGTATTACGAATCTGTAATATCACTATGTGGTAAAAAGGGAGATACTTTCAGCAACTTATTCCTTACAAACAAGAATAGTGTACAGAATCTACATAATGATGAGATGGAAGTTGCTGCAAAGTTGTCAAAATTGGCATTGGAAGTTGGTACAAATAATGCGGAGCACGATAGGATGAAGGAACTGAATGAATCTTCGAAATTGATACAATGCTCGTCATCTATTCTAGCTGCATTGAGAATGGTCGAAGGAATGCTTAACAAAAGCATAATTACACGATCCAAATACCTTCTGTCACAATCTTTGACATTATCATCCAAATCTAATGACAATCATATACGTGCTTTCCTATTTGCGCTGCTCAGTGAAGCATTCAACCACTCTCATGAAGACCAAGCTCTTAAAATGATAGAAACTGGTTATGCACTCGCTAGGAAAATGGGTAAAGTCGATCAAGCTAGTTCTAAAAGTTATGGTATGCCGTTCCTCAATTTATTCTATGGTAAATGTATAGCGGATCACTATAAGAGGAATGGTATGCAATCTGAACTAAACAAACAAGAATCTCTTAACCAATTCTATACGAAGTGTTGCAATAGAATCGCATCAAATGGGTTCGATAAAAGCATTGAGATGAAATAATAATTATTTGCAGTTTCCATTATACCAAACCTGTAACTTATCGATTATTGTTGACATAAATCTATAAACATGTTATGCAAAAGTTACTGTAATAAATAATCGTGTACATCTATTGCGTAGTTCTTACAAAATTTGTCGTTATTAAGCTGAAAATGGATCAATTCCACAGTTATCTGCATTATTGTATACTTTAACAGAAGTTATTTCATCCGTGACATTATCGATAGTTGCATAAATAGCCTATGTTTATTAAGATAAGTTAAAGCAGTTATTAAAGTCAGTAACCCACGTTAGTCAAATCTCTAGAGAATTCCTCATCACCATAATTGAATGGTGATAACATAATACCAGATTTCGTCTCAAGGAAGAGTGTTGTAGGGACGTCACTTGCTCGTGGTAGATGATGCATACCAACGTTAGCCCATAATACTAGATCTTCCTGTACGATATCTTCATTATTCAAGAAAGTGCTGAAATCAACTGGTGGCTAAGTTTCTATTTAGCTTTCGTCAAACAGAAAAGAAAGAAACTCACATCATTTGGCAAAATCATGTTATATACTGAGCTAGCAGATTCTTCATCCTCGTTATACTTTGTCACGTAGACATGCTCACGACTGAAAACGGCGTTACGCTTCATACGTGATTGTGTACCAGGAGTATCATGAATTACAGAAGTTGATGGCATGATACGATATGCTGGGTTATAACCCAAACTAGTCCTCTTATCAAGGTTTGAAAGTAAAAGCCAGCGATCGTAATTATATGGCCAATTCATAGCCTTTTCTTGCTCAATGTTACGTGATTTGATAATTTTTGACTCATAACCCTCCTCATCATCATCTTGCCAAAAGAATTTCCTCTCCTCAACATCTATACTCTTCTCAACAAGTGTGTTGCTTTCACCAAGAATATCCAAGTCGAATTTGAAGAGAATCACATGATCGTGGACGTTACCAGCTGTAGTTTCTGATACCCTCGTTCCGAAATCATCACCACCTTTTGAAATGTGAGATTGAAGGAGATATCCCGAAGCTGCAGCTGAGACTTCAATCGTACCGTCAGGGAATAATGCATAATCAATGAGATAATCGTAGTTTCCGGGTGTACTTATACTCCTAATGACTAATTTAGATGCTTTGTTGGCTGATGCATCTTCTAAACCGTAATGTCTAGAGATAGGTTGAAGAAGTGGCATTTCGAATATACAGACGGTATTTGGAGTGACAACATCATGAGTACCATTCCAATTGCGGGTCGAAAGGTAGGTTGCTTCCTCTGCGCAATCGTATCCTTTCATAAGAGGAGTAAGCTTCTCTCCAAGACCGATACCTCTATCCAGTAACGCGGAATTAGCATTAGTTGGCGAATTTGACGAATAGTGTGAGACTGCTTCTTGTAAACTAATCTCATAGGCAATTCTTCTATCGTTAAATTTCAAATCATGGATACTAATTCCAGTTTCTGGATTGTGTGAAAAGAAGAATCCCCAATTGAGCCAGCTAACGTAGTTCTCTTCCTCATCTAACCTATATCTAAGTCCATCTTTTGATAAACTCGTAGGCGTCGTACGATTTTCGAGATCTCTGACGGGAACATCTGGACGACGACGTGTCCAATGAGCTAACTGCTTCTCTGTGAATTGAGGAAGCGTCTTGGCGATCTTTCCATTATCATAGTCGTTCTTAAAGTCTTCAAGGCCTCTCCAGACCTTATCATCGTATACAACTTTGAGCACCTTCCAATCAGAGAACTTTTGACCAGTGAAGTCAAAGAGAACATGAAAACCAGTGAATCCACCCCACTTTACTGTTGTTAGGGTCATAATAGGGGAATTATGTACTTACGAATGCTGAATCATCAGGTTTTTGGGATAACTCTAACCACCTTAATCTCTTATCGCCGTCAAGGTTAGCACGTTGATCCAGATACATATACTCTTCCAGATTCCATGGCTTCCCAAGTAAATCCTCAATAATAGAACCTATTGGAGCGAGAGCATAATATATGAAAACCTTCTCCAACATTTTATCCTTGTGTGCTTTCGTTCTACGACTGTTGAATGGAATTGGTGAAGCGTTTGTAGTGTGTACTTGAATGTCATTGTCATCACCATTGAGTGGACCAACATTGTAGGTTTTGATTGTAGGATCACTATCAACACCATGTGCAATGAGCACTTTCGCGTATCTATCTGGCTTATCGCCATCATCATTTAGGTACCCTAATGTCTCATACTTCTTAGGTGGATTGAGAGTGAGCATTTCAACGTAATTGTCAGTTGGACCAGCATCTTCTAAGCTAGTCAAATTGAATTTGTCATAAATTACTTGATAAGCTTTGCTGAATTCATCTGAACTTAACTGATTGAACGGGTTCTCTTTACTCTTTACTTCCTCATAATGAGAGAAAGCAGGACAGAAAGATGCTACTGCAGTTGATGCTACACCCACTAGAACTAATCCCAAGAACTTCATAAACGAACCTGAACAAGATCCTACATTCCTTAGCTGATATTCAAATATCTCTTGCTTTAGTCTACATATCTCACAAATAATTCCAAACTTATTATAGTTAAATGTAATTGCGATATTATCGGTATAAATTTCTAGCTATTTCTATCATACATATTGCGTTGACAGCTTATCAAATGACGGTCGCAAAACAAACTGGGAATTTGCGTACATTTTTATTTCTTTCACTTGCTTGCTTCTTAGTGAGCGAATTATATTATTAATATCCTTCATCTGATAGTTATTTAGTACGGATGGAGTGTAACTGCGATTGGTGCAGTACAAAACGCAGCAATTTGCCAAACAGGGGATATATCAGCAAGTAAATTTGAGTGTTTAGCTATATCTGATACCAGTTACTCATTTGCTGTTGGACCTTTCTTTGCTATGGGTGGATTGTTAGGTTCTCTGATTATTGCACCATATTTAGGTAACAAAGAAGGCTGGAATAATCTCTCTAGAGTTGCATTCAGTGGATTTGCAAGTTTAGTTGGTCAAGTTATCATTGCAATGACGCCATTTTCAAGTTTACTATTTGTCGGTAGATTTTTATCTGGAATAAGCGCAGGGGTAGCTATCGTCTCCGTCCCAATCGAGTTTGAGAGGATGAAGGATAGCGAAGATAGCTACTTAGGTTTACTCACTCAAATTTCTATTGTTTCAGGTTTGACAACGGCTCAAGCGCTGAGCTTAGTACTCGCTAAACCAACGCTATGGAGGCTTATGCCTGGTATTGCCGGTATTCTCTCTGGTTTGCAATTACTTTTACATAGAAAAGAGTTACCATTACCAACTGACGATCATGAAGAAGAGGAATACAGACCAGATTTGTCAATGTTAGACGTCTTCAGGGATAAAGAAATGAGGCCTAACCTCATTAAAGCCATCTTATTGCTCGCTTCACAACAAATTGCCGGTATAAATATCATCCTTTTCTATTCCAAGATGATATTCAACAGTGATTTGATAAGTATGGGTATCACACTAGTCAACTTGGTGATGACTTTTGTAACTGTACTGGTAGTAAACAGATTAGGGAAAAGATCACTATTTAATATCAGTTATATTGGTGCTATTGCTTCGATTGGTGTCTTATCACTATCATTAGATAGAAGTTACATTATTACGAGTATCGCAATATATATTTATATAGCGAGCTTCTCAATTGGATTAGGACCATTACCATTTGACATCCTAACATCACTATCAACCGAACAAACAAAAAATTCACTTACAAGTATAGGGTTGAGTGTGAACTGGTTGAGCAATTTGGCAGTTTCAGCTGCTTTCTCAATATTAGTTAGCATTTTAGATAAAAAATTGATTTTTGCGCTTGTTTTTATAAGCAATTTAGTTGTTCTTGTTCTTGTAAATGTCAAATGGTGACGATTTAAACGATGATTTAGACTACAACTTTGATAATATAGAGTCTGATAATGATGGCAGCTTCGTAGATGAAGAATTTATGGCTCCAAATGACAGTGAGGAGACACTAGAGGTTGCTACTGGGAAGAAAAGAGAAAGGGATGATGCAGAGCCACAACAGCAGACGCAACAGAAGAAAAAGAAGTCTAAGAAGACTAAGCAATGGTTTAGTCAAGTGCCAGATATCGCAAAGTCGTCTGAATCGAGCCAGTACGACTTTTTAGTTGATCAGTTGAAATCTGCGTACAGTAAATTGAGCGATATTGAGCTTGAGGAGAAGTTAATACCTGGTGAGTGGGTGTATAATAGTAGGTAAATTACTAACATTCCTGTTAGAATCTGCTATAGAAGCTACGACGTCTTACAGTCAATCAAGGAGTAAGGATACTATTGTGGACTTTATCAGTAGCCATTTTGGTAGTTTGAAGGACTCACTGAGTAAACAGAACAAACAAAATGGTAGTCCAAGGTTGCTCGTTATCTGTCCATCCGCTATACGCTGCACAGATATCGTACGCTCTTTGAAGCAACTGAACCCATCGAAGGATGTCCCAATCGCTAAATTATTCGCTAAGCATATCAAATTACATGAGCAGAAGGAGTTCTTGCAGTCAAATCAGACTGTTATCGCTGTAGCTACGCCCAATCGAGCGAAATCGTTAATAGAAGATGGTGCATTCAGCACAAAGTACCTAGGATTAATTTTATTAGACACTAGCTACGTAGATGACAAACAGCGTACATTATTTGACGTCCCAGAGATCAAACAGCAGTTATTTGATTTCCTCGGTTTGAAATCAATTTATGAGCGTTTCAAAGGAGATAAAGGTGGTCAAGGGGAGAAAGGACGTAAAACTGCTTTATGTTTATTCTAATATACAAATACATTAACTTATCTATCTATTCACTCCTCACCGACCCAGCGATTGGCAATTTCACCAATGTAAGGTAGTGGGTACCTCTCTAAACTTTGTGAATCCCTGTATGCGTGCAAAGCTGTCTTTCCTAGTGCGAAAATGTCCAACAAAATGGCGCACCAATTGAAGATTGATGGGAAGCGTAAAATGAGTAGTACGAAGTGTAAGAGAGCAAGTATAGCCGAAAGTAATGCAGATTGATAAGCGTGGTCTGTTTTGTTTGTCAGTTAGGATATATGATATAGTCATTACACACATCGTATGTAATCCGAGGTTGTTTCAAATATCAGAAGTAAGAGCGCTGTATAGTTAGACTAAGATATACTAGTAGGATTACAACTCACCACTAATAGGTCCTAAGACGTACGCTGATGCGGCTTCTACGTCAACTCTCCAACCAAAGCGGGTCTCCCATGCGCCTACAGCGTGTCCAGCTTCTAAATTATCAGAATCTTGTATATCACCGTAGAGTGGTTGAGGAGTTTGTCCAGATTGGTAGGAATTCATAGTCGCTGGTGGATAGCTCATTACTGTTCAACTCAAACGATGAACATTGGGATAATTCTGCCTTTAGTTGGATTAATTATACACGGTTATCAAATATTCGTTGGTCCAAGGATCGCTTTATTAGGATACCGCAATAAACCAGTCACTAATCTTCGCTCTCAGAGCTGTATCCCTATACCAGAATTTGAAGGCTGTGAAGGTCAGCTTCCTTTTTCTTACGAGGCACAACACTAACATTAACTAAGACATCCGTTATCACCCATCCGGTAACGCTTTATACCTCAGTTGCGCACCGGTAGAATCAAGACTTCTCTGGGGTCCCGGTCATGGGGTTTATAAAGAGCAAACAAATGAGGATTTTATTGGAAAGTATGATTTAGCAACAAATAAGTTCTCAAAAATGTCAATGAACACCCTTCCAGAAGGTGGTCTTGGTACACATGGTATTGATGTCGTTGACAACTCAGACGGTTCCGCTACTATCTACCTTGTTAACCATGCTAAGAATGAAACTGGTGGTCCAGATTTCCCTACTACTGAAACTGTAGAAGTCTACAAAACTGATAAATCATCAAATAAGCTCACTCATGTTAGATCATTTAATGATCAGAATGTAATGTATGCACTTAACGCTGTCGCTTCTGATGGTAAAGGTGGTATATACTTCACAAATGATAAACCAACCAGAGTCTGGAGAGGTCTCATCGATCAGGTACTTGCTATCACCGATTTCGCTACTTCTACACTTGGACACTGTAACGCCGAAGGAGAGTGTAAATCAATTGGTTCATTCGTTTCACTCAATGGAATTGCTAGAATTGATGATGATCATTATGTTATCAACCAAATGAACGATGGTAAACCACTCGTTATGGAAAGACAACCAGATGATACTTTAGTACAGATTCAACAATTCCACTTAGGTTCAATGATGGATAACGTTTCTTACGACCCAATAAATGATGAATTGTACATCGCAACGATGCCACAGATTCATAAGTTCCTCAAGAGTCAAAATAACCCATACACAGGAAGATCACCTGTTAGAATCTACCGCCTTCGTAAGACTGAAGTCAGCGAGGCTTCATATAAGCGTATCTATGGTGAACCACCTGCACCAGGTTCGACACACTACAGATGGAGAGCTGAATTGATACTAGCTGATGATGGTACAGAAGTTTCAACTGTAACAACTGTAGCTAGAGCAAATGACAAGCTCTACATGAGTGGATACATTCATCCAACTGGATATGTCTGTGATATCTAAACAATTTATTCGTACACTTAAAAGAATTGATTAATTTTACTTTATTGATAAATAATAGATTTACTCACAATGAACTAAACCGTATGCCATTGTCCATACTAAAATAAAGCCAAACAAGCTATCGCTCGTTGGTATGACGATTTCTGATAAACCATCCTTGTAGTAAGATTGATATTGAGTTGATTGTGTTTTTAAAGTAATTATCAGTAAAGGTAATGATGGCGCTAGTAGTAGATAGAATATCAAGCCATACAAGTTTGTCAAACCCAATACGCCAGCTACACCACCGAGGAACATAGACAGCGTTGACCTTATAACGAATAATTCTCTATTATTCTTCAATTGATTGTCTGTATAAATTGGTTCACGCTTTTCTTCTTCGTTAAATTGTACATTATTTGCTGAATTCATGGTTGATAAGAAGAAAAGAATTATTAAAAAGAACTACAATGAAGTACCAAAGAAGCGCTAAAGACGCATCACAGAAGTACCAAAGAAGTACTAAAGAAGCACTCGACTATGGGAAGTCTCTAAGTTAGTTATTTATCCGTGTTATTCTATAAGATACAATTTCTATGACGATGTTGTCGTGCTTTTGAAATAATCATGCTTGAAGTTGGAATACCAACCGCAAACGAGGTCGTTAAAGACCAAGCAGCAAACAGTATGTGGTGCAATACGCAAAAATTGTGCACTTGTACCCTTATATAACCCTGTAAAGCCTTCTGCTCTTACGGTCTTGTACATACAATCAATTGGGTTCTTGTAGAATTGTCCAACAGTCTTCCCATTTTCAAGTTTGATCGTAGGTTGGTTGTACATTCTTGTAAGACTAACATCTGGTGGCTGCATCATTAAACAGACACATGCACCAGAGATACTAGAGGAGAAGATGAAGTTTGCTAATGAGTTTGGTTCAAATATACCATGTTTCGAGAAGTAAGTCTTTGCAGCTATGTATGTAGGTAATTGTACGGAGCTACCCATGCAGGTTCTCAAGATCGCTGCATCAATTCCTCTGAGCAAACCGCCCAAACCTTCCACTCGTACGACCGATCTGAGTGCATCAAAACCGTGTCTGTAATGATGCTGGGTTCCTACAGGTAGACTAGGGCTGTAAGCTTGCATACGAGCTTTAATGAGGTAGAATGGATTCCCGCTCGCTGCACCCATCATTCCACTGACGATACCTGCACCGACAGATGTAGATGTGACATTCTTCTCCAATGGGATACCTGGATGGTCTTAGATAGGGAAGGTAGTGTGCTTCAGAACTAACCAAATAAACCATTTAATTGCCTTCTAACCGGTTCATAGAATCCTTATCGAGAACGTCAGTACGGTAAGTAACCATGTAGTTCTCGACGAACCAAGTCTGCAGCCGTTGAGTGCTATAAGGGATGTTAAACGTGTGCAAGACGATATAGGATAAACTCACCCGTTTGATAGACGTAAGAAGTACCTAAACCCCTCTGTAAACCTCTGATACCCTCATTCTTGTAAGTTTTTGTGAATACTTCACCGACGTTGTTGTAGACTTTTATGCCTTCTTTCGCTAATTCACCTTGTAATTGTAGTCTCGTTTTGGCCACTTCCATCGGGTTACTGAGGGTGACGGCACCGCAAGAAGCTAGAGCACCACAAATAAAACCTTCTAAAGTAGATAGTTCGCTCATAGTTATGTATCGTTAGATTCCTTATTCTGTACAGTAATTGGAGTTGCTCTTAAAACGTTATGGGTAGAATATGATGATTGTTGATCGACAATTAAGTTCGTATTTAAAGAATTACCAGGTTTTAGTTTATAAAATGCACTTGAAGCTCTAAAAATCGGCGTTTCTGTGTCTAAACCCTGGGTGTTTAGATTAGAGAGTGGTTTATAGAGTGAATATAGTGAATATACTAACAATTAACTGAAAATCATCTGATTCTTTTACTGATTCCTTGAAATTTGGTGTACTATCTATTATAACGATATCCTCACCAATCTGGTTCTTTTAGCTCAATTTAGTGTCTATTTCCTTATACGCACCTCCTCCCAGCCTTCTTCCTGATCAAACTCTTTAACTTGCTTGTATTCATCGTTTAGGAGTTTACTAGCTTTCGTGTTGCCTTCTAGTAACCCTCTGCTATCTCCGCTCATGGACGTCATTTCAAAGAGATGCATTAAATCAAGAATTTACATATATCAGTATATATCAGTTTATTAGTTTAGATGTTCTTTTCTAACCATTGTTCAACATCAGCTTTGTCTCTTGCCAACCATTGGGCGTTACCCTTCACAGCGTCGAGACCTTGGTTGAGTGAGGATGAGTACTTGCTGGTGTCCTTGTCCTTGAAGAATTCTTCAACTTCCTTGGCATCATTTGGTTGTGCCAGTCCATCGAATGAGAAGCTGATCAATCTACCAAGGGAGAAGTTACCCTCAAGTCTCTTCTCGAACTTGCCGAGGTTGGCCTTGGTGTATTCCCATAACTTGCGACGTGAGATTGGGTTGTTACGGAGTGCAACGAATGGGTACATCAAGTCTCTGTAGTTGAATGTTAGTGATACCTATCATCACCCTCAGGAGCACACTTACTGGTTCTTGAAACCATGTTCAATAAAGTCAAATGTCTTTTCAATTAGCTTTTCGTCTTTTGTGGATCCCAATGCTAACATGGCAGCAATCTTGTGCATTGGTGTTGGTGGGTTTGGATTCTTAACGATTTCCAAACACTTCTCCCATTCAACAGCACCACCATGCTTGACTGATTGAGCGTAGATAACTCTAAGAAGGTCATTTGGAATGAGTGAATCATCGTTCTTTTCCAAGAATGGTGCGAAACGTCTCTTGATTTCCTTAATGACATTTTCATCATTGGCTGCACTTGCTGATGCGATTGCCAATTCTCTCAATTGGAGAACGTCTGGTGAATCACCCTCCTTGTTATCAAAGCCAAGTTGTTCTACCAATGGTGAGAAAAGTTTACGTCTGAGAGCATCAATCTTTTCTCTGACTGATGAGCTTTCTTCTGCCCATACGCTTGAAAGGTTAGCCAAGCTGGTACCGATAGCTGACCATACGAGGTATTCCTTTTCATCCTTGAGTTGGTTAATGAATCCTAATGCACCTGAGGTTGGTCCGTTACCAGCCTTTGCGAGAACAAAGGCATCGTTAACCAATCCAATTCTGTCGTTAAGTGAGAATGCAGAGTTAGACTTGGATGCTTCAACACCAAGCTTAGTGAGACGTTCTGGTGAGTATAAAACTCTGTAGACACCTGCAGTCTCTGCGTTGAGTTTCCAGTTGGAGTTTGATACGTCAGATAATGGGAATTCAGCTTCACGCTTGTTCAATGCGACGCTTCTGTCAACTTTGTCACCTTCACGAATGAAAAGTGGAACGTGCCATTCAGTTTCATTTTCTTCTGCAGTTGGTTTACCAGTGCTCAAGAATCTATCTTGACGGACTTTGATACCCTTGTCACTTTCAGAAACAGTGAGAACTGGGAAACCTTGCTTAAGAGTCCATGGGTCCATAATTGCTTGAACGTCAATGCCAGCTGCCTCTGCAATACCATTCCAGAGATCAACAGTTTCAGCGTTACCTGATTGAATGTTAGAGGATAGCACATATATTTAGTTAATCACTCACCATAAAGATGTTTCTTGAGGTAGATAGAGACACCCTTCAAGAATGTTTCTTCGCCGACCATGTTTGAAAGCATGCGCAAGACAGAACCACCCTTTGAGTATGAAATAGCGTCGAAAATTTGGTTAATCATTGCAGGGTCCTTGACTGGAACTTGAATTGGATGGGATGACTTGAGAGCATCCAAATCAAGTGCTCTGTGGAGATGTTGGGTGATAAATTCACTGTAGACCTTCCACTCAGGTCTGATTCTGTCAATGACAATAATTTCACCGACCAATGTAGCAAACGCTTCGTTCAACCACAAACCGTGCCAATCAGCCATTGTAACGACGTTACCAAACCATTGATGTGAAACTTCGTGTGATTGTACACCAACGACTCTCTTCTCAGCGTCCAAACCGGAGAGTTTCTCATCGTACAAGTAAACTGAGGTTCTACCTGTGATCAAACCCCAATTCTCCATAGCACCTGCATCGAAATCGTTTGCAACTAAAGTGTCCAACTTTGGCAATGGGTATTCAATGTCGAAGATCTTTTCGTAGAGTGGCAAAACTTGAGCCTTTGCCTCCAAACCAAGCTTGGCTTGTTGGATGAGGTCTGGGGTTGCGTAGATTCTCAATGGTCTGACCTTTCCAGAGATTGGTGAGGTGTATGATGTTTCTAAGTGCTTAAAGTGACCGTTCGCCCATGCGACGAGGTAGGAACTGATGAGTGGGGTTTTATCAAACTTGGTAATAACCCATTCTTCTGGGTTGATGGTACCTTGATGCTTTGAGTAAGCGAAAGTGTCCGCGTTTGCTGGAGCTGAATGGACAGGTGGCATGTTTGAAAGTGCAACGGTGTCTTTTCTGTGAATGATAGAAATGTCGTAAGTTGCCTTCAAAATTGGTTCATCGAGACATGGGAATGACTTGCGAGCGGCGGTTGGCTCATGTTGAGTGAGGGCGTAATGGACGTCCTTTCCATTGTCTTTGTATGAGGATCTGTAGTATCCCATCATAGAATCGTCCAATGAGGACTTGAACGCAATTGACAGTTCAACGTCATCACCTGGGTTCAAGCTAAATGGGAGGGCGACGTTGATACGCTCTAACTTTTCGTCAAAGGTGTAATCTGGGGTGATAGCCTGCTCCTGCTTAAGTGTACCAGTTTTCAAGCTCAGCTTCTCAATCTCGATGTTCTTATGTGAGTGTAAAGAGATGGCGTTTGTTGATTGGTATACGCTGAAGGAGATATCGACTGCACCGTCGTATTTGCTATCAACTAAATCTGATTTAAGCTTCAAATTGTAGTTGATTGGCTTCAATGTTTTAGGTAATCTGAATTCAGACATGATCGTTGTGTTGGAAGAGAGTATTTGCTGGTGATGCTTGACATGTGAACAACAAAAGTGTAAGTTCCTCACTGTTTTTATCTGATTTTTACTTCTAACAGCCGTTCTAATCCCAGCAAAGAGACTTCTCCTGATTGTGAACATTCAAGATGAAATTAGCAGAAGCGACGAATTTTAATCAAATTTTGAGATTTTTATCTTGGTGTGTACTAGATTTGATATTATATTTACTTTATTCATCCTCTGCAAGGTCTCCTTCAGGCGCTCAGCTTGTTTTCAACAATGATTCCCATCAGTTGATAGTGTCTGAGTTCATAAACAACACTATTATTATAAAAAACGTTATTAAATGCTCAACTCCAATCCTATGCTCTCGTATTCACTCAATAAACTATTACAATTGGGAGTTACTTCCTATCTTTATCAGCAGTCGTCATAAACCGATACAGCTGTTAGACGGATACACAAATAAAACTCACTCACATTACCCGATAGTTGATAAAGACGAGTTTGCTACCCCCTTTGACCTTTATGAGTACAACAACAGTCTTATCGCAAGTCACAACTCCTCGATCACTTTTTTTAATATAAATGACCCAAATACACAAGAAGAAGTTAAATTGTCGCCTACTAAAGCTTCAAAAAACACTCAGCATGGTATTATATCCTCTATAGACATCAATTCTACTTACCTTGCATGCGCTTCTTTGTCAAGGTCTTTAGGAATATACTCATTACTTAATTACCAATTGGAGTTGCTCTTGACGCACCTCCCTCAATCTGTAATACAACTCAAATGGATCAACGACAATCTTATTGCTCTCAACTTTAGAAACCACGACTACATCCTTATCTACGACGTAAATGACTTATCTGAGCCTGTTAATAGTCTACATCGATTAGGTAGTACAAATCAGAATATATACTTTCACATAAAAGACAACTGGCTGAGTGTTGGTGACACCAATGGACAGGTTCTATTTTATGATCTGGGGAGCCTCTCCCTAGATGGTAGTATAATACAGCCTACGCATTCTTTCGCTGTTGCAAATGATGTCGTAAGTTGCGTCGCTTTTCATCCATTCGTCAATATGCTCGCAGTATCCAGTGGGTCTAGACATATCGGTGAAGATAGCGATTCAGAGGACTCAGAAGACGACACCCAGTCAATCAAATCAGACGACCAAGTCGAGAAGGTTCTCTCTGAAGAGAAATTTGCATCACAATTGATGTTATTTCACGTAGACTTCCTTTATTCTTAATAACTTGCAAATATACGCATCAAAGTGTCTCGCAGGTGTGGACATCCTTTACTCTCCATAACTTGCAAAAATATGCATCAAAATGTCTTACAGCTCATGTCTTACAGTTCCTCGTCTTCAGTCATCTCCTCGTGTAATAATCTAAATTATTGTGTACATTAGTATAAAGTGACATGTAAATATTTGTATTAACATACCTATGAATAGTGAATGGCGGGAATTCACCATCATTTGTGATAAAGACGCTAATAAACTCTGGCTTTACGTATTCGTAGTATGGAACAGCAACGTCAACGTTGTTGACGACATTACCATCATCGTAGTTCACCATTTTAGCAGAATTGACATAATCACTCGAGCTAAAGTCATTCTCTTCAAGATTATCTCTGATAGATGATAATTTGAATTGACCAGTGACACAAATGACGGGTGTGGCGTGTAACTCTGCGATCGCACAAGCTAAATAGCTACCAGATTGTGAGATAAGACCACCATTTGATAAGACAGCGTGTGTGCCTAAAACAACCTTCGTTATGCGGGGCATAATAGCGAAAATTGATGAATCAGGTATCAAAATACACTCAATACCTGACTGTTCAGATAACGACTTGACCATTTCTCTGCCTGTGTAAAATGGAGCAGTCTCTGCTACATAGACTGTTAAACCACCACTCGCTGATGCAGCAGATTTGATGAAAGATTCTACTGTTTTTGATTTACCAAAGGTTAAAACGACGTCTGTAGCTCTTATATGACTACTGGCGTTCTTCGAAACCTGTTCATAAACAGTTTCAATCTCGTCAATAACCTCCTGGATCGCCTGAATCATAACGGTTGTTGACTTTCTGTTGAAGTCATCCATATTGGTTGGATGGGAAGGACGCTGTGCGGATGAAGGTGATCGTGAAGGTGAATTATCAGATCCTAAAGAAGCAGCGCTATTCACACCATACAAATCTGGTGTTTTGAATGCCATCCTAAGCGCAGGTTCTGAGGTATCCAAATTGGCTGCTCTAAGAGCTTGCTGATACTCTTCCCTAATCAATCTAAGTACTCTACGTGTAACATTACCAATCGCGAGTTCCTTTGGTTGTGAATTCGTGAGTTCTTGACCGACGGACTTTACGATTTCTAATAACTCATCTATGCTTTTGAATTTAGCGTTTGATACGACTACACGCAATAGCAAAGCTGTCTCTAGTGCTGTTTGATTGCTGCCAACTAACTTCCTTGAGAGTTGTCAGCTTGTCTTCTTGTTTGAAGCAAAAAAACAAACCTCCTTCTCAACTTATCAGAAAGCTGACTTATTTGGTGTAGAGTTGGACGAGATTTGCCTCTAAAGTGGTTGCTATTCAAATCAATCATCGCCGTACTTTCGAAACGTTCACTCAAACTATCAACTCCAACAAAAATGCAGACCCAGTCAAAAGATTTACCCACAAAATTGGAGAGAATTGGTGCACATTCACATATTAGAGGTTTAGGTTTGGATGATAGACTAGAACCAATTCCTTCTGCAGAAGGTATGGTAGGCCAATTGAGAGCCCGTAAAGCAGCAGGCGTTATTATAAAGATGGTGCAGGAATCTAAAATCGCAGGAAGAGCTATCCTCATGGCTGGTCCACCTTCTACAGGTAAAACCGCTATCGCTATGGGTCCGTTATCTTTTTTCACCTCTCTTCTTCACTCATTATACTCTAGGTATGGCACAAAGACTCGGTGACGATGTTCCATTCACGTCAATAGCTGGTTCTGAAGTCTTTTCTCTCGAAATGTCCAAGACAGAAGCACTCACGCAGGCTTTCAGAAGGTCAATCGGTGTACGCATCAAAGAAGAGAGTGAAATGATTGAAGGAGAAGTCGTTGAAATACAAATTGACAGGTCTTTGACTGGTGCTACGAAAACAGGTAAACTCACTATCAAAACGACCGATATGGAAACAGTATACGATCTTGGTAACAAAATGATTGACTCTTTGAATAAAGAGAAAGTTATGGCAGGCGATGTCATCAACATCGATAAATCATCTGGAAAGATAACAAAGTTGGGTCGCTCATTCACAAGAGCTAGAGATTACGACGCAATGGGCGCAGACACAAAGTTCGTTCAATGTCCAGAAGGCGAATTACAAAAACGCAATCAAGTCCAACACACCGTTTCTTTACACGAGATTGATGTCATTAACAGCAGAACACAGGGTTTCCTCGCTCTCTTCAGCGGTGATACAGGTGAAATCAAGCCTGAATTACGTGAACAAATCAATTCAAAGGTCGCCGAATGGCGTGAAGAAGGAAAAGCAAGTATAGTACCTGGTGTTCTCTTCATCGATGAGGTACACATGCTTGACATTGAATGCTTTTCATACTTAAACAGAGCTTTGGAAAATGAATTGGCCCCACTCGTTATCATGGCTTCCAATAGAGGCTACGCTAGAATTAGAGGTACAAAATACACCAGTCCACATGGTATCCCTGTAGATTTACTGGATAGATTACTCATCATCTCAACTAAGCCATACGAACGTGAAGATATCCTCAAAATCGTCCAATTACGTGCTCAAGAGGAAGATGTCACTCTCGATGAACAAGCTTTAGTTGCTTTGGAGAAAATTGGTGTTGAATGTGGTCTCGTGAGTCTTATATCGTGTTTTTTTATATCTAACCCTTCTCCCCAGAGATATGCATTGAATCTTATAGCACCAGCTCAGTTGTGCGCTAAGCGTCGCAAATCTATAGAGGACGTCGTACAACCTGAAGACTTGCAGAAGGCATACAATTATTTCATAAATGACAAAAGGAGTGTAGAATTCCTCCGCGAACAGGGTCAATTGTTGATCTTCAATGAAGGCGCCATCACTGATCAAGCGAAGGACTGGAATTCCCTACAAAACATCCCTAATGCTGAACCTATGAACATAGCCTAATGTATTCTGTCTAATTTATGTTATTTGAAAAGTAAGGATGGTAAATTGATATATCCATATATCTTGAATAAACACAACAAAACGAATTAAGCCAGCAATGAAAGTCTCACTTCTATTCTGCATTGTACGAAGCGCAACTCTTTACCTAATCTAGGGAAGAGACTTACTGGGACAGTGAGAGTGTGAATTTATTAGGACTCTAAAACCTGGTGCTCCAATCAAACCCAAAGTGGTTCATTTTTCCAATTTGTACAATTTAGGAGATATTCTCATCTCGATCTATTGTCAATCAAAGTTACAAAAGTTTATTTCGCGTACATTAAGACCTGCTGAACAGAACAAAAGTTAATCCTTCTAACATTTTACGCATGTTTTGAGATATAGTCACGCTGATGAGTGTTATATTGATCTCCCCTGTTGCATTCTTTTGAATAGTGTAACCTACTATCTTACATCGTGGGATAACATATAGACTGCCTAAACATCCTATCTGTGGGAATACAGACACTCTTAGAGACGTAACGCAATAATCTTCCTGATTGCTGTGCCCGAAGAAAACGACGAATATGAAAACAAGATAAAAACAAGATAAACGTTACTAGAGTGAGTGCATAGAAAGGATAAGATAATATAAAAAGAGAATCGTCGTGATAAAATTTGATGCGTACAGCGTAACAAACAACGCAATTTCAAGAGAACTTATTGACATTAGTTCTTACATTGGTTCCTAGATTTAAGTATAAATCTTTCCCCACAGAAAGTTGACTACAAACTTTGTCCTTCTGTTGCGGGACTGTCTGCAGAAGGCATGCTTTGTCTAAAATCACGTTAGGGAGGAAGGTAACCAAGCAAGATTCGAATTAGGTCCTTGCGCAGGAACTCTAAAGCTTTACAAGTGTTCTATTGAATTTCAAATTACATTGAATGCATTAAGGAATTCGGTTGATTCAGCTTGCCGTTAAAAATCGAGGACACAAATAGCCAATATGTATAACGGTACTTGCAAAAGAACACTCGAAGAGTAAGCAGTTAACACTTCCCTGTTATAAGGAGCATGTGTTAACACAATTAAGCTTTTGTGCAGTATGAGAAACATATTTCAATGTTGTCACCTCCATTATCACCATTGGTCACAAACATGCAAAGTATATGATTATAGAGAATTGGCATTTCACTTTATTTATTATATTTTATGAATGACACTGCCTTTGTCTTAATGTATGTGAGAATAACAATCGACATAAGACCAACTTAACCGACTTTGGGCTCTCTTCCTTCTTTATCTACAACGACCAACATCTCATGCTCAAACTAGCACAATTACAATTACAGAGAGTTATCTCTTTCTTGCAAAACAACAAGTAATGCTGTTAGGTGGGTACCTATTGCATAACAACCTCACTAACGTCAGTTGACAGGTAGACAAGCCAGATCTCTATTATTTGTGCAAACATCTTCAACTTTAGTTCAATTTTCAATTGTTGGGAGAAACAGATGTATCTCCTGCATTTCATCTCCTTAGAGTTGTTCGAGATATGGTTGAGTAGTCAACTGCAAACGCGAAAGAGTATACAGACTCTTAACACGTGTACTTCATTGGTTTGCTGGCGTTTCTATCAGTGTGTTTTATTGCACGTTACGCGTCAACACTAGTGCATTTAACAACAAAGTAATATGTCACTTTTCCGCGACTCTTGAAGCATTGGACATACTGGTGAGTTCCGTATAGCTCACAGAAAAGTAGACTCATTATCACCCTTAGTAACTCTTGCAGCTTTGAAAGAAACCTTAGATCGCATCGACATTACGTTGTTTCACAGCAACGCAAAAGCAACTCTTCTCATCAGCAACCCTTCTAGCCGTGTTGGCAGATATCTTAATGGCATAAAGTATCATCTTACAAGGTTAATATCTAGTTACACCATTGTTCGTCAGGGGTGGTGACATAATTCAGAATAGCAATTCAGTGGAATGTAGTAAACCATCAGAACATATATAAGGGACTAAGACACATAAATTCTTCCCAAAAGTCTTGTATTAAGCTCTGGATCCCTATCGCAAAGTTCATTTTGATCGTACAACTCAATTAATTCACCAGTCAAACTCACTGCAGTCGATTAGGCAACACGATTACAAGTTGTAGACAAGCAAGATGATAGAGAAGATACTAAAAAAATGAACAAATATAACTAATACATTTACTACGTCGCGTTAATTTTAAACCACGCTCATGGTGCTTAAAGAACAATTACAATGATAGACAACAAGATAGAGAGACTCGGGTAGCGATTTTGAATATTCTCACCAATCACTAAATGAAAAACATCGGAAATAACAACATTACCATAAAATTTTGCAGGACGCGTATACGGACGATCAGGAACAGCAGTTCAATAGTAAGACATTACGCATAGTACAACGATAGTCCCCAATAAACCAACCAGAGGAATCTTGCTGGCATCTAACCTATGGCACCGGTGTAGAATAGTAATAGTAACCAGGAACATCACTGTTAAAATAAAAAATAAAAAATGACACCTTGAAACAATAAACAATGGTGATGAGAAGGTGTACTGAAATAACAAAAACTGAACAATATAAATTCATTAATGTCTTTGCTCTCATATTTTTAAACTACCTCAGTATCTATCTAATGAATAAACACATCGTCCCATGTTCTATATCACGAACTTGCATCTTAACTTTGGGTCATTAACGAGGCTTAAATTTATTTTATCTTCTATTATTTGCCTGTTAGGCATTCTTGGCTGAAAATGTAGTAGAATGACATACACTGGATAGTTAAGTGCCGACTAAATATAATCTGGCGAATTGTGGTAAATTAATTCACGGAGTATTATTTAGAGCTAGAGAATCGCAATAATGTAGCTTCAACTATCGATAGCATCGTATGCGCGACAGTTGAGAGATGGTGATATTGGTAACTAGATCATAGAACTGAGATTGCAATATTTTGCAAACTACATGCAATGTCTCTACATATGCTTCTATAGCTAGGAATTTTCGTACTCATCATTGTCGAGTGCTATCTTTTTATGGTTCATTTGAATTGAGACGTACTTACTATACTGTCGATGATGATGCGAGCTCATAATCAATTTATAAAGTTAAAGGTATGAAAAGAACTTAATTTTACTGGTTAACTATTCTAATACGACTGCTAATTTACACAAAAACGCCGATGAAATGAAAAAAAAAAAGGATGACAGAGATGCCTTCGTAATAAATATAAACTCTATCTCAAACACATGTAAAATGCATAAAATAGTATATCAATATAAATTACAATTACAATTACAATTAAATGTTTTAATGTCGTAAAAATTTATTTGGAAGTCTCGATGATTTGATAAGTGTGTATTTATAGAGTAGCTTGGTTTTTCAGGGAATGTAAATAAACACATCAATGGATGGGAATACTCTAATATTAGTAATTTCAATGATGGTGTTATCGATACAAGACGAATTTCCCATTGAGAAAACATATAGCTATAGTTCATACCAGATACTACCAAATATAGACCATATGGTGTAGAGGACAGCGTTCCTCACAGAACTTTTGTTTGTAAAGTCATGTAATGAGTAGAATCAAATTGAGAGGGAGGATAGGCAAGAACAACATTATGTTCCTACTAGGTCCAATGAGTGGAGATGCTTAAGTTTGAAAAACTTGGCATGCACGATATTCTTCTCGTCGTTCAGTGTAACTGAGTAAAGGAGGACGCTAAGTAACGATGTATTTCAAATGCACAACGGATGCATCTCAGACAATTCAATTCATAATTGAAATCTCCTACGATGAAGTATTCAAGGACGGAGTTAAACATTCTATTATCTAAACGACGTATCTCTATTTAAAGCGAATTATCATGATCAACAAAGGGAATTGTACATTTGAGGGTCATATCTTGTATTATATCGCTTCACATTTCTAGCTCCTCAGGAAGGAATCATAGGAATGAGTTTTGTAACTCGAAGAGGTTTAAGGGATATAAATGATACATAGTTAGATATACATGGTTGATTAGTGGTTCTAATAAATGGTTTTTGCTATGGAATATTACTTTTTTGAAATCTTCTGACTCGATGACATCCTCTAGACATACCTCGATGGCAGATAGACTATTTATCTTAGACTACGGCGGTGGAAACACACGCTCTTTAACAAACTCTATCAAGAGATTAGGATACGAATTTGAATGGGTGAAAGAACCAAAAGATCTCGCTAATGCCCAGGTTCGTGATATTTAGCCAGCTAATAGAGTATCTAATGAAATAATAAAGAAACTATTGTTCCCTGGTGTCGGAAATTTTGGTCAGGCTGTAAAAAGTCTCAATAAGTCTGGTCTTTATGAGCCACTTCGCCAATACATCTTATCAGGAAAACCATATTTTGGTAGGTGCTTAGGCTGCTATTTTCGTATAGAGCTAAGTATATCATAGGTATTTGTATTGGTATGCAAGTTCTTTTCGAATTATCAGCAGAATCTCCGGAAGATAAAGGATTGTCCATCATACCAGGTTCAGTCGAGAGATTCACGACAACTCCAGAGGATCCAAAGAGAGTCCCACACATGGGTTGGTCCGCAGCTAAAAGATTGCCAAACTCCTCGCAAGATCCAATGAATGGCCTTAGGGATGACTGTCACTACTACTTTGTACACTCTTATGCTGTACCATACAAAGCCGAACAAATTGCAGGTTGGGCTAGCACTGTCACTCAATATGGTAGACAATCATTTGTTAGCTCAGTCCAACGTGGTTCCATTTTGGGTACTCAATTCCACCCGGAAAAATCAGGCGAAGCCGGTCTCGACGTCTTGAACAGCTTTTTGAAAACAAAGGCTGAGATTAGACCACTTAGCAATCTCACAAGCTATCCAGAACCCGTTCAGGTACCATTGAAGGAGAAGGATGACCTCGTCAAGCGCATTGTCGCATGTTTGGATGTTCGTTCAAACGATAATGGCGATCTCGTTGTTACAAAAGGTGATCAATATGACGTTAGGGAGAATGACGGTAATCCAGAGTCAGTGGATGCCACGGCTAGCCAACGTGAAGTTAGAAACTTAGGTAAACCAGTCGAATTAGCTAGACGTTACTTCAGCGAAGGAGCAGATGAAGTTGTCTTTTTGAACATCACTTCATTCAGGAACTCGCCATTAGAAGATCAACCAATGCTTGAATTAGTTAAAGCCGCTGCAGAAACTATATTTGTGCCACTCACCATTGGTGGTGGTATCAGAGATATGGTTGATCCAGATGGTACTCATCATTCAGCATCTGAAGTTGCTCACGAATATTTCAGATCAGGTGCGGATAAGGTATCAATTGGATCTGATGCAGTCTATGCAGTTGAAGAATTGCTCAACAGAATTAAAACTAACACACAACCAATCCTTACTGGAAAATCAGCTATTGAAACGATCTCTGCAGGCTATGGCGCTCAAGCTGTTGTTGTATCAATTGATCCAAAGAGAGTATACTTCAATCCAGAAACAGAAAAACCAGCAGAAGAGCATTTACCATCAGTTATTTACGGAAAGGATGCAAAGTCCAACACAACGGATGAAGAAAGAAAACTTGCATGGTGGTATCAATGTACTGTTCAAGGTGGTAGAGGATATAGAGATGTTGACGTAATTCAATTAGCTAAAGGTGTAGAATCACTCGGTGCAGGTGAAATCCTTCTCAATTCAATAGACCGTGATGGTTCAAAGAGAGGTTTCGATATCGATTTAATCAATTTGGTTAGAGAATCTGTTAGTATTCCAGTCGTCGCATCATCTGGTGCAGGTGTAGCTGAGCACTTTGCTGAAGTCTTTGATGCGACAAATGTCGAAGCTGCTTTAGGTGCTGGTGCCTTCCATAGGAAAGAGTTGCCAATCGAGGATGTTAAGAATGATATGCGTAAAAAAGCTATTAACGTTAGAACTGAACTTCCAAAAGAACTCGTACAAAACTTGAGTCAAGGTAAAGTTATATCAAAATAGATTTTTCTGTTATTAAAGGGGATACATCTAAATCTTTTATAGATTTTTTGAGAATCAGATCTGCGATGCGAGTGGTATTAAAATTCTCTGTTTGTAATCAATGTATCGTATAATCTAAAAACAAACATAACAATTAAAAAGTAGTACAAATTTGGATTTAAAGTATATTACAGTTGAAGATCACAATTTATCAAAGGGATGTCTAGAAATACATCACATTGACTGTTTCAAAGTTTCTAAACGGCTTGAAATCCTATCCAATGCTACATTTAATTGATCTATCTCGATCTGAGCGTCTGATTGTGAATGAGTGTGATGTTTGAAAGCATCATTAACAACGCTTCTAATTGTATCAACGATAAGTGGTTCATTGTGTTTACCCAATGTAGAGGTTGATTTATATGGTGTTAAAATAAAGTATGTGTAAGCGTTTGATATGACTAGAACGAAAATTAGAACGTAGAGTGAGTTTGTAAAAGACGGTGAGATTGTTAATGCGCCTAATGCTGAAAATATTGTCGTTACTAATCTAATAATTCTGTTAAATAATTCGAATGAACCATCTAACAAGTGTTGTAAGAACGTTGAAAGCAGTGATGTATTGTTCTGTATTGATTGTTTCATTTCTTCTTCCTTCATTTTCGCTGCTTCAGCTAATTGACTTGAGCCTTCACGTTCCCTTTCTACTGTCTCTTGTGATATTAAATTAGTATCTGAGAATTCATTCGCATGTTCTTCAATATATTTTCGCATTGCTGACTCTAACGCGCGATGATAAGATTTTTGACCTTCTATAGCTGATCTCTCAATAACACCTATTGTATGTTTAGATATTTACTTGTAAAATGAGGTCTAACTAACCTTTCAAGAAACTTCTACCTGTCCAGTCAACCTTAGTCGTAACAGTAACATGAGAGCTGTTATTAACAGCCCATGATATAGCAGTTCTTGTCCTAACAATGAATGAATTACCAGATGGTACTTCTGGTGTACGTGTAGAAGTGAGTACCAAAACATGATCATCAAAGTCAACATGCTCATTCTCATCATCCAAAACACATTTAGTTGATTTAGGTCCAACGCCAACTGATAATGGCTTAATATAGGTGATGGTTCTAGCAAGTCTTGAGCTATCAGCTTTAGGTTGCCAATCCGATATTTGAATTTCAGTGAGATCTTGACTTGTCATGAAATCTTTAATAAAAAAACTTGTAAACATTAAATTATAAAGCTTTTCAGGCGTTGCAGGTAAAGTTGTGTCCATTGCAACATCAGGGAAGTGTACAGATGGATCGATCTTTGTTGCTCTATGTATAGTAGGTGGATTCCTTTGAGTGGGTTGTCTGGGTAAAGGCTTACGTGAACTTTGTTTACGTGAACTTTTAGAGTGCTTATCGCTTCTCGATTTCCGTTTTTTACTTGATTTACTGAATGATGATGTAATTGAACTTGCTGTGGAAGTATCAGAATCACCTTGTGAGCTGCTTTGGTTAGCAAGGTGTGCGCTCTCGTGGTAATCCTCCGAAACAGGTACTGTTGGATGTGATAATCTCCAGATGTTTAAAATGACATCGTAAACTGTATCTCTTGATAAAAAAGAAGCAAAGACATACTATATTCAAATGAGCTTTGAATTAGAGATAATGTAACATCAAGAACCCACCTTTGCTCGCAATGTAGATATCTGGATAGCGTTTGGAATAACGAAAGCAGTCATCTTCTTCTCTATAGAGACCATTTCAGAGAATGGAACAGCAAACTTGGTATTGTTAGAGTTATAATTCGTGATTGTATTGATCTACTTACGCTAGTTACCCAACCGAAAATGTTGGCGTTGAAACAAATGTGATTCTCAGATATGTATATACGACCTTGAATTAATATTTCACGTTGGAGAGCACAGCCGTAGTCTTCGATGAGGTAATCCTGGTCTGGAATGTTAGGGAATAATTCATGGAAGTCTGAGTTCCTTCGAGAACTGGCTACTGCGAAACCGGTGATACCGTCTCCGAAGTAGTCACCAAGTTCTAAAGAGCCTGTATCAATATCAGGTGAGAATTTGTCATCTAAACCGAGTCCAATCTGATTGTCAAACGTGTTTATTGAATTGTGTGAACCGTCAATTGAGTTTCTAGTTGAGTGACTGAATGGTAACTTATCTGGTGTTGAAGTACCACTTGTAGAGTTAGATTTATTCGTTAATACCTTTGAATCTGAGTTCATACGCTTGCGTACGTTAAATGACTTTAGTGAACCGTTCGACTGCGATTTTTGTAGGTTAAACTCATCTAGTGATAAGCTACCATCACCGATAGACAAAGGTAAGTTCTTTCTCTCTAAAGTTGGTGTTTGTGTATCATCCTCATGGCTCCTGTCGGATATCACCAAGCGTGGTAGTTCCTCATATTGTGAAGTTGGTTGATTCTTGACCATTAAGTTGTGTCTATTGTTGCTAGTATCCTCTTTATGTTCTTTTTTCTTGTATTTACTAAGTATTGAACTCATTTCTTCTTGGTATCTGACTATCAAGAAGTGAAATGCTCAGTTTAAGGATAAACAATTTTATAACGGGGAATCTACTCGAAGATTTATTAGGTTCTATATTGAGAGCTGTACCGTATGTTCAATACACCCTTATCAATTCCTCGCTCACAAATTATCAGTAAGAAGAAAGTTTCGCATTCAAGGAAAGCTATGCGTTCTGCTAATAAAGGTTTACGTGATAAGAATAATTTAGTACACTGCCCTGCATCTGGTTTACCAAAACCTGCTCATCATCTCTCACAAGAACTCTACAGTCAACTAAAGCGTAATTGGAAGTCATCTCAGAATTAAAAACTAAAAACTATAGAAATAAATGCAAAATAGGAACTGTATTACATTATTTAGCGTTAAGCTTTGGTGCTGTGGTACCACGTGCTAATCCATCTTCAGCGCCGTAGAGTGCTGCTTTACCAGTTTCTTGAGTAATTTCATCTTCAATTCTGAGCAAACGGTTGTACTTTGCGAGACGTTCAGTACGGCAAGGAGCACCTGACTTGATTTGACCAGTTTGGAGTGCAACGACGAGATCAGCGATGAAAGTGTCTTCAGTCTCTCCTGAACGGTGGGATACCATAACACCCCAGTCAGACTTTTGTGAGAGTTGAGCAGCTTCGATTGACTCTGAAACAGTACCAATTTGGTTGACCTTGAGGAGCAAACCGTTACATGCCTTCTTTTCAACGGCAGTCTTGATACGGAGTGGGTTTGTAACGGTCAAATCATCGCCAACGATTTGGATTGGTGAGTTTTGGGTGAAGTGTGACCAAGCTTCCCAGTCATCTTGGTCGAATGGGTCCTCAATAGAGACAATTGGGTATTTGTTGACGTAGCCGAGGTAAAGATCAGCGAGTTCCTTACCAGAGAGCCACTTTGACTTGTCAGAGTTGTCGTTCTTGAAGTCCAAGTCGTACTTTCCATCCTTGTAGAACTCAGATGAGGCGACATCGAGTGCGATGGAAACCTTTCCTGTGTAACCAGACTTCTCAATAGCAGTAACGAGTAATTCAAGTGCTTCATCAGCGCCGCTAACGTTTGGTGCGAAACCACCTTCGTCACCAACGTTGGTAGCGTCAATACCGTACTTAGCCTTGATAACCTTCTTAAGTGCTTGGTAAGCTTCTGAACCAATTTGCATAGCTTCAGTGAAGGATTTGGCACCAGTTGGGAGAATCATGAATTCTTGGAATGCGAGTGCGTTACCAGCGTGTGAACCACCGTTAATAACATTGAAAGCAGGAGTTGGGAGAACGTATGGAGCCTTGACACCGGTGAGGGAAGCGAGGTGCTTGTAGAGTGGTACACCCTTAACGAGTGCAGCAGCATTTGCAGCAGCCATTGAAACACCAAGGATAGCGTTAGCACCAAGCTTGTTCTTGTTTTGAGTACCGTCGAGCTTGAGAAGGAAATCATCGACAGCTTTTTGGTCTGCAGCGTCAATGTTTGCTGCAGTGAGCGCAGGTGCGATGACATCGTTGACGTTCTTAACAGCGGTCAAGACACCCTTTCCGTTGTATGCAGCACCACCATCACGAAGTTCGTTAGCTTCGTAGATACCAGTGGATGCACCGGATGGAACGATAGCGGTTGCTTGTTTGCCGTTTGCGGTCAAGACGACTTCAACAGTTGGACCACCTCTGGAGTCGAAGACTTGACGAGCGTATACCTTTATAGCTGTATTAGAATTTTAAATCAATTAATTGAGTAAACTCACCTTTTCAATAGCCATTTCTGATGTTCGTTGTTAAATACAAAGAGAGTAACTCACTATCCGACGAATCAAGTTAGAGTCATAAAAAATTTAACTTTATACACTTTTTAATGTATTTTAAATTGTATTCATACATTTTATTATATTTATTCGCTATCCCGAATAGTAAAAAGTCGTAAGGGAAACTTACCGGCGGTATTATTAAGAGCAACCTGGCTATTTCTAGCTAAGTAAATGACTTAATTAAACATCAGAAGATAATTGCTAGTAGATTATCGAAAAGAAATTGTATGATGTATCATGAGGGTATATTACATCTTAAATAAATTGAATAAATCCTTCAAATCTCTTTTGTTCTCATCATTTTGGTACTCTCCATCAGAGGAACTTCCTTTATTTGGCGAGTTTGGACGGGATTTCGAAAGAAATCCTCTTTTCTTTTTTAAATTGAGCGTGTTAGATAGCGATAATCCAACAGACTTCTTGCTCTCTGAATTATCAGCTTGATGCTCTACTGTATTGTTGATTGTTGAATTCTGTCTACGTAATATCAGTTTGTATTTATCAGTAACACCCTTCGCAAACAAGGTTGATGGATTAATTCTATGCCCATTAGGCGCCATTGGCGTGTCTAAATCGACCATATCCCACTCGTCCTCTTCATCATTATCATTATCATCGGTGACGTCTTCCTCATCTGCGATCGATGAAGCTGATGACATAAAGGGCTTATCAAATGCCATTACACCCGACTTTTCACGTCTACGCTTCTTGATTCCATTAGTTTCTTGTCGAATGTCACTCTTTTCAGGGAGCGAGAGTGGGGGTGACGTAGGTCTAGCTGTTTCAGTTGGTTTCTCTGTTAATGGAGGTTGTGATTCTGGTTTTGGTTCAGACTCTCGTTTTGGTTCTGTTTGCTGCTCTGGTTCTGTTTGTAATTGCTCTGTGAGGTTCTCTTCAACAACACCATCTAGCTTCTCAATCATGTCATCATTTGTTTCCTCGTTATCAACTTCCTCATGTTCTTCATACATAATGGAGTTACCATCCTCATTCAATCTTCTATAACTGTATTTATCAAACAAATCTTGATTATTAGCATCTGCATCTCTAATTGCTTGATCTGCAACAGCAGCCCTTTCAGGATCGATATTACTGGCATTTAGATCGTCATCATCGATGACTGGCTCCATATCAAGAAAAGTTTCGTCAAAGTTTTGCGTGTCTAAATCATCATTCGGATTCGTAGGTGGTATATATGGTGGTATATAACGTTTTGCTGCTATATGGCCCCAATCAAGCATACCTAGTGTAATTAATTAATTTAATTATTATCGATTTAGTCAAAACTCACCAAAGTATGGATGGCGCTTGATACGTGGTTCGCATAAACGTAATGCTGGGTTCTTTTGAAGAAGCTAGACCTCATATTAGATTTATTTTATTGTAAAAAGCTCAACTCACTCCTCTTAATAAAGATTTGGTATCTTGGTCCATATATCTTTCATCGCCAAAATCTAAGTCATCATGAAGTACGCGCACATACATATCCGAGTGATTTGATGCCCAAAATGGCGTAATGCCTGCAAGCATTTCATATAACATTGTACCAAGTGACCACCAATCAACTTCATAGGAATATGGTAATCCTTGAATTACTTCAGGTGCAAGGTATTCTGCCGTACCACAAAAGCTGCTAGTCGCATCTTTCGGATCTATATTTGGTGTTGATGATGCTGTAGTGGTCATCCATTCCGGCAATACCTTTATTGGTCCTTCTGGTCTAGGGAATTGTTTTGATAAACCGAAGTCTGTTAACACAATGTGACCATCTGATGCAATTAAGATGTTTTCAGGCTTGAGATCACGATAAATTACACCAGCGGCGTGAAGACCTTCAACACCTTCGACAATTTCAGCCGCATAGAATCTAGCTCTGTCACGTCCTAAGCGGCCCCATCTAGAAAGTTGAGTTGCTAAATCTCCACCGGGATGGAAATCCATTGCAAGGAATAAATCACTCTCATCATGGAATGAATAGTGTAGTTGTACTATGAATGGATTTAAGACATCTCTAGTCATACGTTTAAGAACTGTTTGCTCTGTGAGAGTGTGTAATAACTCTTGATGTGCTAAAACGTGTCTTTTATGAATAGCTTTCATAGCAAAGTATCCGCCATTTGATTTGTGCTTAACTAATAAAACTTTACCTGCACATCCTTTACCGAGTACTCTCATCATCTCAAAATCTTGAATTTTGACCTTTGCTTGCTTTTTACGTATAACTTTACGAGTTGTCTTTTCTTTGTTTTCACTCCTTATTGACTGAAGATTTGGTTCGGATTGGAACAGCTCGTGTGATTTAACAAGACTGTCATTAAATGACGCCGATTTAACAATCTCATCTGAGGTTACTGGTTTGTCGGTTTCATTAATAAATTCTTCTTTTTGTGTGGTGTCTAAATTTTTATCGAAGGTTGAATTATCTAGTGCTTTGTCAAGTTGGCTAAGGATTGAAGCAAAATCTTTAGAGTCTGCATTTTTATTAATACCTGGTAAAGCTGTCTCACTTTGTTCCTCTTTAATTGATGGTATAATGTTGTTGGAAAGTGCCGAAGTGGAATTTAAACGCTGACTTCTTCTTCTATCTATACGGTTAGATTGTAAATCATCTGGCCTAACTCTCGTGAAGCGTTTCCACGCTACTTGTGCGCGTACTCTTTCGTCATTGGCTAATTCTGTCAAATAATTTGACAAGAGTTCATTAGCCGGTGCGGATGAAACGTTTGGAGGTGGACTCATTGGTGGCTGAATCGAATGCTTGGGTTTTGAAGGAGTTGACGGGTTGGATGCGAATTTGGTGATAGTTGTAAGGAATGACCTGCGTCTACTATTTGAATGAAGTGAGACTGGTAAAACGGGTATCTGAGCATCAGGTAACTTGTCATGTAGCTGCTTAAAGTTAATATTACTAAAAAAATACTTTAATATGTCTACATACAGCTTCATCTAAATTGCGGATCGTGGATGCCGATCTGATCAGCGTCAGAGACTGCGTTGGTGTTTTGCAGTAGAGGGTATAAACAACTTTATTCCTCTTTGAAGGAGGCTCTATAACTTTTATTGACCAATGCTCTTCCAGCATCTTGATAGTATTATTAAAGACTCAAAGCGTAAGTTTCAGTTTATCGAAATAAAAAAAATAATTTACAAATATTGTTCGACATCATCGACAGATGGTCCCACTATAGGTTCATTCTCGCTAGCAGCTAAGTTGCATTGATGGAAGACTCTCACTTGGTCTTCCTCAAACGCACCGACAACACTATGAAGCACTTGGCGGTTCTGGAACTAGTTGTCGCGTTAAATATTACATTTCCAGCTACTCTTATACTTACTATAATCAAATCCCTTTCATTCCACTCATGAGCATAAACATATTCAGGTTTTATAGCCGGACGTTGCATGTTATAAATAATTTCCCTGACTTTTCCAAGTTCTGTTATATGTGCACCATCAGGGTATAGACTGTCCGTCTTTCTCTTATTCTCAGAAGTTATCGGTTTAATCTTCAATTCTGCAATTGCGCTTGGATGGACTTGGAAATGTAAATCGTCAGTAACTTTGTTTTTCCATAGCAACGGATATGTCTTTATCTTAGATTCCTCGACGTCTGGTAACTCATCATAACTTAACTCAAGACCTTCCGTCTCTAGTCCCAGTCCGTTCGACCGCGATTTAGCTTTTGACATCCAAACATACGGATGCGCTGCGTATACAACTTCAGTACGTACTGCTAATGACTTGTAATTCTCTGGGAGTATTTCAAACATTTTCTTCCCGCTAACGACTAAAAATTATTAGGTAAGACTTAAGATTCTAGTAAAACTAACATGCAGTGGACCCCAAAGGTACTTTTAATTCTTCGCCTGAGCCGTCATCATACCTTAGCGTCTGAAAAGGACCCTGAGGGACCTTGATAGCATAGAGTGTTGTAACTTTTGGTGGATCTAGATCGTACAAAGCAGCATCAATATGCCATCTAGAATAATCAGCTTTCTAGAATTGGTTTCTTTTATCTACTCACCTGTAAAAGCGTGTTATCCCCTTTTTCTCATCTTCCTCACTAACTTTTGTCTTATGAAAAGTTTTATGATGGGGATGTTTGAGTTTAGCCTACATTTTATTAGAAGTAAATTAGTAAATCAAGGCTAACAAACCTCCTGTAATCCTTCATGATTGTAAACATTACCATTTCCAATAACTTGTACAGTAGGAATACGAGGAATGGTCTTCAAGTCAGGGTGCAAGATAGATTTCTTAGAACTACCAGTTTTATTGTTACCATGACCATAACCTTTGGCTGCAGGATCGAAAAGCTGAGGATGTGAGCTAGGAACAGTTGTTGAATGAATACCTACTCTCGTAAGCTTATCCTGATTTTCTGGTGACAAATCTACGTTCTTAAATAAGAGAACGCTGTACTATATAACTTTTAGGTTGAGTGATAACATACTTATTCCGGACGGACCTTGTGAAGCAAGTCGTTGATAAGATTGAAGTCATCAGTTGATAGCTTCTCTATATCAACACCAGTAATTACCCGGCCAAATTCATTACTATCTCTGTTTAAAAGCGTGACGTTCATGGTACGTTTTGAAGATGAAGCTCGTCAACCAAGCTTTTAAATGATGCAATTGATAAGCTTATCTCTATTGCAATATACTATTAGACTAAACTCCGAGATCTGTGCCTTCCACCTGAGCTGATAAGAACGGACTTATCAGCATATGTTGAGTAAGATATATCCGGAATGACTGAGAGACTGCCTAAGGCAAATGCATTATCTAATAAACATGTTCGCCACCTTATTTTACTACCCGAAATTTAAACTACTCTTTCCTCTTTACAATCAACGGAGATAACCAAGATACGCAGAAAGAATGATAATACATTCATGAGACACAGCAGAGTATCTAAAGGCCTTATTGCTCAATTTAATGTTGTAATGCCGTCAGCATCATGGATGGAGGAGGATCTAGCTATGGTAATATCCAATGGACTCGTTTGACTAAGAACTAAGCTTAATAAACATCAAAGAAACGGGTCTAGTAGTCTCTAAGCTTTAATCTCTCGGTGGCTCACTTATGGATCTTAAAATCAACACTCGAGAATTATTTAGAAGCTGAGGACAAAACTACCACTATCGTATTAGATGCGCTCAGCGATAGAGATTGTATCGCCGACAATTTGTGTGCGAATGTGATGTTCGAGGGATCTTCCATATCGATGTTTATTACTAGCGATCATTCAATAGTCTTGATAATTAGGTCAGTTTATGAAGATGCTAGACCCAACCTGTCGAAGTAATCTGAATAACGGCTTGAATCGATCATTTTGTGGATATCAACCTATCATCTTCTCCATTTCAAGCTTCAGAATTTCAATGTTGATATCGCTTTCATGGGCTTCATATTCGCAAACGTAGGTAGGTCAAGGTAACACAAACTATGTTTCGAATTTGATGGAATCCTTATTTTCAAGGATTCTACTGTTCTCATGGTATTCACAACGTCGATATAAAATTGATGTATACTGACTTTTTCGGCGCAGTATAATGAAGCATAGCTCGAGAATCAGGGAATCTATATAACCCAACTTTCTAAGGTCATCAGGCCTGTAGGAATTCAATGTGCGAAATTACGCCCGTCTTGTTGATAGAAGTCATTTATATCGTTATGGTGGCGTATCAAGTTGTCAGATAAGATATTATCTCCCCAAATACATTCGAAAGCACTCGATTGTACGCAGTGTTACAATCGTTATCGTTTTTATAATACTTCCAATGGTATACTCTTTCGAATTCAAGTATTCCATGGGAGGGGTGTTTATTACGATAAATATCAACTGTATCGATGCAAGGAGTCTAAATCTCGCGTTTTAATTGGATCTAGTCATATGAGATTTTTTTGGAAAAATATATGCCAGTTGGGGCATCAGAGGGGTATCCTTCAATAAATTAAGTCAACCTCTTCATGAGTCAAAGTCTAGAGTGTTTTTTTTCGCACTTTATTATGCAGCGAGCAATAAATTGTCTTAGGCTGATTATTATCGTTTAAAGAAAGCAACCGCTGTGTGTAAATCATCTAGCGCATCAGTACACACTGAAATGGTCTTTCATAGAGTATCATAGCAAAATATCTGATGATAATTTATTTGGTCACAGCTATCGCTCAATACTTTGCGTATGTGAGACATCGAGCGATATTTCCTAGCACAAAATACATGTCTTTACAGAGTTGAAAATGAAAACCTCGTGCTTGTGTACTAATGTATGAATTTATTTCCCTTAAGTTTCATGTCAAAGTAATACAGAGATATCAGATAAGTATTGTCTTTACTAGCGGCATGAAAACACGATACAAGGTATACTGTTTGAAAAGTAATCCTTAGGGAACCATCATCTAATACTAGTTTTAGTAATTTCATTATCTAACAAGCTTCCGAAAAGAAAAGCGTCACAAATGCTTATCTCAGATAGCAAATGGAGTGAGGTTAATGTACAGTTCACGAAGCTTGTAGGTACCTGCGTCTAAGAATTTTGAAGCTTGTCTGACTAGAAAATACTCAATTCAGAGATAGTAATTTCCATAGAAAAAAATACAAGTTCAGTCAATGTGTTAAATAAATACTGAAATACACTGTTCAATAAACCCTGACTGTGAAATTGTTTGAGATTGTTCGCTAGTAATTCATTATGACATGTAGGATGTCAACATATTAAATAAATATAAGCTGTTGACTTTGTTAGAATTTGGATTACAGATAAATAAACTCTTAATACTCACTAATTATTAAGAAATGATTGAGCATGATATATACATACGAATGTATTGCATTATGACGAGATTATTGAGAATCATACTCATCTCTTTCAGTCCGCCTTTGTTGATTATGATGATTTAATTGATCAAGTGCTAAGGAAGAACTAGGTGAGTTTCTTTTATTTGTAGGCTTTATTAGTCGCCTTGGTGATTCACCAACTGGACCTTGATCTAGTAAGTTTATATCTAAAACAGGTGGTTTACTAGTAAGATTATTATATTCTAACTGACTGTGTCGATAAGGATTGTTGCTTGGTATTGATGATAATTTTTCACTATCAGATTCATTACGTTTAGGTGAATTTTCATGATTAAATCTGATGAATGGTTGCTCTAAACCACTATCATCATTAACATCTGATTTGTTTAATTCATCATTTATCAAAGTTGAGGGAATTTTTGGTACTGCTAATGGTGATGACGTATTACTGGCTTCATTTGATAAAGGATGTGGTAACTCAATCAAAGGTGGTCCTGATAAAGATGCCCTAGAAGGTGATGCGGGTACCCTCAAAATATCCAAAGTACTACCACTATCGTGATTACTGACTACAGATCTTCTATAATCATTTCTTCGTGGTGAGCGTGTAAAGTCATCGGTTGAATCTCTACTATTTGTACCAGTTTTGTATCTTCTATCACGTTCAAATTCGTTCCAACGCTTCATTATAATGTGTGAAGGATCAAATTCACCTTCTTTATCACCATGTGATTCTCCTTCTTTTTCACCTTCAATTTGACGAGTTGCACCCCAAGAGAAGTCATCGAAATGCCAGAAAGAATAAGCTGGTAAAATTGCGTTCCAAATTGGTAATGATAGTAAATAAATTAACATCCAACCAACATAAGCCAATCTTCTTGAAGTCAAAACTATAAGTAGACCAGGTAAACCGAGAATGATAAGCAGTAAAATAAGTGAAATTGTTGGAGTAGGTTGAGATGGGATACTTTTGGATTTGTTAGTGTTAATCTCTAAATAACAAATTGAACTTACATTCCCAAACAAATGATGTAAATTGTAAAGGTGATAGCAGCAGGTAAGACCATTGTACCAACCATTTCCATGAAGACTACGAATTGCATTGAGAAGCAGAAAGTACCACATAAATCCCTAACTAAAACTAATTCAAAGAGATTATGAACAGTTGAATTGATCCATCTTCTTCTTTGCGATAATAATACTTTGAATTCATCCGGAACCACAGTTTTGCAAACAGCTTGAGGACAAAACATCATCTTACGCTTTGGTAAAGTTTTCAACATTAATGTAGTGAGGAAACGATCTTCACCAAGTAGTAATAAATTCTTTTTGTGTAAAGTATCAACAATATTTTCCGAATAATGTTCAACTATATCCGGATTGCAAAGTACTGGTACCCAATAACCTTGTCCACCTTTGGGTGCTTTAATTCTGTACATCGAAAAGCAACCAGGTAAGCAAGTTACACCACCAAACACTGATTCGAAAGCCTTGGCAAGATGATGTGAAATATGATATTCAAATACTTGTATCATTGTGACCCAAGTTTGTGCTTTATTCGCAATTTTCGTTTCACCGCAAAGACCCATAATTTCAGGATCAACAACCATACATGCCATCATCCTTGTAAGCGAATCAGGGAAAACTTTAGTATCGGCATCAACCATTAAGCATGTTTCGTAACGATCAGGACAAACTCCGGTTACTCTCCAGATATTATTAAAGAATTCGAATTCAAACGTTGTCATACGCTCATCAAACATAACTTTTTGTAGGAATGCCATAAGCAAAACTTGAGAATCACGTTTACCTCTGTTACCAGGTTTTGCTTCAGATGCTTCTAGAGGGTTACCAACTTTTGCTACTAAAATCATTGGTACACGCTGTTGTTTACTTGGTTCGACGGATGCATCATCATAATCATAAAATCCGGAGAAAACCCTTGCCATATTGTGTCTTTTATGACCATCAGCTATCGAAATATAAGAATGAGCTTCCACTTGATCTCTTGGTACGATTAAATCTTTCATCATTGATAAACAAATATCGGGTGTTGATAAATCATTTCCAGAGCCCTTGACGACACCATCTGCAATTATTAACAAAAGTTTATGACTATTTGGATAGTCTGTGGTAGCTAAAGAGTCTAAAGTAGTTCTCAAACCTTCAACGCTTTCGGAATAAGCAGTAACGAGACAGATGGTATGTGCCAGTGGGAAGTTGAATGGTTCATAATCACTTGAGGGTTGTGGGACAGCATCTACTGCCAATGGATAAGGACAACCACCCGAGGAGCCAGAACCTAATGAAGAAGACCTATTCCAATCAACAAACTCTTTTGAACTAGCAAAAGGTAAGCTACTTGAACTACGAGCCCCTCTAATTATTGGTGAATCAGGTGGACTGTATACAGATGATGCGAGGAAACTTTTAGTACCAGAAGAAGTGAAGTTAGTTGCCCTTTTATTCAATTCTGGGATGAATGTTGGCTTCTCTTGAGCTGGCGTGAATCTACTACTCTTTGGTAAAATCTTCGATGTTGTTTTACTAAGAGCGCTCATTTTACTTGGAAGCGGTAACTGAGATGGTCTATATTTACTTGGTGCAGGTCTATGAATATCATCCGTCCAATTTTCAATGGCATTCATACGTGCATGTCGTTCTTCACGAGATTCTTTGAAACCAACACCTAATCTCCAAGACATAAACCAACCAAAGAAGACGGCCATGGCCCATTTGATACTAAAAACTATCGTTAAATCTGAGAGATATGAAGAGTGATTATACGTACGAGACAACACCAATGATGAAAATCAAAGACAAATAAAGAACGACATTAGAGGCAACGCATCCAATTGTATCAGTGTCAATAAAACCAACTCTGATAACATTTTGCAAGCATTTTCCAATTTCGTCTCTTCCTGTTCTCTGCATTGTCATAGTGATATCTCGACCTTTATATTTGTCATTGGGTGACGGTGACTTGAGTTCATCAAACTCCAATGGCCAATTAACTTGAGAGCTATCCAACCAGTTTAGTAAATCTAAATCCAGAACATCTTGTTCATAGACGATAAGATTTCTGTCCGGGTTACGAATATCTTCCCAAGTAAAATAAATTTGACCTGTTGTAACATCTTGCACAGTGTCTAGAGAGTGATAAGCATCCCTTGCGGTTGATGAAGTATGACAAAGTGTAGGGTCGGTGTAATTTGTGAGTGATGCACTCGATGTACCATTGGGACTGAACAATTGACAAGGGAAATACCAGGACATCTGATTACCACTATGATCAATTCCACTACCATCTGCTGGAGTGATAACATTGAGACAATCTTGATTGACTCTTTGAAAGAGAAAAGAGGCATCCATACCGGCTGCTGGCATAGGACCATTGAAGAGAACATTTCTATCCTCATCATCTGTGAACCAGTCATCAACTTGAGGGTGATCCCATGTGTTTAAGCTATAAGAATAACCATTTATGACCAGGTTACCATTATCAATATGACCGACCTGATAACGATTTGGGGGTCTACCACAAACTGTCTGGGTGAAACCGAAGGTGATGAAACCGACTAAAGCCATTAAGCAAGCGATAACACCAATTAAACCAATCTTTTCGCGCCACGCTCTTTGTCGTTCAGGTGTGTTTATACCGAACAACTTTAAGGCGAAGTTTGGAATGAAGCATGTGATAATAAAGCAATAAAGCATCCAAGGACCTTTTGGACCAGGTATGCTAGAGTAAGCAGACAATTTTGAAGGTTTAGCTGTTACTGGTTCGGTACCTGTTGGGCCATTACCTGGAGTATCGACGGAGGTGGACTTCTGCCTTTTTGTTTGTCTCCGTAATAAAGAAGGCCCTGGATCCTCTCTACCGAGAACGGATTTACCTCTCCTCAAAGCGGACTGTTGAGGGTAAGCGCCCGTTGAACTTGCCTTGACGTCAACATGTCCGGATTGGTTAGCAGCGCTATTGCGATAATGAAATAAACGATGATTTTGATTCAGTCTCTCTCTCTCAGGCTTAACGAGTGATTTCTTTCTCTTGAAGTTGCTGTTATTCTGTCCAGATTCGATATCATTCTGTTGATAGTGAAAGCTAACAGTAGGGCCCTCTAAAGTTTCACTAGATTTGAATGAAGAGCTTGAATGATGCTTTATTGGTGGACGTCTATCCATAAAGGGTATAAATAAACGTTACTGTAGTAGACCAAGGGTTGAACTAACTAAATTGGGTTACATACCGAAAAAAGTAATTTTAATTTACAAATGAATAATTTTATTTAAAAAGCTCTATTTCTAGGTAATTGTGTAGGTAAAATACCAAATCTCTTCTTTATCGTCACTCTATGGTATGTAATGTTAATGAGTGATATTTTATCGAAACGGGTAAATACCTTTGACGAGAATACTTGTCATCAGGAGAGAACCTAGCTGGATGTGCAGATTTCGTGATTACGCCGTTATCGGTAACTTTCTATCAGTTTATTAGAATGGCCGGTATAATATTATAGAAGGTAAAATACCTTTAAAGAATAAACTCTCTTGCCCTGCTCATCTGAAGAAAACATTAAATGCATTTTTGATTGTTCTTCTTAATCGCTCGCTATCTCCTCAACAAAGATTTAAATTTCAAAATAAAAAATCAATTTATTTACAATCAATTATTCAATTTAGACGGTACCACAGTTAGCAACTTCAATCTTTGCTGAAGTCTTACCTGATCCAGAGCCGAATGATTCGATCTTCTTAACAACATCCAAACCTTCGACAACTTCACCGAAGACGACGTGAGCGCCATCCAACCATGGGCATGGTACAGTAGTGACAAAGAATTGTGAACCGTTGGTGTTCTTACCAGCGTTGGCCATTGATAAAAGACCTGGCTTGGTGTGCTTCAGGGTAAAGTTCTCATCTGCGAACTTTTCACCGTAGATTGACTTTCCACCTGTACCGTTTTGGCGGGTGAAGTCACCACCTTGCAACATGAATTGTGGAATTACTCTGTGAAATGGTGATCCCTTGTAACCGAATCCATGTTCTCCAGTGCATAATTCACGGAAGTTTTTAGCTGTCTTTGGGACAATGTCATCACGGAGTTTGAATGTGATACGACCTGTTCATAAATTACTATACTATATTTCTTTTTATTATTATCTTACCGACTGCTGAGCCGTTTGCTGTAACATCAAAGAATACGTTTGCCATTTTTCCTGCTTGTCTGATTGTTGAGGAGAACATTCAAGAAGGCACACCTGAATTAATAGCGAAATGATGTTAAAATTTTATTTCATTTACTTTTTTAGTCACCACATTCTCTGCTTCCCATTTCATTCATCTATAGGCTCTCTTTCCGTCAGCCACTTCGCTGTCAGATTCTATGACGTCACTATCAGACATCTATTAACTCATTAATGCAGTCATCCATCTTCTAGGTTTATCTTATTCTTCATGAATTACATCATACATCTTTCCATATATCCCATATTACCCTATGAGCACAATTACTTGGGCATTCTATGATCTCTTCTTCCTTATCACTTTCTACTACCTCTTCTTCTAACTCCTCTTCACTCTCTCCTTCATTATCACCAGTATTCCTTGGATGTTCACATTTGGCTTTCGTGCAAAAGACTGGCACCTGATATTCCCTATCAGATGCTCTTTCAATCAATTCCAACATTTGTTTCTCATCTGAACAAATACTCATACCTTTAAAATGGTCTTTAAAGTTATTTGGTAGTGTAGATTTACTAGTTTCATTATCTTTAGTGTCTTCAAGCTTGATTATTTCAACTTTCTTCTTAACTTGGCCTCTTTGTGCTCGAGGTTGATTATTAGATTTTCCGTAAGTTTTGTATTTATTTTTTGTTTTTTGGGTTATTGTTTTGTTCGTAGTACTTCCATCGGCTGTGCAATCATCCTCAATAGATTTCATCCACGCTTTATATATTTGTTCGATAGTTTCGACAACTTTATTACATCCTTCACGCCAACCTTTCTCAAACTCTTTATGCCATTCCTCCCGTCTACATTTCTTAACTTGATCTGATACACCCACTGTTATAGCTTTCAATTGTGATAATTCTGGTAACACTAAATAATTAACTGGAGCGTTTTCTAAATATGCTTTCGCTGCATTTGAAAGCCTTGGTAAGTTTCTTGTATCAGAACCTGTTTCGGTTCTTATTGAAAAATTGGCTTGGAAGGCTCTTCTACCTGTATTGATTCTTCTCCGAGGCTGTACTATCTCTTCGTTTCTTTCATCTTGTTGTCTTTCAATGATTGATTCATCAAATTGCATAAATGATGCCCTTTGTTCGGCTACCCACTCATTTATAGCAATCTCAATACTTTTAGCATGAACTAAACCGGTTGTTGCACTCATTTGCCCAATAGCTCTCGCAGACTTCCGCGCTCTGTCTCTTGCCACAACATTTGTGTAAGTAACATCTGTTCCCAAAACATCTGTTTGATCCAATATCAAATACTCTAAACTTCTTAGCTTTCTTAAAAGATTTGATAAATTAGCATCTGGTCCAACAACTTTTATTAATGTTGTAGATAGATCAATACTTTTGACCTTTGGAAGTGAATCTTTTATAGCTAATGATGTCGCTACCTATAATAATTTATTTTAGTTAATTATAACGTCCAAAGCCATATTGAAACGCACATCTCTCTGTGGTATAATAAGTCTCATATGTTCAATACTAGATGCAAATGGGCTTGTTGAAAATTGTGTTAGACAATGACTTAGATTGAAAAATACTATTGGATGAGCGAATTTCTTTGGTAAGTCATCCGTCAATATACGCTTCTTGAAGTATGATGTTGGACCACCTGAATAGCTCTCGAGGTAAGTTGAATGATCTATAAGATCTACAGACTGTTCAACATGCAAAGGTAACCTCTCTTTACTCTCCTTGTGGTCCAAAGAAGGCGGATTATCTTGTATAAATGAAAGCCTAGTCAAATTAGGATTTATTGGCCAATTTAGAGCTAATTGCTCTAAAGTAGAGTCAAAGTAAGCACCTTTTAAAAACCTAAGAAGTTTAATAATCTTCATATTATCTAAATAACTATCCCACTTACTGGTAATAAGAACGCCTTTTAAGATATGGACGGAAGTGTATGTTTAGTGTTCTCAAATTATTACGAGGTTTATTGAAGAATTCGCTTAAGTGTTCAGGAGCAAAAGCAGGTCCAACGAATATTGATAATAATTGCACATGCTTTAAGCTTTCATATACGTTTATCAAAAAGTAAGGATCACCGAGCATAGCAGTGTGGCGTAGTGATTGACCTAGATAAGATTGTGATTGCAATGTTAATTTCATTTCCCTATCATTCATTAATTTCATATTGAGCGCCTTTACTTGAAGCTCATTTCGTAGGTGTATATGCATCCAAACGTGTTTGAAATCGACAGGTGCTTTCGGAAATGCAATCATGAGAGCAGCTGAAGTTGAAGATTGATCCCTCTGATCCAGCTGCTCTAATATTGCAGACCAAAGCTCAGATGGTAGCTTCGTTAAAGATCCCATAATGACGATCGTGGTATGATAAGAAGATATTGTCTAATTTACAAAATATACAAAAATTGGAATAAATTTTAAGCATTAATTGACATTACTTTAAGTATATTACCTGGCCTTGATCTTCCTTGAACTTCATAGCTTCCTTGACATTGGTAACTGCCCTGATAACTCACCACCATTGTTTATTGGACCAAGTTGCGGAATATGCAAGCGTTGAGCTAATGGGTCCCTGATTGGTGGTCTAGGCATCATCGTAGCTTGTGGCTTAACTATATTATTCATATGTGACTGAGGTTGCATAGTTGGAATTTCAGACGGTGACTTCTTTATTTGATCATCCAAAAGGTTAAGTACGGTACAGAGTACAACCCATTCGACTGCATCCTCATTGCCGTCGCCTAGAGTTTGCCAAACTGCTTTCTCTTCCTTCGATTTACCAGTGATCGTGATTTTCACTTCACTTTGTTTACTTTCTGTTGTCGTTTTCATCACTCTACCAAACTAAAAGAAGATTGACGCGTGAATTAAATGTAGAGAGAGAATATTTACACCCACTTCAAGTCGTTTTGGTGGTATTTGATGTCCTGCATATGCAAAGTAAAACAAAGACCAAAAGTTTGCATGTGGATCTTTGAACGATTTAATAGTTTTTCAATCGCTTTATAAGCTAACTCACTAGGTTTGCTTACTTGGAATAATGGCAAATCATCACCATCTATCCTCGGATTTGGTAGGCTCACTTTATAAACAGGATTCATAACTCCAGCATTTGATATGAACCATTTGAGGCTTCTGCTGGCCTCACAATTAAAAGTTCTATTATCTTCGCCCGTTTCCATTTTCGCCACGCAAAGATCGCCTGAGTCCGCATGAGCACTTTATAGTATAAATGCCAACCTACATACCTTTCTTTGAAGGGGTTAGAAGATAATTCTCTGTGTTCTGCCAATTGTTAGCTTAAAGATTCTGAGTATACTGATATATTCATCGACTCACTAATTGTGTGTGCACATAGTTATAGAGTACACGATGAGGTTGTCCATGAGGCGTGATAGAGAGCGTAGGTAAGTGCTTAGGTCCCGGCTGATGATTACGATTCGTGTAGACTAGTTCTAATTAGCTTTAAAGTTGGATTCGTATAAAATTCACCTGAGTATATCGCTGGCTTTTATTAAATTTCATTTTCAACTGTAATTTCTAACTAACCAGACATTAAAACTATTATTTATTGATTTTAATTTACTAAATATGGAATGCTGATGATGGTCACTTGGCTCGTTACTAGCTTGTCTTTTTAACAAAGGGAAGATATTAATTTTTTTTACATGTTTTGCATTCTAGACGCTTTAAAACGCGATATTTTTGGTTTAACCTCTACTTCCTCATCTTTTTCTCGCGTTGTTGCCTCAACTCTAGGTGGCTTCCTTTCCATTTCTTCTACGTTCCTTTCCATAGGACGTTGTAATTGCGGTAGATCTTCTCTGTTTCCCATTTTAAGCTTTTCTAATAATTGCTTGGCCTCTTCCGTGTAGTCATCCCATTCATCTGCTTCTTCCGTCGTTATAACACCATCATTATAATGACCCATCTTCATACCTGGAACTAATCTAGGTATCATAATGGAAACTTGCTCTTCATCACCATTCTCATTTATCATCTTATCACTAAATGAGCGTTTAGCATAGGGTTCGAATTTGCCTTTTGGTGGTGCTTGTCCAACTAAAGAGGCATCATCTGGAACGAACTACAAGAAGTTAGCCACCTTACTAATTATTAGTAGAATCATACTTCTTGATCCCAAATGTCATCTTGTAAATCTGAGAAATTATTGCGTTTTGTATGATAAGCTACTGCTAGTTGCTGTTGCATGAGATCAGCTTCGATGTCAAGCGTATCCTCATCATCTTCATAGAAATCAAGCTCATCTTCACTTGTAGATAAACGATCGGGTCGGGAATCATTAGATCGTTCGACGACGAGATCATTTAAGACTCCTTGATTTGAACGTTTAGATGAATTCGAGGTTGGTTCTAGATCTTTCTTATTAAATCGTACACTCTTAGTTTTCTTAGATTCATTTGGTAGCGACTCATGGTCGAGATCGACACCTAAAAGTTCTCGTAACTTTGATACACGCCTTCTAGTAACATTCTTCTCCATTCTATCACTATCTAATGGTTCAGTTATACCCGTCTTGATCTTCTTTGAAGTATCTTTTACGTCTTCTACTATCTCGATAACAGGATCACCATCCTCATTTAATATCTACTAAATAGTTCATTAAATATTATATTGTATGTGTTATTGCGAACCTTGGAATTTGAATCTACTCCTAGTTTGAATTCAGATTCAGACATTCTCTAATAGAATTTCGATTTGATAGTATGTGATCAAGATTGATTTACAGTTATATATTACAATATAAAAATTTAACTTGATTTTCATACTTCTTACCAGCTACTACCAATTTCATCGCCTTTTGGTTTCCGCTTTTGTGCATCTTCAAGCTTAGGACAATTGACAGCGCTATGTCCAAGGCCTTATATAATTCAGTTATATCTATTACATTTTTTTAACTTACCACCGCAAATTGGACAGCCGCTAGGTTTACCGTCGAATGGATCAACTACGTCATGTAAAAATGATGGTATTCTAATTTGTCTTAGACCTCAAAGCTATCTTCAATTAATCTAACATACCTTTGCTTTGCTTCTTTAAGTAGGTACTTAAGGTCAAGTAATGTTTGCTCTGGAACACTATGATTAACAAACGTTGTTGCTACTCCTGTCTTCCCACTGCGACCTGTTCTGCCAATTTGATGTACATAGTCTTCTATTTCTTTAGGCATTGTAAAGTTTATCACGTGTTGTATATCATTAAAATCTAAACCCTTCGAATAAGTTAGCGCTCTATTGAGTCATCCAACTTTCATGTATACCTTTGAAGCGACACCTGAGGCAACCATTACATCTTTCCTACCACTTTTAAAAGTTTCTATTGCAAATTCACGTTCTTCTTGAGCTTTCATTCCTTCGTTTAGTAATCAGTAGAACCTTACTAGCTACTTACATTTGGAGCCATGTATAGCAACAGCTTCAATACCTTTTAAGAGTAGGTACTCATGAATATCTAAGTAAAATTAGATTGTCTCATAAATTAAATCAGAAACCTACCATCAACATCATTTTTCAGATCACTGAAAATAATAACAGGTGGTGGCGTTTTCTGTAAACACTCAAGGAGATACACCATCTTAGCCTCTGGCTCAATAAATTCAACTTCCTGAACCAGTAAGTCAAACTCAATTATTCATAGTTATTTATCAACTTACTTGAAGAACGTCCAAATTAGCTGCACCAGCACGACCTACGTTAACTAATATAGGCTCAACTAGCGACTGCCTTGCAAAATCTTGTATTTTCTTTGGCATCGTGGCTGAAAAAAGAAGCGTTTGCCTCTGATGCTAAAGTAATGTCAAAAAAGGTAGTGGTGTACGCAATTTGTCATACCTTGAAGAAAGACATTATGGATCTAACATCTTCCTCAAAGCCCATATCTATCATTCTATCTGCTTCATCTAAACATAGGTATCTATTATATACTTCAATGACTTCTTTTCAAAACAATCATATCAACCTTACCTGCAGCTAAAAAGGGTAATTTTGCCTTTTTCCAACATATCCAATAAACGTCCAGGAGTAGCAACAACTATATGGAAACCGTTTTGAAGTGTTTCACTTTGATCTTGCATACTAATACCTCCGATACATAGCAGACTTCTTACCAAAGGATAACCGTCATCATTCAAAGCTCTACTCATTTGAATTAGACCGTCGTGCGTCTGTCGTGCAAGTTCTCGCTAATTTAAAGTCAATTTTATTAATAAAAAAAATCTAAGACGTACTGATGGACAGAGTATAATACCAATTGGACCTTCGCCTTTGTCAAATCCTAGTTTAGATTCTTCCTCAAGAGCAAACATTAAAGTTGGTAATGAAAAAGATAAAGTTTTCCCAGAACCCGTAAACGCTATCCCTATCATATCTCTACCTGAGAATCTAAAAAATCAGAATAGCAAGTCAATAATAAAATAACATACGCTGTTGAAATGCCTTGAATTTGAATTGGTGTAGGTGAAAGTATCTTCTTAAACTTCAAATATCTGAGTATAGCTCCTGGTAGTTTCATATCCTGTTATTATATAAGATTTTATCTTCAGTTATATCCTTCACCGACCGCAAATGTCTCACAAGGAGGAGGAATATCAGAGCCCTCAACAAGTATGTGGTGTTTACGCCGAATCAACGAATTTCCTTCAGAAGAACGTTGTCTTATATATTCCGGTGGTTTCCAGCTATATCAAACGAAAATTAAATGATACTAATTTGAGACTAATAACCCACCTGGTTTCCATTATTCGGGAGTATGAAATTCCATGAGCCAACTCAGCTGCAGGTATCAACTTTCTTTGTTGTTTAGTGTGCGCATCAACAATGTCCGCGTCTTCCTCTGCTCTTCGCTGAATATCAGATTTCATGTTATCTGAGTTACTTAGAATCATGAATAAAAATAAGCAGGAATCTCACCCTGTGTCTTTTTTTCGCTCAAGATAACTTGAGACTCTTCGAGTAGAGTTTTGGAGCTTGTACTAGCCTTATTACTATCATCATTAAGAAAATCAAGAGAACTATTGGGTCTATCATCATTTTCTGATGTCTTCTTGTTACCTAGAAGGGTTGCTCTCCTTTGAGCTATAGGTACATAGATGTCATCATCAGATATATCAAATCCGATGTCATTATTATCATCAATTCCAGGCATACAGTACTAGTCGTTACTAAAATGGATTTCCTAAGTATTTTCTTATAATTTAATGATGATGATTATAAGAAAAACCATGAATTCATCTTTGGGAAAGTTGAATAGAAGATGGTATCAAATTAAATTTTAACATTTTACAATATTTTGATCTCTTGATTCTTATTATCTTCCAACTTTCAACCAGATCCTGAAGATTCAATGAAACTACAATACTGTGATATATGGAGTATCAATGGGTTATAAATCTATACTATATGTGTATTTTACCATCAGTTCACATCCTGTCATCTTATTAGCGTCATGATAAAGGAATATCTACAGCCGCGTCGACGGAGCTAGAATTGTCATTATTGGGAGAAATCGATGTGCTAATTGGATACTGAGATGATTTTTTTACTTTCACTTTGAATTACTGATAACTAGATCTTCTATCAGCTTCGCTTTGGAAAGCAATAGGGCTTAATGGTAATAGGTTATCGGGCTAATTCATGGATGTTTGATACTCTATACATCAAAGCTGATCATGTAATTCAAATATAAGCTTTAAATTTATCAAAGCATTTCTATTTTGTCGTTGTTTATAATCACTATTTACAACCGTTTAACTCAATATCAAAATGGTGATTTATTCATCAAGTTTGATGAAGTAGAGATCCGAAAACATAGGAGGCAGCATCAGTGTAATAAAGACAGGCGATGTGAAGAACACTGTATGTTTTATCAGCTAGCATCCAAATTTGTTAATATGATCACAAGCAATCGTTGTCAAGCATCAAACGAGCTATTATAAAATGATTCAAACAGTTGAATTTCGTAATGCACATTGTTCCTGCAAGACGTTCCTTGCTAGAACAAAATAACCAGCACACAATATGTGCTAAATATGTGCTGCTAATGAGCAAGTATAAATTGAAAATTATGCAGGTCAAAGAACTACCAATACCATGAATACCGCACCACGCGTAGCGATTATAGGAGCAGGTTGGTGAAATTGTTGAGGTATTCACATTTAATTAAAACTTACCAGGTCAAGGTGGATTGGTGTCTGCAAATGAAGTAAAAAAACGCGTCCCTGATGCAGAGATAGTCGTTTTTGAGGTGAGAAACAACGTTGGCGGGGTATGGAACCTTGGGGATACTCCTAAAAACTACGAAATTCGTTTCGACGATTTTGGCCAGGCCCATGCGGCAACTTCATTTTCGCATTACAGTGAGGGAGTTGTAGACGTGAAAGAGGAGGTGCCACCATCAGCAATCTACGGGAGCTTGCGAACAAACCTTCCAACTGAGCTCATGTCCTTTAGGAATGATGAGCATCTAGAATCAACTCATCGATTTCCTTCACATACCGAAATTCTCAAGTATTTGGAGAGATTTGCTAAAAAGTATGGACTTACTAAGCTCATCCAGTTGGGTACCCGGGTGCTTAGGTTGAAGCATGCTGATGGAGTTGCAAAGTATAAGTGTGGCTACCTTCCTCAACAAAAAGGGAGATGGGAAATTACCTTGGAGAATGTCAACACAAAGCAGCAGGCAATTGAATGGTACGATTTCGTCATAAATGCATCTGGTCATTATGTACAAGCCCATATACCTTTTATCGATAACTTGTGGAAGTTTGAGGGAGATCTCTTTCACTCGCGATTTTATGAAAGTGCTGAACAATTTAGAGGTAAATCTTGCGTAGTAATCGGTAGTAGGGCTAGTGGATATGATATAAGCAGGGAAATAGCTTGGTTAGACCGTTCACCGGAACATGGCCAATCTCCTTATAACTCCGTCAAAGAAAATCCGGGTCTACCAAGTACTCGTATCATTCAATCAAGAAGATCGCCGCCCAAGTATGAATGGAAAGAGGAAAGACCTAGATGGCTAGATAAGATTGAGCAGAGAGGAGAGGTCGTGGGAACACATGGTAGAAGCGTGATATACGCTGATGGTCATGTCGATCATGGTATAGATGTAATCATATTTGGGACCGGATACACGTACACTTATCCTTTCATGAGACCAACTGACGAACCATGGAAAAGCAATAGCGTGTTTCCTCAATCCAATCAGTCAAGAAAAAATGTGTTAGATGATATACCAGCACACCTCAGACTACCATACAATCTCCCTGACAGTGCACAAGGAAGTATGACATTGGTAAATCTGTCAAAGCACAACTTGTTCTATCTTAGTGACCCCTCTTATGCTTTCGTAGGCTTATTGCGTCATGTTCATCCTTTTGCACTCAGTGAAGCTCAAGCACATGTGATAGCATTTGTATTATCATTGAAGGAACGAATGATACCGTCGGTTTTATTGCAGGAATCGTATGAAGCTGATCAATTTTGGACATTCCCCACTGAATTTGAAATGACTGATGAAATGCTCTTAGCAATTAACGAAGGGAAAGACTATCACATCGAAAAAGAAAACGTATGGAGCTGGTACAGAACACCAGAATGGGTGTTGAAGTTAGCAGAAAGCGCATCGAAAGACAAGAGATTATTATTGGGTTATTGAATGAATGAACATGAATGATCGAAATATTACTAAGCATATGCAAATGAACTTTAGCTTGTCTCTTGTTTTTTGCCACTGTAGTATCGAAATTTTACATGCTGGAAAGGACAAGCATAAGCAAATGTGAAAATATTCACTGTAAAGAAGGTTTCCATTTCTTAATAAATCAAAATAACTTTAACTTAATCATACGCATGATAATAATTTGATCACGGATTATAGTTAATTACCATTATTGTAGCCTATAGGGGACCTGTTAACCAGTTGTGAAATATCAGAACCTTGTGGTTCGCTTCAAGGAGTTACAATTCTAAGAGAAGAAATCCAACAAATACCATAATCTCACGCAGTGGTACTCTGAGTGCTAAAACCTCGTCGCCTTCAAACGCTAGTGCAGACAAGATCTGTGTTAGGTGGTGCTTGATAGTCTGATTTTGGTTGGTTTAATGCGCTCTCATGCAACATACCTTCTGCTTGATGTTATTTAGGAATATATAGTTTGTAATAAATGTAGATATTTATTACAAACTAGGGTGCGTAAAGTATTATTATTGCTACGATGGTTGATCCTTTTATAAAAGGTTGTAGTATGTTCATAGACATAATTAAAACACTTCCTACGAGGTTAATTATGAGGATAAATCCCAAATAGTCTTCAGCAGTATTTAGTTCTACTGATACCCTACTTCATTGCCATTGGTTAGGTCATGCAAAGAGAATTGGCGGTCTCTTAGCAAAGAAAAATGACAAATTTGAACGCGTTGGCGAACTTGTCTATCTTAGGAACTGTCCGAATAATCAATTTCAGTCATAATTTGACGACTAGAAAATGTAATGATTGCATTTTGCGAATATATATATCGATAATGTGAGTTAGGCGGCCTATGAATATAAGGAAAGCCTAATCCTAAAGGTCTATAGACTGTATGACTGTCCACGGGAACCACATGTCCGCATATTGATTTAATTTGTTAAACTATCAGACAATGTACAAGAATAATCAGCGAAAATGTCTTCTCGTGTTAAGTTATTGAAAAATACTAAATGGCCTTTCAGATGATGTTTAATATATAAGTCCTCTACTTTGATTTATCCATGCAAACTACCAAACAGAATGCTTCCTTTCTAGTGGTAGCGTATCAACATCGCATTTTAGCTAACGAAATGATAACAAATTGAATTTAACAGGAATATGCTACTATCTACATTTTAGGATTTTACTTCTTTTCTATATCTCTAGATCAATATCCATCTTATAGCTAGGTATGATCATCTCTGCAATATTACAAAATGTTGTAAATAGAAGTCAATAATATTCATCTACACTAATTGTTGATGAATGCGATAAGCAAATAATAAGCTACATCGAAGATCCATGAATCTTGGCTATCTTACCATCAGGATTTAGCCTCTGAAATAGTACACTACAATCATTAGTACGTATCTTCAACCGACGTACTCTCTCCTAACTTTTCATTTATGATTTAGATCACAAACTGTATCGAATCATTTGAGCTGGTTATCGTATGAGCCCATAAGAAGATAAGATCACAAGATGAAATCTTTTTGGCTAGCAGAAAAGCATGGTTACCAGACACAATAATTCTATGTCACCTCAAAGCATTCAATGTTATCATATGGATATGAAAAGCTTATGGGTGACGCGAATGTTGGAATGTTCACATACATTGAAGTCACGCTTATACAACTAGTAACTTCAACGAATCTTTTCGATGCGTTACGCCTCTCAATTGTCGCGAGTGTTCTCTTCCGATCGAATCGTGAAGAACGAACAATCATAGTACATCAAATACGATCTTTTATTATCAAGTAGAGTCATACCAAGCTATTCGGAATTATCACAGACATTGCTCATTTCAAGTGCGTAGAGTTAGTGATTCATATAATTGTTACTAGACATCGTCAATATGAACAGACACAAACAACATTACAATACTTCGTATCGAACTGTCAAGAAAAGTGTTAAAAACGTTACGTTCGAGTCCACCGGACCTGACTTATGAATCTGTTAGGTTATTCCAACACTAGTATACAGAATGCATCAAAGATTTAATCGCTTGTGTAACCACGCCTGATTTATGCACACTTAAAACAAGTTTTCACTCAATTTTATATATCTACTTCAGCGTATTGCTTTATTTTAATGAGAAGAGCATTTCGAAAGTTCAGAAGACGTGAAATTGTTGAGGTAAACATTGTTCGACCTAGAACTTGACTTACTGCATCAAGTTTGATGGTGCAAAAGCTCCTACCTTACGTAGCAGTAACTAATTTTGAGTTTAGTTAAACTGAAGTGCTTGAAAACGGTTAAGATAAAACGAAATTCAGCTATAAAATTGTTAAGTACATCCTATAGAAGTGCAAAGCTCCTACAGAAGAAAGAAGATGATTACTTACGTCACAGAAAATTAAGAGGTCATAAAGGAGAAATAATATTTATTTCTTAGTTCATACAGTAAAACCGACATGCATAAGCAGATTCTAAACGAACTTTGTTGGTGTGATACTCTATCATACAATTCGCATAGACATCTATGCGAAGCAATTTGACACCTGCCCACTCAGTTTTACTCCCGGCATAACTATTATCAAATATAATGATTTTTTCACGATAAACTGGATGTCCTCTCGCATTCACTTGACGTGTCGTGACGTCAGCTAATTTAAGTTCTTTGTTGTGTGACGCTGGGATAAAGCTACTTACTGACGATGTGACGTTAATTATTGTAAACGCCAAGGATTAACATACTAATCAGGAACGCGACCACGATTAAGGATAAAATAAATGATATCACAAATAAGTTTGAAAATTACATTCCTTCATACCACAAGGTTTTTTATTGTCTAGTAGTGCCACGACCAACAAGAAATATAATTTTCCTGTTATCAGAATATTAAGACATCTTTGAAAATTATACTACAGTGGGTAATTTTGAACTTTACAACGCCTTGCTTAAAACTGCTGCAAGTCTCTCCTTTTAGATTAACACTACTTAGGCATATCACATGCCTGAAAAGGAAACTAAATATTTAAGCTTCGCTGCGTCCACATACCCATACGAATCACTAAAACATTCAAGTTAGTTTACGATCTGCCAGAGAGATTTAATGTACAGTCAATCAATTTTCAAAGTAGACAAAGGAGGCCAACGTTGTTGGCCACTATTCTCAACAATTGCAGCGTACGTTCCAAGTCCACTCCTTTCACCACGGCGCAACGGGCAGTCGTTTACAATATATCTTTGTTGTGATAATAACAACGTTACACCGCACTTCAGGAATATCTTTGGAAGCAGTTACGCACCAGTTTGGTTATCAGCTAAACTGGTTTCTCTATGCCACTGAGATGAACAATTCCCCTAGAGTGGTGGAAACCATCGTCAAATGCTCGCTAACAACATTTAACCATTAAAAAGAGGGGTGAATCATGAACATGAAACCTTCAATCTAGAAATCAATTAACTCGACAAACAAAACGATACCCTGTGAGTTCACAGAAGGTGTGCCACCTAATTTCCAACAAAATGACTTTAAATTATGATTTCCTTCATGAAACTTAGAAGATACCCACAGGTCGTCTACATACGTACGGTGTAACCTATGACAGATATATACGTGAAGAACGGGAAATCTCCGACTGTCAGTACTTCATAAGTGAACTGCTTGCTTCGACAAATTAATCCACGAGCGCCACGAGAGCGACACTACGTTCGTATGAAACATTCACATGCGCCGGAGTGATGTAGTGTAAACGGTGCCATTTCATTATTCCTCGTTGATTCCGACTGATTTCATTGTGCTCAAGACCTTTCTATTGGACACATTTATAGATTGCCAGAAAGGCGGAGGGACATTGAACATGGGTCACGAACGGTTCCACATCTAAATGTTCGAGCAACTATGTATGTTATCTTGCAAAGCTTCAAATTTTGTTAATGATCGAGAAGTCCCAAAGTCGTTAAGGAATAAAAAGTAAGGTGCGTTAAACTACAGAACACGACGGCATTTTTTAGTTGTTTGGGTAACGTAACGTGTACCGGTCGTGGAACGTTTGTCCATGACATCTAAATCGTGGTTTGTTTAATACAGCGAACATGTGCAACTGGGATGTGTGTCCACAATGTCCTAGAAACGGAATCAAATGCCGCAACCCCCTGTTTGCTGAGAATACCTGGTGGATCATAGTAGAACACCCATTCTTATTTTATTTGATGAGTGTTAGTATTGTTGTCGTAATTGAATGTTCAGCAAACAGTAACCACCAAAATATTAGTCTGTCAAACAACTCGCTACAAGGAAATAAGCCAGTATACGGAACACATAAGCCCAACTGCGACGGCTACCTTTACTGGCAGTGTATTCCCAGTGATACATGATAAACATTCTAAAAACTCATAATATAGTACTACCATTTTGATCGACGAAGTCATTTGAGAGGGACAAGGGCCCTCCCTTTTATTATGTTTCCGGGATGTGGTTCCCACATACCTTTGTTTTTCATGTTCAATGTATCCATCCACAAGCAAGCCACGCATCAGACGTGAAGGGCAAAGGGTCCACGACCCACGCAGGTCAAGTTACACAAACAACTCAATAATGCTGTCGTCTTCTGTAGTTTAACGAACCTTACTTTTTATTCCTTAACGACTTTGGGACTTCTCGATCATTAACAAAATTTGAAGCTTTGCAAGATAACATACATAGTTGCTCGAACATTTAGATGTGGAACCGTTCGTGACCCATGTTCAATGTCCCTCCGCCTTTCTGGCAATCTATAAATGTGTCCAATAGAAAGGTCTTGAGCACAATGAAGTCGGTCCGAGTCTATGACGATCAGTGTATGTGTAGCTACCAGCGAGGTTTACTCGACCAGCGTGTTCGACCAGCAGAAACACTTCAAGTGGTTGGATAGACACGGTAAACTAGAGATCAAACGCGGCAAAAAATTTAATACCTTGGTTGCGAGAACATGATTTGGCCTCTTCTCACATTGTAATGTTCCAATTTCAGTTGTCTGCGCTAAGGTTGCAAAAGAATTTCAATCTTCATAAATTAGTATGTTGTAAAACCTGTTTTTGTGTGTCCATGTGTGAAGAGTGTTACTTTCTGGTGATCATTTACTGGCTATGAGTATTTATTGTATTTAAGGTTAGAAAAAGGAGTTACTTGTTTGACGTTTCCCTCTCAATTGCAACATTTATCAACCGATTTATATGTAGTTAGTCGTATGGACAGTTTCGTTGGATATTTATACGTAAACATTGAGGGAGATGTGCGTTTTCACGGTTTCGTTGCCCTGGGGAGGGACAATTTTTCTTTGATATGTTTCGGCCAACCTAGAGATGCCAAATGAGGTACAGGTGATGTGGCGTTTCAATTTGTAAAATTACAAGTGGGAGCTTTTCGTTGTGGGGGTACCTTTGGAATTGCAGAGGTATATCAACGATATCAGAAGATGTTGCCTATTTGACGAAAAGATTCATTCGGCGTTTAGTTTATACGAATTTTCTGGTACTTTGTCTCACTGAGTCTCCTATGGCTTACACCTATTGAGGGGCACTCAGTTAATCTATGGTGGTCGATCATCTGTATACTTCCAAGTTCATGAAAGGAGCTGTCCTCGGTTTACAAGAGGTTCGAAACAGAAATTTGAAACCGTTGCGAATTTTGATCATTCATAATTTCAGCGTGATGTCTCGATTGGTTTGGACTATGGCCCTGTAATGCACTCATTGGAAGTAACTAAATTACATGTTAAACGCCATAGGTTAAAAGTACGCTATTTTCAAAGCAGATTCGGTCTTAAAAGAAGTACTTCTTTGATGATTTTACGGAATAACGAAACAAAAAAGACACAATGAATGGGACACCTAGGAAAACTTTCTCTTAATACAACCCTAGCAAGTCTAATACAGCGAAAAGAAGTAGTTTGTAATATATGGTTTATTGTTTCCCTTACCCAAAAGAGAGGAATATCAAACGAAGGTGAGATAACTGCAGTTTGATTTGCGATTCACCTTTCGGTTTCACAGAATCTGCTTCGTAATTACCTCAGACGTTTGACATTGAAAAGTTAAATAGCTGTTTGGATTAATATTTTAGGACCCAGGCTTTAGCTTTTCATTTCAGAAAGATAACCTAATTTAACTGACGAAGCTGACTTTGCGGGCCACGAGATTAATAGCGATCTACCCTTTTTGCGATTAAACTCATTTCAGAATATAACCACATCAGAAGGATGAAAGGGGAAAAACGACATGGTACATATAATATGGCCGAAACAAGGGATATGGATCTTGTTAACAAGGTATACAATTAAGTAATTTATATTGAAATTAAGGACAATTAAATCACGGTAAGTTCGACAAATCAGCTTTAATGTCCCAAAACTTTAAGAAAAAGTCGCTTGTTTTAATTTGTACTCGAGTAATGTCACCCACAAATATTTTGCCTGTGTACTAATCTAGGAGCCCATTTCATTGTACAATAATGATATTAACAATAATGATTTATACGATAGTGGTTCATAACCTAACGTCATTTTCTCGCCTACGAATATAGTATAATTGACATCATAGAGACATCCAACTTTATTCAATGTGGTAAGCCTGCGATTATGCCTGAATAATAATTTCAGCGACGTTATTGAACTGCTATGAATTTTGGCGTACCATATTGTCTTTCGGTACATGGAACATATTGTGACTTTCAGTAATAATACCAAGTTAACAAAGTCGCTACAATATCGACCACTTCACTGTTACTTTCGATAAAATCAACAGACGATATTTCTACACTTCCAGCAACTACTTTAATATTCTATATAGGGCCATTTATTTACGTCCCAAGGTGGATAAAACTATCCAGAAACAACTGAATCTCGTAAAACCGCAACTGTGACTGTTTTAATCAAGAATATAAATAACATGGCTATAGCTAAGCTTGGCTTATATTCCTTTAAAGCCGGTCTTTTGATTGGTAACTTCAGCAGATTCATGTAAAGTATTCAGTACTATTGACTTTATTTGTAACAATATTCTTATAAAAGGTGATGAGCATTGAGTTGGAAAATTGTATGTGCTCTATAAACTTAAAAACCATTAAATAATCCTATCTAATATTTGTTTACTAATACATAACGATGATACTTACACTTGTAGTCATTGTCTTTGGCTAAGGATTTGTTGTTAGTAAAGCGTTCATCTGCAAAGAGCAGCCCATGATAGAATTTATAATTGATCTCAAATTAGACGAATATTAAGGTAATTTCTTCCCAAATTTCGACTCAAAATTATTAATCAAGTCGATAATTACAGCTACATACCAATAATACTATATAATCGTCATTGGAACCAACGATGAACAAATAGATGTATTTACGTATGGTCTGGATGACAAGTCTTATACATTTTCGTTTGTCTTAAACTAGGTTTATTCAATGAAGGCTGCCTGGACTCAGTTATTTCAAGCCCCGTAACTTGCATCATTCAAAAAACGCTTTTTATCATATGTACTAGATAACAAATACCCATTGATCCAGGACAGCCTTGTTTTGACTGTTTAATATCAAGCTTTAAAATTATTAAGACAATGATCCAGATAGTTACCAAGTGAGTTATCCTTGAGATTTCGTGTATGATATCTATCACAGTTGTACATGAAAGTATATGAATATTCTTTCGAGGTTCATGTTGTCTGGATTAACGCTATATATTTTCTATTTTTTGACTTGCAAGTTAAGGTTTGACATCGGTAAACTGTAGTTGTACCTAAAGTGATTTTATATGTGTAACTGGTTCATTTGTATGATAGCAAGAGTGTTTTAACCGATTGAATAGTAACAATTGACTAATAATGCTTTAGTCAGTTTTAAAGCTCATAGTTGAAGTTATAATGGCATTCTTCGAATAATGTACACACGTCCATGAATCAATCCAATAATCCGGTCTCCCTTGAGCATTGTACTCCTTTTACTTCCAATGTGGTGCTCATAAGAGATACAGCCACCATTAATTCAGAGTTGATAGAAAGCAAGAATCATCTCACTATTCGATTAACACATCTACTATTCTCTCGCATGAATGTCCTTGCTCCTTTGAATGACCATATACAATCATCGTTCGTCATGACGCGAATGAGATGATAAAAATATGTAACGTGTTTGATATACACGTCTAAATTTGTAAACTACTATTACTCTTTATCTTTCATAATAGTAACTACTTTCTACCTTCTGGATCTAGTTGGTAGTTTGAAGATGATAAGGATTTAGAGAAAAATATGAGGGATCGTAAGAAGTAAAAAGTGTGGAGTTTCTATCGTCGTATGGTACACAACGTCATTAATAATATCTCCCATTTTGTCGTACTTCGATTCAAAATGACCTCTCTATCCTCAAGCAACTGATCTATTTAGTCTAGAGCATCACATTTTTCTCTTTTCTTAGCCATAATCAATCTTTGACATAATGCAAATGCTTTCAAATTATGGTAATACATGCGTTGTGAGAGGTTGTAATAATAATAGGTAAATTCTAATTATCTTCTTCCACGGGATCACCAATACCATCAGCGGCGATATTGTAAGTAGCGTCAGATTCTGGTAAGCACGGTGAGTCATATATTTTGGCAACTCGAGTGGTCCCTCTGCCCTTTTTCAAGAAAAGTCGTGTTGTCGATGCATGTGCTAGAATATTTCCACCGATTGGCTTTTTAGGATCAGGATTGTATGGATTAGCACCATCAACTTGAGCAACAACTTGATTTGTAATGACAACAGCTATCCCATATTCGTCAGCCAGTCTCATTAGATTTCTTAGAAATTTGGCAAGGTGCATTTGTCTAGCAGATAGTTCACCTCTACCAGAGAAATCAGTTCTATATAGGTTCACTTGAGATAATTAGTATGTAAAAACAGTCCAACTAGACTTACTAGCACTATCTATAATTAATAAAGCGAACTTTGACTCGGCCATCATTGCACTTGCGTGTATTAAGAGTTGCTGTTGGTGATCTGCATTATATGCTCGAGCATATGCGACATTATCTAAAACATCTTGACCATTCAAACCATATCTTTCAGCAACTGCAAGTATTCTAACTGGTCGAAATGTGCCTTCCGTGTCAATATATAAACATTTACCTTCAGCACCACCCATAGTAATAGGAAGCTAAAAGATGAGAATAAAGTACTGTGATTGAATTTGGACTTACCTGGCAAGTGACGGCAAGCTGATGACAAAGTTGTGATTTACCAGTTCTGAATTCACCAAATAATTCTGTAATAGCGCCGGTTTCAATCCCACCTTTATATATTTAAATAGGTCACGCCAATATAAGCCACATACCGCCTAAAATAGTATCAAGGTTGCGACTACCAGTTGTAATCGTTATCAGATCAGCGCGACGAGCATGAACTTCAGTTGCAGTAGTAAAACCCATTGATACGAACTTTGAACCTTTGCAATGCAAAGTTAGCGTTTAAGATAATAAAGTTGACTAATACTAACACTCTTGCAGAATCTTATCAGCTTTAGCTTCCGATATACCTTTGACTGTAATTAGATGTTTCTTCGGTGTGAATGCGACAGATTCTATAGTATGGTATCCAGCTAACTCTAATTTCTGACAATCACCAGAGGAAATACCACATTCCTATTATCTGTTAGAATTAGCCACGAAAGAACATACTAGCGAACCTGAAGTTTAGAAACTAGTGTAGGACCTGCTGTAAATTCTACCTCATCTTCTGTAGCTTGCATAATATTTTGTTCTGGCATTATCTATTCCTTTGATCTTGATTGTCGTGTTATAAAAGATGTGGACGAAGAGGAAGATAGCAAAAATAATACTTGGCGGTATTTCTATCGGATTGCTAGCAAATCAGTTCTTCAATGTGAGCCGACTCAAGATTGATAACCTAACTAACAGATTTCTCCAGTACAAAGGTACAAACCAAGAACCGAACAAAGTGGTAGTCAAGGATATATCTTTGGAACTGCCTACGACTGATATCTACCTCGAAGCTGATCCAATTAAACGTGATTCTGTCAAGGGTGCCTTTCAAGTAAGTTACAATATATAAATTACCATTGAGCTCAAAATCTAGCACGCGTGGTCGGCATATGGTAAATATATTATTCTTTCCTCCTTTTACTTAATCCTATTCAGAAAGGGACGCTTTTGGTTTCGATGAATATCATCCTATTTCACGAACTGGTTCAAATCTTTCACGGTCTAAAGGTATTGGATATACAATAATTGACAGCCTGTAGGCATTTCTACAGCTTACTATTCTTTATCTAAAATTGCTTAGTGATACCATTCAATTGATGGGTTTAACAGAAGAATACAGAAGAGCGAGAGAATGGATAAAGTCCGAGCTTACGTTCGAAGTTGATGACAAATTTAATACTTTCGAGGTTAGTGCGTGGTTTTGCTATTTTATATTGTCTAATTATGAAAGACTACGATCCGGTAAGTTCTTATCTGATGTTTTATCTTGGTCTTAGTTTTCTTGTGAAGTGTTCTTGGTGGACTTTTATCATCTTACTATCTTTCTTCAAATCCATTTAATCAGAACATAGCCCTTCATGAACCAGATGCATTGTTTCTAGATCTCGCTGCTGATTTGGGTGAAAGACTATTATCATCTTTCTCAACTAATTCTGGGTTGCCTTTGTCGTATGTAAACCTGAAAGAACGTCTGGGAATTCCAGATAAAGACAATGGTGGATTTATAAGTACAGCAGAGGCTGCAAGCCTGCAGATTGAGTTCAAATGGCTAGCAGAACTTTTAGAAGACCCTGTTTACTGGACAAAATCTGAACGTGTCCTGCAAATTATTAAAGATTCACCGAAAATGGATGGTTTGACACCAATTTTCATTGAGTATGCACTTCAACCTAGCTCATAATAATTCTGATGCCTTTAAGTCCACGAGTAAATCAATTCTACTTTAGCCAAATTAGATTAGGTTCACGTGCTGATTCTTATTATGAAGTGCGTCTATCAATCTAGTCATACTTATTTCTAACCATAAAATCAGTATTTACTGAAACAATACTTACAGACCGTGAGCCTAGATAGTTGGTTTTTAACGTACTAATAGTGTATAAGGGAAAATCTGAGCATGTATATAAGGAAATGTACGACGAAGCTTGTAAAGGTATAAAGCGTCATTTAGTGAAAATCTCGCAAGGCCCAAAGAAGCTTATACATACAATCGAGCTAGCACCGAGCCGAAGAGACAATAGGTTAGTTCCTTCAGATGTATTCAAAGCTTAATATAACAATGGGATCAGACCAGAATATAGACCTTATAATAAGCAAGATCACCTGGTAATGTTTATTAGCTTCGAAATGCTTCAAATATTAAATTAGATATACAGGTATGCTTCCTACCTGGATTGCTTATGCTAGGCGTGCATCAAGGTAAAGATGAACTGGATCAGAAGAAAATGACCATCCAAGAACATGAAAATTGGTGGGTTGGGACAGAATTGCTAAAAACCTGCGTAAGTAATCATCTTAATGTCACCGTTAAAAAGCTAAACTATCTCTAGTACGATACCTACAATTCAACTGAAAGGTATGTAACAAGGATTGAATGAGCTTATACTGATTAGATTTAGTGGTTTATCACGTAAGAAAGATTAAAACTATAATCGAATCTATTAACATGTTGCTTACCAAAGCCGAAATAATTCACTTCCATCCAATTGGTGATCCTTTATCGTTGAAAGAAGATTGGTTTATTAAGAGAAGTGAAAATTCAAAGGTGGATCTTTTAGATGGACGTTACATATTACGGTAAGGTTTATGAAATGATGGTATTCAGAAAGATAACAGAATGAAACAGACCTGAGACAGTGGAATCTATCTTCATTGCATTTAGGTTAACTGGAGACGCTAAGTATAGAGAATGGGGGTGGCAGATATTTCAATCGATTGAGAAGCATGCTAAAATTCAAACTGGTGGTTACGCTAGTATAAAAGACGTCGACCAGCTACCTGTCGTATATGAGGATAAGATGGAAACGTTTCTACTGGTGAGTGGACTTTATTATTATTATTATTATTATTATTTGGATTTACGTAATTGAACACAGAGTGAAACATTTAAATACTTATATTTGTTGTTTGAAGATTCGACGATTGCACCTTTAGATAGTAAGTCAATAGTTTATAACAAGGACTGTTAATAATTCTATAATAGAAGTAGTTTTCAATACAGAGGTTAGTTGTTCTGCTTTCATATTTCAAAATTAACAAAATGCAGGCACATCTATTCCCAATATTTGAACCCTCATTTAAAAGTAATTTAATTTAAATTAATTTGATTTCAAAATTAGCTTTGGAATGACATTGTGTTGATATCACTTTGCTTGCTGTCTGCATGTTTGTTTCTAATATCGAGTTCACCATCTGTGAGGTAATAAATTAATCTAGTAAAACCAATCATAAGTAATCTTTTCAATTTCTCTTTATCCTTTTGTAATAAAAAGTCGTTAAATATAAGCAAGCGATGTCTTCTGAGCGTGTAAGCTGTTGATGAGTTTATAAATAGAGTAAAATACACAAACTGTTTCTATTTTTTACACATAAAATCTAACAACCATAATGCAATAACCTAATCTGATTTTATCTGTAAAATACTTCTTTAATGTCGCCATCATCACCACAATCGCTTACTGCTGAGCTATCAAAGCTAGCTTTAACAAAAGATGAAGAAAACACGTCGAGATCTTCATCAGTAGATAGTTTAAGACGTGACCATAATCGTACAATGGATGTTATGGGTAGGAATGCCGATACTTCACAAATAACAGACACCAAAAAGGAGACTAGAAAGGTAAGTAATACAGTTTATATCAAAAATAGCTATTAAAGTTTAATATAGTTAGAAAGAGTACGTTAGTTTTACGCGTTTTTTCTTAAAATCTAATGAACCTAGGATCGTTTTGTACCGAACCGTGCAGCTTTAGAAGCTAACAACACGATTGATGCTGATAACGATATCGAGCATGATCCACCTTTACTCACTAATGAGTTTGACAAAGACGTTGTTGGTAATAATAAGCGTATTTTCGCTTTTGCGGAACCACCACCAAGCTCAAGTTCTGGCGTTCATTCGACCGATATCAGATTAAATTTGTCTAAGTCTACTCAGTCTAGAGGAAATCAATCATCTCAAAAGAGTTTGAATACTCAGAAGCGCAATTTATCAAAGTTGAAACCAGATCGTGTTTTAGATGCACCTGGTTTAGTTGATGATTTTTATTATAATTTATTGAGTTGGTCTTCAACCAATTTATTAGCTGTTGGTATTGGTGCTAGAGTTTTTGTTTGGAACGCAGACGATGGTAGCGTTAAAGAAATATGTAATGGCGAAGATAGTAACAGTGGTGATCTACAATCCTTAAAATGGACGGAGGATGGTTCATATTTAGCTACGGGTTGGGCCGATTCTTCTATACAGATTTACGATATTGAAACTGGAAAAAGATTACGTAAAATGGCTGGACATGCATCAAGAATTGGTGTTTTATCATGGTCTCAACATATTTTGGCATCCGGTTCGAAGTCTAGTCAAATTCATCTACACGACGTTAGAGTACAGCAACATAAAGTAGGTGAATTGAATGGACATGCTTCAGAAGTCACAGGTTTAGCGTGGAAGCCACTTGAAGGTTACAGTCTTGCTAGTGGTGGTAACGACAATGTCGTAAATTGTTGGGATTGGAGAGTCGCAACAAGTAGTTCAGATCCAGCTCAAGGTAGGAACACAGAACCAAGGTGGAGCAAAAGAAATCACGAAGCAGCAGTAAAAGCACTTGCGTGGTGTCCATGGACACCATCTTTATTAGCTTCTGGCGGTGGAACAGGTGATCATACTATACACTTCTGGCAATCTGCTACAGGTGCAAGATTAAATTCACTTAAATTGGATTCTCAAGTAACTGGATTACACTTTTCACATCACACGCGTGAAATATTATCAACACACGGATTCCCGTAAGTGAAAAACAGATATGAATGAAGTAAAGTAACGAGTTATTTAGGGAGAATAATATTCAAGTACATTCATACCCATCGCTAGCTAACGTGGGAGCATGGCCAGCTCATGATGCAAGAGTATTGCATTCAGGTTTATCACCAGATGGTACGATGCTTGCAACAGGAGCAGGTGACGAAGCGTTGAAGTTCTGGAAAGTTTGGGAATCAAAGTCTGGATCAGCAACGACGAAGAAAGATAGCATGAGTATAACTGAAAGAGGCGGTAACAAGAGCGGAAATATTAGATAGACTATTAATTGTAATCCATAAAATTTATACATAAATTTATAAATTTATTATTTATTTATTTATTTAATATTTTATTTCGCTATTATCGCTACTTACTTCTTAATTTGGACCAGCCATGACGACAGTCAAAGATGAGTTTAAAGGAGAAGCAGACGACGATTACGTCGACGAGCCACTCCCAGTAGACACAAAGATAGACGATCACCACATCTCTGACGATAACCTCATATCTGAGAACTCACGAAAGAGAAGGAGGCTTGGATCTGATAAGCTAGAGACTAGCTACCAAGTAAATAACTTACAACAAGAGCTTGAACAAGCTAGGAAGCTATTTGATAAGATAAAGGATCTCAAGGATGAATCAGGTAGACAAGTATCGCTAGAGTTTTTAGAATTACCAAATGGTGAAGTTCTACCTGATTATTATTCGATTATTAAAAAGGTGAACTTCTTTTATTCCTATCTTCATAAGTCTAATAGACTCGACAGCCAATCTCATTTAAAGAAATACAAGACAGACTCAATAACAATGAATACGTCAGTTTACTTGAAATGAAGAACGATTTTGATCTTTGCTTCGCAAACGCAAAAAAGTATAACGCAAAGCAATCACAAATTGTTTTGGATGCAAAATTTATGTTAAAAAAGGTCAAAGAATCATTCCAGAAGTTTTGTGAATCTGGTAGTGTTGATGGTGATGTGGAAAATGATTCGAACTTACCCTCCGCTTTTCATCCGCCAGTTAAGAGCAAACGTGGTCGTCCTAAAGGTATTAACAAGATAGTCAAAAAGGTTTTAGATAAATTGGTAATACAGAGGGATAAACCTAATATCAGAGTTCTCTCAGAACCATTTATGGTTTTACCAGATGAAAAGGAGTTTCCGTACTATTACGATGTTAGTTTTCATTATTTATCTTTTAAATTACATCTAATGAGATTATTAGGTGATAGAAAATCCGATGTCTTTTGACATTATTAATAGGAATATGGCTGAAAAGTTCTACACTACGATTAGTGAAATTGTTGAAGATTTAGAGTTAATGTTCAACAACGCCATGCATTTCAATGAAGAAGGTTCCGAAATACACGCAGATGCCAAAGAACTCAAGTATGTTCTTTATGAATTACTCAAATTGCATGTACCGGATGATATGCTTGATGAAAAGCTTGCTAGGATCGTCTTAAATCAAGATGGCAGTCGTATGGAATCAACTTACGTTGAAGTCAAACCACCACCGAAAACCAAACCTCCAATGGTTTCAAGTCGAATAAGTCTTGGGAACTCAATAATGGCTTTAGATTCTAGTCAGTTTCAATCTGAGAGATCATCTATGGATAATGCACAAGAGAACATAGCCCATCAACTAAAGGGTTACTCACATATGGCTTCACCGTCACCTTCAGGCAATATGTCAACATCTGAAAGTAAACAAAAGCAAGATGACAAAGAAATTCTTGAACCAAGAGATCCGGAACCTGATTCAACACATAGTAATAAAATGCTTAAAATGCAACCTTCACTTAAAGCTCTAAAAGTTCATAGGTCCTTGATTGGATTTGAAACATTCGTTGATCATGCATTGATTATACCAAGCTCACCAGGTGCTAAAATTGAAGTGGTGTCATATAATAAGGAAGACTCTAATATCGATACAACAAAGGACATTTTATTGAGATGTAATGGTACTGTAATACCTTACAATTCAATAAATCCAAAAGTTTTACAGGACGGCCAACAAGCTTGGTCGATTCAATTGAAGCGTCAAAACACTGTTGAGTTATTCGTCACTCATAGGAATAGCGAGGATGCTATTGAATCAACTGAAATGTACAAAATATTCTTGCAAGCAAATTGTTGAAATAAAAACAATCGATAAATGTGTAATATTAATAATTTACAATGAATCTATATCATTATTAAAGTATTTGACTAAACATATGAATTTTCCACCCTCTGCATTGCTATCGGATTAGCATGTATAGTGACATTTTTTAGAATTATGTCATTCTTCGGTCTCCAGCCTTCCTTCTGAGTACCAGCTGGAACTCTTTCAATTGCATCTAGAGTACCATTCTCAGCACCATCGATTACTCTACCAAATATCGTATATTTTGTATTCAAATGACCTGCAGGACCATACGTTATAAAAAATTGTGATCTATTTGAATCAGGTCCACTATTCGCGAAAGCTACAAGACCTCTATTGTTGAATTTGAGTGTTGATCGTATCTCATCTGGATACGGTTCCCCGTATACTGATTGGCCACCCTTTCCAGTACCTGTAGGATCACCTGTCTGTACCATGAAACCTTTAATATTCCTAATACTCGCTTAAGATTCTTTCGTTGCTGAAATAATCTATTCTTACCGATGAAACTTGCAGTCGTCATAATAACCACTAGCACATAGGGATAGGAAGTTCTGTGTATGGTTTAATGGGGTAACTTTAACGAAAAATGATTCACCTCTGATGCTTGTGGTACTGCCTCGCAAAATATTTCAATCTGGTTTGATAACGTCAGTGAGACCGCAAAAGACTTCCTAATTAGCTCACTTTTAAATCACCTAATGATGTATGTAATGTAACTGACTATAATAATGTTATAATCTCCAGGTTATTTTCTAGAAATACCCACTTACCATGATGATGGGTGATAACAAGCAATCATTACTTATCAATTACAGAAGCAAACAATATGAGAATAAAATACAATGAGGAATGCATTAATTCTAGTATTATACGGCAATAGGGTAGCTCAACCAGTATGTCACCACGACGTTGTGCAAGATCGTTTAGTATATTCAAGTTCAACACATCTTTATACTAGTATGTGACTGTTATTGCAAGAATACAATTCATAAATATCCTGCTGTTCTCTTCTAAAAGTGCTGATCAATGAACAGTATTACATAGTCCATTATTAGTCTATGTCGTTCTTCGAATCAACAGTACAATCGCGCAACAAAATTAAATTATCTGTAATGATGTAGATGACATCTAAAATTGTTCTTTTATTAATAAAAAGCAATAAGATTTTCATCTAATGATTGCTACATTAGGTGAGCCTGTCTGGTGTATTGAAAGCAGGCATTGAGCAAGATTCTTCAAGATCGATGCCATTATCTTTAGCTAGTAGGTGCCCATTATCATCGGCTACGGCGTAATATGAATTACGTAAATCTCTTGATAGTGTTTCATTCCCATAATTGAATGGTGAAAATGATAAAGATGATTTAGCTGCGATAAACAGTGTATTTGGTACATCTTCAGCTCTTGGTATATGCCTAAAGCCAACCGAACACCATAGAGTTAGATCTTGCTGTCTAATCATCTCGTTATCTTCATAAAATTTGGTGAAATCAACGGGCGGTCTCTGTGGTAAGAAGGCATTAAAAAAGGAAGAAGCACTACGTTCGTTATCTTTGTTAACTGTAACAAATGCATGGTGATCTGCAAATTTAGCATTTCTTTCCATTTTATACCCATCAACAATATTATGTATAACTGAGTGAGGTATAATTCGATAAGAACGCGGATAACCGTAAGTATTAGTACTATTCTGGTTTCCGATCAACCAAAGGCTACTGGTGTTTCCATCCCAATCAATAATTGCGTCTTGCTCTCTATTCATTACACTCGACTTAATTTTCTTTTGTCTCACTGGAGGTTCATCATCATCCATCCAATCAAATTTATCCTCAGATACAACCACCTGTCTCTTCTCGATGCTATTTTCCTTACCCGCTATATCCAGGTCAACTTTGAAAGTTATAACATGATCGTGAATACTTCCTGACGACGTCGAACTGACCCTTGTACCGTAGGAACTACCAAAAGGATCGAAATATGTAGTTTGAAGATAACCTGAAGCGGCAACCTCAATTTCTATTGAACCTTCGGGATAAAGAAGGAAACTGAGAAGATAGTCATAATTCCCTACCGTGTATATACTGCGGATTTCAAAAGCGACTCCTCTGGTTGATCCAGAGTCAGATGATTGACTGTGTCTCGATAATGGCTTCTGCAAATCGTGTTCAAACATACAAATAGTATCATTTTTAACACGGTTATTACCTGATTCGTAATAATTGACATTCAAATAGGTAGCCTCATGAGAGCAGTCATAATTTCTGATCATTGTAGTAATACTCGTACCCATACCGTAACCTTACATTTCGTTAGCAAGTTAAAGCCTCGATCAATGTATTTACCTCTATCAAGGTATGCCGTGTAGGCTTGGAGAGGATCAGAACCACCATAGTTAGAAATTGCATCTTGTAAGGTTATCTCATATGCAATACGTTCGTCCTTGAACCTAACATCATAGAGACCTACACCTTGTTCTGGGCTATAAGAAATATAGAATGACCAATCCAACCAACTAACATATCTTTCCGCTGTATCGATGCGATAGCGCGGCCCGTTTGGAGAGTATGCGCGTGGTGCGGGTAATTCTTCCAAATCTCGGGTATTGCCTTTGACAGAACGCAAAGCCCATTGCATATCGGTGAGGTTTACTTTTGGAGAGGCTCTGATGCTTCCAGATTCAAAATCATTCATGAATGAATCTGTTGAATTCCACTTCCTATTACCGTAGACAAGCTTCAATAATTTCCATTCGGAGGTGTCTTGATTTGAAAAGTCAAACTGGGCAAAGAATCCCGTATAAGCAAACCACATTGCCGAATTATTTTGACTTAACATAAGCTCAACCCATGGATGTCTAAATGACCCGTCCCCATTGTTTGGAACAAAACCGGTATCATAGTTGTTAAAAGACCAAGGTGCACCTAACAAATCATTTAATGCAGGTGATATCGCACCAAATACTTTTGATATGATGTTTGAACGTTCTATATTCTCAGCTGGGTGAGATGTCTTTGCATTCCATGGTATCTTAGGCTAGGAATTTGTCAGAATACAATAACAATCTGTAGAAACGATGACATACATTGTGATAAATCTTGTCAGCAAGATTCTCAACCTTAGTATCAGATGATACTGGTAACGGTCCAACCAGTAGTGTCTTAATAATAGGTGGCTTGTCTGCACCATTAACTATATGAACTTTTGCCATACGATTTGGTTTAGGGCCACCTTGGTCAAGATATTTAATGGCATCTTCTTTATTTGGTTGCCAGAGCTCGATGGAATCGATGTAATTGTCCCTTAAATCTGCTTGATCGATTACTTTCAGATTGAGTGACTGATTTGGGTCCATGAGCCAGTCATTAAGACTAGTAAGCTCATCATTTGATAATTCTTTAAACGGATTCACTTTAGGTGCTCTGACTATAGGTGATGTATATGTGTTACTTTGTCTGACTTTGAGTGCAAACACGAGGCTAATTCCAATAAAAGTAAGAAATAACAAGTTCATTGTTGTGGTCAAAACTAAAGTCTGTTTTCACACCTTGTAATAATGCTGAGCAATCTGGTCTGACCATCTGTGTGAAAATCGTACCTGGGTGAGAGCGAAACTGTATTTTAGCCTTAGATAAGCTGTGCATACCGTATACGCAGCATAAAAAAGAACTTGGCTGTTCACCTGTTTACTCAAACGTTGCCACCTTATGTTGACATATTAAAAGTACGGTTATTTATTACTGTATAAGACATCAATAAACATACGATGAGATAATTTATCTTCATAAATCTGCAGAAAATTGTATTTTATTAATTTGAGCTATTTAATCATTCTCCACTTCCCGTGACTGCTGACTGCCGATTTCTCAAACCCTAACCATCATGACTACTTTCCAATACGATTTTGCAGCTAACCACAAGAACTCAGCTTTCCAAGGAAAAGTTGATTTCCCAACTGGTGTATTCATCAACAACGAATTCTCTTCTGGATCGACCGGTAAATCGATTGACGTCATCAATCCAACAACTTCAAACACTGTAACTAAAATCAGCGAAGGAACGGCAGAGGATGTCGACAGAGCAGTCGCAGCTGCTCACGATGCATTTGAGAATAGCTGGGGCTTGAACGTTCATGGCACTGAACGTGGTCGTCTTCTGGTTCGTCTTGCTGATTTAATGGAAAAACATGCAGATGAGCTCGCAGCACTTGAGTATGTTAATATTTATGTTGTGCTTTCTATCTAATCCATATTAGATCGTTAGACAACGGAAAGCCTTTCAAGTTTGCACGCGGTTTCGATATTCCAGAGGCAGCAGCCAACTTCAGATACTTTGGGGGTTGGGCTGATAAAATTCAAGGAAGCACCATCGAAGTTGGATCAGAATTGATGGCTCATACTCGAAAAGAGCCAATCGGTGTATGTGGATCGATAATCCCGTGGAACTTTCCTTTATTAATGTTTGTGAGTAAACAAGATCTCAGTAGAAGTATGGGTATCTAACTATCAACAACAGTCCTGGAAAATCGCTCCTGCTATTGCTACTGGTAACACTATCGTCATAAAGCCATCCGAGATTACGCCATTAACTGCGCTCCGTATGGCATCACTTATCAAAGAAGCAGGATTCCCAGCCGGCGTTATTAATATTGTGGTTGGCTATGGTCAAACTGTGGGTAACGCAATTACCGATCACTCAGGCATTGAGAAGGTATGTTGATACATAATCGATAACATGTAGATGTTAATGTACATTAGGTTGCATTCACTGGTTCAACCGCTGTAGGTAAACTGGTCATGAAGGCAGCTGCGAACAATGTTAAGAAAGTAACACTTGAACTTGGAGGCAAATCACCAGCAATCGTTTACGCAGACGCAAACCTCGAAAATGCTATCCAATCAACAGCATTTGGTATATGGTTCAACTCAGCACAATGCTGTTGTGCCGGTTCACGTATCTATGTAGAAGAAAGTGTTTACGATGATTTCGTCAAAGGCTTTAAACAACACACCGACCAATTGAAGTCTGGTGATCCATTCGACGATGTCTTCTTTGGACCAGTTGTTTCTGAAACCCAACAAAGCCGTGTCAACAAGCTCATTGAGAGTGGTAAGCGTGACGCTAAGGTTATCGAGTGCGGCGAGGAATCAAAGTTAAACGGTTACTTCGTTAGACCACGCATATTCCTTGATGCGCCAGCAGAATGTGAAATTCAACGTACAGAAATTTTTGGACCTGCAGTAACGATCACAAAATTCTCAAAAGATACTGATATCGTAAAGATCGCTAATGACACTGAATATGGATTAGCAGCATCAGTCTTTACTGAGAATATCAATAAAGCTCACAAGACAGCCCACGCAATCAAAGCTGGTACTGTCTGGATCAACCAACACAATACATTGACCAAGAACGTTCCATTTGGTGGTTACAAGCAATCAGGTGTTGGTCGCGAAATGGGATCTGAAGTATTGAACAACTACCTTCAATGCAAATCAGTCTTCACTAAATTCACTCAGTAAACGATATCTTCTTACTTTTTGTGTTGTTATAATATAACGAATGAATGAATACTCTTGCTTACTATAAATTGCTACATCCGTCAGCTGTGGCAAAATGTCTTTTGCTTGACTTGACAATGAGAGAATTATAGGAGATATGTAAATATATAGGTATATAGTAGTAACTCCCGATACATTTGTATTATAGATTTTAAATTTAATTTTTTTTCTCCCCGCATTTCCCAGCCTTCGTCACGCATTCCTTTCTTTAATCACAACAGCCATCATCACGAGTAGGTTATTTTCAATATTTACAGAATATATTGAACGTAGCCCTTTTCTACCTAAACCAGGCTCAGATTGGATCTAGATGCCGCTTACTAGTCGCTCTATTCAAGGCTGTTCACTCGTTTGGTAGATAGCTCTCTTCAAGGCGCCTTCGTCAATACTAGGATGTGTTTGATCTGTAGGTAACTCTTCAGCTTATCAGTAGTAGTGACTCCAACTTCTTGATTATCAGGCTTTGAACCAGATCTCCGCTATTTCAGGCCGTGTTTCCTTGAAAGGTTCGCCGCCACTATAGTTGCATAGAGAGAGTCTCGTCCTTTCCTGCTGCGTTATCAGGTTCCCGTTGGAAATTCACTACAAGCTGAGTTCTCAACCGGCGTCATTGGTTTCAACCCAACGCTAGGTACACTGCTGTGAATCACCCTACTCAACATGATTACCACTGAATCAGCGCTCCAACTGTGAAGGATCGCGCTTTGTGCGTACACCGTCTGATTTGGATCACTTTGGCTGCTTGGATTGCTCAATCTTCACAAACTATTGAGGATGGAAATATTCCTGGATAAGTCTTTGGTCGTGCGATGTTAGATATTGATATTGAGAGTTTGTTGGTGTCTTTTGGATAGGGCTTCTCCCCACAATCCCTTTAAGTCTCCCTAGTCATTTGGAATGCTTGTCTAGGGGACACGTGGGCCTCTCTTTGTGACTTCGACATCTATCGTTGTCATCGTTTCAAAGAGTTGGTTTTCAGTTATGATTTATTCTGGTTAGTTTTCTGTTTACCCTAAGTATCATTTATTCTTACGTATGATACACGAGATGTATTCATATTTTCCAAAACATACTGACCATTATTTTGAGTATTACTTGTCGAATACATGCTAATACTTAATTGTTTTCGCATTTTACTAAAAGGTTTCGTTTGATTGATTGTTATACTTGGTCACATTAAGCGAATGCATGATATCATTGTACTTTGTCAGTGATGTTGGTGAGATTGCGGAATTAATTTAATCAACAAATCTGTAAGCACTCTCATACTTCTAAATGCATTTAACTCATCGTTATCTCGAATGTCTCTGGTTGTGTAGGGAAAAGGATTTATTTTGACTTAACTTATGAAGAACAGCAAGATAACTATAAACAAAATGATACAGATGGGTGGATAATGATTGTACCTCATTATCTCAACCATTTTGTAGATCTCTACACAATTAGTAAAATGGTTAGTTATTTATAAGCTCAAGAAAGCATCGTAAAACATGACAGTTGATATCAGTAATGTATGTGGTTTTTGAAAAAAAAATGTTTCAGATGTGAAATCTTCCAATCAAACGGGCAGTAAGTAATATAGAACATAACGACAATATAAAATGATTGGAATATAAATAAAAGTAAAATGCTTAACTATGGCTAGATACTATGAATAACATGCGAAGTAGACTAGTTATGATATCATTTAAGCAATAACGCCGGCGTTTTGCTTTTTAACAGCGTGAATCTATTATATAGAATAAGATTTCTGTCTCTGAAGCAGCAAATACTTACAAGAGTGAGTAATTGGTGATACTTTTCATTTGACATCTACATATGATCAGATAGAGAATCCAGGAGGTGGCTGAAAACCTACTAATGAGAGGATGTTTACTAGGAATTGAACCCCAATTGATGAAGCCATAAGGTTAGCAAGAGTGTCACTTTATGAGGATGCCTTTTAGTAGCACATCAATGGAAGAGGACGCTTACATTCGATCGGGATCATTGAATAACAAATCAGATAAAAGATTGATAGCGTAATCTTTTTTGTCTCCAATTGTTAGGCAAGCCATGAGGCAGCGTGCGCCATAGAAATTAACTGAAAGCTGCTTATAAGAGTAAATAAGCAGACAAGTTACTCTAGCAAGAGACATATTCGAAGCTTTTTCAACTATATATTGTACGACCGTTGAGCCCCATTTATTCAAGGCACATGTGGTGATCTTGTCCATAATCAGTGAAGAATTTCAGTCGAGAACACAATATCAAATTAAAGCTCTCACCTCATTGAAACAAACTTCACTGAACTCCTTAGACAGGATGGATTGGATAATAAGTGATCCTGTGTCTGTATTAGCGCATTCAACCCAGCGATATTTCATCGCTGCGTTTACGGCTATCATTATTGATGGACTGTAAATAAACCATTGAGTCTTAAAACTTTTGAATTTTCAACATAAAAGATAGACAAATACTTACCTCCAAGACTTTTGACCAGACATGGGAAGCGTTCTATGTTTTAATGAGTGTTCTGTGAAATAATATAAGACAACAAACTCACTTTGTGTACTATGCCTTGAGCAATATTACCGTTGAGAAGCTCATTAACGAGAAGAATCTATACATTATCTTTAGCGAATCACACAACTTTGTATCGAAAACAGCATACCTTGACATGCTCAGGAGAAGTAGACAGTAACTTCTGGAGAACATGGGTACCATAAGAGTTCATTGCTATAGATTCAACCTGGCAACTATGGGTTATATTAATAGATACTTTCATAGCGTATTACACCGACGTGATTGAGTTCACGATACGTAATTTGTAGCTGACATCATCAAGATCAATGACACGCTGTACGAGAAAGTTCCCAAAGCGATTAGTAATTAACGGGAAAGCACGTTGAATCACAGCATCAACCTGTTTGGTATATCATCATTAGGGAGAGAAAAGAAAATGATAACGAACGAGCAGATTGATATCAGATTTATTAAGCGATTTGAGCTTTTGTTGAAGAAATATTGAAGCTTGTTGATCAGTTTTGACTATTATGCGTGATACTAGTTCTATGAGAATGTTTAACATTGATCACGTTTGCGCGTACCGACCCACCGGAGTAATTAACTTTGCTCTGAGGTTTCAATAGTTCTCTGAAGTTAATATTGTTGTTATGTGAGTTTTTGAGCTGATGAATTAATATGGAGAGACAGTGACAACGCTGTGACTTACTGTGAGCATATTCGAGTTATGTAAAACAGCGTGGTTGCTGTTCTGGAGAGATACAAAAGCTATGTCAGATTGTGGTGATTGTTTTGGGACTGTAAAAGATTTTAGTTTGTTGTCATTCTTCCAAATGCTGCTGATATCATCGTCCTGAAAGTTGGAGATGAGTGTGAAAGCTGAATTAAATAACAGAAGACTGACGTAGAACATGATGAGAAAGTAATGAACGTGAATAAATAAATATAATTTAAATAATTCGACTTGATCGTTTGAAGAGAAGATGTGTTTACTGCGAATCGTTAATTGTTATTGTTGTTGTTGTTCCAGTTTTGCATATGTCTGGGAATGGGGATTAGTAAATTAATTAATGAGTAAATGTTACTCACGCTTGCATTTGTGCTTGCATAGCAGTGAATTGCTGTGCCATTAAAATAGGATTATATGGCATGAATTGATATGGATTATATTGCTGATCTAAAGAGGATGGCTGTGGCTGCTGTGGCTGCTGTGGTGCACCTTTCAAAGCGACTTCAGGATTGAAATCGTTATCATTGTAATCTAGAGTTGCTGGTCTTTGTTGAGGTACGTAATCAATGAAATCATTCTTGTTAGATTGTTTAGCTACTCTATTCTTCGCTTTCTTCTCCTTTTTGGCAGATTGTTCAGCCTCATCATCTGAAAATTCCTGTTGGTTTTCAGGTATTTCTTCGTCATAGACGTTGGACGCGTCAGAACCTTTCAATTGTTGTAAGATCCTAGTGTCGATAATTTTGGCATGTTCTGGTGCATAGAATACTTTTTGTTTAGATTTAACTATCTCTATGTCTATAGCACCCTCTTTGACTAAAATAGAGTGGAAAGGTGAAGAAATCGATCCAAAAGTTTCAAAAATTTCACCTATCAAAGTACCATCTTCTAAACAGATGAGAGTATCTTGATCCAGCGTACTGTGTTCACCCGAAGATGATGATTGTATGACGAGGATATTATCTATAAGTGAGTGCAAATGTCCAACTGGGAGGAGCTTTATATCAACTGGGAACTTTTCAAAAGGTAAAGGATTTATCTGATGATCAGTGAGCTCATTTTTTGTATGAAAAGGTTGGTTATTTGAAGCTATAGGATCCTCTGGGTCTGCGTTTTCTAAGAGTGCGTCCAATGTTGGAATAGGATTTTCGTCTTGAGTGATTGGATTGCTATCAACTTCCCATTGATCGTCAGCGTCACTGTCATCATCTTCCAGCTCCTCGTTGTTCTTGTTTTGATCGCTGCCACTATCGCTATCATCACTACTACTACTAACAGAGCTACTAGTGGTAGAATGACTCTGCTTTTTAGTTCCACCGTAGCCAGACTGGTCTACCAAATTATTTTCTAAAATTTGTTTTATATCAAATGGAAGACTTTCCATCTTTAGTTTGCGTATCAAATGGATAGAGAGGATAGAGAACTTAATATAATAAAAGAGCTTATTGATAAAAAATTAATTGAGTTAGTAAAATACAAGAAAAGAAAGGATTTTAATAGCGATTTCCTTCGTGAGCTAAATGACGGTTATTTGGAAGTACAAGAATTATTTGATAAATACAAGCAATTGATTAGTCGACTGACAAGCGATACTTTGATAGACAGACATTCTTTTATATACAAAGACTTTTTCAGCGACTACAACAATATCAAGGATAGCCTCACACAGCAAATCAATAGTTATGAGTTATTACACAACAACACCTTTAGTCATTCGACTAATTACGACAACCTTCTCAACGAGAGTTCACAGTTAGACAACAGTCACGCTATTCTAGACTCGACTCTCCAGCAATCTTATCACACTCTTAATGACTTCACAAACCAAGGCTCCTCAATTAGAAATTCTACACGTAAACTACAACAAACACTGTCCTCGATACCTTCTATAAACAAAGTATTATCAATGATATCAGCAAGGCGCAAGAGAGATTCAATCATATTAGCAATTCTTATCACTTTTCTCATTTTCTTCTTGTTCAAATTCATTTAGATTGGATAGAGTTCTGAAGGTGGACTCTCTACTATAAATGGTGACTCCTTATTATTTAACATCCTGACTAATTCATCAAGATTATACTGCTTTTTACTATCAATCCTATCTGCTGGACTACTTGCCAGCTCATCCAATTCATCCTCCTCCTCTTTGTTTCCTTTCATATATGGTGACACCATATTTGGCGGTGAACTTGGCGGTAGTGTATTAAAATCAAATGGTGTATTCTTACTCTCAAATGTTGTGTTTCTTATAGTTTGATCAACGTCCTCTTCTTCCTCTTCTTCTTCTGATATTGCTAATTTCAACCTTGATGATGGTTTTTTCTTACCATTCACTGAGAAGGTTCCCTCTGGACTCTTATCTCCCTCTGAGAATACATGTTTTAACATCGTACCAGGACTTGAATTGAGTATATCCTGTAAGTACTCGTTATTATAAGCTGTTTTTCTTGGCGGTGAAGTATATGGACCCCTAGGTATTTTAAATCCTGCTTCAGCTTCTTTTCTAGGTGGAGCTTTTAAGCTAGGTATCTTTTGTCTGTGATTTAGATTGTTATTGTTAAGGTCACCAAGTACTTTATTACTTTTGTCCCGCCGATTTTGCTGTTGTGATAATGAAACACTAAATGACCGCCGAACAGGACTGCCGTCACCACTTGTAACATTCTCATCAGTCATTTTTCTGCTCCGACTCTTTGTAGTAGATTTTACGATTTTCGCTTTGTCTTCTTCACCATTCTTCCACAGTGTTTCTGGACGCATGCTATTATTCTTTTTCCAATAAAGACCACAAGCTGAGATCATAGTTAGATAATGTTCTTCTTAGGGACATTAGCTTACAATTGCATGCTCTGGCTCTTCCTGATGAAGATGAAGGGTCACTAACGAACCTCCAAGTAGACGTTTCTTTAGTCCCGCAAGTGATACAAACTTCGGGGTATTCTTGCGATTTTATATTAGTATTTGTAAGTAAAAAGAAGGAAGACACTCACTTTCTGCCTTTTTCTCCTCTTTCTCTTTTTTTACTTGGGAACTACTAACTCTACGGGAAGGGGGCGTAGAAGGTGCGCGTCTTTTATTAGATTTCGATGAACTGGCTTTTGGCAGGTATTGCTTTGGAGTTTCGCTACTATTCTGTGAGATAATAAGTGTGTTTTCTATTGTTAAGAAAATAACACACCCTCTGGAAACGTAGAACAACTCTAAGAACATCACTGTCATCATCAAATGGATCACCCGTTTCAAGATTACCTATTATAAGCTTCTTGTTATCGCTTAAGCACTTTTGTACTGTACCCTCAATCGCAAAAACCGGTTGTGTATCTACGCCGCTAGCGACTAACTTTTCACTCTCGTAGGCATTCATAGCGTGTAATGTGTAATCACCTAGTAATTCAGGACTAATGAAGATTAAATAATTGTCTTAAGCAAAGTCTGATCTACTTACCTTGTAATACAGGCTTGTGTGAGACATTCTCTAAGACTACAACGTCCGAAATCCCCATAATTATTTTGTACGACTTCAACTTCTACAGTTGACATAGTTCTAGACATGAATGTCGTTGAGGATGGCATAATAGTGTATACTACGTTAACTTTTGGTGTATTTGTTAATATAATTTAATAAACAACGTAGATACACACCTTCAAGTGACTTTACCAGCCGCTGCTTCTTTGTTGGTCTATTTGACATGGTCGTCTAAGCGATAAAACGCGCTATCAGAATCTGACTTTGATGATATTGAAGACGCGTAAAAATTAGGTTTACATAATATTTTTAGCTGTTCATACTAATAATATAGTAAATAATAGTTTATTTTCTATCATAATTATCATGTCTAGATAAATTCCTTTATATATCAGATAGACTACCTGGATAATCAAATACAGACAGAGAGAGTGTGTATATGTAATTAATGATAAAGTATAAGTAAATACAAATTTAACACAAAATTGGTTAAAAAATCATATTTAAAAGATCAGAATTCTTCTTCTTTGTATAACGTCATCCAAGAAAAATCTTAAATGAGGCAGAAAAGAGCAAAAGCTTATGAAAGGCTTATGGCCAAATACAGTCGATATTTTAACTTTAGAGAACCTTATCAGGTGTTAGTAGATGATGAATTCGCTACAAATATTCATAAATCACGTATGGACGCTCAAAGTGTGTTCAACAATGCCTTACGCGGATCAACCAAGATATTAATCACTCAGTGTACAATGCAATCACTCTACTCTCGTGGATCGGAAGTTCAGGGTGTGATAGACATGGCAAAAGGTTTTGAAAGGCGGAAATGTAACCATAAAGAGAGTCTACCAGTTGAAAATTGTATAACTGATGTCGTTGGACCTAATAACAAGCATAAATATGTTATAGCATCCACTAACAACAAATTACGAAAGAAACTGCACAGTATTCCGGGTATACCTATTTTACATTACAATAGAATGGTTGTTGTACTAGAACCCCCGTCAGATCCTACTACTAAACGTATTAATCAAATAGAGGGAGAGAAAATTTCACAATCACTTATTGAGAAGAAAGAACTGGACGCAGAACTAAGTGATAAAGAAGAAACTGAAGAAGGTCCGAAGAAGAAGAAAAGGAAAGGACCAAAAGGACCAAATCCACTCTCAGCAAAGAAGAAATCAAAATCAAATGTTGTTCAACACTCAGAACCAGTTGGAACTGATCAAAAGAAGAAAAAGAAGAGCAGGAGAAGACATAAAACTCAAGAAAGTAACCCAACTGAAGAATAATTTATTTGTAAATTATCAAAAATTTCTTTAAAGTAATTTACCACTTTTGCCTTTAAAGTCTCCATTGTTGGCTCTTGTTCCGGAAGTACCTGCGAATTGAAACTCTCCATCTTTACCCTCCTTGTGGGGGTAATCATATTAGCTTTTAAATTTTGATGAGACAATCTGAGACTTACAGCTGGTAGAGCAACAGTAAGAGTTAATAAAACCGCGACAGAAATCAAGTATTTGAATTGCATGATAGTTTGATAAGGAAAAGAAAAGGCTAGCTATAAATATTTGACTACGAAGTATGTCTACATTCCAAAGCTTATAATTGAAGATGCATAAAGGGAAAAAAATTTAAATTTATCTAATTAAAAAGGAGTGTGGTATATCCTGTTCTGTAATATTTACTCTTTACTCTTCATCTTCCCATTCAGGACCAATTTCCATTTGAGCAACTGTACCAATACCGACGAGTAAGCCAGATTGAGAGTCAAGTATTTTCAAACAAGCACTAATTTCATCAAGTGCACCATTTTCAGCTTCTTCTTCCTCTAATACCATCTCTAAATCTTCATGATCAACGTCACCACCTGATGTATGTTTACCAAACTTCTGTATTCTATTAGTTCTCTTCTCATGTAAATCCCTTAGTTGTTGTTCAATGGCTTTTGTGAAAGTTTCTGCAATTGGTTCTTTAAGATTTGGTAAACCGAAAGTTGAAACAAGCTTATAGAAGCAGTTAACAAGTACGCCGAGGAAAGTTGGATCAACTTCATCGCTAATAGCTTCAACAACGTTTGCGAAGGTTGTATCAATAATTTCTTCATTAGCTTGATTAGTAAGTTTAGATATCTCCGCTGTTTGTGGAACTAAGTGTGAAGCAGCCTCTCTTACACCATCATGGAAATAGAATTTCAAACTTGGTAAAGCGATTTCAAGAGCTTGAATAGCATATGGACCGAAATGTTCCTTTAATTCAGTTGCGTAAATGACGAGTGTCTCCATTGCAGTATTCTTATCTTCAAGTGCAGAAGTTTGAATACCAACATTTTGATCAGCCATTCTCATCCATTCCAATTCAGGATGAGCGTCTTTATCAATTTCATCATCGTCCGCAACTTGCAGTTCAGGTTTGATTTGTGCTGCAACAAGTAAAGGTGGCATAACTGAAGGTAAATATGGTGCGAAATCACCACCCATAACACCAGCTATTCTAGCCCAAGCTGAAATTAAGTAACTAATTTGTGGATCATCACTTTCAGTTACTTGATTTTGAATAACTGCTAATAATTCAGCTAATTTGTTAGCGTCTGGAAGGAAAGTTTCACGTCCAACAGCAAGCGAAATTAATGTTGCACACTCCATAGCTTTACCTTTCATCATTCTAAATTCTGGACTAAGGTTTGCGCCTAAAACGTTAATCAATAGTGGCATAACAGTTGAGTAATATTTGCCGAATTTATCCTCTGCAGCATCAGCGATTGTTGCGATTGTTGTTATACTTTGCTCTTGGACATATCGCTTTGAGCTACTAGCTAAGAGGTGTAATAATCTTTCAATTAAGCCGTCTAAGTATGGTTCAAATACTTCAACTTCAGGTGGCGCGTCAAAGAAGTTTACGAGTGCTGCAGAAGCGTGTGCTTGAACTCTTGATGATGGATCTTGAAGTAAATTAGCTAAAGCCTTAAGAATTGGATCATAGAAGTTTTCTTGAAGGATTTCTGCGAAATCAGTGCAGAGTTGACCAATCGCGTGACAGGCACCATGTCTAACGCGTGGGTGAGCATCACTGAAAGCAGGTTCAAGGAGGCTAAATAAAACATATTAGCGTTTTCAGTGATCTAGAATAATTAACTCACCTCATAACCTTAGCAAGTTCTGAATGAAGACCTTTGTAGGAACCTTCACCGATAGATGCAATAGCCATGAGACCACCAAGACGTTCTTGCCAATTTTGTGATGAAATCATGCTTGGAATGAGTGCAAACGCAGGTGGTAATACAGCCTTACTACCTAATGCAGTTGAAAGTCTATCGATGTACTCTTCACCAACTTGTGCAGGTTCCTCTTCTTCTGGTGTATCATCGAGATCTTCAGTCGTCTCCCAATCTTCATCTGAAGATCTAACTGATAACCATTTTAAGCAAATTCTGATGAAAATTTCTGAAAATCTTGAGTTTCTTCTACAAGTTGCTGAAATACCTTCTGCTAAACTCAATAAAAGCTCTAAAGCAGGTTGACGAACTTCGAATGGACAATTGTCAGTTTGAGCAATCTCTCCAGCAAAATTCAGTATACTATTGACGTGTGCTTCGAAGAGAACGGGATGTGAAGATGCAAGTGAAGTGAAAGTAAGTAATGCTGGACGAAGGCTATCGAAATCACCAGCAGTCGCGAGCGGAGGGAGCAACTCAAAAGCGATGACCAAGATAGGTGAGAGTTGAATACGTGTTGATCTATCGGAGTCAATGAGCGTTGAAGAGAAGGCCTTGAGTGCGGTAAGGCGAACCTAAAATGAATGAGACAAGGATACCACAATATGAGAAAATACTCACGTTGATGTCTGCATCTTGCAAACCTTGAGTGAAAAGTTGTTTTAATTGATCAATTGGCATATCCATGAGCATAACAGGTACACCTGACCAGACACGCCATGCTGATTCGCGAATAAATGGTTGGTCATTCGCTACACATTGGAATAATGCGCTCGCGAGCTCGTTCCAGCTTTGACCGCGACTAAGGCTATCTCTAGCGAGTTCGGCGAGTGTGTCCGCAAGTTTATTTCTAACAGTTTGCGCCTGTTCAGTGCCAAGTTGGTTAATGAGAACAGAAGACTTATGAATAGTGAGCCAATGAACTGCAAAGAAAGACGACGACTAACAATTTTCTGTCTCGTATCGTGGCGTAAAATATCTGCCCAGAGTTCTTGGGTAGGGTTGCTTTGGTCTGGACGTTGGAATGCCAGTCTTCTTATTAAGACCAAAGCAAAAGAACGGACCTATAAAAATCTTAGGTTGTGTATATTATTATAGGTATTACTAACATGTTCAACTTGGTGTGTTGCAGCCACTTCTACTATTCCTGAGAGTGTATCATCTGGATGTCCAGTTATAAGTGTATCTTGGAGAAGCTAGGATGAATGAGCGCAAGTAAGCAGAGCAAATGGTGCACACCTTCTCAGCTCTGCTTCTTATTTCGTTTGCAGGGCTCTGTAGCTCGTCTATCAAGCTGAACAAATTGCTCATCGTGCTAAAGCAAGAAGAATATATCAAGAGACAAAAATAAAGGTTTAAATATAAATTTATCGCGTATCAGGTGGATCAGCGAAGGGATCTTCTATTTCTATTGGTGAATCTGCAACTTTGTGCGCTTTTTGTTGGTTCAACTTTGGAATTGACGACGTAGAGAGTTTTGAAAGAGTAGATGGAGTACGACGAGCTGGTCTAGCAGGCTATTAACATGATTAGATAATGTATTGTTATCATAGATGGTTTACTTACTTTTACACTACCACAATCTTCGTATAGCTGCTTGTATCGGCTATTTTGGTTGTTTTCTTCGCAAATTGACCTCAATACACTTCGCAGCTTCTTCTTTACCTTAGAATCATAGACAGGATCTGAAGCAATTAGTCTAAAACGAGCTTCAAGTTCACTATCTGGGAAGTTGCTATTGTTTATACCATTTGATACGCATCCATGGAATATCTGATAATGAATTAGCCAAATGATACTATAAAGTTATGTATTTACCGTTAATGCCCGGATGTTCTGATGGGTAGATCCATGTTTAAGCTGTTTCCGTAATGCTCGTGATGCTTCTACAGCACCATTCCTTTTCATAAAGTGTATACTCTCAACTATATCGAATACACTGTCTTTATTAGTCAATGATTCATTGCTTAAAATAGAGATTACTAACCCTTCTATAGAATTCTCTTCATATTCATTACTTGAATAAATTTCTATAAGTCTTGTAACGCTAGAGACTTCTTTATCCCCTCCGAATGCTTTCTTTAAGGATTTCATTCCTCGCAGTCAGGAGCAGGAGATCGATGATGTAACCTGATCGATTTGATACATTCAAGAATAAATACGTGCATCAAAAAAGGCAAGGCAATCACAATAAACTATTATTCCTCTAACTCTTTTAATAAGGCATCACGAGTTTGTGTAGCCAATTCAGGTGTCTTTACCAGCAACCTGAATAATCTCAGTGATCCATCCTCTTCAACACCAGTGAGCATAAATTGCTTGTTGTCTACTTCAGGCTTCATTTCTGAATGGACACGGAAGTTCTAGAAGGTGTTACATTAATTGTTTGTCATATTCAATACGACAACCTACCAAAATTGGTCTAGTTGTTGATGCATCTCTATGTAATATCCTCTTGACGTTGTTTTTACGGTTTTGCTTTATCTTGAATGGTCCTGTTCCACTTGGTTTCCAAGCATTTTCCTCAAACTTGTAAAGTCTTGCTTTGACCTCATAGAGATCATCTTCGTCTTCTTCACCAGCGCCCTGTTGACGTGTAGAGTTGTTACCCTCATCAGCTGATATGTTATTACTACTTTCACTCTCATTATTCTTGTTCATTTCACCGTCATTAGTCTTATTTTGGGATCCACCGAAAGTAAACTTTGGTGGTGTAGCTGGTGCATTATCCATTTCCGCGGGTTTAGGAAATGATGGCATACTAGAACTGCCACTTCCGAAACTAAATGATAATGCAGGTTTTGAAGGTGAACTTTCTGAATTAGAACCTACTTGACCAAAACTGAAACCAGGTGAAGTCTGTAATGGTGACTTTTTCTCACCAAGTGCAGCACCAAATCCAAGAGTCTGACCGGTTGAGAATGGATTAGTTTGTGGGGTAGAACTAGACCCTGGAGTTGCTGGTTTTTCAAATGCGTTTGATGGGTTAAACAAGCTCGGAACTGCAGGTGCCTTAGGTACCGCGGATGCAGGTTTTGGCGCAGGGGGTATCTCCATTGGTGGTTCTCCCTTCTCTGTTTCCTGTCCAAAAGAAGCAAATTTATTAGTAGCCTGTGGCTTTGGTGATTGCTTTTTGTCCGATTTATTATCCTCCTCTTTGTCATCTTTCTTTTCATTTGGTTTAAATGAACCAAAGGAAGGTGCAGGGAATGAGAAAGGAGAATTTGACTTTTCCGTAGAGGCAGTTGGTTTGAAACCGAAACCTGACGATTGACCCTCTGAAGGAGAAGCAGACGCGGAAGGCTTCAATGAAAAGTTTCCTACTGTAGGCATTGAAAATGTAGGAGCAGTTGATGGTGCTGGCGACGGTGCTGGTTTAGCTGCTGACTGAGTGGATTTCTCTAGTGGTTTCTCTTTTGGCTTCTCAGATTGTGACTTTTTGTCATTGATTGAGCTAATGTGCTTCTTGTACTCATCAGTTATGGAAGACAAAGCAGTTGATAAGTCTATAAATGGGTTATTATCTGTTGCTAATCTAAGTGCCTCGATTAGTGATTTATTAAGGCCTTTCAATGAAGCGTAGTAGTACACCTGAGCATTCTCGTCACTGCTACTCTTTTCTACATTTTGTTCTGGTTGTTCCTTTGGTTGTTCTTGTGGTTTCTGTGCACCGAATGAGGCAAAAGAGGATGTAGCAGTTGGTTTTGTGCTGAATGCAGAGCTTGCAGTGGTTGGATTTGCAAAGCTGAAACCACTGAAAGCGTTATTCTGTTGAAAATGTCAATTTGAAGATAGGTTTTTTTTGGTATGAACAAACCTTTGAAGAATCTGGAGGTGGTTGAGAAGGTGTGCTGAATGCACCGAATGGATTAGGTGTCTAGTTGATATAACATTAATGCAAAACGCGCTAAAATTGAGTTTGAACTCACAGCCTGAGGTTGTTGAGCTGGTGCTTGTAATCTCTTTGGCATTCCTCGTATTCTTGTAGTGATATTAGATATACGTACACCGATAATAATATAAAGGCAGGCTCACTTTCTTTGAGAGAGTGCGGAATCATTTGCTTTTTTGAACTCCAAGTTGGCTTCTTCGTTGGACTATATAGAAGCTTAGGGGCTAAGAATCAGTATATAGAATAAACCCACGTTATTGATATCATCGCCTTCAGCCTCTGGGTCATCCTGCGTGAGTTGTTTCTCTGCGCCTCTCTTCATCGTGTTGGTGTAAGCGATAGAAGTAAAAGTTTGAAGTTTAAATAAGTACAATTGCTAGTTACGTTATTACAGGAATAAAATATTTTAGAATAAATCGGGAGCCCAGCTACTGATTGACGGTAATCTCAATTTCTTAGTCGGCGGTGGAGATGCCGGTGTAAACGGTTCTGGTTTTGGCATTTCTGCCATAAAACTACATTGTTTACCTCTTTGATTACAGCGTGCTGTCTTGTTAATAAATTCTGGTAAGAATGTGAATATACGCACTACAGGTGGGCTTTAGGCCATCACATTTCAATTTGCTACTCTTGCAATTTGTACACGCTCTGTGTATTCTATGGCGTCTATCTTTTGTCATCGCTGTTGCTGGTCGCGTGTGTAACGTTATATGCCTTGTTAGGACATCTGAACGGGCAAATGATCGGCTGCAAAATGAACAGCTGATAGATGTAAGTGAGAGTAATAATATATTATAGTATACCTACACATGCGGCCTCTCATTCCTATCTGTTGGAAATTCAGCAACTGACAACATAGTGGGGCCTGTACTTACGAGCAGAGTTTATATGGCGTACCAGGTGCTCATATCGACTGAATAGCTTTTGGCAATCATCGCATTTGTGTTGTTGACTTTCTGTCATTATCGTCGTTAGGGAAGAAGTTTACGCTTCCGGTGTGTCAACGGTCGATCAAAAAATAGTGCCGATGGAGGCTTTTTAAGATATGCATGGATAAGAAAATAAAATTTATTTCCTTACAATATTAATTACAATATTTAATTATTTAATTATTATTTTATTATTTACCCACTATTATCACGATTTTCTCTCCTACTCCACATAAAATTCCCTCATTTGCGCAGCCTGTCTTTGTAATACGGATCATCTCGGGAGTACAATTCTAAAGCTATTTACCGGAGTATGACAGTTTAAATATATATAATGTAATCGGAATTTTTTTTATTTATTTCGCTACTCTATTTCTTTTACAAAATTTTTGGGTATCCAGCCATACCTTCCATCCCTCGTTCTCCCTTGTATCCACTCGCCCGACCTTTCGAGTACGGCAATAATATCACCCTCTTTAATCACAATTTCTGTGCTTTTACGTTCTTCAGGCGGCGTATAATCGTATATACACTTGACAAACTTTAAATTCCTCGGATCTATTCTTTCACCGTTGCTTCCGATTAACAGATGCTGATTCACTTGTGACTTTGATGCTATCTTGACTAATTTCGCCATCAAATATGGTACTCCTATAACAGCAAGTAGGAATATAATGAGTGGCTTCTTTCTTGGTCTATTTTGTCCATTTGTCGATCTCTCCGGCAACTTTTTCCCTTGTGCCTTAGCTATTAACAACTTCATCCAACGGAGAACATTAAATGCAGATAATACTTCCGCTAAGTAACCCTTCAGGTGTCCAAATTGTTCTGCAACTCCCTTTGGTTATTTAGATTTGCCGAATGAGCGAGCGGAAGACTTACTAGCATCGCGTAGAATGAGGAATGAGTTGCCATAAACGTACTCTCCAGCATCTGAGCGAACCCACCGAAAGTACCAACGATCGATTCGAGCAATTGAAATGTAGCCATCGTACCGGATTCCATACGTTGTCCTAAGCTGTTTGGATCCCCATATCCAATTCCCGGTCGGTATCCACCGTATCCTGGGTAACCGCCATAGCTGCCGAAGTTTCCCATTCCAGTCATACCACCACTGAAGCGCGAATATGGCGCGCCAAACCTATTGCCGTATGAGCTAATCATTTAGTAGATTCCTAGTTCGGTAGTTCACATACCCGTAACCTCCACCAAAGGCGTCCCCATACATTCCACTGCCGATACCGGCACTAGGATATGGTTGATACATTGAATTATAAGCTAATGTACTTTCTTTAGATATATCACTAATATGCACTTATATGTACTCACCATTATCGTACATCGGATTCTGATTCATAAGATTGGCTGGTCTTGGTGGTACAACTGGCTGTGTCGTATCTCCTGTTTGTGCGCTTGATTGCTGCACCTCTGGTGCGTCTATAGATGCACCTTCCCATGGCTTTGGTGGCGGCGCTGCCATTGGTCGTCACTGTAGCTTATCAAGGGTTGTGTGATACAATTATGATATAAGAATGTATTACAATTATGATATAAAATGTATTAAAATTAAGATACAAAACGTATTCAAGTGGTCCATTCGGTCTATTTAATGTTGGAATGATTTAATCGTAGACTGGCATGCGAAATTGGTGTACAAATAGAATAAATATAGTGTTCTTACAATACGATTTATTAAGTATAATATACTCATATAACTATATAGGGGTACCGCAAATGTACTCATACGAGTTTAGATGCTTTTAACACCAAACAGTGGCAACACATACACCAAATACATCTCTCAATACAAAGATAGTACAAAGCACTACAGCTGTATAAAGATGACGCACAAGTGCGACGTGGATGGTCAAAAATTGGCTGCAGTCCAGAGGACGTACAGCACGCGTAGTTGGATTAGATTTCAACCAGCAACGTACTCAGGCTCGGTTTTCACCTCAACGCCATGAGTTCTAGTCCGAGCAAAAGGATAAGGAAGAAAGGAGGGCAAGTCCGTCAATTTATAGTCGCCGAAAATTTGACTCGCGCTAAAAAATAAAAAATCTGACAAATCTGTCATAGTGATATGACGTTAATTAACGTGGCATGCCTCAGATAATCCTTAAATTATCAGTTAATTGTTGCATTTAAGATAGGGTATATTCAGAACTCTCTTTTTAATGTTTACCTCTCACGCTTGGACTGGAATTTGTCGCTTTGAGGTGTAAACAGAGCAAGACTGCTTTTCAGTTGTGATATAATACGAATACGTTGATCTTATCTATCTATCTTTATCTAGGTTTTCATATCTTTGAGAGAAAAATTTCCAATTGATTTACGAATGAATTGTTTCATTATTAACGCTTCGAATTAATGTATAAATCGGTCGTAACCCAGTTTTTGTGACTTCGGGGATGCATCTGCAGAAACGTCGACAAAATTCAATTATTTTGGATAAAATACGCATTAATGCTTAGTGTACAAAGGAAAATCTGCTCTAATTGGTGTAATGATAACGTCGGCAATATCTTGCCTTTGAGTTGTTAAAATATGTCTTAAACGTTCTGACGTATCTGAAATGTCTTGACTTGTCATTTTCTCATCCAAGCCGAGCGAGACATAGACGATCATTTTCCCACCGGAAGATGTAGCTCTTAATGACGCTACCGAGGTGGTGCATCCCGACATTACTGCTTTACTTCGGATCTCTTCTATCACTTCACCTGATACTCCGATATCTAACAACTCATACATCGCGCAGATTAAGACACGGAAAGATGAAATGATAATAGATAGCGACGCAAGTATGCCTAAGTGCATGATCAGTAAATAAATTTTAGAGGGAGTGAAAAATCACCTACCTCCAACTGAATCAATGGCTCTGAAACCAAAGGCGGTGAAGAGGATACTACTGAATGCTACGAGGGATGTCAAAGCATCTGCTCTATGGTGTTCAGCGTATGCTAGCAAAATAGAAGATGCCTCCTCTTTGGCCACACTCTTAGCTAAGGAATAAAATCAGTTTAGCTCATTATGAGTGTATATACGCACTTTTTCTATGCAAATACTCCTTCAATAGAGCTCCTGCTAATGCAAACCACGCAGCATGGCTATTTAGTTGTGGTACATCCTCTGAGTCACACCCATTGACTATTTTGTAGAAAATAGACAAAGAATGACAACCAACTCCAAGAGACGCGACCATCATAGAAACAGCAATGCAAGATGATATGAGCGTTTCTAATTTTCCATAACCGAGTGGCCAACGATCACTAAATGGCCGTCTTCTGTGTTGTTGTTAACCGAGAAACTTTCGCTATGTGAGAAAACATACGTAAATGTCCACGTAGAGAGAATAACTACATCTGCTAGCATATCAGACGTTCCATGCGTTGCTTCAGCTAGCAAACTGGCGCTGTTGAGATACCTAGAAAATGGATGAGCAGCGAACAAGTCATCAATAGAAAATACCTACCATCCTGCAATACCCTTTACGAACGTCAAGAGTGAATTAGCAGCAAAACCAATGATAGTTATCGTAGCTCCTTTATCATCTATATTGTCTTGTAAATAATATCCAACTAAATGGATGTATCAACTCACTAGCATTAAAAATACTCTCTAAAACTGCTCTTTCATCTATGGAAGACATGATGAACGAACATCGCCTGCGAATCAGATACTGTATATTAGAAACTTAGCCGTAGCAGGAACGTTGGCGATAGGTTCTCAGTTACGCATTAGAGCGCGATAATTTTACACAGCAAGGGTATATCAATCAATTATATAGAAATGTAAAGAAAATATATTCAATTCAATTAAAGTCAATGTACTGTTGTTCCTTTGTTTTTTTATTTTATTTTATTTATTTCTTGGACATCATTGCTTGAAGACGTCATGCAAGAAGTTTTCAATTTCAGCCTTGTGAGCTGCTTTAGATCCAGTAGCTACAGATGATGAAGGTGGTCTACCAGCGTACATTGGCATCTTACCCTTGTGGCATTCAGTGTTGTCCACGAGGGTAATCAAACGTTGTGAGACGTATGACCAAGCACCATTGTTACTAAACGGACGTCAGTAAGATAAAATTTCCTTTAATAATTATACTCACGCTGGTTCCTCTTGACACCAGTAAAGATCTGCGTTTGGATACTTGTCCAAGTGTGGCTTGAGCATATCGTAAGGGAATGGTGCCAACTGCTCAAGACGTGAAATAACAACGTCCTTAATGTCATTCTCATCACGATGCTTAATCAATGTGTGGTAAACCTGACCTGAACAGAGAATATGACGACGAACTTGCTCAGGTGCAACCAAATGCTCTGGATGTGGATCTGGCAAGTAACGTTGGAAGCTTGTATCACCTATGAGTTCACTCAAATCTGACCTTGCCATTGGATGGCGAAGTAAGCTCTTTGCGAAGAATAAGATCAATGGTTTACGGAATCCACGATGTACTTGACGACGAAGAACGTGGAAGTAGTTAGCTGGTGTAGTTGGGTAAACTACTTGCATGTTACAATCTTGATGTTGTCTAATTTGTTGCTCTTCGCTTGGGAATACCAATGGGTTGTCATCGCATAATTGTAAGAAACGTTCTATTCTACCACTTGAATGTTCTGGGCCTTGACCATCGTAACCGTGTGGAAGTGAAAGAACCAACCCAGTACGTTGTAACCATTTTCTTTCACCTGATGAAATGAATTGATCAATCATACATTGAGCGTTGTTGGCAAAGTCACCGAATTGTGCTTCCCAAATTGTCAATGAATCTGGTGAAACCAAAGAGTAACCTAATTCGAATCCAAGTACACCAAATTCAGAGAGTGTTGAGTTGACAATAGTAACCGGAGCTTGCTTTTCACCAAGGTGGTTCAATGGCATGTATGCCTCACCAGTCTTTTGATCATGGATGATAGAGTGACGTTGGGAGAAAGTACCTCTCTCTACATCTTGACCTGACAATCTAACGTGGTTACCTTCCATAGCAAGTGCACCCATGGCGAGCGACTCGGCGGTTGACCAGTCAATGCCTTTACCATCTTGAACCATTTTTTCTCTGTTCTTGAGAACACGGTTCAAGTTACGGTGAATTGTGAAACCCTATGATACGTTAATTATGACAATCAAATTAAGTTCCTCCAACTTACCTCTGGGACATTACCGAGTGCTTTAGCAATTTCAACAAGTTTATCTTCACGTACACCAGTTGCATTTACTGGAAGAACTAGTTGTGAAAGCTCTGAAGGTGTTGGGAAACCATCCCATGAAGATGAGAGCCACTCCTTAGGACTTGGCTTGTATTCTCTAGAGTTTTGGAACGACTTTTCGAGCATTTGCCAGACCCACTTCTTGTGCTCATCTGTATCTTGCTTGGTAAATGTACCTTCATTTTGGAGGCGTTCAACATAGAGGTCCAAAATATTTTGCTTCTTGCCAATAGCTTGGTACATACGTGGTTGAGTGAATGATGGTTGATCAGTTTCATTGTGACCATGACGACGGTATCCAACCAAATCAATAACAACATCCTTCTTCCACTTTGCACGCCAGTCTGCAGCGAGTTGGCAAATGAAGACGACAGCCTCTGGATCATCAGCGTTTACATGGAAAATTGGTGCGTCAATGAATTTGGCAATATCGGTTGGGTAAGGTGTAGAACGTGATAATCTTGGATCAGTGGTGAAACCGATTTGGTTGTTAACACAAATATGGATAGTACCGCCAGTACCATATCCAGGCAATGAGTGGAAACCGAGAGTTTCGTATACAACACCTTGAGCAGCAAAGGCTGCATCACCGTGAAGAAGAATACCCATAGCAGAGAGACGATCCTTGTCACCATCGAAGAATTGCAAAGCGCGGGTCTTACCCAAAACAACTGGATTCTCAGCTTCCAAGTGTGATGGGTTAGCAACCAATGAAAGAGAAACCTTCTTTCCTGAAGGGGTTGGACGAACGTAGTTTGCACCCAAGTGGTACTTAACGTCACCACCACCAGAATCATCGTCAGCTGGAGCTACTGGAGAGAATTCATTGCTTAAGTGATGTTAGAATGTACTAAATTCTAAGTTTCCACTCACAAAATAGCTTCACCTGGTTTACGAATGACATTGGCGAGGACGTTCAAACGGCCACGGTGAGGCATACCAATGATGGCAGACTTAACGCCATGTTCAACTGAACGATCAATGAGAGCTTTCATACCTGGGATAAGTGACTCGCAACCTTCCAAACCGAAACGCTTCTCGTTAGGGAACTTGGTAGCAATGAAACGCTCGAAAGAGTCAGACCAAACGAGTCTATCCAAAACCATTCTCTTTTCTTCTAAAGTGTAGTTCCATGGTTGTGGGGTTTCAATCCTATCTCTGATCCAATCACATTGAGCCTTTTCTGGAATGTGAACGTATTGAGAGCCGATTGGACCACAGTAAATTTGCTTGCAAGTGTCGTAAATTTCACGTAATGTCATTTTAGTCTTTCCAGTGCCTGTAAAACGCTTCAAAATACCTGGACCTAGATCGAAAGTCTTTGTATCCAAATCTGGTTCAGACCAACCATAGTGCGTGAGTTCCAACTCTGATGGGATGTTCTTTTGTCTCTCTGGTTCAATAATACCCAAAGGATCTGTCTTAGCGAGTATGTGACCACGGACTTGGAAAGCTCTAACTAAAAGCTGTACTTTGAGATGATCAGTGAGATTGTTTGAGGAACTGGTCCGCTGTTAGATATTTCATTCAAGATTCAAGGACCCACGTCTTTGGAACATCCAGTGGTGTATTGACGAAAGCTTGGTTTGGTGGTTCTTTGATTTCACCAACGGCAGCGCCAGAAGGTAAGGCTGGTGGCTTTCCATCTAAGCTGTTGAAGTAAGCATCCCAGCTCTCGTCAACTGAGCTGTGGTCTGTATGGAGCTGTGAGTTGATTTTTTGATAAGACATCGATATACAGACCTTCCTTCCAATGTCTGTACACTAATGTCTTGTTAGGAATGCTCTCTACTATACAATATCACCCACTCTGCTCAACATAGAATGCATTTGCACCAGTGAAGCCATCATCCTCCTGTATGGTCGTCGCCAACTTACGGAGCCTGGGCTGAGTTATAGAAGGTGTGCGTCTAGCTTGTAAACGCGTAGACAATTTCGTCAAACGCGGAATCATTTTCTACTTGTTCGTCGTTAAGGGATGAGGTATGTTGTAATCTACCGTATTTTAGCGAATAAAATTTAATTCATTATTTTACAATTTACTTTGGTGAGAAATGTAAGGTCCAGCTATCGAGCAGCTTTCTTTGCAAAACTTGGCTACCTTCCAAACCAGGTGTACCGTACGTAAGTGGTGAGAGGAACCAGAAGGCGGCTACGAGAGCGGATATCAATAAGGCAACCACTATTTTACCTTCTCTAGGGAACTGTATACGCGTGCGCAAGTATGGCCCCGTTAGCGGCCAATCTGCTGATTCTGTCGCAATAAAGTTAACCACCGCGCCGGCAACAAGTGCACTGGCGAGCTAAGGCTTGCGTTAGTCATGTGTAAGATTTCTTTTATCACAACTTACTTGAGCTGGCAAGTAATGGTGTATGAACAATTGTCTGCCCATTAAAAAGAATGGCAGATAGTGGAACGCCCAAGCAGAGACGAAGAATCCAATAGAATAGTGCATTCTATGTCTAACATCTAGGCGGATATCTAAGTAATGGCTTACTCGTCAATCATCAACTTACGATCCTCAATTGGTTCTTGACCGCGCCTTCTAGACAATTGATCAGCTCCCCAGATACCAGCAAAGATTGAAATTGCAGCGATGGATAACCATGCACCAAACACGTTACCAATCATGTATATCTGCTCTTGTTTGTCATTATCGGTCCAGAAACTGATGCCTTTGAGTTGGAATGGCCACTCAATCGGGGTACTAGCATATGGGTGTGGATTTGTTAAACCAGCATTATGTTTGAGCATTAAAAGTTGCTTAGATGTTGTTAATGGAATATTACTAATAATATGTATGTCACCTACCAATTCGAAAAATTTCTTGAAAAAGTTCATTGTCTTGACTTGTTTATTATCCGTCACACCCTTCCTCTCTACTTTCATATCAGGGTGCGGATTAAATTCATCAATAAACCAAGAAGCACCCTGTTCGGACTGATCCTTCTTTCCATTTACCTCGAATTGACCTGGTGCCCAAGTTGATGGTAATGCTTTACCACTCATATACATAGATACACCGGTATCAACATGTACTAACTTAAAATGACTAGCAAGTGACCTAATCTCATCACCCTCTTCAGCACCTAAGACGTGAATCTGGAACTCCTCTTCACGAGGGCGACGATGAGTCGAATTGAGAGGCCAAGTAGTGAATTCTTCATTAGTTGATGTTAAAGGAGAGGCAACATCATGAGCAAGTAACGTGGTACTAGTTTGTTGGTGAAAGAGCTTGACAATGTCGCCATTTCTAACTTTAAGGTTGTCTTTACGCACTGATCCTTCAGCTGGTAAAATCTGCCAATAGTTGTCCTTGACTCTGTGTGGTACTCCTGCTACAACCTGACCTGTAATGACTGTTAATATGGTCCTTAATATAAAGTATCAACAACCGACCTTGACTGCTGACCCTTCCGTCTGGATATCTCAATGGATAGTAGTTGAAATTTGAGTTCAAAAAGTTACTACTATCGCGGTTTTTAAGGGTAATCGAATCGTAGTAGTAGATATCTGAAACACATTAGATTGATCGTGGTGAAGTGAAGCAACAAGAAAACCTACTTCTGCTATGTTCTAAAACTGGGTTACCTTGAAGTGTTTCTTGGAATCTAGGGGACATGAAAGTGTCACCAGGACCTGAGTATTTGAGTATCTTAAAGTGAACCCAGAAGGTTGCAAGGTAGACAGCTGCAGGTATGACAATAAGACAAAAAGCACGAGCAGCTACGTGACGAGTGACTTGGTTCTATCATGCCGTTAGAATTTACAAAGCTATATAATAAAACGCACCATAGTATAGCCTCTACGAACATCCAAAATCTTCCATAAGTCGACAGCAACGGCCATACCGATCGTCAGGAAAGTAAAGAGACCGACCATTTTGCATCCAAGGGTTAAAGCGAGTGAAACTCCCGTGAGTGCTTGCCAAAACCACCAAGACATAGAAAATGGGCTGTTAAGTTAGTCGACATAGCCGTAATATACTTTAACATACCTTTTACGACACTTTGAGAACCTAATATAGCAATAGAGTGACAAAGCCATGAAGAACACGAGTGCAGCGTCGAGCAAAATCAAGCGTGTCTGAGCGACGTGACCGTTATCTACACAACCATTATAATAAGAAAGGCGAGACTATAAGGACCTACCGAAAAGCATTATTGTAGCTGAGAGAATACCGATAGTTTCTGGATAACCTGATTCACGCATAATACCATAAATGAGTGGTATCGTGAATGAACCCAAAATGGCAGACAAAGACCTCATACCAACGTATGGTACACCGCCAGCAGTGTAGCTGTCATTTATGTTTGAAAACTGAATAGTTTAAGCTTTCTCTATGGGTGAAAATAAGAAAACGCACTCTGAAATCGCCGTTGAAGCCAGACAAATAGCCAGCCAAACCATTCAGCATCTTTGCGAATGGAGGGTGGACATCAAAGTAATACTCTCTCTTTATGTAGTATCCAGCGTACTGCGTGTCTTGTCAGACTATGTTAGGTGTCTTCTCAACTACGAACCTTGCCGAAATGAACCTCATCAAAGCTATAAAAGGTATTATAGATAAAATTCAAGATATAAAGATACCTACACGACCTCGTCTGGATGTTCAATCCTGTAGAATCTGATTGCCAGCGCAATGAGAGCAAGTAATAAACCGATAAGCCAATCACGCTTTCCGGTAGTTGATACTATAGGAGATGTTTTCTTTTCCTTATGAAATATAAGCTAAAATATAGATCAAGGGTACTACTAACGTTGACAGGCTGGTTTGCTTTTACATCATCCGATATTGATTGATACGCAAACGTAGAACTGGAAGTGTAGGTTTGGAGATCTTCACCCGCTGTGCTTTTGTTTTTGCCTCGCTGATAGGCCATTTTCGATGATGGAAGACAGGATGTGCCTTAGACAAACGCAATGAAGACTGAAATAGATTATTCAGTTTATTTGGTAACTGCTAGGGGTCTATTACCGGAAGGAAAAGTACGCAATTCTTTACTATCTGCTGCTCTAATACAGCATAGGATTATTTGGAATCACTCGAGGAGTCTCTCCAAGGGGGTGTGACCGTCGTACAACTAAGGGAGAAGACAACAGATACCGGAGAAGTGTGTATTAGCAAGTCGTTTTATCATCTAACATTCCATAGTTCATACAGGTCGCTCAATCGACCAAAGATATCTGCGATAAGGTCTCTCATAACATTTCTCATCAAAACAACCAACTAATTTCCCTATAGTACAACGTCCCACTCCTCATAAATGATAGAATAGACGTGGCACTCGCTATTGACTGTGCTGGTGTTCACGTTGGTCAATCCGATGCACCTTTATCAATTGCTCGCAAGCTTCTCGGAGATGAAAAGGTTATTGGTGTATCAGCAGGAAATATAGAGCAAGCAATCAATGCACAAAATGGTGGTGCTGATTATATTGGTATTGGTGCTGTGTACGGCACTCAGACAAAGGATGTCACAAACAAAATCATGGGCACTCCAGGTGCAAGGAGCATTTTGGCTGCTTTGGATCCACAGTCACCTATCAAAACTGTTGTAATTGGTGGTATCAAGTCTGAAAACCTATTACGGGTTTTGAATGGTGTACACGAAAAAGATACTAAGAGGTACCTCGATGGTGTCGCTGTCGTTAGCGAAATAGTCTCATCAAAGAATCCAAGAGAAGCAGCTAGCAATTTAAGTCATCTCATTAAATCATTTAGAGAGAGTGAGAAAATCAAATATCATTCTGCAAGCTATGATGTTGATTCAATTGTACAAGAAGCCTGGAGGATCATTAACGCTATACCAGAGCAACATCCACTTATTCAGCAAATGGCTAACATCGTCACTGCGAATGATCAAGCTAACGCTACACTTGCCTTGGGTGCTAGTCCTGTCATGGCTGCGTAAGTAATAAATAGCTCTAATGACTGAGAAGGTGTTCTGACCAAATGAAAGCGTTGTTGGCGATCAAAAAGATCTCAATCCTCATATTGGAGCTTTACTCATCAACATGGGTACTGTAAGTGAAGAGCAGAAACAAGCTATGCTTGTAGGAGGTACGTTGTGTGACTACTAGACAATATAAACTAACCATAATAGGTCGTTATTCAAATCTGAATAAGAAGCCACTTATATTTGATCCTGTAGCCCTGGGTGCTACCTCATTCCGTAAACAAACTGGCCAAGGTGAGTTATAACTAAATTAATTTGCTCCCTTTAATACACTTTCAAGAACTCCTCAATCATTGGGCACCAACAGTTATCAAGGGTAATGCAGCAGAAATTGGTGCTCTCTCAGGATTGACCGAAGTTGCTACCAAGGGTGTCGACTCAGTTGGACCAGGCTTCAAAAATCCTGTTACAGTTGTGAAATCACTCGCAAACCGAGAACGTGGGTCATCCCTTAAATACGATCACACACATAACATTGTCTTATTATAGGTTGTATTGTAGTCATGACTGGAAAAGACGACTATATAAGTGATGGAGAACGTACGGTGAAGATATCCAATGGTCATTCATTACTCGGCCAAATAACAGGTTCTGGATGTGTCACGGGTACAGCTATAGCAACATGTTGTGCTGTCTCTTCAATGACGACAGAGGATATGAATGAAGACGGAAAGTTATCACGTGGAGATCATTTTATGGCTGCAATAGCAGGGTTAGTATAGGTCTTAGTATTACTTAATTTATATACTAATATAGTTAATAGAGTTCTCGCGCTTGAGATTGCCGCCGAAATTGCCAGTAAAAGGGACGACGTCAGAGGTCCAAATACGTTTAGATCAGCTTGGATCGATGAAATGTCTAAATTAAATGAAATTAATTTAAAGAAATTAAGTTGTGTAACACTTACTTAAAATGGAATAGATTGAATATTGAAGAAAATTTTCCCGCGTCAAACCTTTGGTATGTGGTGTCAGATATGAATATTTGGGGAGTTGTCTTGAAACTGATCAGTCTTATACACTCCAATATTAATCCGATATATTAATTTATGGCACAGCATTCTAATCTAAGAAGTCAACTAATACAATCAAAGCATTTTCCATACTTTAACTCAATGGGGAAAGATAATTATATTGATTTGGAGGTTAGTTGTATTGATAGGCTGTAAGATACTGTAGATTAACAGAAAAGCAGTCCAATGGTGTACCCACACCTGCATCATTATACCCACCAGGCCCTATGCGCGAGAAACACAAGCTAAGCTGGTCAGATTTAGGTTTTAAGACGAATGGGAAGAAGTCAAAAACTATACTATCTGAACAGAATGGCACTATCTACTCAGGGGAAATGATGGCTGGTGAGGATTGTCTCATGTTTTTTTTTATAACACGTCGCTTACACGAAGTAAAGTATTGGGACCTTCAGGAGCTGGTAAATCTACATTTTTGGACGTTATAAGTAAAAAAGCTAAAGGTTCTCCTGGTACTATCGTAAGTTTATATCCATGCGTCTCCCCCATACAATGCTTAAATGTCGATAGATATCATTTAATGATGATCCTAAATTTGATATGAGAGAACTAGCACAATATGTTGAACAAGATGATGCTCTTATTGGAGTTTTAAGTGTACGTGAAACTATCGAATTCGCCGCAAAATTGAGGTATGTGACTACAAAAAGGGTAATCAACAAATTGACAGATAAACAGTTTACCAACGAATATAACAAGAGGAGAGCTATTAAAAAGAGTTGACGTTACAATGAAATCTCTCGGTATTAGTGAAATTGCGAACAATAGAATAGGGACACCAATACAGAGAGGTATTTCAGGAGGACAAAAAAGGAGGGTAACAATAGCATGTGCAGTTGTATCGCACCCTCGTATACTTTTCTTAGATGAGCCAACGTCAGGTTTAGATAGTCAGACATCACAGGAAGTTATGCAATCAATAAAGCAACTGGCCGTTGAGCAAGGTATTATAGTATTGTGTACGATACATCAACCAAAATGGGAGATATTTCAAATGTTCGATCAATGTTTACTTCTTGCATCAGGGAAGACAATGTATCAAGCGCCTACAATTGAATTGATAAACTACTTTGATTATCTTGGAAAACCATGTCCAGCATATACAAATCCAGCTGATCATGCAATTAGTCTAGTTAACACTGATTTCTCAAATAAGAATCCGGGATTTGATAGTGAAAAATATCTAACTGGTTTATCACAAAAATGGAAATCATATTCACGGAATGGATCAGGTAGTACCGCTGAATTAAAGGATGATTATACAGATATGAAAACACCTAGAACACCAGCAGAATCACTTTTTACAAATAAATCAAATAGTCCTTCAACTATGATTATGAGATCAAGAACATCAGATTTCTATAATTGGTGTTACAAAGTTACAGTTCTTTGTCATAGGTCACAGTTAAATAGTCAACGTAATTTACTTGCATATACAGCTAGAATGGCAATGTATATAATGATGGGTTTATTAATTGCAACTGTTTGGTTACATCTAGGTACAAGTTCAGATAAGATCAATGAAAGATTATCAATACACTCCTTTGGTGTAACATTTATAGCTTTCATGAGTGTTTCTGGAATACCATCATTTCTGGAAGAAAGAATGGTCTACGTTCGTGAAAGAGCTAACGGATTATATGGACCTTCAGCATTCTTAATAAGCTCAACATTAATAACAATACCATTCGTATTCGTTTGTTGCTCACTTTTCTTACTTATTGTTTATTGGGCAGTTGATTTAAAACCTGGTGCTGATACTTGGTTTAGATTTTTAGCTTATTACTTTTTGACGTCATTCGTAGCAGAATGTCAATCAGTTTTAATTGCAGCATTAATACCAGATAACGTTGCAGCTATTAGTTTAGGATCATTCATAAATGGATTTTGGATGTGTGTTCAAGGATATTTCATCAGAACACCAAATCTACCAAAATTCTATTATTATTTCGTGCATTGGATCTCATTTCAAACGTACGGATTTGTTTTAAATACGAAGAATGATCTGGAGGATGTTTTATTTAGCTGCACACAATCATCTGAAGGTCAATGTCAATGCTCATATCCTTCTTCCTTACAGCAAAAAGGTATTTGTGCACTTCCAGGTGAAGACATATTAGAATACCTTGAAATTAAGGATAAAAATAAGGTTTTATTCGCGTTCGCAATGTTGATCATTGCAGTTGTTTATCGTTTGTTGTTTTACCTTGTTATACGAATGACCAAAAAGTAATGTATGAAATAACTTCTCTTTTTACGTTCAATTTTATAAAAATATATATAATAAATTGCTCATGTACTTTCATCACTCCGCCTTACGAACTCATAAAATTCTTCAATTTGACTAGATTGATCGCGTTTGACTGTTAATGTTTTAGAAGAAGATTTCATGACCATCACTAAAGTCTCAAGTTGAGGTATCTGAGTTAGTAAGTTTGCAATCCTATCCGTATGGAGTATATCCTCAGGTTCTGTATTGATAATTTTCAATACGAATCGTCTTTTTCGACCATCAGATGTGTACGTAGTAGCTGGTATCAATTCCAAGAGATTTTGTAGTAGATTTTTACGTATAATTTGGTAGTTGAGAGAAGAATAATTGAGTTTTAATTTGCGTATATGTCGTGAATTATTAGATGATTGGTTTAAAGAGTAAATGAGATTGATAATGGCATGGACTAAACGACTGTCTTCATATATCGATAAATCTGCCTTTATTATGAGTAAAGTAAATATTTTATATAGTCTTTTAGCTCACCTATAGTATTATAAAGTTGTTCAATAGCTAAAGCATAAAATTGTCTGCTTGATTTAACGAGATTTACCAAATCTGCGTTGTTTAGCTGAGAAATAATCTGTAAAAGTAGCTCTGGTGGAAGATTACTTGTACTCATAAGCCAAAGTGATTACGAAAGTAGAAGCGAATATCAATTAAATGCCAAATGAGGTAATTTAAAATGCATATGAGGTAATTTATAAAGTTTGGGTTCCTTTATCGAACGTGTTCTTTTTATTAACCTCTTTAACTCTCTGGGATGTTTGCAACCAAGACATTAGGGACATGTTGAATTGCATTTGTCTGGCATTAAAGCGAGTAATTTCATTGAGTATTTCTTTATTATTCTTGTTATTTTCTAATGCGATCGTGTTAATATTGTTATGAAAATCAGCTGCAAGGGTGTAAACTGAATGTAGTTAGTAAATGAACGAGACTGTTCAATGAATCTACCAATATCGCTGTAATGTTTAACATTTAGAATACTTTGCTGTTTGTAGTCATCTCTCAAACAAAGACTGAGGTCATTTTCAAGAGATCGTACTATAGAATGTATCTCTACTAATGTAGCTTTCGAATAAGTATCAATTCTACTATTATAGTCAGAGCTGCTAGTCGTTTCTGTAAACTGTTCGCCATCTCTCAAAAGTGAGTAAATCGACATGATAGTGAAGGAGTGAAGGAGTGTAGGGATAAAGAGTAATATTAAATAGAAATATGTATTTATATATCTAATACATTCTTAACGGAATGCACTGTTGTATGACTTAGTAAACGAATAGGGATAGTAGGTTCACAAAACTCACCCGTGGTACCAAGCAGCGAAGAATGGAGTACCAAAACCGATAATAGATACAACTGCGAGTTTTGCACCGAATCCACCGCCGTTTGTACGGAAAGGCATAGTCTTTAGTTGAATGAGTGAATGTCTTTATAATGAAAGAAGACAGACGTACGTCGTGCACTTTGTTCTCAATGTGAACTGATCTAATTCCTCTTGGAATTTGTTGAATTTGTCTAAATGCTGGACGTCCTGCAATCAAGCTCATCGTTGTGAATCTTCAAGAGTGAAATAAAGAAGACATAAGTTTTTTATTTTGTCTTTAACATTTATTATTTATTTTTATTCAATATTCATATAAATACTTTCTACAATGGAACCTTCAACTAGCGCGAAAGTACCGGAACAGCACGAAGAAGAACGAGAACAACAACAATTCAGGAGCTATCCAGGAAAGGTATTTCATTATATAGCAGTAATATCTTTTATTGACAAACTATTTAGGTCGTCGTACATGGTAGAGCAACTGAGAGGGCGAAGATAACGTCAAAGTATAAGAGAGCGTGAGTCTGTTCTGATATGCAACTACTAGTAATCTAAGTCACCACTTAGCTATCTTATCGTCAGAGAAAGGTGGAACGAAGCACAACACGAGACTGTAGAGATAAAGGACAAGATTAAGAAAGCTCAGAGTGCATTGACGGAGGTGAACAACGAGAATGAGTATGTTATCTTATAGCATTACGTCCTGGCAGCTAACAATTTACAGCGTCTTACTTGAAGCCTTAATGAAATGTGATCCAGAATTAGCACAGAAGTACTTATTAGACTGTCAACATCAACAGCAACAGCAACAGCACCAGGATCAGCATTTCATCGAACAGACTACACACATCCCACAAGATCCACAATACCTGAGAAATGAAGCAGAACAATTGCCAGTTAACACGATACAACACGACCGTTTCGCGCATATACTCAATCAGGAGCCTGAGAAACCACACAATACAATGAACCCATTCGAGCAAGAACAATTACACTATTCTTTACAAGTACAACCAACTGTTAACAATTCTAAGCGCTCGATTGATGATATTATCTCATCGAGTGATATAAACGAAGAGGCGAAACGACAACGCTCCTAAAGTCTCTTTATAGCTTCTACTATAAAGTTATTGTATTATTAGTTTTCCTTTATTCACGTCGCGTAACTCAATCCAGGTAGTAGGGCTTTACCTTGTATACTACCAATTTGTGCGACATCACCAAACAATTCCATATCGACTATACTTTTAATGACGAGGTAAATATGTTCTTCTTTATGACTGTCATTCGGTTCACATGTTGAACAAAGGTCGTAGCTACCAGCTAGATTCACACATCTGAACCATTTACCTAATACTGGTTCCATGCACCTATCGCAAACGACCTTTTGATGTTTAATTGTAGACAAATACTCGTTAGGTCCGCCCAACGTTGAAGGCAAAGGTGATACGTGTAAACTATTCGATGGATTACCAGCTGGAATCTTGTATAGTATTGGCAAAGCATCCCCCATTTCCTTTAATCCAGGTTCTTTCAATTTTTGCTCAAGTTTGAGGAAAATATGAAATGGGTCGTGAAGAATATACGACATATTCTCGCATTCTCCGCACTATCAAGTTATTATCAGATCGCTATAATTAGCTACCAACAAATAACCTACAAGGTTGTATGCTCCAGCGCAATGCAAGCAAGCGTATCTTTCTTTTATGATATTGTTAACGCATCCATTACATTGAACGCCATGATTTACAGGCCTCCTCTTTGAAGCTCTCCTCCTTGGCTGCAGATTACGTAGTTGTTCGTTATCAGTCTGTGAAGTTGGTGTGTCATTACGGTCATTATCCCACATTCTTCTAGCGCGTGCGGAAACTCTTGGATATTGTTAGATGATATTTTAGAACATTGTCAAGTCAACTCACTGTTGTACTTCATCATTAGATAATGGTACTGGTATCTTCATCATGATGTGTGTTCCATCATGTCCATTTCCATTAGCTGCACCTAGACTCTCGCAGTCCTGACATAAATCGTAGATCGCACAAACTGCGCAGTGGAATCTTGGACCGACTATATCTCCTAAACAACTGCACAACGCATGTGAGTGTGAGTCTCAATGACGAAAGAATATACGCACTTATGACAAAACACATTTTGGTGTTTACCTTGAGAATTGTCAGATTAGAACTACTAATATAAGTGAGCAACTCACGATTATGCTGCTCGTTTCCATTAGTTCGATTAGTGGTTGGCAGTGAACCACTCGAGGTGCCCGCAATCTGAGAACGCGACTGTAGTTTCGAATAAGACTCTCTAATTTGAGCATTAGAGGCCACAGATCGCTTTTGACGAAGTTGATGATTACTGAAGTCCGTATCTGAAGGTGGTAATTCCAAGAAAGCGTGCGATGGATGTATATCTCTAACGCTGCTCCAGCATCTCCTGCACAAATTGAGTGATTGGCAACTCACGCATTTGAAGTCTACAGCAAGGACGCTCTTGCAGATTGAGCAACTGCGGTCATTACCATAATCGACGTTTATCCACCCTTGATCACTCCGGAGACACTCCCTAAACGCATGCTTTGGTGTGTTCTCTATAGCGTGTACCGCGCCTGCACCTTCGATGCATTCTGGACAGAATTCGCAACTGGATACGCCGCAGCTGGTGCAAATATATCGGAGATTATCTAGTGGTTTGTTGCAACTGCTACAGAATGGCTCATCGTTATTGATAAACATTCCGTCCATTGAACCCGTTAGGGTATATCTATACGAACCCTTCCCATCTTGTTCCAATTCAAGTGCTACGGCGTCACTATCGAAACTGCTAGCGTAATCGTCCGATGTGGCCGTAGTTTCAGATGGAGCTAGTTGTGTTCCAAATGTTGCAAGTAATGCTCGTTCTGATTGGTCAGCAAACCACCTAGCTGCGAGATCACCTCTATCCGGACCATCAGATTCATCAGCTAATTCCAACTTATTCGATAGACCAATAGATGAATTCAAACTGGGAGTGCTCTCTGATGGTTTGAATGGGTTATGAGTGGCTTCTGAGATTGTATCATCCTCATCATTCCCATGCTGACGATGTGTGGGTGAGTCTGAGAAGGTGTCTATATTGGTGTTATGGTTTGAGGAGGATGCTTTACTGTTCTTTGGTTTTCCTGCCAGCTTTTTGCCTTGTTCTTTGTACTTTATCGATAGCTTTGACAAACTGGAACGCAAACTGAATGACTTCTTTGATGATTTCTCAGAGGAAGATTGTGATAATGAAATCGAACAATTGTCAGCGTCTTTCACGCCATACTTTATAGATTCTGAGCTATCAGAGGAGTTGTATGCGCTCGTATTGATAGAGTTCGTATCAGATAAGCTAGGACCATCGTAATCAACTAGGATTTCTAAATTCAAGGTAATATTTCCATCATCACTACCAAAATACTCTAAACACTCATCGAGATCGTCGTCTGTTCGCAGGGTAGTGTATATGCCATCATCGTCTATATAGACGACACTAAAGCTATCCTTGCCTAAAGAATAAGCCTGCTGTAATTTTAATTTTAAATTATCTAAATTGACGTAATCCCTGTTCAAATATGTTATCCTCTTGTGCTTAAAATCGAGGCTACACTTGATCACGACCGTCATGAGTGACCCATATAAAGTACTCGAATTACCAAATACAGCGACGGAAAAAGATATTAGAAAGCAATACCTGAGATTAGCTAGGATCTACCACCCGGATAAGGTTGAAGATCCTCAGAAAGCTCAAGCAGAGGAGAAATTTAGAGAGATTAGTGTGGCGTATGAGACACTCACACAGCCAGCTGATTCAACTTCTAGAGCTGGTTACTCTAGGTCTTCTGCTTACTCAGATCCATTCAGTTTGTTCGATGAACTCGTATCGCAAATGAGATCATCGACTGCATTCTTTAATGACCCATTTTTCAACGACCCATTCTTCAATAGACAACCTTCGATGCATAGATCTGATCCATTTGCAGGATTCATGGGCGGCGACATGATGGGTTTCCCTTCGATGATGGGAGGTATGGGTGGTCTTTCTAGTATGGGTGGATTCTCTGGTATGTCCAGCATGTCTAGCATGTCTGGTATGCCTGCTATGACCTCGGGTAGATCAATCTCCACGTCGATCGTCAACGGTAGAAAAGAAGTCAAGGAAACGACAAGAAACCCAGATGGATCTACGCACATCAAGATCACAACGCCTGAGGGTGTACATGAGAGTACACAGCAGGCCCAATTACCTCAGGCAAACCATCATTCGAGATCAAACTACCATGCATTACCAAGCAGCTATAACAGGTTCTGGTAATAGACTAATTGTACAAGTTTATTGATATATCACTGAATTATTCTTCATTTTATCATTATTGTTGTTGTTGCTGTTGTTGTTGTTCATCCATAATAACACTCCACACTGATGCCTTATATAAAGTCAAAACGAGACCCATTTTCTGCTCTAATTGACGTAATTGTTGTAATAACTGCTCATTTGGGTTATGACTGAGTTCTTTACACACTTGATTGAACTGAGTTGTGTAAACATACGCGTTAATAGAATAACTAGAACACCTACCCTCTTCATAGTCTGTGCTATAGAAGAATATTCTTGCAACACCTGCGTCTCTAATTCGTTCACTCTGTTTTCATCCGACATCACGTCCTGATAGTCTCAGAACAACTTTCATACGCGACGTCCATCACCGGATAGGGTGAAAGAATGTCGAGAAGATATAATAAAGGTATTGGATCATTACAACATCATCATAACGCTACTGCATATCAAAATTTAAGCAATACTATCAATGATAATCAATTACAAGCTGTGAAACAACAATTAGACGTATTTAAAGACTATTTAAAAGAATTCTCTATAAAACATCGTAAAGATATTGAATCAAACGTTGAATTTAGGAATAGATTCACTCAAATGTGCGCCACTATCGGTGTCGATCCTCTCAACATAGCCAGAGGTAGTTTATTTAGTAACTTAACAGGTATCTCAGATTTCTATCTAAGTTTGGCTGTCCAGTTGGTTGATATGTGTATTTCTACAACAACTCTCACTGGTGGTCTTGTTAGACTATCAGATATACTCAAAGCACTTTCAATTAAGAGAAATACAGAGATTACGTTGAGCGATATTCAAAAAGCAATTAAAATTCTTCAGCCATTGCACGATAATCAACATCTTTATGAGATTATACCAATTAATCAAATACTATACCTTCGTTCACAACCAAAGGAGCTAAATAATGATCAAATGTTGTTGCTCACCTCTGCTTCTACTAATAATGGCTGGGTTGATCAGTCTCTACTTCAGTCTAACGGTTGGTCAATCGATAGAGCTAGAAACTCATTAAGACAGGCTGTCATGGATGATGGCATTGTTTGGATTGATAATCAAGAACCTCAAATCAAATACTACTTCCCTGCATTATTTCAAGGTGTCGTTAACACTGTTGTATAAATACTATGCATGCATTATGTTATTATAATTTTACTTCAGCAGCTGGTAGATTTTTACCAAGCCAATCGATATCCATTAACCAATCTAATAGTCCCTGATCACCGTCATATACTTGTGATTGAATGTATACTTCTTCTGCTGTTATTGCACGTATACGCGGAAGAGAGTGAGTCAAATATTGTATTAGAGATTTCTTGGCCGCTTGATAATCATATTTATAAAACAGCGTCGCAACAATTTTCATTCCGATTGTTATTCTATTGATTACTTTCGATTTTTGACAATATTTAGAATTGAATGCGACAATCTCTGACAGATCATCACAACAAACATCTCTTTCATCAAGGACGACAAACAGCGTGTTAGCTAACCCAGTAAAGAAACTTGTTTTCGTGTTGCTTTCGGATAACATGATCGACCGCTTAACGACGTCATCTAGAAGATTATCCGCGAGACCAAGTATAGCCATCCTAGAATTATAAACAGATATTTCATTTTTACTTATAAGAGCTAATCCTAAGCCCATGAGTATATCATCTCTTAACTTTGACTCCTGCTGGTAGAGTGTAACTACATGTTCAAAGATCTTCGAAGATGAGTACACATCTTCTGTGTCTTTCCTTGTATTATAGAAGAAATCACGTAAAGAATTGGTCGTTTGAGTGTCATTGATTAGCTTTTTATCAATCATATTCTCTAACTCTTCAATGGCGACCCAACGACTAGTGTAGATATTATCGAGACTGATTCCTACGAGTCTACTGACAACTTTATCCACAAAGGATGGCTCTACGTTCTCACTTAAGCAAATAGTCAACCCTTTGGCACAAGACTGCCGAATCCATGCACCAACATCACCCCTTTGGTCCATACTATAATCCCATAAACCATTATAAAGTGTCTGTAAGATTGTGTGCTGTTGAGAAGTACAACTTGTGTACAATTTAGACAACGATTCGTATGCATTCAACCGACATTCTACTACGGTTTTACTACTGACTATACTAAGTAGACAATTCAAGGAGACGTTTAATAGTGTTACTTCATTGTAATAAAGGTATCCTAGTGAGAGTGCTATCGATTGTTGGAAGAATCCTTCAGAAGACTGGAAATCATCGATCATACTAGAATATGTGAGATATGCGTCAACAATTAAACAAGGGACACCTACGATTGGACAAAGCTTTTACAATCAGTAGTTTTGCTAAGACACCCTAACGCGTTAGCAGACGAATACCTGACAACGTCTGATTTATGTTTAAGTCCGATATCTATAATCTTCAAAGCAATTTCTTTCCTGCTTTCAAGGTTACATGTGCTTGCGATAGCTGCTATAAGATTATTGGATACCTCTAGCACTGGACTGAAGCGGGGTGTGTGGAATTGCCATAACTGTATGTGTTCCAACTGCTCGAATATCTAACACAGTGTGAATTAAAAAGATCAGCAAGCTAGTTTGCTTACCTTCTCATAAAGCTGGTTGTTATTCATAAACGCAATTGACAGTTGATGCAATGTTGATAGTGTTCCATGTAGAATGACAGGATCCCCAGAGGCTAGTCGTGGTTTCTAAGATAGACTAAGCTTCATATCTACTAAGAATTGATACTTACCAGCTCTTCGACTACCCTATCAAGCAAATATGGATGGTTTTTGCACACACGACCCAAAAACTGTGAGGCTAGTTTCCTCACGTCAAAGTCCCAGTGTGTGATAACACTCTTTACGACGAATGGTATAATGCTATTACGATAAAATTCGTACCTTGCATCCGTTTAGTCTATATCGTAATTGAAGCAGGTAACTCACTCGCATACATCAACAGCGGCGTCGAGGAAAGCCGTTCTACGGACACCTACAACAAAGAAATCTACGGCGCGCAAGACGTCAATACCATGTTTAATGAGATTCTTTTAGAAGTTTGAGCTGTTATAATAGGTGAAGCTATAGTTACTCACAGTTCTCCCGACCATCTCTTGATATGCTGCACTAGCAGCTCTGCGAATGTGCACTTCCCTGTCGAATAATGCCTTCTGAATGAGATGGATGCTGATCTTATCGATGAAATCTTCCATGATAGCTGGTGAAACACTCCGTGACATCGCCCAGAACAGATAAGCAGCCGCATCGCGTGTATTGCTTCCAACAGAGGCTGTACCTTTCTTCAAATCAAAATGAATACTCTAAAGGGTGGTCAATTGCGCGTCTTAATGAATAGTGCCTGACACGAACAGCTATAGCAGCAGGTACGAGTTTGCTAACATAATCAGAGGGAACTACTCCATTGCGGAAAGCTTCAGCAAGCGAGAGGGTAGCTCCATGCCATGCTGATTCCGAAACATACGAATAGTCACAATTCGCAAATTCGTTGGAAGAGGCATCGTCGACGTTAGTGTTTTCGGCATAAATTGACAAAACGGCGTCTAGAATTTCAGTTCTATGCTCATCACCAAGTTTTGCGGCTATCCGTGAAAGATGCTTGGCAGCTGACCATCTAACTATGGTATCCTAGCAATTGTTAATATATTTATCAACGTGCAGAGAGAGAGAGAGAGGGTCTTACGGTATCACTCAAGTACTCTAACAGATAACCTATCGTCTCTTCCACTTTGTCTATATCGTCGCTCAACTTGTACGCCAACCTTGCAGTCAGTTTTACACAATACTTGCGTAATAAAGGATTATTCAAACTTATATCGGCTGAATGAGCTAAAGAATGTTCAATTGGACCTTGTAATTCTGCAACTGTTGCTCCCTGACTGACTTTCAGGACTTCAGAGAAGAATTGAAGAACAGAAGGAGCCTTAGTGATAAATTAGATTGACTAAGACATATCATACGTTACCCACAATGAATGCATTTTCTTTGGCTGTCTCCAATTGTGCTAAACACCATTGAACGAAGCCAATGAGGCGTGATTTCATATCCTGTCTGTTTTGACATCAGATTTGTTTGAATTACAACTCTGATGCTCACCTCATAAATGATCTGCTAAGAACCAAGACAGCTGCCTCGCGTTCTTTTCCAGGATGATGGAAATAAGCTGTACATATATTTTGCAACTGCGTGGCTATGTCTTGATTTGGAAACAGCTTGCTCAAATCGAAGGGTATCTTAATAGCAATCGAGAGCCATAATAGAAGAATGTATCTATATTCCCAAGCGACGCCCTCTGTGAATGAACGTGAAGCATCAAGGACTAATATCAAGTCGGGTATTGAATGTGGGAAGAATCTCGTGATGATTTTATGACCTCTAGTTTTAGAGAAGGTGTATATCAACTTTGAAAGCGTGTTTCTCGTGCTAAGTTGCTCATTCCTAGAGATAGATGTTGATAACGCGCTGATAACGGGAGATAACATCTGATCTAAGTAAGGATCTAAAAGATAACTCTGTTCTTGGTATATTTCCAACTAAAAAGTGTTATGTTATCTCCAATAAAAGAGATGAACGACCTACAACCAAACCAATCTGATATACGGCAGAATCTTTAGTTCGTGTGTCTGTTATACCCTTATCTAATACTATATCTAAATATTTACTATACTCCTGTAAATGGTTGAACGTAGACAGCAATTCATCCTCCTCCATTGGTGCACTTGGATGTTAGAGAGATACTTCCAACTGAGGAATAGATAATAAAATGATTCCTACGATTGATCTATCTATAAATAACCAATCAGAGGCTATCAAAGCTGCAGAAGGCTTGTCGACCTATGGGGCTGTCTTCATTAGAGTACCGTCAGCCAGCAACTTGGATGGCTTTACAGATATGATGGAGGACTATTTCAATCAGCCTGTCGACGAATTAAAGCAAGATGAGAGACCAGAACATAGCTACCAAGTTGGCTGTACAGTCGGTATAGAGAAAGCTAAATGCTTTTCAGTGAGTTCTCTAGAAACAATAATTCATGAAATTCTAATATAACCAAGACACGCGACGCATATTGTTTGTCTGTCATAGACACTCTCGAGGAGAGCGAGAGGCCGACAAGAGTAGAGGAAAGTGGCGATGGCAGCGATCTTAAATGTCGTTTCTTTCATAGAATGTCCACAAAGGATCCTAATATCCAATATGCCAGCGATTCACTCGAGAACATAACACCAGCCGCTTTCAAAGACAGAAATTGGGAAAAGGTCATGAATGACACTGGTAATATCTTCTTAGAAACAATCGAAAAGCTCTCTATTCTTGTCGCTCAAGGGCTGGGATTGCCAGATGATACATTTGTCGATGCTGCTAAATATGGCAACCATTTACTCGCACCTACAGGCTCAGATCTAGGAAAATACGGCTACCTCAATTCCGTCTTAGCTGGTTTTCACGTGAGTGAAGAATATCTGTTTTGCTTTGACTCACTGAAAATTAAAGACTGACTTGAACTTCCTCACTATCCACGGTAAATCTAGATATTCTGGTCTTAATATCTGGGCGCGCAATACTGGTAAGAAGATCCCAGTTGCAATTCCGGAAGGCTGCTATCTCGTACAAGCTGGTAAGCAACTAGAACACTACACCGGCGGAAACATTTTAGCAGGATTCCATGAGGTAGGAGTAGAATGACTTTCCGGATCAACTAATAAAATTCAGGTAGTCGTAAATGAGAAAACACTCTCACAAATCGAGAAACAGAAAAAAGAGCATCCAGAACGTCCATTGATACGAGTATCAAGTACATTCTTCTACCATTTATCATCTTCATTCGCATTGCCAGAACATTTACCAAAGTACCCTGCTATGAATGTAGGTGATTTGGTCATGAACGAACTTAAATCAATCGGTTTGAGCGAGGATGCCATGTAAATTCACAATTGCATTATTGAATAACATACGATGGAAGTAGAGTGATATATGTGCTATATAAGCTAAACTAAGAGCAATCTGGAGAAGTACTTCACGTCGTAGCTTCGTCATTGATCGATCATTAGTTTTCCATATATGAGCGATTCTAATTCTTAACATTTCTGAAGATACTAAATCATGGGTTTGAAACTTATTAGAGATTTCAAGAGAAACTCTGTATATTTTCCAGCGAAGCTCAGGCAGAATCTGTTAAAAACGCAAACCATTCTGAAATCATCGATGTTGTTATTGTATAACAACTAGAGGCTTCTTTAAGTTCTATGAAATAAGTCGTTGGCACATTTCTTTCACTCATGAGTCTTGATATAGTCCAGATAATGTAGAACTTAGAAGACTAACCACCAGCTGAGGCATAATAGTAATGAGGAAATGCATAATTTTTGGTTTATACTTATGGTGCCAATCTCTTTGGGTCTCTTGGGAAGAGTGAGGCACGTCTGATGTTGTTGAGCTTTAAGAACAACATCAATACTCTCTCTAATCCGATACCACCACCTGCATGTGGTGGTGCACCAACGTTGAAAGCATCCAGGTATCCTGTAGTAGTGAGAATAAATTCATCAAGTCCATTTGTTACCCACCTTGCATATCTGCTGGGTTGATGCCGTGCTCCTTCATTCTAGTAATGAGGAACTCAGGGTCGTGGATACGTTGAGCACCTGAGAGAATCTCCTCACCTCTCATGAAGAAATCGTAAGAGTTTGAGTAACGGTTGTCAGCAGGGTCCGGCATGGACTTGAGAATTTCAAGTTAGTGAAGTAAATGAACAGCCGTAGCACTCACGTAGAAAGGACGACAATTTAATGGGAACTTGTCAAGAATGTAGTAATCAGTGTTGTACTTCTCCTTGACCAAACCACCGAGGAACTTCTCCGTCTCGGTGTTGAAGTCTTCAAAGTCATCAACTTCTCTACCAGCTTCTCTGAGTAATGCTATAGCCTCCTTATAGTGCAACTTGACAGTCTCCTCAGGGAAGACGAACTCATCGTGTGGGAATTGAGCCTTGATAATTTCAATCTCCTTTGCGTATTGTTGCTTAAGACCTCTGAAGATGTTCTTGAACATTTCATCCATAACTTCGACAACCTCATGGTAGTGCTCCTCGAAAGCCATTTCGAGATCAAGACCGGTGAATTCAGTCATGTGTCTATGAGTGTTTGAGTTTTCAGCTCTAAATACTGGACCAATTTCATAAACCTTTTCGAAATCAGCAGCGATACACATTTGCTTTGGAAGTTGTGGGGATTGAGCTAAGAAAGCTTGTGATTTGAAGTATGATACACTGAAAACAGAAGAACCAGATTCTGAAGCGGCACCCATGAGTTTTGGTGAGTGAATTTCAATGAAACCTCTGTTATCAAGTGATTGTCTGAACAATTTACAGATAGCTGATTGTATCTTGAAGATTGCTTGGTTGGTTTGGGTACGTAAGTCAACGACTCTGTTGTCTAATCTGGTTTCCAAGTGAACCTTGTTGAATTGAGCATCTTCCTTCTCATATTCAGCTTCTGGACGTGAGGCATCCTCAATTGTGAATGGAAGTTTACCACCTGGGACATCGGCGATAGTGTAGATTTTTTGGATGCTAATTTCAGCGTCTTGTTGAGTAGCTGAGTGTACAGGCTCTTTTGGAAGCTGTACAATACCATCGATGAGGACGATTGACTCATCACCTAATGATCCTGCCCATTTGACCATTTGTTTAGAAACTGCAGGTTCCTTAACGACCAAAACACCTTGGATTGTAGAGTCTTGTTGTCTGAATCCAAAGAAAACCATTTTTGCACCTTGAGCTCTTGAAGTTTGCACTCTCGCTCTAATAACAACATGCTTATCTTTGTATGAAGCGTCGATGTCCTTAATTTGAGTGCGCTCAATGTTGGTGCGCTCTTGTGAGTGTACCTTAATAGGGCCGTAGTTTTGAGCTGCAGTGTCCTCACCGCCTGCAGCTTGTCTGTCTGTTTGTTCCTTCGCCAGACGCTCCTGTGTGGCCTTCTTCTTTGCTTCCTTCTCTTGTTGTTGCTTGAGCTTTTTTATGGCTGACTTTGTCATTGGTTGTCCATTTTCATCTAAATATTGCTGTTCTTCTGCCATATTGCTGATCGTAGTATAAGAAGAAGAATCTGAGTCAGGTTTATGTGAGACGTTGTTGATAAAAATATTCTAATAAAGAAATTAAACTTTTAAATACATCTTTATGGACTACAATCAAGTGAAAGATCAATTTATGAGTGACAATGCGGGTGAAGCCGTTAAGACAATAAACAATCTATCGTTTATAGCTATAAACAGTTTCATTCTCTATTCAATTCTAATTAAACGCTTTAAACTGCCTATTATTACGTCTTCACTCGTACTCTTCACCGGAATATTCCTAGCAACAACTTTACTAAATAACTGGATTACGACTTTGAACGTTATACTATTAGCAACAACTTCTATTATTACACTCATCTTTCCAGTAAAATTGCCTCAGAAGTCTTCAAAGTCAAGCTCACATAGACACACAAACTCAGTAACAACTGGTGACTTCGACAATGGCACATCTTGGAAATCTCAACCTCCATCACCACTACCACAACACTCGCAAGACAATATACAACTGTCGTTGAAGTCATACATAACCAACTACAGAAGTTACTTGTTATACCTCACTTTATTGTCTATACTCGCCGTAGACTTCCCAATATTCCCTAGAAAGCTAGCCAAAACAGAATCATTCGGTACTAGTTTCATGGATTTAGGCGTTGGCTCATTTACCTTCGCTTTGGGTGTCGTTGATGCAAAATACCACATCTTGAAATCATATAACATGCGCAAAGTATTACCATTGATTGCTTTGGCTATTATAAGACTCATTGCTGTCAGTCTGAGCGACTATCCACAACACTCCAGCGAATACGGCACCCACTGGAACTTTTTCTGCACGTTGGCCATGTTACCATTACTCACGAAGCCTCTAACAATAATTAATCAACATACTGACATTCAATTCTCGTGGATGGCTGTCCTAATTGGAGGTTCGTTTCAGGTCTTGCTTTCTTGTACTTCATTGCAAGAGTGGACACTACACGCACCTAGGGATGACGTATTGTCACATAACAAGGAAGGTATCGTCAGTATGATTGGATACCTTTGCATATACCTCTTTGGATTAGACATCGGATTATATTCACTACCACAGGATCCTTACGCGTACTTCCGTAAGCGTTTGACGAAGAAGGTTGCCAAAGATAAGCGTGATAAGCTGCTAATTATCTTGGCATCATTCTCTATACTTTATTGGTCATTATATGGAGGTGCGAGATTCTTCAATATGGAAGTTTCCCGTCGGATGGTAAGTAAATATCTCCATATATGATATCATCTAAGATTAGATAGGCTAATTTACCATACATACTCTGGACTGTCGCTTTCAATACATCCTTCTTGACGTTATTCTTATTGATCGATCTCGTCAATTTCAAGACACCATCCAGACAAGCGGTAGCCGTCCCAGGAATCCTCCAAGCGATTAACAATAATGGATTAGCGTTATTTTTAATAGTGAGTAGTTTGTGAACGTGTTATCTCCATCTGACATGAGAATACTAGGCTAATGTCTTTACTGGAATAATAAACCTATCAATAGAAACGATCTATAGTAGCACTATTACTTCAACAATGATACTCGCAGTCTACCTGTCAACATTGCTCTACGTGGCTTGGGTAAGTCGCTCTAGTAGATTACTTAGACTGTAAATTTATACCAATGTAAACTAAATTTAATCGCTTTTTTGCATTTTCGTATAAAATATCTAATAAACCCTTCACATTCTTTCATTCTTGACCATGTTTAGTTACTTTTTAAGCAACAACAACAACACAAAGCAGGAGGAGGAGAAACCACTAAAGACATTACTCGATAACCCACCAGCTGCAGCTAAGAAGCAAATTCTTCCATTCAGATTACCTAGTCTTGATAAATTGAAAGATAAGCATGTCATACTAGCTAGTGCATCACCCAGACGCTTGGATATACTAGCACAAGTTGGTATACACCCACGAGTTATACCTTCAACATTTGAAGAAACTCTCAGTAAAGATGACTACCTTCACAATCCACACGCATATCCAATAAATACCGCGACTGAGAAGGGTAAAGAAGTCTACGAGAGATTAGTTGTATGTACATTATTGTAGTAATGATCTCTCTAACATTTCCAACAGTTAGAAGATGATAAGAACTCACCAGATCTCGTCATTTCAGGTGCGTCTAGACCATTTTGAAGTTATTTCATTAACACATATACACAGCTGACACTGTAGTACTCGTACCAGATGACGCACCATCTCTCTCAAAAGGACAGAGCTATGATGAGGTAATCAACCAACCATTAACCTACTCCATCTGCGAGAAACCTAAAGATGCCGACGATCAATACAGAATGCTTGCAGATGCGAGTGGAAGAGAATTACAAGTTGTTACAGGTGTCTGTATAAGTGAGTGTCTTTTTTTGTCCCCTCGATCATCAAGCTAACAAGAACAACCCAAGCATATCCAATTTTACAATCACCAGGATACGCACAAAAGACATTCGCTAATATGACAAAAGTACACTTCTTTGATAATGACCACGACGTGATTGAGAAGTACATTGAAACTGGTGAAGGCATCGACAGGGCAGGCGGTTTCGCTTTGCAAGGTTTAGGAAGCTTACTCATACAAGGTATTGAGGGTGACTACAACAATGTCGTTGGTTTCCCTCTCTCTGAGTTTATCAGATTCTTAGACACACTCATTGAAAACGATGATGGTGTTCTAGACTTATAAATAAGCAGAAACTTATATAATGCATCAATTAACTAAAAAACCATAAAGAGAAAAAAATTGTACTTGTAATTGATTGAATGTAACTAAATTATGCACTTTTTATATAAAAGAAAAACTGTCTCGTTGTTGTTGTATTGCTGAAACAATTGCTGGCCTATTGTTGACTAATTCCGTTATTGCTATTATTGGAATTTGTAGAGCTATTGAGGAATTCTTTAACTTTATTATACCACTTAACTGAAATATTTGGCTCGTTACCCTCATCGAAGCTAAATTCAACGTCTTTACCACCAGCACTGACTATAACTTTATTTTTCTCTTCCAATCTAACTCTAGCTCTTTCATCGCTATCACCAATCCCGAGATCTACTTCAAATTTGACCTTCAAAGTTTCTTCTTTGACACATAATAGTCTAGGTAAATCTGTCAAGAGTATCCACCGCCTCTTTGTCCTCCCTAGAAATTTCCTTTGAGTTCTAACGAGTACAGGTGAAGCTAAGTGTAATTTCTCCGATGGTAAAAGGATAGTAGATCTGGGTAGGTATGTAAGAAAACATCGAACTTCGTTATCAAGCATACTCACAATTGCGATTTCATATCCTCGGACATTTCCTTTCCACTGCCATTGGCACTTATTGATGATAATGTAAGCGGTGCGAGGTAATCGCTATCACTACTGAAACCAGGACTAGAAGTAACCCTATCATTATCGCCATTTTGCTCAACTTTGAGCGTATCATCTTGATTTCTATTTGGTATTTCACTATTGCTATTGCTGTCGCTATCATTATCATCATTATCAACTTTAACTTGTTCAAATTCATCCTCCTCATCACTATCCCATTTGAGTTCAAAGTAGGCATCTGAAGGTATATTAGACTGTGGTTTAGGTTCAGTCATACCAGTAAGGATTATTGGTGGATTCATATTCCAAATTTGTTGAAAATCGACATCATTAAACCATTCATGATTTCTGATATTTTCGATACCGTCTTCACCACTACCTAATCTCTCATTTGGATCTAAAACCAACAATTTCTGTACTAAATCTTTAGCAACTGGTGGGAAATTTTCTGGAAACGAGTAATCCAAATTAATGATTAATTGGAATGTTAAATACTCATTCGTTGCTTTGAAGGGTGGCTTTCCAGTAATCATTTGATAGATTATACAACCTAATGCCCAAAAATCACACTCCTTTCCTACACTTCGATCGCGTAATAACTCAGGTGATACGTATTCTGCAGTACCAACGAATGATTTACTTCTTTCCTCATCAATATTGTTATCATTGTAGTTAGACTGATCTAATATCTTTGCACTACCGAAATCGGTGACCTTTATAATCATATCGGAATTTAAAAGGATGCTAAGTTTAAATTAATTGATACCGAAAAACTCCGTTTAAAGTTATGCTCACTTTTCAGGTTTAATATCTCTATGTATGATACCTCTAGCATGCATGAATCCTATAGCTGATAGCGTTTGAGCAGCATAGAACTTAGCGCTAGGTTCATCGAATGATCCCATCTAAACATATAATTAATCATGATTCTAAATACTATTATAAACCTATACCTTCTTTATCCAGGATAGAAGTTCACCATTTGGTGCATATTCCAATGCAAAGAAGAGTGAATCACCTGCCATATATTGTAAATTATCACTACCTGGGAAGGCGGACGGACCCTCTCTGAACGTCATCCACAATCTAATGATTCCCAAGCTACCCTCATTCTTTTGACGCCTTGGTTTACGTTTACCTTTGGTATTATCGTCTTCTTCGGAGTTTTCGCGTAATTGTGACAGCCCATTTTGATTATCAGTGTTAAGAATTTGCAAAGCATGTTTCTCTATAGTAACATATTTAATCTTGTTCTCTTTGACGATATGGGCCTGTGACAATTCCTTCATGGCGTACAACCTGGCTTGTTTGGGAACAGAAAGAGACTGTGAGGACATTGAACTTGAAGAACTAGTTGAAGAAGGTATAGAAGTGTTCATTCTCGCTGGAGAACTCGAGTGGTTTGATTGTTGATTAAGTGATTGAGGTGGGGGCAACTGTGTTGGTAACTTATCCCATGCTAAGGTAACAGTAGAAAAGCTACCTTCACCTATGATATCACCCCAAATGAAATCGTCTTTTGACTTGCCGGATTTGCTAGATTTAGCAGATTGATTACCCGAACTCTGAGATCTAACGCCAGCGCCTAACATTGGGCGTGTAGTTGGTCCATTCATAGCTTTTTGCCTAGTTGGCGAGCCTGGAGGTGTGACACCAAAATTGCCATTAGATCCACCGTTTGGTAGCAAATGATTTGCTACGACGGTAGCGGAGGAGCTGACAGACGGGTCCCTCGACCTACTCTTTATGGGTATTGGAATAGGAGAGCTGTCCCTCTTATCTTGTTGTAACTGCGAAAGCTGTACTTCTTCAGCTTGCCTCACATTTGGCGTAGATCCCCAAGGAACTGCTTTTATTGGTGCAGCTGGAATGGAAGCTGTAGATGAAATGCTAGAGGACATCGTTGAACTACCGGATTCGTCTACTTGCTCAATATCATCTTCCATGTCGTCGTTGAAAAGAAAGGAAAGAACGAGATAATTGTTTATTCATAAACTAAATACATAAATCATAAATTTATTATCATCATTAATATCTATAGCCGCCGCCCATCATTCCGGGTCCTCCCATTCCCATAGGGTAGCCTTGTTGGTATCCTCCTTGATATCCTCCGTTATACATCCCGCCATATTGAGGATAAGAGTATTGGTCCATTGGTACTGTGTAGACTTGAGGTACAAATATTATTTCTCTTGTGTTGGGTTGATCATAGTAACCTTAATCTAATTAGATCCGATATAGACAAAGAAAGGAGAAATTAACTCACTATTTCCACGATAACCACCGGCAGCACCTCCCATCATTCCATTCATTCCGCCGTTCATCATTGAGTTCATACCCATGCCCATTTGATTTGGCATCATCCCGCCATTCATGGAACTCATACCTCCCATACCTCCCATACCTCCCATGCCACCCATGCCGCCCATAGCACCCATTCCAGACATACCAGGTCCTCCATAGTTGCTACTAAGACCACCGGGCATATATGGCATCCCCATACCTCTATTCAAGCCCATACCGCCCATACCTCCAATGCCACCCATTAAACCGTACATTTCAGCTTCTTCGTACATTCTCCAGGCGGTAGCAGAGGCAACTTCACAGGCGTATTCCATCCGGGGGTCTATCATTGGGCCATAAACTTCATGCCAGAATCTATGACAGAAGTGTCAGTTAATCGTATCTAAGAGCGTATTGAGGGTTTTAAGTAGTAAATTGAGGGTATTTAGACACTCTCAAATACTCTCAAATACCTCAAAACGTATTTTTTAAATATACTCACTGTCTTGCATATGCTATAGCCAAAGCGGCACAATTCTCTCTTGCTATATGCTTCTCCATGAACGTCTGTTGATGTAATTTTGAGGAATGATGAGCTATAGTAAGGACTGCATGACTTGCAGCAGCTGCACCGATCTGCATCGGTGACATAGTTTGTCTATCAATGCCCTGTAACCATTGTTGATGCATACCATAAGCATCTTGAAAACCTAAACCACCATTAAACTGTCTAGATCTCATTCTATCAAAAATATTGTTAAAAAAACCAGTTTCATTCGGTCCATGGAGAACGTTGAAGAAATCTTGAGGTTGTCTAAGATCACCCATATTACTCCAAGTAGGAGTTTGAGGTCTAAACCATCCACCTGCTGGCATACCATATCCTGGTGTATTCATTCTCTGATTATGACTACTTAATGGTGTATTTATATTATTGTGATTATGATGATGTCCAAATAGATAACGAACGCCAGCACCTATCCTTTCAAATAAACCAGGCTTAAATTGACTTGGATAGTCACTAATTTTGTACTATGAGGTAGTGGTTAGAAAGTCATTCAACTTTATGAAAACGCAAGACAAGTTTAAATTTTATAAAATATACAGTATAACATTTAAATTTAAATACAATTTCTAAACAAAGTAATATAAATGATTTTGCTTATCGCCTCTATTCTTCCTCATTCTTTATCGACGTTTGGAAAGATGGAAGTGAACCGTGCAAACTGTCAAAAGTGGCTAAAGACATATCAAAGAAATCTGCATAAGGCGTTCCTGGGAATAAGTTATTCAACGGTTGTTGGTGTTGTTGCTGTTGCTGTTGTTGTTGTTGTTGTTGTTGTTGCTCTTGCTGTGTATTTGGTGTAAAGAAATTCTGCAAACCCAATTCTGTACCATCAAAGTACAAATCATTGAAATTTGTATTTGTCATTGCACTAAACCATCCATCAAGGTCGAGTTCACCATCTTCTGCTGCAGGTGTAGGAAGACTAGTAGGTTGTTGCATCATAGATGCAGATGTAGACGTAGTTGTTGAATTTGACTGTATCATTGGTTCATCTTTAACAGGAAGACTAGTATGCGGTGTTGGTGGTGTATGATGTATGCCTGTATCAGTAGCGCGTGGTCTTCTCGCCTGCGGAGCCTGCGCTGACATGGAAGCTTCTTGAGCTTCAGCTTGTTGTTGAGTCTTTTGAAGGTACCGCTGCCTGAGTAGTGCTATTGATCTTTGCAAACCTGGTGTGTATTCGGCACCTTTGGCCAAAACTCTAAACGTCAACACGAGTCTTTCCCTTGCGTCGTGACTACGGCTAGGATCATTGGAGAGTAACTCTGCAAGGTCGATTGTGGCACTAACGTAGGCGCAATACGTCATAAGGTATGTCATATTACAGAGACTATTAAGTAATTAGTGAAATGAAAACAGTGAAAGATCTCCACCTACTCAAAAGATTTCTCATGGAGACCGAAAAGAGCATTGATCTCAGCAGCATTGCGTCTACAGATATCGATAGAATCAGGAAAGGGTGTGTTTGAAAATGGGGGTGTTGGTGAGGCAAGGGTGTATGGTCTATAGAGTAGAATCCAGGTTGTACGAGTGAGGAGACTAGATGCACGTCAATAACCATGTTAGCAAAAGGATTAGACACCCACTTTAATGTTAATATGTGCACAGGTGGACATATAGAAGGAAGTGCCCGAACATCAAGGGATATACTACCAGGGAGGGTCCACATATAAGTCTGTAACTGTTTGTGCGTATTACTAACAAACTGATTACATTCTTCAAAAGGTGCTCTCGTAACGTAGACCGTTGTCAAGATATCTTCAATGATCATCCACAATTTGCAAGAATTCTCAAATGTCAAACTTTCGTGAGCAAGTGCCTGCGGATAATTTGCTGCCTGTGGTGGACCATCATCTTCCAAAAAAACGGGTGCCCAATATTCGCCATTATCACTATCATCGTGGAACTGCGGTAAGGGACAATGGGGTTTCGGGAAAGTGGGTGCTCTACCCAAAACTAAGCTTATTAATTTATCCCAAGTATACGCACTCCAAACTACCCGCCTGTGTACGGTACGCTCTTCATGGCTTATACTAGACAGAGCTGTTTCATCTTCCTTGTCAATCCCTAGATCTGATATCATTCTGAATGCGATACCCGCGAGAATGAAACCCTGAGAAATTCTGCCAAGAGCGCAGTCTCTACCGCCGAGAATGAGCAAGCCTTGTATAGTTGGTATAGAGGATGGTTTGTCGAGCTCTCCGGCTAAGTAAACTCTAGCTTTAAATGCAAAGTCACCGCCTGCTTCTATAGTTGTCAAGTGTCTGGAGGCGTGTGCATAGAGTGCATTGAGAAGAAAAGGGGAGTACCAAGTGCCCCCTCCTTGTTTCATATCCCTCAGGAAAAGTGATTTCGTGATTGTGAGATGTTGTGGGCACTGCCAGCTGTACTTTCTTAGCTGATGTCGTCATAAAGAAATGAGCTTACCAGAAATAAGTGGTCAATAAGAGATCAGATTGTCGCTGGCTCGGTGTGTACTGTTCGTGCACGATATTCTGAGACGTTGGTGAAAGTGCTTGATTCCCTAGGACGCTGGAAACTAGAATTTCAGTTCTATCAGGTGGCACGTTCGATAATGGAATGCCTTCTACCGATGTCCTTTGAGGATCTTCGAGGTAGTGTAAATGAGAAGCCGCGTTGTACTAACAGATCGGTGAGAAGATGTCCGCTATGTGATAAAGACGCACCTTAAACTTCTTGGGAGAAGTTGGCTCTTCTCGAATGTTATCGCCGCTATTCGTTCGTCTTTTGCGCCTATCAATGGTACTTGTGGAAGTAGAAGGTGTAGCTGAAGTACTGTGCTTTCTAGACCAATCGCCGAGCATTTCGGCTCTCGATTCGTCAGTTGCTGCTAATAACTTTCCTATGAAGTCCTTGTGGTAGTCTAACTCGTTCATTGTGCGTGCTAATCTTGCAGGAGCCGCGCTGGCGGGAAAGACACATTCTGTACCACTCTTTAAACATTGAGCACAGGGCGCTTCGTGCGCGTCGCACTTCCTCTTCCTTCTCCTACAAGCCTCGCAACTATCGCCATATCTACGCTTCTGTGGTGGCTGAGCCTGACTATTTTCCGCTAGCATATTCAACTAGTGAGCTCGTTGTGAATTACGAGATATTTTTACTGATGATGACTGTATTTGTAGAAACGATCTGTGTACCTCACGACTTCTTTTGTCTGCCAAGGTATAAATTCCTAATAAGAAATTAAGAAATGCGTATCTAAAAATACAAATAAAGAATATATGATTGGCTTTCTAGTTCGGCCGACGTGCTGAAAATCATCAAATGATATGCATTAACAAGTTTTTAGAGTGTTTTGCGTAGAACATATGCGTCTCTAGATCCATCACCAGTGAGCCTCTTATAATAATCCTTCACTTCCTCTTCTTGCGTAAATCCCTCCTTTTTGTAGAACTCAAGTGCGTCTTAAGCAAATCAGCAGGCGTCTAGATGTTGAATAGGGGATACTAACCGTTATTCTCCTTTTGTACGTGTAGATAGACGCTTCCTAATTTCTTCCTAGGTTGTACTTTATCTCCTGGGATGATTGGCTCTGGATCTGAGACTGCTGCTTTCAGGATGTGCTGCAACATGTGTCTACCAAGTCCCTGTCTTCTGTACGGTGCGAGAACAGCCTAGTTCATTTAGATAGTGCTATCTACCACCTATCAGACTCACCAATATCATTATATAGAGCTTCCCACCCTCAATGCGACAACAGACGCTTCCAACGGGTATATCATTGTAGTAGACTGCTTCATTAACTTTATACGTTTATATAGGCCTTTACTCACTCAATTTACAGAAATCCTCCAGCTCTGGTGACTGTACTTCCTCGTATACACGATCTGAGTATGGCACTATCACTTTTTAGCCTTACATATAACGAAATATCTTCACAAACCAGGTAAAATTACACCGTTTAACCGTCTGAGTGTACCTATGTTCTGTCTGGTAACGCTGGCCAAATCTATCCTTGCTGACATTGTGATAGTTAGGAAGTGAGTGTTATGATAGTCTATTGTGTCCTTATAGCATCTACAATGAAAAACATCATATAGTTTTCTATATATTCTCCTACAACTGTAGATAAATTCTATCGCACTACTATGTTAGATTTACTATGAGAAGACACTAAAGAGGGAGAAAAAGGATAAATAAGGTCAAATGAACGTTATATACAAAAGGGCACGTTAAAAGTTGACTATCCCAAAATATGAGACGCGTTTTGTCTTTAAAACCAGTACCACCATGTCTCTCCGTGAGTTGTAGAAAAGCAATAAGGATTACAACCTAACAATAAACAGTAAAGAACAGACCGTTAGACATTTTCTATGCGTTATATCTCATAGTGCACCTCCCTGCTACACTATTTATAGATATGCAATCTTTGTATCCGGAATGGCTCATACCAGATGCATTGAAAAACGTCTTACATTTCTGGATATCACTCACAAATGATCCGATATTGCAAGGTGGTAGTACTGACAGTCCATTGTGGGCCTGGATACGTTCGTTCATCGCACTCGAAGCAGTCGGTCAAGTACCAGTTTTTATCCTTTGTTCTTACGGTTTATACAAAGGTAAGTTTTTTTCTTTCACGTCCGCATCCTGTCTCACATTGTTTAGGATCAAAGAGTGTCGAGATTCCACTTCTAGTTTACGGCGTTTCAGCAGCTACTACAACATTCGCTTGCTTGGCTACAGTCTTGGCTTTACCGGTACATGCACCACCACTTCCACCACCACTGATCGGTTCACTCGCTCTCACACCAGAACAGCGCACAATCCTGCTCGCTGTGTACACGCCTTACATTATCGTACCAATTTTCATTGCTTGCGATATGGCCGGTAGATTATCACAAAGAGGTAATATGAATACAAAGAAACTCTATTAAATTATCTAGATTATAAGAAAGTTATCAATTAATTGCATTTTATATCCTTGGGAAGTTATTTTGGAAGTCTGTTTATGCTAAAAACCAAGTTGCAGTACCAGCAACGAGTGCTGTACCGTAAGCAGACATTGCTTTCTTTGATGTGAACTGAAGAAGCCATGGTTTGGAAACATTCTCATAAACAAAGTCACTATCCTTTGGTATCAAAGTACTCCACCAATAATGAGTGTGCGAGCGCGGATACAGCGCAGTATTCTTGCCTGTGTTGTTATCCAGGTAAAAGGAACCAACATTTTCTGTCTCCCAGATCATCCTAAATGGATCATAAGAAAGTATTATTCGAGTGTCGTTATACTCACTCCTGATGCTTCTCTCTAATCCACTCTTGATACTTTCTCTCCGCTTCTTTGGTGACATGGACAGTACCCTTCTTGGCGTAAACAATAGGCTTTATTACGCGTATAATGAAGTTCGCTGTACATTCTGATGTGAAAATAACCGAGTTGTGTCCTGATGCACAGTTTGGACTTGCAGTACCCAATAAGAAGAAGTTAGGCAAAGGTGCGACCGCTGCACCAAGGTAAGCACCCGTTCCAACGTTGGCAAAGTGCTGACGGAGGTTTAATCCGTTGTTATTGAAGTTCTCTAAGAACTTGTTGGTTGTGGTATCAAATCCGATGGCTAGTTTTGTTAACAGTACGTTTCACTATGTAACCACACTAACCATAAATGATAACATCCGCTGGTACTTCAGTACCATCTTGTCTAACGACGCTGTTTTCAGTAATTCTTGCCGGTCTTTCGGCAATCAAATCGACGTGGTCATAATTGAGCGATTTGAGGTAGTCCTCGTCAAAGATTCTTCTCTTGGCGCCAATTTGGAAATCTGGTATGAGAGCATCGTGATACTTAGCAGGGGCAAGATTCTTAACACTGGATGCACTTTATTAATAAATATAAGTGAGACAAAGAGACACTCACTGGCGTTTTGAGGTTTCCATACGCTTTTTGCGAGTAGCTTCACCATTCTTAACATACATAGCTGTGATGTTTGTTAAGAATTAGCTTCATTTCATGCTAAAAAAACCGACCTTTCATGAAATAGTCAACCACACCAAATACCAAACCTCTAAGCGCGGTGTGCAAACCTGGAATGTACTTCAACATCCATCTGACAACAGGATGCCCGAGGTGAACCACAGGTTTTGGCAAAAACCATTGTTTGCCTCTTGCGAACTGAGTGAGAGTTTTAACTTTTGGTGCGATTTCACTGGAATTTGAATGAAAAAAGACTCTAGAATGGATTGCACTACTTACCCTATGATTTGGGTTGCAGTGCATGCATTTCCGATGACAACAACGTTCTTGCCCTGCTCTTGTTAGACACGTTCAAGGATAAGGATAAAACGTACAGTGAGATCGACAGTCTGGTCATAGCGCTGCGAGCGCAAAATGTCACCCTTGAAAGTCTCAATGCCTGGTGTGTCGATTGGACGTGGTACATCTGGACTAAATCAGTGACTGACGTCACAAGTAGTAACATACTCACCCAATCCACCGTGGGCACTGATGAGGATGTTGCTGGTCCTAGTGAAAATCTCTCCAGTTTCGTTGTTCTTGATAGTAACCACCCAGTATTCCTTCTCTTTGTTCCAATTAGCATTCAACATCGTTCTTTTGACATGAATGTGGTCAGAAAGATTGAAATCCTTCACAACGTCTCTGATATATCCTTCAATACGCGGCTGTGGGGCCCACTGAGAGTTTCCCCAATCTTTCTGTGCAAAAGAGAAACTGTAAACTATGATCGGAATGTCGTTTGCGCAGCCTGGGTAATTCTGAAGGACGAGTGGTGTTAGACTTGTTGAACTGAGGGTATAGAAGCATACAGCTGCTAAAATACAGCTATACACCCGATGTAAACTATAAACTTACGTTTATGTACCAAGTGCCACCAACTTCAGGTTCGCGTTCGCTGGAGACTATTAGATGAGGACTATGCGAATGAAATAACTCACTAAATCTCAAAATCGTCAATTCCGACTGTTGCTTTGAGTTTACATCCCATTGCTACACCGGATACACCAGCGCCGATAATAATACTAGCGGTCTGTTAATATACGATTTAAAAACACATTAGACATACACTGCCTGATCAGCCATCTTGGTAGTTATATTCAAAGGGAATACCGGCAAGTTCGATAGCCGGGCAGACAGACCGAGGAAAGAGACCGAGAAAAGGGGAAAAGAAAAGTTATTCATTTAAGTCCTTTACGTTTAAGAATGTAGTACTAAATATATTAAATGTAGATTAAGGTGAGATAAATGACTGCTCTGTAAACGCAGTACCTTGAACAGTCAACTTGGTTGCTTCCGCTACTCCTTCTGGGAGGTCTAATTGAAGCTCCGCTGGATTCAAATACTGAATACGCGTTAGTTATCATAATATTTGAAGGAAGAAAAAACTCACTTGGTAGATATATGGTTTTGTCTTTGCAAAGACATGTACAGCCTTTCTGACTACGTATGGAATGTGAGCAAGGAAATCAACCTTCTCAACTAAACCTCTATTGACACCCTCTTCTTTCTCGTTCTTGTAGTTGACGAGCATTTCTGCGCGGATTGCCTTGTTGTTTTCAATAGCAGCGCCGCCCCATACGTATCTAACCTCTGATGGTACAATATATGCGGTCTCTTGATCCTTTATAGTGTTGCGGTATTCAGCGGCAGTCAATCCTTGCGGCATTTGTCCAGGGTAGGTCGTTGATCCAGTAACTGAGAGCAACTTGTCACCTGCAACGAGTGCACCAATTGTGACCTTGACACCACCGCCACCTTCTGTTCTAGTAGCCAAACCATAGCCATCTGTTGTCTCAAACTCCATGAGAAGTGAAGAGACACCGCCGTGCTGGTCTGATTGGAAGAGGGCGAAGTTCCAAGAGCGTGCAACGAGCTATGTGATGTTAGAAAGACTTTCTAATAATTTAAATAAACCAACATTAGCTCTCATACCCTGGATAGCGTGTATGAATGCACCGTGACCGACAGCATCTACGAGCTTTCCCTTGATGATGACCTGACCCTCTGTGCGTACTCTAGGCCAGAATCTGTGTACAACATAGCCATCCCTCTTGTTTGATGATTTGTCGTTACCATATGAGGTGTAACCACCTTCAGGACCATCTCCGAGTTTGAAACCGGCGCAACTAGCAGGACGTATAAAGTTAATAATGATTTGTACTTCATTGTCGATCTTTGCGTTTATCCTGTAAGATTCATCGCCATTTGGCAAGCTCTCGTGGAGGATGGTGAATTGGTCAGCCGAGCAGCTGCGACGATCGTATGATTTTCCTGGTACTTTCGCAGGCGTGCTAAAGTTGTTGACACTAATAGATTTCCAGAGCTTATTCGCGGTCGTTGGGTTGTAAAGCATAAAGTTGAACTGGATTTGTGGATACCAAAAGCTACAAAGAGGTGAGGAGATATCTAGAACAAGAGAAATGCTAACCCAACATGTGAGTGTACGACTTGTACACTCAAACACTGACCATCCTCTAAAATGCTGTAAAACGTCTGAGTCTCAGCTACAAAGTTCGAGTTAATAGTCGCCCATTCGGTGTCTTTAGGAGTGAGTGGACCAAAGTACTGGCTGCTTTCAAATTCCTCGGTGACTGGGTGTAGATTCTTTACTTTCTCTGCGCTGCCGAAATTGAACATGATGGCGGTTCACTAGTGAGCGAGATAGAATAGCTGGGATTGTAAAATTAGTGAAAATACTACTACCATCTTATAGAACTTCACAGCAAGTGAATTTCTATTCGACACCCTCTTCTCCACTACACTCATATGCCAATTCCACTCCCGCTGCTACCACTAATAGCAGAGACAATCTACTACTCTAGCAGACCTTCTATTGACTTAGATCCCGTTCCAGAGCCAGGCAGTTGGTCTGAGCAGGACGCCAGACACACCCTTCACGCCTTATCCAGAGTGAACAGAGACTGGCACGACGAGGCTGGGAAGTATTTGTGGCGCAGACTGCACTTTAGATTAGCCGGTGGTTTCCTCTCTGTCGTCGACGTCGTCGCTGGAAAGCAGGACGAACAGGTTAGACAGCAGAGCAACCACTTCAGAAGTTTATCTAAACCCCCAGCGATTGAGCCACTCAGACCAGAAGCTATTCTTCCGGATGGTCCTACTTTGCCACGCAACACTTATCGCACTACTTCACTTAGAATCGCTTCGATTCCAGAGGCAAGCGAGAGTGCTCCAGAGGAGACCCCCAAAGATACCTCGAAGAGCGCGTTCTCTCCGCCATCTTTTAGCAATGATTTCACTACTCCTCTCCAATCCCCTGAATCAAGTTCCCCGCCAGTCAGCTCACCCCTCGCACTCCCATCGATTAGCTCAACCTTCTTCTCTCACCCGATTCCTAATGACGAGACACCTCCTTCTTCACGCAAGCAATCGCCATCCAGAGGCAGAGCCCGGCGGCAATTCCAGGATCCATCAGCCAGGTCATCGCCCTTTAGAGCCCGCAGTATGAGTCCACCGAGAGACCTCAGCGAGATCGTTAACCTTGCTACACAGCTCCAGCGTGAAGAGGTTGAAATCAAGCGCACTAACAGTCCTGAGACACGCGGCAGAAAATTTGACAGAGTTCGTGAGCTTAGCAAGGAAGCAGAACGTTTGAGGAGTGCGAGCCCTATCACTGCCAAACTCGAGGAGTGCCATTATGATGCCATCACAGTCCGTGAGCCAAGTCCAGAGCGTGAACGGTTGGCAGAAATGTAAGTGAAGGTGGGGTATTTAGAAATCATGATTTGACACCTTTCAGGCGCGAACAAAGCCCAGATGGGCAAGAGAATGAGCTGTGGTCTAGCAGTGGTACATGGCTTGATCCATTTTGTCCTGTCACAGCGACGCCTTATCCTGCACGCCATATCAACCACATTTCTTTTACCTCTTTCAGGACGGCAGGTTTAAGAAGATCGATTGCGCAAGGAACAGAAGAGCGCTTCTGCACGCCTGAACGCCTTGAGAGGCTTCTCGATGCTTGTAGGGCTGTCCGCGGATTTGGAGCGAGCGAGTATATGGATTCAGGTGAGTATATTAAGAAGTATTCCAACAATTCCTAACAAATACCCTAGCATTAAGCTTACCAGTTCTCGAATCACTATTGCTTCGCGAGCCACCAGCTCCACAGACTCATAAAACGCGTCTCCGGCGTGCATTCTCCGTTAGAGACCCACCTACTCAACAAGCACATGAAGAGCATGAGGTTCAAAACCGTGCTAAAATCATCCCAGGTAGACCCCTCCATGCTTTGGACCTTAGTGGCTGCGTAAGCCAAATGTTCTTTGACTCACTCGAAGCCTTCGTCAACAAACACCTCTTTGCCAAGCAATCTGACGCGTTTGACGAATTGGACGATCTCCTCCGCTATGATGATGAAGTAAGAGCCCAATCAATGGAGCGCAAAGCGGACACAAGTAGCACCGACAAACCTTCCAACCCTCACACAGGTCGTTTCAGCGCTCTACGCAGACTCAATGTTTCTAATCTTGTCAATGTCTTCTCACCAACTTTGAAAACATTCGTATTGGCATTCCCAACATTAACACATCTCGATTTATCAAATACTCGTGCGACACCTGGTTTAATCTGTGCATTAGCCAGATCACCAACGGTCAGACTAGAATCATTCGCTGCAGCGCGTTGCAAGAAACTTGATGGAGAGAGTCTCGTAAGATTGTTGGTTGAATCACCTGTCACTGAAAATCTTAAAGAGTTGAACTTATATGGTGACAGCGCAGTTCCTTCACCATTCCATGCCGATGAATTGGAAATTCTCCTTAGATGTGCACCTTGCTTCGTTAGTGGTAATATGCGCTATATAGATATTGCTGGTGCACCACTTACAGAAAAAATGTTACAAAATCTCTCGGCTCAACCTCATTTACGTAGTTTAGGATTAGCTAATATACCACGTATTCCACTTAGCGCAGTCGCAGATTTCATAAAAAATAAAGCACCAGGATGTGAAATTGTTGATTTGGCATTATCAACTCCTGAATTGGCAGTCATTCCTGGTGTTTCATCGACAGTTAGATCAGCTGTTTTGACATTCCAAAATAAATTTATTAAAGTTTTAACCAATCCACCATTTAGATTCTCACTCACTTCACCAACACCAGTAGAAGAATCACCACCACCAACTGCAGTCAGAGTTGTTGAACTTGGTAGTGAAATGCTCAATGCATTACAAGGTGGCGCTGGTAATTGGAGAGTTATCAGATCACGTGGTAGAAGAGGTTGGTATGTTGATGTATCCACCAAACCACTTCAAGATGGTTTACTCGCTCGTAACCTTGACAAAGGCGACAAGTGGAGGCAACAAATGGAATATCTCTCACAAGCTAAAGGAAACGTTGCATCGTACATTGGTTGGCACTCAAGAAAGATGGAGGTGAGTTAAGGCACTTTATTAAACATTTACTAACACACACCCCACAGGTACTCTCTGGTCAGGGTATGCTCGGTCGCGAGGATGGTCTTTACGGTGTTTATGCATATTCCACTGGACTCTAATCAATTCCCAGCATTAAAACGCAGTTTTTATTAAGATTTCCAATTGCAACTCTTTTACGCATTTTTCAGTTCGTAATTTTAATACATCATCATAATACAATTATAATGCGAGTTTATTGCAAACATAGTGGTGGTCCATTCATTGTACTGTGAACTGGATGTTGTTGGAAGCGTGCTTAGTCAAGTAATTTGAGATAATTTAAAACCTACGTATGAACAATCGTCCAATGAACCATGTTGTGCCACTGCAACTATGACTGGTTGATGATTTGCAGATGAATTGATACTGCACATGCGATAATCACCTGCTGGCAAGCCTTTAGAAACTTGAGCGGTCAGAACTCCATTCTGTGCTTCCTCATTGAGTCCTTTAAAGAAGCTACACTTTGTGAGTGGAAAAGTAATAAATTCAAACCCACGCGAAGTTTGTTGGATCTAATGGCTGCGTTGTCTCCAGATTTGGAAGCTCCTCAACGACCTATCTGATGAATTGATTAGTCGTTGAGAAAAATATAAACCCACGACGTGACTATGTCCAACGATAATTCCATTATTGTTGGTAGTTTGCTGGATCAAGTTAGCAGCATTACTTATACCAGCAAGACATACTGGTGCAGCAAAGTAGTTTGTGTTTGGGCTGCTACACCGTCAGCAATATTCAAGTGACCAGTCTGATGTACCCACTTGACGAAATTACCTGTGTCGATATTGCGTACTGCCATTTGGATTGTAAAGTCCTGATTGGCAGGCTGGATGTACGGTCAACTGAAAATTTACACTCACAGGCGAACTCACGATTGTATCGCCATTCTTGGGGTTAACGAACTTAGCTGAAGGCATTTTGTTGGTGGGTGCTACAACTCCTATTGGTACTGGATTACATGAGCCGCCCTTTTGAACGTATGAGAGAAGATGAATGTTTGGTAGTCAATGCGTACCCTAACTTGCATGCCGTTTGTGAGCGGTAAATCAGGCTCAGTTAAGCAGAAGTTGATAAAGTTATTGGTCGAAGTGAGTGAAGCGACTTGGCCAGCCTCTGCACCGGCTTGCTGTCCGTCCTGTGCCAGACCCGGCATAACAAGATCGGGGTCGAGTCCTGGTGTATGTGAGGAGTGTTAGAGGGAGCCTGAGAGGCTCACTGAGTGAAGTCTGAGGATCTTCATTGTTGTTGTTGTTTGCATTACCACCAACGCCAGCGCCAGTGTTGTTATTTCCGCCTTGTCTCTGTCTCTTAGTGTCCTTAAACTGACGACGGTGGGCGATACGCTCCTCGCCGTGCTGTATCTCTAGGTTAGCGTCGAGGTTGGGAGATGGTGACAGACATAGCGAGCAGAGATGACCTCAAAGGCGACAGCGGAGAGTACGATGTAGAAAATGAAAGATGCTCGCATTAGTTGCTAACTCTTAGTTATGGCCGTTGCGGGTCAAGAATATGCTGTACATAAAGCGGTTGTAGTATTACATACACGACGGGGGTCGTCAATTTTCACGGAACTTAAAACGTCTAGAAGAGCGATCGAAGGGGTCCATCTTCTTTCGCGTGTTTGATATAAGCGTGCTCTTGAGATCTCCAGGCTTCTTAGTTGCTTTTCGGCGCTGTATCTGCTTGAATGCACTACTCTCGCTGTTGTCACGCTGATCGTCGATAATCTGGAGATCCTCAGGAAGAGCATACCTGTCCTTCAGCTCCAAGTTTGCCCTATTAGAAGCGTGCTCCTGCCGCCGCTCTACGCGATGTTTAGCTCGGAGCTTTTGATTCATCGCGTAGGGATCACTCCAGGTGGCGTCGTTTGCGTCTCCAATTTGTGATAGACGTGGAACCACCTTCTTCTGTGCTTCTACCTGATTTGTGCCCTTCTCCACCGCTGCGAATGGGTCAACTGCCGGTTTCTTATCTGGATCAGTTTCTATCGGGAGTTAGCTAAGGCTGAAAGATGTGAATAATGTACAAACCCATAGTTATAGTCTCTCCCTCCTCTGGCTGCCATTCTGCCTTCTGCTTTGCGCCTTCGCTGACAATGTACCGAGTGTTCTTGGGATCCGTTTGTATCTCGAACCAATGCGAGCAGAGGTGGCATTTACAGCGGAATGCATATATCGGCGTTGAGTAGTAGTTCCCTATTTTCCTCTTTTCTGCGTTGTAGCGTACACCCTGGCCAACATGCTTCTCGCATCCGCCACACCATATATCGAACGGAAGCTCAAAACGTACTATCAGAATGCCCTTGTCTATCTTTCTTGCTCTATCTCCCAATCTGCGCTATCGTGAGGTTTGTTCAATTGTTTCTCCGCCACCTACGCATGCTTCCCATGGTATGCATTTAAACTTAGCGTGAAATGAGTCGTATTCTCTCAATACAGAGTGCACTCACGATGAATGCTTCTGTGGATCGTAATCTGGTGGGTAATACCTATTAAATCCTTGCATATTACTACCTCAATGGGTCAATGCAAGAGGAACAATGACGGCTCCGGCAAACGTTACAGACTACAATAATAAATATGTTCTATAATGCAAATGTTCTAACGGTGCAAATGAATGTGTGTTGTACAGGCCTGTTACAAATTTTTGCGAGTTCTATAAATCTACACTTGGCAATCAATACCGAGTTCACTCCAGGTGAAAACGCTCCAGGCGTAGGTCAGTCTAGCTGACAAGCTTAGTTGTACCAGTAGTTGATTGGAAGGGTACCTTCGCTTTGATCACCGAGTTGGCTGAAAACACTTGGAGATAAGTCCAAAGAGCCGCTGCCACATCCTGGGCAGGTGTCTTGTACAGTAGCGGTAGCAGTGTTGCCGTTGCTGGTGTTTTGGATAGTGACTTGCTTACCACAGAGGCCAGAGTTCATGTCTGATTGAGAAACAGCAACGATTGAGTCGCCGTCGTTCAAGTAGCTACCACAGCTACCAGCGCTTCCGGTGGCAGTGTAGTAGAAGGTACCTGCTAAGGTGTTAACAATGACATCTTAGTCGTTCAATAGTTTTACTCACCAGTACCGGATCTCTTGACTGGGACAGCTGAGACGGTGGCAGCAGCAGCGAGTGTAGCGATAGCGAGTGAGAATTGCATTTTAATATCCAAAGTTTACGACCAGCGAGGTAGATATAAAGAGTGGTAAAGTGTCTAACTTAACAAAGTTGATGAAGAAGTTAAAGAGGAATATACCGGCTTCTTATATTTTACAGATGAGACAGTTCGCCGCAGCGATTGTTCCAGAAAGTGACATCATCTGTCACAAAGATTTGGTCGATTCAGGGCCACAGTGGCCGTTTGCGCGGGGACAATTAGAATACAGAAAAACTTCGTAAATTACCGCAAAAGAAGGTAATTTGAGCTTGTATATATCTCTGTATGGCACTTATACACTCTAATACAGTTGTTTCGTTTTCGATCACTGTCTACGATTGGTGTATTTTAAAATTTGAACAAGTCTTTAAAATTTGATGGACCACTATGTCATAGACTTGTCATATCACCTGGGATCTGTGATTCACAGATAAACAGCAGTACAAACAAGAAGACTTATATATTAGTGTATATATGTCTTGGTTCGTCCGTAAATTTTAACCAACCTATATGATCTTATTGATGTGATCTTATTTGTAAATTTTCCGTAATTACCAACTTAGACCAGCTGTCATACTGCCTGTCAAAAAATAGACAAAAATGCATTAATAATATTACAATGTCAGATTAATCGTCTGTCAAACTAACTATTTTGTTCTTTTTCTCAGGGCCGCAGGCGTCGGGCGAACTGAAACGTTGTCAACCAGCATATCCGTGTACTCTGGATGGAGTGTTCCATAATAATGTGCCATTTCAGGTTTCGGATGAAGGCGGTGTAGCTGTCTCACCTCATAAAATTGTGATGGCGGCTCATGTACCAACATATCTGTAAATGATTGTGTTAGCTTCTTGGCTACCTCTTGTTCTTCTTCTGAAGGTTCGTTTGGAATATCTGATCTCAGTCTTTGTGCTTCAAGAGATTTCAACTTAGCGAGCAAGAATGCGTTGCGCTTGAGTTTTGCTTGAGTTTCCAAATACCCTCTATTGAGACTTTCGTATGCCTCAGGAAGATGTTCTATGTTCACATTATCAAGTTCGTCTTTTGAAATTTCTTTGTTCTCGTGGGCTGAGACTGGCTCTCCATGGAATTGCACCATTGTTGGCTCCTCGAGAGTCTTCATCTGAGAGGTTGTTGCGATATTTAATGAGGTTGAATATGGTATTGTTGCGTTTGTCGAGTCGTAACATGGTCCAAATGAATAATTAGAACCGTAGTAGAGGTGCGACACATCCTTATCCCTGAAGGTTCCATATGTAGAAGAATTAATGGTTGTATGTGGCGAAGGTTTCGATATATCCTTGAGTTTTGGTGCGTTGGGAACCTTTATCGATGGGTTTTCTGGGATTGGTACGACTGTGGCTGTACCAAGCGTCAATTCCGATGCTACTGCAGGGTCAACATCACTGGCCTGGGTGAAATAGTCCACTCCAGGCCAACTTTGCTGAAGTGCGTATCGAGCCTTCCTGAGTTGTTGCTTTTCGAGTTGAGAATCAACTGTCTGGGTGTGAGAGAAGGTCATAAAACGTCTAAAATGAACGAACCTGTCGTCTCCGGTAGCTGTATGCTCTCTGCTGGAGGCAGCTTCGCCTTCCTCTGTGCTACGAGTGAGTTTATTACTGATATCGCGAGCTCCTTGTCAGTATCGATGGGACCATTCCGGAGTGTGTCATATACGAGAAATAAAGATCCCTCGCCATCGTTTATGTATCCTCCTAGCGAAGAATGATTCCTTTTTTTGGGAGAATCTGCGTCAACATTCAAGTCTAGCAAGCTTGGGTTGATTTTCTCTAATAGACCCCTAATAAGCTCACTATCACCGCCAATGAGAGTTGATTCGTCGTCTTCTTGTGTGCTCTTGCGCTTTTTAGACGCGTCCAAGTGATCACCCGGTTTGACTGTGAAATATTAGATAATTCTAGGATTAATGTATAGACGCACGACTATCAGTGTTTAATTTAACTTTTAGAGTCATTTAATTTATTTTCTAAACTTATATACCAACTTGGGTGTCCCTTAGAAAGAGCTGACGATGACGACGAACGAGCCTGATGAGGCCTACATCATACGCTCAGATCAGAAGGATCTATATCACTTGCAGCATCTAAGAACGCTTGCTGAACCCGTTCTCAGGTCGCTATTGGGTGGGATAATAGACCATATGATAAGAACCTACTGACGGAGCATTAGGGTCACGGTTTTTCGACAGCCATGGGGGCTCAGCAAATGTAGCGCTGCTTACGGTCTACACTGCTATAACAACTGGCCTGGGTAGGCGAACTTTAGGGGAAGAGTACACGAATATACACAAATGGAAAGACAACAGGTCGCTCAGCTGGCAGATGCGCTTGTTGTTGGTGCTCTCTATACCGGCACCGCATATCTTGAAGTACTTGATCTCCCGAAGCAGGAGAAATTACGTCGATAGATTCAGCCCAACTGTGAGAAATGTCCTGAAGAGCACAATGGAGCTACTCATTAGTGATACAACATGGGATATCGCCCGCACACTTAATCTTATCGCATTCTACCTCGGCAGCAAGTTCCACACTATCAAGAATCGAATATTTAATATAAGGTACATTGACACATCAGCCTCCGAGCAGCCAAGGATTGACAAGCCATTCGAAATACTCGGTTATATGCTCTCTATACGTCTCGCAATACAAGTTGCCAGTCTAGCGAAGCCTTATCTCCCAAAGGTACCGTCGGTGGAGGCCCCAATAGTGGCAATTGATGGACGAGAAATGAATTTGTTAGAGAAGAATGAGAAAGAGGAGAACGACGATATTGACGCCCTTAATGATGAATACACATGTATTCCTCAAAATGACATAGCAGATCCCCAACGAAAATGCATACTTTGTTTGGAGACGCGGAAAGCAACATCAGCAATGCTTTGTGGACACCTCTACTGCTGGTATTGCCTCGAGAATTGGCTCAGAGAAAAGGTATGTCCGCAGTCCGAAAATAGCGACCTTACTAAATGCGTCCAGAACGAGTGTCCACTGTGCAGACAGCACACGACCCTTAAAGACGTTATACCTGTGTACAATATATAGCATAAATAGCCTAAATACGCTAGCTATTGCATCCAAGCGAGCCATATCGCTTAACTTTGCGAGAATGCGAGCACTCCCAAACAAAAGAAAATCCGCAGAAAGACGTGTATTGTAATAATATAAGTATTTATTTAATCGCTGCGTTTATACCTCCTTTCTATACCCAATCCGACTATTTTTTGATAACAAATTTGCCCCTTTCGATTCCGTCGACTCATTCGCATCTTTATATTCGACAACCACAAAGTAAAATATAAAGAGAATGGCTACTTTACCACCGTCTAGACCCGATTTACTCGCCCATTATATGGCTCTCGACCAAGGCGAGTCTATCCAAGCTGAATGTGGGTATATCACCTGCGTGTTATCTGTCTAACAGCACAGATATCTGGATCGATGGTGATGGTGAACTTCGTAGTAAAACTACCGTTCGTTAGACTTGCTCTCGAAACCTCTCCTGACACCCCCCAGACCTGCTCCAAAAAGATCACCGACATCAAGGAACTCAAGGAGTGGAACTTCGACGGTAGCTCTACCAACCAAGCTCCAGGCCATGACAGTGATATTTACTTACGCCCTGCCGCTTTCTTTAGAGATCCTTTCCGCGGAGGTGACAACATCTTGGTATGTCTGCATAGCCTCCGAATAACACAAGCTCATAGCTATTTAGGTTATTGCAGAATGCTACAACAGCGATGGCACTCCAAACAAGACCAACTACCGTCACTACGCCAAGAAGGCCATGGACCTCGTCAAGGACGAAGACCCATGGTTCGGTATTGAACAAGAGTACACTCTTTTCGGTGCTGATGGCGCTCCATACGGTTGGCCAAAGGGTATGTACATTTCTCTCTGAAAAATTTATTTTAACACACGTCTCAGGTGGTTACCCAGCTCCACAAGGTCCATACTACTGTGGTGTTGGTGCCGGTAAGGTCTTTGCTCGTGATCTCGTAGAAGCACACTACCGTGCTTGCTTGTACGCTGGTATCAACATCTCTGGTATCAACGCTGAGGTCATGCCATCACAATGGGAATTCCAAGTCGGACCATGCGCTGGTATTGACATGGGTGACCATCTTACTCTCGCTCGTTTCTTGCTTGCTAGAATCGCCGAAGATTGGGGTATTTCTATCTCACTCCATCCAAAACCATTCACTTCTGGTGAATGGAACGGCGCAGGTTCGTAGCATAAAACAGCTCAATCATTGCTGACTCTCTAAAGGCTGCCACACGAACTATTCCACATCCAAGACTCGCGCTCCTGGCGTTGGTCTCCAAGCTATCGAAGAAATGATTAAGAAGCTTGAGAGCAAACATGCTGAACACATCGAAGCATACGGTGATGACAACGAGCTCCGTCTCACCGGTAAGCACGAAACCGGTAACATTGCCGACTTCTCTTCCGGTGTTGCCAACCGTGGCTGCTCTATCCGTATTCCTCGTCATGTTGCCCACCAAGGATATGGTTACTTCGAGGACCGTCGCCCAGCTTCAAACATTGACCCATAGTGAGTTACCAAAGTAGTAGTGATATATTTATCTAATAAAATCCACAGCCGTGTCACTGGTCTCATTGTTAACACCACTTTGATCAACTAAAGTGGTTCAATCAATGAATGAATGAATAAGCTGAGCACAGCGATTTCACTGTTTTCTTCTGTTATCATTTTTCTCACTCGCTTGTCAATATAACAAATTGAATTAAATAAATAACGATCTGTATATTTTACTTGTAGATGGTAAACGCTTTTTTTTTCCTTAACAAACATCAAATAACGGACGAAGAGAAAAAAGGACTTATATGGAAAAATTACGTTTAATTTGTACTCATAACAAGTTATATATTTATGTCAGAAGAAATACATTGAGATGCAACTTTTCATTGAGTGTAAAGGGAGATATTAGAGAATACTACGATATTATATACTAATGTGTCATTAAAGTGACTAAAAGCCAAGGGTGTCACATTTGAGACAATGAGATACATCGGCAGAGAAGGACAATGAGGAAATCAGAAGGAAGAGAGCATTGATTGCTCACAATATTCATCATGTATCACTTATAGACACAACAATGTGTCTATATCAATAAGCAAATTTGTGACATTATTTTGAGTACTAAACTAGCAAAAAGTATTCTTAATAGTAGTTTCCTACTTGTGCAAATAACCAAGCCAATCATTGTATGTTGTGTCCATTAACAACTTCTCTGAGACGTAGAGTAAGGGATAAACTGAGTAATGTTCTAGAAGGACCGTCCTCGATACAAACGTCAATGTCTTGCGTCTGATAGTATCAGTCTAAGTAATACAAAAACCACCAATATCTACATTCATACATGTGTACTTATCAAGTAACAGTATTTAAGAAAGTATAGTATAGTCAGTAATAAGTCTAAAACTCAGTCGCTTGTGAACATGTCTCGTTTGTATGTTCAAGCTGTGGAACATGGGTACGGACGAGAAAGATATATATGCACATACTAAATTCCAGTTCACCTTAAATAATATTAATTCAATCTTCCAAAGTTGTCGTTCTCGCCGGTAACCAATCAAATTCACTCTAAAGAGCGTAATCTCGGCATTTACCCCCGCATTAGCTATTAGAATCAAACAATTGATCTAATTACACACATAGTTTATAAATAACTATCAGTGATAATGCGGACGTTGTGACAATTGATAAGGTAGTAAGATTAATAACGTGTCAATCACATAGAACATATACAGAGACTTTCTCTCAAATCCTCTGCACTTTAACGAGGCATATATCTCTTACTCATATCAGAGCTCGTAATGCCCTTTTTTACATCGCCGAAAAGGAAAGCAGTAAAAAACTAGCCGATGATATCATAATCATGATAAATGACTTACTTAAGAATGTCACTATTAGGATCATTTCTAGTATATAACAAACGTGACGGTCCGTATCCACCCTTGTCCGTTCCGATCGCAGTTATTAGTGCATTATAGTTCGCGATTGTTTATGCATTCTGATATTTAAAGGTGATAGTGAGGAACTCATGACATTGGAGACGTCAAAAAAATTTGAACAACAATTTGATCCTCATCGTTCAAAAGAAGATTAACAAATTGTACTCCAAGTTATGAAGTTTAGAAGATTGATTTGTACCTAAATCATCAATGACGTAACATCTTAAGCTTTAGCAAAAAAAAAGCTGGTGGTGACGACAATCGTGATAATCAGCGACTTAAAAAGGAAATCAGGCCCCTTGTACCCTTAAACATAAACAACTATGATCTCCTCAAAGCCACAACAAGGCCAAGCCGAATCAAGATTCAGACGTCCATCTGTTAACAACCTTGAAAAGTCACTTGCAGAAATTCTCAAAGATCAACAAGCATCAAAAGAATCAGGTGAACGTCGCGTAAAGCCACTTCCAAAACCAGAAGACATTAAGCTCATCTTGTCAGACGTTGATGGAACACTTCTCGACGATGATCACGATGTTCACCCACGTACCTCAGAAGGTATTCGTTACAGTGAGTGTTTTTTATATAGCTTTATAAACAAGCTGACATATATTCAGTCAGAAAGAACTTCCCTCACATCCCATTCATTCCTATCACTGGTAAACAACGTGTTTCATGTGAACACGTCGCCAAGTGTTGTGGTTTAGAGGACATGCCTTCAGGTTGTTGCCACGGTTCTATTATCTACAACAATGAAGGTAAACTTGAATCACAAGTTGGAATTAAGCCAGAAGTTGTTGTCAAGGTTACTGAAGAACTCATTAAGGAAAACAAGTCAGTTTTCATTTACGAACATGACTCAGTTCACTGTGTAGCCCTTGAGGAACACCCAAGTCTCAACTTCTACGAAATTACTCGCGGTTATGATCCAAGTATCTCAGACAAGCGTGGTACCGACTACTTGGAAAGAGTTGCAAAGGGTGAAGTTGTTGTAACCAAGATGTTCCTTCCTATGGAAGTATCAGTTGTTCCTGGCCAAATGGACCACTTGAACTCTATCTTTAAGAACGGTGAAGACTACAGAATGACACGTGCACTCAAGGACATTATCGAGTTGATCCCAGCCGGTATTGACAAGAGTGTCGCACTCGCACACTTCGCAAAGGTATACAACGTCGACCCAATCAACATCATGACCTTCGGTGATGGTGAAAACGATGTCGGTATGTTCAGAGCATCTGGTATGTCTGTATCCATGGGCAATGCTATGCCAATGCCAGCACAAAACAGTGACTTCTCAACTGTCACAAACAACGAGGGGTGAGTGAAAATCATTCAGAATATAACAAACATTCTAACAAACCTACAGTGGTGTTGGTAGATTCCTTGATGCCTGCTTCAGACCAACCTACAACCCTGAAAACTCCGGCACAGACTCTGGATACGCTTCAGCTGCATAGAACCGATACCAGCATAGTTATTTTTATCATTTCAACTCGTATATTAAGCATTACTCTTGTTTTCAACTCCCGCTTTCATAAATAATCAATTAGTCATTTATTATTCTATGCAATGCAATGTGTGTATATATATAATTTACTTTCCGGGTGGAACGAAATCCTTGCTGAGATCGATACCTTGCTCTTGCAAGTGAGTGTTGGTGATCTTGACGCGCCTGTTTGAGCTGCCTGCCTTTTTTCTCTTCTTTTGTGCAGTTTGAGGAACTGCTGGCGCGACTTCCGTCTTTGACGTGCGTTTAAGACCGGCTGCAGTGTGTCAGTGGATGTTAACGTAGTAGCAAACAACGTACCATCATCCAGATCTCTAGCTACCTCTGACTCTGGAGGAACATTCAAACTATGCCACAAACCTCTGAACTCTGCCTCATGTTAGCTTCTAAAGAGTAGTTTATGTAACTTACCCTCTTGGACTTCAATAGCATCCTTCACGTTGTTCTCAAATACTGTTCGCATCCCCTGTCCGTCTTTGCCTCTCAAAACAACGATTTCATTCTCCCGTTCGAGCTCATCTATCGCAGCTGGCGCGCCACTCCATGATTCTTTGAGCAAGTTAACGCGCATACCACCTCTAGGGGCATAACCCTTGACGTGCTTCAGCAGCTCAGCTTTAGATTTCATCGGGAAATCATGTCTATAGCTGTATAGGTCGAGTTTAGTGTCATGCTGCACTCTATCATGTGAGTTGAACAAATCCAGCAGTCCAGGCGTCCGTATGAGTTCTATGCCAGATCGGACGATCAGATCTTCTAAACGTATTGGTGCGTTGTAATCCTTGATACTGATAAGTCAAACGATAGTTTGAGGCCATAAACATACCTTAATGAACTGTACGAGGTATGCCAACTGTGAGTTAATGTGCATACCAACGCCTGTGTCTCTCGGCTGGGAATAAATTTCTGTATTCTCTCATCAGCGGGTGTATCTAAAGGACGCTAGGCTATCTACCATTAGCTTTCTTGCGCTTGGCTGCTGCCTGAGCTGCCGCTGCTGCACTACCAGCTATTGGTATACCGTCGTCAACGCCAGAAGGACCAGGCGTGGGTGCCACCGACGGAGACGGCATGGCTGCACCCCAAGCCTGTGGCTGCTGGCTTGCAATCTTTTTCCTGAACGCCTGAGCTTGAGCTTGTAGAGACCTGAACAGTTTATTAATAAATTCTATGCATTTCACTCTTTATTTACATTCTCAGCAAACGCTCTTGATAGTGGATAGTCAAGAAGTAAATAAGTAAAAGGAATGATTTAATTGTTCAAATTTAAAACTTATAGTAGAGTACAGTCATAACCGTATACAGTCGATTGTCCTTATTAGTTAAACGAGTGTGATTGATTTCTTTCAACCTATCCGAACAAGCATGGGTCATATTTACCTGAGGCGATGAACTTCTCTTTCTCTTCAGGAGTGTAGCCGCACTTGTCTTTGTGGCCATCTGGTTTCTTCTGATCGTCATTATGCTCTTCAGGCTTCTTTTTGTCGTTATCCTCGTCTTCCTTCTTGCCATCGTTCTTGCTGTCATTCTTTTCGTCATTCTTTCCATCGTCCTGGTCGTTCTTCTTATCATCATTCTTATCATCATCTTTACCGTCATTCTTAGCGTCACTCTTATCATTCTTACCGCTATCCCACTTGTTTTCAGCTTTCTGATCATCATGGTGCTTGTAGGCGTCTTCACCCCAGAGGCCTTCAATCCATTTACCTTCTTGAATGGCTTTCTCGACGCTTGAGTCGTGTTCACCACCACGCTTGACCTGTTAATTAGTTAATAAACAGACCCCTCTGATAGAGAACAAATACACTCACCTCCATCCTAGCAGTGGCTAAGCCTGCAACAGCGAGAATACCAGCAACGTGACTAATCTTCATATTTTACGAAAGTTTGTCTAGAGGAGCTTTAATGAACTTCCATTGGCTTTATAGTCCGATATTAAATTCAACCTGTGGGATGTTTACATTCAGTTTCCTTATATGGTAGTACGGCGATATTGTCTTATTGTCTCAGATTGTTCATTGTGGGGATTATGACACAAAGTTCCAAACTTCATTTATCATTCCTTAAAAGGCAATCACCTGATCGATCTTCTACACAGCTAACCTTAACTACGGTTATTAATGATTACTTTTCGCCCTCAAGTGAGAAGAATTGCACATTAATTTGCTTACAAATATTAAGTCGTTAATTGGATATACTGATAATGGCGCTTAGTGTTCTTCTTGCTCATGATCATCGTGCTCGTCATGTTTGTCATCGTGTTCATCGTGTTTATCATCGTGCTTCTCTTCACTCTTGTGTTCAGCCTTGTGATCATAGGCCTCTTCTGAGAAGAGCTCTGGGTAGTAGTCACCAGTTTGGTAGAGAGCCTTCTCTTCGTCGTGGCTCAAGTGGTGGAAATCGATGTGGTCATCGTGATGCTGTATTTCGTTAAAAACGTTACGACAAAAGCTTTAACTCACATCGTGCTCATCTCTGGTAAGGACTCCACGTTTAGTTGGCAAGGCTTCATCCAATGCACCACGTCTAACACTTGCACTTCTTGCACCTGCGCCACGTCTTTCCAAGTATACTGGATCACGTCTTTCAAGGTATACTGGAACAGCACTGGCGACTGAAAGGATAGCGGCAGTGGTAGCTAAGGCAATTGAGAATTTCATTGTGTGTTTGGTTGCGGTAATAGTTAAAAGGCAATTGCTTTATATATACCCTCTCTCCACATTTTAGTCTCATTTTAGAGCCCTACATTCCTTTCTTCAACCTCTACCGAGATATGAATGAATGAAGCAAATAAATAAAATGGAACATTCTAACACAGTGTAGTATTTATTATATGCCACTAAAATGGTGCAATCGAACTATTTCTAAGATCTGATGAAAATTTTATTAAAGTTGAAATGCTATTCATAAGATTACTATTTACAAATGTTCCTGTTTGTTTCCAGCGTATTAAAAGCGTATGAAGAAAGATATAAGAAATCAGAAGAGGTGCAAAATGGTGTCTAATATTGACCGCCTTGTTGACCACCTTGGTATTGGCCTTGATCTTGACCACCTTGGTATTGGCCTTGATCTTGACCACCTTGGTATTGGCCTTGATCTTGACCACCTTGATCGCCCTGATATTGACCTTGTTGAGCTTCGCCACCTTGGTATTGACCTTGTTGGCCCCCTTGTTGGCCTCCTTGTTGAGCTCCTTGTTGAACTTGCTCTTCAGCGTGATGTTGCCATTCAATGTCCTTCTGGTGCTTCTCATCTTCCATATCGTGTTGGTGATGCTCTACAGCTTTCTGCTTGTGAATGTTTTCTTGTAGTTGGTGCTCAGCCTCTGGGTTACCGCCTTGTTCACCGCCTTGTTCACCACCACGCTTTTGTTGTTGTCCTTGTTGCTCTTGTTGGTCTTGGGTTTTGTGGTTTATAGCACCTTGCTTGTGCATTGCATCGCGTTGCTGGTCAATAGATTCCTGAAGCTGTTCTTGTTGATGTTGTTGTTGCTCTTGCTCCCATTCAGTTTGGCGCTTGAATTGACCTTGGCCACCTTGGAATTGACCTTGACCACCTTGGAATTGACCTTGACCACCTTGGGATCCGCCTTGTTGACCCCCTTGTTGACCGCCTTGAGCACCGTGGTCATAGTTCTCTTCACCCCATGCACATTCCAAGTATTGACCAGACTGGATAATTCTTTGTTGCTCTTCTGGGCTCATGTGGCAGTGGTCCTTGCCATGACCGTGACCGTGACCACCTTCTTGCTCGTGCTTCTTACCAGCAATGGCTTCATGCTTGTGTTCTTCTTCTCCACCTTGGCGTCTCTCGAAGCCACCATTGCCTTGTTCACCGTGACCGTGACCGTGGCCACCCTTGACGTCTTCAGCAGTAATTCTGTGTCCATGGCCATCTTCACCACCGTGAGGACCAGCTGGGGAACCAATAGGACCGCCATGGCCGTGGAATGGTGCTTCTCCACCATGGCCACCTTCTTGGCGCTTTTCAAAGCCACCTTTGCCTTGTTCACCGTGACCGTGTCCGTGGCCACCCTTGACGTCTTCAGCAGTAATTCTGTGTCCATGGCCATCTTCACCACCGTGAGGACCAGCTGGGGAACCAATAGGACCACCATGGCCGTGGAATGGTGCTTGACCACCCTAAGGAAAATTGTAAGACATTATGATAATAGAAAAAGTAAAACACTCACTTGTTCACCTTCACCACGCTTTCCTTGCCCACCTTGGGCGCCCCCTTTTCCTTGTCCTTGTCCTTGTTGACCTTGCATACCCTTAGTGAATGGTTCGGCAAGTGATTGCAAAAGACCACGCTCTTCGTGAGTGTTGAGTGGGGCAGCTGCACCAGTTGAGAGGAGTGTAGCGACGAGAGCGATAACTGCGATTGAGAACTTCATTGTTGGTCTATTGAAAAGTGTTAAGAAAGTTGTAGTTGTGAATGATAGTGAATAAAGAACAAGAAGACGAGCTTATATAGTTGTGTAAAATGACACATTCTTTCAACATTCCTCAACGGAGAATTCCCGTTCCCTACTGCGCTAACATTTCTAATCGCCGTCGTGAGTGACAATGACGGTTGGAATGCAAGAAACGTCAGGATCTTTTACGGGTGTTTTTATTATTATTAGAAACATACTATCAAATAACAAGCAAGTAACTTCCATGTATGGTTGGTGCTATAGTTATTATCACAGCACGTTTTTTATGTCTTCCGTTTCATTCTCAACAGAATGACGTAAGATATGCCCGGACAAGGCATTCACCAGATTATAGGAAGGCACGAGAGGAGAATGTCTAATATCCAGAAAAAGCTTCTTAGATTAACATAAGCAACAGCTCTTTTACTTCAAAAAACTTAGAATGCCTCTAATTGTAAGAGAAGATCTGTCGTATGAATCTGTAAGTGAATATAGCGAATTAATGTCATCCAACAACTGATACATCCACAAGACTTCTTCAAAATCATTCACCCCGTCATCTCAAGGAAAACAACAAACAGAAAATCATGGCATAACGGGTGGTGTCATAGCCGCTATAGTCATCGCTAGTATCATCATAGTAGCAGCCATATGTGCTATCATGACATACATAATCCGAACACGTAGGGACAAAATGGAAGAACGCAAGAGTTCACGCTTCGCTAACTCAGTTGGAAAGAAGAATGTCTCACCTACACTTATGAATGCCAGATCAAAACTACGCGAAAAAATATCAAGCGAATCTCCACCACTGAGCATTAAATCACCATCTAGTGCATCTTCTTTTGGTGAAAAGCGTTTTTATGATGAGGAAGAAGATTTTGGTAATTTGAAAACGCCACTTCCAAAGCTTTTGCACGGGTTCGAAGTGAATTCCGAGTCTTATTCACTGGTTACGCCTTCACCAACTAATTCCACATTTGCTACGCAACAGATGGCATCACTTAAGTCTCCATCATATCCATCCATACCTTCAACACCAACCTACATTGATGATCTCCCACAATCACCTTTGGAAAGCCCAACTGCGGATGTGCGCACCGTCAAACTCTCATTCGTACCTACCATGTCTGATGAAATAGCCGTCATGACTGGAGATACAGTCCTTCTCTTGAAGGAATGGGACGATGGATGGGCATTCGTTGTAAAACTCAACAAAGAGGGTGAATTCAAGGAAGAGGGTGTTATCCCCCTTGAGAGTCTCGTCGACAAGACACCACAATCTCGTAACTTCACCCAAAGTGTGAAATCAATCCCATCAAGGATGTCACTCACAAAGCCATCAATTTCGAGCATCGGTTCACGTAGAAGTGGCGTCAGACATAGCAGTATTAGAGTTTAAAAAATACGCTCTATCGGTAGAAAAAAGGATAACCATTCCATTAATCTCAATATATCCCTGGAGGATCTTCTTCTTTCCACTCTATCTGTCTATCTATCATCTTAATCACCTTCATTTGTATCATATGCTACTTAAATTCATAATTCTTATTGGAAACAACAATGAGTGTCATAAAAAACGCGATGCAAGGGCGTCACTAGCGATAATCCTCCATTAGCTCGTCTCAAGGAGGTATACACTAGACGCAATGTTTTGGAGTGTTGGTTTTTCAAGATTTTGAGTGGATGATGAAGTTAATGGGTATACGACGCTACCGTCTTCGCTGAAGCTCCAGCCGAGATTTTTGAGAACTGTAAGAATATTAGTAAACCACATCACTAAGTGATAAAGTAATAACGTACTATCAACAAGCTTATTGTGTGGTACACCGATACTTTCACTCACTTTCACTACTTGTACAGCTGAGCAACTAAGTGCGACGACATTGAGTGCTCTCATGAGGACTTTCGTTTGATAGAGGCTCAATATGTGATTGAACACGCTAGTGATGGCGTCATTTACGAGTGTCTGCGGTTGTGTAGCCAACTGCGTGAGAGCTTGTAAGGCGTCTTTATACTGCTGGTTGAAATAGTATGAAATTGAGACTCCTAATCTGTCTTTGACTATAGCTGTTGAACGATTAAGGGTAGCTTGGGCAGCTGGACTGTGTCTTTGTTAGTGACAGTATAAGATCACAAGATAACGTACAGATTATCAAGCAACAAGTCAGAAAGTATACTGAGATTGTATATCGCCTCCCAGAGTTTATCGTCTGGATCAACCTGTGCAAACATTGTCTCTGCTTCGAGTGCCGATAAAGACAATGCCTGCCAATTCTCTTGTTTCGCGAGTTCAATGAGATTTGTCAGCGCTGCTGTGAGTGGACTGTCCTGTATGATAACCGCAGCTGCTGGTTCTGGTGCAGGTGTCGAAGGACCACCTTCTCTGATTGAAGGTTGGGGAGAACTTGCAGTTGAGAGTGCAGGCGTTGGTGGAATCAATCCTGGGACCGCTGCCACTGCTGAGACTTCCCCGCTTGCTGGTACTTCTATCGTAGGGTTCATGATGACAGTACGAGCGATAAGAATGAACCAATGAGTGAAACGATTTTCAGATTACTCAGAAGCGCAGCAAATGTAGTCTGGTAACTCTATCCTTTAGTTGTATGCTCGATCACTGGGAATGCCTTCGGCGAATATTCATTCAGCATGACGAAGGTGACACAAGACCAAAAAAACAGCAAACATATTATTTCAAGTATAATGCAGTCTATAAACTATGCTTTTCATATTACAGTATCACTGGTCTTGAAACCTCCTTCAGCCAGTCATTCCAGGCATTACCACATCCTTCAGAAACAATTGATAATCGACCATTTAGCCATTTCTGTACTCTCTCTTCATCATGTTGTTCTCCCCCATCATCCAACACGCTCATATCACCTGTGCTGCCCTGAAGCGAGAGGATCGTCCAACCGACAACTATCATTCCAGGTGGTCGTTGTTCACCGGCCATGTTATATGACGAGACGATGTCTTTCAGCGTACTCATAACAACTCTTTGAGAAGGCGACGAAGCTTGTTCTATGATAGCAACTGGGACGTTTGATGGATATCCTAAGGTACCTAAACTTGAAACCAACTCCGCAAGGCGCGCAACGCCCATTAGAATAACTAATGTTCTTGATCTTACATATGCAGGTACGCTCAGGGCTTTTCCACCACGACCAACACCCGTACAAAGGAGGTAGGAGTCCGAAGCACCACGCTGCGTGACTGGTATGCCAGCCATGAGAGGCGCCGACATTGCTGAAGATATACCAGGCACAACGACAGCTTCATAGCCATGTTGACGGAAGTGCACGACCTCCTCACCGCCTCGACCGTACACAAATGGATCACCCTGCTTCACTTTATTGTGTTAGCGATTAATTTCATGGATGGTTTCAAACTCACATCTTACGACGACTTTCCCAGCTTGAGCACCTTCAACTGCCCAATTCATCAATTCAGCTTGGGCACCCTCCGCATTTCCAGGGAACTTCCGAGCTATCCTCACTTCAGTCGTTCTTGGAATGAGCTTGAGGACAGCAGATGGTACTAGTTTGTCAGACAAGACCAGATCAGCCGTCTTGAGAGCACGATATGCTGCAATAGTCAGCAGCTCTGGGGATCCCAAGCCAGCGCCAACAAGAACAATATGTCCTCGCGATGATGTGCTTCCAAAAGCGTGCTTCTCGCTTGGAGACTGCAAGACTGGCCATTCTTTGCTTTCTATTTCATTCGTCGGCGTGGATGGTTGGTTAGGTTCTCCATACGCATCCAAGAGGCTGTCTATCGCTGCCTCATCCATATTTGCGAGGTATTCGAGTGGCCAATACTCAGATATCTGAGCCACCCACCTCATCCTCCTTAGAGCCTTCTCTGGAGCATCCTCCGCATTCTTTCCTAGTTGTGGAACCGCAGCATTCACATTGTCGAAGTCTGCCAGCTCCTCTGATAGACTGGATTGCGATGTCGTTCTCTCGAGTTTCATACGGGAAAGGTAATGCTTTGCACGGGAACGGAGCTGACCGACGTTGGAGACCGCATCACCTATATTACTTGGAAGATGTGAAATGAGCTCCCTCTTTATCCTACTTGCGAGTCTGCATCCTTTTGAATTCGTAGTGACGGCAATTTGAAGTGGCGATGGACTACCATCCTTCTTGGTGAATCTATGAGATGTTGGGAAGATATAATCGCAGAATTCTGGTCTATCAGCGACATTGAGTGGTATGTTGAGTGATCTGCATGTCTCAACCAAACTTTCTACAGAATGAACAGATCGAACGTCGTCGAGAGTAGAATCTGTGATAGTTGCGAATGTAATGCTAGTTCCGAGGACGCTCTTTATAGCGTTCTTTATGTCCTCCTCGGTGGTTGCCGCTATGTAGACAATTTGCTGTTTTGCTACTCTATGCTGAATTTCTTCCGTTGCATGTTCTAATGCGTTGCCTATAACGACGACGCTAGTGTCTGCATCGAGCGCTGTGTAGACTCTCGATGCAGCCAATCGATTCTGTCCTATGACAATAAGTGTCTTCTTCCTTGAGTTGAAGCCTAAGAAAAGAGAAGAGCCACCTGCTGGCTCACGGAATGGCTGAGTGTCCATTTAATTTCTACTTTGATAGTTACTATTAAAGGCGAAATCTGATTATTCTCCATTCTTTACCAGTCACGTCTTTCTTATCAACGACCAAGTATAAAATGAAATTATGGAGCAGCGATTTGTGCTGCTGTGGTGTGTACAATAGTTTATACATCCCGCCCCTCTAATAACCTTCAGCCATTCCAATGGTCAACTTTGGTATCTATGCACAGCTATTTGAGTTCATAGTGAGCATTTACTATCAATACAACCAAGGCTCTTCTAACAACTGACAGGCTGTTGGTTTGGCAGCTGGAATTGTCGCTCTCGCATCACAAAGGGGTTAGTCGCAGTACAAAACCGCAGCGGATATCTAACAGCCATTAGTTCTCGGAGCAGAGTCTATACCCGAATGGCCATCATATATATTAGGCGTTCTCTGTTTGCTTGTCGTAATCATACAGCCAATCGGTTTCGTCGGTGTCGCCAAGGAGAAATTCCGACTGTTCAGACGTTTCCATTTCCTCAACACGCTTTTAACGTGGGTTTACACGCGCTAATAGCATCTCTCTGATTTATAAACCAGTTTATGCGCATTTATGTGTGCTTTGGCTATTATCATCGCATGTGCTGCAAAACACAGTGACGCAACGACGAAGTGTAAGTTTATTCTTTTAGTTATTTAGTAGCTATTTGCTTATATATTCTATCAGGTCAATCCGATTATTACCCACCTGACCCTGATGCAACGTTCACACTCTCTCAGTATTCTGGTACTATTTGCAATGTGAGTAGCGTTGTTTTTATTATATACAACCTAATAATCAATTTCAGATTCTTGGATGGGTCGATATAGGCGTTATGGGCTTGTTATGGGTGCTCTTAATACTTGTACAAGTGAGTCTAATGACTTCCTTTGCATCCCAGCTAACCCCCACAGGGATACTTCTTGTGGATTCAACGCAAGTTCTCATCCGGACAACGAAGCGGTAAGCCACGCTATCATTACCAGAAAGTGCACCTATCTGACGACGAAATAGATCATCAGAAGGTAAAAGTTGATAGTGTAAACAACTACAATTACTAACAACGTTATAGTATGAATCAGTCTATCATAGCAACAATGGTGATGACTATATGATGTCAACCCATCGAGATAATGCTTGGGATGCTAGGAATTCCTACGATGCATACGCTCATGATAGCTCAAGCAATAGTTACACCCAAGGCTATGATAACTCATCGAGTTACCAACAACAACCATACGCTTACAACAATCAAACTCACTATCAACAACCATACGAGCAAGATGACGTATACAATTACAATTATTCACCTCAGTATAAAGATTCACCATATACGAAGGCACATTTACCATATGGCGCTCGTTATTAACACCCATTTTGTTCAGTTAGTTATTATTAATTTTGTACCACATTCTTCAATTGTTAATTAGATGTTCTTTTATTAGAATGAAGTTTATTTATTAATTAAAAAGTAGAGCTTAGTAGTCTCTAATTGTACACTGAATGATTTGAAAGAAATTCGTTTAGCAAGAGAACAAGAACTTATTAAGTGAGGCTATCACCGCGTGGTGGTGGTGGACCCACAGGTGCATCATTATTGACATAGCTAGTATCGCGTTTGTTTATGTTCAGAGGTGGAGTTGTGTCACTTCCGGTTGGTGATTCCTGCTTATTACTACGCTTGAAAGCACCAGCTGTTAACATACGCGGTTGATTAGCCATTGCGTGGTTATTTGAGAATGAGAATTGAGGACTATTTTCATTATCAAATGTATCGTGAGAAGGTGGTTCAGCAACTGGGTTGAATGGTGTATCATAAGGATTTGGTAATGGTGAAGTAGGATGGTCATCTTCTATACCTCCATAAATGTCCTCTTTTGGTGGCGCTTGAGGAGCTTCATTTGGGTGGGTATAGCTGTTATCATTCAATTGGTACCTTGGTATTTCATCTGCCACTTCTTCAAAGCCAGGAAGTTGAGGTGGTGGTGATGGTGACGTGTTTAATAAACCAATACCTGTCATTGTTTCTTGTGGCCTTTGTGTTTGCTCATAGTGAGACTGCTCATAGCGAGGCTCTTCGTAGTGAACTTCCTTTGGTTTGTTGTAATGTACGTCAGCTGGCTCCTCATAGTGACCAGCACTTGGCACATCGAAACGAACTTCAGCTGGCTTCTCTTGATAGTTATCTTGAAGACTATCATGTCTCTTTTCAAATTGAATTTCCTGTGGTTGCTCATAAGCTTCAGCTGGCTTATTGGAGAGTGCTGGTTCATTTGAGTTATCGTGAAGCTCATTTACATTAACAGTTGATCCATTTAGAGGTGTACCAAGAGCTGATCCTGGTGCACTGACACTCATCGGTGGCTTCGTATCAAGAACTGGAGCAGGTGTGAAGGAGTTAAGGACAGGTGCATCATTAAAGCCTCCAGCATGATTACGAGAGAAGAAAGCTGAGGTATCATAATCATACTGTGTTTTATCACCTCTGGCGCGTCTTAATGAATTGGCTGATGGCGATTGATGACTTGCTCCTTCAGGTGCTGCACCTATCGAAATATTGTCAATGCTGCGTGGCTTCTCATTGAGGTTTGGCACCGGTGGTGACAAGCCGTCAAAGGAACTGTAAGCGTTGGCAGAAGTGTATGAGTCATTAGGATAGGCGTTAGGGTTGCTGCTTGTCCTAAAATCACTGTCTACACTCAAGTATGAGTTATTTTGATGTGTCCACGGTTTCTTCGCTTCTTCGAGAGGTGGTGGTGGTTCATCATAGTCTATGTGAGGATCTGGTGCGATATCTCTGTTCTATGGAGTATGTTAGAGAATGGATAAATATAAGTGGCCAAACACTCACAAAACCAGAGTCAACTGTGTCATCAAACCTTACATCCCTGCTTTCGATACGTGGGGCAAAGTCATTTGCGGATACATCAAGTTCAGGAGGGCGGGAAGTGAGTGGCAGTGGGCCGAAGGTGACCTCACTAAGCGACTTCTCCGCTTGCTCGAGTATCTTGCGTGTTTGTTCAGCGCCATTGTAAGGTGGATGCGGCTGTCCAGGTATCGATGGTTCGAGTTGAATTTCCTTTGCTTTTGTTAATTCAAGCATTTGAAAGCTCAAAAGCTTACCTCTATCAACAATTTACCCATCTCACCGATGATCTAATTAAAACGTCAGACTAAACAAAGAAGTCAGGTCTGACTTACAGAAACTTTCTCTGCGAATTCGACCAAACTGCAGAACTTATAACCAAGGGCTGTTTTGGTGGTAGTACGCTTATAGTCCCAAATCATAGCCTCTGAGTTGACGATCTCGACGTCAAGATCAGCAGCCTGAGGATGTTAGATGAAAATTCACAGGTGGTAGTATACCCCACCTGCTGTCTAAAGCTTTCCAATAATTGAGTCTGTTGTGGGAGGTTCTTGTTCTGTTGCCAAGTAAGCGAGAAGACAACACATCATGATAAATCATACCTCAGAGTTCATCTTTGCGAGTTTCTTCTCAGCAGATTCAATCTTACCGCTAAGAGTTTTCCTCCTTCTACGTAGTTCGTCTAGTTCTTCTTCACGAGTTCTGATACGTTTGAATTGTTCGCGGATTTTGGTCTGGTAGGAGGCAGCTGTGGCCGTAGCACCTGCGTGTTGGTGTAAGAGTGAACCTGCAACAGCGCATACGTCCTGATTGTCTAGTGAGTTATAAGTACTCCTAAATGTATACACACACCTTCAAGTCATCGCCTTCACCCCATCCCCAGCTTTTGACGGCTTCTGCGACTTTCTCAGTATCTTTCGATGCATTCATAGAGCTGTGTATAGTCAGTTAATGTGTATATGGGCTCATAAGACGCACGAAGCCATAGATACTTTCTCGGAGGTGATAACATCTTGCAAGACTTTCAAATCCTTATTACCCAAGGCTGATAAGAACTGATTGTGAGCTATTTGATTCTTTATATTCCCTAGTCCGAGCTTCCCTGAAACAGACATCGTTGTGATTAAGAAAGATAGGATAGCACAGCAAATTACGTAAAATAAAGAGTGAAAATATAATACATATATATTACTATAGTACAGTTTCTTATTAGTCGTTTATTTCTTATTCACTCTTGTTTGTTGATATCGTCACTATTGTTTCGTTGCTGTTTGGTTACGTTTTCCTGCCGTTTGTTTGAGCATTTCCCATCTATCTTTATGCTTTTTTAACTGTTTATTCTATTGATTTGTCAGTAATCGTTCGGATTATAGTGCACATTCCAGTGATCGATCAAACGATCAGACACACCTTGTTTTGAAGCTCGAGTTTGAGATTATCCATTTCAATTTCTAGTTCACGTTGTCTATTGTTGCTATTGTTGTTTGCTAATTACATGAGTGGAAGTTTTTCAACTCGAGAGGCACTTACTATTTGCACTGGTAGACGCTGGCAGAGGTTGGTGATCCGTTCGACTCAACTCGAGACTATTCAAACCACGTTTATGAGCCTAGACATTAGATATCTATACGAGCTATCATCTCTACTCACTCTATATTCTGAGCCAAATTTGATGATACTTCCTTTGAGTGCTTCATGCATCTTCTCTCTCCGTTCATATTCAGATAAGCGAGCCTTCAATGTGGTATTCTCCGACATAAGCTCTTTGATCACTTTGCTATTGATTATTAGAAGGTGGTATATGTCTTAATAAAAAACACGCACCTGGCACGTTGTAGATCCTCAGCATACGCTTCAGTCTGCTTATCACTGCTCATTGAGGTGAAATTAAGCGAGTATGTTTTAATGTTCTGAAACATATTTGCTGCAGTTGTGAACATTGATGATCTCTTGTCATTGTCTGAGTATGCATTTGGATCGTTAACCATTTCGAAAGAGGAACTCAATTGGGTGTCTAATGTGTGTTAGATGGGTAAATAGAGCTCTAGATCAGTCACCTCTCTTATCGCCACTCGCTTGCTCCGTAGGTAGGCCATCAAGTGGGGCAGTAGCGAATGCGACGGGATTGCTGATATTATTTATCATACCCTCTATCATACCCCAATACCTGTCGAATGGATCGGATGACTCTGGCTGCTAAATTGTGTGAATGCGTCATAGATAAAAGATAGCATCCTCACGTTCGGAGCTCTGAGGTAAGAGTAAGAATCGTCAAAGCTAGGCTCAGAGGAGGAAGAGTCTTTGAGTGACTTGATAGACGGTGTGTTCATACCTGAGGACGGTAAATTAGACAGTTAGTAGAGGGATGGACTATAGTACCTTTAACCTGCTCAAGGAGCTGTAGCTGAGAGCGAGAGTCCTTGGGCTTCAAAGGTAAGTTCCTAGGTTTCGGATTGCGGCTCTCGTCCCTGATTTTCCTATCCAGATTGATAGCCTCGTTTGAGTGCTGATCAGCGAGGGATAGGAGGTGCTTTGAAATCTAAGGCATAGTGTTAGTGTACTATTAAACAAAGGATACTCTCTAGTCACTTTACTATCTGTCGTCTGCGTTGCAGCCAGTCTGAAGTCACTCGCCGCTCTCTGATGAGCTGATAAAGAAGATTTAAATTCATTATTGCTATAGTGTTCTCTCGCTAGTTGAGATTGCATATGCGCTCTCGATAAAGGTGAAATCGTTGAATTTTCCATCGAACTCGTATCACAACAAGTTGTTTCTTGAACTCGAACGTTGAAAATATGGGAAGGAAGTCTAGTAGGTTTTATTACTAACTAACTCAACTCTATTCTAAACTCTACGGCAGAACAAAAGCAATCAGATCCAACGCCTTACGAACCTAGACAAGCTCACGGCACTCGAGTAACCAAAAGGAAAGCTAAAGACGCTGCTATCGAGCAATCCAAGAGACAGAAGAGTGAAGCCGCATCAGCTAAGAAATCTAAACCAGCTGCTTCACAACCTGGAGCGCAGAAGAAGCAGCTAAAACTTGCTTCAAATAAGCAGAAAGCGAGAGCGTGAGTTATTTAGCTTCACATAATACTAATCACTCATTATATACCCTCACAGTGCAACTCCTTCCTCAGAAGAAGAAGAGGAAGACAGTGATGAAGGAGAAATTGACGAGAACGATCTTGATTTGGCTGATTTGGAAGCTGGAGAGTCTGATGATGGTGCCCTCGATGACGAATTCGACTTGGAGGATGCAGACGGTCTAGACGATGCTGATCGTCAACCTGCACAAGATTTGGTCTTCTCTGACGAAGACGAGGAGAGTGAAGAGGCTAGTGACGAAAGTGACGACGATAGCCAAGCTGAAGGTCTCGAACCAAAAGGAGAGAAGCTTACTGCTAAGAAATCACGCAAGTTAGAACAAGAAGCTCTCGAGGAGGAAGCCGAGGCTGAAGCTGAGTACGTCCACTCTATACTCTCTATCTACTCCTAACATTACCATCCAGAATGCTCAGAACTAACATCGCAGGCTTGATGCCTAACGAAATGGGCGAGATCGATGACGATATGGTCCTCCCAACCGAGGAAGAGAAGGAGAGAGAAGCCACCGAAGGCCAAGATGCCCAAGTTGTTTATGGTCGTATTAGAGATATTGTTAGGATTCTTGGTGATTTCCGTAGATTTAAAGCTGCTAACAGAAGTCGGGCGGATTACACCCAACAACTCATTGCTGATATCTCATCATACTACGGTTACACACCTTTCTTAGCAGAAAAGCTTTTCTCAATGTTCAGCCCTGATGAGGCAGTTGCGTTCTTCGACGCGAATGAGACACCACGTCCAGTCACGATTAGAGCCAACACACTCAAAACACGTAGAAGGGATCTTGCACAGGCGCTCATCAACCGTGGTGTCTCCCTTGAACCGATCGGAAAATGGACCAAGGTTGGTCTCCAAATATTCGATTCAAACGTTCCAGTTGGTGCGACACCTGAATACCTAGCTGGGCACTATATGTTACAATCACCATCATCATTCTTGCCAGTCATGGCTTTAGATCCACAGCCAAATGAGCGTGTGCTCGATATGGCTAGTGCACCAGGTGGTAAAACGAGTTACATGTCAGCCTTGATGCAAAATACCGGTGTTGTATTCGCAAATGATGCCAACGCTGCTAGAACTAAAAGTTTGAGTGCTAATGTTCACAGACTGGGTTGTAAGAACGTCGTCGTTTGTACCCATGATGGTAGACAATTCCCAAAGGTTATTGGTGGATTCGATAGAGTGTGAGTGAAATACTCTCATGAGAAAACTTCTCTAACTACGATATAGTCTCTTGGATGCTCCATGTAGTGGTACAGGTGTTGTCAGCAAGGATCAGAGTGTCAAGGTTAACAAGGTGGGTCTTATATCGATTATAATGACATAACTAACAAATCAAACAAGACTGAACGTGACTTTGCTTTGCTTTCCCACCTTCAAAAGCAACTTATTTTATGTGCAATTGATTCTATTAACACGAAATCAGCTACAGGTGGTTTCGTAGTCTATTCCACTTGTTCAGTAACAGTTGATGAAGACGAGGGTGTCGTTGACTACGCTTTGAAGAAGAGACCAAATGTTAAACTAGTTGATACTGGGTTAGAATTTGGTGTTGAAGGATTCACCAACATTGGCGGCAAACAGTTCCACAAGGATATGCACTTGACGAGACGTTTCTACCCACACGTGCACAACATGGAAGGTTTCTTTGTTTCTAAGCTCCAAGTTCTTCCACGTTCAGTTTTAAAGAACAAGCTGCAGCAGGCTGAGGAGAAAGAAGAGAACGACGAGCGTCTCGAAGAGGATGACAATGAGGCTGGTGCTGATGTTACATTCAACGATGATGAAGACAAAGCACTGATGGAGAGTGAGTATTTTACACTGACGAGAAACTGTTTAACAAAGACACAGAAAACCAACGCCGCCAACAAAAAGCTAGAGGTATCAAGCCACAGCAACCTAAAACCAAGTAATTTATTTTTTCGTCTGCTTTTATACATTAGAGATTTTACCTGATAGCTTCGGCTGTGATAGGAATTACGGGAGGGCACATGAGTGGGTGCTGTGAAATAATAAATAAGCGTATAAATAGACAATTTATGCTCTAATTGCTGTATTTCTCTCTATATCTGATATAGTTTTTTTAGTGATATCTGCGATTTGATTCGTCTCTACGTTACTTCCTTACATCGAGGGCTACAAAATGCTCAGACTAAGAAATATCCGCGGCTGTCAGTATATTTTGTTTTTTAAGCTATTCTAACGAAATAACAGCAGCGCTCGCGGGACAGCGTGCATTCTCAACTTCAAAGTCGCTCAGCAGAGTTGTAGCTAACGAGCCATTGAAAGCTAAGCAAGCAGAGAACAACGTCGGTTTGCTATATCTCACTAGAGCTACCCAGTTAACCCATTAACAGGCTTTTGCTTCTTCAAACTACCCAGTTATTGACGTGAGTATATCAAGAACAGTGGGATGAAATTCTAACTCTTTTTAGCACGAATACGACGCATTAGTAGTGTGAGAATATATCTATCTACTCGTTTTAGCATGCTAACCACTCAACAGCGGTGCCGGCGGTTCCGGTCTTCGTGCTGCATTTGGTCTCGCAGAAGCGGGATTCAAGACAGCTTGTATTACTAAGCTCTTCCCTACGCGTTCCCACACCGTCGCTGCACAAGTACGTTCTTAGCACTCTCTTTTCCCCAACTAACTCACTTAGGGTGGTATTAACGCTGCACTTGGAAACATGACACAAGACGACTGGAGATGGCACATGTACGATACCGTGAGTTACTTTAACCCCGTCCCACTTTCTACTCACTCATTTCAGGTCAAAGGTTCAGATTGGCTCGGTGACCAAGATGCTATCCACTATATGTGTCGTGAAGCACCACGTACCGTCGTTGAGCTCGAACATTTCGGTGTTCCTTTCTCACGTACCGCTGATGGAAAGATCTACCAGCGTGCCTTCGGTGGTCAATCCCTCGAATACGGTAAGGGTGGTCAAGCATACAGATGTGCAGCAGCTGCAGACCGTACTGGACACGCTCTTTTACACACACTCTATGGTCAATCCCTTAGACATAACACCAACTTCTTCATCGAATACTTTGCATTGGATTTGATCATGGAAGATGGCGAATGTGTCGGTGTTATGGCACTCAACATGGAAGACGGTACTCTCCACAGATTCCGTTCACACAAGACTGTTCTTGCTACTGGTGGATACGGTCGCTCTTACTTCTCATGTACCTCCGCTCACACTTGTACCGGTGATGGTAACGCAATGGTCTCAAGAGCAGGTTTACCACTTCAAGATTTAGAGTTCGTTCAATTCCACCCAACTGGTATCTACGGTGCTGGTTGTCTTATCACTGAAGGTTCCCGTGGTGAAGGTGGTTACCTCCTTAACTCTGAAGGTGAACGTTTCATGGAACGTTACGCACCAACTGCTAAGGATTTGGCTTCACGTGACGTCGTTTCACGTTCGATGACTCTCGAAATCCGTGAAGGTCGTGGTGTCGGTCCAGAGAAAGATCACATTTACTTGCAATTGTCACACTTACCACCTGAAGTCCTTCACGAAAGACTTCCAGGTATCTCTGAAACTGCTGCCATTTTCTCCGGTGTCGACGTAACAAAGGAGCCAATTCCAGTATTGCCAACTGTTCACTACAACATGGGTGGTATTCCAACCAAGTGGACAGGTGAGGTTTTAACAATTGACGACCAAGGTAATGACAAGGTTGTACCTGGTTTGTATGCAGCAGGTGAAGCAGCATGTGTATCCGTACACGGTGCTAACAGATTGGGTGCCAACTCACTCCTTGACATTGTTGTCTTTGGTAGAGCATGTGCCAACCACATTAGAGATACATGGGAAGCCGGTAAACCACACAAGAAGATCTCCGAAAACGCAGGTTTATTCTCGATAGAAAATCTCGATAAGGTTAGAAACGCAACCGGACCAAAGCCAACATCAGACATTAGATTAGATATGCAAAAGGTTATGCAATCTGATGCAGCAGTTTTCAGAACTGAAGAGAGTTTGCAAGAGGGTGTAGAGAAGATGAGAAAGGTTTACGATTCATACGCACAATTGGGTATAACCGACAGATCAATGATTTGGAACACTGACCTTGTTGAATCGTTAGAATTGACGAACTTGTTGCAATGTGCTATGCAGACTATTGTCGCAGCAGCCAACCGTAAAGAATCACGTGGTGCACACGCCAGAGAAGACTACAGCGAGCGTGATGATGAAAACTGGATGAAGCACACATTGACATTCCAGAAGGACGTTGAGAGCAACCACGTCGATCTCACCTACCGCGCCGTTGAAGGTAACACACTCGACGAGAGTGAATGTAAAGCAGTACCACCATTTAAGCGTTCTTATTAGATGCTTTAATGAATTTCTAATATATTTTTTATTTTCTAAGAACAAATGGATATAGCATTTTTGATATACGACTTTGGCATAGCGTCTTACACTTACGCTTACTTCGGCTATCTAGGCTTTTCATATGACGATCATGAGTGTAACGTTTAAAGATAAAGTTGTAGTTATTACAGGAGCTGGTGGTGGATTGGGTAGAACGTGAGTGCAACACTACCGCTAGTCCACACACTGAGATATCAGCTACTCGCTACTCTTCGCAAAGAGAGGTGCGAAAGTCGTAGTGAACGACGTATCAATAAAAGCAGCCCAAGCTGTCGTTGATGAGATAAAGAAGAGTTAGTAGCATATCTCTATCTTGACTATCTCACGCTCTTTAGATGGCGGTCAAGCGGTCGCAGACGCAAATTCTGTCACTGAGGGCGCTAAAGTTATCAGCACGGCCGTCAGCGTGTTCGGCACCGTCCATATTCTTATTAATAACGCCGGTGTGTATGAATTGCATCATACGTCATTATCTCACAAAGACAGGCATCCTAAGGGATCGCTCATTTGCGAAGATGTCTGACGAAGTGAGTGGCATACGCCCTACAATACCATTCTAACAACCTCAGGAATGGGACCAAGTCGTCGCTATTCACCTGAAAGGCTCTTACTCTTGCACGAAAGCTGCATGGCCGATATTCAGGTACTTAGTCTCTACTTATTAGTACGCAGAGGCTAATACACACTCACAGAAATCAGAAATTCGGCCGTATCATTAATACAGCCTCAGCTGCAGGTCTTTAGTACGTCCAACCTTACGACGAGGTACACCTAACAAATCACAGTGGTAACAGAGGCCAAGCAGTGCGTTACACAATTACAACACACCTCTTCTAACCTGATCATAGAATTACAGCGCTGCCAAGATGGGCTTGACTGCCTTCTCAAAGACCTTAGCCAGTGTGTTAAGAATCAGCTACCTATTACATTCTAACACATCACAGTTGAAGGCGCAAAGTATAACATCCGAGCAAATACTATCGTACCGGTGAGTAATCACCCAACTACAATCGATATGCTAACAAAAGCTCTCAGATGGCCAAGAGTGCAATGGTAGGGTGTTTAACCGACTATTATTCCTCCCCTAACACCATACAGACTGAAACAGTCCTTCCTGCTGACATACTTGAAAATTTGTTGCCAGAAGCTGTCGCACCTTTCGTCGCCTTCTTGTGCGCACCAGATGAGGCTGGCTCACCAGAAGCAGGTCCTATCACTGGAAGGTAGGTTTTACAAGCCGTGATATATCCATACTCAGGCTTTCTTTAGAGTATTCGAACTCGGCGCTGGTTACTGCACAGAACTTCGCTGGGAGCGTGCAAAAGGTAATGATCAAATAATACTATGGATCTCCTTAACAGGCTTATAGGCCAAATCTTCAAGCCTGATGAGAGCTTTACACCATCGGCAGTCAAAGCCCAAGTGTGTCACTTTTCACTACATATATCTGAGCTTACAGATACACAGTGGCACAACGTCACCGACTTCGGTCAAGGCAGTGAATACCCCCAGAAAGTCTCAGATTCCCATGGTAAGATTGAGGTGGGTTGAATCTATCTACTTAATGAAACTTGCAGCTTACAAAATTCAGGAAGTAACCAAGTTAGCACCAAAGTTGCCAGCAAACAAGCAATCAGATCCTGAAGTACGTTTCGACAAACAAACAGTAATCGTCACCGGTAGTGGTGCAGGTCTTGGCCGCATCTATGCTCTTATGTTCGCAAACTTGGGAGCAAACGTCGTTATAAATGACGTCTCAGAGAAAGCTGCCTTGGGTGTGGTTGACGAAGTCAAGAAAGCTGGTAAAGGTAATGCAATCGCTGTCATCGGTAGTGCAGAAGAAGGTGAAAGACTTGTCAACGAAGCTATCAAGGCGTTCGGTCGTGTTGATGCCTTAGTTGCCAATGCAGGTATTTTGCGCGACAAGAGCTTTGCTGGTATGAGCGATGCTGAGTGGGATGCTGTCGTTGCTGTCCACCTCAGGGGTACCTACAAGGTGAGACTCTCGGGAGACTCAAACAGCTTAGCCTAACTGCGTATTTAGTGTATCAAGGCTGTCTTCCCTGTCTTCCAGAAACAAGGTTATGGTCGTATTGTCACTACTGCTTCCGGTGTATCTCTCCATGGTAACTTTGGACAAGCTGTGGGTAGTCCTGCTAGCGAAATAGACTTACTCAAAACACTCTAGAATTACTCATCCGCTAAGGCTGCCATTATCGGCTTAACTCGTACTGTTGCGATCGAAGGAGAGAAATACGGGTAAGACAAAAGCCAGGCTAGTCCTCGGAAGTCCGTCACTGATGAATATTTTAGTATACTTGCGAACTCCATCGTTCCTACAGCTGGAACTGCGGTAGGTTTTAAAAAAGAAAAGAAAGGTATCTGATTGGTGTGAAAAGATGACTGCGACCGTTTGGCCCGAGGAGATGGTCAAAATCTTCAAGGTTTGTAAAAGATTATGATACTTGATGACAAAGATTGACCTAAGGTAGCCGGACTACGTCGCTCCAATTGTCGGATATCTCGTTTCTAAAGGTATGTCGTAATCGTCGCGCCGGAGATGTCCGTAGTCTTAGTAAAAATTATAGATAATGAGGATACAGGCAAATTAATTGAAGTTGCTGCAGGATGGGCAGCGGCAGTACGCTACCAGAGAGCAGGTGGTCATCGTTACGATGGCCCTAGATACAGCCCAGAAGACGTATCAATCAACTGGAAGCGTATCGCTGGCTTCGACGACGGTAGAGCACACTACCCGACATCTACGGCTGACTCGCTTATGAAGGTAAGTCGGTAGTTGCTGTGTAAACTGCTGACTTTTATTCGATTAGTTCCTTGAAAGCTCAAAAGATGCGAAGCTATAAAGAAATAAAGAATGTATTACTAAATCTTTTTTACGATCTGAATTTTTTACATTTTCTTGTCCTAAAGATCGGCGTTAGTTAGCGTCCCACCTGACCTCCTCGGATGGACAAGCCTGCGAGACAGTCAAATGTTGTATGCGTCGACAAAAAGTCTTTTTAAAAAAGTAATTTTCTAAGTAATTGACTATCGGGTTTTAAAATTAATAATAATTCCGGTGACTTTTGACTAATTATTTCATATAAACGAATTCAAGGCACAACTTCTCCAGGTTTTTGAAGTTTTAGGCCCCACGTGTCTCTTTATTGGCCATTCTTGTAAAAGAACGTCGTGACAAATGAACTACAAATCAATGCGCTTCGAAGGAAATCATGGGGGTAATAGCGCAGGTGGTTCATCAGTCTCAGTTGAAACTAGAGCACCAATTGGAGCTTACAGTTTACCTCTACCTAAGCGAGAATATAATAATTCTGATATGAGCTCACATCAGCAGCAAAACCACCAGCAACAAACTCCACATACACAACAAGCAGATCCCCAATCAAAACCTCTAGCTGGAAACACATCAAATAGCTCAATGGAGCACAGCAGCAGTAGTAACAGCTTTAGACCTTTACAAACGAAATCAATATACAGTGGTCCTATACCCCCACCATCCTTATTCAGAAATAGCACCGATGACTCACAGCAAACACATGTTCCCCCGACATTGCCACCGCTTATGAGCGTTGAAGGCCTCGATGGCGGCGTTACACGGAAGCGTAAGTCCTCAGACATGAGTGGACATAGTCAGCAGTCCGAGGAAGAACGGAAAGTTTCGCCCCGGACGACATCCGCGAGGATACAACAACCACAACAAGCACCAAAACGCGGGAAAAGTGCGCGTAGGAGGGCTTGCGAAGAGTGCGCTCGTGCCAAGGCTCGATGCAAAGTTGAACCCGGTGACTCGGCCAATCCACCCATGTGTACCCGGTGTAAAATGTACGGACACAACTGCGTTTTACCCGAAGGTTACGTTATTGATAGTGACTGGTTTGACCAAGAGGATAGTCCAAAGAAGAGTGCTAGGCGAAATACCATCAATAGCATAGATAGTGAGAGAGAACGAGAAAGACAGAGAATGATGGCGGTTGATCCACCATATTATTACCCTTCTCCACCGCAATCGTACAATAGATTTGTACCACCGCCAGGTGCATATGTCTTTCCTCAGCAGCAGCAACAACAACAACAACCACCGATGCAACCACAGGTGCAGCAATCTAACAGATACGGTTACCCTGCTATGTATTATCCTCCCTCACCTGCTCCCTCGATGGATGTAGCTTTCTTACGTAAGTATTCAGATTCATTCTGATACTCATCTGACAAATTAATAGAAGCTGAAATGGCTAGTCATCCATTCCTCAGAAATATTGCTGGATATGATCTTAGCAGATTGTCACTTTTCCTCTCAGCAGCTGTACGTGTTGGTATTACGCAGATTTCAAACCAACCAGGGCAAAGCTCACAAGGGCCAGCACCAGATGAAAGATAAGCTTGGATATAGATAAAGAAACATGTATAAATAGTCAGTATATATAAATTATTTAAAACTCTAACTTTGGTTTACCAAATGCTGTTGTTTTATTATCAATTCCACGACGAATGTGTTCGTCATCGAGTGATTCTAGACGATGCAATTCACTACGCGTGTATTCTACTAAACTATTTATGTAGATTGGTATCCCGACTTCCATAGCTTGACCTTGTATACCCTCCTCTTCTCTGACGATTCTACCTGAAGGTGATAATTCCATATCACCGGAGTCGATCTCTTCTTTTACACCTCTTCCTGAGTAAATGTTTCTCCAGAATGCAGCGGCTAAGACGGCGTCACCACGAATGAGTCCTTCGTCGTAGGCTACACCACTACCACGCCACATTTCAAGATATGCCATCATGTAACTCTTTATTGTACGTTCTTGGGTAATTTTAAAGTTATTTCTAATACGTGATTCTATGTCTATGAAGAAGTGATTGATGAGCTCTTGTACATACATTCTCCCGAGTGGTTCTGGGAGTGCTCTAAACCTGACAGTCAGCATCCAAATATGAAGGTTTGTGAGGTGAAACCAGGTGTTGAATGTAGGTGGTAGGTGTGCTTCCTTCAAGAAATTCAGTTGATCTTTATCCCATTCAGCGCATATATCATAATAGTCGGACGTGGTCCTTATAGCAGTGCTAGTGTCGCTATTGTATCCAAATAACTTGGCTATACCAAATGCGACCTTCTTCGTGAGATCAGAATGCTGTTTAGGTGGTCTAGCCTTTGGTGATAACGGTGTTGGTTCTAAGAAACGTTTATTTTGTTGATTGTGCTGTAGTCTAATAGCCTGTCTACTTAAGTGCGCTACCAGTGGCTGCTTATTCGCTAGACTTCGTATTGCTAACATGAGAGTTAAGAGTCAGGAATACTTCTCTCTTCAGAACTACCACAATGGATCAAGAGGAAGTTATTTTTGCAGCCAGATTAAATGAGAGAGAAGAATTAGAAGATTTTATCAATGAATACGGTTTAGATGCAGTTTTAAACGCTAGGGATGAGAGATCGAATTCAATTCTTCACATGTTATCAGCTAATAACCACTACGAACTATTGAAGGCTGTAATTAAGTTTGAGGACGACGCATTCATTGAAAAATACTCGAGTTTGTTAGAGAACACACTCCTTCATCAGAACGAATCAAAGTCTACGGCTTTACACTGGGCATCTACGAACGGAAACAAAGAAGTCGCTATCTTCTTATGCGATTTGTCAAAGAAGCTCAAGGGCGAGGTTGAGCACAAGCTCACGTTCTCTACCAACCAATCTGGTCAGAGTGCTGCATCTGAGGCAGAGAGAGGTGGACACGATGATTTAGTCGTAGAATTGTTAGCCAGAATGGATGCATTAGACAACGGTACACAAAAGCAAGAAAACGAGAAGGAAGAATCTCAAGGAGATGCTAACGGAGAAGACACAGAGGACGTCGTACTCAAAGTTGGTGATACAAACGAGATAACGAACAAAGTGGATGAAATTAATTTATAGAGTTTTTTGTATTTATCATTTATTTCGTTTTTCCGCTTTACACTCAACTTCCCCATCTAGCCGAGATCGATAGCAGATGTTCATCTCTTAGGCTCATACACCCATGGATATACACACTAAGAAGCGTAAGAGATTGACCAAGGTGAGTATCTCCGCTCTCAGTCTGCCATCTCTCACGTTTACATTTACAGGCATGCGATAACTGCCATAAAGTTTGTTTACTCTCTATCCACTGATAGATCGTTGATAAAGATACAGAACAAACGTCGCTGTGATGGTTTTTTACCCTGTTCAAATTGGTTCGTTCTACTTGGCTCTCACTTTTCTTATCAGCTAAACACACCACAGCGACTTCTCAGGAAAGCAATGTTCTTACAGTGACAACAATGGACACGCTATTCCACCACCTAAGAGTCGCTCAGAGAAGGAGCATGAATCCCACCTCAAACTCAAAACTGAGTACAACTTATTCACCAGCGATAGTCACGGTGAAAACAGCAGAGCTCTCCTGAATGATCCCATACTCAAGAAGGAACTCGTTATTCTCTTTCTCGATCATATGTATCCCTTCAACTTGATGTTTCACAAGCCAAGTTTACTCTACGCCTTAGAGAAGGACAGGTTGAGTCCTATGCTCCTCAACTCGATATTCGGACTTTCTGCACGTCTCAGTCCTCATCCGAAGTTCCAACAAATAGAAGCATGGAGAACTGGTGTTGATTTTGCTGCTATTGCAAGACGTATTCTTCTGGTACCAAACGAACTTGGCTCGTGCGCACTCGACGAGCCTAAATTAGAGGTTATACAGACTGCTGTTCTCCTCGCCGCTCACGATTTTGGTGTTGGTTTTTTCAATCGTGCCTATACTTATCTAGGTGAGCGAGTAGCAGATATCCGTAGATTATGCATTCTCATACACACTAGGCATGGCTATATCGCAACTCAAAACACTTGGTCTCAATCACGACGACTTTGTCTTACCAGCTCCGGAAGACACTCGAGAAAAGTGGATAGGCAGAGAAGAGAGGCGAAGAACAGCCTGGTGTGTCATCATGCTCGACTCCATTGCTGCAGCTATAAATGGTCGAGCGAAGCCATTTGAAGAACATGACTTGAAAGTCTTCCTGCCTGCTGACGATGTCGCGTTTGAGCTGGCTGTAGGAAACACATCAAATAGGGGTGAGTCTGGTATACTGAGCTACCGATACATATGCTAACCTAATTATGAAGAATTTATTAACAGCACACCCTCGAATGACCAATCAACCACGGAATTTGGGTACCTCATCAGAATAGTCAATATATTTTCAAATGTAAGTGCTGAACCTATCATTATAAGTTTTATTTGACGCTTAGTTAGGTCATGGGATATATTTACTTCCACGAAAAAGAGCGTATGGCAAACTCCTCAGACAGGTCGACGATGTCTAGTAAGACAAACACGGAATCACCTTATTCAAGCCAAGCATGCAAGCATGCATTGGCACAATGGTCACAATCATTGCCACATCATCTAGAATTGAGTAGCATAAATCTCAATTTGGCTGTTATGTCAATGCAAGCAGGCGCTAACTCATCTGGATGGTGTTACGCACTCATGCACGCCTTTGCTGAATGTAGTGTATTCTATTTACATTCTGTGAGTGTAATCGTGGGGTTTTCTCTTATACCTATTAACATACTTTTACTAGACGGCTGAGTCAAATACCACTGAAGAGGCTGTTCGAAGTAGTGCAGATAGACAAAACCAAAGTGTAGGGAATATGAGAGCAATCATAGATGCATTGACTATTACCGGTCGCAAGAGTCCCCTCTTGATATACTTTGTCTATGTCATCTCAAGTGGGTTTGGATTTTCTTGACTTTTTATTCTGACATAAACCTAAGAATGGCAATTACATGTGCAAGGAGCACTTGACGCATCGATAGCAGACATATGGGATGACGAAATAGCAGATTTATGGCATATTGACAAGTCCATACTAACTGGCGGAAATCCACCACCTGTTTTGGAAGAAGTTGCTAGTGAGGATAGCGACAACATTGAAGAGCAGCCAGCCCCAGCGAACACAATGGACACTATCGCTAATATACTTGAAAATGCGACGAATACAACTGTGAATTTGAACACAAGTGTGAATCCCTTGGACCTTGATTTGTTGCCCAGTCGCGATACTTTCCTATCTCCGTCGTTTCCAGATATATTCGTACCCCCGATTAATGGAAGTGAGCAAGACAAGCCGACATTAGGATTAGGAATAAATTGATATATTAGCTATAAAACGGTATTAGTAGTCATTTGTAAAATAAAACGTTGTTTATTCACTATCGATTTTTATCAACTGATAATCTGATCAATTGTCTCTTGATTTCTAACAACGATGAGCAGCCCTTACTATAGGTTCTTTCAACGCACAGTAGAGCAGATAGCTCAGCGTTCAAAAATCAGTAAGTTATTCTAATCACACAAGTGGCGTGCTGACGACATTTACAGTAGCCAATGCATCACCAACACCGAATACACCACCTGTCAGGATGGCTACACTCCGGAGTAGCTCAGATTTAGCTAATTTCGCTGTTGGTTGCGACGCAGATATAGGTGGAAAGAGTGAAGCAATCTTGGATTACATACCACAATCTTCCGGAGCGGGTGATGAACACGGACATGGAAAATTTCGCGGCGTTCTCAATCCATTCGTACCAGAATCTTGGAAGAAAACATTAGAAGATGGTCAAACTGCGAAGAGTGGTTATGCAGGTTTTAGGACAAAGACCCGTACGACACTTTTCGGTACAGCTTGTTGGGATTTATCTTTACATCCATATCTCGCTATGAGAGTCAGGAATAACTTCAAAGGTGATTCAAAGAGCGGATTCTTTATCAACATTCAAACCGAAGGTGCAGTACGCACAGATTTATTCCAACATCGTTTACATATCTTCGGGAATGATTGGCAAACACTCGTCGTTCCACTTAGCTCGTTTGTACTCACAAATGCCGGTGAGACCTCTGATCAACAACTGCCAATGTTACGAGAGAAGATCAGAACTGTTGGTTTAAGTTTATTGGCTAAACCAGATGGTGATAAACTTGGTAGAGTTGAAAACACTCAAGAAAACTTCGATTTGGATATCGAATGGATAGAAGGTTGGAATGATGCTGAAAATGGTCACAAAAATGATAATCAAATTGACGAGAAGGCGGGAAATCTATAAAAGATGACTTTACAATACTTTTAATAATAATGATGATGCCTCAATAAATATAATGATGCTCTTGATTATGTCATATTCTGACTAACTCTAGTACGAGTTTCTGCCAATTGCCGTTGAAATGTTTTGAAAATGTCTTGTTGTGTTGGAATGTCTTGATGCTCTTGTTGGAATTGCAACTGTTGTTGCTGCTCTTCTCGCTCCTCGTAGAGGTAGTAATCTGCAATCAATGATCGAGCTCTTTCACCAATGTGAGTGTCATTCAGACCTTCAGTGATATCAACATTGAGGAAGTCTGGTAGACAATTATCATAAGAATCTAAGCTATGAGTAGTACTCGTAGTTGATACAGTGCTGCTAGAGCTACAACTGGAGCTTATGCCAACTCTATCATCTTGGTAAATAGTCCCAAGATCCACTGATGAGATGTCCATCATATCATTCATATATTTGAAAGCAGACGGTGGTGGTGGTAGTGGTGCTATGTCATTGGTTGTTGGGATGTTACCAAATATGTCATTGATATAGTGGTAGTTATCAACCCCTATAACATTATCAACTCCAACATCAGTACCCAATACGTAATTATTGTTGGCCCATTCATTTGCAAGATTGGTAGCAGTTTCCGGTGCAAACATTACTTCAGGGTCGTATGCGAAATCGTCAAACGATATTCTGTTATCACTTTGATTTACCAAAGCGTTACTATCATAAATACCTAGATCTGAATCGTGAACTAAGTTTGTTGAGATGTTGGTCATGTCATTCTCAACTTCCATTGGTAACGTGAAGGTTGGATCGGGAAGAGAGAGCAGGGGTGATCCAGGCCGAATATAGCGATCATCGCTGCCCTTGTGATGGTGGGATTTACGCATTATGTCGACCGTTCGAACTTCTTCCTCTTGTTTGCATCGTTTGCGTCTTTCACCACGTACTTTTACATTACGACGTAACTGACGTTCAGCTCGTTGACTACATTTGTAATCATAGTCGTCATCATCACCTTCACCTTCACCATCACTGCTACAGAGTTGTTTCAGTGGAGTCTTGGTTTTCAAATTTTTATGATTCTTCTGAGTCTTCTGGGCTGTCTTGGTAATTTGAGTCTTTCGGTGGTGAGAGACGCTACGTACAGTTCTCGTACCAATTTTTGCGATTCTGTCATGCTTACGATTTGGTCTGAACTTGTATTTAGGATACTTTAGCATATGTTCCCGCCTAGCTTCGTTCGCTTTTTCCTGATAGATATGTTTGACTTGTATATTCTCACTACGCCATTTGATACCAATCATCTTACTTAGCTCTGTCTGGTTGAGCTTTGACATGTCCGTACCAGCAGTGTTCCTGGACGACATTAGCTAGAGAATGCAAGAATTCTAAACACTCACTTCATCTCCTCAATACTCTCTGATCTGTAGAGTATCCATGCACTACCTTACATCAGCTTTGCTTTACATTCTCTTATACTCACTTTGGAGGTCGTGGTATCTTTGTCTTGGATTTTGGCCGTTCTTCAGGTCTATTATATGGGTGATCAGAAATTTCGGATGATATTGAAGCGGCTGTAAGCGCTTCAGTAGATGCTCTCGTAGTGTTCTACACCTACTATCATCATCTTTGTAGTCTTTGTCGTGGTTTTCCATTTTGCGCCGGCTTTGAGATGTGGTTACAAAGCAACCTTGTTTCAATCTAACATGATTCTTTCCGCATCACCCTCATATCTTTACGTACCTTTTTTCATTGAGAACAATGGAGAGTTATGCACTATATCGTCATCATCTTTGTTTGTTGTCTAGTAACTCTCCAGAAATGGCGACATCCGATTCCACATTATTCTAGATATATATTTGTATATTCATCGCATCATTTTCCTTATTTATGTTGCTTCTGCTATTGATTAAATCAAAATTCTCTCATGCAGGGACCGAAAATGCGTTTTTATCAAGCAATTTCGGAATGAATGACGGCATCTACATTCGTTCTAAAGCTACAAAGTAATGACGAATTTCTGGTCTGTGGACGTTTGATTCTGCACTGCTTTCCTCTGCGATTATTGACCATTCATGAGTGACAGTCCAGAGGTTGCACGTTCCAGCAAGTGATTCAAGGCGATAAGGCGAATATGAGCAGAATACCCACCTAGTGCCTGTTTTACATACTTTCGCGAGGTTTATAGCCATTGCGGCCGCTGGTGCGGTCGGTTTACCATCCAATTGAATATCTTCGCCAGTGCTGAGTGAATCTGAGGTGCTTTTATCAGCTATGAGATCTATATTCGCGTCCGAGAGTGCATTAACAACGTCTTCCTCTTTGAGTAGATCAACTATGTAGAAATGCTGATTATCGTTATCTTTGTTGAGTTCTTTTGATCGCTCTATAGCGACTGAAGAATAATCAAGGTTATGGATTGCTGCAGATTTATTAAAAACCCTAATAGAAGCTGAAAGATTGCTATTGCCGCATCCTATATTGCAAATTGACTTTGCAGATGCGATATAGGATTTAGTTTGCTCAACGAAACAATCTGAGCTAACTAACCACTCAAATTCTCGCTCTTTTCTAAACCTATTATCCCAATAAACTGGATTCCAAAATTCTGTCATAAGAAGGTCTTCTCTTTACGATCATGAGCGATATCAGAGAGAGTGAAGAATCATTCGCCAAATTTGATCATTTGCTCGATAAGCGTTTACTTAGAGCACTCGCAGATCTTGGTTTCGCTAGGCCTACGCTTGTACAAGCTAAAGCTGTACCTTTGGCCTTGAACGGCAAGGATATCCTAGCAAGAGCGAAAACAGGATCTGGAAAGACATTAGCATATTTATTACCAATTGCACAAAAAGTACTAGCAGAAAAAGACGACGGTGATAGTAAACCAGAAACTAGAGCTTTGATATTGGTACCAACGAGGGAGCTATCAGAGCAAGTGAGCAGCCATCTGAAAAGTCTTTTAAAGTACTCTCAAAAGGAAGTTTCACAAGTCAATCTAGCTGGTAGCGGTACCGATAATAAATTTCAACGCTTACTTTTAAGTGATAAACCAGATATCGTTATATCAACGCCATCAAGACTTATTGGACACCTTCAATCAAAATCCTTATCACTCTCTACTCTCAAGACTCTCGCAATTGATGAGGCTGATTTGATTTTATCATACGGTCACGCAGACGACGTGAAAGCACTCTTATCTGGTGGATACCTTCCTAAAATTTACCAATCATTCTTAATGTCAGCTACTATGACTCAGGATGTTGAAAAGTTACGCGGAATGGTATTAAGAAATCCTGCTATACTTACACTTGAAGATAATGAAGATGATTCATCAAATCTTAAACAATATTATGTCAAATGCCCAGAGAATGATAAATATCTTCTCACATATGTTCTCCTCAAGTTAAAATTGATAAAAGGCAAAGTTATCATGTTTGTTAATAATGTTGAAAGAGGTTTCAAATTGAGATTATTCCTCGAAGCCTTCGGTATACGTGCTGTAGTACTCAACAGGGAACTTCCAATCAATTCTAGATTTCACATTGTTCAAGAATTCAACAAAGGGGTTTATGATTACATGATCGCAACAGATGAAGCTGGAGCTTTCGATCAAGAAGAAGAGGAAGAGGAAAGTGAAAGTGAATCCGATGGTAACAGTTCTTCTGAAGATGAAGATGAAGATGTCGATAAGGAAATAGAAGAGGTGCTTTCAAGTGCCGGCGAAGAAGATGTACCAGAAGTTGAAATTCCAGCTGCAGAATCCAAAAAGCGCAAGCGTAAAGACAAAGGAAAGCAAAAGGAACAAGATAATAAGAAAACTAAAATGTCGAAAAAAGGAGAGAAAGAATTCGGTATCTCACGTGGAATTGATTTCGTTGACGTTGCATGTGTCATCAACTTTGACTTACCAAAGAATAGTTCCTCCTATACACACAGAGTTGGTAGAACAGCTCGAGCCGGAAGGAGTGGAATTAGTTTAACATTCGTCGTAAATGGTGAGACTAAAAAATCTAAGAGAAATGAGGAGAAAATCTGGAAGAAAATCTCCAAACGTCAGGAAAGAAGAGGTGGTTCTCAGAATTGGGAATTTGACTGGAAGCAAGTTGAAGGTTTCAAGTATAGAGTTAATGATGCACTTAAGATGGTAACACCTAACGCCGTCAAGGAGGCTAGAGTAAAGGAATTGAAGAATGAGATTTTGAATAATGATAAATTAAAGGTATGTTAGATGTTCGGTTATTATGACGTAAATGATAACACCACTTAGGCGCACTTTGAAGATAATCCAGTTGATTATGAGTTCCTTAAGCATGATAAACCATTGCATCCAATGAGACAACAATCACATTTGAAGCATGTACCTGGGTACTTGATGCCAAGAATTGCCGGAGTAAAGCAACCACATCAATTAGAATTAAATCCGGATAAAATTGGCTTTAAAAAGCGTAGCAATAATAAGAAGAAAAAGAGTGATCCTCTTAAGAAATTTAATAGAAAGTGAGAAATTTCACACCCTTCACATTTTGTAAGAATGAATGCATTCCAAATGTTAAATAAATATTCGATGCTAAAAATTTAGTCCAGAAACTAAAAGGAAGCTAAAAGCGATAAGGAAATAATAATTTATATGTTGATCATTTATTGTTATAAGGAAATACATGAAACTGATGAAAAATTTAATAATTCCTAAGTCATTATGAATATGCATACCGGTCGATTTTTATACAATCACTTCCAAAGTGAGGTATTTTTTAAATCTCGCCTCTTTTTATCAGAGCCAACTCTAATTAAAGTGTGAGTTCAAATGGAAAGTAAAACAGTCTGAGTAACAAAGCTAGAAAGAATAGATAATGTTTTCTGTACAACAACATCCTCCACCATTTCAAAGACAAGCTTCTAATGAAATAAACCCGTTCGAAACTATTCTTCCATTGCATGAAGCATTGATTGACTTTAATGGCAACAAAATAATAAACGATTTGGAGTTCATTAACAATCTCCCTAAACCTGCTTCACCTTTATTAACGCCTCAACCACTTGGGGAATTAAACTTAATTGAGTCACCACGGCCATCGACTTCTGAAGGTATAATGAATAAGCCAGCTAGGGATAGAACTGGTGATCAACCAAGACCTAAGAGGCAAAGAAGAAAGCATGACGAAATTGAAAGGTTCTATCACTGCGGTTTTGAAGGCTGTCCAAAGAGTTACGGCACGCTTAACCATTTGAATGCACACGTCATATTTCAAAAACACGGTCCAAAGCGACTTCCAGGAGAGTTTAAAGAAATTAGAGCATATCAAAAAAATAAGAAAAAGGAAGAATTAAAGTTACGCAAGTTAAAAGAGCAAGGTACTTCTCCGAACACACCATATGATGAGACATTACCTTCGCTTCCAAATTCTGCACCACCAACGCAGACTAGCTTTGGAGCCGACGTACATTCACCCGGCCAGGACTTCCTATTATCTGGACCGCCCGTTGGTCTAGAAGAAGCACCAGAATATACCAATGACGTTCTTGGTTTGGGCATACCATTTAGCGCCCCGCCGACGAGAACATCTTTCTTCTCAAACAATGAAGATACAACAGCAGATTTCAGCACGGCTATAAAGAACAATCTGAGTACTTTAACATTGCCCGATAATATATCCGAAGCACTAACGATGATGGAGAACCAACCACATTCTACCAAGTCATCGCCAATTGACCAGCTTGAGTGCTCACCACTCTTGAATGATATCATTAATCAAACACCTCTTAACACACCATTTGAACAATTTGAAACTTTTAATTTATTTGATAGCAACAATTAATCAGTATTTGTCGAACATAACGTTTATTTCATTAATAGCCTCATTTTCATTCCCTGAACCGTGAAAGCCATTCCGTGTATCACTCAAACCGAACTTTGAACGGAAGGTGTCTGGATGACTGTATTTAGCTCTAATGGGTTATTAGAATGGGCATATATGATTGTATAACTCACAAATATAGTTTCGTTGGTCCGATCAGTTCTCGCCATTTTGTTATGACGCTTTATCCGTTATCTTAGATTGACAGTGAGGCACAGATGATTAGTTACTTACTTTTCACCTTCTAAGATGTAAGCCCTAACATCTCCAGATCCCATCGTTAGTATAAGTCTATCATAGAAGAATTTGCCTTTGTGATCAGCATAGAAACGCTCTAACTGGGATTTTGAAGGTTTAAAATGTTTTGTAGCTATAATCTGATAATTCTGTGTTATCAAGTTATTCAATTCCTCAAATAAACTTACTTCTAAACCATGTCGCCGAATTTCCTAGGTATTCCACGCTAATAAGATTGTACATTCGTTAAAATAAATTACTAACAGCTTCAACATTATCAATAATAGTCTTATTTCCTGCTAACTGTGGCTTTATCAAACCCAGCGTTCGGTTCTTCATATCAGTTCAAAATCAACGGAACTCGCCTTGATTCTTATCCATCAGGAAGTAATCAGTAAAAATCTGCTATATGAATAATCAGTTCAACAGTTTAGTTGAACCATACGCATATACCAACAACGAGGAAACGAACGCTCTTAGGAGACATCACACACTTTCTGCGACAGACAGACTACAATACGCTAGGAATAGATTAGAATCAAATAATCTTCCACCTTATCCTTTAAGCCACAACTCATTTGCTAGCCATAATGATGAATCCAGCAATGGTGTGAACTTACACAGAGCGGGTTCTTTGCCTAATAGAACGTTTAAAGCAGCACCGGGTGCCAGCTCATTTAGCAACGTCAACAATGCTCCAAATAATGCAGCAGTTTTATCCTCACTTAAGCACAAGAACAGTTTAAGTGTTATCGATCCAAATGAATCGATCGACGATCTTGAAAGAGAAATTGAGTATACGAGACAGCAAGAGGAAATGCTCTTACAGGCTGCCCAAACTGCCCCTGTAGGTGTACGTCGTCATCAGTCACTCACCTACGGTCAACAGAAACAGCCGATCAAACATGAGCACTTCATCAATAGCGGTGGCGTATACGGTCAAAATTTATCACCACCTGCTTCTACCCGTACGAGAAGTGGATCAGGTTCTCACACGTTTGATTTGACCAGCTCATTGAGGGGCTTGAATCTTGACACTACTTTCAATGACACAAATAATTATAGTCCACCATATACACCACCTTCATATAGTAGCAACAATAGCCAATTTCATAATAATGGGACTTACTACGATCATCAGGAGGAGGTCCAGCAAAATGTACCGCAGAAGAAATTACAATTAGTCACCGATTTTCCTAACCCTCTTTCACAGCGTGGTCCTGTGTCTGCAGCTGCTTACGTCCCACCTATTGGACACACTTCTATAGCTGCTGCCCAAGCTCAGGCTCAAGCCCAGGCACAAGTACAAGCGAATGCCTTACCATCGTTATCTGCTACTGCTTCTTTATGGAACAACAATGAAAGGGAATCGATTGTTGGTAACCGTGGAGCTAATATGAATCCACCAACCTCACATTGGCGGTTAGTACTTGAGATTCATTCGAATTACTTTATTTAACTATCAAATAGATTCGATCCAATAACAGGCCGTGCTTTGACACCACCACAGAAGACACTACAAACTAGATTGCAACAAAGTAATAGCAAATCTCCTTCATCACAATCCCCATCGATGCAAGAAATGTTGTCATCTACAGATATTTCAACGATGGTACAACAAAATGGTTACAATCCTTCCCAATTTGATCTAAACCCTTCACACGCTAGATATTTCGTTATTAAATCCTATACAGAAGATGACGTCCATAAGTCATTAAAGTATAACATTTGGGCATCTACAGAGCTAGGCAATCAAAGATTGGATAGAGCATTCAACGAAAGCGCTAATAGAGGACCAATTTATTTGTTCTTCAGTGTCAATGCCTCTGGACACTTTTGTGGTATGGCACAAATGCTCACACATGTTGATTACACAACCTCATCATCAGTTTGGGCACAAGACGGAAAATGGAAAGGAGTTTTCAAAGTCAGATGGATTTTCGTTAAAGATATACCAAATTCTACACTTAGACATATTAAATTATTGAACACGAATGAGAAAAAGCCAGTAACGAATAGTAGGGATACTACAGAGTTGTTAGATGACGCAGGTAAAGAAATGTTAAACATTTTCTTCCAATTTAATTCAAGAACTTCATTATTACAAGATTTCCAATTCTACGAAATACAATCTATACAGAAGAACGTTGCACAGAGTAATAATAAGATTTCACGTCAATCTCCAAACCTACATGCCAATCCTTTTGCAAATGTCTCTCATCAAGGATGGTGAAGAGATAAAATTATTTATAGACAAAGCACTCTCGTTTTAATAGCACTAATAATGAACTTTCTTTTATACACAAAGCCAAAGCGATTAAATATTTTTTGAACATTGTTTTATGTTTTTTTTTCTTTAGATACATATTAATGGTATATATAAATGAATAAAAATAGATAGCAAAGCTACTCTGTCTTTGCATTTGGTTGATTCCAAGAGAGTAATGTTAAATCACCAACTCTCCGAGGTTTAATCAGTTGACGTAAAGTAAAGATCAAACCAACGAAAACGCAGAAAGCGCCAACAGCAATGAAACAGATACCCAAGAATGGATTTCGACCACCTGCCCAACTGACCGTACTGAAAACTATTGATTTTTTACCACCAAACATTGCAACTGGGTAGTTCATGTAGGCAGTTATTTCGTAAGTACCTGTAGTCATAACGTCATTATCATTTCTGAAATATAATTTATGGAAATTTGGGAAAGCGGCTGGACGCATCCACACTTGGAAGTGTTCGTCTTCTGATAAATGAGGTAATGGATGCTCATCTGAGTAAACACCGCCTGGATAGCGTTTAACCCAGTTTGGAGGTGGTACGTAAGGTTCTTCACCATCAGGGGCAGCATCTGGATATTTATATTTCTTTCCTTCATGTTTCCAAGCGATACCTTTATCAGTCATGTTATATATTATATCGACATCACCCTCTACGTTGTTCAGTTGGCGAGGTTGTGAAAAAGTATCATTGAATTGAGAATTTGCTATTAATCCACATGGATAGATTGGTTTGCCATCACTATCACCTAATGGTTTGCAATCTGCATTATTCAACTGCTGAGCTGTTCTGTATTTTCCTTGAAATTGCAATTGATCGAATGATTTGATGTAACGTCTATGGTTTTGATAGTATCTGTCTAATTTGTAATACATAAATACACTCGCGTCAAGGTCCCTTGGCACGTCAAACCGTATTGTACAACCGGCTTGTCTGGATGGATCAGCTTCATCGGTATTATTAAAAAAGGACCATTGCGGTGGTGTGAAATCGTCGAATGTTGGATAACTATAAGCAGTTGATGGCATATCGCCGAAGTTACCATCGCCCGTTGGTGCCTCTTCATTACAATTTGTATACTCCAGACTAAACTCATGGACCTTTGTAATTATAAGCTGAGTTAGATGAAGTCTTCGGTCTACTCACTCGGTTACTATAAGATAACAAAACGGCTCCTATGGGAGCAAACACCAATCCTATTATGAATAACGTGGGTAAAACTTGCTTAGGAGTTAATATAGGTTGCCAGGCTCTTAGTCTTTGTTGTTTGAATGCAGTATCTGTTGATAGTGATCAGATGAAAGTCTACTATATGATCTAATACACACTCTGTGGCATTCTCATCTTCTTCTTTGGTTTATCCTCATTCTCTTTTGCGTCGCGTGACTTCCTACGGTTCAAAACCATAACGTTCGGGTTCAAGGAACTTCCTCGCAGTTATAATTACATCAATTATTATCAATTTTTAAAATGATGTGAAATGTTTATTTAACAATAACTTTAATTGATATGTATCACATGCTTTAAAAATTAATTATATAAAGATAACAATAACTGATGGCAAAAATTAAACTGCCAAAAATTTAATGCGTGGTATGGGAATCGAACCCATAGCCTCTCATTGAATCCTTAATGGAAGACGAGAATCATAACCATTAGACCAACCACGCTTCTGAAATTTTGCATTTTCACATTGTGTGCTATCGTATATTTTATGAAAACATACTTTTAATTTTATGTATCTTTTTAAAGATGTCACGAAATTGCGATTTTATTTTTGCGCTTCTTAAGTCGCGCGAAAAATGGGATTTGAAAGCATCAGATAAGAGTTTGTGAAATTCCATAAATTTAAGGTTTAAATTATCAAAACAAATACTTTGCTATTCTACAAGGTTTCTAGTTTATTTGGCATTGCTTTTTTCTCGAAAGCACCTCTTACACGTCTCAGTATTACCGTTTGACTTGCTATTTATTATCGATGATCCCTCCACAGGGAGAGATACTTACGAGATTTACAAATATATAATCCATCAGGGCATTGCTTTTCATAGTCTGAGTTTTACGTTCATTTTAGACACACAAGAGTCAAAATCTTAAAGACTGTTTGTACAAGTTAGTACCTTGGACCAGAGACTAACTAGTGTACTCAAATCAAAATCTAACCTATAGAGTGACTGCAATGAAGGACTGAACCATCTCACTTATAGCTTTAAAAGCCCAATCAAACGCGTCGGATAGTGATGATATCAGGATAGTCAAGAAAGTTGGAAGAGAACGGTGTAATAATTCTGGATCAAGGTTGGTATAGATACTAGTGTAGTTAAACAAGTTAATAAACCATATCATAGGCTCTATAGCAACCTACCAAGTTATCACTTCATCAGATGGCTAAAACGCTAATCGTGATGTATACTATATCTGGATAAACAGTCATAAAATAACAAAATGTTTCCTATTAGTTTTGCAGAAGTGCATATTTGACATCATCTTGATATCAACTTCCTTCTTGAACTACAACCATGTCTGATTCTCAGATGCAGTTAGACGGCGATGGTGAGTGAACGGGAACACACGGCCATACACAAGATAACACTCTCTCAGCAGCCGTAAACAGAAAAGGTAGAGGATTTGTCGATGGTCGTAAAAGTGAGTATCTTACATACATCTCTATCACCCGCTCACAGTAATAGACTCTAGCAGGCCTATGGAATATGAGAGATTAGAAGAAGGGATGTCATTTGATACGAAAGCCGCTAAATGTTAGTAGGATACTCCATATATAAACCCTCTAACGTCGTCGTCATTGCAGCTGTTGAAGGATGGGTTGTTATAGTTACAAACGTACACGAAGAAGCGTCAGAGGAGGATGTACAGGATAAATTCGCGGATTATGGCCATATTCGTAATTTACACCTCAATTTAGATAGAAGAACGGGTTACGTTAAGGGATACGCACTCATCGAATTTGAGAACTACGAGGACGCTAAGAAGGCAATCGATGAATCAAATGGTACAGAACTCCTTGAGCAAGCGATACAAGCAGATTTCGCATTCAGCAAACCACCACCAGGTTTCGAGCCAGATAACGACAAGAAGAAGAACAGACGTAGCGCTAGTCCAGCTAGAGAATAAAATAAAATAGTGTAACATATTAATATATTACAATTCATCTAAAGCCCCATTAATTTCATGATTAAGAATCCAAGGGTATCAACGACGGCTGCAGCTAGAATAGTAGCCGGCACGCCATTTAATAAGAAATCATTCGTGTTCAAGTATCGCTCTCCCATAGTATCTTCTTGGTTTATAGCCGCTATATTTGGGAATCCACTCACTGGTAATCCCATACCAGCTGAACAGATCAAGGCGGTAGCCATAATCAAAAGTCTTCCATGAGGAGGGTTGAGATTCTGTCCAACTTGGGTTGCTATTGGTACTAATAATACAGCTGCTATTGTATGTGAAATGAATGTAGCAACGATTGTAGCTAAGACTGAGAAAATGACTAATATTCTCCAAACACCGAATCCATTCACCATTTCTTTGACAGCATCATCAGCTGAATCCAACAACCCTGAACTCATTACACCTTTACCGAGGGCTATACCACCCATAGCCAGATAGACGATGGTCCAAGGGAATGAGTTGAAGTCATGTGGTGACAAAATACCAGTACCAAAGAAAGCAATCAGTGGTAAGATTGCAATAATACCCATATCGCCTATGACACCTTGGAGTGAATGAGCTACACACCATAAAATAATAGTTGTAATAGTGACGATAGTGATATACCATTGCTTGTACGTAAACCTATCCTTTGAAGGTTTCAACATGGTAATGACTGTGCCTTTACCACTTCCATAAGTTAACAAAAGCAAACCCCAAATTAAGACCAGAGTGACCGACGCAACAGGTAATGCAATTACAAACCATTGAAGCCAGTCGAGAGGTGGATCCATTGCATCTAACGCGATAACATTCTGTGGTGAAGCGATAGGTGATGCTTGGCCACCAATATTTGCAGCAAGGGCAATACCAATGATCATACTCTTCGCGTATGGTGATTTTGGCGGTAATTTCCTTAATAATGGTTTAGATAGTGAATAACAAAGAACTGGTGCTGCGACATTAGATATCCACATAGCAGAGAAGCATGCTACACCCATTTGAGCGAGTAGAACTAATTTTGGATCCGTACCAGCTAAGTTTAGTATCCTTATCGCTAAAACGCGATCGATGCCATGCTTAGATAACGCAGCGGCGATAGTGAAACCACCGATGAGTAGAAAGATAGTTGGGTTCATCATTTGAGATAAGATATACTTAGCTGCATCTTCTGCTGCCATTCTATGTCCATCTGGATACTTGACAACGCGGAGGATTACTATAAACAGTGGAACCGACAGTGATGTTACGAATAAAGGTATTGCTTCAGAAGACCATAAAATCACACAAAATACCAGTAAAGCGAGGCAATTTTCTTCACCTTTATCGAACATATTCAAGTTGGTCAATGTAATAAAAACCACTACGGCCGTTATAAAAGCGACCAGTCTACCTGTAAGCCAGGATGGAATGTATTTTGCTATACCTGTTGGTAGTTTCTTCTCCTCGTCTCCAGAATACATTGATTGAATTTGTACACCCTGGGATCTACGTTCTTGGCCGACCATCTGTGTTTTATGAGCTTATTGTTAGTATTCAATGACACTACTCACTTGTCTCCAGACACTATTACGTTCGAGAACGACATACTCGCGTAGATCTATAAGAATTGAGTAATTCGAATACTATATAATGATTTACTCACGGGCTTTGAGTTGGTTTTGAGCTACAGCACGGTTATTGAGGGTAACAACCCTAGCGTAAACCTCCACAAATTGGTTGAGTACATTCTCAATTCTCCGTCTCGAATCATCGGTGAAGGGGTACGCAACGTTGACGACACTATCCATGAATGCGCTCTGAAGTTCATTATCTGTTATTTTGTCAAATCTGACGATCGTTAGGTAAGATTTTTAATATTAATTTACTCACTTTTTAAGAATTTTCTTGAAACCAGTTTTATTGATCTCAGCGTATTGTTTTAGTTCACTAAACTGAACAAAGACCTCGGTCAAGCGTCTTTTAATCATGATACGCTGATCAATTGCATAATTGGATCGTGATGTCCAGATAGACTCGACCTCGTCATCATCAACGTCATTAGTTCTAGATCTGAATATACCAAGTGAAGGTCTTCTAATGACACCGATAGACTTACGGCGAGGTACATCATTTTGAACATCATCTTCGTTGCTATTGCCGTTAAAAGACCTTCTAGTGGAAGGGTGACCGGCTGTCTTGGCCCGTGAATGACCAGGTGAGAAGGGTGCTTTATAGTGTGCTTCCCGTATATCTGTCTCGTGTCGAGTGTGGTCGTTATACTGTTGTGGATCGACGTGTATGGATGATGCAGAAGGCAACTCTAAATCTTGTCTAGTTTGCTTCGTAATCTCATCCTCATCTTCATCACTATCACTATTATCGTTCGGATCATTATCATCATCCTCGTCGTCGTGCTCTGCATGCCTCGAAGGGCTCATATCGTTGATGTCACCATTTGCATTAGTGAAAGCATCAAATTCTAATCTTTTGATAGAATCGAAGAGCTTTTGTCTGTCATTGTCCAATTCAATTTCCTTTTCTTTATAAAATGAGCTTATCCTCTCAACTTCTTTTTCTAACATCGGTGCGAATAGTTTGATAGCTGGTGAATCGTCATCGTTGTTAGTGTAAGATAGCAAAGGTGCTTCAATATCCCTATCGTTGTACGTATGCGTTAGGTCCTTTTCTATTTGGTAAATTTTCTTCTTTAGCTGTGAATACGCAATATAGTGATCTGACCATTCGGGTACGAGATTTATATTAAGTGACTGACTAAATTTCATTCTTCTATTAAGATCCTTTAGTTCTATTTCCTCAATCTTGATTTTATTAATTTTTTGATAATCGAAGTTGAACTTGAACGTAATTCATCATCATTAAATATGGCGTCTGCAGCAGGAAGTGGTTTTGGTAGATTTATGAACTCACCAGCAGGTTAGTAGTCTGCTATTATGGCTATAGTCAATATACTAACCACCTACAGGTCCAAAGTGGGTCTAGATATATCATGCACATGCACACCTATTAAACAGTCTATAGAACAGTCTTCTTCTGGGCACCACTCATGAAATGGGCTCTCGTTGCTGCTGGCTTGAAGGATTTCAATAAACCTGCAGATAAGCTCTCCTTCAATCAGAACCTTGGTCAGTCGACTGTCTAACGATCATCTGATTTCTAATACGATATTAGCACTCGCTGCAACTGGTTTCATCTGGGTTAGGTACTCTCTCGTTATCACTCCTGTCAACTACTCTCTCGCGGCCGTAAACTTCGGTGTCGGCTGCACTGGTCTCACCCAACTCGCAAGAATATTCATGCACAAGCAAGAGGAGAAGAAGAAGCTCGAGCAAGCTGAGAAAGTACAAGAGCAAACAATCTAGTCCTTAACAACCATGGATATAACTTTAACAACATAAAAACAGCATTAGCAGAAACTGTAATCTTTCTTACTTCTTTCTATATATCATATTAGATCCACAAATACTACGATACTTCGAGTTCGTAATACTCATTCTCTCTGTTCCTCCTAGGTCTTAAACAACTCAAGAGAGACAACAAATTTGTCTGTTTCTCATCATTGCTATGGAGCTTGTTCATCATTAACTCTGATACCCGCACCCGATCAATTATGCCAACAAAAGAACCTGCTTGTGTGACCAAAAATACTCGGGATACACCCATCTTCTGAAATGTCGATACCACAATCTCCACTGGCGTCTGTGGATAGAAAAATAGCTGTGACGTATCGACGAATCTACTGAAATCCAATGCGCTCTCTTCTTTGGATAGTGCATTACTTTCAAATGTGAAGGGTGTGTCGTATTCGGTGTCTTCAATGCTATCTTGAGTAGGTTGTTAATTAAGTTATCTATTTATGAACACACTCACTTAATAGGGCGCTGAAATCTTTTCGATTTATCCAACCAACAAACAACCTATCATCGCCTTTGACAATTGAGTAGCCGTCCAGGTTAGGTGTATCTTTATTGAACAAATCTATAAGATCATGAAGTGTATCACCTGAAACATCCAACGTTGACGTTTCTAAATCAGCAATATCTTCAGATATCACACCATTAATTTTGAAGTCGACTTGTGGTAAATATGTGTATTTCTGATGATTAATCCAGGCATCATACTAGCCTTTGTAAGTATAATATTATCACAAGGTTATCATCACCTACGATTCCTTCTTTCCCGAATGCGTCACCGACCCATTTCGCAGTCATAACAGCTATCATGATTGGAACGACATGTGAGAGCGCTCCCGTGAGTTCAAAGACGATAACGACGAGTGACACTGGGATTTTCGTTAGAATTCATGTTAATGCGCAATCAAGGAACACACCAGTCATTTTGGTAATACCAGCAAGAGTAGCAGCAGCTCCAACAGTGGCATACAAACCCGGTAGAATACATCCTTGACCACTATGACAATCAGCAAAAACACCCAAGCCAGGAAATTGGTCTTCTAGTATTTTTAGCAATCCTCCTAGACTCCGACCAGCGCATGCGCCAATTGCCAATCCAGGAAGAAAAATACCCGCCGGTACTGTAATACCAAAAGTATAAGCCGTCATGCAAAGTTTGAAAATCGCAGCTACGGCAAGTAGAACGACATTGAGGCCTCTCCTTTTACTGTCACAAATGACAGCAGATATGTGCATATCTGGTTCGGTGCTGCATTCTTGAAAAAGTGCAGAGACGAGCGATGAATTTTGTACTCTTGAGATACACGTTAGATAGGTTAGCTAGTTGACATATAGCGCACCTCGTAATTATACTTGAATAACTCAAAAGAGCGGTAACGATTGCAACAACGGTTGTTTCGACGATTGGAAAACTCTTCAAAATTGATTTCTTGCGTATATTTGCTATCTTTATGTTAAGCTTAACAAGAGCAACACCTAGTAAGCCACCGAGAGCACCCAAGAGAAGCCAAAAGACCAACTCGAACTGCTTCCATGGCTGATTTGCAGTGACACTAAAAAGGACAAGTTTTCCTGTCCCGAAAGGATTAAACCATTGAAGAGTTACAGCTGCGAGAGCTGCGCAAACAAACGCTTGCCAAAGTGTGTTCGTAGGGAAAAGATGCATGTTTAGTTCTTCCAGAGCAAACATTACGCCTGGAGGGTATTAGTAGATGTCTCACGCGTCTAAGGGGATGCTTACCTCCCAATGGTGCACCAAAAGCTACACTAACACCAGCAGCTGCAGCTGCTGAATATATTTGTCTCTTGCGCACTTAGTAGTTGATAAATAGGTATAAAAGTAAGTGATTATGCAACTCACATTCAGAGTACGTCCAATCACCAATTCTCAGAAGTCTAAGTAAAGACATCCAGAGTTCAGAGAGACAACATGTAACGTGTATCAAAGGGCCCTCCTTTCCGAGTGAGAGACCAGAAGAAACGGAGAAACAAAGACCAATGGCCTTGACTAGGAGGGTGACGGGCGACAAGAAGCCATCTATAGTAATTCCACCAAGGATTGCTTTAATCTCTGGTATACCCGTATGAAAAGCGCTGTTAAACTGTCAAAAGAGGTGTCAAAATCACTATGGAACGCACAGAGGAGCGAGTTTAGTGACTAAAAGGGCTGGAATGATTGCCATAAGGATAGCAGATGTGGTATAAATGATGAAGGCAATGAAATAGTTCGTTGATTGTGCGTGCGTCAACCATTGATCGCATGTGTGTTGTTGTGGACAGCATGCTTTAAAGGATAAAAGAAAGTGGGTAGTACAATGTCCAGATCTAATGTCAGCTAACCAATCAATTATAACGTCAAGTAATGCAGAGATGATGCCAGTTGATAAGGCGGTAAAGATTAAAACGAATTGTAAGGATATATGCTCTAAAAGTCTCGATAGAAAACCGAATAGACCAGTTTTATGTGAAATAGAGGCAACTCTCTTAGCTTCTTTTAGGTCTAACATTCGATTAATACATCGTCGTAGTAAAGAAAGAAGGAATTTAAAAATAAGATTGAATCTACAAGATAGACGAAGATTACTGTTGTTCGCTGTACTTTTGGGTGTCGACACCGTGATGGCTGTGGTTAGCAAAGTTGAACCAAGGGATAGTAGCCAGTTTGAGTTGTGAGAAGGCTGAATTCCTATGAGCTACACCTTGCAAGTACGGTGTGAGCTGTGTGTCGCCGTAGATAGCTTTTCCATCCTTAGCTCTTTGGCTGAGCTCGAGCATGTCCTTCTCCTGCTCCTCCTGGTTCTCTGTCCAGCCGAAGAATCTAAAAGAGGATCTTTGATAGGCTAATAAGAAACCGCCGAGGACACCCAATGTTGTAGGAACTGCCAACTTTACTTTTGTTGACTTGATAGCGTTTGTTGGATTTATTTGTTCTAAAAACTTAATAAGTATTCTCGAGTATTCTCTATAAAAGTTATAACCCACCCCATGCGTAATATAATGCAGGTGTACCAGCTGAGAGTGCTGCCCAAGCAGCGTAATCAGAAACTCTAAAAAATCTCACGACTCTAGAGAAGTGTGGATCAATATCAATTAGCGGGTATTGTCCTTTTTGTTCAAGTGTTGGCATTTCGTTGTAAACTATTGAGAGAAGAGTCGCTTGACTATTTACAATCAAATATGGACAACAAAAAACACAGCAGTCCATACACGAAGACGCCTAATAAAATGAACAACGATAACAACAGTTTCAAGTCCTTTTATAATTTATTAACTTCTCCCTTCAAGCAATCCCAGCAATCCCAGCAGTCCCAGCAGCCCCAGCAATCAGATCAGCCTATGGAAATAGAGGAACTCAATAGAGACAACACAGAGGACCTCATCGATTGGAGGCAGCCAGACGTGCGTTCTCTCTCCTACCCTCGCCTTCTACTTACTCTTCTACAGTCACTCTCGCAATCGACTCAGCAGACTAACGAACTACTCGCGTCTTTCTTCAAGGATAAAGGTAACCGTTCACTTAGCTCAGAGGAGGCCGTAGAATGCTTCAAACTTATCGGCAGTTCAATCAAGCAGCCTGAACACTCTGATAATATCCCTTCCGTCGCCTTATTCTCACCTGGCACATCAACTATTCCATCAAGCAAGCCGCCTAGAACTTCATTGAACACCTTCTTATCCCCACGCCCGCAAAAATCAGCTAGACTATCTTCTTCTAATTCCCTATCAGCGAGGAAGAGACCAATCTACATGGGTGCTGGCTTTGGTAACAATCTAAACAACTCACGGAGGAAATCAACCATGGAATCAATAGGCAGGTCGATTGGTGTTGGTCCACCTACACCAAACAAAGACCAAGACACTTCTTTAGCACTAGATACAGGAAAGAGACGCAGAACCGACGAATCAAACGCACACTCGAAGGAGCAGCAACAAAAGCAACAAGATAATCATCAAAAAGATCAACAGAAGTCTCAGAATACTCCAACAAAGACTACACATCTCTCTGTCAGTAGATTCAGCAAACCAACTACTGTCGTCCGGCCCTCACCTCTCCGTCAAGTCCAGACTGCTGAATCACCATCCCCTGAGAAAGAGAAAGCTATTCATCAAAACACCCCATCAAAGCCAAGTAGTAGAGCTGCAGATGCTGTTTTAGGAGTCTTAGGAAATACCTCCACACCAGCAAAACGTTCAACTGAAACTATAAACCCATACCAGAATAATAACCCAGTCGCACTCATTTCAAAATCACGTACACCTAGACCATCCAAGCTTAGAAAGAGTGTTGCTTCATCTGATAAAGCCACAGAAGAAAAACCTGAGAAGAAGGAAGAAAAAACGATGACTGCACTTGACTTAATAGAACAGACTGATCCAGCTGTAAGTTTTGCATTTTTTGGTACAAATCCAACTAACATAATAATAGAAAAACAAGAGAAAAGCTCAAGAGGATGAAAAGATGGAAGAAAGAAGCCCACAGAAGAGCAAGACATTTGAAGTTTCTCAACCTAGTGCTTTCACTAGTGCATTTGGACAATCACAGCCAAAGACCAATCCATTTGATATGGGTATGTCAGAGTCAAAGACGTCGGCTTTCGAGCAACCTGCGAAGAGTACGTTTGAAGGACCAAAACAAACAGAAGCACCTAAACCTGCCTTCAATTTGTTCTCAACTGCATTTGAACAGCAAGAAGAGACTCCAAAAGCTACAGAAACTATAGAAATTGACAGTGGAAGCGACGAGGAGAAAGCTGATGAAGAGATCCATGAGGATGTAGTTGAAGAACCAGCTGAAGAACCTGAAGACAAGGAAGAAGAAATCACTGGTGAGAAGTCACCTGAGGAATCACCAAAACCAGCATTCGGAATACCATCATCAGAGGAGAAGGAACCACCAAAGGCAACCCCATTTACCAACGTATTCTCACAACCACAATCGTTACCTGCAAAAGAGAAAGAAAGATCAGCTTCACCTACAGTAGTAGATGAGAAAGATGCAAAGGATCGAGTAAAGTCTAAGAAAGAAAGCGATTTACCAAAGTTCACGTTTAATTCACTTATGAATCTTCCAATGACGAACATTTCATCAGATCTATCGAAGAAAGTCGACAATGTTTCTTCAATTTCATTCGAATTTCAACTCGATAAGCCAACTGAAAGTCCATCTATCGCTATAACACCTGCATCAAGCAACCCACTTTGGGCAGCTGCTAAGAAAGCGACAGATGAGAAGAATTGCAGCGTATGCATGTGTAATTCACCAAAAGAAGCAAGTAAATGTCAAATTTGTGATACACCATTCTAAAATTATTTCTTAAATATAATTATTTTTATTTTTATTGTCTTCTCTCTTGATTAGCTAATATGCAAATACCCCTAGGACCGGATGGTAAACCATGTAAACCCTGCGTTTCATTCAAGGATTGGACCAAGTTGCAGAAGAAAAATGAAATAAAGAAAGAACCAAGTAGTTTAGAAAGGATTGCGAAAGTGACATTGGCTGATAAATTCGGTTGTCCAGTAGACGCAGACGAATTGGGAAGACATACTTGGACTTTCTTACATACTTCAGCTGCTTATTACCCTCCTGCTGCATCTGAAAGTCAACAAAATCAAATGCGTAATCTCATAAATTCAGTTGGTACTTTCTACCCATGTGGTGATTGCGCAGGACATCTCAGGAAATACGTTAAACAATATCCACCTCAAGTACACTCACGATCTGCTTTAGAATTGTGGTTGTGAGTCTTGCTTTAGAAATATGACGACATCAACATTTAACAATACCTTTAGATGCCAAATGCATAACGAGGTAAACGTTCGTCTAGGAAAGGACGAGTTTGATTGTAACAAAGTCGGTCAGCGCTGGAGGGATGGCTGGAACGATAAGTCATGTGACTAAATTCCTTCGATAGAATAAACAGTTGTAAATCTATAAATCATAACTTATTTTGCTGTATTACATTACTTATTTTAGTTAACAGGCTCCTCTGTCTTGGTCTTTTTTGCTTGGTTCGATTGTTTGGTGGCCTCTCTAGCTCTACGCTTCTCACCGGTCCTACCACTCTTGTCTGGATGTTCTGCCTTCTCATTAAGATCATCCTCGCCTTCTACTTTTGGTTGGAGGGCCAGTTGGGAGTATAAATCGAGTTGCTTGACATACTTCTCTGAACCTATTGGAGCTTTGTTAGTCAATGGACTATTAGTTGAATCGAGTATCACCTTCTACAGTCAAGCTGTTTAATGTGTTGACGAGTCCATCATCTTGGCTACTTTGCAACTAATCTCTCTTAGTCTGAATCATTCGAGCTATTTTTACTCACCTCCCCGTCAGAGTTAAGTGTTAAAACTGCTACAGCGTCATTTGCACCTCTTGAGGTATCGAGGGTTGCAACATACTTTCCGCTAACTTCGGCAAGGTCGATGATTGGATGTTGTAAATCGACTGCTTGGATATTGAACTCCTTGTCTGCATCGAGGAAAGATGATCGTCTAGCGTAGAATACACCTGTAGCACTGAACGTAGGGTTAGCGCACACATCTCCACTACAGAGCAACCTCACCCGCATGAAGTGAAGGCAACAAGTGGGTCTTCACCACTACCAACGAGAATACGATCAATGCAGATGATATGCTCACCATAATCAGCTGGAATATTATCACTCTTGAGCATCTTATCATTAATTCTAATAGCTCTGACAGAAGCGTGTGACAAAACAGCTTCTCTAATGTCGAATCTCTTGATTTCTTTGCCGTTCTTCCAATCCCAGAGTATGATAAAGTCGTCACCACCACCGGACAAAAGAATGTCTTCGTTTAATAAACCAATAGCAGTGACAAACTTAGAGTGTCCTAAACAGAAGTTATCGATAACGTATCCTAATGGGTTTCTAGATACGCGTATATGAGCGTCTCTATCTGCGGAGATGATATGTGAAGGTGTAACGGTGAAGTCGTTAACCATTGAGACGTGCCCAAGTAATGGTTCTTTATCTTTGTTCTTAACCTCTTTGTCTTTCTCCTTATCCTCTTCAGTTCTGTTCAGTTTGTAGGCGAATATATCACCGAACTTGTCACCAACGAGAATTGTATGCTCGTCGAGCAACTTGAGTGAGTTGGCGCGTTTACTGAGTAAACTAAAGCGGTTTAGGAGGGAATGATTAATCAGTTTCTACCCACATCGTATCCTTCAACTTCAGTTTGTCTTCTTGGATATCCCACAAGTTGAGCTGTTTATCATCACCTGTACTGACTAGTTGTTTACTACCTGGGGTGAATTCTAGCAATCTTATAGGCATGTTGTGTCCTTCTGTCGTTTTCACTACTTTCTCGCTAAGACACAATCAGATGGCCCAAATAGACAGGAGAGAACACACCCATTAACTAAAGTGATCTGGTAGTTAGATGCTACCGCGATATATCCCTCTTTACTCGCTTTCAGAGCTGAGAATGGAAATTTACTCATGATTGTTATCAAGAAAGGTAGAATGTATACAAATTATTCAGATGTAGCAACTCTATTAGATGCTAGTGGATCTTTTTGTGTAAACCTGCCACTATTAGGCATTGGTGGGCTTGCAGCTGGCAACTTCTCCCAGGAAGTTCCACTCAGATCCAAATCGGCAATGCTGGCTTTGGCCGATGGTGCCTCGGAATGTTTCTTGAAGCCCTTATGTGCTTGTTCGCTAACACTCTCTTGGTCAAGCTCAGATAGTCTTCTTTCAAACTCCTCCTTTTGAGCTATCCGATCACGCTCTATACGGGCACCTTTTTGCTCCTGGGCTGTACCGTAATACCACATACCGCCTACTGCAGCTACAACGGTTGCACCTTGAGCGTAGACTCTGTATCTGAAGAACTTGTTAGCCGCTCTGCTATTTCCTCTCCTTATCTCCATAGCTGCACGTGTTAATGCTATTATAGTAGCGCCAATTCCTAGTTTATTGTTAGTATGCCACACCATCATAGTCTATCATATCACTCACCGATCGGCACTAAGGGCTGCTCTACAAACTTCCTATAAGCCTTATCTTTAGGCGATTCATACCCAAGTGGTAGCGGTTTTGGCGCTGGTGGTGGGATTGGTGGTTGAGAAGCCATTGTAGTTCTCTGACAAGGACTATTATGACTTCAGAACGACAAAATAAGGATAAAGTAACAAAATATAATGAGTGAGTTACTCCATCTATCATTTTACTCTCTTATGCACCCACAGTCCATGCGCTGATGCTGCTAAGAAGAGTTTCGAGTGTTTAGAGGACAACTACTACCAAAAGGACAACTGCAGGGAAGCTTTCGAGAATTACAGGAGTGAGTCTCTTTAGGTTATCTTGTATCATCTAAGTTCTTTAGATTGCAAGGCTTTCTGGGTAGGTACACTCTCGCTATACTATTATCACACTCACATGCCTCAGCTTAAAGCTAGACGGGAAGGGAAAGCATAATTCATTACGACAGCCAATCTATATCACCAAATTCGCGATACGCCTTACCTAATGCCCAAATCGTGAACGAGAACTTGTAATTAGGATATGAAATAGCACAATTCTTGTTGAAAATACCCTATATCGTTCGTTAAAGTGGTATAATCTAGATAATCTAACTCACTTCAATCGCTTCCTGCGTCCAGCTACCGTCTTTGTTTTGTCTACTCATGATAAGCCTAACAGCACGCTTGATTGGCTCTTTATGTGGGTATTTTGCGTGCAGCAACGCGAGTATAACCCAAGAAGTCTGAACAACCTGGCTGTTTTCATGATGTGTGTATTCTTCCAATTCACAGCTGAGGTATGATTCACCCCAACCGCCGTCTTCTTTCTGCTTACTGAGGAGAAATTCACATGCTTTTTTGACTTTCTCGCTGTTATCGTAATGTTCACCAACTGACGACAATGATTCAAGTGCAAACATAGCAGCATAAGTGAAACATATCGCCCAACTACCATACCAACTACCATCTTGTCTCTGTGCTGCATGTATATATTTGATAGCCGCAGCTGTTGTCTTTTCTATCTCCTCTCTGCGATAGTTTGGCTGATATCTCTTGAAGAGTGACAAGGCTGTGACTACTGATGTTGTGCATTCCGGGTATGAATACTCGACCATAATCTTACCAAATACTTCAGCAGGATTGAGAAGTTCAAGATGTTTCGAGCCTCTCGTAAGCTCGTACGACGCGAAACCTCCATCGGCATTCTGCATTCCGAGGAGCAAATCTACAGATTCTTGTAAACGCTCATACGAGACGAGTTGTTTAGTATGTCTACTAAAGTTTAGACGTGGCTTAACATAAATAATCAAACCCACTTCAAATGCTCCTGTAAAAATATAACAGACTTGATGCCCTCGGCTGTACAATCACTAACGGTGTAGCCTTGCTCTGCTGTACTGAATGGCCAAGCACCCTTAGTAGGTTGACGGTATGCTGGGTATGGAGGATCTTGTCTAATCTGACATTTATCAAGCCAATCAAGAAGTTTCTCTGTGGCTCCTTTGTTCTCTTCTTCCTCACCTAAACCAGTTTCGACGAGTGCTTGAGCAATGAAAGCTGCATCCCACTACATCCGACTGTCAGTATGTTTTAGCATCACGATTAAACACACCAATTGAGATCCATTTGTACCAGTCTCACGCAAACCATCAGGTCCAAGCCAGAGGAAGTCATCTGACTTCTCGACATGCTTCTTGACAGCTTCAGAGTCAGCTCCCTCAGCGTCTAGTCTACACAATTGGTTAAATGCCTTGTTGATCGGTGCCAAACCTTGATATGATGTGTTCTCGTCTTCATGTACAATATGTTCGTATGCCTTCCTCAAAGCAGCTTGTCTGAGTGGTGGTATAGCACAGGATTCGTATCCATAGTATAATATCGCATTCAAGGCATCCATAATTGCCGAGTGTGGTTGAAAGAGATCAATCTTGTTCACGTTATTGCGTTGTGCAGGCCAATTGATACTGGCGTATGGTTCCACATAAAGCTCCTCCTTGAGCTCTTCTGTAAGTTTGGTGGATGGTCCTGTGAACCTCTTTCCATATAAGTACGACATTGGTAGGTATATCTTCGAAGCGTTAGATCGAATCGGACAATGGAAGGCTCTCACCTGTCTGCAGTGGATCCACCACCTTGTCGGGTGAATTGGTAACCAATCTGGAAGTAACCTGAGCGTGTCAGCAGACTCAAGGACAAAGGGAAAATACTCACCAAAGTTCAGGAGGGACAGGGTTGACACCATCCCAGTCATATACGCCTAAACAGGCAAGCCAGAACTTCCCCCAAGCAGGTGCACCAGTTGCACCGCCTAATATTGTTAAATTTATCCCCTATCAAAAGTATGACCTCACCGAATTTGTGCAGTGTTCCTCTAGCTTTAGTCATGATAGGATGATCAGCTTCCACACCTAGTAGCCTGAGTGCGGTGTAATTGAGAGCTGTACCAAAGACAGTTGAAAGGCTTTCTATATGTCTATGATAATGTTAGAGCAGCGAGTATGAAAGAAAACGCGCACATTCCCCAACCACCATCATCAGCATGGGCTCTATTGAATAGATATCTAATAATCTCCACTCTCTGTTCCTCTGCTAACTTCACTCCTGATATGTAATTTGAGATAACAAGTCCGGGAAGTAAAAACATTGGACCACCGTATTCACCAGCCCAATGACCGTCTACTGATTGGATCTGCTTGTAGAATTTAAATCCTTGATTCATTTAGCGTTTATTGTTGTGGTATACCGGTAAACTCACCATTTCGAGCTGCATCGAAAGGGTTTCTCGGTTCAGGAAGTTGAGGAAGTGACTATGAGGTTTAATAGGGGAATAGCACTAAAGGAACACCTTACAGTTTCCAAACCGAGCCAAAATTTGTCTTCTATTGTCTGGGGAGAAGCAGCGGATTGCTCAGGGCTGAGATATTTCCACTGGTGTCTACCAACGTCTGTAACCTGTAGTCGCCATCTGCTATAATCTGTCGCCGGCTTATGCGGTACTTCGTCCACAAATTGAGGTGATGTCTTCATTGTTTTATCGTACGATTCTTTGTATCATACCACTTCGTTATCGAAACAAAAGAAAAATGGTTAAAATCAGCGCATTAGTGTTAGGCGTTATTGGTGCTGTAGCAGCTACTACAAAGACTCCTCCTTCCTCTCTCCAGATCGGTATCAAAGAGAAAGCAGACCCTTGCGTAGCGACAGCTCAGAATGGTGACAACTTGACAATGCATTATGCGAGTATCACGACTATAGCTAGTCTCAACTAATATTACAGCAGTCTGGCTACCTCTTCGATGATGGAAGCCAATTTGACAGCTCAAGGAACCCAGGAAGACAACCATTTACATTTAAACTCGGTGCAGGTCAAGTCATTTCCGGCTGGGAGAAGGTTGGTGGTCTGTCATTGTCTTATTTTCTCTAAATCACCTCCTCAGGGTGTCTTAGGTATGTGTGTCGGTGAAAGACGTAAAGTAACGATTCCACCATCTCTCGGATACGGTAGCAGAGCTATAGGTCCTATCCCAGCTGAATCAACTCTTGTCTTTGACATAGAGCTACTTGATGGCGCCTCAGGTCCAGGTAAAGCAGTTCACAATGAATTATAAGATACCCAAGGTGTTAGAAGTAGGATTAATTTAATATCTTCAGTACATTTTCGTCTTATTATACAAGGTATGGTGCGACTGTGATGACAGCAGGTCCTCGGGTGTTGTAGTCTGCCTTCGTGATCGCAAAACTAGAGTGGTCTGCGGAAGTTATCTACAAACTATGTCAATATAAGTCTAAACTAATGAAACATACTAACCTTAGCCACGATACCGGCACCCAAGAATGTGTTGAGGTCGTCCCGTCCTTTGAAATCTGCAAAGTAGTCAGGCACTCTGAGCACTTTCAATATGGAAGCAGATGGTTGCAATTCATTGTTCTCTCCTTTACTTAAGTATGGACCAATGTGTGGTGCAAGAAGTTGAGTGAATCCTTTGGCACCAGCTAGTGGACCAGCCAGGACTAAGCCGTTGTATATCTGTGATCTCGTCTCAATCTCACACTGTTCAACAGTGCTCAAGATTGCTTCTGGAAGACCGACCAATGTTTGCTCCTCTTCAATACCTTTCAGACCTTTCAATAAGTCGATATTGAATAGTGGCTCCCAAAACCTCTGTCTAATCTTTCCAATTGATATTGTACTACCACGCCATTCTAATTGGAATCGACCCTGTGCAGCAGCAGCGTTATTTTCTTTCGCATTCTTTTCATCAATTAGGTTCTTCTCCTGTCCATTGACTAAAGCAGCAGCAATGTCAAATTCTTCACCTTTCTTCTTTTTGTCCTTTTCCTCTTCCTCAGGGAGGAGCGAAAGCGATTCAGGGTGTTTGAATAACTCCTGAGAAATTTCAACCAAAGCATCAAATCTCTCGTCCTCGCTCAAACCGCTAAGCTTCTCATGACCGAGCAAGTGTGTATCGTTCTTGAGTAAACCTGCAAGATATATTGACAACTCCCGCAAACCGAACTTCCATTGTGTAGCAGCAGTGTATTGGGGAATAGTGTCCAAAACCGGCACAATATCTGTTGAATCGTGACCGACATCTATAAACAAGCCAGTCACACTACCAGAAGCATATAAACCAAGTACTGGACGCTCAACTAGTGCAAAAACCGGTACGTTGAACCTTTCAAAGAATATCTGAGTTATTCTTTCATTCTCGTCTTTCGATAAGCCATGTGGAACGGTAACCAAAACTAATGCGGTAGCTGCACGAGGGTTTCCTAACAACTGCTTTAATGCGTGTTTCCATAGAGCTTCTGCGCCAACCCAATCACGTATACGACCAAATTTCCATGGATAGCTAATCTCGAGATCTTCTCCCGCTTGTATCGCGTCTTCGAGTTGCTGGCCGACGAGATAGCTCGATGGCCTCAGACGCATTGGCTTCCTTTCATCGACATCCATGTTATCGTCCATCTCTCCCTTCGATATACTCTCTAAGGTGGTTCTCTTTATGCCGACTTTGGCTTCAAAATACAGCTGAGGTTTGTGGAATATCTCACCAAGCGGCTTACCCGCGAGCATCGTCCTGCCTGTCTCTATGACTATTATATTGCTCTCCTGAAGAATTTTGAGTATCTTATCACGACATTAGCGATTTCCTTACTCTCATATTGTGAACGTCAGGATGAAAGACGATAGAAGAGTCGATTAGATATTATTACGGTATTTTATTATTTATTCAGTTTGATAGGCGTTATCGGAATTTATATTTTCACTTCACAATCTCACATCCGCAATATACCTCGTTTCTATACAAATGAGCGTTCAAAGAGTGTACAAGAGTGCACAGCACGTGCTTTAATAATAATACTTCTATAGATGGCTATACCAGAGAGCCTTTAAATCTATCCAGTAGTTATTCTTGATCTGGGAGCTTTTTAGAAGTCCAACTCCCATGCCCAGATATCATTGACGACACCTTGACTGTAGTCAGCGAATTCATTGAAGAGCGTCATTGACATGTCGTAGTGGTTGTCTGCACATGAAGCGCCTGATTATTTGTCAGAATATCTCAATAACAAGTCGAACAAAGGATCTTACACTTGTCGGCAACGTAACCGTAGCTGGTCTTGCCGTTAACGTTGAAACCCATCCATTTCCCGCATGGAATATCGGAGTTCATGCTGACAGCAAGGAATCTATCGTTGTTGGAGAGGTAGTTACCACAAGCGCCAGCGTTGCCTGTTTCAGCGTCGTAGTAGGTAGCCATGTTACCATAAGTGTCGCTTGAACGCTTAGCGGCTGGTGCACCTGCTGGAGTTGGGGCAGCAGCGACGAGTGAGGCAATAGCAGCAACGATAACGGTCTTTGAGAACATTTTAAAGAAAGTAGATGTAGGAGCCTGTCCGAGGTTTAGATGCAAGACAAGTATTAAATTCAGGTTCTGAATTTATACTCTTAGAAGCATGGCGAGAGTGGTCGATCCGAGGCACTAATGGGAGGAACTGATAGGAACGCAAAGGCACGATGTCTTGAGAATTACTAATATTTCTAAAAGCCGCATTGGTAGGAATATGCCAAAGATTATATTGGTAATGGAATGTCAAGTATGTTTGTTATGCTAATAATAGATTGCATAAATGGCTTTAAATAGTACATAAATATATGGATGTGAACCTAGGAACGTGAACAAAATACACAGCCTATCGTTATGGAAATATCTTTTACTCATCATGACGAGTTTTATATGCACTTGTTTACGATGATATCATTATCTTGATGCTCTTGGCACCTGCTGCATTCTTTCTTAGAGGACAAAGTGAAAACTTATAATTAATGTTTGTGAAACTTGAAACAAGCAAGCTGGAAGTTTGAGCTGTTCTCTGCATCGTACTCCTTAATGTTTCTTCAAGTGTTTTGGTTTCATAAACTTGACCGCGTATTTGTGATCTATACTGCAATAAACAATGATATATTCTTAATTATATCTAAACAATAGATATTATGCTTTCCAATATAACCTGTTATCTTCTGACAGAATATGAACTCATTAATGTGATTATCAATGTCATCCATCATCGGCTGTCGAATGATATCACCTCCATCCTTTTGTCTCGGGCATTGTCGTTTTCGAAACTTAGTGAGATGACAGAGGTCTGACTATCGTTCGCTTGTGTAGCTTAGCAGGTCAACTTGCGTAAAACAAACACATATGAAAGTATCTAGATCAGAGAGGTAAAGTCTCAAAACCATGTTTCAGAAGATCATTGCGGATATGGACCGCTCAAATATTTCAAAATGTATGAATTTATTTCCGACTGAAACGTCAGTTCCAGTCCGAATAGAATTTTCGATACATGAAAGTAAAAATACGTATGGGAGCTAGCAGAACAGTAAATAAATTTAACATTAACTAAGCTATATGATGCATAAAATGTGGCCAAATATAACTGTTTAGCGCCCTAATTTTCGAGCCAGACATCATAATACTCATCGGAGAGGTAGCATCCGAAATGGTTTCTGAAAAAAAGCTTTTGTATAAGTATGATTAGTTTTTGCATACGTGCTTTTCGACCTGTATTCTAATTTGTGTCATCTCGGAGTGTCCGCCGTAGAGCATACAGATGACAGCGGCGATTAACGTACATTGTCAATACCCCAAACACATGCATAGCTTAATAATATAAATAGAATTCGTTAAATCTATAAGCTTTCACCTAGAGGTTGTTCTGCCTCTAGCATCCATTTGTGGAACATTTGACCATAGATACTGATTTATTATCCTTTTAGAGTAAAGTAGACATTCAAATGATTGTTATATGTATAGCTGCAATACAAACTTGAGAAAATACAGCAGCTGACAGGAATTGTTTTAGTTATAAAGTATGTCCTTTGGAGAAATGGGACGAAATTCACAATGAGGTTACTACTAAAAGTTAGTTTAAAAGCATCGCTTCCTTTAGTTTGTCGCTACAAAGCTGCTCTACTGGATAAAATTTCTTCCTTATTTCAGGATTGACGATAAAAATATGAAACGTAGCTCTCACTGAAGTCTAAAAATAAAATTCAAGTGTTCTTCACAGCATAGCTTTCATTTTTTTAGTGTATCACAATGCTTGAATCTATACAATGGATCTATACAAAACGAATGTTAAACTAACAAAGAGTGTACAACAAGTGCACTGCACAATGGATTATAATAATACTTATAGACGGCTATACCAGAAAGCCTTGCAATCTATGCAGTAATTATTTGATGAGCTGAAGCTTCTTAGAAGTCCAATTCCCAAGCCCAGATGTTGTTAACGACACCTGCACTTTGGTCGGCGAATTCGTTGAAGAGTGTTGGAGACATGTCGTAGTGGTTGTCTGCACATGCGGCACCTGTAATATTGTCAGATATGCCAAATTAAAAAAGTTGGACAAAGACTCACATTTGTCAGCGACGTAACCGTAGCTGGTCTTGCCGTTAACGTTGAAACCTAACCATTGGCCACATTCCAATGGTGAGTTGAAGCCAACAGCAACGAATCTATCGTTGTTGGAGAGCATGTTACCACAAGCACCAGCAGCACCGGTTTCAGCATCGTAGTAGGTAGCCATGTTACCATAGCTGTCGTTTGAGCGCTTTGAGGCTGGTGCACCTGCTGGAGTTGGGGCAGCAGCGACGAGGGAAGCAATAGCAGCAACGATGAGAGTCTTTGAGAACATGTTTACTTTATAAAAGAATGTGAGTGCCGGACTCGTGTTTAGAAGTGTGAAGTGTTTGGTAAAGAATGATTATAAAATTCGTCTGAAATTTATATTTCCAGACAGACAATCGAGAGTAGTCGATTTTAGGAACTTAAAGGAACATGAAGGCACAATGTAAATTCTCGCGGTAATGACGTATTATCAGAGTGATCGATCCTAGACAAAGGTGTCTCACAACTATAATCTGAGTCAACCAAGTATAGTTGTCGATGATGTAGACAAGACTAAGAAGTATTTCATGTATAGTTGATAGCTAAACAAAATTTCTCATGAGTTTATGCAGTCGTCCGCTTGATGACGGCATGACAGGCGTCTAGAAAGGACGAATGCAATAAAAAATATATACTATGAATAGCACCATGTGATTCGAATACATTACGGCTAATGTACTCTGTATATATAGACTAATATTTCGATCGTTTAAGAATCAGGTGCGAAAGTCTCTAAGTCAGGTTCAAGAAAAATTTTGAGCCAAGGTTAGATATGTCTGGGAATCGAACCGAGTGGTGAGCCATAGCGCAACGGTAAAACAAAGAAGAGTAGGATGTGGCAGAGAGAGCAAAATCGTTCTTATTGCTTCTAGTTTTAAAATTACGGTAATAGAAATTGCTGCTGTATAATAGTATAATAAATGCGCTAGTAACGTTGCTAGTGAATACCCTGATAGAGAATGAGACAGTAACACAGCTTTGTATAAGCTAAGTAAGTATTAAAAACTAATCATATATGTAAATAGATACTTATATAAGTCATGGATATCTTTATCAACTAGAGTTATGACTTGTCGAAATATAACCATTTTATCATATAGTACACTAATAATAATATGGAAACCACATTTAAGAGCTTCTATTACGGAAAATGAGTCAGTTTCTAATAATTCGAGATTGAGTCATTCGTGAGTTTCTTGACTCAACCGTCTTCTTCCTTCACTATCACAATAAAAATGACTACACAAACACCACCAAAACTCTGGTTAAGATGCGAAACTAAGGAATTTGAGAAGAGAGCAGCTCTCACTCCAGCCACAACTAAGGCCCTCCTCGATAGAGGTTTTGACGTTACGGTGGAGAGAGACCCACAGCGTATTTTCGACGACGAGGAATATGAAAGGTAGGATAAATGCCTGCTGCATTATATTTCCTAACGATACCCAAGAGTTGGCGCAAAGCTCGCACCACACAGCTCATGGCCAACAGCACCAAAGGACACCCTCATCGTTGGATTAAAGGAATTGCCAGTTGAGGATACACCATTAGAGCACACTCACATTCAATTCGCACACTGCTACAAGCAACAAGCTGGATGGGCTGACGTATTGAAGCGTTTCGCTGATGGAAATGGCAGTCTCTACGATTTGGAATTCCTCACAGACGACAGTGGACGTCGTGTCGCTGCTTTCGGTTTCCATGCCGGTTTCGCTGGTGCAGCAGTAGGTTTACTCGCACATATCGCCCAACAAGAAGGCAAAGAACTCGGTCACCTTGAGCCATACCCAAATGAAGATGAATTGATCAAAGACCTCAAGCAAAAGATTCAATCTGCAAAATCTGATAAGCCAGTAAAGGCCCTCGTTATTGGTGCACTCGGTAGATGCGGTAGAGGTGCTGTCTCCCTCTTCCAAAAGGCTGGATTGGCTGATGAGAACATCATCAAGTGGGATATGAATGAAACCGCCAAGGGTGGTCCATTTAAGGAAATTTTGGATGTTGATATCTTCGTTAACTGTATTTACCTCAGCTCAAAGATTCCAAACTTCATCGACAGACAATTTATCGAAGCTAGCGGCAATGACCGTCGCCTATCAACCGTTGTCGATGTCAGCTGTGATACTACCAACCCTAACAACCCAATCCCAATCTACAATGTCAACACAACATTCGACAAGCCAACAGTACCAGTCGAACTTAAGGAGGGTCTTGCACCAATGCAAGTCGTCTCAATTGACCACCTTCCTACTCTCCTTCCAAGAGAGTCTTCTGACGCTTTCTCTCACGATCTTCTCCCATCACTCTTCGAACTGACGAACCGTGAATCTGCTCGCGTTTGGACTGAAGCTAAGGACTTATTCGTCAAATTCAAGTCACAAGCTTTGGAATCACTTAAAGCTTAAAAATTTAATTTATTTCTAGTAGTACAAAATTGTTTGACAAATACAATCAGATTTCACTATGTCGTTTAATCTTCTTCACCTTCTAGTGATTGATAACCTGCTCTTATCTCTTTCCTCCGCTGGTACGTAACGTAAGAGGCGTACCCACCTGCACCAAGCACACCAGTTCCTGTGATTGCGGTGAAGACTATCCAACCCCATCTGTATATCCACGATGGCTCGTAGGGGATGAGTACGGAGTCCAATACAACAATCCCACCACCAATTGACATAGCGTGTGGGTCATCATTGTCTAGATCATTGTTTCTATTGATCTCAAAATCGCTGGTGCTGTTGTAGAAATGAGGTGAAGCTCGACCAAATCCTAATACACTTGCGAAATCTTCCGGGCCATTAACGCCACGAGCGCCTCTTATACCGACAGTCCAACCATTTTGAGATTTCTTGAATGCAACGTCGCCATAACGTGATGGACCACCTTCGGTGTAAGATAGTAGAGAAGGGTATGCCATATCATCACTAATGTAAAGTGGTTGGCCGTTATCAGTTGTACGATCTTCCTCAAGAGCATAGCTGTAATCTTCGTCGAGGTAATCCGGAGGTGCAGGTAAAATATGCATTCTCACTAAGGCTTCCAATGCAGCTCTATCATCAAGGTAGTGGGTGAGGTTTATATGCGTGAATGCCGCATCTGTAGGCGTTAAAACTGTATATGGTTTAACCGGATGTCCAGTAGATGAGTTATGTTTCTCATAGGGATTACTGTCATCTTCCATTGGTGGAGCTTTTCCATCGAGTAACCATTGATAACCGGCCTTTTGGAAAAGATCTAACATAGTATTAGCGTTGCTACCTTTGAATAACTTTCTTAATGTGATGTCCACCATTGGAGAACGTTCCACCTGATCAATAACATGAATAACACCACTAGACGTCAATATATCTCCTTCACTAATGATTGCTTTTCTTTCTTCGCCATTTAGAGGATAACCTGCGACATTTCTTGGTGAACCTAGAGCCATCTCAGTTGTATTGCCCTTATTGTGTACATTGACATCTAAGGGAACATCCGAAAGAGTTTTGTAAGTTCCATTTGAGAGGCTTTTGGTGTAGACAATATCATCAATGATATGGTAATTAATCAGCTGTTTTAATTCAGCTTTTGCTTGAGATTTGAGAAAATACTTCATTGCGTAACCCAATTCTTCGAATGCGTCATTTGTTGGAATGACAAGGGTTGTTGCTGGTATATGTTTCAAATATTCGTCCATTCCAGCTGCATATACTGATGCGACGAAAGTTGATAAACGAAGGTCTGAGACTGCTACGCTCATGACATCTCTTGGTGGTTCCAAAACCGATGAAATGAAGTAGATAGTTTTGTTTCCTACTTTGTCTATTGCGTTGTTAGTTGCAACTCTGTGATTTGATGTAAGAACTCACGTTCATCGCTAAGAACGCTAGCATGGTTGAAACTCCAACCGGTGTGCTTTTCAGACTTATTTGTTTTACTGGATTTGTCGCTTGGTGTTTTAGTTTTTGATACAACGACACGCTGTCCCTTATCTCCAAGCAGTCTTGTCCTTAACTCAGTCTCAATTAGCTCGCCAGTCTTAACATCATCTTTGCGGATATTACCAGGGATAATGTGATACTTGAGTGTCATAGCCATTTCATTCTGATCATCTGAAGCTGTAGCCAGAGCATCTACTTCTTTAATATCGTTTGTGCCCTCGAAGACATCATTATGGAATACTAAAAGAGTCATATTGTCTTGGTCATTTTTCAGATATTTGTTTGAAAGCTTCGCCGATCTGAACAAATCCACAAACCGAGTGGCATTCAAGCCAATCAAGATCTTTTCAGAATCCAGTAAAAGAAGTTGAGGTGGCGTCACGAATGAGTCAATAAGATGTATGACGCCATTAGAGGCTAATATATCAAATGTGTTGATTTGTGCCGATGTATGTGAATCTAATTTAACAGTATTTTTGTCGTTAACCTGTAGTTTTGTTTTAAGGTTTGTATCGTATTCTTTCTGAGTGTCCCAAGTCGTGCTCCAACCTACACCCTTCCCAACAGCAATATGACCGGACATCAAATCGAGAAGATCTGAACTTGCGTATATTTGATTATGAAGGTATGAGTATACAGTCTTATCCAGCGTTTTGAATGCTTCATTTGTCGGTAAAAAGAGTGTGAAGCCATTTGCTGCACGTTGCTCGAGAGCAGAGATTGCTTGTGCAGGGATGAGTTCAAGCAGAGTGGAGAGCGATGGATGATTGCGTATCTGAGTAGCTACATTTGTGTTAATAAACTGATTACGTGGTGGAGACACCCACCTAAATCTCCGGGCGGGCTGATGACCTTGTCAATTGGATAGACAACACCGTTACGAGCATGTTTTGGTTCCTTTGATAAAACTGTAGCAGCGCCATTCTCATGGCAATTGCCATGATACTTCTCCCCAACTGGTAAGTCGGGCAGACCATAGCAAATATCTGTCGAGTTTGCTCGACCAATACGGACTTGTTGACCGGCACCAGATAGAGGTTTTCCATCGCCTGGTTCAGGAAACCAAGGGGAATGTGGTTTCTTTGGTTTAACGTGTTCGCTGTCTGGATGTAATAATGTCTGATGTAATATTTGATCCGATTGAGAAGTGATAGTATAATTTAGCATATGATAAAATATTGTCTCTCTAGCTTCGTCGTTGATGTTATCAGTCATAGCATGTTGTGCCTCCCTAATGGCGTCGTTCGTGGGGGCGTAGAGAGTGATATCGCCGAGTTTATTAATGGCTGGGACTAACTTCAAGCGTTGTATTATTCGCAATAAATCGCTATACTGTTCATCACTGCTTAGTACATCGATAACTGTCAACTCGGCTGGTGAAGTAGGATTGATAGGTGTGAAAGTGGATGACACAGGTTTACCTCTACCAGGCCATGGGAAAGAATCTGCTGCTTTAATATAATTTAATAGCGTACTTAAAATTATAAATATCACCGATATCGTCGATTTATTTGGCCGATAGCTATACGTCATTCTCTTATGATTGTGGTTTCAATTAAAGAGCCTTTCTTTTTTCTAAACGACGATGAGCAATTTTGAGAAATTGAGTTCTAACAAAGTAAACGGCGGCTGGTTAGATAAATACAAGTTTAAAGTTAGCAGTCCGTATAGAACCTTATTCACGCTAACAATGCACCCTAGAGCGACAGCCTCGGCGGTTTAGACACTCAGATAAACGTCTACTTACCACCGAATGCTAAGAATGCACCTGTACTTTACTACCTCTCTGGCTTGACCTGTACCGAGGACAATGCGTGAGTATTCTTTCGTGCTTTATGGATAGCTAAATAGCTTCAACAGCGCACAAAAAGGTGCATTCTTTGAGGAAGCAGCTAAACAAGGTATCGCCCTTGTGTTCCCAGATACGAGGTTAGTCTATGTCTTGCTATGACGTTCATTTCTCACAAAACATAGTCCAAGGGGTGCAGGCGCACCGGGTGAGGATGATTCCTACGATTTTGGTACAGGTGCAGGATTCTACGTCGACGCTACCACACCTGAGTTTAGTAAGCACTACAACATGTACACTTATATTACAAAAGAGTTACCAGGGAAGTTGAAGCTTAGCGGTTTGCCACTCAACGTAGACAACGCTTCAATTAGCGGTCACTCAATGGGTGGTCATGGTGCCATCACTATCTACCTCCGAGAATTCGGAAAGTACAAATCAGCCTCAGGATTTTCAGCGATTCTCAACCCAACCGCTTGCCCATGGGGTGAGAAAGCATTCAATGGTTACTTTGGTAGTTTGGATGCCGGCAAGGAACATGACGCAACTCACCTCATCAAGCAAGCACAAGGAAAGGATCCTAAGATCTTACTAGTACAGGTCTGTTAATTCATATCTGTTTAGCTTATCTAAATGATGAGATAGGGTTCCGGAGACAATTTCTACAAGCAAGGTCAACTTTTGCCGGAGAATTTTGTATCGGCAGCAAAAGAGGCAGGAATCAATGTTGATTACAGATTGGAAGATGGTTACGATCACAGGTAGGTGCATTATAACCCATATCTAATCAACTAAATCATATGACAGCTACTACTTTGTAAGTCATCAGAACAACTAAAAACGCGATTAACGACTCCTAGATTTCAACTTTCGCACCAGAGCATGTACGCTTCCACGCCAAGTATTTGAATTGACTATTGTAAATAATAATAAATGCACTCGACTTGTTGGTCTTTAACGCTTAACATCACATAGAGGCATAACATTCAATAATGCCAGGAGGTCGATCTATGAAGTAAGTCTGAGCGTATTAATGCCTGTATTATCTAAATAGTTTATCAAGATGCGTCGTTGTTGGTGATGGTGCAGTTGGTTGGTCGAGAATCTAATGGGTCAGTGTACATTATCTAACGGTACACCTATAGGTAAAACTTGTCTATTAATTTCATATACCACGAAGTAGGTATTCATTTCTGCGATTTTTATCCACTCACAGCCAATAAAGTGCATTCCCTGTAAGTTGGATAATCAAACTATAAGCTATAATGCTGAAATAACTAAAAGGGAGAATATGTACCAACTGGTAAGGTACTTTACATGATATACTAATTACTATAACTACCCCTTAGTATTCGACAACTACAGCGCTAATGTGATCGTCGACGGTGATCCTATTACACTCGGCTTGTGGGATACAGCAGGTCAAGAAGATTACGACAGATTGAGACCACTTTCATATCCTCAAGTGGGTAACTAATATCCTCCGAATGTACGCTGACGCACCCAGACGGATGTATTCCTCATCGCTTTCTCAATCGCTAGCCCAACTTCACTTGAAAATGTAAAATACAAAGTGAGTGGGATGTTATATAGTTACATTATCATCTCATATACCCACAGTGGGTACCTGAACTCAAACATCATGCACCAAATGTACCAATAATTCTAGTAGCGTGAGTTAAACAATTTGTCTCAGATTTTCGTCCTCTAATATGAGACTTAATTTAGTACAAAAGTAGATCTTCGTAATGACAGATTGACCATTCAAAGATTAGCAGACAGGGGTATGAACCCTATTAGCTGGTCAGAAGGTTCAAAGCTTGCAAAGGAAATTTCAGCTGTCCGTTATTTAGAATGTTCAGCGAAATCCCAGTTAGGTTTGAAAGCTGTCTTCGATGAAGCAATCAGAGTCGTTTTAATGCCACCTGCAAGACACTCAAAGAAGAACAAAGGTTGCGTTATTGCATAGAAACTAATCATTCTCCTTCCCTTATTGTAATGTTCTCTTTTAAATCATTTATTATGTCAAAAGCGTTGCTAATATTACAAATACAAAGCTTCCCGCTGTGATTGATGTGATTGAGGTGATTGATTTTGATGTGGATGCGCTACTATTGTTTTCACCCATTTCGGCTGCTGTAGGTGGATGTATGTCTCCTCTATCGTTGTATGCAACTGAGTTGGCTTCTGCAGCTACCTTATAAACGCTACCGTTTCCATAGGATTCATAATCAACAAGAACGAAGTTCGGTGCCCTTGAATGTGCATCTATGCAATTGACCATCGCCTGTCCTAATGATCCTTCGCCGGTAGCTGCATTTGTTGTTGTTAATTTATCTTTATCGGGTGTAAAATATTCAGTTCCTAAGAAAGAGTCCTTCTTATCAAGGAAATGGTTATGGATATACATAGAACTAAGGTCATTGCCTCTATCCATCTCGCAAGTCCAGCTAGCGTTGACCGCATTATATTGATCTTCCCATATATTGTCGAATTCATCAATAATCGCAGGGACTTTAGAGTGATCAGCATGATAATCCATAAATATGACAACACGTTGGTTCTGCTCTATGAGTTCACCAAGTCTAGGCCATTGTTCAAGTGATAATTTTGATGATGATGGCATATAAGCCATATCCAACAAGCCTGAATCCTTGAATGGTTTGCTGATAGTTTCAACATCAATAGACTCGCTATTCGTGAACAACATTGAGAGGACCTCGCGTGGATTGTTATCAAGCCAGGTCTTAACCTCCTTGAGGTAATCTAATACAGATCCACCATCGTATATAATACAACTGGTGTGACAGAGCTGCAAGGCGCTACCCTTTCTGTGTATTTGACTTTGAAGGAGACGGGTACCGTGGTTGAGCTGCGATGTGACGTTCCAATCTTGGTTTGTCATAGGTGAGTTACCAATGAAAGCAGAGTCGTGAGCGCCTAACTGGTTAGAATTTAGATTTACTCATACGGTAAACTCACCTATGAATGTTACGTTCGAGTATTTCCTCTCGCAGAGCTCAGCATGTCCATTACAGGTAGACTCTATAGTGGCAGCTATGGCCGTTGATAATATCATCAAGGCCGCTATTACTTTCATAGTGATAATCATAAGTCAACCATTTTTGGAAAGAAATCTGCGCGTCTGTCGAGATTGTCTAGGCTTTCCTAGATATTAAACACATGGACATTGAGGGGACGTACATTCCTAACTATCGCCGTGTAGTGTTATAGGTTGACTATCTAAACTATGCATGATAATAGATCGTATGAGGTGTTTTCCATATACGGTTATATATAAGAAGTTGTAGTTGGATATCATTAAAAGTAATACATTAGACAATCATTTAATAACTATAACAATCTCTATTTCCCTTCTATCACTGCTTCTCTCGAACGATCATCAGATTATGTCAGAAAAAGCAGAAATATCAACGACAGATACGCAAATAGAACAGCCGTCAGAAACGAGTACTCAAATAAACAAAGTCGACGTACCTCAACCAGCACTTCAAGCGAAACTCGATGGTAGCGAGAATGAAACGATTTACGTAAGAAATTTGAATGAAACCGTTAAATTAGCGACTATGAAAGAATCACTAAGGAATTTGTATAGCAATTTTGGCGAAGTTTTGGATGTCGTCGCTCACAAAAACATACGGATGCGTGGACAAGCGTTTATAGCTTTCAATAACAAACATGTAGCCAAAAGGGCTCTTACAGATACGCAGAATTTTCCACTTTACGGCCAGCCTCTTAAAGTTGATTTTGCGAAGTGTAACGCAGACGCTGTCTTCCGTCGCCAGAAGCGCACCGAGGAGCTGGAGAAGCATCTTCAGCAGCGTAAGGAAGCTAAGCGTGGGTAGTGGCTTACTAATTGTTATATCACTCACACCATTATAGCACTCAAACGCAAGGAGAATTACATAAGGTTGATGAAATCTAATAGGGTCAAAGCCGGTCAGCCAGCTGAAAGAGATGAAGGAACAAAAGCAGCCCAACAAAAACAACAACAAATGCCAGACGAGTATCTTCCACCAAACGTCATCCTCTTCATCCAAAACCTCCCAAGTGGTACCTCAAAAGAAAAGCTCGAGGAGATTTTCGGTCAGTATCCAAATTTGGCAGAAGTGCGTGTCATCCCCGCCAGACCAGACATTGCTTTCGTTGAATACATGGATGAATCGAGCTCATCAGTCGCTAAAGACGCTCTCAATAACTATCAAATTGAATCTGATAAGCCGATTAAGGTCACATTTGCGAGACAGTAGACTAGTTTGTAATTTATTAACAGAATTTTACGATTTTGGTATCACTTTGTTTGGTATAGTTGTAACAGTACCGCTAGTAAGCCGATTAATATTGCTATAACCAGCGCTTGGACGAATGCGCGAGCTGAATCTATTAATGTCTTTAGAAATGTTTTATTCATATCAATGGTACACTTACCACTTGCAGCCAAGTCCTGCGGTACTTGTACCAGGCGCAGACTGTTATCTGGACTACCGGATGCCAATACCGTTGCAGTAGGGTCGAACGAGAGACAAGTTACTGGGAATGAGTGTGCTGAGAGAATGCGAACGAGTGGCTAATTTTGTGTCAAAAGGATTACTTAAAAACTTGTACACTCACTGCTAACGTCTTAGCTGACACTATTCCGACACTCAAATCCGCACTCGCAAATGCGATTAATTGACCGTCTTCTCTTTCAACGGTATTAGCTAGAATAAATTTACCTCAGATTACCCACGATAAATCACATGCTGTGACTGGCTTGTCTGCTAGCGTGACAGTCCTGATGACCTTCCAGGTGTTTGTATCCCAAACAGTGAGAAAACCAGGTCTTGCACCCTTCTTCTTCTGTGGAGGTCCGCTATTAGTGACCGTGTAGAGTCTACCGACGTGTATTCCCTTTCCAAATCTAGACTGCGTTAGAATACTGTATGAACGATGTTAGCACTTACTTTGCAAATCTGAAGCTAGCTCCGGAAGTTTTCTGAACAAGTGGGTCACTAATAGTTTGCAGAACTTTAGTTGTAACTTTGTTCTTCTTCTCGTCATATACGAAAGAGTACATCAAGACACTCTTCGATGTCGTTACTGCGAGAAGAGCGCCATCGTTGCTAAAGCTAACGCTGAGAATGTCGCCATCAACTATGATAGCTTTATCAAAGAGTGTTTCCATCTCCGGATAGCTGAAGGCATGTAAGGAGGTCTTCTTTTCTGAAGTTTTACCATCGACGACGACGACCTGAGAAGATGGTGATATCTCAGCGATGCGCTGGTAATCTTCGATGTTATCGCCTTCAATTGTCTGTTTCGCGACGATTTGTTCGAGTTTGTCCTGTGTGATTTGGAATAATCTACAATTGTTGTTTGGTTTTTGTGATGAGTTTATACCAGCTAGTAAATATTTCTTATTCTGTAGGCCAATTGAGTATTAAACCGCTATTACTGGGTATTGCTCACTGTGAATGGTACAGAAATCGACATTGGACAATCCTCTCCAGATTGCAATTCATAAGTCGAATGGGTAGAAATATCCTCAGATGTTATATCATACGTCACTAGCTTGTTCTTTACGCCTGTCTTTGATGATGATCCACCACCACCGCCTAATACGATCCTCTGAGGAGATATAAATGCCATAGAATAAATTGGAAATCCTATAGGATGAGATTTATGGGGTACGCGTGGCATTTTTCTACTAGAAACTTGACAGTTGAGTGTCAAGAAGATAGCTTCTACTCGAACGGTGATGATATCGAGAATATTTAGACAAACTAGATCATTCTCTAGCACAAATGCACTCCCAAGTGGACACAACAAATGGAGCAAAATCAGACATCATAAAGGCGCGGCTGATAAAGCTCGTTCGAAAGTCTTCGCAAAAATGGCTTTGGATATCTCAGCTGCTGTCAAACTAGGCGGTGGCGCTACAGATCCTGCACTTAACGCAAGACTATCGAATGCACTCGCTAAAGCTAGAAGCTTGTCCGTCCCAAAAGATAACATAGAAGCTGCGATAAAGAGAGGTGACGCTGGTGCAGTCGATAAAGGCCATAGCGTCACTTATGAGGCTTTATTAGCCGACGTTGGTCTTATCATTGAATGTCAAACTGCGAACGTAACGCGATGTAATCATTCAGTCAAGACAATACTAGCCAAACACGGTGGTAGAATGGCGTCCTGTGGTTATTTATTCTCTCGAAAAGGCGTTATCAATCTCGAACTACAAGATAGTGCTTCCTTTGATACACTCTTTGAAGATTCTATTGACGCAGGTGGTGAAGATATAGTACAGAAGGATCACAATCTTGTTGAAGTAGGTTGATACCTTTGTCGATATTATTCTTGTTAAAGAGTCACACAGATAATCACGGATCCATCTCAACTAACTCGCGTGGCTGAGAGCCTCATTGAAAAAGGATATACACTAAGCTCCTATGATCTTGCATATATTCCTGTATCTGGGGAACGGCAGGAAATAGACGATGAGATTAGGGAAACACTAACGAACTTGATAGATACACTAGAAGAGGACAGTGATGCTGTAGATGTGCACACTAACTCCACTCTGTAACCATAGAAAATAAATGCATTAGACCCTAGATACAGTAGCGGTTATCAAACCAGATGGGAATTCAGTAGGAAGGAGAACGTCATTCGTTGCTCCTTTCTCCTGATAGAATGTCAAATCGATTGGAATGTAATGCTTGTTTGGCAATTTGTAGCTGACATCTTTGACTAAGTCATTCTGCTCTATTATTCTCTCTGCCATGGTATAGAGTGTCGTTTGCACGCTTTCACTAAAATCAACAGCGAAAGTGTCGAGCGTGACGTTGCGAACGCTCTCTGCGATATCGTCTAACGGAGTCTTAGCTACATCTGCAATTGTGAAACACCTGCTGTTGGCTTGTGGAATTACCAGCGAATAACTGCAATCGACGATGGTACTGAAGACTCTATCGTCTGTCTCTCGAAGAGTTGTGAACTCATCATTAATGAAGTTATTAAAGGAAGACCCCGTCGATTTGAGCAAGAATACATCTTTCAAACCAGCTTTCAAATCTATCGTGATATTATCTACACCCCCGCTTGCATCGACGATTGCGTTTACGACTCTCTTGTCATCTCCATCTCGCCTGAAACTATGTCCATGTGGTTGACCATTCTCGCTCGTCGGACAAATACGTGTCCAGCGATGTTTCAAAAGATCAACGTGCGCCTTCTTAATATGTGAATATTTTGTGACGAAATGTAAGCCTAATTCTAAAGCAAATGTCTCCGGTTGGAGTACATGTTGAGAATTTTGTGCAAATACATTTATCGTATTCTTTATTGAGTCCGTAGTAACGATTACTGTTGTCATACTAAATTCTATGTTTATCAATAGAAATTGCGACATACCTGAGTTATCTGCTTCTGTGTATGAAGCGGATATATCACCTTCTAATAGAACTGTAATAGTGTACTCTGCAATTTCGTGCCATTGATCATTTCGCACAATACGCAGTATTTTCACACCGTCTTTTCCGTACTTTGCTGTCGTTAATGTTGATTTCTGTAATTTAAGAGTCATTGTTGTAGTTAAAGGTTGAAATCCGATGACTTTATAAATGTTAGATAACGTTCTCGCTAACGTAATCTTAACTCCGTACGACGATATGTCAGGAGGTCGTCGGTATTCCGCAATCAGAAAATGTTGGATGAATTATATTCCTTAGCTCCTAACACCGTTGCCGATGTTTATTATTTCGTTTTAGGCACTACAATAAGGAAATAGCTACGATAGTAAATTTAAAGCACTTGATGGCATAACAGCCTTTGAGTTAGTAATAAAATCAAATGTGCCTTGTATAGTCATCATTTCTGGACATTCCAGCTCTGACACTAAGGAAGACGCTATAACAGGATTCCTGGGATTAACTTTTCGGAATATATTTTGATAGTGGTATTGTTTGCACACGTCTCATATCACTCTCTGAGCTATCATATTGGGTGTTCGCTCGACGAAGCCGAAAGGACCAAACTAATGGAGAGTAGACCATCCAATTGGCTTGAAGGGAATACAAATGTAGTATATTAAACTATTCCTAATTGATAGATCAATTTTATAGTTTATCTTACAATTTAAACTTCTTCTAAGAATATTTAATTTTTCCAAGTCATAGTCTTCTCTTCCACCTACAATCATCATACAATGATCGCCAGACAAGCTTTAAGAGCTGCTTCACGCCAAACACGTGCTATTAGCACTATCAACAGAGCTGCACCAGCTGTCGCACAACGCGTTGCTATCGTGGGTTCGCAGTTGACTCATAGACAAAACTGACAACACACTCAGCCAGCAGCTACCCGTGGTATAAAAGACATCGTTTTCGCCAAGGAAGGTGGTGTAGAAAGAGTCTACGAACGTGAGATACTTCCTTAGTCCGTCTTACGTCGCTCACAATTCAATAAACAGGTAGCGACTACCAAGGTAGCAAACTCCAAGAAATCCTCGGTAACGAAACCCTCGCTATGATTGGTTACGGTTCACAAGGACACGGTCAAGCGTGAGTCTTCTATTCTCCGTATTCGACGGTTTCTGACTATGTACAGCCTTAACGCAAGAGACCAAGGTATCAAGGTCATCGTTGGTGTACGTAAGGATGGTCAATCATGGAAGGAAGCTATCGAAGATGGCTTTGTTCCAGGTGAATCACTCTTCCCAATTGAAGAAGCTATCGACAGAGGTACCATCATCATGAACTTGCTCTCAGACGCAGCACAATCACAAACATGGAAGGATATTGCTCCACTCATCAAGCCAGGAAAGACCCTCTACTTCTCACACGGTTTCTCCGTTGTCTACAAGGAAGACACCGGTGTTATTCCACCAAAGGATGTCGACGTCATCCTCGTTGCACCAAAGGGTTCAGGTAGAACCGTCAGAACTCTCTTCAAGGAAGGCAGAGGTATCAACTCATCAATTGCTGTCTTCCAAGATGTCACCGGTAAGGCATTCGAAAAGGCAAAGGCCCTCGGTATTGCCGTCGGTTCAGGTTACCTCTACGAGACCACATTCGAAAAGGAAGTCTACTCTGACTTGTACGGTGAACGTGGTGTCTTGATGGGTGGTATCCAAGGAATGTTCTTAGCACAATACGAAGTTTTGAGAAAGAACGGTCACTCACCATCAGAAGCATTCAACGAAACTGTCGAAGAGGCAACTCAATCATTGTTCCCATTGATCGGTAAATATGGTATGGACTACATGTACAACGCATGCTCAACAACCGCACGTAGAGGTGCATTGGACTGGGCACCAAGATTCTACGAAGCTAACAAGCCAGTATTTGAAGCCCTCTACGAATCCGTTAGAGATGGTACTGAAACTAGACGTTCATTGGAATTCAACGGTCGTTCAACTTACAGAGAAGACCTTCAAAAGGAATTGGAAATCATCAACAACCAAGAAGTATGGAGAGCTGGTAAGGAAGTTCGTAAGCTTCGTCCAGACTACCAAGAATAAATGTATTCCTCGTTATAAATCTGTTTTTATTCACATTTGGAACAATTTGCAGCTTTTATTATGTTTGTGGTGTGTATTGTGATGTATTGTATTGTATATTTTGTCGTATATTTTGTGTTTTATATCTTCTTTCGTCTTTATCAGCGACACCGATGGTCAAAAAGTTGCACTTTAAAGGTGATCCCGTTAAGAAGAAGAAGAAGGCTACTACTGGGGGTGTGAAGAAGGAGGAAAGTGTTTCTCTAAGCGAACCGACTGATTCTACTGGTGCGTCATCAGCTGCTTCTATAATGTAGTCTAAGAACACAATAGCCTGGGTTAGAGCAACAGACTCGACGCATATAAATGGTCCAACTGTACTACTACATAGCCAAGGGCCTTCTGTTCTGAATTTCCACTCAACGCTCTCTAAACCGCATATGCACTCACTTAACGAATCAATTGAGGGCTTCACGCCATCCGATGTTGCCAGTGTATGGGTAGCATCTAGATTGAGTGGTACAGACACCATAACACTTAGATCACCGGATGGGAAGTTCTTGGCTGCAGATAAGCACGGTAGTGTATCAGCCATGAATGAAGCTAGAGGTCCAAATGAGCAGTGGAGACCAATTATACAACAAGATAGTAGTATAGCTTGGATGTCAATATACGATAAATTCCTCTCCTTGGATGAGGTCGCTGGTGGTAACATTGTACTCAGAGCAGATAGCGATACTGTAGGATTTGGAGAAACATGGTCTGTGAAGGTACAAGCCAAATACAAATATGAAGGTGAACGCGAGAAACTCAGGCAAGCTAAGAAATTGAGTGATGCTGGCGGTATTGATATCAGCTTAGATGACGAGGAGCAACATACGTAAGCTTCATAATGTTTCCTCCAATCGTCTCTAATAGTCCAATAGAAGTAGATTCCAAGCTTACGGAAAAGCAGCGGAGACAACAGCAAGTGATAGGAAGAATCTTTCCAAAGCCAAACAAGAGGGTAAACTCAACGAGGCGCTGCTAGACAAACGAAGCAAAACCAAGAGGTATGTTCAGATATGTTACATGCTGTCATAAGGAATGCTAACTAATAATACAGCGATAAATTCTGCTGAACCAACTAAGTTCTCCTAAGAGATAACTTTATACGCCTATTGTATTGTTTTCTGTACTTTCTACGTTCATATGTTGCGTATCCTACTATAAAGATCGCGAAGAAGAGCAGAGAGCACAAAATAATCAATCCAGTTGGCTTCACAACTAGTTTTGTACCTGCCTGTTTGCCTGCTTCAATCAGATGTCTTTATATTAGAGTTTCACACACTATTGCAGTGGAATCTGGATCAAATTTCGGTGCGTCTTCGGACAAGTGTCGGCTGTATTGGTATTACTTCTGTTGTGGGTAAAGTGGTTCCGCTCATATTGTGATAGTAGACAGAAGACTCGGCGTCCTCATATTATTTAACGGGACTAAAATCTTCTTGGAAGAAGATTCAACAAGTAATGTCTCACTAAGAACACAATGTCATGATGTTATTTGACATATTAAAAGCGTATGCACAAATAAAACATACTTCTCATATCTATGAATGAAAACAACTACATTTCTTTACTAGGAAGTCTTCTTTTTGTAGGAATAAGACCGACGCTACCGAATACAAGTAAATAAACTGAACAAGCTGCGGAACGGATTAAGTAAGTTTATATTCGTTAGATGAGACTTACTAATGAAGAAAGAGAATATGATGGAATGCACGGATGCAAATGCAATAAATAAGCTGGACCATCCGATCAAAATCGATAAGGTTAGTATCTAAGATAGGTTAGTTTTGTAGATCTAATGACGCGTTTAATTTACAGGTATAATTGACTTCGTATGAGCCTCGCTGCTCCAATGCTGGTAATCAGGGAGTGTATTTCTAATATACGGTAACCATATTAGTAGATATAAGAACAACAATGTCGTTAATCCTAACAAAGCAATTGAGACCTTGCTGAGTGTTCTATCGCCGGTTTAGACGGCTAGCATGTGTATAGGATAAGACTTACGATGGCCAGCCATGAGATATCAACAATGCATACAAATTCACCCGTAGATCAGTGATATAGGCAAGGAACGAACCTGTGACGACCCTTATTGTTGTTAACAGACTATGTAATGTATAGAGCAGTATACACACCATTTTAATTGCTTCAGGAAATTATTGACGTTCAGCGGCGATTGGCTAGCAGGCGTAAGGGATGCCATGGTTGTTTCGGTAGAACGATGAACTTCACCGTTATTAGAAGGGGTATAACCACAAAAGCAGGAATTCCAACAACATTAGTAGGACCGTCGTCTGTACATTCCCATCTTAGACCTGTTAGATACGCCACCAATGAAGATAGCAAACCTAATCATCATCCATATGAGCCGACGAACAATTTCTATGAATATAGCGCAGAGGAGCTATCATTTGATCTCTCTAGGCGTAGGCTAGATAATTTCAACGAGCGGTTTTGGTCAGATAACAACATACGCTGCGAGCAAGCTATGAAAGCCTACGTAGGAGATGCACAGGGCGAGGAGCGACAGGTGCTGCTGCAGAAGTTTTGGATGGATTGGGTGAGTAACTTCACTGTCTATACCTCCCCCTAACAAACCCCAGTCAGAAGCTAACAAAGCGAGATACCTCAACTGGTCAAAAGAATGGTGGAAATCACAACTATCCCTTCTCTACCCTGCATTTAAAATATCCGTTAAGCAATTATATAGACGCTTTTTGTAATTTATCGCTATCTTCCTTCTTGACTTCTTACGACGACGTATGACGAATATTCCACCAGGAGCGACGCTGGCGAGAGATGACCACGTCGATTTGAGTGTATACGCTAGTTTACCAGCCCAAGTTAGCCAGGCACTCGTCAATACAGGTCAGTAGTATCAGAATATTAGGATATCTCCTGAACGATAGATATAGATTTATACACAGACGCTGTGAACTCATACATAGACTCTGCGTCTGGATTTGCGTATGTTTTAACACAGCGTGAATGCTTCGTATGGAATTACGCCAAAGTGAGTATTTCATGAACCTTTTATACAATCTAACAATTACAGCGTGCTTTGTTTAGCCCTACAGCTTATGTATTCCCGTGTCCATCCGCAATCCACAGTTCTGGAGAAGCAAACTTAGGATCCTCTTATACGCTCCCTGCAGCGATACTCACTTCACCCGCTACCAGTCGCGAGCCAGGACTCCTACTTATATCTCCAAATGGTGTTTATAGATTTTGGGAACACGTCGGTATGGCTCTCTCAGGTGTAGACAAGTTCATAGAAGGTCAACTCAACGACTTATCCGATGGTGAAACTGTAACTGGATTATTTGAATCTGATCCCTCACATTACATCTTAACGACTTCATTAACGAATCTAAAGCATGTCGTTTTGGCTCCTTCTCAAGGTCGTTTATATCCAATTATCAGACCATTTCCACGCACGAGGGGTGTCTTTGCAAGATTGTTCTCATCAGGCGCTTACTCTACATCTGAACAATTTGCTGCACTCACACTCTCACAACCTGATTCATTCGGTTCAAGGGACTTGTTTGCTATCGGAGAAAGATCTGTTCAAGTTTGGTCAATCGGTTACGCATCTGCAGCCGCATCTTCTAGCAATGCCTCTAAATTTGTTGGCCAATACCATATTCGTGACGCCATAGCCGATAGAATTATACCTGGTAGCGGTTTTGATATTCATAAAGCCAGACTATCAGTATCAATGTTAGACGGTGCAGTCACCAAGGATGGTAAATTGGCTGTCTTGGTATCGTACATCACACCAAATAAGGAAACGAACGATAGCGACCAACTTCAATCGTATGCTCTCTGTTTGCTTGTTCATACGCAAGATCCTACACAACCTTGGAGTGTTGAAAAGATTCAAGAATTGAACTACCAAGCTCACTTAGATCCACGTCCTTATTCTATACCAAAATTGGTAGTTTATGAAGGTGGACCTGCTTTCTTTGTTGTCTTCTCTGACGCGATCTTGATCTCAACATTAGTTGAAAGTTTGAAATACTCAATGTTGTTACCACTTCAATACCCACTCAATAACAAATTTATTGGCTTTGGTATAACCAATGATCCAACACGTGCATTGGCTTCACCATCTAATTCTCAAGTGTTAGAATCAACGAAAGCATCTATTTATACATTCGCTGTTTATGGTGGTATAATTTCAACTCAACTTGACTTGGAGAAGTTGGAAGCTGATATTAAAAAACAAATCGATCCAACTACGAGATTAACCAGTAGGCTGAAGAGCAGACTTGAACAAGCCATTTTCTATGGTGATAAGCAAGATAATCCAATCTCATTTGCTATTCCTAATGGACACGTTGAAGGTGACTTGCAAGAAGCTACTAAATCTGTCAGTAAGGATATTCTCGCTAGTAGATCAACAAATATGCCGGTTATTTTGGACCTAAGAGCTCAAATCAATGATAGAGCAGTAAGATGCTACAAACTTATTCAATTTATCAGTGAGAATGGTTTACTGGGCAAGCTCGCTCCTAGCACTCGTAGACAACTTTGCGATGATGCAGAGAAATTGGTAGCTGCTAACGAATTATGGTTACATGAAAACTCAGAAGAAGCGTAGGTTTGAATTGAAGTAACAGACGACGACTAATATACTCCTAAGTGGTACTGAAGGATTGCTATTGGCTTCCGTAGAAGCGTACATGAGTGGTTCAAAAGAAGTAAATGAAGACATTGTCAGATTATTCTTCAGAACGAAGGTGAGTTGGTATATTTTACGGAGAATGATAATTCTAAAATCACTAAGGTTAAGGATATTGGCGTACTTATAGATAGAATGAATGCATTGGTAATTGAATATCTCGAATCAAACCCAGGTATCGAAAAGAGATCCAAGACTATTATAGAATCAAACAGATATATTCTTGCAACACTTTCACCATCATTCAAGCTACGTCAGCAGCAATCTGAAATTTACGGGTTGGATAAGTCAACGAGAGGATTTGAATCTTGGATGGCGAAATCTGTAATGTTGAACGTATTAGAAACCACATACGATCGCACAAAGAAATTGTTAAGGGATAGATCAAGAGAGTTGGGATCAAGTATTGATGATAATCCAGAAGACTATCAAAATGCACCAAACACTAAGACAACCCAGAAGTTACTCACTAGACAATCAGAACAAGAAGAATTACGCCAACAACTCTGTTCAATTGCTGAACTTACTATCGAATCGTACGAAGATCGTATCGAATATCTCAAAGCATCAAGCAAAACCGAAAAAGAATTGGCGGTATTGTTAGAGAAGTTCAATGGCAATCTTCGTCCATCTTTGATCCACCCATTAGTCACTATCGGTAAAGCTGATTTCGCGTTTGATTTAGCAGAGAACCATCGTGCATTTAGTATACTCACTGAACTATGCACAGATGTTAATGTCGGCAGTATGGAGCGTATAAAGTACTACCTTGACATGTACAAAGAGCAATTCGGCTTCGAGTTGTACAAGTGGTATGTTGAGAATGGTGAGTTTCTAGTATAATTACAATCCATAATACCTAACAACTTAATAAAGGCAAATTATGGACTCTTTTCCAACATGAACAGCCATATGGTGATCTATTACAAGCTTTCTTCAAGCAAAGTGATAATGGACGTTTTGCTTGGATGCATGATTTGTCTGCTGGCAAATACATCGATGCTTCACAAACCTTAATCAAAGAGTCATCAAAAGAAACTGAATTGGCACCAAAGCATCTCATACTCAGTTTGGGCAAGCTTTCACATATTGCACAATTAGACCTTGATACGTTCGAGAGCACTCAAGCTCAGCAAGATATTGAAGCGACTGACGATAAACTTGATTTGATAAGTATACATGGAAAGCTCCTCGAATTGTTTGGCACTCAGTTATCAGAAACAGGTGAAAACATCGACATGTTGGACTTAGAAGAAAAAGTAGCAAAGATTACAGATGTGGTAGCATCTAGATTGAATTTACCAAATTTGATCAACCATTTCCACAATTTAATTAGAGGTTTATATAATGGCAAAGCTCTCAATGCTGAAGATTTGGTCGATTTATTAACATTGAAGGATAACTTCTTGGAGCAAGTGACAGATTATGCATCAGCGATTGATGTATGCGTGAGAGCAAAAGATGTACCGGATAGGAGAGCACATTCATCACTCAAGTCAATTTGGAGAAGGGTTTACTTGCGTGATGATTGGCCAATGCTTAACAACACCACTGGTATGAATGATAACGAGTTGGGAGATAACCTCCGCCAATCTGCTTTATATGCTACTATTCAGTTGGCATCCGAGAATGATCACCCAGAAGCACTTTTCCTTTCACCAAAGAAGTCATTTAACAAGTTAAGCGAGAAAGATCTCAGCGCCCGCTTCCCCTCATTACCACAAGATGAAGTTGCTGCTATTTTGAGTGATCTTCAGGAAGAAAATGCAAGATTGGAATCACTAATTAAGAACAATAATCTCGATAATTGGTACAAAGAGGTTTTAAGATTACATTCAGAAGATCATCCAAAATATCAAGTAGCAAAAGATGAACAAGAACAAGAGATGGACGAATCATAAGCGTCGTGTAATTATCCTTGTTATATAATTTTAATAATTTATTATATCTCTATTTACATTCACTTGCTTTTCTTATCTTCCGCTTTATCTTCTTTGTCCTCCTCAGCTGTCCATGTCCAAACTTCCTTGAATTCTCCACGGATGTAGGAAGCAATAGCTACTGATCCTATACATGCAGGACTAAGGTATAATAATGCAGGTTGTGCAGCTTTGAAGTTGTGCATAACAACGACAGTTGTTAACAAACCTAAAAAGTAAGCAACTAAACAAGTTGTAAAGTATGGTTTGCAGAATTTATCAGATGCAGTTGGTGGGAAACCTTGCTTCTGTTGTTGATGATGTCTTACTGTTGCTAAATGTAAATCCAATCTTAAACAAAGTGCAACAAAAACACCTGGTAAGACGATATCACCAAGACCTAATAAAGTGAATCCAGGAGCATCACCTGAGAGGTACTTTGAGAGACATTCACATTCGTATCCTGCTTTTTGTGCTAATTCAGCGATAAATGATAAACCAGCGTCTTTTGGCCACAACAACTTAATTGGTGCGTCTAAACCTTTGGCTACTGAAACCATAACTGGTGTGAAGAATACCCAGAATATATCGTAGAAGAACAATCCTGAGAGGAGGATAGCGCCTGTCTTGAGACTATCCAATTCTATCAACTTGATACCTGTCCAGGCGAAGGACAAGCCAAGGAAATTGTTTAAGTACCATGGTCTTTCAAAGTAGAGGTATGAAAGTGACGCTGCTAGTGAAACGACGAGGAAACCAATGGAGGAGGCTGTGAATGGGAAACGTGCTTCCTCTGAGATATCTTAAGTATTAAAGACTAACAATACATCATTACTTACCTTCTTTTCCTTTAACGAGGAGAAGTCTCCACTTTGGGAACAGCTTGTTGTACAAACTGGTTCCGATAAGGTTGTAGAATGCGCTGTCGAGGTATTTTGCACCTGCGAATCCACCAATAAGGGAGAAATAGCAGCCTAATAACAAATTCAAGTACTCTTTGCTTACGTACTTCACTATCAGGAAGAGTGATCCGAGTACTGCACTGCCGATAATAGGGAACATCTTCGCATCGCCAGCGTTTAACTTCTCTGCGACTTCTTCATCTTTCTCGTCCTCGTCATCTTCTTCCTCGCCTTTGGCTTCCCTGATTGCTTTCTTTGTAGCTTTTGGTGTCTACGTGTCGTCAGTTGAGCGATCTGTAGAAATAAGACGAACCTTAAGTGCTCCCCAGCTGCCTGTGTATACACTGCCTACAGCTTGTACACCAAGCGCTGCATAAGCGTAAAATAGCAAGTTATGTTCTGACATCCTCCTGACGGTTCGAGACAGCAAGTAAACAATTATCAAAACAAGTAGAAAATTCATTAATTACAGTTGATTTTACAACATTCATTTGTTCTCCCTTTTATTAATCTTGTTATATTTCATTACATGATCGATGGTTCAGCTAACCCTGCTGGCAGCTGGCCATTTGGATCATATTTAAGCATGGTTGGCTTTAGATCTCTCAAGCTCCTATATCCACTAACTGTCATGTTGATATCTAGATCTGCTAATAGTGATCTGACTACGTGTCTGCAACCAGCTTCTCCAGCAGACAAGCCCCAAACCCACATTCTGCCAATCATGACAGCATGTGCACCCAATGCAATCGCCTTCATGATGTCGCTACCTGTTCTGATACCTGAATCGAAAAGAATTGTGCATTTATCACCGACAGCCTTGGCTATGTCTGGGAGGACTTCTAGACTAGAAACTGCACCTTCAACTTGTCTACCAGCATGATTCGTTACGACGATACCGTCACAACCGATTGACAACGCCTATGATGAAATTAAGTCAAAATTTTCACATAAGAACATCCAAACTAACAGTTTCAGCATCTTCTACCGATTGAATACCTTTCAAAACAAATGGTCTTCCACCAGACAATTCGTGCCAGAATTTGCATATATCTTTAACCTTTTCCCACGTTAATGGTTTACCGTGCCAAACTGAATGATCAATCCAGCGTGATGAGTCTTTCTTAAGATCATCGCCGTACTTCTTCATAAATACAGGATCGCTGAGACCCATTTCATTACCCAAGTCACCATAATAAAAGGCGTAGTTAGCTATATCTGTGTCGGTCATTCTCAATCCCAACTGAGGCGTGTCTGTAGTGATCATCACCGAATCAAATCCTGACGCCCAAGCACGGCGGAGGAGGGACTCAGTAACATCACTATCTTGACTTGCGTACAATTGGAAGAAACGTGGACCAGATGTCTCAAGTTCTCGTTTGCTACCGCTATATGAATTAACAGAGTTTGATTCATTCTTTTTAGAGGCAGATTTCTCATGTGCCTCTGCAACTTCCTCAATTGAGTAGCTCGCAGCTGTTGACAAGCAATATGGAAGACCGAGTTCACCCGCAACTGTAGCAGCCGCGAGCTCACCTTTAGGGTGATAAATCTTATTTATACCAATAGGAGCGAACATAATAGGCGCAGGAATCTTGTGACCAAAAATTTCAGTTGTAAGATCTCTGGTGTTTGTGTCTTGGAGCGTTTTAGGGATAATTTTATGTTTGTAGAAAGCTTCCCTGTTAGCATGATGTGTCCAACCTAGTCCAGCGTCTATAAAAATTAGTTGTGTTATCGCTCAGACGATGATATCACTCACTAGAAGAGCTATACCAGTAACCCTTGTCAGTTAAGTTCTTTCTCGCATCGTGTTGCAATCTAATCAACGTAAGAAGTCTATCGCGACAACTTTATTGACTTACTTCTCGGGGTGTGAACTAATTGACGGCAATTTGCCTTCAGGGCCATTGGCGAACAATTCACGTTGGTAAAGTGAATAATGTGGTGAAGGTCCTTGTGGCTTGTTGTATGGATCCATGATAGTGATATTAAACGGAAGTAGCCACACCAATTAATAGTAAACGGAAAAATTTATATGCGGGTGACTTCTTTCCGACGGCGATCCGTTATGTGTGCTCCGATAGTTATATATAGTTAAGTGTATAGAGATCGTACTATGATATTTCCCTTTCCTGCTATTGCCTTTTTGTAGTTCTTCTAATCAACGGTGATGATATGCAAGGCAATTTAATAGGAGTAACTTTGGCACTATTGGGAAACATCGTCATAGCGTTAGGGCTGAACTTTCAGAAATTATCGCATTTGCAGATAACGTCTTCTGAAATTGAATCTGGTACTACATTTGTTAATAGAACTGGAGATGATGAAGTCCTGCCTGCTGAAGATGATGATAGAGCGACAATTAAACCTACATCTGACAATTCTCTAAAACTATTACTGTTAAACTTGAGGGATTCAGTCGTAAAAGCTATTAAGAATGACGCGAAGTATCTCAAAAGTGGTACATTTTGGATTGGATTAGGGCTTACCACTTTGGGAGAGTCTAGTAACTTTATAGCATATGGATTATCGCCTGCGCCGCTTGTTGCACCACTTGGTAGTGTTGCACTTGTAGCCAACTGTCTTTTCTCTCCATTACTTTTAAAAGAACACTTTGGACTGCAAGAAATACTAGGATCAAGTTTGTGCATCATCGGCGCGTTTGTTTTGATTGCGTCAAATAAAAATAGAGACGGACAAGTGAGTTTGATCTTAAACTCAATAATCACGATTGACAAAGTACAAGATTGACTATGAGGAACTACTAGAGGGGATCACCCATCCAACTTTCCAAATTTACGTAGTATCTTTGCTCATCGCGATCATAGGTCTTATTAGTTTATCAAACAAGCCAATAGGACAAAAGAGTGTGACTATTGATGTATCCATTTGCGCGCTCTTTGGTGGTCTCACTGTTATATCTACTAAAGCTCTGAGTAGCTTACTAGTGCATAACTTTGCAGATGCGTTCCGCCATAAAGTCGCATACCTGGCTTTATCGGTTCTCCTAATCACAGCAGCAGCTCAGGTACATTTCCTTAATAAGGCATTAAACAAATTTGATTCAAAGGTAAGTTCAGTGTGGACGTGATTTACAGATCTTAATCAGACACAGATCGTCATACCAATACAATATATCTTTTTCACTATATCCGTTATACTGGGCTCATCCATGCTTTTCAAAGATATTCAAACATTCCCTTACTTGATTTTGTTATCTGGCTTAACAGTATCTTTCTGTGGTGTATACTTCCTTAGTTGCGCCCCTCAAAGTGACCACTTTTCGAACTTATCCGCTGGTATTGAGGATGGTCCGCAAAGAAATCAATCAACAGATACGACACTAACACCCCTTCTCGGTAGTGCACCTGAACGCATTCGGACAAGTCGGTCAAACTCATCATTCACGAAAGTTGGTATAGGCTTATCGCCTGCAAGGTATCTACTTGCTAGTCATTCGCCAAATAGCACATTTAGAGACGATAATGCTCCCATAATTTCCAACAATAACTCTCAAACGTACAACGGTGTGAACTACGGTACTACACCGCGTACAACTGACCTCATGAATGCTTACGATTTGAGTCAAACTCCTACACCATATTCTAGTGGTTTAGCGGACCATTTCTCAAATTCACAAACAAGTAGATTATCACCAAGATCCAAAGCATCGAACTTATTCGGTGATCCAGAAGATAGTGAGATTACGCCCCGTCAACAGCATATTCCAACATTTAGCACAACATCTACCACTTAATACTTTTTAATATATAGCATCATTAGTCTATAGATAATTATCGTGTGTGTGCCACCACCAAGCATGTGTCGGATCGACATCTACTTCATGCCAATCGGGGAGGTTATTAGGGTATGCAACAGACTTGCAGCGTTTATTCCATGGTTTTTCGTGGATATAATGGACGCTGTGAGATGTTAACTGAGAAAACAAATGTCAAGCATAAACTCACATATGAACGTCACGATTTGATTCATCATTATACCACAAATTCTTGTGACATACTCTCAGAACTTTCAAAGAGTTGAACTTCCAAGGTAAAATACGTATTCGTTGTCTGAAAACATCTTGCAAAATTTGCTGATCGGGGAACACATAAGTTTGAACGAGGTCTTGGTTATTAAAGATGAAGTTTTCTATAAGATTACATATACGTGTGCTTGGTTTGAATACCATCACTCCCGAATTAACTGCCACGTTGTCATCGGTGAGTTTCGTCAGTGGTATGGAATGACTATAGGTAATGTTGTTATGACCGCAATTCTCAGGTGTCCTGAAGTCTTTAATGAAGTTCGAAAGGCACTAAACACTCACCATGAAGCCGGATAGAATGATTTCTTGCGGTTGTTACATGTACATGCGAAGCTTATCGCCAATTCGTCGTCATCGATCAAGTCGGCCGTATCGAGTAACCAATCAATATTGCGACAGACGAGAGTGTCTGCGTCGAGGAAGGCCAATCGCTAGAAAAATTGTAAGAGTTGTATTCATAGTCTAATAAATAGATATCTCTCACATCATAATCCACTAAAGCAAAAGCCCGAAGTTTGTTACCAGCTTCTGCAAACCTTTTTATAGGGTTTTAGATGTGTTTAAGGTTCGAGTTAAACCCACGCTGCTCTAAAATCTCCAGCTGCCACTGTATCTAACAAAAGTGGCTCGATCAGTTTTACTTCCATACCAGCATCTCGGCATTCTTGTTGTTCAGCATCAGATAAAGCATCCGTAGTGAGGACTAGTAGAGGATATTTAGTTCCACTCTGTTTTAAACTCGCATTTAGGACTTTTGCACCGATTATCTAGGAAATGATATGAATAAATGCGAAATTGCAGTTATAAGAACGCACGTAAGTCGAAGTAGTTACAACAGTCACCCAACTATCGGAAATTAAGACGTTCCTGACATCCTCTCCTCCTACTCACGATGTGCTCATTGACGTTAAGGAAGAAGACACTTTGATTGCGTTATCAATAATGATTGCTTACGTAATGACTAGGGTTTTATAAATAACAACTATACACGCATTTGTTGAGATTTTATTTGCTTATCGTAATGCATGACAATTTATTCGCTCCAATTTGTGTCTTGGTGATTGACTCTTATCGACTCATACCTCTAATTATCCAGAATGAGGGTTAGCCCAAGTAGAATGTTCCTCAAAACGCTCTCAGGTGTGTGGAATAGTACTCCAGGATATATTATTAATCAGTTTAGACATACTAGCGCCACCATTTCAGAGTCTTGGTCTATTCAAGCCACAGGATCCTACATTCGGACGCTATCTTCTCCCCCCGTCACATACCTATGAAGTAAGCCATAGTGATCTCTACAAGGATGTAAAAACGACGAGAAGAAGACTCTACATCACTAGAAATGGTCACGCGATCGGCGACTCTCATGCGATAAATCTTCATGAGCGTGAACTACTTGAAGCAGAGCATGATAACTGGGTTACATTTCAAACATTTGAGAAAACGGGCCGACAGCCAAATGACGTCGACGCAGATTTATTACTGATTCAGTATGTAGCGGCCAAAGCTACTTGAGTTATTCTTACATACTACTATAGCGGATATGCAGATTATGGTGGTAAATGGGTAGCTAACGCTAGAAAATTCATTGCTAGAGGTTATCGTGTTATCGCTATCGATCTACCCGGACACGGACGGTCTTCTGGTCTTCACGTTTTTGTGCCTTCTTGCAACGTTCTTACACAAGCTATCGCGTCAGTTATGAAAGATGTCCATCCACCAAATAAGCAAGTCTTCGTAATGGGACATTCGCTAGGCGGTGAGATATCTAGCTATTAAACTATGGAATATACTCATATGTTCTTAAGGATTCTTGGCAATTAGCTATGCATTACAATACCCAGCTGCTGAAGTGTTAACTAGTCAGGATAGACCTAAACTTTCAGGTGTATATGCTCTCTCACCAATGCTTGGTATATCGCCTGAAGTGCGACCACCTTGGATAATTGAGACTATTGCACGTACTCTCGCTTCATTTATCGGACACCTTCCTTTCATAAAGTCGGACGGAACACTCAAGACAGATGATCAGCGGATTATCAAGGAAACCCTGAGTGATATTCGTGTATACCAAGGTGCATTGCGTATTGGAACAGGTTTGGCTTTTTTGACTGGTATTGAGAATATAAACAAAGACGTCGGGAAATTGAATGTCCCGTTGCGTATATGTCACGGCGACGCTGATAGGGTTACACTCTGTGACGCTTCTGTAAACTTCATAGGCCGGACTGACAACAGTAAAGGTGACAAAAGTCTCAAAATAATGGAAGGTGTCAATCACGTCATGTTGGCAGACAAGCCAACTGCATTGAGCGACACAGTTGTTAAAGATGCATTAAGCTGGATGGACAAATATAATGGCAGTCCAGCTAAAAAGATAGACTGATAGAATGTAGATTTTTATTTTGTACGAATCACATGAATTTTGTTCAGATACTATCACGTGAAATTGTCATGAGCAAACAAATAGCTGGATCCAAAAGGCCAGCTGAAGAGAGTTTTGATGAGGAGAGATCATCTACTAGAATACGTTCTGATCAATCTGACGAAGACCGTGACTTGGAAGATCTAGCACGCCAGACGGAAAGGGAAGCCTTCGAGCAACCAGAGCCACCAAATAGCTCACACATCAGCATGGAGTCTCTCGCTGCACTTGCTGATTGCTTGACGTCTAACAATCTCGTTGGATTGATGCAACAAGCCTACGCTCAGAGTGGCGCAGCGCCTATGGATCCATCAGAAATGGAGCAACTGATACAGCGTTTACCCGTGCCATTACAGACTCCCTCCCGTGCACCCGCACACCCATCACCTCTGGCTGAACAGCCTGAATTCACGAAGAAGAAAGAACTTCTAAGTGCAGAACAGAAGCGGAATAATCATCTTCAATGCGAACAGAAACGTCGTTCTGCACAGAAAGCAGCGTTTGACGCACTCGCTACAATAATGGCAGACGAGAATCCAAATCTGGGGGCAACCAGTAGTAGCAGCAGGAGTAAAACTAGAAGCAAATCGGCCAATACTAGTAAAGGAGTCTTGCTATCTAAGGCAGTCTCGCTTATACGTTGGTTAGAACGTACAAATGCAGCACTTAAGAAGGAAATCGATAAATGGGAGCAGAGTGCTGCTATGACTCTCATACAAGCTGCTTCAACAATTAAGGATAATAATGGTCATTCAGAAAGTAATCAATCCAATAGCGCATCAATTTCAGCATTATCAAATCAGTATTAGCATTTATATTAGCAAATGTATTATCTATAATGTATTTATTCGGCATCACTTATATCCATCTTCTCAGAAGCTGAGGTTGACTTTTTCGATCGTCTTTTACCTTTCTCTGAGTCCCTCCAACGAGCGTTGATTACGTCCGGTGTGTCACCTCTTTCACGCTCGAGTAGAGGAAGATGCTTACTTGATATGACAAAGTTGTTACCACCAAGCGGTATAGCATTCACTTTATCTCCCACTGGTCTGGTATCAATTGGTTTGATTTGCGAGAGTGCATTCTTCAACATCGCTGATTGTAATTCCAATTCGTATAACTGATCAACGATTGCCTTTGAAGTGTTCGTCCTTTGTCGTCTATCTTCAACCTCATCTGTTGGTTCGTCACCAGCTTGCGTGCGCCATGATAAACTTCTCTCATCGAAAACACAATCATACAGACATAACGGAAGGTCATTCGCCATGTCATAGAGTGGTTTTCCTTCGACGACAGGTAATGAAGGATCTTTATCGTCTGGTTTAACCCTCATGAGATCATTTATGATTTCCACTTTTTCTCTTCCGCATCCAACTAAGAAGAGAACGGCCATGATACATCTCACTTGGTGATATAAGAAAGCACTTCCACGTAAGTTGACGCAATGAAGGTTTGACCCTGCTTCTGGAGGATCTATCCAAGCGTCGTTAATACGTCTATGGAAATTCTTAATTTGCTTGCTAGCATCGACTTTGCAGAAGTTTCTAAAATCGTGTTCACCTTTAATCAATTCCAAGGCGCCATTCATGAGGTGGATATCGAGACCAGGACCGAGTGGAGACTCTTTAATATCAAAGTAATACTTATAGTGTCTCTCTTTGCAGTCAAATCTAGCGTCAAAGGAGTTCTTAACTGGTGACCAAGCAAGAATACGAATTGTTGGTGGAAGAAGTGAGTTTAGAATCTGGAGGAAGTTGTATTCAACGACTGGCTTTTTGCTTTCCTTTTCCACTTCCATTGCGGATGCCTGCTGTTCAACTTCCATTTTAACAGACTGTTTCTGATCTTCCGGTGCGTTATTTATACGAGCTTGTTGATCTTTTGTGAGTTTTATAGGTTTGGCTTGACTAGGGCCTTTGAATGCTTCTATTGAGGATGGCTTGTTCTCTGGTGTATAAGCTGATCTGACCCATAAAGCAACAACCTGACCTGCAGAAGACACACCCTTGTCAGTTCTACCACATCTACTCCATCCAGCACTCTCAAAAGATTTTGTTGAGTCTACTAGTCTACCTTTTGCTAGTGCATCCCAAAGTGTTTGCTCAACTGTTGGTAGCGGAGTTGGTGTACCCTGGGCAGCTAAACCATTGTACGCCCAACCAGCGTATGAGAATTTGATAGCAATTTTACGCTGACTGTAAGCGTTAAAAACGAAATCTCTAGAGTTTTTTTTGGATTGTTTGATCATTGAAGGGGATAAAGATGGTTTATTAGTGACTATCAAGAGAAATGCCAGTTCCATTTGAAGCGTTGGTGCCAGTTGGTGTGTAATCGTTAGACTATACTAATAAGTTGCTAATAACACTATCTATTAAGGACTTATCACTGTTATGTTCGGTGTAGTCAGTGTTGGTATGAACTCAATGAAATTCGCTAGAAATGATTGGAAAGTGCGTTCATATAGATAATATGGAGTCTATTCTCTAACAATACACTCCAGCCAACGAGATACAACGTCGACCAATTTGAACAGGTTATGATGAAAAGAGATGAGAGATTGACGGGTAGCAATAGAGGACAGAGGGTGAGTATATAGTATTATGTATATATATCGCCATATTAACACCCTCAAGACTGATCCAATAGCACCGCCGGAATTTGCTACAAACTCAGTTTGGCAGACAGAGGCAGTTATTTAAAATAATATTAATTATACATCTTCTTCTGGTTCAAACATTGGTAGTTCAGCTGGTGTATATCGTTAGTCAGTGTAGATATAGTACTCCACACTCACCTTCTGGCTGCGTTCCATCTACACCGACAAAAACGTAATCCAAATCTCTCAATCCTGTCTCTTCTATCTTCTGACTTTCCTTTATTAGTGTGTACTCCAGCGTGTCATTCGACTCAGCCGTGTTGAGATTGTTCGCTTTGTAGAATGCGAGAGTGCCATCTATCGTAGGATACATATCTCTTTCATCTGATGGTACATTTCCTATCAAATCCCTTACAGCATTTCTGTAGATATCTCCCAATTGACTAACCATCGTTTTACCATCCAAATCTAAATAAACCATTAATCTACGATTTCTAACACCCAGCTGTATTCTGGACATCTTATTCTATCTTCTTATTATTTTCATCTCTGCGCATCTCTGACGACAACTCACTGCTGGCATCTTGGATTTCTACAACCAAGAGATGAACAATTTTAGAAAGATCGATATAGATGCAATAGAAGATGATTATCTAAACGATGATGATCTCCTCGAGATTGATCCAAGATCTGAGCAGGATGCGTTATCCTATTTCACCTCATTACAAGCACAAGTACGGGGATTAGTGAACGGGTGAGTAGTTACTTTATAGTCTGCTTATTTATCTAATTTAAATCACAGCGGAGACGTCACAAATGCTCTCGGTCTCATTCTAGATGACCCTCCATATGGCCCTACAGTCGATTCAGCGAGGAAGATTAACACCGACACTGTGATCCAGATCCTATCATCTACCAGAACATCTGATATATCCAACGTTATCAATAACCTCCAGCCAAATCAACAGGACAACCTGATGAAATATATCTACAAGTGCATGTCTCTTCCTGTAGCTGAGCAAATTGGTAATGTCTTCCTCAGCTGGCATGAGAAGCTCACACAGGTCGCTGGTACAGGTTCAATCGTGAGAGTGATGACGGACCGGAAGCACATCTAAAAGCCCCCACTTGATACCTCTTTGTTATAAATTTATCTTGCACTTCTTCTAATTCCATCTATGAAATGCGTTCCGTGTGACACAGTTAGCTAAAATTAGATTTCGGATGTAAAACACTTCTTTGCTGTGCTCTATAGAGCGCATAAATGCGGTAGCCGTTGTCTTTTATACTACAACTATCTAAACAGAAAAGAAATGAAACTATTCTCTACTCTCGCTCTCACAGCTCTCGCTGTTGGTGTAACCGCTTGGAACGACGGTAACAGTGAAGTTGACTCAAACTCTTTTTCACTCTTGATTGAGAAGTCTGTTGGCGACGCGGACGATGAATTTAACAAGAGCATAAACACTTCCCTACAGACAGAGGTATGTAATATAATTTGAACAAAGAAAAATTCCTAATTGACGACACCAGAAATCACCAATTTTGAACATCCCAAAGAACAAATTCGTGATTAGAGGAAACCAATGCTATCAATCGGTTGGCTTACCTCCGAGGGATGACCTCCCAGAGAGCCCTTACGTCAATATCGGTATGGAACCCAATTCATATCTATACACGGTCTAAACTTCCCATAGGACTTGGTCACTGCAGAGACCAAGATAACGACGATCTCCAGATAATCTACGCGGGAAACACTATTAACGTAGGTAAGGATGACCGCTGCCGGCTCGTCAATGATGATAATTTATCCGTTCGCTGTGTCATTCCCATTTAAATTGAATCATTTTCATTCTCAGATTACATTCATTGATTGCGCCTGCCTGTGACTTTGGACGTATCAAACTGTCCGAAATGGATAACCTTTTATATTTTAGAATGCGTTGCTTTTAATTGTGAATAAAGGTAAATACGCTATTCATAATTAACGATTACTTTCGCTGATTTTTAGTTTGATTTTTATTCATTCTCCACATTACCTTAACCCTAATGACAAATTTTTCTCGACTATAAAAGAAGCTGAATTGCTCTTGATATAAACCATCCTTCCAAACTAAGTTCGATGTTGATGATCACCCATGGCAAAGCACTGAATAGGCGTACATCCTAACGGATAATGTATTGCTTAAATGTCTTCAGTCGTCCGGCCAGCCAACCACCTTGTTACATACAAAGGGACGGCGTACGAATCTGAATCGACCTACTAGCATTTATTTGCTAGTATTGGAAGCACCGAAATCTTATACATTGACGTTTTGAAAGTTTCTTCATTCTTTTACTGTGTCTTGATAGTGGGAATACACATTGAGTGCATCATGAGGTTTCATTAAGATATAATGTATTGGTTTAGGCTAAAATATAAAGTATTTGCCTTGCCTTTAAAGAAGTAATATTTGCCTGTTAATATGTTATTGAATCAGACTTGCTTAAAGTAGGTTATGAAGCTAACTACCAATGCCTCGTAGGGCGATGATAAGCGAAAAGTCATAAAATTGGGTATAATTATACGTGTATTTCTAGTATGGTCTTTCTCGGTTCTTTAATCATCATATCCGTTCCGCCCACTTACTTGGCCAGAAATAAGTGAATATATTCAACTAAATGACTATTACTGTTCTGACTGAAATTATGACGGCATTATGACAATCTAGTTTAATTTGTATCTTAGTGGCGTCTGTTTTACATAACTTCCATTTCAAGTTTAAAATGTTAGACTATGACGAGATATTTGTGATATTACCGAGTGTTGATCCCTGACGCAACGTAAGCAACGTTCGTTACGTCTGGCATCTTAGGAAGTCAATTTAGAAGGTGCCTGCCAAGGAATTAGAATTTGAACCTCCTTTCAGTCAAACGTCGATCACCAACTCAGCGGGAAGCTTGTTTTAGTGATAAAAGTAAACTCAGACACAACAAACTCACTCAAAGTTGACATCTACAAATAAAATACTCAAATCTATGTTATGGCCTCTAATTCGATAACGACAACTTATGAAGAACCGACAATGGTCCAAGAAAGACCATTGCTGGTTCTAATCGGATTTTATTATTTCTTACAATTTGCTAGAATTATCGCTGATTATGTCTTCTCCGCTGGTTTACTAGGTGAAATCGCAGTTGGTATCATCTTTGGTGGTCCACTTGCGGGGATTTTACCTCACGAATGGGAGGAAACCTGGTTGACAGTAGGATATTTAGGTTTAGTTCTCATAGTATTCTCTGGTAGGTAGGGGATTTCCGCGATTTGCTTTCCTAATATATCCACAGGTGGTCTTGACTTTGATGCCCAGGTATTCTTAAGGTGAGCCACCTTCGCCTTTGGCTAAAATCATCTTCTGATCACAACTAATAGGAGCATTCCAATTGCTTTCATCGCTGCTTTCTGGGGTGTATTACTTCCAATTGCTTTCTCATTTGCAATCCTTTGGAAGGCTTTTGGATATCCCATCCTTCACGCTTTTACTGCAGGCTGTGCACTGTCTTCTACCAGTTTGGGAACTACCTTCTTCGTCCTTCAAAGCCAAACCAAGAAAGGATTGAATGTCCAAGCGACACGAGTCGGTACTTTACTCACTGCCATCGCTCTAAGGTAAATTACACTATCCTTCAGATTAACATACTCAAATATTTATAGTGACGACGTTATTGCTTTAGTTTTGCTCACAGTTGTTCAATCTCTGGGTGGTGGATCAAATAGCACGCTTGGGTGGATAGTTGGCAAACCTATAGTCGCATCTGTAGCTTTATCAATCGTTTCTCCAATAGTTGTTTATGCATTTAGACCAATCTATAGAAGATTCCTGGAAGTTCCAATCAGTCGTTACGGTGGCTATAGAGGTGCAACCACCGTTGGATTCCTTGTCCTATGCGCATATTTAGCAATATCATTTTATATACACACCACTATGTTGCTTGGTGCCTTCTTAGCTGGTATGACATTAGCTGTATGGCCATCCGACCGTGAAGGTGTTATTAATTACAAGCACATATTTGAAGAAATTTTCGACCCACTACTTAAAAGATACTTTGCAAGCTTATTCTTTGCTTCAATTGGCTATTCAATTCCCTTTTTAGATCTATTCACTGCTAAAAGATTCTGGCAAGGTCTAGTATATAGTGTCTTTATGTTTATCGGTAAACTTTTAGTTGGAATTTGGATACCAATTAGAGATTTGGTTACAAAAGAACGTTTTAAGGTCGACGAGGAGAGTGACAAGTATAAAACTAAAATACATTCTAGTAAACCTAACAAAGATTCCTGGATTGCTGGTCTCATTCTTGGAAGTGCTATGCTTGCAAGAGGTGAAATTGGTGAGATTATCCCTTAATTCGTATTTAATTATCTAAATCCCAATCAGGTGTTCTTATTCTGCAAGTTAGTTTAACAACTTCACAGTCTAATGCTGGATCTGATAATGCAATTTCCGTAATGGTGAGCCATCTCATTATTAGTTGACATTAATTAACCATTCTCAATAGGATAATGAAACATACTTGATTGGTATATGGGCAGTCGCATGGAACACCATTATAGGACCAGTCGCATTTGGCTTAATGGTCAAGTATTTTGGACAAAGGGTTATCGATTCTCATTGGGGTGACACAGCTCGTTTGAGGATCGAGAGACAAGAGAGTATTTATGCTGCCCCAACTTTTAACACAGAGGCTACCATTACTCAAGAAACAAAGGTCAAGGGTACAGGAACTCAAGACAAGAGTGACGTTTAGTGTCGCAACTTTTACTATGCTTTTTCTCTATTCTTTTTCTTTTATTAAAACATGCAAGGATTGTATGTATCTTCAATTTTATTACTAGAAATGAATATGCTTTTATTAGTCTATACATTAGACCATTCTAGAGATCTTGAGTGTGTTTTAGTAAGAAGAGAACACATAATACTATCATACTCACATGACAATTTGGCGTAGTTTGCAGGTGCAAACCTCGATCTAACCGCTTTGTAAACATATAATGGTAGCGATGAGACCGCAACAATAACTGCAACCTTCCAAACAAATCGTAAAGAGAAAACAAATGAAAGGTCTATTATTTGGTTATTAGAGTTGTCCATAGAATTAAATTCACCTACCAAAATATTCAGGTAATAGTACCATACTAAGAATGTAAATGATGAGAGTAACTATTTCTGCAATAACCATGTATAAATGCCATGTAGTTATTTCTAATGCTACCATTATTAATTCATTAACGATCAGGGACGTGAATGATATAGCAACAATATTCAAAAACTCATTTTCGAATAGAAGCAAGCTCATTATCATAATAGCACCACCTTGATAGACTGATACCATCATCCAGGTGAAGAAAGTTTTGAAAGATAAAGAACGTCCCTATTTAACAGTCAGATTGTGTGCGACTTTCTAATATTCCAACTCACTTTTGTCAATTCCTTATAGAGCTCTGGATATAGTAACGCTAATTCCTCATTGACATCCCGATCAAATACTAATGAGAATACGGGTGCCATTGTGTATATTGTTGAATAACCAACCATAAGCCAGCCTTGATAGATTGCAATTGGAGCGAAATACATTATGGCACTAAAAACTGCTTGAATGATTGAAATAATCAAACCTTACGATTATTGTTAGTCGTTGTAGAAGGTAAATAGTCAAACATACCTCTATGGATGACGAACTGAGCAAGTTTTGCAGATCTCTTATAGGAATTTCTTCCATGCCACACCAGCAATCTGGTCAAAAATGAGAACTGATTGACTGAAAAGTCAGCAGCGAGTGAGGCTTGTTTTCCTTCTTTTCCGACAATACCAACACCTTAACAGAAGTTAACTAAGAGCTTGTCAAGATAAACAGACTCACCAACGTCTGCCGCTTGAATCATACTAACATCATTACCACCATCACCTATACAGCACACACGCTTCTTTGTATGCGCTCTTATCAATTTCGCGATGTCAGCCTTCTGTGTGGGCGAGCATCTACATGCAACGACGACTGATAATTGTGTGGCCACCTGGATGAATTCTGGTTTGAGATTGTTTAAGCAGAGCTAGTAGGATGATATTAGTTTATGCTCCTCTCTTGCATATATACATACGTTAAGTGAATCACCATCAATTACCAAACAAGAGTCTGGTTTAGATTGGAGGAAATCAAGATGATCTTTCATTTCTTCAACTGTTTTGGCTATAGCAGTGTTATTATCGTGAAGCTAAAAGAAATATCTTCGCTTACCTTTAGCAATTTGATGTATATATTGATTACGATAAACAAGTTTACTCGATATCGCAATACATGTGGCAGTCTCAATCTTGTCACCCGTTAACATCCATATCTTAAGTCCGGCATTCCTGAGTAACTCGAGCGTAGATTTCACATCCTCTTGAAGTTTATCCTCTACACCAGTCAAACCTAATAATTCAAGATCATGCTCGAGATATTTATCTACAACCTCTTCAGGTGTGACATCTAATCTACCAATACTTGAGTTAACCTTGGCTTCATTATAAGCCTTTTCAAACGTCGCGTATGTATTTTCAGTGAGGATTCTCTGCGCCATAACAAGTGTACGAAGACCCTCGCGTGCCATATTACCCGTCTCTTCTTCTAACCAATCTTGACGTTGAACTCGAGGAATCATGACAACATCCGCACCCTTCTCGTAAAATGTGATCTCACCAGTTTCCGTATCTCGAACTATTATAGACATCCTTTTGGATTCTGATGTGAACGGGAACAATTGAAGTACTTCAAATTTTAACAAGGCGTTTGAAGGTGTTCTCAATGTAATTTGATTTCTGTCTCTTTGCACAAGAGTCATTCCAACACTCTCAGTCCAATTTACTATAGCTACTTCGTCCGGTGAGGAGGCTTGATAGGAGACTGAGCCGTCATCATTTGATACGGGCGTAACCTAGTCATGGTTAGCTGATACTAAAAATTTGGCTAAACTTACATTGTGACATAAAGACAAACCCATCACGACATCTTTAACACGTGAACTCATATCGCGACGACCGCGACTAGCTAATTGTACTCCAGTGACAAGCGTAGGGGCTTTGGCTAATGGATACGTTAGATTAGAATAATCCAGAAGAAGCTTTCCCACAATCGTCATCATCTGCTGCTCCATAGAAGGTTGCTAACTGATAGCGTATTTCATCCATTGAATCATTACTGAATGACATTGTCCCCATATGCAATTTACGCATGATCATTTCATTTTGAGTCAGTGTACCAGTCTTATCACTAAGAAGATATGAAATACGACCAAGCTCCTCTGGAAGTGTTGATGTACGAACTACGGTACCAGGAATATTTTTATCCTTCATTATTTGCTTTGAATAAGCTGTTTTACCCATATCCAAATTGACACGCAAACTGTATTTCCGTTATATTATTATCAATGACGCAAGTGAAAACTCACCTTATGGGAATAATAGAAGAGAACAGAATCAAGAAACGGAATATATAGATGTACCATTGACCTCTGAAACCATTTAAAGCGACCAAAGCAACGGATAGAAGGAAAGTAACCAAACAGAGAATCTGTAATCTAGTCAATAGATAGAAAGGAAACAAAAAACTACACACCTTGGCAAGTCTATTAATCTCCCAATCTAACAAACCAACTTTGCTTTTTGGATTACTGGTATTCATAACCGCGCGTGTCTCTTTACCCGTATATACAACAACGCCAACAGCAGATCCAGCAGCGAGGACTGTGTTTGCCCACAAGCAATTTTCAGCCGATAAAGGTTCCGTAGGTAATGCTTGTTCGAAAATACTAGAGCCGTGATGGTGAACTGATCCTTTGAATGTGTGGATGTCTTTAATTGGAGGACCGGCCAGAAATTCAGCTTTAACATGAAGTAGGTCGGAATCGCTTTCGAGTGATTGAGTTGATGGTACGGCTACCCTTAATTTCCAATCTGTTTCACCATCCAGCTGATCGGTTCTTACGAAACAAGTACCAGTTGAGTCTGTACACCTCAGTAAAACCAAGTCTGCAGGAATGCGCTGGTTCTTTTCAAGGAGTAGTAAGTCACCCACTTTTATTCGTGATGAAGGCGTCAGTTTGATAGCCTGAGTATCTCCTGATTCTAAACTAGCTGAGGGATTTGGATTGATAACAGAATAGAGTGATGAATTGACTTCTTTATCACGCTGTTGTCTTAAATAGTCATCGTAGGCCTCCTTAGATATCGTAACGCATAAAACGAAAGCAAGTGGTGCGATGTAAGTTGATATGAAACCAATCTTCAAAGGTGGTATAAATTGAGATAATGCAACTAAGAGAAAGTATAGGTTGAAGAAGAACTTAAATTGTTCGTATAAAACATAAGGAATGAATGATATCAAGTTGTACTTTTGGTTTTTCACTATATTGGCTGAATATTTGGTTTTACTGGGGCTATTTAGTTGTATTCTACGATAGTCACTATCAGAGATATCATCCATGTCGTGTGTCTCTTCATCTCTGCTGCTATTCTCCCCGTCATCGTCATCAGCGTCAGCCTCGAGATGGCGGTGGTCTTCGCTGAGTAATCGCTGTTGATCTTCTGATATTCTATGGATATCTCTCATCCTATTTCCTGTATTTTTTATTGTACGTAGTTTTATGGAATTCATTGCATATCTCCTCGTTGTTTAAGTACAAGGAGGATGTCTTTAGTTCAAGAGAAGCAAATAGCTATCACAGTAGTTAGTAGAGCAGCAAATTTAGCTCAGAGTGTTTTTAAGAAGTTAGTAAACGCTGAAACTGTCACTAAGAAGGATAAATCACCAGTTACAGGTGTGTATCTAACAATTTATTAGCAAATATTAAAAATATCTAGTCGCTGATTACTCCTGTCAATCTCTAATTTCCTTATTGTTATCAAAAGCTTACCCAAATGACCCAATCGTTGGTGAAGAGGACGCAAAAGATCTCCGCCAACCAACAGACGAATCAAAGCAACTCAAGAACCGCGTAGTTGATTTGGTCAATGCTGAATTATCCAAGCCACAGGCTGCAGGTGAAGCTGATGACCTCGAACTTGGCGTAACTCGCAGTGAAACCGAGTTACTCGACGCTATCGATAGAGGTACTTTCGAAGGTAGCGCTAAAGGCAGTATGTCGTTATGTCACTCGATGTTTTATCACTAACAAATCCCAAGGAATGTGGTGTTTGGATCCTATCGATGGTACAAAGGGTTTCTTACGCGGTGGTCAATACGCTGTTTGTCTCGCTCTCCTCATTGAAGGAAAAGTTGAACTCGGAGTTATTGCTTGTCCAAACCTTCCAGTTGATCCATCAAAACCTGACGGTCCAAGAGGCGTGGTATTTGGTGCAATCAAGGGACAAGGTGCTTTCCAACGCCCTATTAGCGAAACAAATGGTCCACTTAGTAAAATTTCAATGAACAGCATCACAAAGGAATCTATTGCGCAAGCTTCTTTCTGTGAATCCGTCGAATCTGGTCACTCATCACAAGGTGACTCCGCCAACATCGCTAAGGAATTAAACATTACCAAGGAGCCTGTTAGAATGGATTCTCAAGCAAAGTACTGCTCTATTTCACGTGGTGATGGTGATATTTACCTCCGTTTACCTGTCAGTGCCTCATACGAGGAAAAGATCTGGGTAGGTTGTGAAGGTTAAGCTTCTAAATTCTAACACTAGATAGGATCATGCTCCAGGTCGTCTCTTGGTTGCTGAAGCAGGTGGTAAAGTTACTGACATTCACAACAAGGACCTTGACTTCTCACTCGGACGTACATTAAAGAACAACAAGGGTGTCATTGTCGCTCACGAATCCATCCATGGTGATGTTATCAAGGCTGTACAGAAGGTCCTTAACGTTGCATAAAATGTTGTGTATATTAAATCATAGAATGGAAAATAATTTCAGCGATTTGTATTGCCATACGATTAACAAGCTTAGTTATTAAAAGTTTCGCTCAAGTTATCTCGTATGACTTATGAGAATTGACTGATTCTGAGATGTTCCCCGAGTAGGCTTTCAAGTTGCGATATCAGTTATGTCGAAAGAATTAGATCGAGGACAACGATGGGATAGGTTACTTTCATTCGGCGCTTCTACAACTACTACATTATTTCATCAAATTTATTTTAGGTAATATATTATCTCACCTAATTGGAATTAGATCGACATAGGTTAAAATTAATATCATATGAACACAACGAAACAAGCAGATTGTGCAAGTTCCAATCATGGCTAGGCTGTTGTGATATTTATCTTACTCTTGTATTATACAGCCCAACTGCCGAGTTCCCTACAACACATTGTTTCAAAATAAACCAAACCCATAAAATTGGAAGGCCACATCATTATTACTTTCTTTCTCTTTTGTTTCCCATAAAACCCAGTCTTGCTATGGAACTCTCAACTTTTGTCACTCTGACTATGATCGTCGATGGTATCTCTGCCTATGAAAGGGTACCACAACTGGCAACATCCTGATAACATCCTTTAACAGGCATAAAAATACAAACAGAAGAGCATTTCTAGTGATTACATTGTGGGCTATCAATGCTTATACCAAAGTCGACCTCTGAGACATTTTAAGGAGGTGTTTAGGAAAATCCAGATTGATTTAATGAACTGAAGCATATTTACCTTAAAGAACGATAAATGTGAAAGATTTGTTGAGTCCATAGTCAGATGCAATGTCTCATTGAAAAATTCGCTTTAGTGCAAATTCGTCACAAAAAAAAAACCGAAAGTGAATTTTGGATCAAATAAGGTGATTATCAGCGTATCACTCACCATAAAGGCACAAACTATACGATTTAATAAAAAGCTACATTGTAAATAACAATAAATGCTTCTAGAAACCCAACATGAGAAAAAGAAGCTTCAGAAAGTATGCTGATTACTACGTTTGCTTGGAATCAATTAAGCATTTTAAGACAAAAACGGTTGATTGGTCTTTTATATGTTGTGTCATTTTGGCAATGTTAATACTTATATGTAAAGAAATAACTCAATGATATTCAAAATAAGTACACTTAGGATGCCTGCGTTAGAAATTCCAGCTGGTTCAAAAAGTGGTACACAATTGCTGAGATATGACTTATGATAAGAACAAAGCTACCTCATAAAGTTAAAAACAGATGCAATGCTGTAACATGTTACAACTTTGGTTGAAGTTTCGACATTAAGCAAGCCACGAATATGGATATATAATAATCCTTTCAGTTGTTATTATCCAAAGTACAATCACTAGACTGTAACTGTGACATCCTTTGTCATGCTCAGCCATTTGCTAACACTAAGGAGCTTGATTGGTATCAGTCAGCTGTGTTTCACGCTGTGTCAAAACATAGGCCTGGTCGTGAACAAGGCTTTAGATATTTTTAGTTAGGAAGGTCACTTTTAATTTGTTCCTTGCATTACACAGCGACCCCGATGTACATCTCCGGTACCTCGAAACTATAAATCTACCGAGGCTGTGAGCTCCGAAAGTATATTTAATCCAACTGTCTTTCTTTTCTCTAACTTCAATCAACAACTAAGCCTTACAATGAAATTCGCTACTGCTCTCGCTCTCACTTCAGTCGCCGCCGGTGTCTCCGCTTGGTCAGACACTTTTGGCACAATTGATGACCAATCATTCTCGGTCGTAATCAAGGACCCATGGAAGTCCGGACTTGACCATGCTAATACCGCGGCTGTCAGTGTAAACACAATTGTAAGGATTTTTTGAGACATCATCAAAATAATTCACGCTCTATTTTAGGAAAACTCACAGCCATTCACAAGTCACAACACTTTCACTATCTACGGTGATCAATGTACACAATATGTTGGACTTCCAGCTAGAGATGATCTTCCATACCAACCACAAATTCATCTTGGTGCTAATTTCTGTAACAGGAAGAACTTGGATAATCTCTGGATCAACTACGCTAATCGTGAGTTTATCTAAATTAACAGTACAGTTTGGCTAATCCAATCAGAACATCTTGATGTCACTTCAGACAGTCGCTGTCTCCACAACCACGTTATTAAGGAGACAAGATGTGTTATTCAAAACGAACCATAAAATATATTGTAGCCTAACGCGGGAGTGTTATTACAATGAATGTTTTTTTTACTTCCCACAAAGATGTGTTTATTCGCACTGTATGCGTCCTCCCATAATAATAATTAACACATATTGAATTCTAACTCGTAGTATACTTTTGATTTGTACATTGCCTTTTATCTTATTCCAAGAGTTAAAAAAAAGTGAGAATTGCAGTGAGTTTCTAATTGTGTTTGAACACAATACAAGACCTCTAACAAAATTACGAGCCATACTGAATAATCAGCTGGATGTAGTTAATGCAACGAGGTTGCTTCACGCTTCATCAGTCTTCGCCAAACTGACATACATCCAAAGCCCTATGGTACACATGTTCATACGTCAAAATTACTGTATGAATATATGACTTCATAAATGATCCAATTAATAATACAGCAATGGTACTGTCTGCGTTTTTGAGCTTGGTTAATTATTTCTCAATTGATATTTTACACGGGGAGAGCGGTGTTGCACGATGTACAGGAACGGTTAATACAGCAAGTGGAGCGGAACGTTCTTTAAAACTTATTATTAGAAAATAAAGTCACTTTTAATAAGTCCCTTACATGAATCACCGCACAATCATGAACTCCGGTACCTCAAAACCTTGAAATCCACCGAAGCTGTGAGTCAAGAGAGCACATAAAAGCTAGATAATTCTTTCTTTTTCTCATTAACTTCATAGTCCACTCATCAGAATGAAATTTACTGGTCTCCTCGCTATCGCCTCAATCATCGCTGGTACTACCGCTACCTGGTCGGACGGTAATGGTGACGTTGACGACAATTCCTTCACAGTCATCATCAAAGACCCATGGAAGTCAGGCCTTGATCATGCCAACACTGCTGCTGTCAGTGTTAACACAAAAGTAGGTATCTAATTTGAGAAAATTTGATGTAATATATATCACGATGCTATTAGGAACATACAACTCCATTTAGCACCCACAACACCTTCACTATCTACGGTGATCATTGTACTCAATACATTGGACTTCCAGCTAGAGATGATCTTCCATACCAACCACAAATTCATCTTGGGGCTAACTTCTGTAACAGAAAGAACAAGGATAACCTTTGGATTAACTATGCTAACCGTGAGTATAAAGAATATGAAGTAATTCCATAACTAATTAATGCAGAACACCTTGATGTAACAAGCGACACGCGCTGTATCAAACAGTACAACAAAACCGTACGCTGCACCATCCTCAAGAACCCATAATGATTTTATACTCATGTCAAAGAATCGCGGGAGCGTTGAATCAATACCATCTTTAGTTATAAATTACGTGTGAAATTGAGATATAATAGACGATAAGTTTTATAACTCAATGGGTTGGTAAGTTCTGTGGTACTGTCCTCTTCGTAGTAAACTAAGACAGATATGGCATGGTAATCTGTTATGCACAAACCTATGGATATATTTAAGAACTTCCTATCATTTCTATCCTCTCAATATTTTTCAAAATAGTTTTTATATATATTGAATAATAGATTGGTATAAATGTCAGCGATTTGTATAGTCACATGGCTGTACACATAATCGTGGAGCCTGATTGTAACGCCTGATTAATATCAGCTAACTTATACGCTTCCGTAGGAATTAGCCTATCCGTGAAAGCACCTTTGGAGTTAGCTTGGTCAATTCGTGATGACCGCTCAATTTCAAGAAGTAAAATGACGATTGAGACCTATATAAATAATATTTCGGATCTTTAAATATAATATTCTCTCTTTTTAGCGTGTTTTACATCAGGGATATATAATCTAATCTGATGTAAGCTGATTGACGTAAGTTCTCGGAAGTGCGTCGACATAGCGGAGTAAAACCTTGTAAATTTGTTAATTACATGTAATTGAGCAACAGTTTATATATGTTTTTGCATAATACTGCAGAAGAGACAAAATGCACGCATCAAAATGGCCCAAAATAAATGACACTGTAAGCTGATGAGCTGAAAATTGGAATGTTTTCTCTCTGTTTCTGTTAGTCTTCTCAGCAAATGCTATCAATGTCTCTCAAAATAACTGTTTCAGCTGCTCCGGACTTCGTCACCGATGTCTCTGTCTCTACCAAGAGATATCTTCTGATAAATATGACGATCAAGCTTTCTCAAAGTATAGAATACATTGGATATATAATCAGAGATAATATACGATGCCAATTAGAGGTTCATCTTGGTGCACGCTTGTGTAAAAAAAAAGGAGATGCAATAAGAAACGTGTATAAGATAACATTTCTATCAAGTAGGCTAAGGGTTGGTATACCACAAACTCTATTGTGATCTGACTGTTCAAACAATATAACATCTAGACATACGCAATATTGATCATTGTTGAATCTATGACGACCTTGAGAACTTAAAGCTATTGTCGAAAGAAGTAATAAGTCATGTCATGTATCCTCGGGGGAGTATAAAATTGATTTGTTTCATTTAACTATAAACGTGTTGACTGGAGTTCTATATAGATGTACGTAGTGGCATTATTACTGTCATTAGTAAACTTTCAACTAAAGTTACTAAGCTCTTAGTGGAAAGTAAGAATATAAATATTCACGGATGTGTATCTATAAGAAATACTGTCGTCATCCCTTTCTTATCTCCCACCAAGATGAATCTCAGAAGTCGCACCCGTAGTATCTTCAAAATGCCTGATTTCGATGCAGAGATAGACCAGGATGGGAGCCATTTATTAGACGAGGATCGTTCGTTTTGCTTCTCTCGGTGTTTTTCTAACTTTTTCTAACTTTTGACAGAACAGTCGCAAATTGTCAAAGAAATAGAAGACAGTAACTTGAACTCCAATAGATTATATAGGATCATAACACTATCACTCATATCTATACAGGCTGCTTCGTGGGTTTGCTCTGATATCATTTTCTATTATCTAATGCCCTTCAGTTTGTTGTTCCAATACAGAAATAGAGGGACTATCCTAAACATCGTAGCACTACTCTTCCCTGTGCCCTCACTGCTAAACACACTCTCTGGGAGAGACTTTATTACGATAAGCCACCCAGCATTGAGGCATGTACCCGAACCTAGGTCTCCATTACTTGGCTTACTCTTAAGTGTCTTATGTTTGCTATTCTACCGTAATACAGCTAGCACACGTACAATCCTCGCAGCGGGGTTTTCAGCTCTCACAGAACTTTGGATGAGAACTACAGAGAGGGACGCACGAGAATTGCACAAGCTGAAATATGCACAGAAGAGCGCATAGATTATTTATAAAGACAATTAACTTAGTAAACATAGCTTATAATACAATATACAACTAGAATTCTATGAACCTTATTAACCTTAGTCTCCATTCCCTGTGTTCCTACCAACCGGTATAGCTCTTCTTTTCCCTCTTACTGGTGGTGCTTCTGTGTATTCTTCATTTGTTTCGTTAAACTCTTGGAGCGAACGAGGACGCTTTGTGCCCGAACGTGCATTCGACGTTACAGTACGCAATCTATCAGATCTTTCATGAGGCTCAACCGACGCAAGTTGGTCCACTTCTTCGTAATCCACATCGTTATTTGAATCAGTGACATGAGTTTGGGGCGGAATGGATGGGATACGTTGCGTGGAAGCTCCAGGTGTAAGTCTCTCTACGAGTTCGGCGACACTGCCAAACCTCCTTTGAACTTCTCTTTTTATCTGAGTTTGATTCGTTGCTTTCATACCGTCCGCTTCTTCATCTGAATCTGTATCATCATAGAACATATAAGATGCTGCGTCTTGACATCCATAAGTTGTGCGGAAGGCTGGGTGGAGCTTTTCCATATTATTTAGTTTATTCGAGCTGTATTTAAAAACATAGTCTTTAATATCAACACTTTTGTTTATTAGCAAAGAAATAGGATAGAAAAGTAGACTCACTTATGTCTGTCTTGCAATATCTGACTGTACCTTCCACCCCAACCATGATCAGTTATCATACGCGAGTACATTCCGTACATCGCATGTGAGCCGTATTTCCTTGCAAGTCTGTATTCGTTGATAACGTATCCTTTGAAGAGAGTCAAAAAAGCTTTACATTATCCAATTGCTCACTCACGTATAATCAAATCTGACTCATAAGCTCTCATAGGGACTCGAACTCTTCTACCACTATTAGTAGTTTCTCTCTGCGACAGCTGGGGACGATTGGTCTTCGATAAACCTTTTGTTCTCACATAGTTATCTTTTTCCATTTGTGAGAAAGCACTAAAACCATATTCAGCCTTCTTTCTCTCAATCCTCTGCCGAGCTTGTCGGACCTTTACCCTATTATGCTGATCGATTTCTGTCTGTTCATCTTCCTCTTCGTCGCTCTCACTATCAGTGACCAACCGAACATTTTTTTGCTTTCGTTGTTGGTTTTGGGAAACATCAGATGACGCACGTCGAGAACTTGGTGATGAGGGGACATACTGGGAAGGAGCTTGACTTTCTACCGCATTCCTGTCATCAGCGTCATGATCATTATCATTTTCTTTCTCTTCTCCTCTTTTTTCGTAGACTTCATCATCTGATTCACTAGAGATTTCGATAATATCCTTACTTATTTTCTTTGCTGTTATATCACGAACAATCAGCTTCTCTTCAGGGTTAGTTGTTACGGAAGCACGGTTGTCTTGTGTACCGACACCCTGATTAGGTGATTGTAAGACTACATTATTCTCCTCCTCAGATGAACCATCATATGCCTTTTTGTTACGTCTAGAAGCACGTCTAGTAGGGCTACGATTGTTATTGTTGAGCTTTACACTCTTACGTGCAATGATCCTAGGCTGGCCGTAAGTTCCTAATGGTGACGATGCATCAAGTGGACGACCATGTTTCTCTGTTGTACGTTGTCTGGAAGTTGGGGTATTATCACTGCTTCCACCGACCCAGCTCATTAAGGATGGTCTTCTACCCATACCGCCATTGTCTGAACCTTCTGCAGCTTCCATTATAGCATAGTCTTCACTAGCAAATGGTAATGGATCTTCGTTTATCTGGTTCCAGTAATCAGAAGGACCAACTGTTTCAGGGAATAGTTCTGCATGAGGTTCTTCTGATGCGTCCACGGGAGAGTTATCAACTGAAGACTCAAGCTGATTTTGAATCTTAGCCTGCTCCGATTCTTGTGCAACCCCAAGCTGTTCTGCTTCAGCTTGACGACGAATCTCATCTTTTGCTTGTCGATCACGCTCATGATGTTCTTCATGACGAATGCGCTCTTCTTCAGACTGACGTTGTTGTTCAAGACGAAGTCTCACTTCTTCTTCTTCAGCTTCCCTACGTTCATTACTAAGTCTCTGTTGCTCCTCTTCAATTTCCTTGTTGCGAGCTTCGTTATCTCTTCTCTTTTGAATCTCATTAGCTTCTCCCCTTTGAGCTTCTTCAACCTCTTTCTGCATTCCTTCTTGATTTACCTTTCGCTGTTCAGTGCCTTTGAGTTGAACGTCAACATGAGACGGAGCATCTATAACTTGGGACAATGGTTGATGTCTCAACTCGGCCTCTTCAATAACTCCATCTTGCGCCTGTTCAGTGATTAACGCCAATCGTTTAGATTGTCTAGTACGTCCTCCAATCTTCTCCTTAATATACTTAAGGGTGGGTGTAGCAGTATTGAGACTCTGTAGCGAGATCCTCTTGTCAAGGTTCTTCTGTGAGTTTGATGGAGGAGGCATTGAAGAACTCGTCCGGGTTGTAGAAACACCTGTATTACCATCATGATCATTACCAGTTTGGCGTGACTGTAATAAAAGAGACTGGTCCTTGATGTTGCCCCCGAGAATATCTGCCATATCACCTAATACACCATCTCGCGCCTCTCGTAATTTCGTATTACTCGTGTCGCTACTAGACGAAGAGCTCACCGTTTGATTATTCGGTGATATCGACTGATCACTAGATCTGTTATGCGAGGATGAGCCGTCAGACAAATGTGGTATAGTTTGAGCATCTGTAGCATTATCACCAAAAACGTCATTGGCATTTATGACCGCATCAGTGCTGACATGGTGCTGATGGTTGAGCAAATGTTCAATATTAATGGGTCCACGGCCCTCACTCCGCAAGGAAATGCTGCCTTCCCTCAGGGGATCTTCAGTAAAGTCACCCAGATGAGAACGCCTGTCTGGTGTGCTGTGTAAAAAGAATGTTGATTCACCCTGAGGCGGTTCATCAAAGAAGTCTTTCAAATGCGCTACCGATTGGCTGTGGTGTATTAACGAGGGTTATACGTGAAGTAATGACGTACCTTTGTTGTTCGGAGAAGATGCTCCCATTGACATTATCTATATGTGAATCAAGATCTAGATTAACGTCAATCTCGTTATGCAAGTTCTGATCATCACCTGATAAAAGATGGGGCATATTTGAGGTGTCACCGATGGGATGTGGTTGAGTATGATGTTCCTTAGCACCCTGTGACTGATCCGGCTGGAGCAACCTGCTCACATTCAAGACATCAGTCAATTCTTCATCTTCGACGCTGCTACCATGAGGCGAAGCGTTACCTGGAGAGCCAGCGATGTTTGATCCGTCCTGATCCCAAATAGAGTTGACATAGTTGAACACAAGATCTTTGAATTCCTCATACGGATACTCATTATTGAGAGATTCTACCGGCAGGCGGAGAATACTCTGGGCTCTATCTTTAGCCTTCTTCAAAAAGTGTGTTTCAATCTTGTTCGATAACTTCTTCTTGTCGACGTTCTTGAAAGTCGCCTTGAAGTTGAACAATTCTAATTTTAGTTCCTTCACTGATTCAGCTTGAAGACGGGATGCGTCAGATTGTTTCTGGGTATGTGATACGATAAGCTGCTTAAGGTTATAGACCTGTGTACCTAGCTCTATGAGCATATCCACATGTCTTTTGTGTACCTTGTTGCTTTCTGGAATTATAAAAGGTAAGAACGACTGCCAAGCTTCTTTCAAGTTGATCGATGGACTTATTTCGCCATTTGAATCGACTGTGGCAGACTGGTGGTTGATAATATAAGCGAAAGCCGTGATGTTTGACATTCTTATACCGTGTGCTATGGTCATTGCAGTTTCAGATGTTCTGTTCTGTCCTCTGAGGACCTGGTCGATAGAAATGAAATTCCCACTGGTGAAGGTGCTAGATTTGAATGCTAACGATCTGTCAGTGTCACTAATGTTGCGCTGCCTTCACATACACTCAAACGTCTCCCAGCGTCTCTGAACTAGGGAATCACTCTTCGTGGCGACTGGACTGAGTAAAAAGCTCAATGCATCCTGCGCAAGTGTCTTCAAGGTTGACGCCCTCTCTGCTAGCGTTGGAGTTGGTACTCGCTGCTCGATAATCGAATGGTGTAATCTATCAACGACGGGCGATTGTATGAGTGATTGATTGAAATCTATATCGTGTATTGATACCCTCTTAGGGTTAAGGTTCCTTTTCTTCGATTTCCTCGCGCTACCCTCTAGAGAAAGGTTAGCTGTACGGATTAGGAAGCGATAAGCGCTCACGCGTGGTACCGCCTGTCTTGCTGTTGTATAAATCTACGGACGCTGTTTTCCGCCTCGATCTGTTCGCTGCCAGACTCATTTGATGATGGAGGTGATAGCAAAACAAAGGAAGATAAATAAATGCAAATATTAAAACTGTTTATGATCTATACAATATCCCTAAAATTTAAATACAGAACTATTGGGCTTTCTTAGCCTTCTTTTGAGCTGCTTGCTTCGCTCTGTAGGCGTGGTACTTTTTGTCGGTTCCGAAGAGCCAATCCCAGTGCTATAAGCTTGTTAGATAGTTAATCGGATAGGGAAACACTCACTCTGAAACTACTTGAGTAGCACTCTGTGAACTTCTCGTGGTGGTAGTCGTGATGCTCAGCACCTGCCCAGAAAGGAAGGAAGTTGTTAAGTGACCATGGGAAGTGGTAGCCCGAGTGTGAGTCAATAGCTTGGAATAAACGACAAGTGATCCATAGGTAAACCCCGACAATGTGGATTTCACCTAAGAAGGCTGCGTAGAGGATAGGTGCACCAACGGTACCGAAACCAGTGAGACCAACTTCGATAGGGTGTGCGTATTCAGCTGCTAATCCAAATGGCGCACTAAACTCGTGGTGTTGCTTGTGTATGCGCTTGTAAAGTGGTCCCCAGTGTAACGCTCTATGGAAGACAAAGTGCCAGGTATCCTCGAAAACAAAAAAGATAGCGATCTGTTTAGCCATCTGCCAGACTGATGGGAATGGTACTTGGTAGGTAAGCATACCGAAATACTCCGCTAACGGATGGAAACCCCAGATTTGTGGCAATTCGATGGTAAAATGCTGCAACAAAACGAGGTAAGTGCAGCGCCATTGATCCCAATCTGATGGTATCTTGTGTGGCTGTAACTTCCACTGTCTAAAGTAGGGAATATGATCGATAATGATCCATGGGATTGAGCGTCCGAAGTAAACGACCTAGATATGTTAGAGAAGATCGAGAGAGGAGGTTGAACATACTTCGTGCATCAGGAAACTCATAACACCCGTCGCTATAACAGGGTTTCCCCACCAGATGTACCAGTTCACCCAAGCTTTCTCAAGCAAGTTCAAGCCGCTGAGGTCCTGTCCAGCGTATAGATCTGCACCTTGCACCTCTGCTTGGGGTATGAGTGCGCTGGCATTTAAATTGCTAGTAATCGATTGCAGAACTTCCATCTTGGTAGTTCTTCCCAACCCGACAGACGCCTTCTCTTATAATAATCATTGTGGCCTGATTTCTGAATAGAGGAAAATAAAATTAAATAAGTACAAAATATTACTGCATATGGGCATTATTAAGGAAATAGTAAGCGTCTTGATAGTCGCTTTGGCAGCCTTGATTGAGGTACTGCAGATTTTGGTCAAACAATGTGGCCTCTTCGTGTCTTATTACGTAAGAATCGCCAACGTGCGCTCCTGGAAGATATTGCTGCCCGTAGTGCTGCACATGGTGCTGGCCGTAGTTTGCGTAGCTCGGCGATGCCCTGCTTTGACCAGTTGACATCGCTGCATTTGGTGCTGTTTGCGGTGCTTGCGTTATAAATGACTGTATTGAGGTTCCAGGCGGATTGTGCCTGTAGAACACAGCTCGTTGAGTCGCTGCAGCTGCAGAACATTGTAAATCTTTCATACTATCAGAATTCACCCACCATTTTCAGTCTGTTGCTGTGCTTTTAACAGTCTGATAATCTCTTGCGCCTCTGAGCTATCATAAACGCATTCCCTACGCGTTTTGTAGCAGTGTCTGCCTTTTGACGCGTTAGTTAAATCAACCCCCACATGGGTACATACAAGTCGGCTTGTCAGCAGAGCACCTAAGCTTGAGCTTACTGTTATCAGTGGTTAGCATACTAAATTGCGATGCTCATACAGCTTACCGGCACCTAACTGGGGTCAGTAACGTCAAATTCAAGAAAAAATCGCTCACGAAAGGCAGGCCTGGCCACGTTTCAGAGTTGGCTGAATAACGTCCTGCTCTTTGGCCCTCTTTTCTTGCATTTATGGTGGTGAAACTAAGGTCTTGGTGGGTAAATAGCTCAAAGCTTATATTTAGCGGACATCCACGATCTTATCACCCTTGTCTCATTCCAGTCTTTAAATATTCCAAATTGAGACAACCTCAGAAATGTAGAAAAGTGAATCAACTCTCGCAAATTTGCTCAGGCTTTGGAGGACAGCGACAGTGTTGTATAAATAGTTCGTATATTCTTTACTGAGAACTTTCCTAAAAAGGCTTATGCAAATAAAACTAAAAAATCATGCCCAAGTACCCCTGACGCAAGCAATTGTAGCTTGAGCCTGCACCACGAAATTGATGGTTTGGGATTCAACGCCATCGAGCTCGACGCGCCCCCTACCACCTTCTAACGTTTATTCAAGAATATATATACCTTCAAATTATAAAAATAAGAACAGAATATCAAGCTGTTCCACCCGTTCATTCGAGTCTCTACCCGAGGGTGAGCAAGCGAGCTTCAAACCACAGCAATATTCTTTTCCTGTTGCACAGAAGCAGAAGCGTCATTCAGGTGGCAAATATACCTCATACAAGAAGGAACGAGCTGAGAAGCGTTGGAGAGCTATACTCGAACTACTAGAGACTGAGAGGTTATACGTCAAGGATTTAGAACTAATTTGGACGCACTTTGTTCAACCTTTGAAGCAGTCGGGTGATGACGCGCTCTTGACTCAGCTTTTCCCGCATTTTCAGCATATTCTCAATACCAATAAAGAGCTTCTACGGAGTTTAGAATGTGCAGTTTTACCCGGCTTACCACCGATACCCGCACAAACGACCACAGACACAAATCCAACAACAGTCACTACTTTCAACTCGATGAAGACATCGACGACGATCGCAGAGGCTCTACACCCTGCATCTCCTTCAGGAAGCAGCTTGCTTTCATCTAACAATAACCATAGAGATCATTACCTAAAAACACGCGCTAACATTCAACTTGCGCCAACACTGTTGAACCTATTACCATTCCTCAAATTATACACGCCTTTTATACGCAATTTTGAAAATAGTCAGCGGCAGATAAATTCCTTGCTGCGTACAAAACCTGAGTTCAGTTCATTCATTAGAAATGCTCAATACACAATTGTTAAAACAGCCCAGGGTGGTTCAGAATGGAACAGACTTGGGATAAATTCCAAACTGCTTGCTGTTGTGCAACGTGTACCTAGATACAAGTTGCTACTTTCACAGATTCTCAAATACACCGACGAAACGAGTGAAGAGTTTGAGAACTTGCAGCGTGCGCTCAAATTGGTATCTGATGGTGGGTTTTTATTCATTTATATAATTCTAATTAACAAGCCATCTAGTTGCTGATACTTTTGAGACTCACATTGCTCAATACCAACACACACTATCATTGCTCACTTTGCAAAAAAACATATTTGGCCTCCCATTCCCTATTGTAGCTCCAGGTCGCACACACGTGAAGTCTGGATGGCTGGTCAAAATCGGAAGAAAAAAGGAGGAAGTGAAGGCATTTTTCTTGCTTAATGATTGCTTGATATACGCATCGCCAACGTCTTCCAGTGTTGGCTCAGTTATGGGTGACCTCGTCAATGTTGTCAACCCTGTTAGCCCGCCATCAACACCTTCAATCACAGAGTTTAAAAATTCTCCATTTAGTCATACCCAATCACTCCGACCAAGTACTCGTCAGAATTCATCACATAGATTATCATCCTTAGTATTCCCAGTTTCTACGCCTACGGGTGTGTCAGATAATCTACAGGCGAGCAGCGCACCAAGCGGTAGAAGAGGTCATAAGCATTCATCTTCTATGCCTGTAAATATCATACCCCCACCATCACTATCTGCATCGATATCAAGCGAGGAAGAGACAGCTAGTAACATACATTCTCGTTTAGTTGGACCAATCGATATTGCCACTCTCAATCAATGCTTTACATTCAATAGAAAGCTTGATCTGGAGGATGTCACTGTTGTAGCAATTGACAACGACTACCCACAACTACACGGTAGAACATTCCAAATTATTTCTTCTCAAAAGTCATTCAATGTTTACGCAGGTGAGTTACCTTACAAAATAATTACGATAAACTAATAATTATGCTAGAATCTGAAGAGGAACGCAATGCTTGGTTGGATGCTATCAGATCCACGAAGGATGACTACTTGTCGGCATTCAGAACATTAAAAATAGACGATAACCAATTTCCATTAGATCCAGATTCTTATATCAGACGTCGAGGAAATTCAACGAATACGACAATGAATTCGTTAAAATCACCATCATTGTCATTCTCTACGCCATTTTCTGGCGCGAGCACACCAACTAATCGTAGCACTGATACGAACACATCGCACAGGTTGCGTAGAAGATCAGTACATGCTTATGCGGAGGTGCCTACATCTCATGCCTCAAGAACAAGATCCAGAGAGCGGACGAAAAGCGCATTCACAGGAGACATTTCAGCAGCTGCAGCTGCTACTGCTATAGTCAATGGATTACGTTGGAATAAACAGGAAGTTGTCCGCGAAGAGCAGCCAATGTCGCCTAGATCGACAACATCTGAGACTAAATTGAGAGTACTCGAGCATTACGCTGCACCAGTTTGGGTACCGGATTCCAAAACGTTAGTATGTATGAGCTGCTCCGAGCCTTTCAATTGGATGCGACGTAAGCATCATTGTAGAATGTGCGGTAACGTCGTATGTCATGAGTGTTCAACGAGGGTGAGTTTGGCCTTATCAAATGATTTAATCTGACATATTTGTAGAATTTCCTCATCGTCAACGATGCAGGAGAACATCAACTTTCTCGTGCGTGCGATGATTGTTACGACACTGCTTTCCCTACTTCTAGTGGCGGCGAAGATACAGAAGAGGAGATAGTTGATGATAACGCCACAACACACGGTAAAACTGGCAAGATAACGCCTTCTACAAGATCAACGAGTTCGACATCCCTCAACGGAATAATGCTCCATCAGTCGACTACTATAGAATCAACAGGACGCGAACCAAGCTTGACAAGATCGTCATATGCGACAAGTTCATCCTCGATCGCATCTGCTTGTCCCACATCAGCGCCATCATCGCCACCAACTACAGCAGTAAATGGATCAAACATTCTCTACTCACCACCTAAACCGCAATCACCGACATTACAAGCGAATGTATTAGCACCATCGTACGATCACAGACATCCATTTGATGGAATGTTAAAAAACGCTAATGGGACGAGCGCACTAAATTCAGGATTTAACCCATCAGCTCACTCTGTTGTAACTTGCACGTCAACATCGACGAATAAAACAAATGAATCGTTTGCGAGATTGGGCGTAGGAAGGCGCAACCTTGCTGCACCTCGTATAACGACACCAAAAGCCCAACAGAGTTATCGTAGGAAATGAAAGATTTCTATACCATTAAGTTTTATTATCCCGGACAATATATTATTTTATATCTCTTCTAATTGTAATTCAATATTTATTTTATATCTTTGACGAAACGATCATCATAATAAATAATCACTATATACGGTATACGCAATATAAGCGATAATGAGTAATCCGTTTAAGCAATCACCCGCGCATCCTAGGCCCAAAAAAGCTAAGGGTGGTATATTGAGCTTATTTAGTATGGGCGTTGGTGAGATATACGCGCTTTTCCGTAGTCTTATCTCATATCCAATTAGGCAATTTTGCGAGACAACCAGCGACGCCGCAAACTGAAACTAATGTAGAAGTAAATAAAACCCCGTCAGTTTGTCATAGCACTCCTTTCCTTACTGAGTAGCCTGATAGACAACCAGCAGCTCAAGACGATTTTGAAGAACGACTGAAAAGAGCAGCGGCAACTATAGCACCTTCCCGCAAGTACGTTAAGTCTCTTATTATCACTCCTTCTCATGGAAACCTAGCGACGAGCCTTTGACGGATCATGATAGGAAGAAGATCGAGGGACTGCGCCGTTTGGTTGAAAAACGTAGATCGGTATCTCATGACAAGTCTGTTAGCTCGCCTGCATCCAAGACTGGCACGTTCAGGCGTGCAGAAACGGTGATGTCACCGACCAAAGAGAAGACACCGAAATCAACGAACAATCCGGAGAATAAAACCTTTAGAAAAGAAGTCATCGTTATAGAGGACACTGAGAGTGAGGATGTCGATGAAAATCATAGCCAGGATGAAGTTGAGGGAGAAGTCGAATTTGATAGGGAGAATACAAAGTCGATTGGAGCTAACGAAAAGGAAACAATACATGATGTTGGTGGTTCTGAACTTGAATGGGTCCTAGAAAGAAACCGGAGAGAAGAAATGAGCGATGACGATTACGAGCCAGACGAGGACTCTCAGGATGAGGACGCCCAAGCCAAGCACAAGCGTGGCCATGCTCATTCCACCAACCTCGCTCCTAGGAGATCATCAAACAGGCGAAAATATACCTCACAGTCTTCCTCTCTGCCAAATGGTCACCAGCCGTCACACAACACACCGCGAAAGACGAGGAAGAGTACACTACGATCTAGCCCATCACCGACTGATCCACCTTCAGCATCCAATACAGTAAGGCAACCTCACACGATCACCAGAAATACAGGTTTAACAACTACGAAGTCAAGCTCGTCACTCAGTGCGCCCTCACGGAAAGCCGCAGGACTTAGTAAGTCTTCTACTTCAGCAACACAAGAGGAATTAGAGGAATTTGACAAGCATACATTCAAATTTTCAATACGCCTCCCAGATTCTGGCGATTTCGATTCTCTAAATTAATTTATATGGACTGTTAATGTACACTATTTATTCTTGTTCTGATTTTGCAAATTGCAATGCTGGTCTGAAACCAGAACGGCTCTTGGCGTGTGTGATATGGGCTGGTTTCCTGATGTCTCTGCGCTTGCGATTTAGCATGTCTTTGTTGTACTTCTTGAGTGTCTTCCCTGTGCCGTCACCAAGCAAGCCGTCAGCTCGGTTGGTAGAAATCGAAGATTGCGTCAATTTGATGAGTTTGTTGCCGATTATTTGCTCCTTACGTGATTTTCTAGACTTTTTACGCGGTTGAGAGACTTCTTCTTCATCTTTTCTTTGTGATTTTGGGACATAACGGGCTGCTTCTTCGAGAATATCAGTTGGTAGCCTATCTGGGAGCTCTTCGTCGCTGCTCTCGTCTGACTGCTGTGTGGCCAGACTGGTAGATGCTTCTATAGCATCATCCCTACGTCTCTTCTCTTCTTTAAGTTGCTTCCTGAGTGTCTGGCGCTGATTTTTAAGTTTTCGCTGCTCTGTCTTCCTGCGCTCTTCATGTTCTCTAGAAAGGCGAAGGTGGTCGATAGACGATAGCTTAGTAGAAACGGCTTCGACTGGCTGATCGTCGTCGTCGTCGCTGCTCTCGCTATCTTCGTACTGCAATTCTGGCTTGATCGCTGGTGTGAATGCATCAATCTCCGCGTTTGTAGGCGCTGCCTCTGAGTCGTCGAACGTTTTGTGTTTCGCTGCCATCGTCGTCGCTGTTGAAGAGCTGCAGTCAGGATCAAAATTAGAAAATTGAGAGATGACGCACAAAATCAGCTCTCAGTCTATTTCTAGTATAAGCTTGCATAATAGCTTACCGTTATTCTTCCGCATTTACTTCATATGGTTCGGTTTTTATCCATTTCTCATAAACGCATACTACTTTGAATATGATAAATACCTACAATCGGAGGAATACACATTTATGGCTTGTTTATTCGTTTTCGGTGGGCAGGCACTCTCTTGGTTGGGTGGTAGATGGGGTATGGGCTGGCGTACCCTCACAGAATGCACCAACGCACGCTCTCTTCAGACCGCTTCGTTAGTACGCGTCAACCCTATAGAGCACCGTGGAGAAGCTGAACTCGTCAAGCTCGACAACAAAGCCGGCGTTTACAGCTTCATCTATCAATCTGACAAGTACGTCTTCAATGGCGAAGAATTTACCCGTTTACCCTTCCCTTGCGACACCAAGCCACAATTGAAGTCATTTAAACACTCCGCGGGTTTGTCCAGTGGTGATGTAGATACCTTGGTTGAGAAATATGGCAAAAATATCTACAACATCCCGGTACCTACATTTATGAGCTTGTTCGCCGAGCACGCAGTAGCGCCTTTCTTCGTCTTCCAGATGTTTTGCGTTGCACTTTGGTGCATGGACGAGTACTTCTGGTATTCCCTCTTCACCGGCTTCATGTTGGTAGTCTTTGAATGCACCGTCGTTTGGCAGCGTCTTCGTACCCTTAACGAATTCAGAACAATGTCAATTACGCCCTACACCATGCCAGTATACAGAAATGGTAACTGGTCTGATCTCATCTCAGACGAACTCGTTCCTGGCGACATCGTTTCGATCGATCGTACAGGAGAGAACTTGGCTTTACCATGCGACTTACTCATGTTAAGAGGCTCAGCTATTGTTAACGAAGCAATGTTGTCTGGTGAATCTACACCATTACTCAAGGAATCAATAGAAGCTAGAGGTGACGAGGAAGTATCTGATGTAGACGGAAACGATCGTAATCTTCATGTTTTATTCGGTGGTACAAAAGTTCTTCAAACTAACCCACCATCTCCAGAAGATGTTGCTGCTCACGATGGTCTACTCACTCCTGATGGTAAGGCCTTAGCTATCGTTCTCAAGACTGGTTTCGGTACCTCCCAAGGCCAACTCATTCGCACAATGTTGTTCTCATCTGAAAAAGTTTCAGCTAACAACTTTGAGAGCTTCTTGTTTATTGGTTTCTTGTTGATTTTCGCCATCGCCGCATCAGCATATGTATGGATTAAAGGAAACGAACGTGGTCTCAAGAAAAGCAAGTTAATTCTTGACTGTATTCTCATCATAACTTCAGTCGTACCACCTGAATTACCAATGGAATTGTCATTAGCTGTTAACGCCTCACTCGTCGCTCTCTCAAAGTTCGCCATATTCTGCACCGAACCATTCAGAATTCCATTCGCAGGTCGTGTAGATGTATGTTGCTTCGATAAGACTGGTACAATCACAGGTGAAGATTTGGTAGTTGAAGGTGTAGCTGGTATCGCTTCAAACCCTAGAGATTTGATGCCATTACAAGTAACACCAAAAGAAACCACTCTCACTTTAGCATCCTCCCATGCGCTTGTCTTACTCGATGAAGGTGACGTTGTCGGTGATCCAATGGAAAAGACTACTCTTGAAGCTTTAGATTGGAAACTTGGTAAGGGTGATACAGTAGCTCCTGCAAATAAGACATCTAAACATAAGCACATTATCAATATTAGAAGGAAATTCCAATTCAGCTCAGCTTTGAAGAGAATGTCTACCGTCAGCAATATTGTCGATGGTCAAGGTCAAAAACGCACTTTCGTTAGTGTCAAAGGTGCACCTGAAACTATCAAAAACATGCTTAAGGATTTACCGGAAGGTTATGAGGAAACTTACAAATGGTTTACTAGAAAGGGTAGCCGTGTCCTTGCTTTAGCATGGAAAGACATCAAGGCTAACAATACAGAGGTGCGTAGATTTCTTTTTGTCATAATTTTCAGTCTAACAACCGTCAGATTCCAAACCTTCATCGTAATGATGTAGAATCTGATCTTCACTTTGCTGGTTTCTTGGTTTTCCACTGTCCACTCAAGCCTGACGCCGTAGCAACACTCAAGATGCTTAATGATTCTTCACACAGAGTAGGTTTGAAATTAAATTAGGATACGTTTACTAACACAAATCTAAGTGTATTATGATTACAGGTGATAACCCACTCACAGCTCTCCACGTTGCAAATGATGTTGAAATTGTTGACAGAGATGCACTCATTCTTGACGTCGCTGAGGATGCAAAAGATGAAACTGATTTGGTGTTTAGGTGGGTATATTGTTCGAAGATATTTCAGTTTACTGACAAGCGATCAGATCTGTTGACGAAAAGACCATTATACCGATCGATCCAACTAAACCTATCGATAAAACAATTTTGAGAGATCATGATATCTGTATGACAGGTGCTGCACTCCGTCAAATCGAAAAGAATACCGAAAACTGGCATGCACTTATTCAACACACCTGGGTATACGCTAGAGTCAGTCCAACTCAAAAGGAAACCATTCTTACTACATTCAAAACATTGGGATACACTACATTAATGGCTGGTGACGGTACAAACGACGTCGGTGCACTCAAACAAGCCAGAATCGGTGTCGCCTTATTACAAGGAACAGAAGATGATCTTAGGAAGATTGCCGAGCATGCAAAAATTGAAAGATTCAAGAAGGTATATGAACAACAATTGAAATTCTCCCAAAGATTCAATCAACCACCACCACCGGTTCCTAAGGCAATCGCACACTTGTATCCAGATATGGTTGAAGCCCAAAGAACGGCGGCTGCTCAGCACTCAGTTAGCAGACAAACTCAAACCCAACCACAGCAATTCAATATGTCTGCAATTACTGAGAAGATGGCTGATATGGAAGATGATAACGAGCCACCACAAATTAAATTGGGTGACGCAAGCTGTGCAGCACCATTTACTAGCAAATTGTCAAACGTTAGCGCTATTGCTAATATCATCAGACAAGGTAGATGTACTTTGGTTGCTACCACCCAGATGTACAAAATTTTGGCTTTGAATTGCTTAATTACGGCTTATACTCTTTCAGTACAATATCTCGATGGTATCAAAGCTGGTGATTATCAACTGACTATCTCTGGTATGTTGATGTCTGTTTGTTTCCTCTGTATTTCAAAAGCAAAGGTGAGTTGGATACGCTTTACGAGAGTTTATATCTAACGATATCACCAAGCCAATTGAAAAACTCTCAAAGGAGAGACCTCTGACAAATATTTTCAACTTCTACATCCTCCTTTCAGTATTGCTCCAGTTTGCTATCCACATTTTCTTCATGGTTTATATCACTGACCTTTCAAACACCTTGGAGGAGTGAGTTTTTCCGTTAAAGTTTAGCTCCACTAACAAAAAATAGTCGTGGACCAATTGACCTTGATGCAGAGTTCAAGCCATCATTACTCAATACAGCTATCTACCTCCTTGGTTTATCACAACAAGTCAGCACATTCGCAATCAACTATCAAGGTAGACCATTCAGAGAGTCATTGAGAGAAAATCCACCTTTGATGTATGGATTGATGGGTGCAAGCGCTGTCTCCTTCTGTGGTGCCACGGACTTCTTACCTGAATTGAACAGATGGTTACAAATTGTTGAAATGAGTTACGGAGTGAGTTTTTCAAAATTTGAAAAATGACCCCATTCTTACAAAATTACTATAGTTCCAATTCAAGCTTTGTGGATCGATGATTCTTGACTTTGTATTATGTTACGCGGTTGAGATCGGTTGCAAAAACTTATTCGCAAACCTTAATCCGCCTGAGTTAGTAACCAGAGGATCGTAAGTCTTGAAATAACTCGGAATTTATTTCTAACAAAGCATGTGATTTTAGGGAAAGAAGGGAAAAGCGTAGAGAAAATAAGAAATTAGAATAAATTGAATGACGTTTGTTAACATTTAAAGAAACGATAATTAATATTCATATCTTTAGTTTGGTATGTTTGAATACGACTTGGCGTGTGCTTTTAGTGCGAGATTTGAATCTCGGTATGAAGGAGGCTCGGAATGAAGATGGAGAAGGCAATTTAAAACTCAGGAATTTTACTTGTTAAACTAAGACTTCTAAGTTTATTTCAAAAACCCCACTCTCTTTATAGTTTTACGGCAGTTTTACGAACAGCGCCATAAAAGACATAACAACACGGACTCTTAAGATCATATCTCTCTATTAAAACAACACAGCCTGGATGAATGAACTACAATCTTTCGAACAATTCAAAAAGTTCTATAAAACAATTTTAAGTTTACAAAATGTAAGACAGTTAATTTGGCTACCTGTCAAATGTCAAACGCGAGTTTGAATTGACGTAGCAATTCCTTGATTAGAGCATGCGCTAACAGCTCTTGATTAGAATAAGGAATCTATCTCTTCTTATGATTTATTAAACACACTGGATTCAATGACTGGTAAGTTTCAATGAATTATAATAAGACAAAACTAATACAAAGAGTAATAGATACCCCAAAACAACAACAACGTACTCAACAACAAAATAATGAAGATATCATACCAAGAAAAAAAGTACTCGGATTACTACAATTCTTAGGACCACCAGTGGGTTGTAAGGTGTTTCAACACGTTAGCGAATTAGCCACATTACCTGGATTGGATTTGGACTCTGGTATGTCAAGAATCGCTTTTATGCCAATCTGGCTCCATGTCCCAGCGGATAAGGAATGGGATGCAGAGGAGATCTGCAGAACCGGATTGAAGTTACCACAAGGAGGTGTCGGTAACAAAGCACCTGTCTTAGAAGAGCATTTATGCAAAATAGGTAGACCAGATATTGTGAGTAGATGATATTAATTAAAATAGCTACTAATGAAACTGCTAGGGTATCGAACACTGGTATGAAATGGGTGACTGGGTTTGTTCAGAGTGTCGTTTCTTATGTTGGGCATCCAAAAACGAGTGTAGGGAATGTGGTGCGCGTGGAAATGATCCAGTCAACAAGTCTCAAGTACAGACTGCACGCCCACAGCAACCACCAGTCAGAGTCGCGTTGAGAAATGCTCTTTGTGTTGAGGCTTTGGACGCCTTCGGTAAAGGTGAAACAGTGATGTTGATATCCGGTGGAGAGAAGATCGAGACAGGCACGGCTGCATCCAGACGCTCCCCAGAGGCTGACAAGAAGAGAATACCAATTACACCAGTCAAGGTGCACTCGAATATACCACCAATGCCACATTCAGCACCTCTCCCAATGCGTAGTGGCTCAGGATCTTCCATTGGCTCTGCCGGAGGAACATCTAAACCTCCTGCCACAGCTACTGCACCTAATGCCCCTGCTCCGGCTGCTGCAACTGTAAAGCCTCCACCACGTATCACATCCACTTCGCCACTGCCAACGTCGACCAGTTTCGATACGACCTGGATGCCAACGGCAAACTCAAACACGTCCATCTTGTCAGAGAACAACGGTTTCTTATCAAGACAGCGCTCTAGAGCAAACAACTCAAGACGTAACCCACCTACACCACTCCTTCCTATTTTCGCGTCTGGCTGGTCACAACAAGAACGCACGCTCTCTCCAACTCCTTTGAAGAGCAGCACTGGATTACTTACACCAATTTCCTCACCAATATCTACCACATCGGAAAACTTCAACTTGGCCGACCTGCACATGGATGCGCAGCCTATTGAACGTAGACCTTCAACATCATCGACTACGGTTAAACCAATTGGACCGCCAAAGCAAGGATTCAATATGAGCTTACCGTCACCACCGCAATCAGCTAACTCGTCACCTAACAAGTTTGACCCATTCAACGACCCTAAAGACATACCAACAACTCCTTCTGAGCAAGACGTCGAGGATGCGCTATTCAAAGCATCAACAGCACTCGTGGAGTTTTGCTTAAACTGATTATCTATCTACTTTATTAAATATCAATGTAATTATTTGAACAATATACATATTTATTTCAATTTTCTGGTCTAATACATGTAATCTGACACGTGAATTTGTTCATTAATTGGCTGGTTTCAGTCCGGCAAAGTTCGGCAATTTTAGTGGCAATTTTTTTGTTCAAATACACGGGGACTTCTTCTCTATTCATATATTTTAGCTTCATACTTTAAAATTTCTTTAATTACACATACCGGCGTTGGCCGTGGTTTGAATTGACTACGTTAGCGCACATTTAATGAAGAAGATGCTTATAATGAGTGAAGACAACAAATAAATATAATTTTCTTGTTATCAGACTTGGGATTTCCTGTTATCAGACTTGGGATTTCCTGGATCCACCCCACTCGCTAATGATCTACGTGGTGTCATATGCAATCATTCAATCAAAGAAATTATGAATGAATTGTGCATTTTTGTAATTCCAGAGTGTTTATTTACCTACTATGATGCTTTTAATGCCCAGTTGACATTCAAAGTTGTAGGATTTGCGTATATCTCCGCTAGTAAAGCAGATGGGGAGGTATAATAAGTTTCTGTGTAGTAAAAAGTACACGCCAAAAAAGATAAAATAATTGTTTTTCTACATTTCGTTGTCAAATTAAGCCGACGTCTGTCTGAAATATATGCAAGGCACAGCCTGATAACTTACACGCTTACTTAGACAGGATAGATAAATAGGAGTGTATAATTTAATTAGGTTGTCTAATTCAGAAAGCCCTGCCCTACACGATAGAGCTTTCAAATAGACAAATTGAATAGTCAGACTGTACATCCCTTTGTCTTTGGTAGTATATAAGCTCAGGAGTATCCTTTGACTCGAACTATCATCAACAAAAAAAAGATTAATTCGTCAATTAATTAAATGTCACCAAGCCAAAAGAGCACGGATGTCCAATGTGGGGAACTCGACAGACTCCGGTACGTTGCAAACATTCCTTATACATCAACGTTGACGATGTCATCTAGCAACGGCGTGTTAGGACTAGACGATCTGAAATCACTCAGTAAGAGATCCAAGCATAGCTATGGTCAAATCCCAGTCAAGGATCTGCGTAAATTCAAGAACAACAAGGGTTTAATTAAGGATACAGAGGAATTTTTAGTCCTCTACAAGTTCCATGGACCACCTTCAGATGATTTTGAGGTCTTCTCCCTCGACGATTTCAATAAAGTGCCATATGTACGCGGCAAGGATATACCAGCAGACCAATGTGCACTTGCATACCTCCCTATCAAGGTTATTCTACCAGCTGGTGTCACTCCTACGCGTGAAATCATTACATTTTTCCAGGAGAACGAGTACATCCAGCTCTTGCAAGCACATTTGGCTTATCATTGCATACTCTACTTTGAAACCACAAAGGTTGGCTGGTGTAGAGCTGGTGACTGGTTCTGCAACATCTGTAAAATGATGGTAAGTTTATGTCTCAATTTTGGTCTCATCTTTCTGACAACTGTTTAGAGCTGGGCAAAAAGGACATACTGTCACCATACAAATTTACACAAGGATGACACCCCAATGGTGTTCGTGAAGAAGGATATTGCGATTTGTATGCCAGAGGTTGAGACCGGCCTTGCTATGGGTAACCGCGTCTTCGCGCTCTCTGGATCTTACTTAGGAATGGAGGTTTTGGATGGCAAACCAGGAAAAGGCAAGGCAGGGGCCAAGAACAAGAAACAAAGTCAACGCAATTCGCGCCATGGTGGCGGCTCTAGTCGTAGCTCTGATAGTAGCACTTCAACCGCTCCAGCTATTGTCAGCCCTCCAGAAGTTACACAGCCGCAACCACAGAAACCTCAATTGAGTATCACAACTTTTATGAGCCAATCACCATCGCTCAACAGTATCAGCAACTCAACTAGCAAACCAAGCACTACATTCGAAAGAGCATCAAATGTAGGCGTCATAGGCACGAGACCACGACAAAAATCGGATCCTGCCAGCAACATATTTAATACTCCGCAAGTTTATAAACAATCAGTTGTAAAGGCCACACCCTTGAAACATAGTGCAAACCTTCCAAACAGGTCACCAGCATTCAACTATGCTAGTGTCGCACATTACCCACAACAATTACATTCAAGAGATTTGTCAAGGGATCTACCAAAAGAATTATCTACAGATCCACCACAACTAAATGCAACTACTTATACATCAAGCAACTATCCATTTGCAGACTTATCTAAATATTCACCTATCAGTGATTATAAGAAACACAATGGTTTATTCCCATCAAGCTCATCCAATGATGGTTTCTCTGGTCCTATGTTAGGATTATCACTTTCATCACCAGATAGCAGCTACCTTCAACAATCTTCACCTGAATCGTCACATCTCATGCTATCCACATCCTCAGTTGAGAGTTCACCAATTGGAAGAGAATATCAAAATAACAAAATACCGCGTTCATCAATTAATCCAATTGACAACTATTCAATAAGATCAGAATTAGCATTAAATAATTTTATGCAAGCTTTAGATAGGCGTAATGATCATTACATCAAACAAACCGGGGTGTTCTACTAAATTAGTCATCTTAGGGTATTTTAAGCGCCCTTATTATTTATTTGGATAGAATTTAACGGATTTTCACGTTTGAATTTTAATATTTCCCACAAACTTTTCACGCTTAAATTGACATAACGGACAATATTGCTATGGTTATATATACGAAAAGATACTCAGCTGCTCTAAATTACTAATATACCTCATTCTACCTTTTTTCTTTGTATATTTGTTGATCAAAAATTTTCCCTTTCACAATATCAATCGATTGACAAATACTTATAAAACATTTAGAGTGTAACCTGGCTTTACAGGTATACCAATAAGTTTATTTGTAAACCATGGCCGGTGTACCACGTAAAGAAGTTTGGATATGCAAGAGATGGTGAGTTCCCTGTATCACTCTTAGGGTAGCTTACTTTATTTTACAGCTTTTGGTAGGTTTATAATTAATAAAGAATCAAGCTTATATTATTCGTACAGGTATAACGAGATTGAATATCTCTGGTGCACAAAGTGAGTTTGTCGCCTTTGTTATTGCAATTCTGATATGTTTATTACAGTGATATGCGGGAATGCGACGGAAGGAAGCATACCGATATCAAAGATATTATTAATGTTCCTACCCACTGGACTATGGAAGATGGAACTTACTCAGGCCGTCGTCGTTAAGTTACTCTTAGAAATCGTGGCTAATATCACTTCGATTTGCATACCAAACTCGTTTATATATCAGATGATCAACAAGCTCTAAAAGAATAATCTATAATATGTACTAATATAATTTAATCGACCCTTTTGTTTGATGAATTATCTGCGATACGTGTCATCGAAGTTGTTTACCTGACAAACACCCAAAATACGCTGCCGTTTATATGTTTCTGATGTTCGAAAAGTAAGTCAATCGGGTAAGTCAAGGGACATAAGTCGACTCGCCCAGACTATTAATTAAGTGATGCGGCGCGTGCAAGACATAATCGATGTTGGCATCGTCGGCCGGGTAAGCATTTAGCAAATGTGCCTGACATCTTGCTCGGTTATCATTTACGTTATCTTAATTAAATAACATTTAAGTGCTTGAAAATTAATTAGGCGGAATTAATAGGATTGTGAAGACAGTGATGCCCTTTAAAGACGCTCCTGTTTATCAAAAGGAATCAGACATAATACAGAAACATGACGGCATAATCGAAGGGAAAAGCCGCATTTCTAGCATGTTTGCCTCATCTGTTCTTTTATATGCCAACTATTATCTAAATTCACAAGTAATCATTAAATTTACTGTGAAAATCAACAAAGTGCATGGCGCATGTATCGGGGAAGGAAGAGGAGTTGTGTAATATTACAGTGTAAACACCTATTTTTTGCTCTTTCTCAATTATCCAATGCTTTGCTTTTGGTTTTTATTTCCTGCTTCAGTCAGTGTTTTAAAAATAATGTATAATAATTATATTGTGCGGATTTTAAAAATTGATTTAAGTTGATTGTCATTGTTGAACCCTCATAGAGAATGGTTTTGTTTTTTTTTGTCTTGATACCATGTGCTAGATGTCTTAATTCAATTTATTCCAAGTGATATGCCAAGCTATGGTTTATATTGAAGAAAATGACTTACAATAATCAAGATAAGCGTTTTAACTTTAATCTTTGTTTTGCCCTTTTCAAGTCTAGCTTATCTCGTATGGAGGACAAACGTCAGCTGTTCTCGTTCGTTATGCGTTCATTAATCAACTCCATTGAGTCCGGAATTAGGACACATAAGTAGAACGATGATGACAGCAGACAGGTTAAGCGCTATAGGATGTTGGCGTTGTACTAACTGCAATTATTTAGTGCCAGTAATATATAATCGGTGTACAATGTGAGTGTGGACGGTATCAATTGATGTAAAGATATATAATTACAACTAAACAGGTGCGACAAACGTAAAGATAAATCCCGAGAGCCCTAATATCATCAAGTCTTTCTTTGCTTCTTTGTTTCTTTGTTTGGTAGCTTTGGTGATAACAGTCGGGCTTATAAGCAAATTTCAACAAATCAATCACAACTAAAAATTAGGGATGTATATATAATTTTAAACTTCCTATTTACACTTTACATATCTATTATAAAAATTATGCAATACCTCGTTAGTTATACTCATAATACGGACTTGATGATCAACTGATGATGATGACAGTGGAACTGCATTGTTGATCAACATAGAATCTGGGTTTGTGGTAAATGTGGTACAGAAGTACCTTTAGTTTGTTTGCGTTGCTTAAAGTAGGTTTAATAATAGCAAGACAATTGTATGCATGAGTTGACGCGTCCTCAGACCTGACTGCAATGGCCGAAGACCAACTTTATGATAAACTAAAATGTAATTTTGACAATGACATTTGATTTTATTTTGACAGCTCATCGTCTTCACGTTTGACAGAGTTCGAATATAATGGTGAGTCCCGAGAGGGGGAAAAGCGAAGAAACAGACATGGTTTAACGTATTTTAGCAACCATTTGCTGAATTATGGATATGTACAGTCTGTAGATTCGTCAATCCCATCCAAAATGTGAAATGTGAACTATCAGGTGCAGGTTGCACAGGCGTTAGACCAGAAGGTAAGTGGTAGTATAGAATTATTATATTCTTATTAAAGATATAAATTACTAGACAAATCTAATTAATTTAAAAAATATAAAATGTACTTTTAATTTAATTTATGACAGTTGGCAGCTCTGAATTACGTTCAACATTAGGAGGCAAATTTAAAATGAATCTGAGCTATAGCCAGCAATTAGATAGCTATAGTCAACAAACTCCTCAGCAGTTGCCTCAGGTTCCGCCCGGTGGTCGACCATTCAGATCACGTAAACAAAGACCATGCGATTTATGTGAGACAAGCTGATAGATATTTAAGACATACGTTTACGTTTATCCAGGTAGAAGATCTAAAACGAGATGCTTTATTACGGAATCTGGTCCGCCATGTAACGAATGCAAGCAAACCAACAAGCCTTGTACATTCCAAGAAGCTCCTGCGAAAAGGAAAAGGAAGCCACCACAGACTGAGCAGGATCAAAATATACAGCCTGGTCCGCCTACTACTTCACAACCCGTCGCAGGTCCAGTCAGGAATAGGAAGCGGGGTACTCAACCACAGACGCACCAACCAGCTGGTTCACTTGACGAGATTAATTTTACACCTTATATACCCTCAGATATGTCCTCTTTATCCAACGTATTCGCGTCTTTGGATTTGAGCACGCCTGAATCACATGAGCCACATTTAGTTAGTTCAGCACCGGATGATATTAGTAATTTATTACCACCCGGTCCCTCATTAGTTAGACAATTGTCCTTAGACCCCAATAGACCAGTTTTTGCGGTTTTCGAAAGAAAGCCCCATTATAGATCATCTTTGGATCCCGGTTTGGCGTTGTTAAGTCAAGTTGATCAGGTTTTAGCTCAGTGCGACTGTAGTAGAGACCAACTCATTCAGAACTATTTGTCAATAGTTCACCCAGCATATCCAGTCTTGCCAGATGGTAATCAAACTACACCACCATACCTTCTAGGCGCAATTTATTCCTCTGCATTGATATTCACAACTGACCAGACGTCCATACCAATCAACGCTTGGGCCATTCTTCACGTCGCTACCCATCCTGATTTCGATAAACCGAAGTTATCAACTATAGCTGCAAACTTACTTGATCTTAATGGTCGACCTTCAATGGACCCACGTGGTAATTATTTAGTTTTAGCAAGAACAGTTGCTCAGGCGCAGCTACTTGGTTTGCATTTAGACCCGACCGACTGGTCAATACCTAGTTGGGAACGCGATTTGAGAATAAGATTATGGTGGGGATGTGTTATACATTCCTCTTCTATAGCGGTTTATGAGAATCGTCCAACTCATATATCACCAGCTGATACTGATGTTCCGCTGCCATCACTCAACAGTCTTCCACAACCATCTTCTTCTGCCAGATCGTTCAGGGGTATGTGCGCTCTCTGCCACCTTCTCGTCAGAACACATGAAGCACTGGTAACTGTTAGAGCTAAGAGACAAAAAACAAGACAAGAAAAACTTCAGATTGTGTTTGTTTTGGAACATGAGGCTGAGAAGTTTTATAATGAGTCGATACCACTTGAAAAGAGTCCAGGAACATTGTCTTTCCAATGGGAGATTATGGGCTTGAGATTGTTTTTGAGAAAGCAGGCATTGGAATTCCAGTACCATGGACAACCGCTTCCTCCGCCAGATAACCAATCAATGGAGTTGGTTAATATGATGGTTGATTTCTTATCTACGTTGACAGAATCAGATATTAGAGGATATTGGTTGATATACGCTGCCAACCATTTCACTTTGCTTCTCACAATGTTAATCAGGTTGTGTTTCTTCAGCAAAGAAAGCGCAATGACTCCTTTTATAAGCCAAAACACACAGTCTTCTCCGCTGGGATTATTAGCTAAATACTCTCTAATATTGCAAAGTACAGCAAAAAATTATAAGTGGGATCTTGTTCATAAGGCACTCGAGAAAGCTGCAGACGTTATGGTGAGACTGAGAAAATATCATCGGGCGGATATTTTGTTGGCTTTAGAAGGTAAATACGTTTATGAGCCTTCACATATGACACATAGTCATAGCAGATCTGCTTCATTTAGTAGTCATAGCAACAATAATGCTGCTGCCGCCGCTGCTGCGGTAGCTGCTGGTTCACAGGCTGCTGCTTCATCGCAACCTGGTAGTCAATCACAACAAACAACTCCAAAACACGCTGCATCGGGTCATGATAAGTCACCCGGCACGACCACAACTGTTCCTGTAAAACATAGAGCTGGATCACTCGATTATAACTTTGATCTCCAACCATGGGATCCTAATAATATTTTATCTACTTTAGAGGTTCCTACTGCTTATTTACAAAACAGTCCAAGCTTTACACCAACATTTGACAATTGGAGTGGACAATTTATGACTAACACAACCTCGTCGACAGGTGGTGTAGCTGCTAGTCATGAGATGCCAGCAAATCTTTTAGGTATAGCACCTGAAGATGATCAAAATCCTCATGAGGTACATCTTAATACTATGGCTACTAATGATCCTTTCTATGATGATGGCTCAAAAACAATTGGTAGTTTACATGGTTGGTAATTTCTGTTGTAATAAAAGGGAAATTTTCTGTACACTTTCTTTTCTGTATAATTAAAATTATGAAATTAATGAAACCTATTCTTTTACAATTAAATTAATCAAACCATTTCTGTCAAGTTTAATGGCATTTCGTCAATTTGAGTAGCGTAATACTGTTCAATATCTCTGAGAATTCTGACATCCTCAACAGTAACGAACTGAGCACAGTTATTAGGTTTATGTTTGTAAATAAAGCAACCACTCACATTAATTGCTACACCTTTTCTACCAAATCTACCTGATCTACCTATTCTATGAATGTAGTTCTCACGATTACTTGGTAAATCGTAATTAATAACGAGTGATACTTGTTGAACATCAATACCTCTAGCCCAAACATCAGTTGTAATCAAAACCCTTGAGTTACCACCACGGAATTCGTTCATAATACCATCACGTTCTTTTTGTGGCATTTCACCATGCATTGAAGAGACCGTAAAGTTAGCTTCACGCATCTTTTCAGTTAACCAATCAACTTTCTTGCGAGTATTACAGAAAATAACAGCTTGTGTGATCGTTAGCGTATCATAAAGATCGCAAAGAGTGTCAAATTTCCATTCCTCCTTTTCAACAGCTACAAAGAATTGTTTGATACCTTCTAAAGTAATTTCATCTCTTTTTACTAATATTCTAATTGGATCCGTCATAAACTTTGTCGTCATTTCAAGAACATCGTGTGGTAATGTGGCAGAGAATAAAACGACTTGAGTTGCTGGTGGAAGATATCTGTAGATATCATAAATTTGGTCTTTGAAACCCAAGTTAAGAAGTTCATCAGCTTCATCGAGGATAAGCATTTTGATGTTCCTCGTACGGAGGTTACGACGTCTAATCATATCGTATACTCTTCCTGGGGTACCAGAAACGACGTGTTGACCGTAATCGAGTTTGCGGATGTCTTCTCCAACGCTGGTGCCACCAATACAAGCGTGACATTGAACTGACATGTAATCACCCAAAGCAAGTACAACTGATTGAATCTGTGTGGCTGTAACTGTGTTAACCGTGTTACCGATATTTTATATATGGATCACACACCTAATTCACGTGTAGGACTCAGTCTGATGAATGTTAGTCTTGCCTATATAGGGTGCATCATTTACTCACACTAAAGCTTGAGTATCTCTGATGTTTGTATCGATGGTTTGTAATGCTGATATAGCAAAGCTGCTATCGTTAGCTGATGTAGATAATCATCAATAAGCTCACCTTCCAGTTTTACCTGTACCAGATTGCGATTGAGCGATAACATCTCTACCCTTAGTAATTGGCACGATAGCTCTCTGCTGGATAGCTGATGGCTTCTCAAAGTCTAGCTCACTGTTAGTGGTAGCATAAACAGAAAAGATAGTACGGACTATATGCGTAAATACCTCTAATCAAATCTTCCTTTAAACCCATTTTATCAAAGCTGCTGGCTACCTGTACCTCCTCGCTGCTCTCAAATACTAATTTCTCATCGCGTTCGTGATCCATGATGATGAGCGTAAGTAAGAGAGAAGTTTGATAGTTTTGGTCTATTTAGATAGCATTATAATCAAAATAAAAGCAGATGACGATGCTTATTGAATGATTATCTACTTCCGCTGTTTATCCAAGATTCCAAGACGGAAGATAAGTTATGCATTCACTGTAATGTGATAAAATTCTACGTTCATTCTATATGTCATAATCTTAACGCACATAACGCACATTCACATTCAACTCACACTCAGTTCACACAAAAGATGCCCTCAGTTAGGTACAAACTGCGAGAGTTGCCTATCTGGGAAGCCAGCAGGAGAATACCCTGAAACAGCGAGCTTATATAGTGTGAGTTACTCGTAAACTTACTATAACAGGTAATTCAGATGTCACTATCTGCCAACAAATTCTTCGCCTAGAGCACTAAACATTCATTTGGGGAATAGGCCCGAATATAAATACTCAAAAGTCTTTTGCCTTTTTACCATAATGTTTCTCAATAAACTTATCGTATGTGTTTAAAAAGTACGCATGCTATCAGCTTACACAGTCAGAATTATCCTGTCAACTTGTCTTTGCCTAATTGCTGGGTATGTCCTATGCCTCCACATGATAGCAAACACCGAGAAAGAAAGACAAGTGGAGGTCAATATCCGTCATTATAGCGTCAGCTTCACTGTCTTGCTCTCGACTTGCTATCACGTCACCCAGATACGTCTAACAACGATTTAGGTATGCGGATTTTGCTTCAACGTTAATAGAATTCAGGAAGAACTCTGTATAAACCACTTCAGCTGTAGGGGTAAACGTCCACCACTTGAGGAGTTAATTTTGTAATCGACGCCGGCAAGCATACCCAAAAGTGACTAGAAAAACTATCAAAATCTAACAAAGCAAACCAAACAAAAACAAGGAATTCTCTGCTCTTTTCTTTTCATTAAAAATATGACGCAATGTTCATGAGTGAGTTTAAAAGCATAAAGCAAGTAAATGCATATAGTTTAATTTTAAGATCTTATTATGTTGATTGTGATTTTCCTTTTTTTATTGTCACCGTAAATCTCAAACCCAGGTATCCACTAAATTCCGTTTGGACACATTTTCATTCGCTGCGTATCATGCCGAGAAGCGCATGGGCGGAGATAAGTAGCACTGTTCGCTCAGTAAGTGAAGTCCATAATGGAATAGATAGAAAATTACCGACGTTTCCCATGGAATACTGCCGGTTTAAACCAAATCTGCCAGGATTCGATCGTGCGCAGAGACCCTTGCCAAAAATAACGAACGCGGGGTAGCTCCCAAAATGCCGGCAAAGCTTTAAATACTTTATTATACTAGTAAATGTACACTTTTGTATCATATATTCTCGACACCGTCCAGGAACATTTGGCTGATAGTTTACTCAACCTTAGTGATCGTTGCCGGCCGGTCATTTTTATTTCGAATCTGGAAAGCTTGACAGCTTCACTTTTTTTTATCTTCTTACACTCCGCAATATCAAAAATGCTACAAAACCCCCACTCAGAGTCTATCTCAAGGTCTACGTCAACCAGTACACAGGTGCGTCTCACTATCTCGTATGACGGTCAAGGCTTATTTGGATGCATAGCGCACACAGTCAATATCTGATCCAGGCGTATCAAATGTGAACTGCCATTGGAGCTGCGATATCTGTGGGCTGATGTGCAAATCCCTACATGAATATTGTGAGGATCCCTGCGTAAGTCGTGGAAGATCATACTAAAATATCTCTAATAATAAATTTAGTGTTCGGGCAGGAGACCTCCTAGAAATAGTCGCAGATGGTACATGTAGACTCTCATACCCACGACTACAACACCAACATACCTCACACGAAGACTCACAACCAATACCAATCTTAATTAAAAGTACATCATGCATTTGAGTGTCCTTATGTTCCAAGAAAAAAAGAGAATAATTAATATCTTAAACACTGTCATTGACTTCAGGATGCTGTTCATTGTATAGCTCTTCATCGAAGGTTTCGCCGGCAGATTCTGCCTTCTCCCTAGCAGAATTCCTATCCATTATAGCCAGTCTATACCTTTCCTTCTTCTCATCGTCTGGCGAGTACGATCCCTGCCAATGCCATTGACCCATTTCAGAATCGGGTTTCCAAGCTTGATCGATGAGCTGTGCTTGTTTGACCCACCATTCTGGGAGCTTCAACCTGAAATGCTTTGTTAGTTGTAATATACAAGACATGAAGTTACTTGCCAATGCAACGCCAATGTGCTCTCCTTCAGTGCCAGTTGATTCCAGTCACCCATATCCCATAGGTTGTCAACTCTCTTAAGTGATTGCTTTGGGTAGATGTAATTTAAAGACTGCATCCATTGTCCAGTTCTCGCATCCTCTATACCCTGTTGGTGAAGTGTGCTTATGTCACTGTTTCCAATCCATTTCACCAGTGGCCATGATAATATATATGCCAAACCTCTGAAGTACTCGGGGAAATGCTGTGACCTTCCTGCTGACGTGCCCCAGTAAATGTTCTGGTTGCAATCAAGCTCTTTTAATGAATTCAACAGTGCGGGTATGACCAACATTGTATCATCATCACATTTAGTCACGAATTGTGGCTGGAATGTCTCATTCTTTGCGTGTAATTGATGAAGATGCTTGTAAAAATGGAACGTCTTACCGTTGTCCATATTCTCTGGTATATCCAAACTCATTATATCAGCAAAGCGCTCTGATTCCTTGAGTATTTCTTCATTTTCTGTATTATCACTCGACTGTGCGACAATAAAGCTGTAATCGAGGATAGACTTATCAATTCTATCGAAGTAGTTCGACATTAATGTGCGTATGAGACTCCTCCTATCAGATTTTTCTGGTGTACTGAAAATACCAATAAACAGCTTTGGTGTTTGCTCAGTGTTACATGTGTGACTGCTAGGCGGTGGACTGCTGAGTAAACCATAATCAGGCTCTTCGAATGACCTAGAAGGTGGGTTCTTGTTAGTGTATGGCTGTTTATACACTTCGTTGTGAAGATTATACGCCTCGAGGATGTTATATGGTCTAAACAGTGGCTCTTCTGCTGCAGGTAGCGTATCGTATAAAATAAATAATATAGCTGATATTAACACAGCTTCTATTACAGCCAGTTTTATGTATTTCATCCTATAAGGATGCTGTCCTCATAAAAGTCCCTCTAAAGGGGAGCCAAGACCGAGTTTTATATATTTATCTAAGCAAATATGATAGCCGAATTATTTTGTACAAAATTATGAGAAATTTCTTCTTCTTTATCTATTAATTGTAATAAATTATCCAATTCCGAGCTATGTATGGCTTCCGGTAGTATAATCAATTGGTTCCTGGTGATTTCATCGCCGTATGGGTTTATTATGCTACGAGAGTTAATCTTCTGTAGATTATGTAGTGTCTTATCTACGTTAATCACATTCTGTTTACAGTTATTAGTATCAATTTTCACATTCCCAGTTACAAAACCTACGTAATCATCTAACAATCTTTTTGCGCGTCAAATGTATCGGATAAAAATACTTTCGTAAACTTACACTATCCACCCTTTCATATTTTGTCTTCTAGCGAGTGCGCGATATGTCGCATAGACCCAGTAACTTTCCGCAACGAGCTCGACTATATCTCCATACCTGGCATTTTCAACAGTTTGCAAGTATTTCCACTCTAGATCCTCACTCCATTTCAGCCCGAATAAGAGATCAACTGGGGCAGAGACTGGATAATGTGCTCTTAAACGCTCTCTATCTCCTATACTCCAGGCATCAACAAGATAAACCACTGTAAGCTTATCGTAGTCATCTACATCGTTATCTATTGATGCATATGGTGTGTGAAGGTATATATTAGCCATACTGCTATCAAAAGTTGCATCTATGCTATCTGTACTGTAATCATTGGTGATGTTGCTACTGCTATTGCCGTGGGTGCCCTCGTATATCCTACTTAAATCGAACGATACATCTACCAGCGTTTTCGGCTCTCTGTCATAAACTTCTTTGATCGACTTAATAGAGTAAATTGTCAGGAATAGTATAGTAGCCACAGCCATCCCGGCTACGAGTCTACCTTTACCTATCATTGATGACGTCTGTTAAGAACTGCGTTTAGTTGAGGTACAGTCAAATCACGAGAACTTGGCATAATTTATTTATATCGATGGCTATTCACCATTAAAATATTGCATAACATTCCTCACCTCGTCAGATTTTCCGTACTTAGATATTCCTATCTTCTTCTAATCGGCGAATAATAGATATGAAATGATCTCATGGTGATTTTAATATTATAAAATGTATCGGTTGTATTACTGGAATATTATACCATCATTATCTCCATAAGGCTTAATCGTCCATCATGTAGAGTGAAAATCCATATCACATCATTGTAGCAAGACTATGTGATCAAGAGGGTATTTGTATTGATCAAGAGCTCATTATTATATCATATTCAAAAACAATCCGTGTATATTTCATACAAATCTAGACACAAAGATGATACAATCTGATAATAATATCGAAGGTGAGACTACTTCCCGCAAATCAACAAATTGATCCCGCGTGAATGCGCTTGCGGTGTGCTAAAGGAAGCCGTCACACAGACGAGTATCATGTCAATTAGGTCGATAAGAAGATTACGAGAACTACCATATTTGACAGGATTTGAGGTAACGTCTACGACAGATATTTGAATGTTTCACATTTGATGGACAGTTCTCATTTATGTCTCGTCTATATTATGACATATCAGGTTGTCAGAATAGACATTAATTAACGTGACAAAATGGGAACACAATCACTAATGTCTCAACAGACTGCAAATGAAATTGACACAAACTGTGACAATTCTCTAGTAAATCTCAATAACCAATAACATCGAGAGGATAACACAGTAATAAAAATTTTATAATTTGAACTTTTTCAAAGATTTTCAATTAATAACAAATTTGACAAGATTGATGCATGCAAAAATGCAATCATGCAGCCATTTTAAGCACCTTGTGGAGCTTCCTTGTAACTAACACAAGTTTCTTCACCCATAGCCTCCAAGATAGAAATCATGAGGTCCTTTCCATCATCGAAGTCAGCTTGGATCTTCTCACCTAATTCGCCTTCTGGTACCTTGACGTCATCCTTTGAGTCACCGTCCTTCTTTAACAAGTTTAAGAAACCGTCGTCAATGTTGACCAATTGGTATTCTGATCTTCTGACGTTTGGAACATCCATGTTGTGGGTTGATGGTGAGACATCTTCGTACTTCTTACCAGTGAAGATATCTAAAGCGACAAGGTTGACCTTTGCGTGACCCTAAAATTTTAGTTAGCTCTTATATTCTTAAGTATAGCAAACATTTTAACTTACGTGCTTACCAGTCTTAGAGGTGGACATATCGACGATCTTGCATGGTCTACCCTTGATAACAACGTGACCGTTCTTTCTTAAAGCGGAGCATTGAGCTGGGTAGGTCATGGCGGCACCAGCATCTAAAGAATAGCATATTAGTAATTATTCTAACACCTCCGTCGCTATTTTCAACTCTAGCAAAATTGCTAAACTAAAGCCTATAGTGACGGGAACGAGCGGACTAACCGGCTGATTCGAAAGTGACTTGCTCTTCGTTGTCTGACACTAAATAATATATTAATATACTGCATTATAAATTTCAACTATCCTCACTCTTTAATTGGCGTTCAAGAGAAGAATTTGAATTCAGACGCTCAAGAAAATTACAAAAAAAAATTAAAAGGAAAAAATATACCGATGAAGATACTTTGATTTCGATATGTACATTTCAGATATTGCATGTACACTTGAGTCACTAGCAATACTGCACTGCTTCAACTGCATTACGTTACATCCATAATTAGGGGAAATAATAATCCATGGACTAGTCCTACATTCTCACTTGTCTGGTTTTCATGGAATGGTTATTAGTATTCCTTTTGTTCTTAGCATCGTGTTATACATCTAGGTGTCTCAGCGACCATGTTAATAATTTTGAGTTCCAAAACCCTCACCAGTATACTACCTATTTCCTCTCCAGTATAGTCTGCTTGTACTCACTATGGTAGCAAATCGCAGATACAGCATTATTAGATATCACGTCATAATGCTGATACCTCTTCTTCAGAGCGTAGAAGCGAGAAGTCAAACTTTATATGAAATATATTTCACGGATATATCTGCGGAAGTTCCAGTCTTAGCGATATTTTCAATCAGATCGAGGTTATCGTGAAGCTAAAACAAATTTTTAACCCGCTACTCTATGGCACATGTGGTAAGACCTTCGTCACTACTATAGCGATAAAATCTTCTCTTTCATATATTATCCGTGATACGAAACTATCATTCCCGTATCACAATTGACGCTTGACACTCGCATTTGTCCATCTTGCATGTTACTTAAGATGTATTTTAGTGTCATTCGTGTCTTCGCTTTGAAAATGTTACATGGGTCAGAACTAACCTTACCCTAACGTGTAACGTGTAAAGTGTTAACGATCTCATTTCTTTTATATGGTGAGACCACTAATATATAACTGGTGAATGCTATCTTTGTGCTAATCGTTTATCGACTAGTACGCTGCCTTATAAGTCTCGTCTGTCCTCACTGTTTATTTGGCATTCATATGAACGATCAAATACTGTAGCTTACATTAGATTTAAAAAGGATTAGATTTGGAATGGAACATAGAAGCATATACTCGTGCCATAGCCTCCCTACACGATAAAGCGATCAAACATATAAAAAGAAGAAACTTGAGAAAACAATCATCCTATCTGTGCATTTCAATCTGGCCTCTGTGATGACATTGAAACGAAAGTTCTACTTTTAGATGTAAATTATATTTATATTACATGCATCAATTAATGCAATATACATTATTTTGCCCAGTCTTTTATTTTGTGATCCCAGGTTGCTATCAAGTGCCCCTTCTCGTCCTTCTCTTTGCCTGGAACAACATGTTGTCTACCATATGTAAACTTATGAGAGCCCTCATGGAGGACCGGTGGGTGCTTCATTCTCGTTACTCGCTTGTTAAAGTCACTAGGGAGGACTCTAGCAAGTGCAGCAAGAGGTGATCTTGCTTTGAATAGTGCGTTTGAGGCCACAGCCGAGCTAGGCAGAGCAGCAACTGGTCTAAGTTTATCCGCATAGTTGTCACTACTGTCCTTCTCTTTGTTAGCCTGATAATGTGATGGTCCTGGCGCCGTGGCTTGACTTTTAAGACCGGCAGCTGGGAAAACACCATATAAGGAGTCCGATGCACTGAAATCGCTCAAGGTAACTGCAGATAACAGAGTTCCAACTCTTTCTCTGCTGACGTTCTTGTTGTTTGCCTTGTTCAGTTGTGGTATTTGAGCAGCACTTGAGTGAGCATTGAGAAGGAGGGCGAGGAAGTCGGCCTCAGAGACACCCTCGGGTTTTTCTACAGCTGGCTCGCTTTCGATTGGCCTGTGGGTGTGCAAAGAAGACAATTGCGATTGGTTGTATGGGATTGGGTTGAGGTATGGATCGTAAATGTCGTCGTTGAGGTCTTGTTGGCGTGGTTTTGGCAGTTGAGGAGCCAAATGTATGTCTTCTGCATCTGGCTCCTCCTCGATTGCTGCAGTTTGGGCTGGGAGATCTGGGAAACCAACCGGAATGAGCTCGTGTTCGTCCTTGAAGCGTTTTCTTGGTGGTGAGATGATATTCTCTACATCATCGCTTTCGTCCATAACTTCTGGTGGAGCATCTGGTTGAGTGTCTGGTTCGCCGAAGAGCTCATCGTCCTGTTCAATATCCATATCGGAAGAGGTCCGACTGAGTGGTGCAGAAGGGCTGTGTGGAACTTCGCCATACTCGTAACGTACCGCCCTCGGGCGGAGGTTATACCCAACATACTCTGGATCTGTCTGAGGTTAGAGCGTGGAGTTCGATAGAGGATCAACTAACCAGACAAAGCCTTCTCACATTCGATTTCCCAGGGTGACTTATTAACCTGGAGCCTCTTATTATCCTCCAGTAACTCTTCTAAGCTGTCGATGTAGTTATCGCCTAACGCGTCCTGGACGGCCAGGGCAGCGTCGTGGCTACTAACGTCCGTTCTTCTACCAATCTGGGCGTATTCGGAGGCGGATTGCGCGAGTGTTGTCATATAGACCTCTAGAACGTGGGTGAGTGCCTCTATGGAGTGCTGGGACGACCTATTGAAGCCATTGCTGGCGAGGATCCTTAATACAATTAAAGATAAATAGCTATGGCAAACATTCGCCGTACTATTTCTGTTCATATTTTTTTATATTTTCGTGGTAGCTGTCGAAGGCGGTTTAAATTCTTCCTTCGTTATCGCGACGAGATGATCAGCTTGGAGACACTCAGTCTACAGGACTATACTACGGAGATTACCACCAGTTTAGAGTCTCTCTTAAAAGCTGAGTCCGCTGAGGACTGCAGACACCATGCAGAAGTTTTGGCTGCGACCCTTGACAAGGCAGGTGTCAGAAGTTTGAAGTAAGTTTTCAAGCCACAGCTGCGATTTCCTAATCATTCCCTAGACCTGTCCTTCAAACTCTTCAAACCGCCGCCACAAACAAGAAATCTGGCTACGAACGCGAATCAGCTTGCATTGGTTTATCATCACTCTTCAGAAGAGCAAAGTTACATGGAGGTTTGGAAGTATTCTATATAGACACACTCCCTATCCTCCTCGATCTCGTCGCAGACAAAGGCGACGTCGTCAAGGAAGCTGCACAGACCGCCATCGACGATCTCGTTGCTTTATTAAACCCATTCGCTATCATGACTTTATTAGAGAACGTCTGGTCTGTCACAAACTCCAGCTCTGCAAAATGGAAGTCAAAATCTACCGGCTTGCAAATTATCACAAAATTGGTCAAATCTGGCGGTCCACTCTGGAGAGCTAGATTCTCCGAACATTTAGGTGAAATGGTTCCACATTTAGAGACAGCTATGCATGACACCAAGAGTGAAGTTGCAAACGCAGCTAAAAAATGCTCTTTGGCTGTATGCTCTTTGTTACAAAACCCAGACATTTTACCACACGTTCCTGCATTAGTTAGCGCTATGCAATCACCAACTGCCGTATCTGCACTCATCAAGCAACTCAGTTCAACTACCTTTGTTGCTGAAGTCGACGGACCATGTCTCGCAGTCCTCGTCCCACTTCTTTCAAGAGCCTTGAAGGAGAAGAGTATGGAAACTATCCGTATGACTGTTATTGTCATTGGCAACCTTGTCAAGTTGGTCAGAGATCCACGTGTTGCTGCCAGATACTTGGGTGAAGTCTTCCCAGGTGTTACCAACATTAAAGAAGGTGCTGCTTTCCCAGAAGTCAGAGCCTTCGCAGCTACTACTCACCAAATCATGGTTTCTGCTGGTGCTTCTTCATCCAACCCTGAGTCAAACCGCTCAAGACCTGAAGAAATTATTCATGCTTGTGAGGTTTTCAACAGACTTCTCGCCGCTGAAGGTGTCGCAACCATCGTCGCTGCACCAAAGATCGAAGAAGATGACTTGATCGCAACCTCACTTAAGTACGTTTCTGACATGGTCGTTGATTTGGCGTACGATCGTGACTTTGACAAGTCAAAATGGGTTGACTTAACTATCGCACCATACATCCAACACTACTTACAAGGAAAGCGCGAAGAAGCCAACAAAGTTGCTGAAGAAGCACTTGAAGTTTATTTAGAAATTGACAAGAAGGCCAACGCCAACACACTTAACGAGTACGAAGATGATGGTGAAGAGCTTTGCCGTACTGATTTCTCACTCGCTTACGGTGGTCTCTTGCTTCTCAACCACACCACTCTTAGAATTGTACGTGGACGTAGATACGGTATTTGTGCTGGTAACGGTAAGGGTAAATCAACACTCCTCAAAGCCCTTCGCGACGGTAAAGTCGAAGGTTACCCTACACAAGATCAACTTCGTACTATTATGGTTGAACATGCTCTTCAAGGTGAAGATGCTTCACTTCCAATCGGCGATTTCGTCGCTTCAGATCCTAACCTAAAGAACGTATCACGTGAGAGAGTAACTGAAGCACTTGAATCTGTCGGTTTCTCAGCTGAAAAGCAAAAAGATCCAGTTGGATCATTGTCTGGTGGTTGGAAGATGAAGCTCGAACTTGGTCGTGCTATGTTGATCGGTGCTGATGTCTTGCTTCTCGATGAACCTACTAACCACTTGGATGTTCCATCTGTTCAATGGTTAGAGAACTGGTTGGTTGAAAACAACACCACAATTCTCACAGTTTCCCACGATTCCGGTTTCTTAGATGCAGTATGTACCGATATCGTTCACTATGAAGACCGTAGATTGGTTTACTATAAGGGTAACTTATCTCAATTCGTTGCTAGAGTTCCAGCCGCTCAAGCTTACTACACACTTGAAGCTACAACAATCAAGTTCACATTCCCACCACCAGGCTCACTCATGGGTGTTAGATCAAACACTAGAGCCATTATGAAATTGAAAGACTGTGTTTTCGCTTATCCAAACACGCCAAGACCACAACTTAATGGTGTAAGCTGCGCTCTTTCACTTAGCTCAAGAGTTGGTATTTTAGGTCCAAACGGTGCTGGTAAATCAACTCTCATTAAGCTCATCACTGGTGAGACGACTCCACAATCTGGTTCTGTCTATAAGCATCCAAACTTACGTGTTGGTTATGTCGCTCAACATGCGTTCCATCACATTGAGCAACACTTGGAAAAGACTCCAATCGGATACATCCAATGGCGTTATGCTCAAGGTTATGATCGTGAAGTTCTTGAAAAGGAGACTCGTGTGCTTACTGAAGAAGACCAAAAGATGTTTGACACTCCAATCATTGGTAAGACAGGCGAGAAACGTTTCCTTGAAAGAATTATGGGTCGTCAAAAGCTCAAGAAGTCCTACCAATATGAAATCAAATGGAAGGGCCTTGCTCACAAGGTATGTAGTACATGAAATGGCGAAATATTACTCACATTGTTCTAGAGCAACGTATGGTTACCACGTGACCAATTGATTGAAGCAGGTTTCTCTAAGCTTGTTCAACAATTCGATGACTTTGAAGCATCAAGAGAAGGTGCAGGTCAACGTGAAAACAAAGCAGAATTAATCAGAAAGATGCTTGAGGATCTCGGTTTAGATGGTGACATCGCACAATACAACGAAATTTCTGGTCTCTCAGGTGGTCAGAAGGTCAAGGTCGTTGTTGCTGCTGCTATGTATAACAACCCACAAATCTTGATTTTGGACGAACCAACTAACTTCTTAGATAGAGAATCAGTTGGTGGTTTAGCAACAGCAATCAACAGCTGGACTGGTGCAGTTTGTGTCATTTCTCACAATTTGGAATTCGTACATGCAGTTTGTCCAGAAATCTGGAACGTCGATGCTGGTGTATTGACAATTGAGGGTAAAGCAGCACAAATTGAGGATGTTGAAGAGAAGAAAGTACCAAAACCAGGTTCAAGAGCTGCATCTAGAGCCGCTTCAGCAGCAGCATCAGCAGCTAACTCCGCAGCAACATCCGCAACTGAAGATAGTGCTTCAAGTGTACCAAAGCCAAAGAAGAAGAAGAAGATGTCTAGAAATGAAGTTAAAGCTCAAGAGGAGAGAAGAAGATTGAGAACATTGAGATTCTTATCTGACTCGACAATCAAAGAGCGTGAACCAGACACCGATTCTGATTAAGGACAGTATTTATAGTTTTATAATTGTATAGATTAATAAATTACAGGGTATTTTCTTTTACATCTTATCCTTATCACCGTCTGATGAACCAGGTAATAATAAATACCCAGAAAATGATGAGAAAGAAGATAGTGTAGATGTAGCACCTCCCGCCTTGCTTCTTTGACATGTGCTTCAGTCTCGACATCGTGCCGGAGAGGAGACTACCTGTAGATTCAAACGAATCGTTCTAAGGCTATTAGTGGGGTGCTTATAGAGTGAATGACGAGCGTACCATACTACCCATCTCGATAGCTGAGTCTCTGGCTTCCTGGCCGATACTCAATGTAATCTAACGCTTAGTGACGTTCTATGGCTGTAGCGAGACTCACATCCTTCAAAAGCCTGACTTTGCTGCTCAAACCGTCGAGATGTTCGTCGTTCTGGTTTTCCATATCTTGTGTAGCCCGTGTATGATCATAGAATGGAGAGTCTGAGCGTTGTTGATGGGCAGAAGGACCCAATAAGCTCGCTCTATCACGGAGATGGTTATCAGCCTTGAACCTTGTGTATATTGAATTAAAATATTAAGTTCCTATTGAAATGCTTACCTTTGATTCATCGCAATCCTCGCTGTCGTTAGTTAAAGTGTACATCCAAGGTCGAAATACATAAAATAGGAGTAAATAGATGCTGCCGTTACTACAAGATGATTTGAGGCAGACGAACGTACTCAGCTGGTCAGAATCTGACGTTAGCCTCTGGCTACAGCATTTGAACTACTCTCAGCATCTCCATATGTTTAAAGGTATGTCCTAGTGCATATATCGACTACATCCTAACAAATTCCTAGAAAATGAAATTACTGGCGAAGTTCTCGTGCATCTCGGTTCGTAGATGCTTCTTTATGACATAAATACTGACAGCAGTAGACCATGAGGCACTCAAAGACCTCGGTATACATTCAGTCGGGACACGCTTGAATATACTGCGGGAAATCTACCATCTCAAGGTATACTTTGATATATCGCTCGAGCCAGAGCATTACGTACCACCGTGTGGGTATGGACGAGCTATCTCTACACCTACTCATCGCTCTTCAGCGGAATTGATAAACGAGACGAAAGCGAAAGTAAACGAGTACACGAATCTGATATCGAAAGTCATGATACAGGAGGACAGACTGAATGCCTTAGAGAGCGATTACAGGCGGCTATTTAAGACGTTTGAGGCGACCTACGATGAGTTGAGCAGCATAAAACACACCTCCTTATCGAGTACCACTTCAGTCAATACGAATACATCTAATGTGAGCCTCTTATATACCCTTCGTTATTCAGCTCACACTGTCAGGCTTTGCAATCTTTCAAGTCACCTGATTATGAACACCAATTATCTCCCACTGCAATCACCGTCTCACCAGCTCCAAATTCAGCCCCCGCAAATACTAATACGCAGGTTGATTCTGCGAAAGAGGAAGATAGTGAGGATAAGCCATCCAATGGTCTCATTAGGCAAGCATCCCTTGGTGGTCTATCCCGCGCAAAATCATACAAAGATCAAGAAGGCAAAGCAAAATCGAACGTTAAAGTTAAATTGGATGATAGCTGCTGGAAAGTTTTACCAGCTGCACTTAGGAAATACAAGATTGACGATGACTGGACTAAATACGCATTGTTTATTTGCTGTATGGAGTTAACATTATGATTGATTATACCACTAACAATATCTTAGATGGTAAAACGGAGAGGTGTTTATCATATGATGAGCGTCCTTTGCAACTATTCCAACGTCTAAAAGAGCAAGGTCAACAGCCCGTCTTTATGCTGAGACATGTCAAAGAACTGAGGTTGGTAGAGAGCATTCACAAGGGTACAACACTAACATAATGCCCAGGTCGCCAATTTCGATTGCCTTGCAAAAGCAGCAAGCTAAACGAGAAGCAAACAGCTCGCTTACCCCACCACCTTCAAGTAGTCAACAGCAGTCTTCGCCTACGACAAATAACGTAGCAAGCTTCCGTAACGGTAAAGCACTCGCGGAAGTTTGCGATAGCGATGATATAGAAGGCTATGCAATAGCAATATACCCATACACAGCCGACAGAGAGGATGAATTCGATGTCAACGTCAGTGATCAATTTGAGATTGTGCAACGCGCCAAAGGATGGTGGGTTGTCAGGAGGGAGTCTATGAATGAAGTTGGATGGGTACCTACGGGATGTTTATTAGAGGTCTCAAATCTAACCTCAAGTCCTAATCAAATCCAGATATTAAGTAATAGTTATGGTGCGACTGCCTTGATGAATTATCAACCAAATTCGAAAGATGAATGTGGATTACAGAAGGAAGACAAGTTAAGAGTATACAAGAAACATAACCATTGGTGTTACGTAGTCAAGGATTCGAACGGAGAGCGCGGATGGGCTCCTTCTTGGTGTGAGTTCTACTTTTTTGATCGAGGAGATATGCTCACGAATAATGCAGATATAGGAAGCAACAAATCACGTGATACGAACTCTGCAAATCAAGCTGGATCTAGTCAAGGGAATATGCCCTTGTCTGCCGCGGGCGCGTTGACTGCAGAGATAGACAAAGAGACATCCTCGCCTTCAACGCCTGGTTAAAACATTGTAGACTAATTATATTTCCTATTACATTACATTTCGTATACGATTGTTATTGTTTTCTGCTGTCTAACCTTCTTCTACTACCACCATCTCATACGATAATGGTGGACCCAAACGAACTGCTTCCACCGCTCAAACAAGCTCTAGATAACCCTGGTTTAGATCCAATTAGTGAGCGCATAGCTTCTTATATCAATATCTCTAATCTCCTACAGTTGCTGTCCAATCTCTCGATATACTCATACAACTCTTTTGGGATAAAAGCGTGGACGCGCTATACAAACAGCAGGTTGTACTCTGTCTGGCATCTGCTTATCCGCATATCCTCAAGTTCTCGTGAGTTTCCAGCCTCTCACGAGCTATTCTAACGGACCACAGCGTACAACATCATGGTCAGTCCCAAGCCTGGTTTAAATTTCAGGGCGTCAAAGCTTCTATCCTTCCACTCATTGACCAGAAGACCGCTCCTCTCGGTCTACGTCTCTCCGCTATCAAGTTTGCTCAACGTTGCGTCGCTCTCCAATCAAGACCACAGAATAGGGGTTCTTCAAAGGACACTAGTATTATCTTAGTCCATGGTAATCACCCCTACATCGATACCACCGGTCTCGAGAAGGAGAACACTACGACGTTGCACGCACTTCTCACTCTAATATTCACGCCTCAAAAGCTCTCAATTGTTACTGCTACAATCAACGTACTCGGTATACTTGCCAGACAGCGGCCTCAGTATGCAGCTGCGATCGCGCCAGCCTTGGCAACTTGGACACCAGCACCTTTACAGACGATGGTGAATAATCCATCACAACTCAAGTCAGTAGAGAAGTTACTCTATGGTGTGCTTAAACATCTCGTTAAAGTCGGCTTGACTGGCAACAGCACGCCTACTGTCATGGAATCACTCTCAAAACAGGCCCACAGAATAGAACAACTATCGCGTGAAGAGCAAATTAAGAAGAAGGCGATGAAGCGCTCTCTTGCTGAAGCAGCTCCTAGTATCAAATCATTAGATCTCAAGCGTCAACGCACTAATGATCAATTACCACATGTATTCGGTGGCAGCTCTCCTAAAATTGACATAGACGTAACGAAGTTACCACTTGAAACGGTTGTTGAAGGTCTTATTGAAAGTTTGAAGAATGTCAGCGAGCAGGATCTCGAAATTGCCATTAGGAAGTCACGCGAGAGGATCAAAACGGAGGAAATGAAATCCAGTACTTCTGAACAAGGACAACCATCTCATACTCAAACGATTAGTGAAGCTGGTCCGTCTAGACAACCACAAGAAGCGATGGAAGTTGACGTTAAGCCTATTGATCCACTCAAGGTTGAGATAGATGATGATGAATTAGATGACGATGTTGATGGTATAAATCGTAATTTGAATGATACGGTAGCACCATCTGGAGAAGCTCAACAAGCTATACAAAATCAATCAAGCGCCGTAAATACAGGTACTAAATCGAAAGCTCAATCATTACTCAGCGCAATGCAAAAAGTACAAAATCCAACTTCTCTCGATAATAATGATAGACTACTCGTTATAAGAAATGCTATTGCAAGAATATGTAAATCAATTCCGCAAAAAGTTCTCACAGATAGTGCTGAAGAGGATATACGTAGATCTACTATAAAATTCTATGGTAGAGATCTTTGGTCGGTAGTTTTAGTGAGACTACTCACAAGAGGTTTATCGTCAATCAGTAAAGATACTGAAGATGAACAACTACAATTAGAAAAGCGTGCTAAAGATACACTTATTGATTTTATTAGTTTGGACTTTGATAGGCGATTTAGTATTGCCATTTTATGGTTAAATGAAGAATGGTACAATTATACCCTTAGAAAGAAAGACGATAGTGAAGCAAATCTTGATAGCTATAACGAACTCTTAACAATTCTAGTTGAAAGACAAATATCTCAATTATCGAATAATAGTTCAAGTATTTCAAGTGCAGCTTTTGTTAAGTTTATTATGGATTTACCTGTAATAAGTCAAGATAGTCTAAATAAAATTAAAGAGATTTGTTTAGATAGTGAAAGCTTAAAAGCGCCAATTGGTTTTGTCATACTTAGAGAATTGGTTTCTATGCGCTTACCTGTCAGACAACAATCACTCGAAATATTGTTAATGTTGGCCGTACATCCAGATTTAAAGACTAGAAGAGCGGCAGTCAATTCAGTAAGAAAATGGGTACCTGAGAATGAACAACTGTCACCAAAAGTTATTGAATTTGCACTCAAATCTCTTCATAGTTTGTATCAGGATCAAGAAGATTTCTTATCTAGTCTGGTCGTGAAGAAGGATGACGACATTGAAGTGAAAAAGGAAAAGGAAGATGATCGGGTCGTGAAGAAAGAACGATCTGATTCGTCTCAACCAATGGAAGAAGATGGCAAGGAAGCCACAACTCCACATTTGGAAATAACAGCTGAAGAACGCGCAAAGGCAATCGACACGAGAGTATTAGAGCGCTCAGAGTTAGCATTCTCATTATGTCTACGATCAACAGATATTTTGAAAGATGTTTTCGCTGTATATACAAAATTATCACTAGATTTAAAAGAACCCTTTGAAAGAGCTTTAACGCCATTAATTAGAGGATTGGGTTCATCTAACAAGAGCCTACTATCTATATTGAAAACATTTAATCAAGAATCTGAGCCATTAGCACTCAGGATCTTGAATGTATTAACCGACTTTGGTAAGGAGAAGCCAAGTCCTGAGCTCGTCACCTTTATTAGGGAATTGGGTGCTGAGCGTGGTGGTGAAGTTGATCCACGGTTCGTCATACCAATTTTACAGGAACTTACAAAGGTTGGTAATTATATTCTGGTCGTTCTAATCTAACAGACACACCCAGGATGAAATGATAACTGAGTTGCCTCGTATTGTCAAGCTACTCAAGGATGACGAAAATAAGCAACTGATCAAGAACGTTTTCAGTTCGGTTGTTGAACCACCTCAGTCATTTGGTAGTGTCAACACTAATGTTGTTCGTGTCGATAAGGATAAGCCGGACAAGATTACACCTGCTGAGTTACTCACTATTTTGCATGAACGTGAAACGGAGATCGGCTTGAAGGAGACAATGATAGGTGAGTAATTTATTGTTTTTGAAAAACAATTCTAATGTATCACTCAAGCAATCGCAATATGTTTCTCTTTGACAGATATATTCAGATCAGACGTTCTCGCAATTTTCATGCAATCAATGTCAGAAGTCAAGGTTCTACCTAAGCTCTTCATGAGGACGGTTATACAAGCTGTGACGACTTATAAGACATTGGTACCATTCGTATCCACGAACTTGTTCTCAAGGTTGATAACGAGAAAGATATGGCTTACGCCAGTTATGTGGGAAGGTTTCGTAAGGTGTGCAAGAGCAATAGCACCTGCTTCATTCGGCGCTCTCCTGCAGTTACCGCAAGACACACTAAGGGATGTGATAAAGAAGCAACCTGCACTTAGATCAGGATTACATGAATATATACTAAGGAAAGCACCAAAGTCATCACAAATACTTAAGATATTTGAGGAATTACCACCTGCAACGGCGACGCCATCACAAAATTCTCGTGAATCGTCGGCTCAAGCATCTTAAGATAATGATTAGTATTGTTTAATTTATAAAAAGAAGTGAAATATGTATTATCCCTTTAATTATCTGCAAAAAAGAACTGTGTATCCCGTGGTGGCATTGGCGTGGGGATGTTGTTTGGTATATCGACATTCTCACCCGCGAGGTCGAGTAATTTGATCTTTACACCTAAATCCGTGAGCGTCTGAGTGTGCTGTTAGTAAGATCTACGTAAGTAACACCAAGACGTACGTTAACCAAATCATTCGACTGTCCAGTCAAAGAGGAAGACTCATCGAGGACGTATCGCAACCCGTCGTACCATTCTGAGTACTGTGAGGGTGATAGCGGGATCAGCTCTGCTATGACGCCCTGCTTTGATAATAAGGTTAAACTATTGACTGTTGATGCTACGCTTGTAGTGGATGTTCCCAATTTTGACTGTATAGTTGTTATCGTATCTAAATCTATGAAGTCTGGGAGGTTATCAAAACCTTGTGAGATTTCATAGCTCTCTGATGTATCCAAATAGTGTAAATGTCGCCTGTTGGGTGACAATCTGAGGAACTTATAAGCACCTAATCTATTCCTACTTTCTTTTGCATTCCTTAGCTTCAGTTAGATTGGATAGCTAGCAAATTGGTAAACCCACTTAAACCATCCACCTTCTAACAAACAATTGATACGCTGTTGACCTACGAATCTATTGGCGTCACGGACGAGTCTTTGCTTCAGGGCGCTATTACGAGAGTAAATAAGGATATTAGCATTTCATAGAGACAGTCACACTCACCGAATTGGAGGTTTAGCGTAGAATTCGTTCTCATCATAGCGTCGAGAACTGCGATAATCGTCAATTTGAAAGAATTAGGTGTATTAGCTATAATTCACCTGCTGTCATAATCCCCAGACAACGCCTTATGGCTTGATGATCTCAGCGGAATCATTATATTTCCTAATCCAGCTGGTCGTTACTGTTCAACTCTCATGAATTACGAAAGGGTAAGAGACGACGAGAGCGATAGTGGAAACGAATTCGAGTTGTCCCCTTTGGCTGGCACAGAGGATAGTGGTACTCTCAAGAATACGCACGCTAGACAACACTCAGAGGGTACTATCATCGACGCTGTCACTTCTATCGTGCCAGAATCAGACGATCCAACACTCCCGACACTCACCTTTAGAGTAGTTCTTATTGGTTCGCTCTTCGTCAGTCTTGGGTGTGTATAGCTCAACAGCACATCATCCTTCTGACATCGACACAGTGCCGCTTTCTCTCAACTCTTTTACTTCAAGGTGAGTTGTTCCACAGACTGTTTACTACGAAATAGCTTAATTACATTCTAGGTTCGTTTCTCCCGTGTTTTACCTCTATTAAGCTGACATGATCTTCTCGTAGGATAACGCGCCTCAGTGGAACCCATTCATTGTTCTCCTCAGCTCCTACCCTCTAGGAAAACTCATGGAGAGAGCTCTCCCTGAACGCCGTTTGCTGGGTGTCAATCTCAACCCTGGTCCTTTCAATATCAAGGAGCACTGTTTGATTAGTATTCTGGCTACAAGCGGGTGAGATTTAAATTTAGATCCAGCTATCCTGTTAACGCAATCCTAAGTGGAACCGCTGCATATGCTTCCGACGTGCTCGCCATTTGCACTCTCTACTTCAAAGTTGACTTCCCAACCTGGGTTGCAATCGCCTTAATCATGACATCACAATTTATTGGCTATTCATTCGCCGGCTTGGGCTACAATATCCTCGTTAAACCTCTAAACGTAGGTAGAATCATTCACTATGTCTCAGAAAGTAACACCGAATAAGATGGTATACCCAGCCAACCTTCCAACCATTAGTGTTCTCACTACACTCCACGAAACAAACCAACTGAAACGTTCGAAAGTCGATAGGAAATTGCGATTTTTCATCTTTTCTTTCCTAGCTGTAGGTCTCATATGAGCGACCTGATTACATCTGACGAGATACAGGTAATATTATACCAACTGCTTCCTTCTATATTCGCACCAACACTTACAAGTATAGCTTTCCTATGCTATTTCTCGAACAACTGGATAATGCGCACACTAGGTAGTGGCTATCAAGGGTTCGGCATGCTGGATATCAGTCTTGACTGGTCATCACTATCATCATTAGGACCTCTTTATACTCCTCCTGAAGCCCTCTTTAACATTTTCGCCGGTTTGGTCTGTATGGTTTGGATACTCGGTCCTTTGATATACTTCACCAACTTCTGGGACGCCCTTTCATTCAATTCACCTCTCTCTACTGGTCTGTTCACCAAGACACACCAAACGTTCGACGTCCAGGGTGTCTTAACTCCAGACCTTCACCTCGATTTGAACAGCTGGGATGAGCAAAAACCATTGATGCTGACACCATATTTTAGTATATTTTACTTTTTCACTTTTGCAACATTCACAGCGACCATTTTTCATGTCTTGCTCTGGTATTCTGGGGATATAAAAGCAGCATTACTTTCTTCTAGAAAGGAAAGACTCACAGATGAAGAGACAACAAAGGTCGTACCAAAGAGTTACTACATCGTTACATTCTTGGTGACGTTCATTATTGCAGCAATCGTTTGTGCTCAACCCATCATTCAGTTGCCTTTCTGGGCACTGGCATTATCCCTTCTAATGGCGGCCGTTTGTCTCGTGCCTCTTGGAATTATCAGAGCTGTTAGTGGGCAAAGTATCGGGTTGAACGTCCTATCAGAACTTGTTATTGGTTATATAATGCCTGGAAAGCCAGTCGCAAACACTGTTTTCAAAACATTCGCCTACAATTCACTCGCACAATCATTAGATCTCATCGAAGATTCCAAATTAGGATTGATGATACACTGTCCACAAAAGGATGTCTTTATTTGTCAATACATTGGAACTGCGATTGGGGCTATCGTCAACTTTATAGTATTACAAGATGTGATAGACACTAAACGGCCTTATCTTGATGGTACGTTAGTCGATCCAACCGGTCAGTACACCGGTAGATCACCACGTATTATGTTCTCAGCATCTGTTATCTGGGGATTGGTAGGACCTGCTAGATTTTTTATTGGCAAATACAAAGTGTTGCTCATCAGTGGGTTCATTTTGGGTATCATCTTACCAATCATTACATTTCTCATTCATAAACGCTACCCAAGATTTGGATTGAAGCATATTTCATTCCCGCTCATTTTCTATGGTGCTACTCTCGTACCGCAGATGCCAGCAAACGTTATAATGTCACTTTTGATAGTAGGATATGTGTCTCAAGTGATTATAAAGAAGAAATTTCCAAAATGGTACACGAACAATTATATTCTTAGTGCTGCATTGGACGCAGGCACTAGCATTTCTGCATTATTGGCATATCTAATTTTACCCTACATTCTCGTTATTGTTCCAACATGGTTCTTGAACCCGTCTGGAGACGCTGAACATTGTCGATAGGAATATTGTATAGATAATAGATTACTTATGTATAATAAATACCTCTTATGAAAGTTTTCATTAATTTCGATGTTTTAATGCGATGGACTGTTAAATTAAGGTAGTTCAAATAACTATAAGTTACAAAAGTTTAGATTTACATAAGATCGCATGTTTAATGAATATCTTAGAATATTGCGTCGACTGGCTTCTGTTAGTAAATAGATAAATAGGGGTAAGAAGACGACTCAACGGCATAAGCATCCGGCGACACCAGCAAGACAGGCTGTAAGAACAGCGCAACATCCACCTGCTCCTCCCATTCCTCCACCACCGGAGAATTTTCCTGGTTTACCTTGCTGAACATACATTGGTTGTTGGTACTAAGAGGAGGTTAATAAACGCGTATAAAATGCAAAAATAAACATACGCCAGGTTGCTGTCCGTAAGGAGGATAAGCTGGAGAGGTTAATGACTTTGACGCGAATGTCATGTGTACTCACGACCCTGCTGGGGTTGACCGTATCCTTGGGGAGGTGGAGGGTAGTAGCCTTGCTGGCCACCCTGAGGAGGACCGCCATATTGTGGGCCACCTTGGTATGAGTTTGGTGGCTGTATAGCGTGAGTAATGAATGCCAAGTAATGTTATGCAGCTCACGTATTGAGGACCACCGGCTTGGTAATACTTTTGTAGGGTATTAGAATAAAACGCTATATTAAAGAATACTCACATCTTTATTCGACATTTTTGTGTTCAACGTTGTGATTATAGAAGGATAGCTCCTTAAACTCGAACTGCATCATTCTAGAAAATCTAAAATGCAGGAATCTGCCGTAGACGACGAAGGTGGGATTACTACTATCTTATATACAATATCTAACGCTATCTAGACGTCTGCAGAATCTGTCGTTGTAGCTCAGAAGATGATAGGACCCTCTATCATCCCTGCAGATGCTCGGGTAGTTTGAAGTTCGTACATCAAGATTGGTAGGTCCTTATATCTCCGCTATCTACTCTATATTCACCTATCTCTCAGTCTGAGGGAGTGGCTAAACGTTACGAAGAAGCAACATTGTGAGATTTGCAAACATCCATTTGGATTTACAAAAGGTCCGTGGCAGATATTCTCCTATTGTAGCTCTAATATCTTCCAGTTTACTCACCTAGCATGCCAATCGAAATCCCGAGATTCTTGTTCTTCAAGCGAGCTCTTATTTGCGTTGGAAAATGGTTCACACAGGCTTTACATTTCCTACTAGTCGCGTTTGTGTGGCTCGGAATGCTTCCTTATGTTACCATATGGTGTTGGCGGTGGTATTTCTATTTTGGAAATACGATAATCTCAACTATAAAGCTAGCCCAAAGAGAGGTAAATGTTACATTAGAGAACACTCAACAATCACCTACAAATTCAACGAGCTTACCGTCAACTGGCGAAAACACCAGCGAGCAAAGTCTGCTGAAGTCAATTCTCTGGACAATTATAAACGACATCTTCCAGGGTCAAACAATCACTTGCTCATTAGTCGTCATCTTTGTTGTCATTTTCTTATTAAGGGAGTGGGTCATACAACAAGGTCCAATAAACGATCCAACACGCCAGATTGACAACTCAAGACCGCCACCACCGCTTAGACAACTACTTGACGAGCAGCAAACTCAACTACCAACACCTCAGAACCTTGAAGTACCCCTAAACGAGCGTTTAAAACGCAAAAAGAAAGCTAGACAACTTCTTAATCCATTACAAATACCAAACTCAGCAGCAGCATTCAATATCAGTGACAATTCATCACAAACATCTGAAACCACAACTTCATCAGTGCAAATAAAGCAGCGTAGAATAAGTGATATTATTAAAGAGGATCATCTTGCTAATGATGTGAATGTCGCTGCTAATTTGCCTTTACCTGAATCACCAGCGGTAGCCGTTGGTTCAACCTCTGCGATTGAACTTCCTAGCGCTGTTAGTCGAGCATCTAGCTTGCGTTCTAACACAGCTGCTAATCGCACAAATGCTTGGGTCACGAACTCAGACAATAAGGACTATTTGTCACCTAATACTGCATTCAATTCATCAGCAATTGACGATGACATCGATGAAGGCAATTGGGATGATAAATTGTCTACAATAACTAATGTACCTTCAACTTCAGCTATGACATTTGACAGTAGCGATAATAATCAGGAGGACTTTAATCATAGAGAGCTCGACCATTACTTCAATCCTGATGAGACTGATGAACATCAAAACATTGAGGATGACAGGCGGAGCGAGCAAACCCAGATTGCAGAAGACGATAATGCAAATGAGGAAGGAGAGGCAGGCGAAATTGATGGTGGTATAATGGACGACGAGCTAGATGGATTGTTTGAAGCTGTGGGATTACGCGGACCAGTCGCTAATTTATTCCAAAATTCTGCACTTATGGTCGTACTCTTCTTTGTCGGTATTGGATGTTTCATCTTCCTGCCGTACACAATTGGAAAGATATTCGCTCAGTTACGTCCTATTGATATTCCACTGTTGCCAATTCAAATTACACGCTGGTTCACTGATCCAATCTTTGATTTTGTTGCCCTCATTTTCTCCAAGTTATTCTTCCCATCGTCTAGGACTATTGGTATCCACGAGTTAACGAAGTTGCCTATGCACATTCGCGCTCAAAACGCCATAGCCCAGTCGTTCGCTAATGCTGAAAACTGGGCGGCTAGTCAAGAGTCACAAAGTTGGGCGTCCATTAAAGGTCCATTTTTGAAGTTACTTAAAGGATTGCTATCATTTTTGCATGCGTTATTTGCAACAACGTCGCAAAAAGAGTCTATCGAAGACAAAAGCAACTTCATTGAGAAGTCTTACAACGTATTGTCTAAAGTACCTATCTTGCGCAACCATTTGGATAGCTTGAATGTCGCTTCTGGAATATATACCGGATTCGTTGAGTGGGTCAAACGCAAATCTTGGTCTTTAGCTCTCAATGATGGTACATCTGAGCGTGTCGTTTCAATCTTACTTGGTTATACAGTCATCACAACTGTTGCTGCAATTTACCTCAACACCCAAAGTAATGTGTTGCAAGTAGCTCATGTTGTCAAAGACGCCATGGCACAGCAAGTTATACTAGCGAAGATTGCAGTTTTATTTGCAAGTGAATTAGTTCTCTTTCCATTAGCTTGTGGAATATTGCTTGAATTTTGTTCTTTACCACTCTATCAAGAGATAAACATTCAAGCAAGGATAGATTATACGCTTAATTCACCTGTTACAAGCCTATTCACTAAGTGGTTATGCGGTACACTATTGCTTTTCTTGGTATCTGTTCTTATCACAGGTATCAGGAAGCTTCTCAGGCCGGGTGTCCTTTGGTTCATTCGCGATCCAAATGATCCAAATTTTGCACCAATGAGAGATGTCCTCGAGCGTAGTGCATGGACGCATGTTCGCAAGTTGGCGTTCTCAGCATTCTTATACTCGACATTTATTCTGTCTACTTTTGGTGTTGGATTCTGCATGCTGCGATTTGGATTCAATGGTATATTACCGTTCAGATGGAAAGCGCAAGAACCTATAAGTGTAGTACCAGTAGACCTTCTCTTCCTTCAATTTGTCATGCCATTCACGATACGTAAATTAGGGCCAAAGGATTTAGCTAAATCATTCTACGCCAAATGGTGGAAATGGGCTTCTTCACAATTAGGTTTGAGTTCTTTTATGTTTGGAGGTAGATATGAACGCGAGGAAACTAGGTATAGAGTATACAATTGGAAAACGATGTTTGGCTTTAAGCAAAGGAAACGTGATATGAGATTTGGTAATTGGATGAGAGTCCCAGCAACGGATAATGTGTCATTCGATAGAAGAAGACCATGTCCAATGTTGGTACCAGTTGATGATAACGGGTATCCAATAGATACACGTGGTGAAAAGGCTGTTGCCAATCAATTGCGGGAGGCTTCATTTAACGCGCGTGATCCAGCAAAAGAGTGAGTAATAAATGGATAACCTTGCGTTTATTAACAATCCATACAGTTGGTGTGTGGTCTATGCTCCACCAAATTTCAAGCGTCGTTTACTTTGGTTCATTGCTTACTTATGGGCTACTACTGTAATAGCAGCGATTGGAATTGTAGTACCATCAATCACAATAGGTAGACTGATAATGGATAATTGGGCAGGTCGTGAAATGCACGATTTGTACTGCCTTATCATTGGTTTATATGCTGTATTGGTACCGCCAATTATGTACAAAAAGTACGTTAAGAACATCACATACAATCAGGTAGTACGCTTGATGAAATCACTTTATTTCATATCAGCGTTAGGTTTCATTTTCCCAACATTCTTGGGTATAACTTTGGAATTATCAATAATTATTCCAAATAAATACATAATTAATAATCTACAATTTCCACCAAGATTGAACATTCCTCAAGCTTGGTGTTTAGGTTTACTCAGTAGTAGATTTTTCTTATATTTTGCAAAATCTAGAGATATAAATGAACCAATTAACCTGATTCATAAGCTTCAAACTGATGGATTTGATAGCATAACAGTTCGTCAATTTAATAGCCGCATACTTAAACCAATCAGTCAAGTATTTTTAATAGTCTACATCGTTCCTACTGTTGTTGCAAATTACTCATCGAAATTAATTAGTGAAAGTATCATCAACAGTGCTTACATACGTGAGTTTACTTCTTATCTGACTTTCTAGTTGACAGAATTAGATATCTTCGCATTCCCGCTTACAATTGCATTTTTATCATCCTTTATCTTAAGAGACAAAATAATATCTGTCGTGAAGAGACTAGACGTAATCGTCAGAGACGAGGTATGTTAGAAATTTGGCTTATTAGTATGTTTGCTAACTCGATATATAGGAGTTCCTTTTAGAGAGACAACTACAGAACGCAGAGTAATTTTACCGAGCAGTATAACAAACGAAAACATATAGCAAGAGTATTCTTTTCTCCGATATCAAAACAAATTAATATAATGGATGCATTTGAAATTTAAGTTATAAATTAGATCTGTAGCCAGAATTCTCTAGCGTCCACAGCTTCCTTTCTGACCAATTTAATCGGGTCGTCGAGTGCTTGAACTAATTGTCGTACGACTTGTAATTTATAAAGTTCTAGTATATCTTTACGTATAACGTGAGGGAAAATACCGAGTAATTTAAGTGCAGAACCACGAAGACGCTGCATTTGACGTCAGAACACTTTCAAACAGAAAAGCAAAACTCACTGGTGGGTTCTGCGATACGTTAGTCGAGAAGTTTAGCAAAGATGAGACGAGGGATGACATATGTTGTTGTATCGTCTGAGCGATACTATCTTCAGTCAGCGTCAATACTGTGATAGTCTCAATAACGCTTGATCTGAGTGAAGCATCATCAAGACTCAAAGCTATGAGCAGAATCGGGAATATCTGTGGAAGTTTTGCTAAAGCGAGTGGTTTTGGCATGTATTGGATAAGTGATGCCAATGTAGCAAGGTACTTCCGAGAAGCTTCGTCTATATTATGTGATAAGTATTTGGAATCGACTGTAGGAAAAATACGCACCATTTTTACTCGAATTTTCACTTTCATAGCGACTAACCACTTCTGGAAAGACAACTTCGAAGAACTTCTGTTTAAAAAGTACCCTAGTAACTGCAAACGATTTCTTTTTATCGAGCACATCTCCATTTTCGTCGTTTGCAATCTCACCGACCAAGCTGGCTACCTTGTTAGCGTATGGTGAGTCGCTAGCAATCAGGTCAAGCGTCTTTGTTACAATCTCAATGCCAAGATTATCACCACGGCACACCAAACCTTTGGCGATCCATAAGACGATATCTATGAAGATACCATTCGATCTGCTCTGGTTTGAAGTTGACTGGTTCCATTCTGAGAGTATGAAATTTGTGTAATCTGACAACTCCTCTACTCGCTTGTTGATCAAATTACTCAGAAGATGCTGAGATGCTACCTGCTCTATCTCCGTTGAGACTTCGCTTTGAGTCCATTTCGTTAGATGTACTGCGAAATCGGACAGTGAGTCGAGTGGTAATTTTACTTCCTTCTTCATTGGTATAAGTGCAGATGAAAGTAGAGGGAAATAAGCTCTCTGAGATGAATTCTCCTGGTATATATAAGCGGTTGTAAGTAGTCAACAATTATGACTCACAAATAAAGCGGCTTGATGAACTATCTCCTTGTCGGCTAATAGCAATCCCTGCCAATTGCCGATTTGAAGAGCATCGAAAATATCTTTCGCTAACGCATTCTGTTGAACTACATCAAGAGATCTTACTATACTCATTATAACCCGACTAGCCGTATTGACTATTCTACCCTCTTTGATAGCTTCAGAGTGCGAAACAACGAAGAAGCTGAACAATTTTGGCAAGAATAGTTGCGAGTACTGTGCGATATCAGTATGTTTCTTAGATAACTTCTCTTGAAGTAAAACCAGGGTAGTTGTCAACAAGACATTAACAAATGCCAAACTGAGATTATCATCCTTAACTTGCTCCATTTTGTTGATAATACCTTCAACAAACAATTTGAATAGGGTTTCATCAACGGCTAATCCAGTCAAAGAAGCAAGAGTAACTCTAATTGTTTTCCAATCTGTATCACTGTCAATAACAGAAGGAAGTGAATCAACAAGAGATGGTAAAACAGTGTTCTGTAAAACGGTACCACCTAAGCAGTTTAGACCTTCGATCGCTACCAATCTAACATGAGAATCTTCTGATGGATCTCTGACGAAATCGACTAAAGTGTTAGCTATGGCCTCTCCATCTTTAGATAGATCCCAATATCCTTTAATATGTAATGTCTGAGTGAAAGCGGCTAAAGCTGGTCCCCTGAGTGATTTATTAGTCAAGCTTGATGTTAATATACTCGATAATTGTTCCTTGAGAGCAGAGGTAATAGGCTCGTCCTTGTGGAACGATCTTTCGCTAGTGCTACTGTATACTCTTGACAAGCTCAGCAAAATAGCGTGTATGTGATTAAGAATTGGTCCAGGTTGGCTAGGATCTGATGGCACTGCGAATAACTCCAAGATAGGGACAAGACTTGAGTGTGTGAATGGTTTACTAAGAGTACTTGGGCAGGATTCGATGAGCGTTCCAATGATCTTTACAGCCGGGTTTGCTTTGCTCTTTTCTGGCTCTTTGAGAGCATCGTAACAAACATCAAATATTACGTTAGCTATTCCAGGTAATTCCCTGGCATCTATTATATCAGAGGGTTCGTCTTGTGGTAGATAAAGTGTTTGTATGAGTGATTCTAATGCTTTGAGTGCAACATTTTCAGTTTCAATGTCAGTTGAGTAGAGTATCTGAGTGTATTGTTAAGTTAGAAAATAAATGTAATAAATACTCACTTCAATACTGATGGCGTCCCATAATTTGCGTGATTTTAGGCTGACCTGACCTGGTCCATAGACAGGGAGTGCTTGTGCGATACTTAACAACGCATCACGCTTGATTATATTAGATTAAGCAAAGAAGCGGGTCGATACTTACCTTTACAGCTCCTGAACTAGCTGTGAGTTTTTCAATGAGAAGTGGAATACCTTGTGCTGCAAAGAAAGGTGATGCACTAATAGCATCACGAAGAGCCACCCTGAGATCGTCTGTTGAAATACCGTATGGATCATCAGGTGGTGGCTTGAACGTGATTGGGAAATAACAAAAGACGACGTCAAAAAATGCCTATATATTATTAGTTGCGATCGCGATAAGAAAGATAAGTCGCACATCAGTGTGAGATTCGGTTTGAAATTCTATCAAGATGACCCTATTCATTCCAAATACGAGCATTAGATTACGTGGATCCTTCTCTCCTTGTATTGTGTGGATATATCCCGTGATGAAGTCATTTCCGAGGCTCTTAAGAGCACTTCTGTGTTTATCGAGAAGTTTATCTAGTAATTGATAGTATAGATAGCGAACTGCTTGAACAAATTGTGGTTTTGGTGGTTGAAGACACCCAAACAAACTGGATGTCGTTAGACGAGTGTATTCAAATATGGGCCAAATACTAACGATGTGCATACATTCTTTGCTTCCATACTACCAAATGTAGGTAAATCCGCCAAAGACAATAGAGCTTCTAACGTTGGTGCAATAAGTGTATGATCGCTGAGCTTAGAAATGAAGAAGTTTGTTAATGTTTGAGCTGTAATATATAAGTGGCTGTATATACATATTAAGAAAAGACACACTAGCTTGTCTGTTTATTGAGCTAGCCGGTATGGATTTGATAGTGTGCGATAGTATAGTAGCGCCTGTAAAGTGAGCAATTGTGGTGCTATTAAAGATAAAGCATACCCTTGAATCTAACTTGATCATCCTCATGTATCAAATACTCGCCGAGATCTTTGATTAAGGTTGTTAGACTATGTTGACCATCTCTAACGGCTGATATCACTATTAACAGGGGATATCTACTATCAAATAAGTCTCACATTCCGCTATCTCTCTCAAAGATTCATCATCTCCTAAAGTGACGTGTGTTCTAACGCTACGTCGTAAATCAATCATCGTTGTTCGGAACAACCAAGATCTCACAACTCAGAATGGGAAGATCTGACTATAATTCTTCTTCTGATGAAATGGAGGATGATAAAATAAATACAGGGAATAATGATCTTGATGCTGAGTTGGATCTCTTCGACAATCCCTACAAAAGGAAGAGATCTACAGACAAACAAGCAGATAAAGAGGCAGCTTTGTATGGTGTATTTGGAGATGAATACCCTAAAGCTACAAACCCTGTAAAGGGAGATAGGAAGGATATATCACAGTGCGTTCATCTCTACTTAGATAAGCCAGCTTATAACCTCACCACCTAGGGCGCCACAGTTCGTTAGCACACACAAACCAGAAACTCACGATGTCATACACGATCTAGAAGAACAAGAAGACGGTTCATCAGCTTCATATTCCTCATCAGATGAAGAAGAACGTCCAAAATTGGAGAAAGAAGATGATTACATTGACGAGGAACCTTCAAAGCCACATATGGGCTCACAACATAAGCAGAAAAGCTCAGGTCTCTTCAGTAAACCAGCCGAGCAAGTCTCGAGGGCAGAATTGAGCAGAGAAGACGAGAAACATTTCGCTTCTATACAGAACTCCTTCGGTGCTAAGATGCTCGCCTCTATGGGTTGGAAAGCTGGGTACGGTCTCGGTGAGGGTGGTAAAGGTATAGCTGTCCCTATAGAAGCCAGCAAAGCGCGTCCACAGGGTGCTGGTGTCGGTGCAGTCAATGAACGTACCCGTGCACAAAAAATGGAAGCTAAAAGACGCGGTGAGAAGGTCTCTGATGATGAGGAAGCTATCAGGGATAGGCGCAAGAAGGGTGAGCAGAAACAGAAAGCCGCATGGAAGACCAAGCAACCAAAACAAAAGACAAAGACACAGCATATGACTTATGAAGAAGTCCTTGAAACTCTTGGTGATCAGCCACAAGTAGAAACTACTGTTGGGCCTATATTAGACCTTACCGGTGCACAAGTGAGTTCCAAGATATGTACAAATATTAAACTTAACATCGTTTATAGCCACAAGAAGTCACAAGTTCGCTTGCATCACACCTATCTGGATGGACACCTACTAGTGATTCCAATAAGCTACCAGAACTACGACATAATATCCGTCTAATTGCTGATGAAAGCCGAGGTCAGCTAGAAGGACTAGCGCGAGAGGCCAAGGTTATAAATGACAGACGAAAAGCATTATTAGAACAAGAAAAGGTTATTGTGAAAACAGTTGACCATGATCTAATGAGAATAGAAAGGATGAAATCCATTGAGATTGCCATTGAAAGTCTAGAGAAAGTATCAAAAGAAATATCCACATTATCAACGCCAATTTTGGATCTATTCACAGAGCCAATTGTCAATTTAGTGAGGAATTACAGCAAAGAGTATGAAGAGTACCGTTTAGATGAAGCAGTCGTTGGTGCTATAGCACCCTCCTTCAAGTTATTAATTGGAAGATGGATGCCGCTAAGTGACGATGAAAGCAGTTCTACAAATTGGATTGGTGAGCTAAGGAAGTGGAAAAAAGGATTAATCATGAACCATTCTCCCACTGACAAGCAATCTCTCGTGCGTTTAAATGATTTTAACGATGATTTCAAGCCTCAAGTATCGACAAAGCCGACTATATTCGTGATGACGCCTTATGAATCACTCATCTGGACATGCTGGCTACCACGGCTACGAGCTGGTCTTATCAATGATTGGGAAGCAACCACACCTTCAAAAGCAACACGAGTGCTCGAGGAATGGACAGATCTCCTACCTCAATTTATATACGACAACATGATGGATCAACTTTTGTTGCCGAAAGTGATGAAAGTTATTGACAATTGGAAACCTTCCTCTGAGCACTCTTTGCACAGTCTCGTTTTCCCATGGTTGCCATATTTAGGTGACAGACTATCAAACATTATGGATTTAAGCAAACGCAAATTAAGTTCATGGCTTAAAGGCTGGCAAGTTGATCAAGGTCTCCCTAAGGATATGCAGATCTGGAAGGGTGTTTTGAAGAGTAAAGAATGGGATGAGTTGATGTTAAGACATGTAGTTCCAAAACTTTCATCTCATCTTCGCGAAGAGCTTGTCATCAATCCTCGTAGTCAAGTCCACGAACCACTTGAGAAAGTACTTGAATGGAAAGACACGATACGAGTCAAAGTCTTTGCTAGTATTTTCAGCAACATATTTATACCAAAGTTCGTCGATACTCTCTATATCTGGCTTGTATCGCCCAAACCAAATTACGAGCAAGTTGCTCAATGGTACTCATTATGGAAGGGCTATTTTCCCGATTTGCTACTTGCTGATACAAACTTTAGCGAAGGGTTCAAGATAGCCCTCGATTTGATTAATCAGGCGATGGGCTTGGGTGATGAAGCGCCAAAAAGACTTATAAAACCAATCATCAACATCGGTGATAAAAAGAAGGCGCCAAAGAAGGAGCGTAGAGAACACAAGGAAGCGACATTCTTTGATGTGGCTAAAGAATTCATTGAAGAACACAACCTTCTCTTGGTCTCCACAAGATCGCTGCACCGGAAGGGACATATGCTTTACAAAGTGTCTTCAAACGCTATCGGCAAAGGGGGTGTAACTGTATATATTGATGACGATGCCGTATGGGTAGAACCGGAAGTCAGTGGGCAAGACAAAACCCATCAGGATTTCATTCCGATGACCTTAGAGATGGTCGTACAGAAAGCGATAAGTCATGAATAATGTATTTATACAATTATATAATCATACGTATCATATCGTTACGAACTGCAGCTGCATTGATATCCCAAGAGAGATTCATCACCTAATCCGCATAAACGCTTCTCTTCTAGTTGCTGCTCATTGAGTTGATCATCTGCTACGTTTTCGTGGTAATTATCGAATGGTTTGAGAGACATCTTGATTGAGAATGTTAAAATGATGTCCTTATAAATGTAAGTTTACTCACCTCGAAAGCCTTGTCAAATGTAGATTGATCACCAGCTTGCAGTTTTGCAATGCTCTCTTCCAGTACCCATTGCCTCAATACGAAGCGTGGATTGTGTGCACGCATACTCTTGAGACGTTCTTCGTGAGCATTTTCTTTATCACCCCACAATCCAGCTTCAATGTCCTGATTAACGCGATCGAAGTAGGTAGTAAGCCAACCTAACCAGGCATCCTTTGCACCATCCTGCAAAAAGCTTGTCACTGGCTTGTATGCAAGTATCCTGTCGGCAATTTCTTCTGGATTGTTTGAACTAGAAAGTGCACGATAAGTAGAGCTATAGTCGTTTTCTTGGTCCTGCATTATAGTCAGGAAGACATTGACAATATCTAAATGGTCAGCTTTAGTGAGTTTCTTGAGACCTAATTTGAGGCCCATCTGTTCTAAATACTCTTCTTGGAAAGTGTCCTTAAAAATGTCATCAATCTCGTCACTGATTTCCAGTCCTTTCGATCTCCATCTGAAGAGATTATCAAAGTGTTCTTTACCATTTTCATCAAATGCAAATTTAGGTGTGATTTCTACGCCTTCCTCTTCAGCCCCGACGACTTCGGCTGTGCTGTTAAGCAGCTGTTGACAGTCCCAGAGCACTCGGCTTGGTTGCATTTTGAAACTGTAAAAGCCCGTTTGATCAGTGTGGTTGCAAATATGTCCTGAGTTGTAAACATCCATGAACGCATATGGACCATAGTCTAACGTCAAACCTAATAGCGAGATATTATCGGAGTTCAAGACGCCATGACAGAATCCAACAGCTTGCCATTGAGCTACAGTCCTTGCATTAAGTTTTGCAACTTCCAAAATGACATCCTTGAAAGAGATGCCATCAAATAGCTCATTTCGGACATGATGTGTAAGGTGAGACATTGTCGACCAATCTCTCTCTAAACCAAAATATGAGCCTTGTGGAGGGTTACATATCTGGAAAGAACCGATTCTTAACCAAGAAGAAGCCAATCGTGCGACAATTGCACCAGTTTCGACCGTTTCCCTTTCTACTTCCAAATCAGGGAGGCTTATCAAAGAGAGGGCCCGGGTAGTTGGTATACCGAGTACGCTCATATATTCAGAAGCGAGGAATTCACGTACTGATGAACGCAAAACTGCATATCCATCACCGAAGCGACTAAATGGCGTTCGACCGGCACCTTTAAGTTGGAGCTGTACAGGACCATTTGCATCAACTGTATCGAGCACAGTTATTGCTCTACCATCCCCCAATTCACCTGCAAAGAAGCCAAATTGATGCCTGCGGTATGTAAGCGCACGTCATTACTCCAAGAGATAAGAATACCCAGCGTATCTAAGCGCATAAGGATGAAATTGATCATTAACAATAACTTTATTGCCTGATAATAAATCATAATCTATTTCAAAGTTTGGTAAAAGCTGTTTGTGCGCCGCTGTCGACAATTTTATGAGATTGTACCTATGCTTCGTTGTAGAGTGGCCAGAATCATTAAAGGAATAACCAAATGGTAACAACAGCCTCTTAAAACCTTTAAATTGATTATATGGCAGGATTTCTTTCGCTGAAATTCCGGCCATGGGTGTTTTTAGTAGGGAAGTGATAATCCACTGAAATGAAGGGAAGGTGGCTGATAAATGTGATATAATTAGTAATACAAGCTTAACAAAGAATAAAAATATTTTTTTCAACTTCCTCTCCTCTAACTCACACCATCATCATCAATGCCCGACCAATCAGAATTTCAAGTCGTAGAGAATCAAACCAATTTAACTCAAAAGAACGCTAACAACCCATACGCTGGTGTAGACAGCTTCTTGTCAAACGTATCAAACTTCCAAATTATTGAGTCTACACTCAGAGGTGAGTTATGAGTCATTGTCTTCTTCCTTCATCTGATTGGATCTTTAGAGGGTGAACAATTCGCTAACGCTTTCTTCGACACCGAGACCAAGATCAAGATCGCTAAGGCTTTGGATGCTTTCGGTGTCGACTACATTGAGCTCACTTCACCTACCGCTTCTGAGCAATCCAGAAAGGATTGTGAAGCTATCTGCAAACTTGGTCTCAAGTCAAAAATCCTTACTCACATTAGATGTCACATGGACGACGCTCGTGTTGCCGTAGAGACTGGTGTTGATGGTGTCGACGTTGTCATCGGTACCTCATCTTTCCTTAGAGAATTTTCACATGGTAAAGACATGGCCTACATCACCAAATCCGCTATTGAAGTTATAGAATTCGTAAAGTCAAAGGGTATTGAAATTAGATTCTCATCAGAAGACTCATTTAGATCAGATATCGTTGACTTGTTATCAATTTACAGAACCGTTGACAGAATCGGTGTCAACAGAGTCGGTGTTGCTGACACAGTTGGTTGCGCTTCTCCACGTCAAGTTTACGACTTGGTTAGAACCCTTAGAGGTGTCGTTAGCTGCGATATCGAGACTCACTTCCACAACGATACCGGTTGTGCTATCGCTAACGCTTACGCTGCATTGGAAGCTGGTGCTACTCACATTGACACATCTGTTTTGGGTATCGGTGAACGTAATGGTATCACCCCACTTGGTGGTTTGATGGCAAGAATGTACGCTTCTGACCCAGAATACGTCAAGGCTAAATACAACTTACCTGCATTGCGTGAAATCGAAAATTTGGTCGCAAAGGAAGTTGAAGTTAACATTCCATTCAACAACTACATCACTGGTTTCTCAGCATTCACCCACAAGGCTGGTATTCACGCCAAGGCCATTCTTAACAACCCAACAACATACGAAATTCTCAAGCCGGAAGATTTCGGTATGACAAGATATGTTTCAATCGGTCACAGACTGACTGGATGGAATGCCGTCAAATCTCGTGTTGATCAACTCAATTTACCATTGTCAGATGATCAAGTTAAGGATGCAACTCAAAAGATTAAGCAATTGGCTGACGTTAAGTCACAAATGTCTATGGACGATGTCGACAACATCTTGCGTGTATACCACGCATCAATTGAAGCGGGTGAACCTGGTCAATCACCTGAATTCCAAAAGCTGTTAGAGAGAGCACAGTAAGTGAGTTAAAGTTCGGATAAAACGCAATTGCATACACAATCAAAAAATACGATCTCTTTATCTCTTTTCGCTTATTGAAATCTATGTACCTTTGTTCTTCTTATAAATTATATAACTAGTAAAAATAAGAACTGCTATTTATCCAGAAAAGGAATTTTCGGGTAGAAGTCTAGAATATTTGTTTTGATAAATTAGGGTAAAACGGAAAACATCAATGCCGAATGCGATAAGGGTTTTTTTTAATTGTTCTACGGAAGAGAAAAGATGCGTATGTTGATGTTCCGCATGAGACTGAGAAACAGGGTAAATATATTGATAGATGCAATTAAGAGGACTCGAGAATTCTTACGCCCAGCATCACTCAGACGCTTTTTTAGTACGGACTACCAGGCACCTGTGCCTTATAATATCAATAACGGCTCGAGGACGACGTTAGTCAATCTTCGGAATGAAGATAACTCAGATGAAATACTCATTAAAGGACGGATACACGGGAGTTTGTTTCCCTTATATGACGAAAGGTACATACCTAGAAGCATATCGCCGAAGAGAAGACTTACATTCGATGCCAAGTGGTATAATGCAAACTGGAATGCAGGTAAAATGCACAGCGGTTACTCCACAAGGCGGCCTTCGCTGAGCTTCCCTTTGGAATCAGGTACTAGACCCGAGGAAGGGGGTGTAATACTTGACTTACTGCGTGCAGATCCAGCCCAAAGTTGGAATTGACATTTGGAATGGCCCCGACGTGTGCAATAGGTTAAATGAACTAGCCAGTGGCTAACTGTCTTATCAGGTAAAGAATACCACTAGGAATAATAGCGATTAGTCAAATAGCAAAGACATCTCATGATTCAGAGTAAGAGAAAACTGGTGCCAAAATTTCAGACGTTATGTGATGATAATAGAGGCGGATGCATGGTAAAGTAGATAAAGTTTTGGTGTCCCATATCGAGAAGGCGGAAATCTGATCGAATGAGTGATTCAACGCGAAATTAGCCGTGAAATTAACGCGAAATGACCGTGAAAAGTATTACAAAATATAAATTTATTGCACCAACTGAAAATTTATTTTTATAATTTATATAAATTTCAATAATTTCATAAATGGGGTATCGCGGATCTATGTCGTACCTCAAAATTCGTGCCACTACCCTGATTCTGGTGTTGTCTGTTTAAGGGGTAAAGATATAACGTTGGGTAATAAAGTTCTGATTATTCTCATCAAATTTCCCGCTGTTGTCACTGAACTACATCAAAAAAATCATAACTTATAAAAACAAGACATGCGATTACCATTTAGCAAAAAGGATAGCAATGTTATAGAACTCCCTAAACCATTCTCATCACATTGTGAGTTAGTCATAAATAAAAAAAAAAGAACTCCTCCTCATTGCATATAACAGCACGCGAGGATAGCAGCAGTAGCAGCAACGCATCAACATCATTATCACTTACAGCGCAAGCGCCGATAAAAGCTAAAAGGAAACGAGCTAACGCCTATCAACTTGAACGGCTACAGAGTTGCTACGACGCCAACCCATTCCCTTCGAATGACGAAAGGCAAGCACTAGCAACTGAGCTCAATATGTCTCCGAATTCAGTCAGGATCTGGTATCAAAATAAGCGACAAGCTCTACGGAACCACGAGAAAGCCCAGAGTTTATCTCCATAGAATTTTTTAAACGAAAACGCATACGAAAACACTGCTTGTAATATATTCTAATCTTCTTTAATAATATACAGTATTTTGTTCTGAGAATCTAACCAAACGGCGATAGTGATCTTGTTTACTAACTGACCAGATATATGCGTCGAATTCAACCTCCGAATGTGGAGATTTCGTTGCCATTCTACGTACTGCTTCAACAGCAGCGGATCTTATGAGTGCTGCTTGTGAAGAAGAGAGTGAAGGTCCTTGTACGACAGCTCCTAAATCACGCTGCTGCTCCTGTTCAAGACCATCTATGATAGCTTTGTACTCTTCCTCATCATGTTTGAAAGCCCTTTTGGTGGTTTCGTCAAAGTGGCTGCTTGATTCAGGTATCTCTATGATCCCCCAGTGGAGCAACATCGATGGAATGACCTGGATACTGGTAAACAAGAGAACAAAGAGTCCAGATTTACTCACATTATCTGAGAATATAGGAAGTTCAACACTAGGCAATTCAAATGGCACGTCCGATCTTCCGCGCAACTCAATCGATATAGTCTCTACCAGGATAAGTGCCTTCTTGTATAGCTTAATCTGAACATTATCCGCACCAACCTTGACAGTGTGTTCATCTCTGAAGCTTTCGAAACGCGTAACAAGCTGTTTGTGTTTTTGTGAGTAAAGAGATTGTATCTTTATTATCACTCACATCGTTAACAATATTATCAGCCCCGCTTGCCTGACTGAACAAATCAAATAGGTAATCACCAAAAGATGCTTTATTAAGCTGTCTCAAAGTGCGTCCAATGTCATTCAGCGTGCTAGTAACGAGATTGACGAACTCGAAAGCCACATCGTCACGTTCACCAACAACGACGCCAGGTAATGTCGGATGTGGCTTCTCGTTGAATGGCTTAATATCGAGCAACTCAATCGTAAACTCATTGGTGAACCCCTCTAAGCCGTCGACAGTGAGTGTCCCGGAGTCTTTAGAAAGGAATAACCCTAGTACAAATCTCTTGATATTATCGAATGCACCCTTCCCAGTGTATTTGTGTAATGTCTCTCTATATCCGCTAGCGAAATTCAAGGCAGATAGCAAACCAAATACAGAGAGTTCCTCCGAGATATTTGAGAACTTCAGTGGTAACTTATATCCATGATTTGTTGATAACTTCTCGAAAGTTTCGTTGTTTATTCTATTCAGTACGATATCTATAGCATCATCTGATATCTACGCATGTTATTTCGTGTACTTAGGTATTTTTGTACTCACGTTTAGTAGTCCATTATCTACAACATATCTGCCACTCTCTCTAACACTCTGAATCAAACCATTGGATGTCATCATCGTCAACGAATAATGTATTAAAAAAGAATAAAGTTATTTTTCCAATTATATAATCTAAAAAGAGAAAATGAAACAATCCTAGAGAAATATAAAGTGTCCTCATGTCCTATGTTCATGGTTGTTAGGCCCATCGAAATTGTAAGCTGGTGGTACATCAACGAGGGCATCATCATCATTGTCATTGTGAACGACATACGGACCAGCGTCAGTGTGATACCGCGGTTCCTTGCTGATTGTCGATTCTTGCTGCTGATGTCCGGAACGACGCTTAGGGTTGCTGCCTAGAAGAAGTCCACCCGTGCTTGGCGATGCTGGGATAGTAGCGTTACTATAGCTATTACGGTTGACATCCGTCTCAGTAAGACCTTGGGTTTCAGTTGGGAGCTGGTGGTGACTCGAGGTGTAGTGGCTGCCTGGATTCATAACGTAAGGCGTATAACTACCATCAAGACCTTCATCGAATTCACTATTGTATCCATGGTCATTCTTTACCTTCTGAGCGTGTTCATGGTTTTCAGCTGACTTTTTCCTGCGGAAAATAATAAATGCTACTATGGCACCTATGAGTGCTGCAGCACCAAGGATGCTTCCCACAGCAGCACCTGCTTTTTCTCCACCGCTGAGATCACCACTCCCGCTTCCGCCTGTATTAGTTGGTGCAGCACGGTCTGTCGGACTTGGCTCGAGATCCTTAACGCAACTTGTATCATCACCTTTTCCTAAGGTCGTGATCTGCGAGCTTCCGCCGGAGCTGTATTGTACACCGCCCTCTTCACTAGTTGCGAAAATGATGACCTGTGAACCAACAGGTTGGGTAAACTTGTAATCGACGATTGCAGAATTGTCAGTCACGCGCTCTATATGTTCTGGTTTGGAATTTGGACTGATCGCATAATAATCGAATGCACTGTCGGTTGTCTTGTTTATCGGATGAAGAGAAATAGTCTGACAGCTGTCCCAGTTCTTTTCAGGTTCTGCGTAAAAGCTGAACGCGAGATTACCAGAATAACCACCTGTATCAGTTAGAAAATAACAAAGGATAAGTATATAAAACACACAGTAGTAAGGTGCATCTCCTAGTTCAGTTACGAGAATATCACTTGTACCACCAGCGCCGAAGCCTGTACCGTCGCTCATTGTCACTGTAAAGTTCACGCCCTCTGCCATTGGCCACCTGTCGAACTTGTAAGTGCCCGACACATCGTCACCTATATCTTGGGCCACAAGAACGCGATCGGGTTTACTTTCGTCTGGGGGGTTGCCATTAGGAATGGCTACAAAACTAACAGAGCCTTGCTTTGCACCACTCCAGTTTAGTTCGAATGTATCGCACTGTTTTTTTGAGGTGACATTGAAACTGAAAGATGAGGAATAGGATAGTAAGGATAGTAGTGTTATGATTACTATAAAATTCATAACTGGTATGCTAGTTAGGGTATCGTGCTTCTATGGATCTGTTTGGATGATGATAGTGTTGGTGTAAGTTGCATGATGCTGTTTGAGATTTGTTTCACCTTTCTCTATATAAGAGTTGGTGTGTGTAAGTGTATTATATAGTTTTAATAGGCGTTAAAAACTGTTCTTCGCTTTTGGGGACAGTCTCGGGATCAATTCCTGAGTTTGGTAGATTGACAGTGAGGTCTACAGGATGATAGAGTATGTTTCTAAGTGCATACATCTAAAGTAAAACTAAGTGGAATATTTACTTTCTCAATATAGTGTCATACAACGTCAGCCAATTAGAAGACAGGAAATAGGAATTAGGATATAAATCTATAAAAGAGTAAAAAAACAAGAATAAAATATGAGTTTACTTTATAAGAATTCGAATTGACCAATTAATATTCCTCCTTAGTAATTTTTGAAGCCTTCTCTATTCAGTTGATCTTGTACAGCGAGGTGCAATAGAAAAAAACTAAAAATGTTCAGCATCTTTAACAGAGCGGCATCTGCCCAAATGAAGGCATTCGTGGGTTCATTATAGAACGTTCATAGAGTCATTTTAACAGCTCTATCAGTCCCGCAAAGCGTCTACTCAAGCCGGCAGCGCTAGTAATATCGTAAGAATATATAATTTATACAATATAGACCACTCTCTAATATCAGTTTTAGTCAAATAAGGGCGCCGCTATCGCTGCCTCCATTTCTGGTTTAAGCGCCGCATTGTATAGCTACCAATTTGGCGTTTTCGACGAGGCTTTTGCATCTGGTTTGGAAGAAGGTCTCCACGCTCCTCACTTCCCTTGGTCCCACAATGGCTACTTAGACAGTTTTGATCACAACTCCATCAGAAGAGGTTACCAAGTTTACAGGGAAGTTTGCTCATCCTGTCACAGTTTAGATAGAATCGCTTGGAGAAACTTGGTCGCAGTCTCACACACTTCAGATGAAGCAAGAGCAATGGCTGAGGAAGTCGAATACACAGATGGTCCAAACGACCAAGGAGAGTCATTCCAAAGACCAGGTAAATTGGCGGACTACATGCCAGCTCCATATCCAAATGAAGAAGCTTCAAGAGCTGCAAACGGTGGTGCTTTACCACCAGACCTTTCCTTAATGGTTAAAGCAAGACACGGTGGTGCTGACTACATCATGGCTTTGTTAACAGGATACCAAGATCCACCTGCTGGTATTTCAGTAGCTGAAGGTATGAACTTCAACCCATACTTCCCAGGTGGTCAAATCGCTATGGGTAGAGTTTTGTTTGATGGTTTGGTTGAATATGATGACGGTACACCAGCAACTACCACACAAATGGCAAAGGATGTTTCCACTTTCTTAAGCTGGGCTTCCGAACCGGAACACGATGACAGAAAGAAGATGGGTATGCAAGCAGTCATCGTCTTATCAGCAATGACAGCTATTTCACTCTATGTTAAGAGATTGAAATGGTCACCAATCAAGACCAGAAAATTGGTCTACAACCCACCAAAGTAGAGTGATAAAAAAACGTATATATGAAATTTTTCTCATTGTCTTTCATCGAAATTTATATTAATTTGATAATCTATATAAAACAATTTACTCATTAGCAAATTCTAACAATAAGTTTTTGTCCTTGAGTAGCTGTGACAATTCGCCACTCTGGTGCACTTTGAGGCATTAGAAAGGGCAAAAAAAAGAAGAAATGAAACTCACTAGACAAAAGGATATCACAGCCACCAACAAATTCACCGTTTACATATACTTGAGGTATGGTTGGCCAATCTGAGTACTCCTTTATACCATTACGTAATTCATCATCTTCAAGGCAATCATAGGCTCTTATCTTCTCTGGATCAGCGCCTTGTACGTCTAAAATTTGCACAACAGCTCTAGAGAAACCACAGAGAGGTGCAGATGGCTTTCCTTTCATGAATAAAACGATAGGGTGCGCATTTACGGCTTGGTCGATAAGTTTACGGGATTCAGTGGATAATTGACGGAAGTTGTTTAGTCTTGTGAGTGTGCTAGGTGTGTATACAGGTTGAAGCAATTTAGCTGCTCTAGTTGATGCGCTGTTTCTCAATAAGTTAAACATCATGACGGTAGATAAAGAACAATGTATTTTAGATAAAATTCACATAAAATCATCTTCCATATCGCTTCCTTCTGGTCCAGGCTGGTTGTAGTCCTCCTCTGTCCACATATTCGTGTAACTTCTCGCTTCTTTATCCCTCTTGTGCTGTTCCTTTGCTTCCTGCTCTGCTTGTTTCTAGAAGTTGTCAATAATGTTATAGAGACCTGCTACATCAACTAACCCTCGAGATAGCGATCTTCTTCTTCTGCTGACCGAGTTCTCTTTGTTTGTCTATTGATTGTTGTACGAAATCGACCTGTTTTTCCACTTTTGTTTTATTGAGTCTGTTTACTATTGCATTGTCTTTGGCTGGTATGTGGACCCTTCTAACGAGCCTATCATTGTGGAAGCAAACTGTACCAGTGTCAAGGTCACCTGTCTTCTTGAGATTAGTTACTGGAGTGTAGATGATGATAACATTATCCAATTTATTAGCGTGTATACTATTCGCTTTCGTCAATTGACCAATATCCGATAACAATGGCTGTGGTAGACTATCCCAGACAGAGTTTTCAGGTAATTTCAAGTATAAATGAGCAGAAGAGTATTTGTCTACGTGAAACCAAATATCAGTTTCATCAGCGTACTTGATTAACTCCTCATTCTCAAACTTGTCTTTTCCCATATAAATAGACCCAGCTGGGTTGATAACTGTAAATAATATTAGTTAACAATTACCTATTAAACTATATTATAAACCATTCGATTGAAAATATAAAACCATCCGAGTTGTTTCTTTCAACGCTACTATTAAGACTATGGCACTCGCTTCATACGTATTAGGATTTTCTTCACTTGGTTTAGCTACTAGATGTTGGCAATTGGCTATAGAGAGAAGAAATATTTTTGATAGTGCGTCCTTCTATTACTTTTCTAATCAGTCTGACGATTGTAGACTTCTGGGGACATTTGATAGCTGCAGGTGCATTTGGAACAGCAGGCTTCTATTTACACGGTGTATCAGAAAGACAACAATCTGTAGGTTAATTATACCCCACTAGACTCATATTTACGCACCCTCATAGGCACTTTCAGAGAGAAAGCAAACACTCATAGATAATAGAGAGAAGCTGCAACAATAATTGTATATTCCTTATAAATTTTACTTTTTTGATACTTTTTTATGCTTACAACCAGGTTCTTCCTTAGAATGTCAACCAACAATCTGAAAAGAGAAGCCAGCAATCAAGCTGCGAAACCTAACAATAAAAGAGCAAAGAATTCACGTCAGAGATCTGATAAGCGTGCGACTAAACAACCTGGACAACCATTAGACGATCGTAGAGAATGGACGAGAGAATGGGCTGGTTTACCAAAATCTAGCGATATCACTCAATCTGGTCCTAAGTTGCCAAAGAGGAAATGCGCTGTCATTATTGGGTTTTGCGGTACAGGATACAATGGTATGCAAATTCAACCACATGGAAATGTGAAAACAATAGAAGGTGATATATTCGTGGCTATGATAAAAGCAGGTGTTATCAGTCCAGATAATTCAACAGACCCTGGTAAAGTACGTACAAATCATTCATCTGAGAAGACAACTTATGTTTTTGCCAGGTAAATCTTCAAAGGGCAGCAAGAACAGATGCAAGCGTACACGCAGCTTTTAACGTCATATCACTCAAAATGATCGTCGATTTGCCAGACACACCTGACATTGTCGAGAAGATAAATGAGCACTTACCTAACCACATAAGAATCTGGGGATTTGTGCGCACACAGAACTCATTTGACGCCCGTACAAGTTGTGATAGTCGCTCATACGAGTATTTATTGCCTTCTTACGTCTTTATTCCACCCTCACCATGGTCAAATCTCGGCAAGAGGCTTAAATCGAGCCATCCATTCTGGGAAGGTGTCGATGAGACAGAGGATATAGCGTCAATGATGACACGTAAAAGGGCCTACCGTATTGATAGCGATACACTTGATAGGGCACGCGAAACACTCGCACAGTTTGAAGGCAGTCACAACTTTTGGTCTTACACTATAGGGAAAGGATTCAGAGATAGAAGTTCACAGAGGTTTATGAAAAAACTCACAATACAAGACCCCTTCCTAGTCGAAGGTAATGAGTGGATTAGCGTCAGATTCTACGGTCAGAGTTTCATGTTGCATCAAATTCGTAAGATGATTTTCATGTTAGTAAACGTCGTTAGAACGGGCACACCAGCATCACTCATTCCTACAACCTACACCGATTTACCAATAGTTGTACCAAAAGCACCAGGATTAGGACTCTTGCTTGAAAAGCCCCACTTTAACGTCTACAACAGCCGCGTTAAAGAAAACAATGAGCATATTGACCAAAACGCCGGCGAGAGAATTAACAAGGCAGTCGAAAAAGTACACAAGCAGAAGGGCAAGGATGCTGAAGCGGGTAAAACTGATGTTGAGTATCCGTCTGACGAGCAAATCAAGAGTGAGACAACAAAGCAAATAAATGGAGATAGGAGAGAACTCATAGATTTCGTACCATATGAAGAGAAAGTAGAAGCATTCAAGCATGAATACATCTACAAACGTCTAAGGAAGGAAGAAGTACTTGGTAATGTCTACAGTCGTTGGGTAGGTATGATAGACAGTCACGAGGGTCAGCAACTCGACTATCTCAATCCGGAAGGTGTGATCACAGAATCAGCTATCAAGGCAGGCAAGAAGGGTGTAAAAGGGGGCCAGAATGCACAACTTGATGGTGCGGATAACAGTGGTGTGAAAGCGACACTCGAATCAGACGATGAGGATAATTATGATAAGAAAGCACTCAAGAGTGGTGAACTTGAAGGATGAGAATTTTTTTGTTAGTTTTTGTAAATATTTCCTAATTCATAACAAACTTATCAAATACGTTGAATATATAGAAATGGATTATATAGCACCAGTTTTAAAGGCTTATATACGTCGATTACCACGTCAAATTGCTGGTATATGGGATAAAGAATTATTGCCGCGATTGTATGCTGTTATCGAGGACGGATATACGGTGATTAGCAACAAGCCAAGTTGGGAGACAGTATTACCTTTAGTAATATCTTTACTTTTGATATACGCCACAATACTAAGTTTATACAATACCGCGAAATTCGTTATACGTACCGTGATATTCGTACTCAAGTGGTCATTTATTATTGCATTAGTTTTGTTGTTATTCCAAGCGTCTAGCAAGTATACAGGGAGGGATATGAGTACAATAATACAATCTAATTCACCAAATCTATTGAATTACCTCACAAACAGCAATACAGCTGGCAGTCGAAAGAAGACAAAAACGAGCTACGACTATAAACCAAGAAATAAGCTACAAAAGAGCAAAACTAAGGATGATATGAATGAGTTAATAAATAATATTATAAAATCTGTAATATCTTGATGTATACTGCTTTATTCTAAACTACCATGATTGTTGGAGGCGTTGAAATGGATAACAGTGTCGTATACGCACTTGCTGCTATCGGTTTAGCAGTTGGATTGTACGCCTCTACTCAGGCTAAACCACAATCGACAGCTAAGCGGGTGGAAAGTCACAACCAAGAGAAATCATCAAAGAAGGCATCAGCCGCTAGTGGAAAGAAGAACAAGAAGAAATCTACCACTAATAAGCCAAACGCCGGTGTTCCCCACGTTTCCGACAAAGTTGAGCAACCAGCGAAGAAGGCTGCAGAGAAGGTCGAGAAAGTAGTAGAAAAGCCAGCACAGAAAGCAGAAACACAGAAGAAAGCAACAAAATCAGAGAAACCAGCGAAATCGACGAAGACACAATCTCAACAACCAGCTCATCAACCAACTAAGCAACCAGCTAAGCAAGCTCAACCAGCTGCCAAACTTAACGTCACAGAGTTCAACGACTTGGATGCAGGTGAATGGACAGCCGTCAGCTCAAAGAAGAAATCGACGACGCCATCGACTGAAAAACCATCTTTCATTGAAGAGAAGCCAGCAGAAAACACCCAAGAACTCGTAGAAGATGCTTGGGATCATGCACCAAAGGTTGACAGCCAGACGGTGCTTAATCCATCATCTGATATTTACAAGGACGGCGACTGGACCTGGTCTGAAAACACCCCAGCTACAACTAACACCCGCATGAATGCACCTGTCGCAGAGAACAGTCTTCTCAAGACAACTAATTCTTCAGTTGATGATATGCTCGACAAGGAGCTCGATACCCCAGAAAACAAGGCGCGCGTTATGCGTATCACAAAAGAAACCAAGCAATCTGCAAAACCTGATGACGGTTGGACAATGGCCGGCTCAAAGAAGGCAGCTGTGAAGGGTGAGTGAGAGATTTATGCGTGATTTCCTTTTTCTGACAAAGTCTTAAGATGAGACTCCACAGCAGGTCGCACAACAAGTTGAACAAGAGCAAACAAAGAAGCAACGTCAGAATGCAAAGAAGCAACAAGCGAAGAATGACTCAAAGACCCAAAACGAGAATGAGAGGCAAGAGAGATTGCGTCAGCATAGACAAACTAATGGTGCAGGAGCGAAACCATCAGGCAGAAACCCATGGGAGGTATTAGCAAGTAAGGGTGACTCTGACCTCATCTGGGATTAAATGCATAATGCCAGAAATCTAGAAAACAAAGACAACACCAAATACAAAATCCAAGACAATCATTTCTAATAAAACGCTTGTAAAAGCACTAACTATAATTTCTTTATTCTAAATTCATAGCGTAAATTGAAGGCTCATCGAGGTTTTTATGCTGATAACCTAATACTTGAACAGCGCCAGCTTCGACGACGAGTTTTGGACCGAGTGTTTGTAATTCGAAACCGAGGAAACGGGGTATGAAAACTCTGCTAAAATGACCATGTGATACTAGGACAACATCACCAGAACCTTGTGTCTCAACACCGTTCTTCCTATCTTCAAGATGTTTTCTGTGAACCTCCCTAATCTCCTTGACGAGGTTATCAGCTCTGGCTGTTAACTCCTCTGGAGATTCACCGTTTGGACAACCATCAGTCCATATCCAGAAATTTGGATTGAGTGCCTTAATTTCAGCTGGCTGAGTGTATATTATTAGGTTATTATTGAATTATTAGCTAATATACTCACCTTGAGACCTTCATAGTCACCGTATGTCCATTCGCGAGCGTCGTTTGTTTCTACTACTTCGCCAGTAACTTTATGTTCACCAAATAAGAGCTCATAGGTAGATTTTGCACGTTGACGTGGTGATAAGAATACTTTAGATATTTGGCTTGGGTCAATGAGTTCTATGATGTGTATATTAGCTTGGTCATAGACTGAGAAACATCTCACATACTTCCTTCACCAACAACACGTGGTCCAAGTTCTTTGACTATTTGTGCACCACGCTCTGTCAATGGTATATCACTCGTACCAGTGTGACGTCCATTCTGGGACCATTCAGTTTGTCCTTTCTCGTTACTGAGTGTGTAGTCTTATCGGTAAATGAGTACTTACCATGTCTAATTAGGAATACACGTGGAAATGGCTTTTCTGTCATATCGCAATGATGGTGGTCGAACAAAGCTAATTACAAAAATGATAAGGTTGTTTAACAAAAATAAAAACACATTTATTCTAAGCTAAACTACTCCTGCTGCCTACAACTGTACCCTCGTTACCACCCTTATAATCACTTGGACGACCAGAGGTAAATGAGTGATAAAATTTATCTAAACGACGCAATTCGTCTTGGGACACCGATGGAGGCGTATTTTTAAGCGATTTGTGTATATTCTCAGCAGTAATCCTTGCTCGTGAGGTATTCTCTTGTCGCTTCTCTCCCTTTGAAGTCTCTTTCGCATGCTTCTTCGTCGAGCTAAATAGCTTCTCGACGCGCCGGCCAAGTTCAGCTTCTTCTGATCGCGTCATTGGACTCTTGCTAGATATTGACCATTCGCGAGGAGGCGTTTGGCTTTCTTCTTCGGAACTCACTGTCTTTTCGTCAGTCGCAATCGCGGCATGCACACTCTCCAGATGGGCATTATAAATCAATGCTTGTAAATCTGCACCAGTGTAATCGACACACTTTGACGCGATCTCTTGAAGATCGACATCCGAATCAACATCCATATCTTTTGTTAATGTTTTCAGGATCTAGGTCATTTTGAGCATCAATACATATTTGAAACATAGAAACACTTACATCCAACCTATCGATCGTGTCGGGCATATCGCAGAGCAAGGATTTGTCTAATCTTCCCGGACGGAGTAAAGCAGGGTCTATAAGGTCTGGTCGACTGCTTTATCTCAGCTTGGAGTAATCGTTGTGTGAACTTTACATACCTTGTTGCAGCAAGTACATAAACTCCATCAAGACCCTCAGCACCATCCATCTGTGTGAGGAACTGATTGACAACACGATCAGTCACACCTGTCGAATCATGTCCTCTATATGTATGGTTAGAATATCCACTTGATGCATTTATATAACATACCTCCTTGGCGCAATTGACTCGAACTCGTCAAAAAATAATACACATGGTTTAGCAGCCTGAGCACGCTCAAAGTAGTGTCTAGTTGTGGCTTCCGATTGGCCGATATATTTGTTCAGCAATTCAGGTCCTTTGACAGAGATGAAGTTGAGATTACACTCCTTGGCTACCGCGCTAGCAATTAGCGTTTTACCACATCCCGGAAAGCCATAGAGTAGCAAACCGGAACGCAAGCGTAATGGACAATTCTTAAATATAGCGGCATATTTAGTTGGCCATTCTAGTGTTTCTCTGATAACGCCTTTCACATAGCGCATACCGCCTATGTCTTTCCATCCTACCGAGCTACTTTGCAAGCTAACATTCCGGAGTGTATGCGGTCTGTATCCCTCGAGACTCCGCTCGAGATGGGATGTACGCATTGTTAGTATCTCTTCAGAATGCTTGTGCGCTAGTGATGCATGGTGAAGTGCCCTTTCGACGATACTAACAAGATCTGTAGGTAGGTATCCCTCTGTCTCGCTTGCTACTAATGCAGTGTTCACATCTGACGAATCAACCGACGTGTAGCTTTCCAATATCATCTCGAGGATCTCTTTTCGAATGTGTTTATTTGGCGAGCCTACTTTAACTTCACGTCCAAATACATGAGATGCGCCTATTGAGGCATGCAGACTGTTACTGGCTACTCCAACCAGTACAACACCCTGCGGAAGATTGCAGCTTCCCGGGCTAAATAATCTGACGAATATCTCGGAGAGTGTACGGGCTCTGCTCGACTGATTACTGTTTTGTTCATCTTCTGTAGCTAATAGGATGTCCAAATTGTCTAAAATAATCAGTGATGGCGCTTTCAAGTTTGCCTCTTCTATCAAAAGACACAATTTATCACTTATAGTGGATACTTTCTCTTGAGACCACCCGCTTACATCTTCGTAGACACTGTTTGCTAATATTCTGCTATCTTGACCCAAATGATGAGCGAGCGATTTCACTAGACTTGTTTTACCTGAGCTGAAACCACCACTGATTAGCAACCCTAACGACCTATCGGTTGGCCTACTCGTACTCAATTTCGACAAGGACATTCCCAAAGAACTTATCAAAAATTCGCTTGCATTTTGCAACAAATCTCCTTGACCTGGTAAGATTTTATCATCTGATGTGTTGAACAATGGTTTGAGGATATCATATTCATGGTATTGAACTTGCGACTGGGATATCTGGATAGATAACAGCTCGTATTCTTTCCATTGGAGTCGCTGGTGAGAACCTAAAGGTATGGCTATATGTCCATCAAGAATGTCATCATCGGGGACGACGCTTAAGACAAGAGATTGGTCTGTCTCATCGTATGGTTTACTTGTAGCATTTTTGAGTGAGTTGCTCATACCGCCCAGTGATAGACCATTATCATCGGCCTTCCCTTTCTCCTTTATCTCATTATGGCGCGTAATGGGCGACTTTATACGCGTGAGTTGGAACGTTGTCTTACGGCCAATGCCAATTTTCTGGAGAAACGAAGATGAAACATAACAAACTCCAGCTTCCGTACTTGGAATAACTCTCGCAGGGAGCAATCGAACGAGTTGCTGGACAGAACTGTCGTCCTGCTCTAATGGAGTCTGTGTCGGCCGGACCGTCGACTGTGAGCTACTAGGAGGTCTACGCAGCTTTGGTGCAAAAGCGACTTCTGTATCTCTATCTAAACGCACTGCCGGTGTGCCATTGTAGGATGACGACGTCACCGGATCTGTAGCCTCTACCCTAAAAGTCAAAAAAGAGGAGGAAGGAAGGTAAACGACCATTGGCTGAGTTGTTGATGTCATTCTGACTTGCGATAGGAGGTTCTCCTCGACATATTCGGCGTGCGCCTCCAGCAATTCCCAATCATCGGCTGTATCTGGAACTACGCTTACTGTTTTAGCGGTCGGAAGGGAAGAATGGAGAGATATTGTGACCTATTGATTCTAAGACAGATATATTAAACATATTTCTACGCACATTTGAGCCTTCGTTTAAACCGTATGCATTTGCTACTAAAGGATCTATCTCCAGGTAATCTTCTATAGCAAGTGTAGCTATAGCTGATGCCATACCTGTCCAACCTAAGTAGAATTCTTTATCGGCATATCTAACAATGACAGCGAGTGATTGTGGTCGCTGAGGTCATTTCAGTTTGAGTAGATAAATAATAAAGATACTGACGATCCCCTTTGTGACTAATTGCGAGTAGATTGAAGATGGTAGGTTAACCAAGCTGCTATTTAGCTGCTTGTATTTTATCTCTGGCATATCTCTCCGATCAAGATGGAAGTTAGAGTTAAAGGGAAAATACAGCGATATAGACATCACATGATAGAGATCTATAAAGTGCTTCTGTCACATCTTGTGTATACATCATAGCCGTTATATCGAGATATGAAGTATACCGCGGAAACCTTCGGAATAGTTTAATTTAGTATTGAAGATACTATTATAGTCACTAGAATTACAAATATCTACTCAGTATTGCTTTATCGTATTGTGAATAAAGAAGGAGAGATGTTCACGTAGAAACACTCTGGTGTATATGTAAAAGCTATATTAATAATATATCTCTTATCGGAAGTTATTAAAATCAGGCCATCTCTGCGCACAAACAAAGACCACCCCCAACGGCAGGAGAAGCGGCAGGAAAATAACAAGAAACAGAGATTGTAAGAAGCAAAAGGGAATATATTCCTTTAACATTTGTCATCTCCCTTCATCTCTCTCTTATTGCTATTTTTGATGATTTTTCTTTTCGTATTGGGGAAGATTCAGTGACTAGAGAAAAGGCCACCACTGGGGTTGTTTCTTTACCATCTAGAGCTAATAAAACAAAAGTAAGTAGCACACCATTGGCATGTAAGTTTTATTAACAGCACCAGCTAATGTGAGAATTATCTTTTCAACTATTCACCAAGTACTAAACAGTAATCAGACCAAAATGTCCTCTGCTTCTATTTCTGAATAGTAAGTTTGCTTTCATGGTGATAGTGGTCGTTTTAAAGAAAGAATCAATCGAATATATGCTCTCGCCAGCTTTCGGCGGTTCTTTTTCGAAGCCCCCACTATCATTTCCCGAGGATTTACTAACAAAGTTTAGCGACGGCAAAAGAATCGTCAGCTACTGGCTTCCAAGATCGCCATCTGTATCTGAGGACATCAAACCATCAAAGGACTTTGTCTTCCCAGACGCAAATGTTGCACAAATAAAATGGGACTCCGCAAGCAACACTATCACACCTGACAGCCAATTGCCTGGATGGGTTTTCACTGAAAAGCTCGTCGTCAAACCAGACCAGCTTATCAAGCGTAGAGGAAAGGCTGGTTTGCTTGGTATTAACAAGACATGGTCAGAAGGTGGTAAGCAATGGATTGTAGAGAGAGCTGGTAAGCAACAACAAGTAGGTATTTAGCTATACATCCAGTACGTTTCTCATTTTATATAGGTACAAAGCGTTACCGGTACACTCAACAACTTCATCGCTGAACCATTCGTCCCTCACCCACAAAAGGACGAATACTACGTTTGTATCCACTCAACCCGTGAAGGTGACAACATTCTCTTCACCAACGAAGGTGGTGTTGACGTCGGTGATGTTGACGCAAAGGCACAAAAGATTACTATCGCACCAGTTGACGGTAAATTCCCAACTAGAGAAGAACTCAAGAGCGGTCTCGTTAAGGACGTTGAAGCATCCAAGCAAGATGTTCTCATTGAATTCTTAGAGCGTCTCTACGCTGTCTACGTTGACCTTCACTTCGCTTACCTTGAAATCAACCCACTCGTTTGTCTCGATGCTACCCCAACCTCCCCACCAACCATGCACTTCCTCGATTTGGCAGCAAAGATCGATCAAACAGCTGATTACATTTGTGGTCCAAAGTGGTCTATCGCTCGTGACGACACTCCACCAAGCCAAGCTGTCTCATCAGACCGTGGTCCACCAATGGTTTGGCCAGCTCCATTCGGTCGTGACTCAACCAAGGAAGAGGCTTACATCAAGAAGCTCGATGGTTCAACTGGTGCTTCATTGAAGCTCACCGTCTTGAAGCCAGAAGGTCGTATTTGGACTATGGTTGCTGGTGGTGGTGCATCCGTCGTTTACTCTGACGCTATTGCCGCTGCTGGTTTCGCTCACGAACTTGCAAACTATGGTGAATACTCCGGTGCACCAACCCAAGGTCAAACTTACGAATACGCAAAGACTATCATTGACCTCATCACCCGCGGTGAACCACACCCAGAAGGTAAATTACTCATCATTGGTGGTGGTATTGCCAACTTCACAAACGTTGCCGCAACCTTCAAGGGTATCATCCAAGCACTCAAGGAATTCCAACAACCACTCCAAAAGCACAACGTCAAGATCTACGTCCGTCGTGCTGGTCCAAACTACCAAGAAGGTCTTAAGGCTATGCGTTTACTTGGTGAATCCCTTGGTGTTGACATCAACGTCTATGGTCCAGAAACTCACATCACTGCTATTGTTCCACTCGCCCTTGGTTTGACTAAGACCACTGCTCAAATTCAACCAACCACCGCAACCGCAGCTTCAATTAAGGCTAAGGGTGCTTCAAGTGAACCAGCAAACGCCGTCAACGCTGCTCCATCAGTCGGTTCAGTTGACGTTGCCTCCGGAGAGCGCACTCAACCAAAGGATGCTATCGTTACCTTCGACACCAGCAAGGAAGTTGGTAAGAGACCAGACTTCAGACCATTCGACGAAAACACCAGATGTCTCGTTTTCGGTCTCCAACCAAGAGCTATCCAAGGTATGCTTGACTTCGACTACTCATGTGGTCGTAAGACTCCATCTGTCGCTGCTATGATCTACCCATTCGGTGGTCACCACATTCAAAAGTTCTACTGGGGTACTAAGGAAACTTTGCTTCCTGTCTACACTTCAGTTGAGGAGGCTATCGCTAAGCACCCAGACGCTGACTGTGTTGTTAACTTTGCTTCATCACGTTCAGTTTTCGACTCAGTTATGGAAATCCTTGACTTCCCACAAATCAAGTCAATTGCCATCATTGCTGAGGGTGTTCCAGAACGTTTCGCAAGAGAAATCCTCGTCAAGGCTGAGAAGAAGGGTACACTCATCATCGGTCCTGCAACCGTTGGTGGTATCAAGCCAGGTTGTTTCCGTATTGGTAACTCTGGTGGTATGATGGACAACATCCTCTCATCAAAGCTTTACAGATCTGGTTCAGTTGGTTACGTCTCAAAGTCAGGTGGTATGTCAAACGAATTGAACAACATCCTTTCAATCGTTACCGATGGTACTTACGAAGGTATCGCTATTGGTGGTGACCGTTACCCAGGTTCTACCTTCATTGACCACTTGTTGCGTTACGAGGCTGATCCAAACTGCAAGTTACTCATGTTGCTCGGTGAAGTTGGTGGTGTTGAAGAATACCGCGTCATTGATGCAGTCAAGAAGGGTATCATCAAGAAGCCAATCGTTGCATGGTCAATTGGTACATGTGCTAAGATGTTCAGCACTGAAGTTCAATTCGGTCACGCTGGTTCCATGGCTAACTCAGACTCTGAAACCGCTGATGCCAAGAACACTGCTATGAGAAACGCTGGCTTCATTGTTCCAGAAACATTCGAAGAACTCCCAGATGTTCTCCGTGCTGCTTACGAAGATCTCGTTGCTAAGGGTCAAATCACTCCAAAGTCTGAGCCACAACCACCAACCATCCCAATGGACTACAAGTGGGCACAAGTGAGTAAAAAAGATACTTTTTATGATCTTTACTAACTAAAGCACCTAGGAACTCGGTATGATCCGTAAACCAGCTGCTTTCATTTCTACCATCTCAGATGAACGTGGTCAAGAACTTCTTTACAACGGTATGAAGATCAGTGATGTCTTCAAGGAAGAAATTGGTATTGGTGGTGTTATGTCTCTCCTCTGGTTCAAGAGACGTTTACCAGATTACGCATGCAAATTCCTTGAAATTGCTCTTCAATTAACCGCTGATCACGGTCCAGCTGTATCTGGTGCAATGAACACCATCGTTACCGCACGTGCAGGAAAGGACTTAATCTCCGCACTCTGTTCAGGTCTTTTGACAATTGGTGACAGATTCGGTGGTGCGCTCGATGGTGCTGCTACTGAATTCACCCGTGGTGTTGAATCAGGTCTCTCACCAAGAGAATTCGTTGACTCAATGAGAAAGGCCAACAGATTGATTCCAGGTATTGGTCACAAGATCAAGTCAAAGACTAACCCAGATTTACGTGTCGAATTGGTTAAGGACTTCGTTATCAAGAACTTCCCATCACACGCAACTATGGACTACGCACTTGGTGTTGAAAACGTCACATCATCAAAGAAGGATTCATTGATTCTTAACGTTGATGGTTGTATCGCAGCTGCATTCTGTGATTTACTCAAGTGCTCAGGTGCATTCAATGAAGAAGAAGCAAGAGACTACATGAAGATTGGTACATTGAACGGTTTATTCGTTTTGGGTAGAACAATCGGTTTCATCGGTCACTTCTTGGATCAAAAGAGACTCAGACAACCACTCTACAGACACCCTGCTGATGACATCTTCATTGATCTCAACCGCGTTGAAGTCGCACCAAAGAACTAATTTCATTATATATCTTAATCTCCTTTTTATGTCTTCTTTCACGGTGTTTTAAAATATATTTCACTTTGCATCAATTATTATAATTTAAAATATGTGTGTATTACAGCTGCTAACAATAGAATTACAAAAGAGTTGCTAAAGAGTGAGTGAATCATGAAGATCTTTACTTTGATATTGTCGTTTGATTTGAAGTTGCGTGTGACTAGGTTGATTAAAGAAAGCTTATTTGCTGCTATTGGTATGTTTCCAAAGGAGGTGAAGACCATCGACGACAACATCTTTCCAAACACAGTTTGAACAGATGTTATCATCAAGTTTTTTAACCATTCCATTGGATAAAATGCGTGCATTCTCACCACTTTTTGGTAAAACTTGCACTACAGCTCCGAGTAAGCTATCTACAGTTTCATACTTCTTAAGAAGTGTAGCTGCGTTATGATTTGATAAGATCCAATTGAGTGAATTTGGAGGTAGTTTAGGTGCTAAATAGCGTTGTTAGTTTCATGTCTTAGGAATAAATTTCGAACGTTTCTTACATTCTAAGGGTGTAATCTTGAAATTACGACTACATCCATTTGGATTTATTGAATCGCAACTGTGTGAGCCACAACAACTACAGTTATTAAGATTTGGTATTTTTGATGGTATAAATCTGTGGCAACCTGTACATTCTTCATGATTTCTTATACCAATTTCTCTAAATTTATCTCCTCTTATTAGATTTGTATGCCAGTTTTCAACATTTTTCTTTGTCTTTTTAGTGATTATTGAGAAGGGTGTAGGACAGACGAATCCAGTTGTGTTGTTTGGATTACAGCTTATACATGCGCTATTATTTGTTAAAAACCTTATTAATAGACTATAAATTGACCTACTAATCTAATTCAAGCATGTCATTGGCGAGTGTTCCCATATCATGCGATTTATCAAACGGTTGTATCTCTGGTGAAGATTGATATACCGAAGATGTATCACTAACGAGTTCTGGCACTTCCATAACTGTTTCTCTTTAATTAATTATCGACGTATAGGGTCAAAGGTGTTATTATAGTTAACAGAGCCAAGATTTTCTTATCAGCCGGCCAAATTGGCAAATAGCTCACAAATTATGAAGAAAACTCCAAAGTTCTTAAAGCGGCCATCTCCAATCAAATCGCGTCCGAATTTCTATCAATGACTCACATTCCCATTCCAAAGCCGTACCTCAGAAAGTTTCCGCGATAAGATACAAAAACTTCAAGTAAAATTAATCAAATTTGTAAAAATATTATTATGTTTACTATCTTTTGATCCGATCTTGATCAATTTCTCTATTTCTGACTTTCTTTCTTGTAATACCCCCAATGATGGACTCTTACCGCGGATCGCGTCCCTTATAGCGATCAACTTCAATTGATTGTATACTTCCTTCTTCGGCGTTTTCAATAATTGGATAATAGGAGGTTCCTTTCGATCAACAACTACACCTGTGGCTTGTACGATCGATATTATGACATCTAATTGTAGATCCGCATATTTCAATGGAAATGCCTGTCAGCTGAATGTCAGTGATCTTTATTTGAATATTTGAAGAACAACTACCCACGTTCATTACGTCACAAACCATTCTGACTTCTTTTTCTGAAAGTACACTTCCGAAGTGGGACGTCAAAGCTGAGACGCTTACTATTTTCGATACGACGAGTTTCAATAACTAGGACTTGAGTCAGAACAAACTTCGGTAATTAAGATGACAATCATACTAGATTTAATAAGCGTGACGATATTGATCGCCGTTGGAGCGATTCCGACGCGATCTTTGAATCAAATAGGCTGTTAGAATCTTGACGGACTTTGAATCCGACGCTTGTTGAGCAACTCAGGGGAGATAGCTCTGTCGGAGTCTCAAATCCCGCGATGATCGCGTCGACAGCTTCACTTATGTCATGCTTGCAATCCCGCAGGTTATCCAGAAGGTGATATGGCTTTCCATTTAGTCTATCCTGTGTTTCCCATAGTGTGACTAGAAAATCGAAGAATCCCCATGCGTTTTCATCTACTACAACATCATCACCCTCACGTTCGCCTTGCAATCTAAGTGTCTGCCAGATCGACTGACAATCGTCAATTTCAGCCGCACCTTTAGCTAACTTTGTCGTTAGTCCAACTTGTCCATCTCTCGGCTGTCTGTGTTGTCTATAAGAAGGTAGGGCGTTTACGATGAACTCTAAATGATCTTTTTGTTCATCTTCAATAAATTTAGTATCTGCTTGCATTTCTAGCAATCTGTGTAACAACTTTAGTGCAGACTTCGCCATCTTCTCGTCTGTTAGACTTGAGTGATCTCTCTTCTCAAATTCATTTGCTGACTTCTTCTTTGATGATCTACCACGTAACTTCCTATTCACCAGTCTTTCTGTTTCTTCCTGCGTAGGTCTTCGAGCTAAGGCCAGGTATACGAATTGCTGGATATAATGTCTGTTGTCGTTACGAAAATGTATTAGAGAGTACATCATCATCACTCACTCTGATGGTACGTATCCAGGACATCGTATAAACTCAAAGTTGTTCAATCCTAAATCATCTATTATTCTTAGTAGACCGCTATAAAATATACAAACACGCACAGCTACCCTCTTCTAAACTAATTGACGCGAATTGCAGCCAAATATGAGGCATTCTTTCATCCCTCCGCGTCGTCACTGAGGTCATAGTTGATAGTAAGAAATGAATAAATAAATAAATAAATCATTAATGGTATCTATAAGAACATTACATAATAAATTAATAATTATTAGTCGTTAACGCTTTGATAAAGGTGATGGAGGTGGCTGCGAACTATTATCGTCGTCGATACCACCTTTAGATATAGATGTTGAAGGTGAATGTCCAGCTCTTGAATTCACACTGCCAGATCTAGAGCTTCTGTAGGCAGGCCCCGCACCTACACTAGATGCAACCATCATAGGTAAGACTGATAGTGCATCTAAATGGTTATGCTTCGCTGATAAAGGTGATGTGCTATTATTATCAGGAGTTGTTGTTCCGGAATTTGACCTTGAATGTGAATATAATGTCTCCGATAATTGTTGGATTGGATGTCTAACAATTCTTCTAGACTTCTGAACAAACGATGATCCTCTTATACGACCACCACGGAGGATTGAAAGTATTTGCAATGAATCGTAAACTGGATCTTCTCCTTTCCTTGATGGTTTATTCTTAGAGATTGGAAGAGCATTTGGATCTGGGAATGCACCCCATTTGATGAGTCTTCTTTCAATTGGTTCATCTGGTATGAATCTGAACAATGCACCAACAATTAACGAACAAAATCCGCAAATTATTGAAATTGCCCAATCACGTCCACCTATCCTCGTTACTGAGAATGCTGCACCACCAACAAAGACAATGAGAACTTGTCCACCGACCATAATACAAAACATGATCATGAACCACCAGTTTCTGTGGATACCTTCAAAGACATTGAGTTTATTGTCTAATCTACGACAATTGATCTGGTTGAATATTTGACACCAAACGAAGGCGTTAAAAACTAATGTCTTCAATTGACTACCTTGAGCGCTATACTCAGCTTCCTCTTCATCATTGGAGTAATCCATTCTGTAACCGAGTATCTGTCTACCAGCGAAATGTAATACGAAAACGACAGCTGTCTTGTATAATGATTGTGAAGTGATGACTTTCAACATATTCGCGTTGATGATTGGTGATCCAGGTGTTTCAGGTTTACGGTCAAGTACTGTTGGAGTTGCTGGATCAGTCGCTAAAGCCAATGCTGCAAACGTATCCATAATCAAATTAACCCAGAGCAATTGAACAGCCGATAAAACAGATTCTTCTGAATCTGATGCGATAGCTGTAACGAAGACAATAATTATGGCTGTTACGTTGACGGATAATTGAAATTGCAAGAACTTCTTGACAGAGTCGTTGACACATCTACCCCACATGATAGCTGAAACAATTGAAGCAAACTATAGCAAAGTTAGATTGTTTTAGTCACAATTAATAAACCCACGTTGTCATCCATGAGGATAATTGAAGATGCTTCTTTTGCTACTTCCGTACCAGCGATACCCATTGAGAAACCGACGTTAGCAGCTTTGAGGGCTGGTGCATCATTGGTACCATCACCAGTTACACCAACAGTTTCTGAATGAGCGTTCCTCAAAGTTTGTACTAACAATTTCTTGTCGTCTGGTGATGATCTAGCGAGAACTTGAAGATTTTGTACGACATTAATACGATCGTGTTCATCAAGTTGTCTAAATTCAGTACCTTCCATGACAATACCCCCCTCTGTCAAAATACCACATTGTTTTGCGATAGATTGAGCAGTTAAGACATTGTCACCAGTGCACATTTTTACTTTGACACCAGCATTCTGAGCACGCTTGACGGCGTTTGATACACCAGGTCTGAGAGGATCTTCAATAGCAGTAATACCAATTAAAGTCAAATCCTTAGCCAATGAATCATATTCAACATCTCCAGTCTCGTCGAAAGATGCTTTACTTGGTGGCCATTCCTGGAAATCTTTATAACAGAGAGCGATAGTACGTAACGATTGATTTGCGTAAAACTTGATAGTTTCATCGATACTAGCACGTTCGCCTTCCTCGATAGCATGACAAGGAACTTCATCTGACTTAGCTTCATCGAGTGACACAACCTGGTTGGTAAGGCTTGTAAGAACCTCTGATGCACCTTTGACAAATAATCTATAATGACCTTCATTTACTTTGACCACAACACCCATAGCTTTACGTGTACTCGAGAAAGGTATCATCTGTACGATTTCAGCAGATTCACGAACCGATCTCCAATCATCCCAATCTTGCTCTTTAGCAAAACGTAATAATGCAGTTTCAGTTTTTGAACCAACAAATTCAATCTGATCAGTTTCCTTGTTTTTGTCTTCAAAAGCAGTTGAATTGATCGCTATGCTATCGAATAACAATTTACGTAAGGGACCTTGCACATGATTTGAGAGGTCATTTGAGTCAATTGTAAAGTTGCCATGTGGATATTTCTCATCATTGTTCAGTTCATCTGCATTTGATCTAGATGAGTTTTCATCCAGGCGAGTGACGAATTTAGCTTTGATACCGATAGTACCTGCAACAACACTCATTACATTTTGTGTAACTAGAGAATCGTTAGAAATGTGCGAAGAAATTAGACGTTTTACCCACGAGTTCCTGTTTTGTCTGTACAAACAGCAGTAGCATTTGCCATTGTTTCGCAAGATGCTAAAAGACGAACGAGAAGATTTGCCTTTGTCATACGCTTTGTCGCGAAAGCAAGTGCAAGAGTGACAGCCAGCGGAAGACCTTCAGGTACGGCAACAACGATAAGGGTGACTGCTATAATAAGTACTTCTATAAAGTTTTGTCCTTTTTCACGAGGAGTCCTGTAATTCAATTAGATTGTGCTAGTTTTGGAGAAAATTTCATACCTATCTGGCTGCCTCTTCAAATTAACGAAAAATTTGATCATGAGAGCGATAAACAAGAGTAAACCAGCAACTGAAGCAATTTTGGCTATTAACTCGGCCAAATCATTAAGCTTAGTTTGAAGAGGAGTTCCCTCATCCTCTTCTTCGTTGAGACTTGCGAGAATGCGACCATTGTAGGATTGAAGTCCGACGGCAACGATAACCATCTCACCGACACCTTCAGTAATTTTAGATCCTGACAATAAGAAACAGTCCTTCTTCAAATTCTTGCTTTTATCATGTAGACTAAGACTATCGAGATATTCAGAGTATTCATCGAAAGTGACTTTTTTAATAGCATCCGATTCACCTGTTGCAGCTGATTCATCCGCCTTGAGATTATGACCTCGCAAGAAAACACCATCAACGGGAAGGATATCTCCTGTCTCTATCTGAAGGATATCACCAACTAGAAGGTTTTTTATGTTGATATATTGTTCATTACCATCTCTTTTAACTTTTACTTCTCTATCATCTTTCTTCTGGTTCAATTTCATGAATTGAAGTTCCTTTTGATAATCATTTATACTACCGACTAAAACGACGATGAGGATAGCGATAAGAATAGCAACACCCTCAACCCATTCAACTTGAGGTTCAGTACAATAAGCGTCATAACGGCCCGTCGCTTCGTTGAAACATCTGACTTCTGGAGGTGGGAAATCGACAGCCTGATAGATACCTAAAGCTAGAGCGACGATAGCAGCGACGATAAGGAGTTGTAATAGTTTGTCTTCCATTGCCATCCACATTAACTGGAAGAAGTTCTTTGTGTCTTTGGGTGGAATTTCATTCTTATCGTAGACACGGTGCCTTTCAAGACCATTCGCTTGATTTGCAGGACCAGCTCTACCTTCAGGAGGGCCATCGGGTTCAATTTTGCCATCTAATGAATATGCTTCACCGCAGAGACCGTCCTTTGGATGGGTGCCTAAGCCGGATGTGAGACCTTCGATGCCACCGAGGTCGTCTCTGAGAGTTTCGAATTGCTTGTAGCCCACACAATCTGATAGTGTGTGTGGCTGAAACTTAAAAGCGCCTAGATTGTTAATATGCCGTGGCTCTAGAGGTTTTTTTGACTTCTTCGACTTTTTCTCATCCTTGCCTTTTCTATCAGAGGTTGATGTAGGAGACGAAGGCTCTGTGTGATCTCTAAATGGATCTCTACTCGTTGACGTCGTGTCGATCCGTGGGACCGTCAGCGAGTCTGAGTTACGATGGTTACTAAAGTTTGGCTGATTATTCGTAGGGGACTCCTGTATATTTATCTTGGGGAGATCCATTTCATCAGCGTTTAAGATAAAGAAAGAATTATCTTAATACTCTATTAGGAATAATGCATCTTCCTTGGAACTTTCCAATCACACCAAGCAATACGAGACTAAAGTCGGCTGTGTCATGAGGAATAATTAAAAATACTATTCTTCTATTCTTTTATTCTCTAGTTCATAAGAGTACAATTTCGTTTAAATTCACAACGTAGTTGAGGCCGTCAATCGTGAGAAGGAGCTGCTTCAACTTATATCTTCCCGCTTTGCTCATGTTCAGTGCTATATTCACATTCACCGTATCATGGGCGCTCACGTCAGCCGTAAATTCCCTCACAGGCACCATCATTCCTTCTATTCTACTCTGACGTTAGCCTTTCTCAATGGAATTTAGAATAATCGAGACTTACTCATCCCTTAACTGTAATTTACTTTCGACGTTTCTATAAATCGAATTGTTGAATAAGCTGATATCAACGCTTATCCTCAGTTCTGGATTTTGCTCGAAATCGTGGTTTATCGGAGAAGGCGTGTACGTGTTGACTATTATCGGCATATCGTAGACACTATACCGGCTCTTCGTCAATTCGGATAGCGCCCTTTCCCTATCTCTAACTTTGGAAGCATACATCACGCTTTTAATGTTCTTCGATTGCTTCACCTTCTCGCCTATCCTCCTCGTGAGACCCTCTCTTGCCCCTAAGACTAACCCTGACACGAGCGCGTGTCCCACTCTGTCGCCCATTTTCCAACAGACAACAACGTCTCCTTCATTAGCCTCAAATAGCGGGAATAAATGCGACTGGACATTCCACGGAATACTTTTGAACTCGTAACCAAATGTCATCTGACGGAGGTATCGTCGAGCACTCATCATCATATGAAACAATCCAGTTTGACTTGTAGGTATATACTTCTTACTGTGTGTGAGATGTGAACTGATAACGTTTACCGGAGGTGGATAATTCTCTGTTATATTATCACCTTGTAAGTATTCAGCCATCTTATCAATCATATAAGTTTGTGTTTGAAGACTATCCTCCACGTTGAAATCCTCGGTAAACTCTACTTTGAACTCTTGCTTAGCAATATCTTCAAACGCGAGATTCATATCTTTCATCTCACCGATACACTTCCATGCAGGTGAAACAAAGGACACTTGAGTAATTTCAATTTGAGAATCTGGAACGACATTTTCAATCTCCAACGACAGATCATAGCTTCCGATCTGCATTTTGCTAGGCTGAGCAGCTAGTTTGACTTCCACAACTGGTCTGATATCTACAACATGTAACAATCTGTTAACTTTGTGATGATTTTCATGACTCTTTTCAGGCTTGTCAGTAATTGACGTTGTAATTATGTAGACACACCTTTTGTTTGTATACCACGATTAAATGCAGTGCTTTCTTGCCGACATTATCACCTCTGAGTAAAACCGGGATAGAGTGTGTATAGCCTGGTTTCAAGTCTTTACCAATATCATAAGGAGCGCTAGATCGTAAGGTATTCTCTATACGCGACTGTTCTGTGCTTGTTTCTAACGATTGTTTGTATACATCTTTAGTAAATTTAGCAAGTCAACACCATTGTTTTGGAGAATCTACCCACCTTGCGCGTTGCTGATGTTCTCGTCAACGCCCAGGGCCACGAATGATTGTTCATTCACAACCACACGCACATCATCAACGTCAACTTTCCCAATATTCTGTATATTGATATGAGCGAGATATCCCTCACCGAGTCCCATCCTTTGAGGGAAACATTCTAAATTAGTGAGCAATCTTGGTGTTGGCTCATTAACTCTAACCTCGAGTGAGAGATCAGGTGCATAGAATCTTCCCATTCTATGCTCCTTAGTGTTGTTCAACCTAGCACCATTTCTCTGGAGTGATTCTGTAACTTTGCAGATATTGTCTATCATAAAATCCACTTTATTGAGTTTCACAGTGGAAGCTGAGGATACTGAACACTTAAAAACGACTTCGTTAATTTCCAAAGCACCTAATTCTAGGTCCTTATTGAGACATTCAATATTTGCTTCGCCTTCAAATTCCAATTGGAAATTATTAATAAGTATACCAGCATTGAAAGGATTACGTGCAACGAGAACAGCATGGAATACCTCATCAATGTCGATATCTATTCTATCATCTATTTTTTCACTACTAGTTTTGAGTTCTTTTTCAAGCGTGTCAAAAATACGTTCAGATTTTTTATTTGTATAAACGTGTGCGTGTGGATCTCTGATATAAGTCATACCCTTGTCAAATACCTCGAGTGGGAAGGTAACCTTTGGATTCTCGTCTTTCCTTAGACAATCACGCCAATCATCGAGTAATCTCTGATCACCACCATAACGCAGCGATTTGGTGATGAGTATCGGCGCATCTTCTTCATTTGCCAATCTACCAAGTGCTTGGTTGAGGAATGGGAAGCGATCTGTATCGCAATTCTCGTAACAACGTCTTGCAAGTGCATGCTTACCATGAGATTCATACACAGTTGCAGCTTGAGCAAAATACAAACAAGCCTTACGTTTGTAAGGTTTCATATGGTTCTTGTATGCATTCGCAGCTTGCTCGAGCATTATGGCAGACGACAAACCATTACCTGTTGAGGCAGCCTTAATAAATGATGATGGTATTACCAAACCAGATGAACCCCTCGCTCTGAAAGACTCTATGTAGAGTAAAGTGGCACGAATCATCTGAGCCCTATCGGTTGCATTTTTTGTCGTAAACCACGTCAGACTCGCTTCATCGAGGTATTGTACGGTAGTGTCGAGAGTAGAAGTTGGTGAGTGTGGAGACAACAAATGAGAAAGTCCTAACATCTTATTCGCAGAAGCCATATAAAGATATGCCTCTGGTTCTTCCGCCGTATCCCGTCGAAGTTGGTTGTACACTTGCGCTGAGAGTTTGTAATCTCTGATCATGAAAGCGAAATCTGCTAGTCTTCTAAAAGTAGCTTCGTGAGTAGTAGATGGGTATCTAAGGCGTTATCAGAAGGAGTCATTTTCGAAGAATAAACTAACATTTTCTCTGAGCTCACGAATGATGCCACTGGTGCACTACTATTGATAGCCCTAGATGGCGCCTGCTGAGCAGCCCATTTCCTCGAAACACCAAAAGAAGAAAACAGCTTATTTGTAAATCCCTTCCTGTTAGTAACAAACTACCAAAGGTTAGCTTAGATAGCAAAACATATCGCACCCACCAATTGATTCCAATCGCGTGCACATTTCTCCATCCAAGGAATAAGTGACTGTACTACCATCTCGCGCACAAAAGCGCGTATGACAGTTAAATCAGACGCATCCAAACTGTGTGCTCGAGAGTGACCATATGTCTTGGTAACAGTCTCATCAACTTCCTTCTCCTCTTTCGATTGCTTTGAGTTGATAATGAGTAATGCACAATGTATGCCGTGTGCCCTTTTGGCTTTTTCGAGTAAATTCCTTGCATGATCCATATCACCATCATTCGCATCGTGTACGAGAACGTAATATCTTAGAACATAGTTTGGCGTGGCACTCATATAGGCTCTCTTAGCATATGCATCTGGGAATGAAACCTCCTGAGCTAACCTAGCTAATTCTGATACCGGATCTGCATGTTTAGTTGTAGTTGCCAATATGAATGCAACTGGATGCTGGAAAGTACAGTATGGCACTAAAGCGTGGTGTTTGAGTATACCAGAAAGGAAGTTCTCGTAAATATTGTCTGAATTCGTTGAAACGGTTGCATCACCAGCTGATTTCTCAACGACCTTGTGTAGTTCTTCAGTTGAGCTATCCAATTCAGCTAATTCATTGAAACGTAAATGGAAAGATGGTGCGTGATGTGTCTCCAACTGGCTCGTTCGCAACGGTACATTGTGCAATACGTCGAATGGACTGAGGAGTTCTGACAAGTTATTTATTGAATTTGTATCACCTAGTAGCTCATTCACGCCCTTATCCGTTAATATTGATAGTAGGGGACTGAAGTATCGATGGATCTTCTGGAAGTCACCCATGATGGTGAATGTTGGTGATAAAGAAGCTACCTCATAGAATTCTTACGCATTAGTCTTCTGTATTTATATCACTTGATCACTTATCAGTTATTAAAGCGTGTATTATCACAACAGGTAATCACAAAAGAACACGCGAGAAGAATCAGGTCTAACAAATATAAATAACAAACAGCAACCAATCAGCCTAAAACAGATTGAAAACGAGCATCCTCACCGAGTACTCTACGGACATCGGCTTCTGGGATGTTAAGGATGAGCATGCGTTCAGCGTCGCTACCTTTATTGAGACCCGTGTTAGATGCACCGGGTTCGTGAGCTAGCACGATCCTAGTCGCAGCCAAAGCCGACAATATTGCATACTGATCAGTCTTACTGAGGGCTATAGGTGGATTGTACGGTATGATTTGAGCGCTAAGTTTAGAATGGAGGTTGGATACATCACCCCATTTACATTCACCAGTACCCATACCAGCGGCTATTGCACAACGCATCGTCGAGACTAGCATTATCTTTGCACTGAGACTGAGACTGGACATCAGTCTACTCAATGGAGAGAGTGACATCGCTTTGAGTGTCTGTTGTACATGACTTGTTTTCACGGGAAGTGTGACCGTACGTTCGAGTGTTTGTCTGCAGACTTCGAGCATTCTTCGAGCATCACCCTGCACAGAGGCTGTTTTAGCAGCTGCAATTTTAACAGCATCCTCATCAAAAATCCCTCTGGTATCTTCGTCCGTGAGATGCGTGTAGTCTTTGCCATCAGCCAAGCTAACCGCGTAGCGGAGTCTTGACTGCACAATCTCGATAAGTTGCATACGATCGTATGGCGCAAAGTTAATACGCTCCATACCAAGTCTACTCTTGACTTTTCCTCTCAATACACGCTCAGGAAGATCCATAGTGTTTGCAACAGCGATAACAATCAGCTTTGATCGTGGCATGTTCGGCCAGTTGAAGAAATTGTAAACCTCGCTTTGCTTGTTGGTGACCATCTGATCGAGCTCATCCATTAGTAAGACGCATGCTTCATCATTGCTTCCTTTCGCGTAGTAGTTCTCTAATGCATTGAGCGCAGCTTTTGGTGAAAGACTCATCTGGTCCCCTTTAAGACCGTCCCAAAGAATCGGGTAAGCTCTTGCTGGTTCAGAAACCCTAAGACCATTGATCTCCACGTACTTGAATGGCGTAATTTCCTAAACTTTTAGTCAACTATAATCATTGTACAGGGAGAAGCGCACCATATTGTTAGATCTTTCTATCAATCCCCTAATAACAGAGTGTACTGTTGCTGTTTTACCTGTTCCAGGAGTACCAGAAATGTCTACCACTGGTCAGATCGACTTAGAGTTCCTAGATCGGAACTCACAAACACAACCACCTTGTCCATCCTCTAGGAGACTCTCTATGCAGCCCTCAATCATCAGGTATTCATCTTCACGACAAGGGAGGTATCCAGGTGTAGCACCTACGTGCAGTAGTGCACGCGAAAGAGAGCGCGCATCCTTATCTGTGGTATCATTCAGACTTTCAATAGCCGGTGCAGGTAATGGTTTGACACTACGAAGATCATTAGTTAGCGATGTAATGTATGGCCAACTTACGCTTTAGCTGCGCGCCTATGTAGTTCATAACGCTTAGCGTTAGGTGTACGTGGGGGTTTCGCAGATCGTGATCTCCTTTTAGGTCTTTCTTCATCACTTGAAGGTTCATCGACCTCCATAACGTCTTCTTCGTCAGATTTATCAGCCTCAACATCATCATCTTCTTCGCTGTCACTTCCGCTATAATCAGACATTCTACGTTCTTCATCACTGTCTTTCTCGGTACTGCTGCTACCACTAGTCATACTCTCTGCATCTTCCTCCATTTTTACTGATATTGGGTCTTTCTCGTCGCTACTATTATCGCTGTTGGTACTACTATTCTCCAACTTCACTGCTCCCTTCGTTACCGAGCGTTCTCTATTCTTTTCAGCAAGGGCAGGTCTTCCCACTCTCCGTGAAACCTGATTCTGGGTGTGTTTCTTTTTAGTTTCAGATTTCCTTGGTCTTCCTGGCTTTCGTGGTATCTTATCATTATTGTTTGTTTTCCTAACTTTGTCACTCTTCGGCGGTGGAGTTGCTCTACTATTCGTCTGCTTCACTGAATTCCTCCTTGATCGCCTAATAGGTGGCTTCTCATCTGACATTTCATCATCAGAATCAGCGCGTAATTTAACCATTGAATCAGTTGCTGCTAAATTATTTGGTAATTCTATATCAACAATTTCATTTTTCTTCACTGGTGTACTTTCTTCTGTTCTATTACGCGTCGATCTTCTCATAACGCGTCTTGATAGTAGAGATGCTAAACGGTGAATTTCTTAATAAAAAATAAATTTCGTTTTACAACACGTAAAAGAGAATAAAGAGTAAAAATAAAAGTTGCTGTCAAAACTTCTTAAAATACTAAACCTTAACCGAGAAAGTTGATATTCTATGCTGTTGTTGATGTTGCTCGAACGCCTTCCCAAGTAACTTTAGTAGAATAGGATTCGACACTGAATGAAACTCTCTCATTTAGTCCGATACATGATGGCTTTGGTGTTGCTGTATGAGAATCGTATGGAGAAGATTGCAAACATGTGCGTTTGCATTTTCTCTCGTCATCATCATCCGAAACAGCTTGATCTTGAGTATTCGTGGCTGGTCCCTTTTGCTTTTCAACTAATGTGCGCAAGAATGCAACCCAACGCTTCCAAGTTGATTCAGAAACACACAATTCGTAGTTAATTAGGATCAGAAATGCCCTCTCATTCGAGGATATTTCATTAGCTGTCAAACCCGACATTCTCGACCATGCGCGATTACTGTAATTTCTCTCGGATAAGTACTTGTTGGCTAAGATAAGTGATGATAAGAATGTCCTTCTACCACAAAGTAGACTGTCCTGACAGGTTACAACTTGACCACCGCAGAGCAACTGAGCTGCCTCAACTCTACGTGATCTAACCTTATCTCTTATCTTGAACAAGTAAAAAAGCGCGACTTGGAGTGTATGTGATGAAGTTTTCGATCTACGAAGGGTTTCCCTAATGTAATCTTTCAACGGCAACTGAGAGTCCTCAATCGTTCTAGGGTATGGATCCTCTGGCAGAGGACATTTCCAGATGGCTTCAATAGTGAAAACAGATGTGTCTAACGAGGAAAACCCCACTTCAATTATCTGTTTAACAAAGGAAAAGGAAACTCACCGATAAGACCGTCAGCATAGGATTTCCTTTCTACGCTACCAATGTCGTCGGAACTAGCAGCTGAGAAGCTGCCTCTTGAACTATCTGAGGCTTGCGAGGATGATCTACAGCGTTTTGTGCCTCTAATGGAGGATGAGGTTGGTGGAGTAGGCAGAGGGGCTGCAACAGGAGCCTTTGGTGCATCTAGTGATAAAGTTTGTAGTTTTGGGAGATTATCAATTGAGCTGTTAGAGTATGAAGTCGGCGAGGTGTTATATTGAGAAGGAAGTGACTGCTTTGAGGATGTGGATGAACTTTCTGGTGAAGAATCATAGCGCCAGTTGTTAATAGGAGAATTTTGTATCATTTTTAAGATTCCTAGCTTAAAGTATGACTTAGATATGAGTCAGTAAAAAGCGAGGGCAAAATCGAGAGATATAAACCGAATTAGAAAGCTGCTGATGCAGCTTGAATTGAGTACATTGTAGCAGTGTAGATTGGTGTATAACTGATGTTTTAAGTCTGTGGCGAATACGCTCTGATAACGGCTAATATGCTATTAAAATATAAACTTCTAGAGTGATCTATCTTGACGCTTAGCTGCTGTTTTCTGCGCTTTTTCTTAATCTTGATGGTGATGGGGAGATGTACCGTGAGGGTCAGATTAGATTGCTATAGTGAAATTTTTGAGTTGAAGTAAGAGATGCAGGTAGATTTTGAATGTAGAATATAGCATGTATCCTACCATCAAATCAGTACTATTTATCTCTCGAGAAATTGTGACTGCGTTGCCGTGACTGTTCTGATAACTTACCACCAAGATTAAGTTCACAAGAATACTCAGAATGGTTTATAGATCCCCTGAACCGACTACTGGTATCAAATCTGATGGATTCGCTCCTCACAGGTTAATCAGAACAGAGCAGGTGAACCATGACGTTAAGAGATTCACTTTTGCACTCCAGTCAGAAGACGCCTACTGTGGATTAAACGTCAATGCGATCACTATGCTTAGATGGCACAAGCCAGGCAACAAATCAGCTTACTTGCGCCCGTACACACCAACTTCAGAGGTCACCCGTAAGGGTGAAATTGAATTCACTATCAAAAGATATGAAGGTGGTAAAATGACACCACATTTACACTCATTACAAGTTGGAGATACCGTAGAAATGGGAAAGCAGATCCAAAAGATCGAATACGTTCCAAATCAATGGGATCATGTCGTATTGATCGGTGGTGGATCAGGTGAGTGTTATCTATCATTTATATTACTCCCCTTATTCTCGTCATACAGGAATTACACCACTTTACCAGCAACTCTTGCACTCTCTCCCAGATACGTCAGATAAGACAAAATTCACACTCATCTACGGCAACAAAACACCAGCAGACATTCTCTTGAAGAAGGAGTTCGATGAGTTTGAAAAGAACTACAAAGATCGCTTCACAATGGTATACACCGTAGATCAAGCTGATGACAGCTGGAAAGGACTTACTGGTTTCGTTACAAAGGACTTGATCGCTCAATATGCGCCATCAAAGGACTCCAATGTCAAAATACTTGTCTGTGGTCCACCTGGCCAAATGAAAGCTGTTTCCGGCACAAAGGCAGAAGACGGCTCACAAGGTGAAGTCGAAGGCGCACTTGCAGAACTCGGTTACGGTACTGACAAGGTATTCAAATTCTAAATGCCTTATAGATATGTATGCATACAATTATGTTCATTATGACGTAGTCTAATCCTTTTTGTGCTCTCCCTTTTCTCCTAATGCTCTTTCACCTATTTCACCACCACCGAGATCTTCCGCTGAGAGCTTTTCAAGATCTGCTAGTGTAGGTCCTGGTTGTTCGGTATCCTTGGCTTCTCTGGCATCTTGGGCTTTCTCGTGGGGTGATATTCCAGATGTAGGTTCTTCTAGCACACTGCCGGCTATACTTGTGAGATGAATTTGACTCATCTAGTGTAAACCTACCTTTGAGTGATTCAACGAATTTGTCTTTGTTAGCGTTGCATCTGAGATAGTTAAGTACAAAGTCATTTTATGGCACGATACTCACAATCTTGCTGTGTTTCTGAATACTCCTCTGTTCAACATCTTGAGAGTATGTGATGAAGATGACAATGACGTACATCTCCACAACATTTTGGAAGTTCAGAATAAATTAAAACAAACAACGGAGATGTGTGCGTTTATTGTTTCGTTGCTTATAAATTTGCTGATATTAAATTTGTCTTTCAACTCTAGAAAAGTGCATTCTCTTTGTTTGAACTAAAAATTGCGTTCCTGCGCAAATCTCATTGTTCTCATTGTGTTCAAATTAAAACGAGCATTTAAACTCCTTCGTGCTTAGCCATCAATAGTTCTTTCACACACGTTAGACGCTGGCTCGTCCTAGCAACTTACACACTCGGGCTGACATTCATTCAATTATGTTTTGCGAAGGTCCTATCCGCTTTTTTCTTAACTTTGTGCGCTTAAGCACAATATGCATGCTGGTCATGGTAGCTGTCACCCAACTTATAGAAACATCACAACAATCGAAGCATACTCAGGTATGGGTGAACGATTTGTCGGGTACAAATAACTATGTCGACGGGTACGGCACACCTACGCATTTCTTTGGTCCAGTTTGGAGTCTTTTCTCCCATTTGGCTATTTTCGTTCAGTGTTTCATACTCGTTGTTGCTGAGATTAGGGACAATGTTTATGATAATCACATACCACTTATTGGAAGCAACTATGGTTTGTTATTCCCTTCATTGTGGCAGTTTAGCTTGGTATTTACTGGTTTGTCACATCATCATTATCGCAAATCCGCTTTGGTGAGCTTATACGCGTTAGCTATCCTAGCATGCATCAATTTGTTACTAGGTGGGTGTCAGCTTCACTTCAGAGGTTATGATTAAACATGCTTCAGGTTTGGTTGGAATCAGAGTCAAGCATGCGAGAAGTCTCTGCACTGTGGAAGCATGGTGTAGTGTTCTTCCACCTCCCTTCTCATGGATCGTTCAGATGATATCAAAGTGCACTCAGTCGAGAAGAGTATCACAGGAGATGCGAGACAAGACGCGCTGGTCATTCCTAAGTGCATCTGCAGCTTCCGACAATAGCACATCGAGAAAGGGAAGTATTGTCAAGACGATGGAAAAGGTGTACGACAGGTACAGCATGCGCAACGAGCCATTTAGAAGTAGTGAGACGCCTCTTCCTCGCTATTCTGACGAGAAGCACAACCATAGTCGCGAAGATAGTGCTGAAAAAGCGTCACTCTCATCAAAGCGTTCGGTCGTGAGTCAAGAATGTCTAAAAAAGTACGTACTAACTTGCATTAGAAATTCAGTGAAAGACCTTCTAGCGTCATACCATCATAAATTCTTACTACGCCAACATAATCATAGAAATATATCATCATTGACATTTTATTTATTTAACATTCGTTAATTTCTGATTTTACAATCCCATTTGTGAAGTTTCCTTAACAAGACCTGCGATACCAGAACCACCTGAGTTGATATCCCAGATGACAATCTTTCCATCTCTACCAGCAGTAGAAACGTGTGTAATGTTACCAGGAACACCTGCAAATGGTCGAACTGATGTAATGGTGTTTTGATGAACAGTTGTAAGAACGGTATCACCAGCTCCAACACCAGTAACACCGCCTGTGGCACCCATACTATCAGCCGCTTTGAAGGCATTGAAAGCGGTGTTGTTGAGTCTACCAGCTACGCTTGCCTTGTTCGATTGACTAGCTCCTGTCGCGTCATCGAGCGATTTTACGAATTCCCAGCTGTTGTTATTGATAAGACGATACAGCATTGGTTGGCAATCATGTCCAGCTGCAATAAGACTGTCTTCAGTGAGGAAGGTAACAGAAGTGTGAGGGAGTGAAGCCAGACGGACATTGAATACAGATGGTGGGTTGTCGACACCAGTTGGGTATATAATACTAAGGTTGGAATCATGACTGACGAAAGCGATAGCATTGCCAGATGGAGTGAAGCTTACTGAGTGTATCCATCCACTAGCAGGTGATGCATATTCACCGCAGATGGTATTGAATGGGAGACGCTCACCCCAAACACTTGGGGCAGGTTTCGAATCGACGTCCTTAATGTAAGCTGAGAAGACTCTTGCTCTTGAATCCGCTGAACCTGCGACCAACAAGACGTTGTTTGGGTGCCAATCGAGTGACAAAACGGTCGATCTTAATGGTTTCTTGATATGTTTAGCTACCCACCAATCAGACTCAGGATCAAATGAGCAGACGGCGATAGCACGTGCACCTGATGCGACTGCGAACTTGTTCTCGAGTGGAGACCATCTAACGAAAGTTGCTGATCTGTTGATACGCAAGAGAACCAAGGTAGGCTTCCACTGCCCGGCTTGGAATGTCCAGACGTATGCGTTACGGTCTTGTGAGCAAGTGACGATTCTGTTTGATTGCGGTGCCCAGTCAACGCTGGTGATCAGTTTGTCGTGCTCTTTCAACTCAGCGGAGAGTGTCCAGGTATTTGCACTCTTCTGGTAGATTTGCAATACGTTTGAATTTGGACAGACGGCGAGTTCTAAGATTGTGAGCTGTACTGTATCTCAAATCGGGCGCTCGAGGACCTACGAGATCTGTCTGCGTTGAATGCGTAAGCTGTAACAGGTACAGCGAAATCGATTGGGAGAACTTCTGGTTTTGACATTTTATTTCTGAGGACTAACAGTCTACTCTTGGTTGTATGAGACTGAGATATCTTGGAGAACGTCCACGAGGAATAAAAAAATAAAAATGGCGTCGAGAGCAGCTAGAATAGCCCTCAGTTATCCATCTAGGCAGTTTACAACCTCTGCAGTAGCTCACCTCCCACCAAAGAAGGGCCAAAGTGGGTATAGGCACTTTTACAGCGATAACACTCTAAATACAAATTTATAGCTATTAAAAAGACTGCAAACAGCTTCACAAAGAAGAACAAAGGCGGTAATAAACTTAAAACTGAAGTGAGTCTCTAGAAACCTTCTTCTTCCCTTTTGACTGGTCGTTTTATAGGCAGTATCACACTCTGGACGTTATGAAAAGTTACAGGCTACACCTCCAGATCTCTCTTTCATGCCTGAATTCCTTCCTGAGCGTATAACTGATAAGTCAATCGGCACACCTTTTAGATTCACAAAGGATGCACTCAACATCACAAAGTTCACGGGAATACCACCAACCTTAGCCAGAGAATTTGCTACTGAGAGAGAAGCACATACTGTTATACGCAAATCCTCAATCAATGCTATCAATAAGCTCGATAGCGCTAGTAAAACATCCAGCAAGGATAACAGATACGTATTACATGGTAAAATTGGTAGTGGAAGATCAATAAGCTTGTTGCAAAGTGTTATTTATGCCCAACAATCAAATTGGTTGGTGTTCTACATTCCAAAGTCTCAGCACCTCGTTGATAGCAGTTATGCATATAATCCTCCATCAGAGAGTGGTGGTATTTGGACTCAACCATCACTTTCCGCAGAAATTCTCAGAATTTTTGCTGAAACTAACAAAGAGAAATTGAATGACGTAAAAATTTCGCAAGATTACGATCAATTTAAGGCTGGTGATAAGATCTATGATCTTTGTATACATGCTACCAAATATGAAAACAAAGCTGTTGAAACATTCGACGTTGTTATGAACGAATTGTCAAAGCAGACAGCCCACCCGGTTTTATTAGCCATGGATTCAATTCAAGCGATGTATCAACCAACACTCTATAAAGATCAACACTTTAACAAATTACACCCATACGAGTTATCAGTAACTGCCAAGATATTAGATTTCTTGAGCGGTAGACAGCAATTCAACAGGGGTGCAATCCTTGGAGCTACATCAAGCACACCAACTACTATGCAAATACCATCCCTGTTGTTGGCTCAACTTGGTTTGCAACCTGAGAAGCCAATTAATCCGTTTGAGAAATGGAACACAAAACACCTCAACAATGCAAACGGATTGAAGTTGATTGAAATGGAAGAACTCACATTCGCTGAAGCAGTTGGTGTATTCGAATCGTTTGGTAAATCCTTAGGTATTTCAAACCCAATGTCTGATGAACTTCTCTTATCCAAGTTCACGGAGTCTGGTGGTTCACCTAAAGCATTCACAAGAAGTTTGAGGGATTCACTTGAATAAAACTATTTATAGACTACCGATGTAAAGAAAAAGTTAAATATAATTTCAACCTTTGATTTCTTACTATCTTGTGTGATACCATGAAGAGTACGAGTACTTCTGACGTAGAAGGTATAGCTAAGAAGGTATCAACTGGTGTGAATGAGAATGGTGATAAAAGCATAGACGAAAATAAAGAAAAGAGTCCCCATAAAAGCTACGATGGTAAGAAAATGATGGAATGGTTTATAGCAGGAGGTGCAAGCGGTGTAGCTTCACGTACGGCAGTTAGTCCCATAGAGAGGTAAATAGTTTATCTATATTCAAATCCCTAACTTACTCTATCTAGATTGAAGATACTTCAGTAAGTTTAATCGCCGATCTAAGCGACAATGATCTCATATCTACGTATTATAGGCAAGTACAAAGCTTTAGTAAAGCAGAATACACGGGATTATGGTCCAGCTTGAAAAAGATGTACAAAGAGGAAGGCTTTAAGGGTTTTATGAGAGGTAATGGTATAAATTGCCTGAGAATAGCTCCCTATAGCGCTGTACAATTCTCTACATACGAATTTCTTAAAATTGTGCGTAATTTACTTATAACATATCATAATCGATAACAAATGTAGTTATTCGCCGGTGACTCAAATCGTCCATTAGAAAATTGGCAGAAACTTGCAGCTGGCGCTTTAGCAGGTATAAATTCTGTCGCTACTACATACCCACTCGATCTCGTACGGTCTAGGTTATCAATCGCTACCGCAAGTTTAGGGGTGGAATCATCTAGGCAAGATGCAAAATTGAGTATGTGGGCTATGGGTAAGAAAGTATACAGAGAGGAAGGTGGTTATAGAGGTCTATATAGGGGTTTAGTGCCCACTAGCGTGGGTGTAGCTCCATATGTCGCTATAAACTTTGCAACATACGAGATGCTCAAGAGCTATATACCTATAGATGGCTCTAAATGGTTGGCATTAGTTATTGGTGCAATGTCAGGTACCGTTTCTCAAACCCTAACGTGAGTTTTATTTTGATCTATATTGATAGTGTGTTGATAAAAGGTAGCTATCCTTGCGACGTTCTTAGACGGAAAATGCAAGTTAATGGTATACGCTCAGATGCATTGGGACCAAAATACAATGGATCTATCGACGCAATAAAGCAGATAGTTAGAGCAGAAGGGTATGTGTGATTGTTCTACTGGTCTACTCAAAGCTAATAGACGTACCAGATTCAAGGGCCTATATAGAGGAATAGTAGCTAACTGGATGAAGGGTAAGTGTCTGTCATCTTCATGAAAATTTTCTAACCAAAATACAAAACAGTCGCACCCTCAATCGGTGTCAGTTTCTACACATACGAGTTAGTAAAAGAGCTGCTAGAACCAATAGAATATATATAGAATTATCTAATTGTATGCTTCTTTACAGTGTTCATCGATGAACGATAACAGTAAAATCTACATATGTTAGTTGAGAGTCTTCTTATTAATGAGAGCGACCTAAATAAATATAGCCAACCTTAGTTGGAGCACAAACGATGAAGATCTCGCTCGTGTGAGTTGGATCTAGAAGGTAATACACACGTTCTCATTGAGTGATACTACAGGCGTTTAGTCCATTTGGGCAGATAAGCGACTACATTGTCATGAAAGACAGACAAACGGGTAGATCCAGAGGTTTTGGTTTTGTTACCTACGCAAACGACAGGGAAGCGTCTAGTGCACTAGAGAGTATGAATGAAGTTGAGCTTGTGAGCGCTTTCTTAAAATATAATCCTGTTTGACATATTACAACTAGGACGGCAGGAGAATACGCGTCAATTACGCACACGCCCGGTCATCACCAAGAAGATAGTAAGCTAGTTGGAATCTATTAGCTAGGACGACAGAGTGTATCGGCTATATCTTGGAGTTTGCGAATTGCTATATAATGTACTTGTATAATCTGTATGCATATCACTCACTGAGATGTCCGAGGCCGAGTGGAATAATATTTATAATAGGCTGTTTGATAGAGTGATTAATAGAATCTAGATATATTAATTACCATATAAATACATTATAGACGCTCTAGACACCTACTCACTCTATATCTTGAACGACGATGGCATTTTTACCAACAGGAAAGCCATCAAAGAGTAAATTACTACCTAAACTTGAAATACCAAAGCTCGAGAATGCACCCGGTATGAGCTACCAAATGGACAATCAACAAAAGCCCAGCCTATCACTCGCCATACCCTCGGATACATCGTCATCCTCAGCACCTTCTTCTTCAACAGTAGATAATGATAGAACTGTCTATGTATCCGGTAGAACTCCGTCAGCACCACCACGTCCGCCAAAACCACAAGATTTGGATTTGTCGAATAGTGATATCCAAGAGAGTGATCTGATCATTATAGACAAATTGGGTGAAGGTGCAGGTGGATCAGTAGTTAAAGTCAAGCATAAATCTTCTGGTTTGATTATGGCCAAGAAATCAATGTCGACTTCACCAGATCCAGCTATCCACAAACAATTATTACGTGAATTACAATTCCTTAAACAATGTCAACATGAAACTATTATAAAATATTACGGCGCATTCCTCACAAATGAGAATACTGAAGTTGATGTTTGCATGGAGTACGCAGAAGGTGGTAGTCTTGATAGGATATACAAGCATATCCGTCGGAGGCAAGGTAGAACTGGTGAGAAACCTCTAGGAAATATTGCTGGTAGTGTGAGTTTTCTTCTTGGCCGAGTACAGTCGCTCATGTAATTAGGTTCTCCGAGGATTAGAATACCTTCATAGTATGAAAATTATCCACAGAGGTGAGGTATATCATATAACGAAGTTCCATTATTGACATATAACAGATATAAAACCATCTAATATAGTTATAACGCGAAATGGTCAAGTGAAACTCTGTGATTTCGGTGTTAGTGGTGTCTTAGAAGGAAGCGTAGCAGAGACATTCACTGGAACACAATTTTATATGGCTGTGGGTTTCACGTCTTACTAAAAGCCGTATCTAACGTGCAAACAGCCTGAAAGAATGGACGCTAAGGGTCAAGGTTATAGAGTAAACTCCGACGTCTGGTCATTGGGATTAACTTTACTAGAAGTTGCTCTGAATAGATACCCATATCAAGAAGTCAATGAAGAACCAGTTGGTCCAATAGAATTGATTAACATGATAACACTATCAAAACCACCTGAGTTATCAGATGAACCTGAAATTGGACTTAAATGGTCATCCGGTATAAAAGGATTTATAAAGAAGTGTCTTGATAGGGATCCATCTACTAGGCCATCACCATCTGAGTTATTACAAGACAACTGGGTGAAAAAGACTTGCTACAAATTCCCAGCTGATCGTCTATCAGTATGGCTTGCACAGGTTTGGGAATGGGAGATGCCAAGTATACCAAGGCAAGCAAAGCCAATCAAAAGAAGGCAACCATTGCCCCACCAAATACAACAGCCGGTAAGACAACAACAACCTCATAAAGTACAATCACAACAGCAACAACAACAACAACAAACATTTTACAATCTTAACTACAATTAAAATTGCATTGTAATCATCAATCATTTATATATTTTAAATATTTGAAAATTCATATGTAATATATATACACATCCTTCTAAGATTAATTACAAGGATGTAGAATAGTTTGATTACCACATCCTCTCATCACTTAGGTGTAGATAGTTTATAACGTTGAAGAATACTCGCGTAAGCACTCTTCAGACTGTATATTGGGAGCTATGATACATGATTCAAGCCACTAAGAGAGTTATAATACGAGTATTCTAACAAATAAGCCACGTTGCTAAGATGTAACGGTAATTGGAGAAGGAATGTATCAGACAGATCAAAATTTCATGTATGAAGTAGGGCAACGTCAATCCTAAACTCTTTAATACTGCATGCTGATGATATTTGTAATTATAGACTAATTTGGCATTTTTGAATGCCAAATTGTAGGTTTATTTTTTTATTGGCGAGTTCAGACATGCACAAACAGAATGACATCAAGGGAATATTTCTAATGGCGAATTTAAATTTTCGAAAGGATTCTCAAATTTGTTAAATGAACATATGTATTATTGCTAAATTATGAACCTCTATAGGTTGTATAACTTGCTGGCGTGATAAGCAAAGGAATCTAAAGGTGTATATTAGATTAAACTTTTTATAGAGTCTAAACCCACATGATAATGTTCACTCTCGTCGTAAATCTCAAAATGTACCTTTAAGAAAGCGAATAAGTTTTGAGACAAGGTTGTAGGAAAATAACTCACGTCGATAATTGGATGAAATGGTCTTATACCTTGCTTCTCCCAGTATTCACCAGTATGAAATCTCAGCTGGTACTTGCCTTTTGATAATGAGCGATTAGGTATGATATCCTCGCAACGTCCTTTCTCGTTTGTCGTACTGTATACTAGTTTTTAGATGGTATCTAGTATCACCGAACAGCTCACCTCTTGTAGTCGTCGTTTTCTTGTCCGGTGAATAGCTCAATTGCTACATCTCTAGCTGGTCTACCTGAGCTGGTGTCTAGAACTTAAGTACAACTAATCAGCATTACTCTTTTAGATCAAACGCATAACCTACTATGTGTTGTTACCTGGCTGTTGACGCTCATGATGGATTTAAGTTAAGAGCCTATCTCCGATGAAGATGTCATAGATAAGAAATTTTCGTGGCATTAAATTACAATAAGAATGCAAGGGAAAGGTAATCGTTAGGTAAATAATTAGTTTTGACCTCAGACTGGAGCCCAGAAAGTACAATAATAGAGAAATACGTTAAATCGCGGAAACCGTGAAATTTGTGCAAATGGTTAAAAATAAAAGTCTTCAAGTAATTCCATTTTCAAGCCACAGATGGAGGTGTAGGCGCTGGCGCTTTATGACTAACACCAATTCTTGAGAGAAGTAAATCCAATGACTTGAATGAAGCAGGTTTTATGAGATAACCGTCAACACCAGCAGCGAAAGCTCTCCTACGATCTTCCTTTGCCGCTAAACCTGTCAATGCGAATATCTTAGCAGGAGGTGTAACTTCTCCAGATTTCGCATTCAAGTATGATTTTTGTCCGAATTTGTCTTTTTGTTCCCGCATTTCCTTCCTTCTTTGGTGTTCTATTTCGCGGATCTCAGAAGTTGCTTGCAAGCCATCCATAACTGGCATAGAAACTAGGTATCGTAATGAGCTTTTTTTTTATCAATGTGTAGCAATGCCTACCATCCATTAGTATGACAGAGAAGTAACCTGGTCCGGTTGAGTTAACAATATCAACTGCTTGCTTTCCATCCGTTGCTTCAACATATTCGCAACCCTATTATGAAGCGTTAATAATGCCAACACTAAAAATGACACATACCTTCTTCTTAAGGAACTTGGTTAATAAATTCAGGTTGATAGCATTATCATCAACGCATAGAACCCTAAATGGTTGACCATGTGCCTTAACTGGCTCATTCTCAGCGCTGGTCTTCAAGATCGCACCAGCACCCGAAATACTTATCGTAGAACCAGGCGTTGATGGTGAGCTACCATTATGAGTTCCACTGTTGTTATCCTTCGAATGACCTGAAAAGGTGGACCAAGTACCAGAGACTGATCTATTATGATTCAACTGACTAGTACTTGGACTAACATGATAAGTTACACTTCTAGGTGTCATACTAGGTCTGGTTGGTAAGTTCGCCGATGGTTGTGTTGATTTATCAGAGTTTCTTCTCTGAATTGACATAAGATTCTCGGTAGAATTAGTTCTTTGACCAGATGGACTGAGATATTCTGACATTTGTTCACGCCAATGATCGTCAGGTGTACCCCCAGATGAGCTATTATAAGATTGATTAGCTTCACTAAAGTAATCCGATTTATTAGATCCAGATGATTCAGCAGGGGAAGGCATTGGTAGATTCCTAAAGAAATCAAAATTGCTATTCGACCTCTTTTCTGTTCTTGCATGACCACTCCTTTGAGCTAAACTGTTTATCAAAGCTATCATCACTGAGTCAAATTTCGTTGGACCGGCTGGCTTGTATATTATTCTTGCAATTCCACCAAGCCTTTCATATTCAACCTTAGCTTTATAGAGTTGCTTATCAGCTCGAGATGATGATATCAGAACTATTGGTTTGCTGAATTCACGTTCTTGTATCAACGCAAGTAACATCTCTTGTGCTTCATTTATAACTAATATATCACCGTAGACGTTGTTTTGAGGCGTTGATAAAGCACATTCTAAGCCAAGCCAACTGCGAATGTAGTTACTGGTAACGTTTATTAAAGCTTCCCCACCCATTGAATTTGTGTCGAATCCATGTAATGTCACTTTTGGTTTCCAATTTGAACTGTAACCAAGCTTCTCAATTATATTTTCTTGAGTAAGTGACTTCTCCTCTTCCTCTGACTTGTTGTCTATCATCTCAACGGGAATAGTCATCTTTATCTCTGTTCCTACATCTTCACGACTTCTAATGTCAATCTGACCATTAACGGAAGGTGATTTAATAATTGAGCTAACGATCGCCAAACCCAAACCTGTACCGGCTTGTAAAGGATCTTCTTGACTGAATGGCTGGAATACTTGACTATCTAAGAAACTTTTTGACATTCCCTTACCGGTATCAATAACAACTATCTCGATTGGTAATTTCTTGGATCCTGGTGAATGAGGAGCTTCCCTTAAAATGACCATAATATAACCGCTTTTTGTGAACTTTTGTGAATTACCAACTAAATTTTGTAAAACTCTCCTCAATCCGGCTTTCTCACATTTACAATTCCAATTTGATCTAAATTGAACGTCGACTAATATCTCAACAGGGATTGATTTAGAAATCTGATCTACTTTCTGAGTAGTAAGTGAAGGTGAAGAAGAGGATGAGCTTGATGGGGGTGCGTAAATATCACCTAAACCTTCGCTTGATGCGGCGAATCTTCCCCTGTAACCAATTATTGTGCTTTCAACCGCTTCCTCAACTAAATTCTTCAAGTTAACCTTCGATAATTTGATACCCCTTTCAACACCCGCGCTCGTATTTGATCCTGAAAGTTTTGTGAAATCAAGAACATGATTGAGTGTTTCACTAAGTGATCTACCACATGCTTTGACTGTATCTAAAAACTCAACTTGTACCTCATCCAATTCAGTATCTTGGAGTAATTCAGCAGCCGCAAGAATACCATGTAATGGCGTCCTCAATTCATGTGAAATATTACTGATGAAATTTTGCTTTGCTTTATCAGCGAGTAAGATTCTTTCTTTAAGTACGGCAGATAAGATTATTACACCCATTGCACGTAAGAATTGAATTTCATAACCTTCAAGAAGAAGTTTACGATCGCCAGTATAAGCTACGAGTAATGCAAAAGGACCGTCTTTGTCATTTGAGAGATTGAATATCGGTACGATAGCCATACCATACTTTTCTTTGACACCTACGAACTGTCTGAAGACACCTGGGATTAAGCCATAGTCGAAAATGTATCCATCAGGGTTTCGCTTCAAAAACCAAGCAAGTTTTTCTGAGTTCTCTTCGCTAACTGGTTGGAAACGGTTTGATGGAATAGGTCCATCTTCAGCTGCTGCGAGTATTGGTATTGAACGAGCGTATGCATCATCCGAACCAGATCTGTTTATTGGTGGCCATTGAGATTGTGACCTATTTTCTCTTTTTAAAGCATTAAGGTTGGAAGACGAGCTAGTTCGTGTGGGCGTCTCTCTTTGAGATTGTGTGATAGGATCCTAAGCCAGTTAGATAAAGAAAGAAGCTTCAATTTTGTTCACACTTACTGGCATATATAGCTCATTATCGTCACCTAAATTCTCAGCGATCTCAAACTGCGAGATATCTAGCACTAAAGCACCTTCAACACCAAGAGTATCCTTGATTAAAGTTGCAGCTTTATCATAAACCTTTTGCATATCGCTAACATTGCTTGATTTTGTGTTACCAGCTGAATTCATTTCCAAAATATCTCTATTAAATTGTTCCATAGAGCTTTGAATTAAATCCCTAGTTCTCATTTGACATTTATCTCTCCATAGTTCCATCTCACGGAGAACGATTGATGCAAATTCCTTCAATGTATGACGTTGTCTAGGTGTAAATTCGGTTCTTGGCTGGGAATCTATAAGAGCAAGTGCGCCAATGTTGTAACCATTATATGTTCTTATTGGAGCAGCTGCATAAAATCTAGCTTTTGGTGAAAATGAAGGATTTTTCGAGAATCTCCAATCTTTCGTTATATCTAAACTAACTAACGGTTCATCATTTTGTTGTAAAATTGCATGCGAACTCAATGCAGTTTTTCTTGGTTCATTGACCCTTATATCAGTTTCAAACATCTCCTCATAGCCAGTATGAGCTTTAAGTACGACATTTTCTCCATTAACGAGGCTAATTATGACACATTTAGTTTGAAAAACCAACTTGACGAGATGTAATATCCTATCCAATGATAGATCAGGAGTTCCTCTTAACAAATCAAACTTGAAAAGTTCCTTCCTTCTTGCATCCTCATTTAAAGGCAAAGGTGGCACTAAATACGAAAGCTCACTGAATTGTTTCTCAGCTAAGTTTTGTATACGATCAGAACTTAATCTTGATGGTATAGGATCCTTAATTGAGTTCATCTCAATGGGTAAGGCTTTCACTGATGTCACTGGTGACGTAGGATCAATGATGTGTTGATGATCAAAAGCCTCAGTTAATTTATCCAAATCAGGTTGGTCAGGCTGTCGTGAAGGAGTTGTATCATTCATAACCGTCCTATCGCTATCCTCTCTGTTAAGGAAATGTGGTCTGGTATTCGTTGGTGTTGAAGTATCAGTTGATAACTCCGATTCGTATGAAAATTGACGATCGTTTGTATTTAAAGGAGCTACTTTTGATTGTGGGGTAGGTGATACATAATCCATATAACCTGTCGATGAATGCTTTGTATCGTCATAAGTTTGTGAGGGTAAAGCACTCTTGAGATCACGTTGCTTTGAACCTTCCGGTGCGCTAGCAGGTCTATCAGTTGCATCTTCAGTTCCTTTGAAAAGCTTTTTATTAATATCATCTGAATGTATGAGAGAATGAGTCGCTACTTGTACCGCCAAATCTGGACCAAAAGCTAGATTTTGTTGGGTAGAGGACAAATTGATAGGATACAGAGACGTTTCGTTATCATCTATATCTTCAGAGACTGAAGATGCATGTGACATTGGAGCTGATCGGGTTTTCTGACCTGAAACTGGTGTAGAATTTGAAGGTGATTGAGGTTCTAAGAAAGTAGATGGATTGGATGGTAGGTATGATTCATTAATTGAGGACCTCCTCCTGCTTGTTGTGAATCCATCAATTTTATCAAGAGCTCTATGAGCTGAGTAAGTCCTGCGACTATCAACCGATAAAGTAGCAGAGTTTGTTTTCAAAGGTGGCCTAGGTATCTCAAAAGGATCCCATCTACCGGCTGCATATGCAGACATAAAAAGAGCCCAATCGTATTCGTCGGGGTTGCTGAGATGATCATCATCTGTGGATGTATTCATTCCAGTATAAATCGAGGGTAGATAAGCTATTGAAGTTTTAGCTAAACGCGTAATTTAGTTTTTATACTCACGCTTATCAATATCCACAGCGACGCTAGTAGATCTTGCGGGAGAGGTGTGAGAGTGGATTGATTGAGAGATATTATGCTTATCTCTACTACCACCTGGCATCTCTACTAAAAATTATTTTATGATGTAGTCCTCGTTGTCTAGATGAAAGATGATGGATGACAGTCTGTTGCTGATGTAAATAGTAAAATAATAAAAACTTAAATATTTCCTAACTAAAACAATGATATATTTATATCTTTTACGGATATATAAACTTAATACTACATACTCTGTGACCGGCTGAACTACGTCATAATAATTTTATGCACGCCTGCCTAATTTGGAATCCCAATGAAATGTATTTAAAATAAAAGAAAAGCAGTAAATAGGAAACTTTTAACCTGGAGGTAAGAGTGAGCTGTCGACTTCATCAATTTCGGCTGCTGCGTCGATCTCCTCCGCCCAGCTAGCTGGTAATGGTGTTCTAGGCATGACCATCATACCTAGTGCTGTGTTAGATGAGTAATAATTAAAAATAAGGTTATTTACCTGTTCTAGAAGCTTCAAGTACACCGAAAGCTCTAACTAAACCGAGGAAAGCGTCCAATCTGGTGCTTTTACCGGTAACCTCAACAATTACACTATCTGAGCTAACGTCAACTAATTTACCACTGAATTGTTCAGCGAGGTTCTTCAACGCAGACAAATGTGCGTGCTTTGTGCGTAATGCCTCAGATAATGACATCTTGGTCAAATCTTCTTGAACTTCAGAAGGTCTTTGGGTGTTCGAGAATTGAGTGATAGCTTCATCGTATGTCCTAGCTGACTCTAAGCTAAATGAGGGATCTGAACTTGATGGTTTGAAATGTTCATTAAAGTATTCTGGACCAAGGAGGGAAACTTTAACCAACAAAAGTTCACGTTCGATGACACTAGTGTTAGTGTAATCAAGTACAGCCCATACAGGTACCTATATCGAGTTAGATGTGTAACGGAATAATAAGCCGACGGACTAAATCTTCGAGTTGTCTTCTCGCTTGCTCTACGACTGCGTCTTGACCTCTGATACAGATGCACATCCGACTAAGATCGCGAACTTCTGTACGACAGACGACTAATGAGTCGATGTTAAAACCTCTTGCGGCTAAAATACCGGATACACGACTAAGAACACCAGGTTCATTTTGTACGAGTGCATTCAAGATGTGTCTGGGTGGCGTTAATAATAAAATGCTAGTAAAAGATAAGAGTTACCTCTTAAATGGTTGAGTCAAAGGTGGAGGAGTATTATAACTGAGAGAAGCTGATTAGTTGAGATAGATTGACGTAATAAAAAACGTACAGGATGTTCTTTACGGACTCCTCTGCTGTCCATCTTCTTGGAGGCTCTTGGGCAGGCAAAGGTGGTGGTCTTCTCGGTGAGTGCTCTAACTTGTACTGATAAGCCGAAGTGGAATCAGGATCAGAGTTGGCTGGCTGCTGTGAGTATGAGCGTGTTAATAATTTGCTAATCTGCCTAGGTTTCAGCGATCTATAAATTAAAGACATCGTCGTAGGGAGAAGATGAGCTGTGATGACTCGATAGACAATAATTGATGATATAATTTAAAATAATTGTTTAAATACAAAAATTTTATTCTTTTTACACTCCAGTTATTTCTTTATTTTACACCTTGATCTCTGTCAGTGGATGCGTTACTCTTTAAAATTACTCTCTAACGAACGACTTAGAATTTATAGCAAAATGTCAAATAGAGTAGCTCACAGTTTTGATAAAGCAAAGTTAGAAGCAGTTTGTTTGAGAAGATTCTTCTTTGCACCTGCCTTTGAAATCTACGGTGGTGAGTCAACTAGTGAGCTACGAATCTTATACTTAGAACATCACAGGTTGCGCTGGTTTATACGATTATGGTCCACCTGGCTCTGCTCTTCAAGCTAACATCCTTGACGCTTGGCGCAAGCATTTCATTATCGAAGAAGAAATGTTGGAAGTTGACACAACTGCAGTCACTTTAGGCGAAGTACTCAAAACATCAGGTCACGTTGATAAGTTCACCGATTGGATGACTAGAGACACAAAAACCGGTGACATTTTCAGAGCAGATCATCTCATAGAGGCTGTCCTTGAAGCACGTCTCAAAGGTGACAAAGAAGCTCGTGGTGTACAACAAACCGAACAACCAAAGGAGGATGAAAAGAAGAAGAAGAAGAAAGTAAAGTCAACCGCTGTCAAATTAGATGACGCTGTTGTTCAACAATATGAGACAATTCTCGCACAAATTGACAACTTCGACGGTGAAGGCTTAGCTGATTTGATTGCTAAGCACACTATTAAATCGCCTGAAACTCAAAATGATTTGACAAAACCTGTTGAATTCAACTTGATGTTCGAATCTTCAATCGGTCCAACAGGTCAAGTTAAGGGCTACTTACGTCCGGAAACCGCTCAAGGTCACTTTGTCAACTTCGCTAGACTCTTAGAATTCAACAACGGTAGAGTTCCATTCGCTTCCGCTCAAATTGGTAAATCTTTCCGTAATGAAATTTCACCAAAGCAAGGTTTACTTAGAGTTAGAGAATTCTTGATGGCTGAAATTGAACATTACGTTGATCCACTCAAGAAGGATCACCCAAGATTTTCAGAAGTTGAAAACGTCGAACTTCAAATTTTACCAAAGGAAGTTCAAGTTGAAGGTAAAACTGACTTAACTACTATAACCGTTGGTGAAGCGGTTAAGAAGGGTATCATTGACAACCAAACACTTGGTTACTTCGTAGCAAGAATTAACCTCTTCTTACAAAAAATTGGTATCAATAAGGATAGATTAAGATTTAGACAACACATGTCAAACGAAATGGCTCACTACGCATCAGATTGTTGGGATGCTGAAATACACACCAGTTATGGATGGATTGAGTGTGTTGGTTGCGCTGACAGATCAGCTTATGATTTGACTGTACACGCCGTTCGTACAGGTCAACCACTTGTCGTTCGTGAACCACTTCCAGAAATCAAGATTGAGGAGAAATGGGCACCAGAAATTAACAAGAAGAAGTTCGGTCCAACCTTTAGGGCGAACCAAAAGATCGTTGAAAGCACCATATTCGCACTCGATCAACCACGTTTAGAATGTATCAAGAAAGAATTTGATGAGCAAGGAAAGTCTGATGTACAAGCAGCTGACGGTAACAAGTATGAACTCACACCAGAATTGCTCACTATTGAGAAGAAGACATTCAAGGAAACCAAGAGAGAATTCACACCAAACGTTATTGAACCATCATTTGGTATTGGTAGAATTCTCTACGCCTTGCTTGAACACTCGTTCTATGCTCGTGAGCAAGATGAGAGTAGAACAGTTAGTACTTCTTTTCGAATTACTTCTTTAACTGACGATTATATTAGGTTCTCGGATTCCCACCACTTGTCGCTCCAATCAAGGCACTCGTCGTACCAATCTCAAACTCTAAAGAATTCGAGCCAATTATCAAGGATATTTCATTACAGCTTCGTAAAAATGGTGTTGCATCTAGAGTTGATGACTCATCTGCAACTATTGGTAAGAGATACGCAAGAAATGACGAACTTGGTACCCCATACGGTATCACTGTCGACTTTGCAACTGTCAAGAACAAAACCATCACTCTTCGTGAACGTGACACAACTGAACAAAAGATTGGTACCATCGATCAAGTTATTGATACACTCGTTAAACTTAGTAAAAGTGAAATTGAATGGTCACAAGTTGACCTCCCAGCTTACTCAGGTGTACAAGATGCTGACTAAATTTATTCGCATATTCTTAGAATTAAAATAAAAAACTATAATCATATAAATCTTTTTAATACAACAATAATGATAAGTAAGACTGTCAAAATTCTGTGAAAAGGAAAAAAGTCAAACGAGAGTAAAAGTTAACTTGAACAGATTGATAATGCAGCAAATGAATGAAGTGATGAACGTGAAAACCAGAGAATGAGTGTGTGAGCATTGTAAAACTAAAAAGTCAAATAAAATCCAAGAAGGTTTTACTAAAAAGTTGTTATGTAATAATTAATCACCGTGAAATAAAAGAAGATGACTAAATTATCTAGTGGTCGTTACTTGAAAGAAAATTATGTTACTATAAGTTCAACAGCACCACCACCTTGATTTTTAGCCCAATCCATAGCCATTCCAACATCTTCATCACCTAAAACCAAAATCTGATCACCTTCTTCATCGATCCATTTAAGTTTAAAAGTGATAAGTCCATCATCTGTATCATTGGCACTTGTAACTAGATTATCAGAGTACGGTAAATGTGATCTAAATCCAGTACACAATCTAACTTTCCTTGCAATTTGTGTAACAAGTGATGAATGATCAATTGACGGTGGTAAATTCAGAACGAATAAGTCCTCATTGTACCTAACTTTTACTTTCATTTTATCACTCAATAATCCACCGTTTGAATAAGTAGTTGGAGTAGGTGGGTTGTCATTATTTGGTGAACTAGCTAAAGAAGATGATGTTGAATTTGTTGACGTTGAAATAGGTGCAACCTTTCTCTTATCACCTGCGCTAGAATCTTGTGAACTATTCGTCAATGTTGAACTTTCTGAGAATCTCTTTGAAACCCATGACCGTTGGGTTGGTGCTTCAGAGTAACTGCCTGCACCGAGGCTTACTTTACTACCATCATGAAGCTCATCCTCATGAGGTGCTTGCTGTTGAGCCATATGTTGCTGCTTTGCTACCATTTGTTGATGAGCATTTGATAATCCAACAAACGAACTATTTGAAGAAACTGTATGCATTGATTGTGAGCTAATCGGATTATGCGGTAAAGGTGGTGGTTGCATCGTACCATTTTGTTCATCAAATGGATTTTGTTGCGTGTAAGTATTTGGTGATGATAATGATCTATTTCTATTATGCGGAGATAACTGCGGTTGAGTGCTTGGTGAAGCAAGACTACCAGCCTTAGCCATAGCAGCACTAACTGAAGGTACAGGCGGTGCACCAACTGGTGTCTGTCTTAATGCAGATTTAGACGATTGACTTCTTAAAGCACGTTCGGCGCCAGCTGAGAGGTTTAAGCCCTGTTGTGATACTGATCTTGGTGGGAATTGCTGTTGTTGTTGCAACTTCCACTGTTGGAATGAGTGAGCATTTGAATCTTCTGTCTTTGCTCTCTGTTGTCTTGCGCTAGCTGGATAGATGGGTGATGGTATTTTATCTTCCATACTAACATTACTCATTGGTGAGATCAAATTAGTGTCCAAGATAGGAGTTTGAGGCCATTGTGATGATTGTTGGCCAGATGGTCTTCTTGAAGATGCTGAGTATGAGTGTGAGCCTGCTGAAGAAACAGACTGTTTTCTAGCTGATGATGGCATTTCACCTCTAGCAATGGCATCTTCCATTGCTTGCTTTCTGATAGCGACTTGACCAAGTTGTTTATCTAATGCCGCTTTCCATAACTCAAGCTGTTCACTTGTTCTACATTTTAAGGTAAAAGACTCAAGGTCGTCGTCACCTCTCCACCATACTTCAAGGTTATGTGAACCAGGTTGAATGTCTAAAGATTGTTAGAAAAGATAGTTCTATTTAGTAAACCATCTCTCACCTCTGAAATATGGAATGACATGCGTGACGTTGTTGAGGTAAATTCTACCTTTCAGTTGTAAAGGAATATTACGGCGAAGAGGGTCAAATTGATGGAAAGAACTGTCCTTTCTCTTGAGCAAACTGTTAGATTTAGATGGCTTCCTCTCCTTGCCACCTTTATCACTGCCATTTTGATTTCTGTTCTCTGGTACTTCCTTACAACAAAGGAGGATCTTTTCAAACAAGAAAACATGATATTCTCTATCAACTTGATTCTTGTTTACGTTAAACATATCCTCTATTACCAAATTACCGAATGAGCCAATATGATGACCCTTCCAGTCTTCAACTCTATTGACAAGAATTTGACATTTCTCAACGTTCTCTTTTTGTCTTTGAAGTTCATTGATCTCACCAGTGACTCTCTTCATGGCGTCATAACCATTTGATAAATCTGAATACGAAGGTGATTCTTCGTCAGTCTTTCTTCTAATTTCCTAAAATGAACGTATTAGAATTATTCCGCAAGAAAAACAACACTCACATCAAGGAACATGTGGTATTTACACACACGTTGAGTAGGCTTGATAAGTAACGCTTGAACTTCATAATGAGAAAGTCCGGAAGGAGTACCATTTTGGATAGCATCAGCTTGTTCCAAGACAATTTGATTAGCGTGATTGTAGTTAATAACAAAAGGGGCATAAACGAGCCAGTCTTGTTCCTGTAAAAGGGGTGTTAGTCAGGGTGACGGACTAAAAAAGTACCTGATTACATGATCGGTGAAGGCTTTACCCCATAAACCAATACCACCGGATTGATCAACTTCGAAAGCCTCTTCAAGACTAATTTGAACTCTTCTTTGGAAATCGACAAGGGCATGAAGGTTAGTGAATATGGAATGATGTGTATCATGTGAGAATATATTTGATTGCCTAATTTCATTTGAGAATGATTGAAGTAATTCCATGTCCATAATAAATTTTCTCTCTGATTCGATTAACTCTTGAGTGATTTTAACCCTCGATTGATTAGTTGATTGGAGGATCGGTGCGTCGTCGGTTTGAGTGGGCGTAACTTCAATTAATTTACCTCTTTTATCTAATTCATTGAGTACTAAGTTAACAGTATGTAAAACTCTAATGAATCCACTGGTGTCTTGCTTATATAAGTCTGTGACGGTGAAGAGGTCATCACTGGTCCAGCCCGTGGTTGTGTCCCCCAGTAATTTACAGCTGATAATAAACCTGGCTACACCTTTCTTACAAATTGATTGCTTATTTATGTCGTAATTGTCTGAAACTTCCAACTGTTGCTCGAGCCCAAGCTGATTGAAAAGATGGCAGAGCGAATTTCCCAGTTTAAAGCACTCCCAGAGAAGATTAACGCAATTAGTAGAGTGTACGCTATCTAAAAACATACTAAAACCTTCAACTCTCAATAATCTTGATCTCAGGAGTAAACATCTCTGATAGACAGATTGGGTCTGCAAGGGTGACCTGTTGATCTGAGACTTTGATGCAACTGGCTGTTCTATCTGCGTATGATCTTGTTGATTAATAGATTTCTTTCGTGCTGTTGTCGTTGATGTCGACATCCTCACTGTTATAAGCAGACCCAGGATTGCACAGTAAATCAATTTAAAAAATAATACAAATACTATAAAACATAAAACCTATTATCAGGTTATCATTTTGTAGACTAAAACCCTCCATCAGACTTGTCAGTAATATCGGTATTAGCTGCTGCGACTCGAACAACCGGACAATCATCATGCTTATAGCGAATCCTATAGTACCTTCAATACTCTTATTTGATAAATTTGTCCATTTACGTTTCCCTATCTTCTTCCCCACTATGCTCGCCATTGCATCACCCACACCGAGAACTAGCACGCCAGAGAGATTATCCGCAATTCGTCCATTCTCCATCCAGAGACACATCATCGACCCCGTGAGTAAATAAAAGTGGCTTAGAATAGCAGCTCCACTATCCTTCTCGTCAATAAATTCACTCATGAAAACATGGATTTTCGCCGAGAAGGGGTATAACGCAAAGTAGCGCATATACTCTATGAATATGAACACTCCGAATGCTGCACTTGCACCCAAATGTGTCAATAATGGCTAAGGCATTCTATGTCAGCAGATGTCAAAAATAGCTCATCAGACGCACGTCGACAATCACTCCGGGTACTATAATAGCCGTCACTAATAAATGAAAGTACTTCCTCCTAGCATTCAATGTCATTCCACCTGCTGTTCTATTTGCCGCCGTAACTAATTTACCGACGATCTCCCGACCCTCGCGAACCCTCTCAGGGTGCATATTCTTAAACTGAATAGGGTTTCGTACTCGGCGGAGTTGCATCACCCAACCTATTATACTTATAGTGATTAATGCTAGCCAATAACCTATAAGTCCGAATCGACGGAGGTATCTTCCATCATTCGAGATTATCTCCTTTATCAGATCGATAGGGTTTCTCCACTTGAGAACCCAGATGAGCCACATACCAACTAAACTGAGTTCTAGTACTACACAGAGAATGTAGAAAGAACCGGAAAGTATTTTTCTATGGATGTCTTTCTGCTCTGGCCATCTGAGTCTGTGTAGCGGTTTTTGGGATATATTACGACTTAGTACCAGTAGCGGGGAGAGTAGAAAGCCAATGAGAAAAGATCCTGGAATAAGCGCCAGTTGCAAAACCAGGAAGGGCGTCGGAAGTCTGTATGTCTTGAGTGGAGAGAGTATGCCAATCTAAGTCACTTGTTAAAAAATTGATTTGAAAAGTGCACAACCCACCTTCCACCTCGTGAGATTGAGTACTTCGATAAACAAACCAGTACCCAAACCGCTACTAACGACGAGTTCACCCATTGTGAATCCCTTCTTCGCGAGTTTGGAAATAACCAATAGTGTGAACTGAAAGAAAATAGTCGCTGAAAAGCACTCCAGGCTATCCAGCTCGTTGAAGAAAGCTCCATCAGAATACACCTTGACAAGCTTGACCACTGTCGTAATCAAAGTACCGATTAGAATAGAGAAGGAGGAGAAGTTCAAGAAACGACGTCCACCGCTTTTGCTCTGCGTTCTCACGACGTTGGTGAAAAGAATATGTAAGGCCGTTGCAAATGACATAATTATAGATAGTCCAACAAGGGATCGCCTCGAATTGATAAGTTGATCCTGTGGATTCTCAATAAAGCTGTATTTGAGAACCCATTCAGCTGTAGTACCATCTCGTTTGCTTGATAGCGATCCATAGAGTAAGCTCAAGGCCATGAGAGGAAGTAGCAGCAACGCAACTGCTAAACCTGGATCGGGGTTGTCTCTGTACTCATTTGCGGAAGTGCCATATATATGCCCATACTGTGTTTTGTTAAATGTGAGTATAACAGCCGAAAAGGCTACTACAACCGCGGCTGGGATAACAACGCCGAATTGAGCAAATTCGTTAAGAAGCTTGTACGAAGCAAGGATTATAGATATTAATAATAAAATAGTCTCTGCGTATTGCACCGATAATGAACTTGTTCTTTTATCGTCTCGATGTTTATCAAGTAATCTCCTGCTCTGACGAAGTTTCGGTGCGCTATCCAAATCTACGTTTGTGCTGCTATCGCCGACAGATAAGTTACTCTCTGAGGTTGTTGAATGTCCGTCTGCGTCTGTACTACCCATAGCCCAATTGCCGCTGCGATCGTCCCACCTCTCCATTGCGCGTAAACTAGAGAGTGACTTCAACTTCCTTAATGAACTGCTACTACGTCTTCTACGGTAGTGTAAAATAACGCCGCTGTCTGACCTCTTGAGATTGCTAGCGCTGTTTGGTTTCCTCACCATAAAAGTTAGAGATTTCTATTTCGCTCTCTTATCGCGGTGATTGATGAACGAAGACGAGTGATTGCCAGCAAACCGGGAGGCGGGTATCTTAAAATAACGGAATATAATAAATTAAAATTACAGCGACAAAATCTATATAGCCTGTAGATTATATTACACTCTTGCCTAATCCTTTCGCGAATATATCCACGCTGGAATCACCAAGGTGGAACTGTTTCTCCCAGCCAATCCAACCAGTAGGTTTGCTATCTGTATAGTCCCATAACGGACCTCTATATGCCTTTATCTGAATGACCGATTAGTAACTTCAGAGCATTCATATGCAGGAACTCACTTGACCAGTAACTTCAGCACTTGGACCAGTCGATAATGGTTCAGTGACGATGGCAATACTCGAGAATGACTCGACGAGGGCAGCATGATGTGGTGAGTGCACTATCGTGACGATATCTGCATCAATCTGGCTAGTCTGAGTATTTCTAGTATATAACAACAACAGAGACTCACTTCCTCAGCCATTTTTAGTAAACTCTTAACAAACCATTCAATATCGCTATCTGGGAAGCCTAACCAGCTTAAGCAGGCTAGATCATCTATCAAGAGCTTAGAAGGTGTGTCAGACTGCCTGTGCGCCCGCAACGAATTCGTAGTCTCCTCTAAAAGTTCTTTGAGTGTATTCTCCTTGCCTTCTGCTAACTTATTCAAGCCATCAATGTAGCTAGTCGATGCATGGAAGGGAGATCCCTTAGACTTATAAATAAACTTCTATAACTTACTGAATTACTCACTAATTTCTTTACACAGGCCATCCAATGCTCCTTCGAGTGTTCAGTTGCTAGTATAGTAGTTGGATATTGTGCCATCTGTGCATTCTTAAGCTGATCTATTAGGATAAAGTGGCCTAAACAGCCAGGCTCATCTCTAATAATCGTCAATCTACTTCTCGACGGCAGTAACTCCGATAATGTGGTCATCGTATGTAAAAGAGGAATATTAATTCATCGTATAACAATAAAGTATAGAAAATTATCTTACGGCGTATTAAATAAAGTATTAATGTTATTATTATTGGTCTCGTGTTTCGCTCCTTTGTTTAGATTAGAAAATTAGAAGAAACTTTTAGCTTTGTTCCAGTATTTTCTGAATAGAGTCTCAACTTCCAACTCGTCGAAAGACTTCTGATCCTTGCTGGTTTGGTACTTTGAGCTATCCTTACGCTTTTGAGCATTAGCAGCAACCTTCCAAGCGCTCTTGAATTGTTCTTCAAGTGGTAACAAATGTGCGACAAGGTGGGGTTCAGCGTCAATCTTATCTTGAATTGACTTAGCAAGTTTACAGTCATTTTGTAAAACACTTGGGTGAAGTCTTTCAGTGCTACTAAGTTCTAATACTGGCTTTCTCTTGATTGGCATACTGAATGTAAAGATACCAGTCTTGCTGTCGTGTGGCTTTTGCTTACCCCAGCCTTCCATTGGGTCTGGGATGGTCTTGATATACTCGATGTCAAGTAAGAGGAGTGATTCGATACATGCACACATCCAAATGAGTGTCAAGTCACTCAATTCATGTTCTTTGTAAGAACCACCAATGTCAGAATGGCAACCGGTGAACCACACCTATATTGATCATTAGAAAGTATTCACCAAACTAGACAGTTTACCCACTTGTTTACAGTGTTGACCTCTTTCAAGGTTGTTCTTCTTAACTTCGAAACGAGTGTCGATGAAGTTAGGACGGTTTTCGTGTAAAGCAAGAGCATGGTAACAGTGCTCGACCTTGTCACCAAGAACTGTATCAGGGAAACCAAGGTAGTTTTCACCCTTGTGCATCTTAAAGAGTGTAGAGCCAAGTCTGAAACGATGTCAGCAATTATCAAAATCATCGTTAATACTCACGTAGGAACACCCAAAGCACCAACGGTATCGAAAACACCAATACACTATTGACTATTAGCGTTTTACTAAAAAAAAACCAGCTGTCTTACCTTTATGATAAATTGTCTACCTTTGTGACGTTGATTGTTCTCGTTAATCAATAGCCATGGATCGAGTAATTTTTGAGCCTCTTCAGCCTTCTTCTTGTCAAGTTTGTTGTTACGATCGTTATAAGCTTGGAAAATATCGAAGAAATGCTCCATTTCCTTGTTGTCGAGAATACCAATGTCATTGATGAGTGCACCGAGAGTTCTGGCGGTAAATGCACCTCTACTGAAACCAAATAAGAATATCTAAAAGTGAGGTGTCAGTGTACATTCTCGTGAAGGAGAACAGCTATCTAACCTCATCACCGTCACAGTAATTTTGAGACAAGAATGCGTAAGCATCTCTAAGCTTAACACCAAGGGTGTTACCAGTAGCACCACCAATAATCTTGTCGGAAATTGACCATCCTGTTCCTACACCACTGAAATTTTGTTAAAATTTAAAATTAGCAATAAACCAAGACATACCTAATGTAGTGGCAAATTTGTGGAATCGGTGGATCTTGTCTTCTATCCTCCTAGTCGTATTGTCAGTCAACGTCTCATACAGGCATCCCTGGCTTTTTTACCTGCTTAATCGCTCTAGAGAGACGCAAAATATTGGTATATTCGTCCTCAGCGCGCGTTTGCATAGCATCTTGCCAGGTACCATCACAACAAATGATCAAACGTCTCGTGTTTCTCTGTTGCTTTGGCATAGGTGTGCTATTTTGCTTATCTTCTATTGTGAAAGGTGGAAGGCCCTGAATACGATTGGCTACTGCCAAATCCTGCACAGGAGACTCTGTAGAAGGCTCATTAGTTACTGACTTGCTTGTGTCAGTTGTGTCTAGCTTATTTGATGAGCTGACGTTCTTCGACGAATCTTCAGCAGGTGAAGAAGCATCAGCAACTGGTTGTGCGGTATTATTATTCTCTAATTTATCCGCCATCTTTTTATTATTGATGATAGTTAATTGGATAGAATGGTTTGCCAAGTTTGCATTCTCAATTTAGGCTTCAATTAAGGCACTGCATAGGAGTGGTCTGTGCATATGCATACCTCGTGTCATTTAAGGAATAATAGTTAATCCTATTCATGCATTCTTTCGCAACTAAACTCGTTCACAAAGTGAGACAGATTTGTTTTAGATTTTAAAGTTTGATCATTCGCCGCGCTAAATTGAGTTATTTTTGACACCGCAAGGTTGGCATTCAGATACAAGGTCGGCTAAGTATAGAATGAGATGGTTTATTTTTATCTATTAATAATTTAGATTATAAGTCGTTTCATACGTCAATCATTGATCGATCGTCGTGTGTCCCGTTTCTTACCATTTAGAGTAGTTTGTGATGTATATTCATAGCAGTATAAGGCTAGTCGAGGTCTTATAAAAATTCAGTTATGCTCCGCTAACAATGTTCTTCAGACGTAGAGATTCATTCAACATGTGACGTGCCGAGCAGCAGCTGTCAAAGTTTGAACTTGAGGGCCCATGTGGAGGCATTTTGAGTCCGTTCGCGGTTGCTTTGGCTTTAGACAGCTGACACGCCATGGCATCATCGGTAAAACTCTAATAGGAGGTGATGGAGAGTGAGGGTTATTTCTAGTGTATCCAGATGATTGTATTATATTATACATTAGATCATTTCTCTCGATAGTGGGATACTAACCCTACTTCGAAATGACGACTACATCGGAATAAGTATGAGAAAGTAGGCATCGTATGTCACACAATAAACCTATAGTAATTATCTTAAAAGTTGTTCAATTCGTTCTATTTCATCTGATCTCCGAATGATGACTCCAAAACCAGCTCTTATAGCTAGATAAGAGTAAAAACGTATAAGTCTTTCTTTATTGATATAAAACCCCTCGATGTTTTAAAAGATAAACCCTCACTCTCGATAATCTGATAGTCCGAAACGACGAGATGACTTCCCTCATAACGATGAACATCCCAGCACTCAGATCAGCATTTTCAGCTACCAGCAGACGCACATTCAGCACTAGCAGAGCAAAGCTAGATGCTTTAGTATACCTCGAACATCGTGATGGTAAAATCAACCCTGGATCTTTATCTGCCCTCACTGCAGCCCAGAAAGTAGACGGAAAAGTAGTCGGTTTAGTAGCAGGCAGCGAGAATGTAGATAGTGTAGTAGAAGAAGCTAAGAAATTACCTGTTAACAAGCTTTTGCTCGCTAAGTCGGATATTTACAACCATCATTCACCAAGTACACTCGCACCATTACTTAAATCAATAGTCGAGAATGACAGCGCTATTACACACTTATTCGCTGTTCACAGCGCCGTTGGAAAGAATGTCCTCCCACGTGCTGCTGCCTTGCTCGACACTTCGATCATCGCCGATATCCTTAACTTGGAAAATGGCGGTACTGAATTCACAAGAGGTATCTATGCTGGTAATGCAATCAGCACTATAAAGAGCGATGAGCCTAAGAAGGTCGTCACTGTGAGAGGAACCGCATTTGATGCTGCTGTTGCTGGTTCAAGTGAGGTTGCGGTTGAAGAAATAGCAGCAGTTGATGCAAAAGGTGGGTAGATCATCTAGAAATGTATGTTTATTAATATATACCAGACCACGCTCCATATGTCTCCTCCGAAATGACAGTTACTGCTCGCCCTGATTTAGGCAGCGCATCAAGAGTAATCTCAGGTGGAAGAGCACTCAAATCAGCTGAGAACTTCAACCAAATTATTGAACCCCTCGCCGATAAGCTTGGCGCTGCTATTGGTGCATCTAGAGCTGCCGTTGATAGTGGATACGCCGACAATTCATTGCAAGTTGGACAAACTGGTAAGATTGTCGCACCAGTGGGTATTACGGTAATATGAATTGCTTCCGTCTGACGACTGTTAGGAACTTTATATGGCTATTGGTATCTCTGGTGCCATCCAACATCTTGCTGGTATGAAAGATTCAAAATTGATTGTTGCAGTCAACAAGGTGGGTGTATCATTTTAATCACCTGATGGCCCTAACACCCCTATAGGACCCAGAGGCACCAATATTCCAAATCGCTGACGTTGGACTTGTCGCAGATTTATTCGAAGCAGTACCAGAAATAACAAAGAAGATAGACACATAAATTCTATAAACATTGTAATTTAGATATAATTTCTTTTTTTTTCACGGTCTTTTTAAGCCGAGAGGTACGTTTTAATCAATTATCAATGCCAGAATGAGTGAAGGGGGTATCAGACGAAGGGCGTCGTATTCTAGTAATATAAAGAGTTTTTTACCTTCAGAAATAGCGTCACATTTGCCTTCCGCCACAAGTTCTGCACTTGATTACCTAGATTTACACGGTACTGTCGATGCAGTCTGGAGCGCGGGAGAGCGTCTACAGAGGTGTTTCTTTGACGTCGAGAACAGAGTAAAAACATTTGTTGAATCTAATCCAACGTCCATTAGTAAAGATTTACTTAAGATGTTGACTGATTTACGTACGATGGACATAGAAAAGCTCCGACTACCATCTGTTCAGTCGCAGATTGAATACATTACAGTTAAATTAAAGTCAGTTATGGCTTCATCCCCTGATCAGGTCGTATTAGATAAGTGGGATGAGATACGAAGACTAGTTGAAGAGGAATTTCAAGATAAAGCTCAGCTATTTGATAGCGTAGTAGAGCATTCATTTGATTCAGCGAAAAAATCCATAGAAAGAGCCTTAATTAGAGCGCAAAATGGTGCGAAATTGATTAAGTTTAATGAATTACCGGATGCTTGGAAGAACAACGAGCATATCCTTACTGGTTATCGCTTTATTCCGATTGATAATAAGCGTGATTTATTCCTATCGGCGTTTAAATGGCACAATGAGACGATTAAGTGAGTGAAATGGTTTCATATTATTTTACTGACTAAGAAATAGCGTTCAAACACACCTATGGGCAGCTGTTGGCGTCACAATGCTACTCCTTTACCACGTAGTAGCACCACACCCTGTTTGGATAGCAGAGGATAGTACATGGTCAGATAAGCTAGTGATGGTCAGCTTCCTGTTGGCATCTTTAAAGTGCCTTATTTTTTCCAGTTTATGGCATATCCACGCAGGCTGTGCGGACAAAAAGTATTTCGAACATTACGCTTGTGTAGACTATGTAGGAATTTCATCCTTGATAACGGCTAGTATAACGGGAGTAACATTCTATGGATTATATTGCGACAATATTACCAGAAATACACTTCTCACATTTATAATTTCAAACGCATTCGTTGGAAGTTATTTACCATTCACGGATTCATTCAATAAGAAAGAAAGTAGAGGATTCAGAATTGGATTTTTTGTCTACATGGCTATTTGTGGCCTGGCACCAATATTAGCAATGGTTTCATATCATGGGCTGGACAATACGCTGACATTTTTGGCACCCATCATACCATCACTTTTATTCTACGTTGTTGGATTAATTATCTACGCATTCCAAATACCTGAAGTAAGTGTTACTTTAATGGGGTTTCCACGCTAACGCCATCTCAGTGCTTCGCTCCAGGTAGATTTGACTTTGCATTCGCGAGTCATAATGCATGGCATATAGCAGTTGCTGCCGCGATATTCTTGCATTATAAGGCGATTGTTAGTATGTACGAATCAAGATATCTCTTTGCATGTTAAATTGTCATAAACAATATCATATATCCATATACATTTCCCTCTTAAAAGAAAAACCGAGACCCCACTTAGTAATCCGAGATGGTCATGTGCTATCCAATTATAGAAGCTGGTTTAGAATAACTAAATGGATGATACATAAATTTACTCTATAATTCAATTATAGTAGTTTCATAGAAACTTTGAAACGAAATATCATCAATCGGTTTCATTCAGCTCACGATATCGCCGGTTCTTCTTTAAATTCGTCGATGAGCAACCTATTCAAACAGGATGAATTCGCAAAGAAGTTAGAACCGCCTGAAGAAGCACGTCAATTGGGTCCACCTAGTGGCCCTTCTATCCTCAAGAACTCGTCTGAAAAACAGTACAAACCGTCGCACGAGAGGTCTAGTGACTATAATCAGAAAGAGTGTGAGTCTAACCGTATATTATACAATACCTAGATCACAACTCATTCGTTTTTAGCACCAAGGAAGTTGTCGGTTGATAGCATTTCATTCGCACCGCTCCCACAACGACCAACAACCATGCCTCGGCGGAACTCGATAACACTCGGAGTAGCCGCCCGGTCTAGCTTCTTCAATAATGCAGGCGGTGCCACCAACGTACATAAAAACCCGGATGGTAGTATGGTAAAGACATTTACCCCGGAACAATGGAAACAACTTGAAGAATCCCAAGGGAGGAATGTAGTCGACTTGGGTGATGTTGCAGTTGTCGCTGGTAAGAAATTCGTTAATTTACTACGTGGCAGACGCGATTCGAAAGACAAAACCTCAGACAAAGAGAAAGAGCAATTTAGAAATCCAAGAAGAGATGAGAAGAAACTTGAGGATGTCGGAGAGGTAATACAGGAAGAGGACGCGGAAATTGAAAATAGCGATGATACGCTCTCACCTAACACAAGTCAGAGTCACATTAGTCAGACTACAAGCGACGCGAGCGATATCCTTACTCCACCATCAGATGCTATGCATATGCGAACTTCATCCGGAGGCCAACTTCAACCTTATAAGCAAGATGCCTATCAGGAAGATGAGCACCTTAAAGCATACGCATTAGGATTTGTGAGTGATATTTATTATTCAGCCATGTTGTATTCCTCTAATACTGACCTCAGGATCCTGCCAAACTTGGTGCTAGAAGACAACAAATGTAAGATATATAAGATACCTGGGTCATGATTGCAACATAAAGATGAATTTTTACAAATGTATTACATATAATTAGATTAGGATAATTACTAGTTTATCTATATAGGAAGCAGATTGCTAGCACCTCTGAAAGCCATTCTACTACCGAATTTGAGTGTTGTGAGACCACCAGGGAAGTATTGGAAGATGTAAGTCAATAGAGCAGCTACCTGAGAAATTATTAGTGCAATGTATATTATAAGAGCTCTCAATTACCTGTACGAGACCTGCAACTAATACTCCAATGTATGATTTTGCCTATGTCCATGTCAGTAAATGGTGGAAAAGAAACAAAAATACCGACAAAGACAGCGAAATATATCGTCAAACTGAGTGAAGAGAGATAGGAAATAGAGAAAACCAATCTCTCTTTGCTGAGGAGATGTTTGAGGTGGTTCCAGGGACCAACAAGTAACGCAAAGCTGTATAGCTGTTATAATGATATTGTAGAATATTATGCCTCTACTCACGCTGCCATAACTAATACGCTTCCCATACTAAACGCCAATGCGAACTTATGCGGCCGTATTGGGAGAATAGGCAGGAAAAGGAGGAATCTAAAGATTTTTAGATAATCCAGAGTATGTAGATACTACGCACGCTAATACGAAGCATGCAGCACTTCCAAGTAAGCAAATTATGAAACCGAGGAATCTCTCCCATCTGTTTAGAGCAAAGTAAGCTTCCTCTTCATTGGTTCGCTCTTCAGAGTTCAGCGGCACGTAATCGGATACTGTGTTTTGTATTCTAGACCATATACTGGTAGGTTGTTGGTCAGACTGTGACGTTTGTGACCATCTGAAAGCACCGAGGGATTGTCTAAAGTTAGCTAGAGTAATATTAATAAGAAGCTATTACATATAAATACAACTCACACTCAGCTTGAGGGTTAGACATTTTGATTTCTCACTGTAGCTCACAGTAGGGATCATCTCTTGAACTCATACTACAGCATAGAAAATAAAAATGGCGAATAATTGGGCTTCTAACTCAATGAGGGAAGCTCTGTCACAGGACCTAACTGGCTGCTTATTCAGTTTCATACTGCCTCTTCTCCCGACTGCAGAAGAGTACGCGATAAAAGAACAGACGAGGCTGTTATTAGAGAAGTTGATAGATAGAGTCAGTCCCGGTGCAAGACTAATAGCTTTTGGTTCTATGGCAAACGGTTTCGCTTTGAGGAATTCAGGTAGGTGTCTTTTGCGGACGTTGTGACGCTTTCTAACGACTACAGATATGGTATCTTATTAATTACCGACCATTTATTCGTCTAATAACAATTTACAGGATCTACAATGCATTCTAGACCCGGCGTCTGAACCACTGTCATCCTCAGAACTAACGACAATAGTTGGCGAATTAATTAGACATGGTAGGCACTTTATTTTATTATTTCGCTTTTAATAGTCCATAGAAACTAACTTTCACGTCAAACCACTCCCGAAAGCTCGTATTCCTATCATAAAGCTCACCTTGGCACCCACTCCTGCTCTGCCGTATGGTATAGCATGTGATATCGGCTTTGGTGGTCAGCTAGCATTAGAAAATACTCGCTTACTTCTTGGTTACGCCTCCATAGACCCTCCTCGTTTGAGAACCCTCGTCCTTTTCATAAAAGTTTGGAGTAAAAGGCGTAAAATTAACAGCGCATACAGGGGAACACTTAGTAGTTACGGATTCACCCTTCTTGTCATCTTCTTCTTGGCTCACGTTAAACGACCACCCGTTCTACCAAACTTACAGCGAATACCTCCATTACGACCAGTAAGCCCAGAATCAGCAAGTTATGAAGGTAGAAATATTTACTTCTTCGATGATGTTGCTTTACTTCGTCAGGAATGGTCATCCGCTAATACTCAATCTGTCGGTGAATTATTATGGGAATTCTTTAGATTCTACGCAAAAGATTTTAACTATACCCACGATGTTATCTCTATTAGAACTGAAGGTGGTATTCTCTCTAAGGACGCTAAAGGTTGGGTACAAGATTTAGAAGTCGATGGTGCCAGTGAATTCGCTCGTGATAGGAATAGACTTTGCATAGAGGATCCATTTGATACTACCTATAACGTAGCTAGAACGGTAACAGCTGATGGTGGGTTTTAGAAAATTTTGAATGAAACGTTCCTAACAACCACAGGTTTATACACAATCCGTGGCGAATTCATGCGTGCTTCAAGAATGTTACAAACTGTAGGAAAAACCGATATTTTACCTTCACAAGTACTCGTAGATCTATGTGAGGAAAGAGAAGAAGCCCTCGTACCTGCTCCTTTCTCCGCTGGAAATCGCACACCAAGACCTCTCACGAACCCATCTTTAGGACCGACGCTAGGACCTTCATTACATCCTCCACCTAGCTTACAACCACCTCCAATTGTACAAACGCATTCTCACAATACGCATATGACTCAAACTGCATCTCAACAATCATATTCACCTACTCAATCGCAATCCTCAATCTTCCCTTCAAGAAAAGTCAGCGATCAAATATCATCACCACCAGCTACATTTAATAGACGTAGACAATCATCATCACATGCTCAAGCGTTATCAATAGCATTAAATGTTGCTCAAAATGAAAGGATGAGGAACGCACATGAAGAGCATCTGATGTATCAACATCCTCAGTCACATACTAAACCATTAGGTAGTGCTTTCTGGGAAGCAGAAAATTTAGTTTCAGATGAATCCACAAGAACCGAACAAAGTAGTAGTATACCAAGAAGAGCTAGTTCAGGTGCAAATGTGGGACCAACTTGGTTATCTAGATTACATGAGAGGAAGTATGCACCAAAACATCATCTTAAAGCTACAATTCCTAATGTTTCAGGGCCCTACGCTGATGCAACAACTCAAGCTGAAATTGGATGGCCACCAGTACCAATACCTGCACCATTGAGGCATTCTCCGAGATTAGCCAATGCTGCTTTACATTCACGTGCATCGAGCAGCGCAGCAGCGGTAGCTGCAGCAGCAACAACCGCTAATAGTGTGAATGCTTCACCTTCACAATTGATCCAAAAACAAATAGCAGCTAATAACAGTGATATGAAAATACGAGTGCCGACGTTTGTTACAAATGGAGCTGGTCAGCAAATTAGAATAACACCATCAACATTCACTCAACCGTCTGAGTCTGGTACACCTACAAATTCACCACCTTTGTCGACAACATCTACATTGAGTGCGCCAGTAACATCAACCGCTCAACCTTCTAGAAATGGAGAAGAGAAAGAGCAAACAGTAGGACTAGGATTAGGATTCCCTCCATTCCCACTAGCACAACGTTATACATTCGGTCAGAACACTTTCGTCGCTTCGGAAAGTCTAACTACGTCTGCATTAACTCTGGCAGCTGATGTACGTGTACCACCACCAAGGATGTCAGCAAGACGTTGGCTTAAATTGCAGAAACAAGCTACTGCCAGGAATACACAAACGCCTTCAAAAGCAACAACAACAACGGCAACAACTCCATCAACTACAACGGGTCGTAAATTACCTACTCGATCACGTTCAGTACCTTCAACTCCGAGAGTATCCAACAAAACGTCTAGAATATCAAGTAGAGAGTTTGAGAAGTCAGTAGGTGGTGGCCGAACGTATTCAAGAATAATTCCAAACGCAACTTTACCTCTGTTAGATGATAAAGCTGGTGATGCAACCAATGTCGATGAGGATACACCACCGTTTAAACCAAATTTGACGACTGGATTAGAAGAAGGTTTTCCCGCATTGAGTAATAACAATTCACAAGGACAATTCAAGACTTCTTCAAGCCTGAATAACCTCTACTCAGCGAGTTTACAAGCATCACGGAAGAAGCAACAACAGCAACAACAGAGTCATAAAGAAAAACGTAGGTCTGCTAGTGTTGGTAGCGAAACAAGTAAAAATAAGTCGAATAATTCTAAAAAGAAGTCAAACAAAGATAAACAACATCAAAGAAATAATTCATCACAATCAACTAAATGAGTTTTACTCACAAAAAAAAGGATTCTTTTTTTATATATAACAAATTACACGCACGATATGGAAGCATATGAACAAAGAAAACACATCAATCAAACTTCATCTTATCAATAGAAAATATATATAACACTGCATTCATCATCTCTATTTCTATGATATGACTCACAAAAGTGGATAACAACTAATCTTCTAAGTGTGTTAATATCTGGATTTCAAATTTCCACTAACCATTCACTTCAGTCGCACAGCAGAGCTTTGTAATATCTCCCTACAGCACCCATTTCCTCTGCTCTTCGCAATTACTTATTCTCTTTTCTTTTTTTGTTGTACCCATCGTTGTTCCATTCACTTAGCAGTCTTTTAAAGAAAAATATAAATATTAAAAGTAATACAATGCAAGTTACATTAAACAGAAATCAATTTATTATTTACTGAGCGAATACTTTTCTTCGAATCTTGGAAATTCGCTAGGTATTCAGGAGTCTTATCGTTCGTTTTACTTTTTTTCATTAGAAATGGATAATCATAGCTCAAATGAGCTAGTGTTTTTGCAAGCCATTCACTAGGCATACTTTCCGAGTTATTTGTTGCACGCTGAATATAGGCAACAACAATCATACTTACCGGTTGTGGCAGAATAAAATCGTTGTTTCCTATTAGAACTGTTTTGACAAGTGTGGAAGCCCTTTCTTTGCTTTCAGTGATATTACAGATGTCGTTCCAACCAGATCGCTTGCGATGGTTGCTGAACCACTGATCAACCTGACTATTTTTAATGTTGTACATGCGTGATGGCCAAACTCACCTGTTTTATAGTTACACCATCTTTTATAGCAATTGCCTCCTTACTATTCTTGTCGACAGGATATGGATAAGTTATGTTATCAACGAAAAACTGTTGACAAAAAGCATACTTGCGTTGCTGAAAGGCTGGTTGAGCTTCAATCCGATGAATATTGGCCATTTTATTAGGTTTGAAAGATTCCCGCTTTTCTTCGTTTGTCAACCTCTCAACTTGTATAGCCTTGCTTGTTTGGGTAATTCTAACAATGAGATTAAGGATAATTTCAATAACAAATCTAGAGAGTCTACCGATATTTAGTTCATAAGAGAACTCTGTATTAAATTTCTTAAAAGTTTCAATAAAAGGACCCAAAGAAATCCCTCTATTCAAGTACTTGCGAAAAAATAGGTCTTCGAAGTAGCACGAGTAAATGATCCAAGCTATATTTAATCTGTGCTTGGATGATTCTAATGACTTCTTTACGTACATTTGCAATGACATGATGTTGATGTTTACTTACAAACAAAGAAACTTGGATGACCTTGCAATACTATCTGCTCTTATCTATAAAAAAATGATTCATTATATCTACTATTTAACGCGATTACAAATCTTTAGGTTTTTTAGCTGCTGAAATTAGTATAAAGTAAGTCAAAGAAAGGAGCACCTACACCCATATTTTGACCTCGCAGATGAACGACCGACGACACCACTGAAATCTAAAGCACCTCTTATTATTTTGTAACTAATAAATGATAAGTAGTTATCCTTTGGAAGATATTATCAACCTACCGAACACCAGGAAGATCTTGAGTACGTCCACCACGTAATAAAACAACACTGTGTTCCTGCAGATTGTGACCTTCACCTGGGATGTATGCTCTAACGACTCTACCATTTGATAACTTTACACGAGCAACTTTACGAATGGCAGAATTTGGTTTCTTTGGTTTGGTGGTATAAACCTTTGTACAAACGCCCTTCTTTTGTGGATTATTCTCTAATGCAGGTGCTTTAGAAACTTTTGTGAATGATTTACGAGCTCCTCTCATAATTTGGTTTAAAGTAGCAAAGTTGGTAGGAGTTGATGAGATTGACCGCCGAGTGAAAACAGTGGATGGCTGCTGATATTGGGTGCGTAGGTTTAACCTAGTAAAAGATCTTAAGAAGGAATTCATGACCGACATTTCCTTCTATTCAATTTATTGATGGTCGTTTACTCTCAAGAGAGAAGAGCGCTTTAAAAGTGATAACGATGAGCGTAGATTATGATAAAGACGCAGATATCGGGAGAAACGATAGAAATTCCATAAGAAGTTTAAATTCTCTTTGGAAGAGAGTGCCGATAGACGCAGCCTCTGAGAACGTCGTTGATCTCATCACTCAGATTCAATACTGTAAACGGTATGACCCAAATGGTGGCTGGGAGCATGTTTGTGTTCTACTATTTTAATTTTTGCAGCTCACAATTATCTAGCTAGAAACTACAGCAGATAATAATATGAGATCTCTCGTAGATCTCGAAAATCGCCTTCAAATGAAGCAAGAGACTGCTAATGAAATAGTAAATGAGATAGAAAATGACGCAAAGATTGTGAGCAGCTTCTAGTTGCGCTTTACCTACAACTTATTGCTTATCAAGGTCAAACCAGCGAATGTCTTCCAACAGAAGTTTGATAGTCGTCAGGCGCAATACGATAATAAAACTGCGCGTCAAAAGTATACAAATAACAGTAAAATTCAATCTTATTACAATGCTATTTGGGTATGTCTCAAGCGCACGCGTCTTGTAAATTGTCTAACAAAGCAAAGGCTGTATCCAAACCTGACGAGGTTGTACCAAATATTAAGAAACTGATACCTAGGGAGGATGATGATTCAGATGACGATGACTCTGATATCGAGATAGGTAGTATGCGTCAAAATTTCAATGACCCTATCACGCTCGGTCTTTTCCAGAATCCATATACTTCGTAAGTCAACTTGAATGATAAGCAAACCCATTAAATCTACTTTAGCACGAAATGTAATCACTCCTACTCATTTGAATCAATTAAAGCCTATCTAAATGGTTCAACAAAGCTATGCCCCTATAGTGGTTGTAGAAGTAGCATTGCAATGCGTGATCTGAAAGAAGATCATAGATTAGCTAAGAGGTGTGTCTTCTACTTATTTTCCCTTTCGATCGCTTAATTATTTGTCACAAGAGTACAGCAAATCGCTAGTAGAGATGCTGAAGAGGAACATTACCATCAAATTGACGCTGAAGACAATTAAATAAATATTCGAACTGTATTGATATTGTACAACTAATTAAATTATGCTTCTCTCAAGAATAAATATGTAGTACTCTCATCTTCAAGGCTACGTAACTGTATGCCTTCATGAATGCTTTGAGATCTTCCTTCAACAAACCCATTCCTCAATAAGCCATTAAGTGCATCGCTAATTTCAAGCCTATCATAAGCTTTTTCGAACCGCTTTCTTAGCTGTACCTACATGGCGAGTTAGTTTGATAGCCATCTTTGGGATATGACTTACCATCGAAATACCAGGGTAGATCATCAGGATACCGATTATTGCGAATAACACGTTATTCCATATTTCTATCACAGTGTTTCCTTTTAAGTCAATCCATTGACGCGGATGAACCAATTTGTCACCTATAGCTAGACACCAATTCTTTTCGAACTTTGACTTTACAAGCCTAGCTGCATCATAACCTGTAATAAAAGCCGAAGACGTGTTCAACATTTTTTTCACTTCTTTGTCTGTCAATTTTTCACCTTTTAGTAAACCAATCGGACCACATTGATCCAATAAAATGTCATCACACTCATCAGTTTCCATAGACGGTGTGTATACGTATTGCGGTACTGATGGTAACTGAATACCTGCTGCATTGCTGGGAGTGAATGTGATAATATTTTCATAGTCATCATCCTCTGTAATTAATTATCGTAAGTCACAGCAATATTAGGTTATCATTTTACTTACGAACGTCACGACTACCAATACTATCAATTCTGGCACTAAAGTTTTCAATATTGATGCTGCATTTGATTTGATTTGAGGATATACAACTTAAAAGCGCTGCTTGAAGCGACTCCTGAACAACTATTGGCCAATTATTAACATCACCTTTTTGAACACTCATTATATCATCAAAGAAGTCTTGCATAAACTCTGCTTGCCAAGGTCCGTGACTATCATGTTTGTATATATCAGAGAAAGCATATAAAGCCGTTGGACCACTTTTATTTGCAGGTAAATAAAGGATATTTTCATCTTTAATTCTCTTGAATGAAATTTGAAAGGCTTCATCAGGTATCTTCTTAAGAAATTCTTGAGACCTTTCCATGTGTCCTTCACTTCTATCATGTGTTGACATCTTCAAATGTGTTAGTAAAATATTGATTAATTGCATAAAACTCACTTTAATAGCAACTTCACTGAGCCTAATATTTAATTCATCAATTGTATTCACTGGTCTTGAAATACAGTTCTCATATGAATCGAAGAGTACCATTCTCGAGTAAGCATGTTCTCTTGCAATTTCAGTTTGAGCCGTGTCAAATAATACTGACTGTAAATCTTGATATTGCTGAGCGTGATGAGTTTCTTCAGCAATATCGTATTGATCAAAGAAGCTCTGTACATCATCAGGTACTTCCAAAATGCTCGAGCCTTTTCCTGTGGAGGTTGTATTAATATATCTGCCAATCATTAGTTAAAACATTCAACTAAACCTCTAGCACTTACAATGCTCTTTTATCAATATAGATTCTGATTAGCTTTAAATGCTCAATGAAATCAATTTTATCAAGAGATAATGACCTGTTCTTCTCCATTTTCTTTTCTTTGACAAGATCTTTGCATAAACTCTCATATTCGTTTGCCAAACGCTCTATATAGACATGTTCTTCACGATTCTCTAGTAACGTCTTCTCATGATTTCTCAACTGACCTGTCTTAAATCTCGGGAAAACGTGTAAAGCTGCAGACAAAGATGGATTCTTGTGATTCCTAGTACGAGCTTTTATGATAGCAATTGAATCACGCAATAATTCATCAGTCTCAGGGTTCCAATAGCTGTAATTCTTCGTTTGACGTGCACTTGTACCTTCAGGGACTTAAACAGTTTAATAAGTATATCATCTGTACGTAAATGAAAGTACTTACAAAGTCTCTTATGCTCTTCTATAAGCTCCTCAGGTGATTTACCAGGTGGTTCAGAAAGAGGTGGATCAAGCCTATAGGGGTTCTCTTTTGTTGGTTTACTTTTCTTTTTCTTCTCGTTTTTCTTTCTAAACTCGCGTATTTGCTCCACTATTGCTGCATCTTCAGCATCCTCAAAGCTATCTTTTTCAGATTCTTCGCTTCTCATGTGTCGAGAACGCGCTTTTTTTACTTTCGCATCAATGGACCTGCTATACTTCGAAGACTTTTTAAGCTTTTTCGTTGTGTTTTTGTTCTTCTTAGGTCTATGAAGAGTTACTCCCAATTTAAGTTTTTCTTGTTTGGAAGTTTCCTCTTCTATATAACGTTTCACAAGTGGTAAAGGTGCTCCGCAGGTATAGGCAATCTCCTTGTATTCCTCCTCCGTACCTGGGCGTGGTATGTCACTTCTCTTCCCAGTATAATTAGCAAGGAGGCGTTTTTGCATTGCTGATAACATCATGTCATTTTGCCAACTTTGATGCTTTTGAATATACGATGCAAAATGTGAGAAGTTCGTCATATCCGGATTCTTCGATTTCTCATTTGCTGTCATTGAAGCATCTTGACTGCTCAACGCAAGCACTTTCAACCTTTCAAAATACTTATCTATATCTTCGTTTGTGTTGAGCGTCATACCATCGATAAGTACGGGTTTATCTTCAAAAGATAGAAAGAGACCATCTTTCTTCAATCTAAAATAAAGGAGCCTGTTTGGTGTCTTTAACTCCCTTACACCCTTGAGATTACTAACATCAGTTACTATTTCATCAGTTACTTCGATCTCCTCCATGAGCTCGACAAGGTTCAAATGCCATAAGATACGGACACATTCAGTAATAAAGTGACGTCTCTTTGAAAATGATAGACTGACAAGTTCTTGTAAATGCTCTGGAAGGTCTTTAATCCTCAGTTTACTCTTTGAAGGATCATTCTTGTATTCAAACGCCATCTCATCGAATGTTGTCCAAGGAATTAGTTTCATGTACATATTCAATGGTATGTCACGTTTGAAGTAGTTCATACATACGATAGGCTCATCGTCGCTCATTTTACTAGATAACTGATCCTTCTGCTGCATTTCTTGCGATAGAAGGGAGTACAAAGTATGTGCTTTTGCAAACCTTCCGGTCATGTAACCATGAAGCCTAGCCATTGCTTTAACATCAGACAAGATCAGGTTTCTGATATTTTCTTTTTGCGATGGATCAGTGCAATTTTCAGGTAAATTGTCAGCAGCATATTTCCTCCTAAAATTAATATATCCGATATTTTCGGTGTCTACTTCTTTGAAAGACGCTTTAGGTTGGTATCTCTTCATTAAATCTTGCCCCAACTCTTCTTTCTTTTTGCGAAAAGCCTCCGAATGTGTATCAATATCTGATACGTAAATAAGTCTTTTCTGCATTGAAGCGCCTCCATAAGTTCTACTGGATACCTTTGTTTCTTTCAATTTACCTTCATTAAACAACACATTGAGAGTTTTTCTAACAACTGGCCTATCGATTTGTGCAGCAGTTTCGTGATTGGGGCCATGTACATACTTCTGATACACATCAAACAATTCGCGCACCGCTTCCACCATACCACCAGCACCCTTTATTGCATTGTATAAATCTTGAATTCTACGATGTTGTGAAAGATCTGTTCTTGATGCTCGCATTTGTTGAATAGCTTTCTTCGTTGTCTTGCTTCTAGGGATTCCATTTGCTAATTTTGATGTTGATGTCATAGTTGATTCCATTTGATTATCTGAAATGGCAGTATCTACATCCCTCTTAACATCTAGCTCGTTAATTTCGGATGCGTTCTGTTGTTGAGATGTGTCATATTGTAATTTGTTTACTTGATTTTCAACCTCAGTTATGACTTTTGGTTGAGGCTCCTGTATATTACCCTTCTCATCTTCGACACCTTGATTTTCGGAAGTCCCGTCTTCCTTTTCATCATGGTCTTCACCTGGTTCATATGCATCGGACTCATCACTATCTTGTGGACTTTGAACTCTTTTTCGTTTTGTTGATATATGATCTTGACTAACATCTTCGACATCAATTAAAATAGGAGCGATCCCACTTTTCCTTGATCTAAGTTTGCGTTTTTTAAGGTATGAATCCTTATCTACATCGTTTGTAACATTGATAGTATTATGTGCGACTTCTTGTGTATTTAGTTGTTGTCTTTTATTAGGCGTTGACATGTGACTATTATCGTCACCGACCATATCAAGTTCAGGATTGTGATAAGCTCTTTGAGGTGCAGTTTGTGATGTTGTTAAAGACACTTCAGATGGGGGCTGTGTTTCTTCTGGCGTAGCATTCAATGGTATGCTTTCAGATACATTTTCCTGTAATTCAGAATGTTTCTTTGTCACGTCCTTTACAGTTTTTTCATCATCATCATCATCATCATTTATTTCTATTGTATTTTTTGAAGCACGACCTTTCTTTTTAGGTTGATCTTCGATGATTTCGGACTTCCGTGGACGGCCTCTCTTCTTCGGTACCTCTGATGGTGTTTGGCTTGCTTCAGACTTACGAGGACGACCTTTAGGCTTTGGTGTAGGCATTGCTGATTTGGATGATTCCGCTTTCGGAGGTCTACCAAGTTTTTTAGGAGTAGCCACCTGCCCACCGATCGATCCTATCATGCGAGTTGCTGACGCCTGGTACTCTTGACGAGACGAACACCCCAAGGCAGAATTAATAACGTTCAATGAACCAGATTGATCGGAAACCAAGTCTTCAACTGGAATATCTAACCCTTCTTTTTCTGCTAAAAGTATATAATTCTTGCGAGTAAAAAATCGTTGCCTGCGCTCTCGACCATTCATTTCTGTGGTTGATTTTAGTGCAAGGTCGGTGAGGCTAGCTGGATCATGATCTGTCTCATGACGCAAAAGGATGTTTTCGACAGTTCTCCTATTGATAGTAGGAAGCGCGCTAATAACTGACTAGCAAGATGTTAAACAATACATTCTGTTTACCTTTTCAACTTACAGAGATAGTCATCCCTTCAATACCTGATTCATGTATAAGGTTTAATATTTGTTTTTCCACTGTGATAGCAATCCCAGCTCCAAAATTATCTGAAACAACGTCATCATCATCATCTTCATCATCAGATTCTAATTTAATCATATCTTCCTCAATGACTTTCTCAGACGACTTTGATCCGTTATCATCATCTGCAATTCGCAAACAGTTAACACGTGTGTCCCTACCTCCAACTTTGGTAGCACATTTTTCGAGTGAACCCTCTGCAACCATTCTGCCTATGAGACGTGCAACGAGTCTTTGAATAGGTTTACTATTTGTTTTAAATCCTATTTTGTTAAATATATACTTATGTTGAATAATCTTGTTCGGACAGCTATTGATAAGTTTTAAGATACGGCCTTTCAACAAATTGTTGTTGGTGAGATGTTCCTTACTTAATTCTGAGAATTCTGGTAGACCTGAGGCGTCACGACCTTGTACTGTTTCTTCAAAATCTATTGCTTCATTGTCGGAATCATTTTTTGCAGGTTCCGCTTCTGTGAGTGCATGTGCTCGGTAGTGTGGTGAGCTGGCCAAAAATTTACGATGTATAGCAACATTTGTGGTGCTACCTCTGTAGACAGTGTGCATTTTTACGCTAATGATACTGTCAATTGAGGGCTAGATCAGACTGTTAACTTACACAAGATCCAATTCTATAAGTATTTTGACACAATAAAATACAGTTTTGCTGTCATAACCGGTCATCTTGCTGATCTGCATAAAGGTGATACCATTTTCTCTACTTCTAGAGATAAAAGTGAGCACACTCAATACCATTTGGCTAAGTTTTGCTGGTTTATGATTAAGACCAGTTATCACAAACCAATTCATGTCACTATCAGTACGAACGCGAATATCGTTACCGTATCGTTCAAGAAGGGAGGCCAGAGATGTTTGTGTATCATCGAAGTTGAGTAGCTCAAACATGATAACTTGATTACCATCTTTAGAAGATATCGGAGGGGCCTTTTCCTTTAAGGCTAGCTTCAACTGTTCTGTTGCTAAGCCAATTTGAAATGAGGATTGTTGAGTGAGAATTCTCCAGAAGAATTCAAGTAACGGACCATTGTTGATATCTACCGAAGGATCTAACTGTGCTTTGATGTATTTCACAAGAGTTTGTATATCGGAGCCTATGATTTGTTAGCAACCAGAGATTCGAACACCGGCACCTGCAGACGGCGCCTGATAACGAAAGTGACGTACCCCAGTCACCATCTACTGAGATCTCATTTAAAACGTTATGTACTACTACGTCTGCCGCAATCATTGTAAGAAGCTTCCTATATAGCTTTACGAGTCGCTAGTACGATTATGCGAGTACTTGTATTTAACGTATATTAATTTTATTTATTTACGAGAGTTATTTCTTCTTTATCTCTCGAATTAATAATTCACTCCTGATGGTTGAAATTAGAGATAGGGCCAAATGCGAGGAAGTGTATGAGAACAAAAATTACATTAAAAAAGGAGATCTTCTAAACCACTATTCTTATTCTGCCCTTGTGTGTTGTTTGTTGTTGTCATATCGAAAATGTCGTTATTTGCGCCGACGGACTGACTAGGACTCGAAACGGTGGCATTTCCGAATAAGCCTAATAAGTCATCGACAGGATTAGACTGTGCGGGACTTGGTGCATGGTTAATATTACTTGTCGCCGTATTGGCTGTGAAACTGTTGAAGCTTTCTTGTGGACTTTGTGTCGTGGATGGTGAGGCATCTTCATCAAGGTCTAATAAATTTTCTGCTTTAACACCTACATGAGAGTTTAGAAGAATGCGCAATCACAAATTTCATAGACACTTACCTTGTGCCACCGTGTTCAATGCTTTTTGTTTCGAAATATTTTCATTTTCTTCATTCGGATTAATCTTCTTTATTGACTCAATACCAAGACGACCTTTACCAACGAAAGTAGATGCTGGCTTGTGATATGCGGCTGCAAGGGAAGAAATTTCTTGGACTAGTTCTTCTAGGATTGCCCGCGAGACTGTTAAGTTTGGAATGACGATAGGTGGCCTATCCGCTATAGTAATTGACTATAATCGTTAGTCAGTTCTAGCACTTAATTAGCACTCACTCTTGCTGCTCCAGTATCTGTTGAAAGTAGTCTCCAGTAAATAAATGCACGATCACGTACATCTGAGTTATCACAGTCACTTGTAGCTGTCGTCAAAACCCTTTGAACCAATGACTGAGAAGGTCCCTCTGGCTTCTTTAAAAACAGTTTTACTATCGCACTTAAGGTTTGTAATTGAACCTAACATTATGAGCTTATCACATGCTTTAATATATTCACTCACTGGGTAAGAGTCCTCGATAAAGCTATCCAGATACGTCTCTAATAACTCCTCGACATTTACTATTTTCTCTGCATTTTCACCTAGGATCCAAATCAATGACGCTTTGGATTCAGGTTCATCAATTTCTTCGAGGTTTTCACAAAGTGTTGGAATAATTGCTTCATATGAGTGTGGGTATTTACGGAATATATCCTAGATAAAGGTCAGCTAAAATCCAAGTTCGAGAATGGTGTTTCTCACCTTTATGACTATGACTGCTTCTTGTACAACATATGATACTTTTGTGTTGATCAAGTCAACGAGAACTTGTACACAACGCTCTGCAGCATCTTCAATTTTGATTGCGCACCGTCCTATAGCTCTTATCGATCTGCGAACGAAATCAACATCAACTTCACTAGCATATTCCTTAAGCTCGTTTAATAGAGTGTCGACATTGTTCTCATTAGCTAATTTAACCAATATGTCTAATTTTTCAACTTTGTTGTATTGTGCATCGGAGTACTTGCAAAAAAAGACGCGCAATTCTGAAGAAAGAACGTCTGGACGAGCTTGTAATATCAAATTTATGTTTCTAAGAGCTACCCATTGTACCTCAGGCTCTGATGCCACAAGAGTGACTGAAAAATTGTCAAATTACCAAGTAGTAAATGCATTGTACTTACCTAGAGGAGGTGCCATCTTACGAACGAGCTGTCTTATAAAGTCTTCCCTTTGTAAACGCTGTAAATTAATCATAACGACTTTAATAGCACTCAAAACAACACTACCATTGGCATGTTGAAATTGTGGTAAAACACGTTCGCAAATGTATTCAGTTTCTTTCTCCTCTGTTGGTGTATAGCGACACAACGCGCTCAATATTGATATTCTGCCCCATTCGGTGCATTCATTAAGAGCAACTAGGATCTTGTTAAGTATGTCCCTATCAATTATGAAACCTGGTGAATCTGGATGAGGGGAATTATGAATATCAGTCAAGGCAGTGACGGCATTTGCAACAACCTGGGGAATAATGAGATGATTGAATAATACGACAGTAATTTTCTTACAGTCGGATTTGGATCACCAACAAGTTCTTGAAGCGTTTCAACAAATCCTCGATCAATCGCAAGTGATGGTTTAAGATCGTACATTTTGGCAACGCATAGAGCAGCTGTTTTGCGTACATATGGGTTATCATCTTGTAGACCTGCAGCAAGTGGATCTGAGAGATAGTCGATAATCTTTTCTGCTCTGAGACATCCCATAGTTCTTATAGATAATGCACGGACTAATGGATTAGGATCGGAAGCATCCTAAGTGTTGTTAAGCGATAAATCACAGCCAATTGTCTCACCAACCTTGACAAATGTGTTCACGGCAAGTATAACGAGCTCTGGCTGTGTTTTTGCGTAATTCATAAGATAAAGATAAACGAGCTTCTTCTGCTCCAGATCTTCTGTCTGCATGTTCTTCAGTACGTCTGGAAATAAACCCGATACGTCTTTTCCAACAGTCTGAGAGATATCAGAGATGCACGCACTATAAGAAATAACTAACCATATTCGCGATAACACGCTTAATAGCATCCTTTCTTTTGTCGCGGTATTCACTATTTAAGTCTGGCTACGTTAACTGCAGGTAGTGTGGAGATATCGTGATAGCATACCTGCACGGAGCTCATAGTTCTCTCCTAAATAATAGATCAGAGCTGCTTACTTGGGATAGCTGTTCTACCCACCTTTCTTCGCTGTGAAGACGTTTCTTCTTATCGTATTCCTGCCGCTGGGTTAGGAAAGCTGGGAAAGGAGATATGGCCACCTACATTTTGTAGCTAAGTAGTTTTTTTATTGCAACGCCAGTTCAGGCGAATAAATTGATTTCTTACTGCGTTGCTGTGATAGAAAGAAGATCGTAGCTCTCCTCTTTAATTTTGGCCGTCATCTAAAATATGCCAAAAGCATTGAAATCAGCTACAGAGAAGTTCTCCAGGAGCCATCAGCCTGCTGCTAAATCAGATAGCAATTCAGGCGGTACCAGCAATCCACTTTTGTAGGCAATTCTGTTATCAGCATCTACAATCACTCATTTAGGACAGTAACACAGACAGATTCGGTCAGCATATTCTCAAGAATCCCCTAGTAGCTCAAGCGTGGGTATCATTAGATTATTACTGCACTTCTGAACTCTCAAAAGTATCGTTGATAAAGCTTCTTTGCGAGCAACAGACAAAGTATTCGAAATCGGTCCAGGTACTGGAAATTTGACTGCTAGAATACTTGAAAAAGCAAAGTCTTGTCAAGTAATAGAAATGGATCCTAGAATGGCTGCCGAACTCAGCAAAAGATTTCAGGGAAAGTGAGTATCAATGGAAATCATCAATACTTGCTAAATATAGTAGACCTGAGCAGCGTAGATTAGAAATCGTCATCGGTGATTTTGTCAAGGCAGATTTGCCTTTCTTTGACGTAGTGTGAGTTCAGAACTCTAAAAAGCACACATGTCTGACATAGGCAGAATATCCAATTGCCCATACTCAATCTCTTCACACATCGTGTTTCGTATTCTTTCCCATAGACCTATCTGTAGGGTCGCGATACTGATGTTTCAGCGTGAATTCGCCTTGCGATTATGCGCAAGACCTGGTACTGAGATGTGGTGTCGCCTCAGTGCCAACGCCCAGTTATATTCAAAAATCGATCATATTATGAAAGTCAGCAAGGGCAACTTCAGACCACCGCCACAAGTCGAAAGTAGCGTTGTACGAATTGTCCCCTTAGATCCCCCACCACCAGTCAAGTTTGAAGAATTTGACGGGTACGTCTTATTTTTTCACTTTAACTATTTAACTGTTTCATAGTCTCACCAGAGTGCTTTTCACAAGAAGGAACAAGACATGCAGATCAAATTTTACCGCTGCTGGAGTTTATGATATGCTAGAAAGCAATAGGAAAGCTTGGTTGACTGAGAAAAATGAAGTATGTTGGATTACTACCAGAGATATTAATCAATTGACTGGTATGTAGATGATAGACGACTCAGAGAACATTAAGAGCAGAGTCGAAAGGATATTAGTACAAACTGGCTTTGCAGAAAGCCGTGCCGCGAAAATGGACGTTGATGATTTCCTTAAGTAAGTGCGATCCGTTCCTCCTATACATGCTAACTTTGGGATTCAGATTACTTAGTGCATTCCACGATGAGAACATTCACTTTGGTTAATTAATTTATAAATGATTAGATAGATATTTAATTTTATTCATACACTACAATCCTATTCGATTTTGTTGAGAAAACCAAAACATTTGAAAATTTTACTCGTCAATGACCTTTCTAGCGCGACTTCTAGTCCTATAAGCAGGTGAGTTATTTGGAGAAGACTCTACTGGCTCTACTGGGGCTTTCACTGGCGCTGCTTTTGGTGAAGCTTCTTCTGTCTTCTTGTCCTTAGCTGAGTAAATCATAGCAGTGAATGGACTGGATTTTGTGAGTATAGAATTATTATAAGAAGCACCACTCACCCTTCATATCTGAGAGCTATTTGGTATACGATGAAGACGAATACACTGATTGCGATACCAGCAGGTGACCTGTACCAAATGGAAGTACCGAAGAAACAAAGTGTACTGCCAATGTACATTGGATCCTCAACAACATTGAATGGGAAACTTGTAACGCGGTGGCTCATAAGTATACCAAAGTAGTCGCCCAAGTAGGTTCCAGTAACGCCTAACGCAAGCATAGAAGTTATAACTAAGATTTGGCCAGAGAGGAACAAAGCGAGAGCAATGTATACATGCGCAGTTGGGTAGTATGGATGTGGAGCCAAGTTTGGTTGTTCAGCTAAAGCACTCTGAAACCTAGAAAGATGAGAAAGAAGTTCTACTATAATACTGCACGTACAGATGATCACGCAAGATACCTAATGAGAAAATGGTAACAGCAAGGAGGTAACAGCCAAGATATGGTCTACCACCAGCGAGCTTTGTGAGTAGCTTATTGTGATATTCTTTTTCAACGTGTAAGTTCAAAACTCATGTCTAACGAGATAGTACAAACCTTGGCGAGCAACCTATGAAAAGAATCAGAACCAAAGGCTTAATAGTGTCTCTATACTCACGATATTCCAGAATAAGGGGTTGAATACAATTGATGCGATTACGATCCAAAGTGAAGGTTGCTTGAAATCGAACCAATCTTCTGGCTTGTCCTGTGAAACAGATAACAACGGTGAAGGGTGTGGAACCAGCTCAGAAAGCCCTCTAATAAACGGATGTTGCTTAGCGACCATCGACGTAACGTGTAAAGCGAGAGTTTTGTGCAAACCACGAGGACGAAATACTTTATAAAAACATAAGTATCCTTAGAGTCTTTTATTAATGACAGTCGACCCTCAACAATGGCTCGACACTATCTTATCGGGAAAGTATCTTGCTGAATCCCAAATCAAGATGTTATGCGATGTAGTACTAGGATTACTGGTAGAGGAATCAAATATACAACCCGTATCAAGCCCTGTCACCGTTTGCGGAGATATACACGGTCAGTTTTGGGATTTACTGGAGCTTCTGCGGGTCGGTGGTGATTGCAGGGATACCAACTACATTTTCATGGTTAGGAGACAAACTTATTAATAAATATGATGCTGATTATGGGTAGGGTGACTTTGTTGATAGGGGTCATCAAAGTTTAGAGAGTTTTACCCTCCTTATGGCCCTCAAAGCCAGGTTGGTTGACATAATTCTATTATGGTTCATCTAACAGCTATAAGGTATCCTGATAGGATAACTCTACTGCGTGGTAATCATGAATCTAGGCAGATCACTCAGGTATACGGATTTTATGGTAAGCTGGCTTCATAGTCGAGCTATAGTATTGACCGAGAGTCTAGACGAATGTCAACAAAAGTATGGCAATGCAAGTGTATGGAAAGCATGCTGTCAAGTCTTCGACTATCTCAATTTAGCTGCTGTAAGTCTGACGCCATTCAATTAGTCACAGGCTAAATGGCCAAAGATCATTGATGGTAAAATCTTATGTGTTCATGGAGGTTTGTCACCAGACGTACGAACTCTAGATCAAATTCGCGTAATTGGTGAGCTTCAGTTGGAGCACTCAATTTAAAACTTATACACCTTAAGCACGAGCTCAAGAGATACCTCATGATGGACCGTTTTGTGGTAAGAAAGGTATTTGTTGTGGTTTTCTCACTAATGCGACCATTTAGACCTCATGTGGTCGGATCCTGACGATGTAGAACATTGGAGCATAAGTCCCAGAGGGGCTGGCTGGCTATTTGGTAGCAAAGTTACAAAAGAAGTAAGATTGGCTTTAATTTTATGATCATATTCCAACTATATGCAGTTTAATCACATAAATGGTTTAGACATGATCGCCCGTGCTCATCAGCTTATTCAAGAGGGCTTGTATGTACCAAGCATCGTAGCTGATATTTTACTTACTCGCCTTAGCAAATTCATGTTTCCGGACAATGACCTTGTGACTGTCTGGTCAGCACCTAATTACTGTTATAGATGCGGTTAGTTGGAACGCTGAAATTGGTCCGCAGTCATACTAATTAATGACCAGGAAACGTTGCCAGCGTTCTTAAAGTGAAAGAGAATGAACCTGTCACAGAAAACAATTTTGCAATTTTTGATGCAGGTACGTATTTCTATGAAGAAATAATACGGCTACTTACAACTACTATAGTAGCAGATCAGGACAGAGGTGCTGTTGCGAGAGTCGCTCCTTCTCAATACTTGTAAGTACGCATGACCTTCTTGTATCTCACTGATATGCCCAGCTTGTAAATTCTGTTGTAAATTATGCGATAACTATTCATGTTTATTCTAATAACATAATTGTTTATTCTAGAATGTGTGAATGGGGCTTCGGCCAATGGGCGATTGAAATGTTGAAAGATGACGTCACTCTCATGCATAAAGACAAAGACAAGGAGTTTTTAAGTTTTTAAGTTACGTCCTTAAAAACAAAACCGAGTTTCTTTTCGCTCTTGACTAGTTTCTTCCATCAACGATGTTTATCAAAGCCCTCGCAAAGTTCACGGCATTATGTGCATCCAACTCAACCAAAGGTAAGTATAACGATGAACTTATCGCCATACAATTATAACTTATAGTAATAGCTTTGGCAAATCTTGCACCCTTTGGAAGTCTCTTTGGCTCTTCACCTGAGCTACTCAAGCGCACACTCTTCACCACAGCTACCCAGTTGAGAGAGCGTGAACGTAAGCAAATTTCAAACCTGCTTAGATACTTTTAACATCATATTTAGGTGACCCAGCACTCCAGCCACCTGCAAAGCCCAAGTCACCTTATCTACGTTTTATGCACCATCTCATCCAGAAAGAGAAAAGAGGCAAGCCACTACTCAAGATTGATACTATCAAGTTCGGTCAACAAGTTGCTGCGCCTTCATGGGAAAGCCTTTTTGAAAGTGACAAGAAAGTGAGTATTTGTTGTCGAAGATGATGTCTGCTAATTGAGCGTAGCCCTTCGAGCAAGCTTATCAGCACGACTACAAGCTTTATAAGCCAAAGGAGAGAGATTGGTGGATGTCTAAGACCCATTCCGATATCAGTCTCATCAATGAGGAGCGTCGCTTGTATGGTATGAAGCCTCTTTCATTTCCAAAAGAATACATGAAAGAAATTCGTGAAAATGAACGTCAAGCTCGTCAAGCTGAGAAGTCTCTCAAGCCAAAGGGCATTGCCAACAGCCGCATCCGATTCATGAAGGAAGTCATTCCATCACTTTCACGTGAGCTTGGTAATTCCCAAGAAGCAATGAAAGCTGCATCTAAACAATGGAATGAGCTTACTGATGATGAGAAAGAGGTTAGTCATTAATGATGGAAAGTGTTAATCTGACGTTTTTAGCCATACCAACAAGCTTATCTCAAAGAGAGAGTAGAAAAGGAACTCTTGAAGAAGTAAACCAATGATTTTGCTTTAAGTGATTATCAAATCATTGAGAATTATATCTACTTTGCTGTTTGTGATATCTTTGAACTTTAATTGTTCTTGTTATATATCATGTATATCTATTAATATTTATATTTATATTAATTCATCCAAAAAATTTTGATCAGACCTTGTGTCTATGGTGCTTATATTCACGGGCTGATTATCGCGTTCGATAGCGACTGTTTCACTTTTAACGCGATGCGCTGTTTTTGTTGGTGAGCTACTTTTTGGTTCGCCCACACTTTCAAAGAAATCGTTGTCTTCTAAATGATTCACGTCTCTCCTTGACGATTCGTATCGCTGGATGTATTGTCTACCTGAATCACCTCTCAGACGAGATTTAAGATCTTTAAGGATGTCAAAAGATGTAAAAGATTGCTGTTACTCACTCCATGATGCTTCTGCCTTCATCCTATCGTTACGCATCTCCTCCAATGCTTTTGAACTCTCTGAATCAATAGGAAGTAATTGGGGTTCTTTCTTCTTGTGTCTATTAGCCAAATCATAATCTATATCATCATCGTCTGCATCTGTAGGTCGCTTTATATATTGTTCAAAATCGTCATCTACCTTAAGTTTCATTGTGATGGACGAGAGATCAGGCTCTTCTTCTGATGAAACTGCGTATAGTCAGTCTAATGGATCTACATATTCCCTCTCATACCTTCCTCTTGCTCGGTCGCGGGTTCATCGTATTTACTGGAGTTATCAACTAATTTCCGCCTAGAGTATTTTGGGTTCGTTGAACGCCTTGTGGCTAATAAAGTAAGCTTTATCTAAATGTATCCCCTGTAAACTCACTGTTATTACTAGCAGATGGAACTGCAAGCTTATCTTCACTTTGACTAATTTCTGAGCTATAATTTTCGCTACCACTGCCATCTGAGCTATCAGATTTCTTTAAATCAGGGAATTCCGCTTGATTATCTACTTCTGGTGGCTGTAGACGTCGTGTGGTGGGTTTTGGAGCGGTACTTAAACCTCTTGAAGCTTTCCATGCTTTTGAAGCTTTAGCTTTATATTTATCTTGTAAAACCATTCAAATTTCTTATTTTTTGACGAATTCGTCGACTTGGTTAGCAACAGTCAAGAAATGCAAACTCAGATCCGTGAAGTCTGGGCAGATAATCTAGACGCAGAGCTAGATATTTTGCGTGAATTAGTCGATCGATATCCTTACGTTTCTATGGTGAATTCAATCGACGTATTTGACATCCAAACTGACGGTTTTAGGATACTGAATTCCCTGGCGTTGTAGCTAGACCAATTGGAAATTTTAAGAATTCATCAGATTATCACTATCAAACGCTGCGATGCAACGTGGATTTATTGAAGATAATACAATTAGGTATCACTATCGCTGACGCAGACGGCAATATGCCTGAGTATCCTACTTGGCAATTCAACTTTAAATTCAGTTTAAAGTACGCCTCTTTTATCATATCATTCATCATTCTAATATCTACATAGCGATGATATGTATGCACCAGATTCAATAGATTTACTCACAAAATCTGGTATTAATTTTAAAAGGCTAGAAGCTAATGGTATTGATATTGAAGAATTTGGAGAGAAACTGGTCACTTCTGGTTTTGTTCTGTTCGATCACGTTCACTGGATATCGTTTCACAGGTGAGTAACAAGCGCGATGTAACTCGTTTACAAACTCAATATAGTGGCTATGACTTTGGTTACTTACTCAAAGTTCTCACTTCATTGCCCTTACCTTCAAATGAAAACGACTTCTTTGATCTACTTCGCATTTGGTTCCCTTGCATTTTTGACATAAAATACGTTATGAAAATCAATAGGTTGTTAAAGGGTGGTTTACAAGATATTGCAGATGAATTACAGGTAATAATAAGCATGTTCCATTATATCAGCCGCTCTGACTTTCATTAGGTGATGCGAATAGGCCCTCAACATCAAGCAGGTTCAGACTCCTTAGTCACATCAGCTTCCTTCTTCTCTATGCGTACAAAATTCTTCGATGGTACATCTGAAAGAGATAGACAATTGTAAGACATTCTTTCCGAAACTTATTACTTTGCTAATTTCACCATCAGACCTCATTGTATGGGATATCTTTATGGTATAGGTATGGGAGCTGGAGCAACTGCTATACAAACCCCAGGGGCACCTTTCACACCAATGAGCAATCCTATCCCAACTCCTTACGTGGGTCCTCAACCCATAGCACCTTATCCAAATCGAACAAATGTCGGATTTGGAGAAAGGTAAAATCACATAGTTTATTGTATAGTATCATTCATTTTCCGTACATATATATATAAAGTCAATTTAATCAGACGAAGTAGGAGTATGAAGTAGCTGCAGATAAGATTGTTTCAATTTTCAATATCATATTTGAGAAAACTCACTATTCTATGTGATAACGCAATTAGGTATATTACCAATTGGGTCCTTCTCTGTTTCGTTTGGAGGCTCTCTTTTAACATCAATGTGTACTGGGTCGAATTGGAGAGTTGGAACTTCGAGATCCGAAATCATGCTTGTTGTTTGATTGTTGAAGAAGCACAAGCAAACTGCTTTCTATTTATACTCTGAGAATTTTCTTATCAGAACTTTATCAAGTTTATCTCCCATTGTTCACGAATTCATTTTCTTTATTATCACAAGAACAATGAGTTTTTTATGCATGATTATCCGCACAATGGCGTTCCTGCCTAAAACTCATTGTTTGAGGCGAAATATTTGAAGGACAATGAATCGAACCAGAAAAAGCCATAAATACGATTTTGATCATATTTAAACAGAAATGTCCCTGGTAGCAATCCCAATAATATCTATAATAGCAGTCATTATAACGATTCTCCCTTGCTCGTGGCATTATCGAGTCGGCAATACCAACATTCTTATACTTACAGTATGGATTATTGGCGTCAATTTTATCTACTTCATCAACTCTATCATCTGGCATGACAATGTGGACATACATACTCCCGTCTGGTGTGATATCAGTAAGTGATTTACTTGCTTGGAATCAATAACCTCACCTGACATAGCGACGAAATTGGTTATTGGCGCAAACATCGCAATTCCGGCTACCGCCGCTTGTCTTCTACGCAACTTATCTGGTATAGCTACAGCGTCCGTTGTCAGCACCTCACGAAAGGATATGAGAAAAAAATTATATCTTGATCTGACTTACGGTGTAGTAGTTCCTATCATCTACATGGCTTTACATGTGGTCATTCAAGATCGTCGGTTTAACATTATTGAGGGTATAGGTTGTATGCCAGTCATTTGGCCTTCCTGGCTTTCTCTTGTTCATACGTCCCTCCTTCCTTTCATATGCGCAATAGTAGCGGCTTATTATTCATGTGTGTCCTTTCACACTTAATGTTGAACTAGTTTAACACTCAATAGTTAAGACTTTCAGGGCGTTCTACAAATATCGAGAAACTTTCATGGACTTGTTTAAAATGAAGAAGTACGGGTTGACGAAAAGTAAATTTATCAGACTGATAGGCCTTGCTATGACGATTTTTATTCTCACCATCGTTGCTGCAGTAGTACAATTAGTCGTCAACCTTCAAGCAAACAGTGGACGGCTATTGCCTTACAAGAGCTGGGACCAAGTTCATGTCTATTTTTCAAAGATTTACCAGGTAAAACTTTCCGAACTAAACGAACATCAGTTAGGTGCGAACATAGCAAGCTGGTTATTGCCAATCATAACAGCTATTATTTTCTTTTTTTTCTTCGGATTTGCTGAAGAATCCCGGAAAGAGTACGTCCGTTGCTTACTCTTTTGCTTTCCATTCCTCAGAGCAAGACTTCAACGGTGAGTATAGGGATACGATTGATATACTTTATTGAGCATACTAAGATCAACTATTCCAAACAATGGTCATGTGTCAACTATCTCCTCCTCACCAAGCCAAGACTACGATGACTTTGATAAGCTGAAAGACTGTAGTAGGGGTCAATCTGAAGAATACGAGCTTCCTGTTCTGAGAGCCTCATATTTAGAAAGCAGAAAACCAACATAGAAAATCACATTATTAATGTAAAAGCCATGTATTAAATTTATACTTGATCTTCATCGCGACTGAGTAGGATGTGTAAGAGAAGAGTTAGGATAGACAGTAAAGACGTACCCAGCGTAGAATTTTTCAAGGAAAGTTTGTGGTCTAGCTGTGAGTATTATGTTAGTTTTGAATAAATAATAAAGTTATCAAACTGACGTGGTGCCTGTGTAAAGTTAGATATAGCGAATGAGAGTAGAAAGATTACTCACTTCTTCCAATGCAAACCAGCGCATAATGTGAGTTTCTTGCTTCCATGCGTTCATTGTTTCTTGGTATTCCTGTCTACCTTTGAATAAAACTAAGTCTATCACATTCAAATCGTCGAGATTTCTGTTCTTTTCAAACTCCTGACGAATTTTTGCTCTAATCTGTGATGGTGGAATATTTAATGAATAAAGTGCACAGATACTTGGTGCCTATAAGTATATCTTAATAAAGCAATCAACCATCATCTATTCTATCACTCACGCTACGATAAAAGTCACGATAAAGAGTTCTAGCTCTAGCGTGAGCTTCTGCGAATGAAGTTGACGATTTTGTTACGTGTGCCAATCTTGAAGGGATAGTAGTCATCGTCGGGAATCAAGAGATAATAAGAAGCTAGAACTAATAGATAAAATCTGTAATAGTATAGTTTATTCAATTAATCGTTCATATTTATTTATTCATACGATATATCTCTTCATCTTCGTCCTCGATGTCCGCTAAGATACCCAGTACAGCGTTATACGCAAATCAAATTGAAAGCCCACCAAGACTCAATGGTAGTCTAACGAACTCTGCCTTTTCTATATCTCTTATTGCTTTTACCTTAGGTGCTGTCTTTGGTTTGAGCTTACTTCCCGGTTTATCAGTTATCAACTTAAATTTGAGTGCTATAATTCCAACAGCATTACATTCAACCCAAGTTTCCCTATATTTAGTCATACTTTGTTGGTTTCATCTTTGGGAATTCCTCAGTACAGCAGGTTGGAATATGACAAAGACATCAGTCGATTGTTAGTCATATACTTAATTGAATATGCAATCTAATAAACTAACAGCTTACTTATTAAACAATGGATATAGCTACACTGCTGCACACGCTTTCGGTCTAGTGTCTCATTACCTTTTGATATTGTTCTACCCTTCAATTTCTCAAAATCATTACTTAATCATCTCAGGTAAGTGTGGTATGAACCATTTAATTACCCTTACCATAAATTAAGGTCTCGCCTTGGTTGTCGTAGGTCAGGTCTTGCGTACGCTTGCTATGGTACACGCGAGTGAAAGCTTTTCACACCATGTCGCATCCTTTAAACAAAAAGATCATAAGTTAGTGACTAATGGCGTTTACAGGTAAGAGTATTTTGTTATAAAATATTTCTCGTTAAACTTCCACAGAATCGTACGACACCCTTCGTATTTAGGTTTCTACCTATGGGCATTGGGAACACAGATGATTTTGACAAATCCTTTATCATTCATAGCTTTTGCTATTATTCTGCATAGGTTTTTCACTGATAGAATTAAACGTAAGTTTTTCTCTTCCTCACTTAAGACATTCTTCTAATTCTCGCAGATGAAGAAACTTATCTCGTAAAGTTCTTCGGAAATGACTATCAATCTTATAAAAATAATGTGTACTCTTTCTTCCCTTATGTTATTTAAGTATTTCATCCACACTCAATGACGTGTGCGTGCAAGTCGTTGACCACGACTATCATTATGAGTCCAACAGAATTCATTCATAAAGTAAAAGCAGAGGCGCCAGCTTCATTAACAGAAGATTTGACTAAATTAGAAATTAATTATAGCAAGCGGTGCGTCTTACGCGAGGAATCAGATAATTGCTAACCAGCCACCAAAGTTTATACCACCAGCTTACTAAAACACTACAAGAAATCATACAGAAGGATGATATTTCTAAGTATTTGGTTGACTTGTGGAATAACTTTATCTCAACATTCAAGGATAAGTTGAATCAACTACGTTTAGTGGAAATTGGCGTTAGAGTAGCACAGGAGATGATTCCACAAGAGTCTCTAAACTTCTTAGAATCTTTATTGGACACCCTACCAGTTCCAAGAGCTGCATTACCACCTGCACTGAAGCCAACCAATACAAAATCGTTCGATGAGGAGCAACCACCAACTAAAACCGAATCTGAGGCTTACGTTTTAGCAAAAATCTCAATAGCACATTATGACCTTTTACTTGGTAACTTAGACAAAGCTAAAGAAGCTATGGATGTTTGTGAGCGGGTTTTAGATTCAATTGATGGCGTAGAAGCCAGTGTCACTGGTGCTTGGCTACGCGTTAGTGGTGATTACTTTAAAGTGAGTATTTGGAACTCTTCAGAAATTGACCTAATCAAAAATCAGTCAAAAGCGGAATATGCAGCATTTTACCGTACAACATTACTGTATATCTCATGTGCTGGTATGGACCAACTTGACAAAGCTGAGCAAATCCAAAGAAGTCACGATTTAGCCATCGCTGCCTTATTAGGTGATACAATTTACAATTTCGGTGAATTGGTAAGCTTACTCACTTTAAAATAATATATAGTAGTTTTCTAATTAAACTCAGTTGACTCATCCAATCTTGCATGCTCTTGATGGAACCGAATTAGAATGGTTGAAAGATATTATTTACATTTTCAACGAAGGTGATATAACCAAGTTTGAGGTTAATGCCTCTAAATTGGCAAATGAAGTGGGTGTAATAGCGTTTTAGAACACTAAAAGTAACATTATATAAGCCAATCTTACACGACAGTCAAGCTTTCCTTCGTCAAAAGATATGCCTTATGGCATTGATCGAATGCGTGTTCAAAAGGTCATCAAAAGATCGTGACATGTCTTTCTCAACGATCGGTGCTGAAACTAAGCTTCCACTTGATGAAGTAGAACACTTAATTATGAAAGCATTATCGTGAGTAATCTCTTTACTGAATTGTCTCAACTTAAAATAAGAAGGCTTAAACTTATCCGTGGTACTATTGACCAAGTCTCAAGCTCAGCTAGCATCAATTGGGTACAACCAAGAGTCCTCGATAAAAATCAAGTCAAATCATTGGCTTCACGTCTAAACGAATGGAGATCTAAAGTAGAGAATGTGGCAGTCGATGTAAACAGTCAAGCACCTGAATTATTTGCATAATGTATCATTATTACTTCTCCTTCTTTGAGCCTGATGAAGAATTAGCGTTATCAACGAGTTCGTTCATAGCTTTGTTGTTTTGTGTAGATTGCTTTTTGAGAATTTCTGGAAAGCTTGTAAACAAGTTGAAAGGTTTTGTTAATAATACTAACCAATTTCACGATCTTTAGCTTCAATTTGCTTCTTGAAGTTTTGAGCAGCTGATGATTGGCCATCTTTCTATGAAGAATGTAAGTAAATTGTTTAAATATAATTGTATAATGAATACCTTCATCAAACCCAATTCTTCTTGTGATTGAATAAGGTCCATGATAATACCAAATACGCGTGAAAGAATTCTAATGGAAGAAGGAATGAATTAGTTGGATAATTTAAAATACGTAGCAGTAATACCCACAAGCTGAGAAAGAGGGTGAAACCTTTTGAAAATGAGTTTTGTAAAGATGACGAAAAGAAAGGTGAGACATACCGGTGAGATAAACGTTACGTTGTGAGTAAAACCTAAAAAGTGTGTGAATAATTTAGATCTTTAGAATATAAAAGTGACGTACTTGCGTGCGGCAAAGTTAGTTTCTGAGCGTACATCTGTGAAAGCATGTTCCTCTTTGGCTGTTTGACCTTCTTTAACGACTCTAAGCATTCTATTGATAATGTAAGTAATGATATTTCTGATTATTACACTTAAACTCACCTTTGTACAGCATCAAAGAAGAGAATGGAAGTGAATATGAGAGAAATCTTCAAGGAGTATTGTAATTTAGCAACTAATGGGTTTGTGCTTAAAAATTTAAAGAACTTTTGCTTAAACGCAAATGGCATTGGTGCTACTAATACCAAGAAAGTGACGATTCTATGAGTGTGATGAGTTGATAAATATTATGACGAATTAAGCGTACTCAGCAGAGAGTAAACCGAAACTGTTTAAACTGTTAATTATCTATCTCTAATTGATAGTTGATTACCCACACTAAGCTGTAATAAAGCTAAAGAGTGAGTGTTAGTAAAATATTATAACGCTATAAAATAGTACTCACTGTCATTTTGCTTCTCTAGTTTTTTATTTTAGATAATCGACGTTCGTAGAAGAGAGGAGTTCAAACGAAATGTTGACGTCAGTATTTCAATGAGTCTTTAATCTAGAGATGATTAGAATATTTTGGTTTTTACATTTTAAATATAGCATAAATAAATCCATGTTATTATTTTTACACAGAAAAATACATAATTTGACAGTTAAATGAACGCGTCATTTTTCTATTAACTACTACGAAGAGATGACTAAAATACCAGTATCAATTAAGCACGCAGGGAAGAAATTAGATTTAGATTTAAATACACAAGCATCTGGTTTAGATTTTAAGAATGATATCTACGCTATAACTGGCGTGGCACCAGAGAGGTAAGTAGAAGAACCTTAGTGAAGTATACCTCATTTAACACTCAGTTTAGACAAAAAGTTATGATAAAAGGCGGTATCTTAAAGGATGATACTGATATGGAGAAGCTCGGATCAACAATAAAACCAGGTCATTTGTTCATGGTTATTGGTGCAGCAGGTCCATTACCTTCGGCGCCTACAGAAAAGGTCGTATTCATGGAAGATCTCGATGATAAGCAGTTGTCACAAGCCTTGAAGAACCCAGTTGGTTTGACAAACCTTGGTAACACTTGTTATTTGAACAGTTCAATTCAGGTTCTGAGAGCTATACCGGAATTACAAAACAACTTAAACAACTCACAGAACAATGGTCTCAGTAGATCCTTAGAAGCGCTTTTTAGCTCACTTAACAACTCAACTGACGCAATAACACCAACTTCATTCTTGACAACGTTAAGATCAAACTACCAACAGTTCACAGAGAGAGACAGATTCGGACAGTTTGCCCAACAAGATGCAGAAGAAGCCTGGGGTGCGATACTCAGCTCATTAGCAGGCACCACTGGTATGGAAGGCAAGTCATTTGTCGATCAGTACATGAGAGGTAGCTATGTGAAAGAAATGTCGACACCTGAAGCGCCAGAGGAAGAACCTACTTATTCGATCGAGGAATTCACCAAACTGGGCTGTAATATCTCTTCAAATACCAATTACCTCCAACAAGGCTTGAGTGAAGGCTTAGATGAACAAATTGAGAAATATTCTGGAACTCTTAACAGGAACGCTCAATATGTTCAGAAGTCCAGAATAAATCGTCTACCAAGCTATCTTACCGTTCATCTGGTGAGATTCTACTGGAGAGCTGACTTAGGTAAAAAAGCCAAGATTCTCCGTAAAGTAAAATTCCCAATGGAGTACGATGCGAGCGAATTAGTTAGTGACGATTTGAAAGCCAAGATCAATCCAGTCAATAAGAAACTTTATTCGATCAACAAGGATAGAGAAGAAAGAAGAAGATTGAGGAAGCGCATCAAGACGAGAAACGACTTGGAGGAGAAGGCTAACAATTCAAAGAACAATGATGAGATGTTAATCGATGAGATAAAAGATGAACAAAACAAGATTGGTGATGCAGAATTACTCAGTGAAGAAGTATATCAAGCGAAGGAGAAGAAGGAACTGGATGAGTTAGTTGATGAGGACTTGAAGAATGACATTGGTTCTTCAAAGAGTGGATTGTACGATTTGGTTGGCATAGTTACACACAAAGGTGTCAACGCAGATGGTGGTCACTACATCGGTTGGGTTAGGGGAGATGTACACAAAGGTGAAGAACACCAAGATGATTGGTATAAATTCGATGATAACAAGGTTAGCAAGATATCAAAGGAGAAAATTGCGCAATTAGAAGGTGGAGGTGAAGATAGTGTGGCTTACTTGTTATTATACAAAGCTAAAATGTAGATGAATGGTATATTTTTATTTTACTTCTACCAAAAAGTCAAAGTCCCTGATGATGTCATATTTTTTGGATGACTTGAGTCGGTAACATGGCTTACAAGAATTGTATCAATAGTAAACACCTTCTTTGCTCTTATAAATCAGTTTAGATGTAGCTTATGATGTTGTTATCATACGAGTCAGATAAGAAGAATGTAATGAAAGTGATTGTCTACTATTTAATAGAAAAACTTAACAAATTTTTTAACTTTTTTTCTACAAACCACATCTCTTCATTGTTGACGACGATATCAACCAGTGAAGACCAACTGAGGTCTTCGTTGAAAAGCCAATGGAAGAAACATACGAAATAAAAATAAGCCTAGATGGCAACTACTGCGTAACGAGAGATGGTGATACCGCGAGAAAGTTAAAGAAAATGCTTGATTTGAAGTACAATGTCGGGGCTGTCGTCGATGGGGAGATAAAGTCATCTAGCTTGACTATACAGATAAAAAGTGAAAATGAGTATGTAGTTAAGTAGGTATAGCTTACTTTTATGATAGTCATTCGCTCATCTTTCTTTTCAGACCGAAGGATTCGAGTAAAATGGATTTGCGATTGCAGTTACCGAATAGCTTCAGTCAATTGAAAAATTATTTGGAGGAATTATTACCTGAATCTGAATCACCGAGTGGAAATTACTTTGGTGGCAGTTTACCATTAAATGATGACAAGTTGACTGCATTTGATGGTGAAATAACGAATATATCTAATCGGAAGGAATTATTTGAATTATTCGACGAATATCAAATAAACAAGGATAAAGAGATTTGCCTTTCTAATGATAAAACAGTTTTAGCTGCATCAATACACCGCTGGATTTCACAATTAAGCTCAGAATTTTTATTCGATGATTTAGAATTATTCTACAACACTTATCGTTTATACCTCAATCAAATGGAATTAGCTGAAATATTGTTTAAGAGATTCGAATGGACGCTTGAAGATAGTGATAAATTTGACGAATCACAACTTGAATTAGTGAGAGTCAGAACATTCGTCATGATTAGAGGATGGTTGAGTAACTATTTTGGATATGATTTCGTACCAAATTTAGAATTACGCCTGAGGTTGTCCGAATGGATAAACCATCAGAGAGAGCAAAATAATGAGAAGTCAAGAAAAATGATCGAAAAGATGATAAATGTTGCTAGAGAAAGACAAAACGTTTATGAGAATTACAAAAAGTATAGTTTAGACGAGAGTATTTCATCATTTGATAGCAATCTGAGTCAAACAGATGGTAAATTGTCTTTAGATTTTGATCCAGGACCACCGACTACATTACCTTCAAGTAATAGTAGTAAATTTACGATGAACACGAATCCAACTAGTACAGCAAATGTTGGCCAAAATGATTCAATTACAGGAACATTTTTTAAAACGTTTAATAAGTTTGGTAAATTTGGTAAAAGGATTATATCAAATAGACCACAAAAGACAATTGAAGAGGATGATACGATGAAGAATGAATATACAATTTCCTTAACATTTGAAGAATTTTGTCAATTACAAGAGATACCAATAGAAAATAATAATGATAATTCAAGTAATGAAATAAAAAATAAAGAAAATGATTCAATAATGACAAAAATAATGCAATTAGATGACTTAGACTATAGTGATGATAGTAGCAGCAGTGATACTGATGAAGAAGAGTCATTCGCAAAAGCTAAAAAGTTACCACATGTGAGACAGGATAGGGATAGTGGGAAAAGTTCAAGGAGCACGGTAAAATCAATGAACTCAACAGAATCTCAAATTGAGGCCAACTGGCAGAATAATTTTACGATCGAAGGCTTAGAATCTGATGAAGAAGAAGACGGTGATGTTGATGCAGCTTTACGTGCGTTAGAAGGACAAATAGATAAGGTAAAACAAGAAGAGAAATTACGTAAAGTTGAAACAATGATGGAGAGGTCGAAGAAGAAACGGTTAAGTCAGAGTGGAAATTCAAATACATCTTCGCCTGCAGGATCACCATTGATCAGAACAAAGAGTGTCTTTCAGAGCAGTACGAATGGTGTTGGTAATGGCAATAGCAATGTGCATACGATAAAGGAAGTAATAACACATAAACCGCGTTCACACTCGGTTGCTATTACAACGCCATCGAGGGCTACACAACACACTAATCGAAAGAGAGGTTTGAGTCAAGGATCTAGTGTCATTATAGATAAGGCTAAAAAGAATGGTACCAGAAGTTGGATTTTACAATACAGAACTGAAATGATTGCTAAACAATTTACACTAATTGAAAGGGATTTATTTAATGAGATTAAGTTCGAACATATTGAGAACCTCAACAATTGGAAGGAAGATTATTATAAATTTGATACAATTATTAGCTGGATATCATTCATGAAAGAGCACGCACGCAAAAAGGTGATAGGAGACGCGAATGGATGTTCAGTTAGAGTTATTATAGCCAGATTTAATATGACAGTGAGATGGGTAGCGTCTGAAATTTTAATCACCGCGTCAACTGAAGATAGAACGTCTGTTATTGGAAAGTTCATAAGGTTGGCGTTTAAGTGTCAACAACAAAATAACTTTATGACATTGATGGCGATTCTGAGAGGTGAGGAGAACGTTTTTGTAATTTATTTACTTACGCTATTAAAAAGGTTTGGAACACCCACTCGTGAAAAGAATGGCAGACGCTTGGCCACATGTTTCAAAGCAATCTATGAGGATGTTAACAACGTTAAAAAAGTTCTGTAGTAACGCTGATAACTTTTCAATGTTGAGACATACCTCATTAAATCAACTGAATAAGAATCTTTCAGAAACCACTTCGGAGAGGAGGATGACTAGGGATAGATCCTCGTCTTCTGTGACTGGCAGTGGAGTTGGTGACATAAATGGATGTATACCATTTATAGGTATATTTTTGAATGATCTATTACAAGCGAATAATTCACCAAATTATCTTGAACGTGATAGTAATGAAGTTATGGTCAATATACAGAAGCTTCGTTTGATACATTCAACAAGAAAAACGATAGAATTATTCCAGACATACTCGACGAACCAGTTTGATCATCGGTCGTATCTCGATGGTGATTTATATAGAAAGTGTCTTAAGTTACGCCTAGATTGTAGAGTAATAGAATAGAATGACGAGAAGCGCATAAGGATGAGACTCGATGGTTTAACACCTTCGCTGAAATACATGTACGATTATTTATGTTATATACGATAGATGTTTACATATGAAAAGTGAGTGATTTACGATGGGCAAGAACATTTGAAAAGAAGAGGCATGAATTTCTGTACAATTATTTATATATAAATAGTTAAACGTTTGGCTTCATCGGAAGTTTTAATACTTCTCGTAACCCTCAGTAATCTCTTGGTGACGCTGGGAAGTCAGCTGGTGGTGGGCCATTGAAGCCTTCTCTAGGTGGGGCATTATAGTCATCCCTCGGTGGACCTCTGAAATTATCTCTTGGTGGACCCCTAAAATCATTTCTTGGTGGACCCCTAAAGTCATCTCTAGATGGTACTCTGAAATCTTCTCTTGGTGGACCTCTAAAGTCATCCCTTGGTGGGAAGTTCCTAGGAGGTCTTCTATCAAAATCATCACGTGGTGGTCTACTATCATAGTCTCTTTGTTGGTAATTTCTTGGAGGACCTCTTGAATACTCATCACGAGGTGGTCTGTGGAAGGGTGTTAATATGACCCATGAAATAGATTAGAACAGACCTATAATCATATCTATCACGTGGAGGCATTGGTCTGTATGGTTTATATGGGCGTGGTGGGTAAGGTTTATAGCCACTACCGCCATAGTAGTCCCTTGGTGGTGGACCGTATTCTCTGTAATCACTTTAATCGATCAGTTAATTAGTTGGTGGAGTTTTTATCATTCTCACCGTGGTGGTGGTGGTGGGTAAGACCTGTTGTTTTGATCACTGTGAGTTGAGATGATTAGATAAACTGTAAAGATATACACACCCATATCTATAATTGTATGGGCGTTGATAACTAGCGTACCGTGGAGGATAACGTTCGTAACGGTCGTAAGAGCTGTATTCTCTAGGATAAGGTTGGTAACGAGGTCTTTGAGGTCTCTGATATGGAGCAGACATTGACTTGTCATCTGTGAATAAGTTAAAGAGTGTATAGTGAAAGTTTGAATTACTGACACTTTGGTGGACCAATGTATTGTCCTGGAGTTGGCTCACGTGGACGTTGTCTACGTGCTCTAGCGACAGTGATAGTTTTACCTAAAATTTGTGATAAATGTAACTTTTCAATAGCGTCATCAGCTTCCTGTGGCTGTTCGAAAGTGACGAAACCAAAACCTCTAGATTCCCTAGTGTGAGGGTCTAACATGATAACGACTTTAAGTACCTAGATTGTGATTGAGCGGGTGAATGACTGAACGTATGAAAAGATACCTTTCCAGATGAAGACATATGCTCAGTAAGTAATTGATCATCGACGCCGACGTGCATGTGAGAAACGTGAACAATATTACCTTTGTTAGAAGCTGCAGAAGATTGAGACTGGCTGTCGTCGTGACTGTAGTCTGATTGATGAGGCTGACGACTGTGCTGTTCATCGTGATAGTCTGACTGTTGATGGTGATTTCTATTGAACGATTATTATATTGAACAATTGATAAATAGTTAATTACTCGTCTTCGATGAAATCCCTCGGTGGAGTAGTTCTCTCAAAATCAACATCCTGGCTATCGTGATGAGTGGACCATTCTAATTGAGAGTTAATAGAGTAATAGATAAACAAAATAACGACATACCACCGTTGTCTGACATTTTTTATTTTTTTGATGGTTTCTTTTCAATGATCGTTCACCGTTTAAGTAAACTTTCAAATCAATTTAATAAAATGTCATTCTCTACAAGACAAATTGGCGCTAAGAACACTAACAACTTCCAAGTCTTCTTAGAAAAGGACAACAAGGTTATCTCCCCATTCCACGATTTGCCTTTATACGCAGATGACTCAAAGACTATCTTGAACATGGTTGTTGAAATCCCAAGGTGGTCGAACGCTAAGATGGAGATCTCCAAGTCTGCTTACTTCAACTCCATCCAACAAGACACCAAGAAGGGCAAGCTCCGTTACGTTAGAAACTCATTCCCATGGAAGGGTTACATCTGGAACTATGGTGCATTCCCACAAACCTACGAGGACCCAGACAGCGTCCACCCAGAGACCAAGGTGGGTTTTTATTTATTTTCTTGTCTTCTCCGTTAACACCCGATAGGCAAAGGGTGACGGTGATCCAATTGACGTCTGTGAAATTGGTGAAGCTGTCGGTTACATTGGACAAGTCAAGCAAGTTAAGGTTTTAGGTACCCTTGCACTTCTTGATGAAGGTGAAACTGACTGGAAGGTGGGTATATTCTATTTCCATCGACATGCTTAATAAGCGCACAGATCATCGTCATCGACGTCAACGACCCACTCGCTTCAAAGATCAACGACATCGAAGACGTCGAGCGTCACCTTCCAGGTCTTCTCCGTGCCACCAACGAATGGTTCAGAATCTACAAGATCCCAGACGGCAAGCCAGAGAACCAATTCGCTTTCTCCGGTGAAGCTAAGAACAAGAAGTACGCTACTGAGATCGTACACGAATGTCACGAAGCATGGAGAGGTCTTTTGACCGGAAAGGTTAACAAGGAGGGTGTCTCATGCGCAAACGTCTCGGTTGAAGGATCACAAGACAAGATTTCAACCAGTGATGCTCAATATGCACAAATCCCAGCTCATGCACCAGAAGCAGATGGTCCAGTTGACCCATCCATTGACAAGTGGTTCTTCATCTCTGCTGCCTAAATACATGGCTTATATCGATCAAAAATTTGAAATATATCGCTTTTAAAAATCTATAGTACATTATCGTACATCCATTTTATTACGTTCAAAGCAAATTTGGAGACTGCATGGAGTGATTTAAAATAATATTCTTATGATAACATATATTTATTTCGCCATCGGTAAAATCCTTCAAATTATGTGATTGTTCTATGGATGGAGTGATAGACACAATCTTTGAGAGGTGTTCAGGAATAGCACGCAACTGAAGCAAGCATTTGTGTCACTCGCTTAATTGCGCAGGCATTAAATCTACGAGAAGTACTCTCTGGCAACACAGCATGTCAGTGCAGGTTCAAAACGTAAATTGTATGGGTAGCTTTGTATTCCTAACTCAAAATCAACACAAAATGTTCACTTCATTGTAGCATAAGAGATATGGCAACAATATCTTTGTCGGTGAGCATAGGGGGATAATACAAAGTTGCTCTTGAATAACAGGCTATAAATATATTGGTGAAGCTGTTATTGTATGTGACATTAGTCGATGAGTCAAAAAAAATCAATATAGAATGGATGGGTAGATAGATTATTGTTCAAAAATTCAATAATTAAAACAACATAAGATGATATAACATAACTTTGATCTCCAGTTAAGAATTCAGTGATACAGGTACTATGGACCATTAAAGGAATGGCGAAAGTTTTCTCTGCATTGGAGTAATTTTTTGCACTCATCAAGGAAAAGAGTTACTACTATTCGGGTTAATGTAAAATGACGTAATTAGATCGCTTCGATAATAGTATCTCCTAATTCTCTGGTAAGAATCTTGGATTATATTTAGTTCTCATTATCAACAAGTATATATGCTGCTTTTCATCTGATGGAAATAGATCTATATTGCGGATATCAAGATTCTTCGATAGTTCTCGTTGCTACACGTAACTCGTAGAACAAAAAGCTCAGTCATCATTAACACCTAGAGAAACAAAAGATATGGACAACAAGCTCTAGAGATGCACAAATTATTCCAAATCATTTCCAGTCGTTTTCATTCCCAAATGATACAATCGTATTCGAACGAAATCTGTAGTAGGGGGGTCACAATTCATCAATTGTCCAATACTTGTTATTCTTGCGGTCACTATTTCGATTCTATCTCTCCTAATGAATCATCAAAGATTTTAACTATAGCTTTTGCAAAATAAACAACAGCCACTGGAAAATAAGCAAGCTCCCTGAACAACAAAGGTTAATATCGATGTGGCTTCAAAGGGGTTATTAGATTGAATGATATATATGTTTTAATCTTGACACATATATTGAAGCGTTCGATCGGGCTTTTTAGTGATTGAGCTATGACCACAGGGTCAAGTATAGCAGTGCAATTAGCCTAGTTTGACGTAAAAGGTTTTAATTAACGTTTAAGTGTCTAAAAATAAACATGGACATGTTACAAGTCATACCACATGTGATTTACTATATCGCGAGTAAGTGCCATAGAATGGCAAAAATACTAAATATTACAGAGATATCGTCGGTACAAAGACTAGCACTACATTTTCCTAGAGTGCCTTGTTTCGTATTAAGAAGCTTCAGATTCAATCGGAAGTAGATAATATGCGACCCTGAATCAATCAAAAAGCTATAGACAGAGGAGCACAGCTTCAAAATCTAATTTTAGGCTAGTTTACAGGGGTTTTAACCATTCCACAATCACAATGGTCAAAGTCACTTCAATCATCTTAGCTTCAGGAGCTTTGTTCCATAGTGCAGTAGCCACAACGTAAGTCGAGTCACACACAAACGTAAACGAAGTTAAACAAAACAGATATGCCCAATTCTGTAATGACAATAACTGTGAAGAAGGTTGCGGTGGCAGTGTTAGTGTCGACAATTCAGCTTGCCTGGTAGAAAATGGGCGTGGAAGGTAAGTATCAAGCGAATTGATTTGCAAATCAGTCTAATAGACCATCTCAAAGTGTAAAGTTCCATGATACTAACTTCGGATCTGTGAGCTTGATAGCCACGAACAACGACCAATGCAGTTGTCAGGCATTTTGCTATCCACACGTTGTGAAAGCATTAGCAACTTCAAATGACTGCTTGGACTTGAAAGATCCACTGCACAACTTCAAGTCTTTCAGATTTGTAAACGTAGATTTGGCTGGCGGATGCAGTACTGATGAAAACACATGTGATGGTAGCGTCCAATAAATGTCTCGCACTATAATTGTAACATTTTGAATGAATATATAATCAGTTATACGATACTTTATATGCGATCTTTTTTTGCTGCAAATACTCCTACGTCAACATGGAGAATGCTCTATTTGAGAAACCTGTCAATGACACAAAGACATAGCTTTTTCGGAAAATCACGCGAACATTTCACTATAGGGACACGAGGAGATTTATTTTTAGCTTTTGAGATACCCTTGATCATAAGTCTCGCGATTATTTTCAAATGATACCTTATCGAAATCTTTCCACAATGGTCGCACAGCTTATTTGAGTAAATTAAATAAACATTCTTTAGATTGTTTTTACATAATCGAAACCTTCTCATCAATATGGTAAAATCCGTTTCATGCCTCACACTTTTAACGGCACTTGCCTTAACAACAAGTGTTATATCAACAGGGTACGCGGTGTTTTATGATGACGATAATTGTCAAGACAATCCAGGTATTGCTGTCTCCGCTGAAAATCCCGGTTGGTGACATTTTCTACTACTAGAAATACTTATAGGCGAACATAGGATGCTTGGAGGAGCCAGGGCGTGGATCAATCAAATTTCATGGTACCGGTAGCCCATTCTTTGAACAAACATCGCTGGTTATCACGTGAGTATACATTCAGATTGGATTTCAGATTTTTAGAATTTTCAGTCCACATGACAGTTGCAGTTGTCAGTCTCAGTGTTTAGGGGCACTCGTAACCGTAGTTAGATATTTTGTTCTGTATTCTCACTGACGACTAAAAAGGGTGGAGAGTATGACGCTGCGGGATGCGTAAAACTGCCTAAAGGTGGCTACTCTTATCGTTTCATTACGAGTGGTTGTGATCCAAACAATTGCGTCGCTTAATAATATATAACAGTACGCTCGAATTTTTATAGTACAATAATGATATAGTACGATTTACATTAATCCTAGCATGTTACATTTTATGCCTAACATATTATTTCTAATCCAGTTGAAGTATTCCGAAAAACTCTGCACACTGATCTCGACCAAAGCAATTACGCCATACGTCACATAAAGAATCTGCCGTTTAAGAAGTACAGATACAGCCTATTATCGTCTCTATTACTTACTTTGCTGATCTGATCTGTACAGTTTCAGTGTAATCAGTGTAATTTTGCACTAGAGATCTTTAAACATATTTGGTAATATCATGATGCCGTCAATAGACTAGGACGTGAAGGTCTAAGTATCTACATTTTTATGTAACTCTACCACTACCACTGTTAGTTCCCAAATACCCTCTTCATTATGTTCGAGCGGTTGGGGCATGACTGCATCTTTAACTGGTTGGGCTGATACAGAACGTCTGACTCTGGTAACGCATTTCTCTACCATTATTCGATGACAGAGATCGCGTTTAGTTGCAAAATCGTCGACGTATTGTAGATCTTCTTTGCGACCAGGGTATTCTCTCGTGTAGGGCTGTTACGGTAGTTCTCTGGAAATTATGAAATCTTGTTCGAAAGTCCTAAATGTGTTATCATTTTAGGCTATCGGCTATTTTTATTTTGTCAAACACCACCATTAGTATTTCGCACTTCAAATATAGATATTTGAGCCTTTAAAGATACAGCTCAATCTTACTATTTTTGACTTTATGGACCTACACCAGGAATCTTTTCGAGAAGCTCATTCGCGGGCGAAAAGCCAGCCAGATCTATAAAGCCTTAGCCAAGTATTTTTCTGACAAGTTCCCAAAAGAGCCAACGATTGTCACACGTGATGCTGACATAGAATATTGGAAAAAAATAGAAGTCGTTTGATTACCTTGATTATTATGACACATAGTTACGTCAGTCTGCTTGTAGAATTGCGAGACCAGGTCCGACAGATACTGAATTCGTGATAGACTTTTTGCTTGATGCAAAATTAACGCCTAAGTTTTTGTTGACTTGTGAAATCAATTGTGTTATAAAGAAAAAGCGAAAATGCTTTGAAAAATATGTAAGTTAAGCTAGGCTTTTTCCTAATATTCGCATCTTCGTACATGATTTAGTGGAGCCTTTCTTTTTTTAAAAAAAATCTTAGAGAAATTGGATCCCACGGTAATCATTGGAGATATAGCATTCTATTAAAACATTGAGTGGTACATGGTTTACTGCAAGACATCAGTCTATCTGCGTTGACAGAATTTAAGATAGATACTTATTGTCACATAACGATATTGATATAAACTACTTCCTGCTTTTCAGAGTTAAAATTGGGAAAAAAACGCGGTGATTTGAAGTCGCTGCAGAGACGCATTAAAAATGTCTTAATATCTAAACCTTCCATGATTGACATATCTATTTTTGGGATAAAACAAGGCAAAGTTGGAGTTCATACTGATTAAATACTGTTACTAATATCAGAGGTAATGGATTTGCAGTAACATTTCACAGCTTCTAGAGCCAAATCATCAAATTTTTTTTTAAAAAAGCATTATAGGCATCTAAGCTTTTATGGTTGAATAGCTATATTGAAATTTCTAGTCTAGTGACATTGGCGACACAAATAGTAGTACTCATCATTATCATTAAAAAAACAACAATTGGAATTTGGAATTCCAACTTCAAATTGTTTATTGATAATTTGAGTTAACATCTTATATACACTTATTCTGTTCCATCGTCTCTTTGACTTGCAAAAAAGACCTTATCACTTGTTTATCAATCCATTGCTTACGTGCATGTTGAATTTATCGAAGAAGAGAATATCACCTTCATTCCATTTAAACTTACCGTATCGTACTTCTGTAATTCAAGAAGCCTTTCGAGATATTTGTAGAAGAAGCGAAAATGCTAGCAAGGATGGGAAATCCAGATCGCGAGCCAGAAATAAAGAAATAATGAAAACCAAAGTCTACGTGTATGTAATTTAATTTTTGGGTATCAAAAGAGATTTGTTCGTCTTTGCCCATATCTCGTTAGTCGTTTCTGTCTTTTTATAGACGTGCACAGAAGATAATTCCAAGGATGGAAGTGTCATTATCCAAACTAGTCTACAAATAAAACAATTCTTATCTACTGACACAACACACTCGCGTCTAAATATCCGCTAAATATCTACTTTTGTCATAGCGAGAATGACCTTATAATACATAAATACACCATAGGGATCTGCATCTTCTCGATAACAAAACTATACAATCATTTGTTATAACTAGAAGTCGTCTATTTTACTTCCATCATCTCGGAGACTTGCTAAGATAATTCTGTCATGCTGCTCACCACTCCAAGGCTCTCTCGCGTGCTGCACTCTGAAGTTATCTAAAACCAGTATGTCTCCTTCTTGCCAAGGGATATAAATGGTGACGTCTTCTTGAATCTTCAGCACTTTATCTAGATACTCAATTGGGATACTGCTACCGTCCCCGTAAAGTGGTGGCAAATACTTCATACCGTCTCTTCCAATATGTGGATAATCCACAGCGCCGCGTTGTTTGATCATACCCCATCTTCCACCCAGACCATTGAAGAAGGTAGCGTGGCCTTTGATACGTCTCACGCCAGGTAATTTCATTGTTACAGTAAGTGCATCATCCTCATCCCACGTAACTTCTCCGAGTTCCTTAGCTTTACTCTCGGCTTTTTGGTGAGCTGTAGCGTCATCGTCCTCTGGAAGTATGTTGTGACCAAATGTGTCAGCTTGCCTCCATGAGAAAGGGTTGTCTTTACCAACGCGACTTGGGTGGGGGTAGTATTGCTTGGTTATTAACTTGCGCTTGACAAGCTCATCTAGAAATTCCGGGAGCTCCTTCTCAATTCTTTCAAATACCTCAATACTGGAACAAATCGGAGTTCTACCGCCTGTCCACCTTAAAATTTTCTGCTATCTCAAAATATCAAGCTTACCTGACAATGGTGTAAAGCGGTAGGCAGAGAAAATAATATGAGTAGGAAATGTTGTATACCTTGCTCTCTCATTGTGCTGCCACATACGTAGAGTCTTGGGTCCTTCGTTGCTCGTTTGCAACTCTGATGCCAAAGTAGAACGTTTGCCTGATGTACTTTAGTTTGCAAATACTTACAAAATACAGTTTACTCACCTGATGCGCCAAGCTGCGAAAATTGCTCACCAACACCCAAACATTTGATAGCGCTACTGATTGCTTCAGGCGTTTTGGTTGGTAAACCACGAATTAAGACACCACCACCGCCTCGAGTTAGAAGGTCATATATATTCAATTCTTTCAAATCAGTTAGAGCTATTTCCAATGGCACATCTTTTGTGTATTTCAAAGTTAAAGGTAATTTGCCAATTTTTGTGTCTCTAGCCTCTTGAAGATGTAAAGGAATAAAGTTTTTGGCGCTGGTCATACTCGACGTGTAGTTATATTTTGATAAGGTTTTTGTTAAGACAATAGTACAATTTTAATCATGATGTCCATATTGCGCCATATTAGATAGCACTGTGCAATAGTAAATCCTCAGATGCCTGAAAACCCTTTTTTTGTAACGAAAATCACATCATATGGGTCCCCTACATCAAATGAAGTAATTATTTTAGTAGACTTAATTGAGTGAATGAAAAAAGGAATGGAAAATATTTTGACACCGGCTAATAATAAGGTCTCTAGAGTACACTTACCAAACGCGCATATTAGAATCACTTCAGTAGTATTATAGTATTAATTGTACCTTCATCCTATACAGCTGCAATAATGTAAGACATGTGCTGTCACGATAAATCTTTAACCATTCATGTCGAAGCTAACACCTACTTCAAATCTTATATTGACTGCCTGTTTCACGCAATGCCGCATTATCGTCTATAAAAAAAGTTCCCCAGCTAAAAGTTTGAACTTGAGATTGTGACGTTCAATTATTTAAATAGATACAATTTCAAACTAATTCTAAAAACAATATCCAATAAGAAGGTGAATTTGAGATTTAAAATAGGCTAGAACTAAATCTTAATATCACTCCTGACAAACCAGATTTCGCCCTTAGCATATCTCTATATTTTGACTTTGCTGATTACATTCCAAATTAGCAGCTAGAGCATACAGCATCTATCTTGTACTTACCTAACCAAGTATAGCTCAAAATGTATTCGGATACAACATTTGCACTAATTATTCATACAATTATCAAACTATATCACGTTATTGACATTCGCAACTCATTTCGCGCAGGAACTGTATTAAGAATCAATAAGATTAAATGGCAAAACTAGAGTTAGTCTGTTACCTCAGCAATAATGTCTATAGAGTCTGTTTCCTCGTTTGATAGAAAAACCGTTGAGGAAGTAATACCAGACGTAAGAAATACAGGAAATCCCCAATCTAATGAGGATACTGGCTCAGACGTACTCGCTGAACGCCAATTGGGGGTGCCCAGTGCAGTATTTTTGATAATTAACAAGATTATAGGCGCAGGTATATTCTCTACACCTGGAACGGTGCTCAAGAAGTCAGGTAGCGTTGGCCTTGCCTTGATTTTGTGGCTGGTAGGTGGTATTATTTCCGCCTGTGGTAGTATTGTGTTACTGGAATTGGGTACAGGTGTGCCTGTGTCTGGTGGGGTAAAAAACTATCTTGAAAGATTCATTCCGTCTCGTCGCCTAGCTGGAACATGTCTATATGTATTCTACTGCATAATATTGCAGGTTTCAGCTGGAAACTGTATTACGTTTTCAAATTATTTACTCCTCGCTACGCAAACTGAGGTTACAACATGGAAGCTGCGCGGCGTTGGAATCGCTGGGATATCATTTGCAATATTACTTTTTGCTTTCTTTCCCAAAATTGCTATGAAGATCAACAATCTACTCGGAGTCGTCAAGGTGTTTATGTTATTGTTTGTTATTGCTACTGGTTTTGCTGCTCTTGGAGGGGCCATCAAGGTAGATAAACCTGACAATTTCAACACAAGTACTTTGTTTGATGGAACGCTTAATAATGCGTCAAATATATCATCTGCACTTTTGAGTGCAATTTATTCCTATCAAGGCTATGATAATGCTAATGCGGTATGTTGCCATCCCTTTGTTATAATAAGCTAATAACATTAACAGGTGTTGAGTGAAGTGAAGAACCCAGTTCGAACCCTTAAAATAGCTCTTCCTCTGGCAATGTCAATGGTGACTATATTGAATATACTGGCCAATGTTGCATATTTCTCTGGTGTGTCGTTAGACCAGTTCCATAATTCCAGTGTAACAGTTGCTGGAAGCCTTTTCAGTAATGTGTTCGGCGAAAACGCAGGTACAAGAGCATTACCAGCATTGGTGTCACTATCGGCCTTAGGACATCTAATAGGTATATCAAAGACAATCCCAGTAATCATTCAGGAACTTTCAAAAGAGGGTGCTTTGTTGTTTAATAATATTTTTACAACATCAAAACCATATGGCACACCGATAGCTGCTCTGGCACTACACTTGATAGTCACAATCATATTTGTCGTGGCACCGCCAGCTAACGAAGCTTTCGATTTCATTACTTCGCTATCTAGCTACCCAACTACACTGATGTTTTTTCTGTGTAGCTTGGGAATACTAAAGTTGAGGTATTATGACAAAGATTGGGATCCTCCATTCAAGAGCCCTTTGATAATCATTGTTTCTTTCATTATAGCCAGTCTCTTTCTTCTTATTGCACCTTTCCTTCCACCTGAACACAACAGCTCAAAAATACCTTATTATCTATCAAGTGTTGTTGCTTTGGCAATAGCTTTTCTCGGTATACCGTAAGTATATGCAATTTCTTTAATTGCTATTGATAGTGATTCTGTAGGTATTACCTTGTTCGCTTTATTCTACTTCCAAAAATGTTCAAGTATGAGCTTGTGCCAGAAGTAAGACACTTACCTGATGGGTCAAGGGTGACGCGATATCAAAAAGTTTCTACTAATTAATTAAAATGTATAATACAGTTTGAGATGTAATCAACTTTAACAAATGAAATGAATAAATAAATTGGGCCTGAAATAAATATAAATGCTATCGTCAAGCATACAGTCCGAATCTAGGCCACAAAAACGTGATCCTCGAAAATGAGAGAAGAGCAGGTATCCACTAAATGGACGTGCAGGAACAACCTGGTAGTATTCTTGTGGCTGTAGCTGCCCTAGTTGCTGAGATATGGAAATGCTCACCTATGACGTCAGTCGATCTGCCGACCGGAAGTAGCTGAATATAGCCCTGATGGACGTCCAAGTGACACAGATGGCTTTTCTGTTGGACATAGGTTAGGTTAGGTTAGGTTAGGTTAGGTTAGGTTAGGTTAGGTTAGGTTAGGTTAGG